ACTAATATACTACTAATAAATTCTATTAAAAATCCTACCTTATACTCCTTCTTCCCCTTTATTATATAGTCTTATATAATTCCTTAATTTCCTAAAATTCCGCTTTTACTTATATACCTTAAAAGTAATACTTATTACTTAGCGTAAGTCTAAGTATTTACGAACTATTAAGGTTATTATAAGTAGTTTTCCCTTACCTTTTCCTAGGCTTTATTTACTATAAGGTAAGTTTAGGTCTATAATAAGTAGTCCCCTTAGTATAAGATATAGTTATAAGGGATTTCGCCCTTCTTAGCCTTATAATTATCCTTACCCTTATTATATACTATACTCTTATATTAGTTATAGAGTTATATTAATATATACCGCTTAGTAATATAGCTATACTTATAATAATTATAGTATCTTTATAGTTAAACTAACTTATTATAAGGTTTATATTAAAAGATTTATACTTTAAGGATTAAGCCTAAGTTATAAAGCCTATTAGCTTCTTTTAAGCTACTAACCTTAATAAGTATAGTCGTTGCTATTAATATCTTAGATTATAAGTATAGCGCCTAGGCTTATAAGACCTTAACTTTATTTACTTTTATAATCTTATAAAGTAATCGCTCCCTATTTACTATTACTACCTTTAAAGGGGTATTCTTAGCGACTACTATATATATACGGTAGGTAATTATAGCCTCTAGTCTAAATATAGCCTTAACCTAGCCTTAGTCCCTTTAATAGGCTCTCGCTAAGGTATTAAATATAACCGTAATATCTTTACTTTAAAGGCGCCTTACCGCTATAGCGCTTATAGCTTTTAAGGCTATATTTACCGCTTTTACTATATCCTTTAGTTCGCGGCTTAGGATTTTTTAAGTAGTGCCTTAGTAAGGACTATAATAATCTTACGTTTATAGTATAATAGTACCTATTTTACTATAGCTTTATATTAAGTTAGTCCCTTAGTCTTAGCTATAGCCGCGGCTTAGGTTCGCTTTAGGCCCCCTAGGCCTTAGCTAATACCTAAGTAGAGTTCTTTCTTAATTACCTCCTTAATTACTTCTTAGATTATTATCTTAAAGCTCTTATTTACGCGGAGCACCGCTAATAACGCGCTACTAGCACGGCTCTTTACCTTAGAAAGCTATTTAACTACTACCTATACCCTATTAAACTTTATACTTAGGATAAAGCCTATAAGTTTATTATATATTACTTTTTCTATAAGGTCGCTCGGCGCCTAGGTAGGTATCGTATCGCTACTTTAGGTTTATTAACTCGCCTTATTAAGGTATATAAATTTAAGTAGCGTCTCTTTACGCTACGCGCTCTAGTTAAGCCTAGTACGTTAAGGGCCGCTACTATATTTACTTACCCCTTAGCCTTAGCGTAATATCGTTACTAAGGGTAATTAATACTACTAAATTAATTCCTAGTATTAGTTAGTATTTTAGTTATAATATATACCTACTATAGGCGTATATTAGTTTCGCGAGAAATCTTTCTATTATATATACTACTTATTTATAGTAATCTCGCTTATAGTTTTATAGTATATAGCTAGTTTTTTAGCTAGCTAACTAGTAGAAAGACTCTCCTTAGCTAGAATATAAATACTAGCGGAAAGACTAGTAGTAAAGGTAAAAGGAAATTAGTTAAGCTAGTAAGTATTATTAAGCTTAAATAAAGATTTAAGCTAGGTAGTAAGTCTTTATTTATCTTTTCTTACTTAAACGTAATAAGACTAAAGTATATTTCTTTCTTATATTATCTATTAAGATTATTAAGATTATACTAGTAACCTATTTAAAAGTATCTAGAACTTCGGCGTTTAATAAGAGGGAAAAACTAAAGTACTTAAAGGAAACCCCTCCCCTCTTTTATAGCTAGTCCGCCTATATACTAGGTCACGGTTATAATATATAGGAATCTTACGCTAGCTATCTTAGGTATCGTTATAGTTAGTCGGAATTATATTAGCCCTATTATAAAGTAACCTTAAAAAGTAACTCCTTTATATACGCGGGGTATATAGCGTTAATCGGTAGTATAAGCGTTTTTAGTTAATAGTTAATAGTTAATTATATAATTATCCCTAACCTTATCCTATAATAATATCTTCTTAGGCTCTACCTTATTTTTCTACTATAAGGCTTAGCGGGCTATTTTTTATTAATACTAGCCTTTAGCTAGGCTAGTAGTTAGGTTATCGTACTAGCTTTACGCTATACTTATTAAGTTACTAGTATCGGCCCTAGGTTTTTATTTTCCCGGTTAAGGGGCCTAGACCGGGGTTAGGGGGAGGTCCTAACGAATTCGTCGCTAGGTCTAGGTAGGCGAGGTCCGGGCCGGCTTACTTATAGTAGGGCTAGACTACTAGTATATTTATAAGCGCTTTTAAAAGCGCTATTTAGCTAATTAATATAAGAATATACCCTTATATTCCTATTTTACTATTATAAAGAAATAATAAGTATAGGGAGGCTCTATAAAATAAGCTAGTAAAAAGAGGCTCTATAATATAGTCTAAGGGAATAACCCTTAAAGATAAAGACCTTTACTAAATATCTATACCTTCCTTTAGGAAACGCGGGTTAAGATAAGCCTATCCTAATAAAATAAAATATATATAAAATGCATAAGTTAATTACGAGCAGAACGGATACCCTATTGCCTATTTTAGCTAAGCGGTTCCGAAGATATCCGCGATACGAGAATAGGTAGGGCATAGAATATTCTAGTTAAATCTACTACTTATGCTAGAACCTATAGTCTTACGTTAACTATTACGTTATAATTAGACCACCTACTAAGTTAGGAAAACATACTATAGATAGAGCTTTTTAAGCACTATAGAATATACTAGAAAGCTAACTAATTAGTCTACTAGTAGACGAGCAATAGTCTATAAAAGATAAAGGATTTCCCTAGGAGTAGTAGATAAAATAAGTAAGTTTATAAGTATCTTTTATAACGCTATTCTTTTAATATATTATTTAGCCTCTTATATACTCGTTATAAATTCCGGACGAAATCCTACCCTATACTCCTTCGACCGATATTTCCGCTTACGTTATCTATTACCCGATCCTACGCTTATTGCTTATACCTTTTTATAATTAATAAGTAGGTTAGCGTAGTCTACTAGTCCGACTAAAAATTAATCGTGCCCTTAGCTAGATTCGAACTAACTCTAGCGTTATAGCTAGTAGGCTTCCTAGGTATATAACTACTATACTATAAGGGTTTAGATTATCTATTAATTTTAATATTAGCTATTACTTTATATAAAATTCGAAAATTTTAGTAAATTCCCGATTTACTTATTCCTTATACTTTATTTACCTACCTTATTTTAAAGGTTATATAAGATATTACTCTTAGCTTTTATATTTAAAAGGTAGTATTAATAGCTATCTTAGAGTTAGTAAAGAGTATACTAGCTACTATATTTTAAGGTAAGTTAATATAACTATTATACTAATTATTATACTAATTATTATACTAACTAGCGACTATAAATAGTAATAAGATAGCTAGCTATTATAGCTAAAAGAGTTATAATTTAATAAAAAGATATTACTACTTTTAAGGATATTATTAATATCCTTAAGAAATAAGACTAGTCTTTTTTAGTTTAAAATAAAGCTAGTATATATACCTTATTAAAAGTTATTATATTAATTATTTATATTAACCTTCTTCCTTTAATATATAGTTCTACCTTTTAACGTAACTTTTCGAATCTATTAAAAGTCGAAAAATAAAAGCTTTTATAAAGCACGTAACTAATAAAGATTAAAAAAGTATATACTTATAAAGTTAAAGCTTAAAAAGATAATTTTAATAAGAAGTAAAAGTAATTAAAAGAGTAATAATAATTAAAGGTATAGTAAAAAAAGAAAACTATTACTATAGATATTAATAATAAAGGGGGTAAAAATAAAGATAATTCTAACTATAAATAGCCTTAAACGATTAAAAAGACCTATAAAGTCTCTTTAAATAATAAGGCTAATAAGGATAAAATATTTAAAGAATTACTATAATCGTTAGGTTTAAAAGAGCCTATAATAACTATAGATAGGCTTAAGCTTATCTTAGCTAGCGGGAAGTATAAAGGTAGAAAGTTAGGAGTAAAAGCGGCTAAAAATATCCTAGCTCTAAGTTAAAAATAAGGAGATAATTAGTATAATTAATTAGTACTAGACTTTTAGTTCTTTAATCTCTATAAATTCGCTTAACTAAAAGTAACTTTAAATAAGAGTCTACTAAGTTATTTTAAGCTAGTCTAGGTACCTAGCTTTACTTAAAGTATATATTAATAACTTATAGGTAAATATAGTCTTTTATCTTAAAACCTATTTCTACTTATAGACTAAACTAAAAAAATTAAGCGGCCTATAAGTAGCTACGAGCGCCTACTTTTAAAGTCTAATTAAGGCTACTAAAAGAGTATTATAAAGGCTACCGTAAAGAGCGCTAGAAAGAGCGCTATAAGTACTATTATAAAGGTAGGCATGGCTTATAAAAGCGGTATATAGAGGCATTTATTAACTGTAATTGCGATTTTCTAACTACTCCGTACGATGATAGATTAATAACTTAAGTTATGACCGGATTAGTAGGCAAGTGTTAGAAGTGTTAGGAATACCCTTGGGGGCAGCCCTAACCTCCAGACTAATCAGCTTTGAGAAGTCACCTCGGTACCTACGTACATATCTCCTACGAGGTTCATGCTGTGTTGCCCCGCCCTGGCTCGAGGCACTTCCGGCCATTTGCCGCGCTCCATCCCTCGCTGCCCCTCGAGATCCCCTCATCTCCCAGCGTCACCCGTCAATGCGCCAGCGATAATCTGGCCAGAGGGGGCGCGAGCACGCGCACACACCACCGAGGCTTCTCGTCACGTCCGACACTCGCTTTCGCCCTGCTTCCTCAAGCTTGAGCCAAGCTCCCACAAGAAAAAGGGAGGATAGAAACTCGGCTCCCTCCCCCAAATCGGCGTCATGGACGCCTCGCCGCTCGTCCGCGCCCACGACCACGCCCACGCCGCCGCCGCCGCCACTCGCCAGGCCTCGGACACGACCGTCGCCATCAGCGAGCACGCCCACGCCGCCGGCGAGTTCGCCAATGCCGCCCGCCACACCACCAGCGTCGAGGCCCTGCGCACCCTCAAGCTGCTCGAGGACCATCACCGGCGGCTCGCCGCCCTCCTCAAGCTGCCACCCCAGTCCGCCCCGGCTGCCTCGTTGTCGTCATCGCAGCACCCCGCTTCCGGCCGTGGCCCCACCGACGACGACGATTCATTGAGCGAAAAGTCGCCGCAGCGGTCCGAAAAGGCTCGCCCTGTTGTCGTCGTCGACAATGGCGCCGCGCCGCGCAAGGACGCCCATGCGAGGACGCCGGCTACCGTGTCCGGCCGGTCGCAGACACACCGCTTCGCCTCCCGCGACATGTCGTCGTCGATTGCCAGCAACCTGGCCTCGGCCAGAGGCATCCGCTCCAAGTACCGGGGCCAGCCCCTCAGCCCCAGTGTCTCCAGCGACCAGGCGCCCGGCAACGTCGACCCTCATCCGCGCAGGGATGGGTCTAGGATTAAGATGCAGACCATCATGGACCAGACGGGCAAGCCGACCTGGGTCCCGCCCACGTCCTCCCCTTCCTCTTCGCCCCAACGGCCGCCCAAGAGCAGGGAGTCGTCTCCCAGGGTGGATGCCGATTCCGCGACTGTCGACGAGGGGGGCTACGCGCGCTTTTATAATACGTTTGGCAGCCTCATCACCAAGATATCCGCGCCGTTGGCCTTTGCCGGCCTACCGCTCATCCAAGAAGAGTCTTCTCTCATGGCCGAGTCGGCGCCGACATCGGATGCGCCCGTCCCGGGTTCCCCGACTCCCTCGTCCCCCAAGCGCAAGTCCAGCCGACCTCCTAGCTCCCGCGGCCAGGACCCGGATCTCTCCAAGATTTATTCAAAGGCCACCATGAAGGCGCTGGCGAGGGATGGCCACGCCGCGAGCGACTCCTTTTACGTGGTGCCCACGAGCGGACACACCATGTCGTACGCCAACATCCTTTCCTACGCGGAAAAGGAGAAGCGGCGCTTCGGGGCGTCCGCCCACGGCGAGCTCCTGGTGCCTGGCGAAGACGACGATGACGACTTTGTCGACGCGCGAGAAACCCCCGTTTCGCTCTCCCCCGGGACGGCCAGGCGCAAGGCGGCGCGAGCGCCAGGCGAGAGGGAGTTGCGCAACAACATCGAAGAGCTAAGCCTCGAGAATAAATCGCTCAAGGATATGCTCGACAATGTCTCCAAGCGACTCCACGTCTTCGAGGCAAGCTCGCAGCACTCGGCCATGGCCCTGGCCGAGAGCTACCGCTTTATGCGGCCGAGCTCGCCCGGCGCGCCACCCCCAAGCGGCAAGCCCGTCGACGAGGCGCTGATGAGGAAGGCCCAGGACGCAGAGGAGCAGCTGGCGGCGGCAGTGAAGCAAATGGAGCGGCTCGAAAAGGACAACCGCAAGATGCAGCGGACGCTCGACAAGTACCGCGAGAAGTGGGAGACGCTCAAAGCCGGAGCCAAAGCCCGTAGAGAGGCGCAGGTTGGGGAGAGCGTAGAAGACGCTCGCCAAAGCTGAAGGGAAAGGCGCGATTGGGACGATGCCGCCAAAAGTCCTGGTAGTCCTGAAATACGCGGGCGGTCTCTGAAGATCCCGGAAGAAGCGAAACCCCCGTGGAGCTCGAAGTGAACCATAACTTAATATCATGCTGCCACAATTTGTCTGTGAAGACGGCAGAAAAAAATCAAGAGGTGGAGAGAAAATAGACCAAAATAAAGGCCTAGTTCCACCAGAAGCTGATGCTGAAACTGATGCTTAGACTCCTGACGTAATGCCACCACCCGATAGGAATCAGCAAGGCATCGCCCGGTCGTAGGACGCACTCTCTATAATCAAGGCCCCTGAGCCGCTCTCTCGCCTCCAGCAGACGCTGGTCCGCGTCCTCGTCTTCGCCCTCATCCTCGCCTGCGGGCGGCGGCCGGTCCCAGCCCTCGACGACGCCGAGGTCGAGACCGCTGGTGTTGCTCATGTCGACGCCGTGCTCGGGCGCGCGGGGCTGCATGTGCGGCGTGGCGGCAGGCAGGTAGAGGCGGACATACTTGGTGCCGACAACCTGGCAGAGGAGGTTGTGGTAGGCGTCGGTGTGGAGGGGGGTGATGGTGCCGGCGGGGCCGAACCAGGCGTTGAGCTGGGGCGTGTCGAGGCGCGGCTGGTCCTTGGAGGGCGAGGTGGGATGGGGCGGGACCGCGGCCCAGCAGTGGTCGGGGATGGTGGTGTCGTTGCGCAGGCTGGGGATCTGGTGGAAGAGGTTGTGCTGCGCGAGATAGCCGACTTGGCTGGGCTCGGCCCTGTCACTATCACCATCATCGCTGTTGTCGTCGCCGCCGCCGTCGCTCGACTGCCGTAGTCTCGGATCGACGTATTGGACGAGAAACTGGCGAAACGGAATGAGCTCCTGGCCCCAGCCTTCATCGACGTAGCTCCGCCCAACCTCGACGGGGACGAGCCGGCGGCCACCAAACGTCCTGGAGAGGAGGTACGCGGGCTTGTTCCACGGCCGGTCCGTGAGGGCGGGCCAGCCGTCGATGAGGTCCGTAAACACGACCGGCCGGGGATTCCCTCCGTCCTGGTGCATGTACTCCTCGAACCTGTCGAGCGTCCAGTCGGCGTGCCGTGGACATTCCTTGCCGGCGCTCATCGGCGGCCGCCCATACGGCTCGTGGGTCGAAAAGATGCGACCTGACGGAGCGGTGGCTAGTGAGCCGTTGTTGCTTTCCATCCGCTTTTGTCGTTTCGGCGACCGTTCTTCTGTCTGCTCCTCCTGCTCTCCGTCCCCACAGGCGGCCCAGAACTCTTCCAGGATCTGCAGCGTCGTCTCAATCCACGACGCTCCCAGCCTCCTACTAGCCCCGCCCGTGGTGATGAGGGCCATGTCCAGGCTCTCGACCACAAGGTCCAAGACGCCGGAGTCGAGGCGCCCATCATGGACGCACAGCGCCTCGAGGACGCGGCGGTGCGTGGAAAGGACCAGAGCCTCGGTGTACAGGCACCGCCAGTAGTACGGGACGCGATCGAAGCGGTACGCGTAAAACATGCCCATGGCAACCGAAGCCACGTCGTCGAGCCTCCGCTGGAGCAGCTCCTCGTCGACCCCGTGTGACCGACTCGTCCCTCCCTCGGCCACGAAGCCCCCATGGATCCGGGCCACCAGGGCGGCCTGGCGCTGGAGGAGCTTTTCCATGGCCGTGGCTTGGGTGTCGGTCCCGGCGACATGCGCCTCGCTGTCCGACGGCCGAGTCGCGTCAGTAGTAGACGCGGAGCCTCCGTTGTCACCAGTGGGGGTTGATGCTTTTGCATCCGCGATGGTGTTTGCGGCCTCCAGATACCGCGACAGGAGCCGCGCACGGATCGCATCCATGCCGCCTGACTTGAGCCTCACGAGAAGCTCGCGGACACTATTTTTTGAAGTTTCTGAGAGGCGTTGCGGACCGGCGTGAGTGTGTGAGGTTGAGTTACGCACACGTGCTTTCGGTGTCTTTTTAACGAAGTACCCCGTACCTTCTAAAGCCTCATCATGTCTTTCACCACCACTCGCCCTGATGTGGAGGCTATGAGATGGTCTTTCGAAGCACGGTTCATTAGGGCCACTTCCGATCATCGACTTCGACTGCTCGACATTTTGTACAAGGGACCCCCAGCGGACAAAACTGTGCAAGTAAGATCAAACGACGTGGCGTCTCACCAGACCACGACACTAGGCTCCAACACCCAATATGCCCAGCGCGCAACATGGGGCGGAGTTGAGCTGCACTCCGTCCTCGTCTATATTCAGCATGTCCACACACCTACAATTCCATCTTGTCTACCCTCCACCAGGTATCCGTCTCTTACACGTACACGCTCCACGACGGCAGGGTTTTTGCCCTCCTCGGCCTCGACGATGCCCGCTCCGCAGTCCCACTGCCTGCCCTCGACCTTATCGTACACCTTGACCACGTCCTCCCCGGCCGCGCACACTATCCTGCGGGCGTCGAACATCATGCTCGTGATGGGGCTGTCGTAAGCGTACGCGTCGTGGATCGACCCCGTCCGGAGATCCCATATCTGAACACGCACAAGTCAGCCGCCGCTGGCTTGCCCGTGGTAGCACGAGAGAAGCCGCGTTACTTACTCTGACGCTCCTGTCCAGACTTCCCGTCACCAGGTGGACGTCGTCGAATTGCAAGCACGTTACGGCCCCGGTATGGCCCACCAAGCTCCTATGGACCTGCCCACTCCGGAGGTCCCAGAGTCGGACCATGCCATCAGCCGTGCCGCAGGCCAGGGCAGATTCGAAGACTTGTATGGCACCGACAAAGTCTGACGAGCCGGCCTGCGACCGCCCGGCCGGCCTCCAGGAGCCGTCGGAGACGCTCGTCGCCGAGGCTTGGGCAGCGGCCCACATGACGTCGAGCGTCTGCACGCACCGGCCCTTTTCCAGGTCCCAGTGGCGCAGCGTCTTGTCCGCCGAGCCAGACACCATGATGTCTCCCCTAAAGTGAAGCGCCGTCACCTCGTCGACGTGGGCCTCGAGCGTGAAGAGGGCGCAGTCGTCCATGCTGCCTTGGGGCGGGTCAATCGGCTGGTCGTCGGGGTTCTCAAAGGCAATAGCCTCCTCGTCCTCGGCTTCCTTGCCAAACTGACTGCCGTGTGGATCATAGTGTGATCTGCTGAGGTCCCACAGCCGAATGGTGGCGTCTGCCGATCCCGTAGCCAGAATGTTGTCCGCGACTTGCAACGCGCGGACCGACGCCGTATGGCCCTCGAGGAAGCCCATGCACCGGCCGGCGTTGAGGTCCCAGACCTTGACCGTGTCGTCCAGCGCGGCAGTCACCATGGTGCCAAAGGGCCCATCGAAGTCCAGGGCGGTAATGTTATCTCGGTGCGCGCGAATCTCGCGGATGTTGGACCCAGCCTCGAAGTGCTCGTGTAGGATAGGCATCGATTTTCGCCGATGGACTCTTTTTCTGCGCGTGGGTGTGCTGTTTGCCGATGCCGGCAGCTTCTCGTAGACGGATTGAGACATGAAGCCGGCGTCGTGATCGTCGGCGTCCCCGACAAGGTCTGCCTCGTCTTTCGAGGGTGTGCTTTGCGCGATGCTCTCTGCCTCATCCGCGAGCGCCTGGGCCTCCTCTAGCCGCGCCTCGGCATCCATGACTGAGTGCAGTTAGCGCACGCGGCAACTCGAGGGTGTGCTCATGACAAGAGAACGTACTGTCGTGCTCCAGCAGTGCTTCCTCCTGTTCGAGTCCGGCCAGCCTGTCGAGTATTATCCTTCGCATGCCGTGCAGGTTGGCAATCTTGTTGTCAATATCGCGAATCTCGCTGCTCGACATGTTTTTGCGGATTCCGAGAAGCTCAAACTCGTGCATCATGGATGCCCTCTCCTTTTTCAGCTGGTTCAGACTTTTGGCCCTCCCTCCAGCAGCGGTGCCATCCTCGAGCAGCTTCCTACCCCTCGACACCCGGCGGCGATGCTTCTTGCCCTCAACCGTCAGGTTGGGGAAGCTGGCCTGGAAGCCCTGGAAGAGCGAGTAGGAGTTATCGTGGTCTGGGATGTTGGATAGCAGCTCGTCGGGGAGGCGGGTCAAGGCGCGGTGTTGGATCTCGGTCGTGGACAGCTTCGCGCGCACCATGTCGGTCGGTGTCGTCCGTGCCATGGAGAAGACGCTGCGTTGGACGGCCGGGCGCCTGAGCTGCCTGTGAACCTGGGCCATGGCCGTCTGGTAGTGGCTGGCAGCAGCCTCGGCGTTGGGGACGATGAGGTGGGAGGCGGTGGTTGTGACCTTGCGGCCCAAGGCCTCGAGGCCTCGAGTCTGTGTGTCGAGGACGGACAGCATCAGCTCTTGCCCGTGGTTGTGTTTCTCGCCGTTGGAAGACGTACCGATATGATGGACTGGTCGTCATCGGCGCCGGCGTCATCCGGGAAGCCGTACTCCTTGTCTGCATCAGCCATGGCTCCGGGGCCGATGTCACGCCAGAGGCGACGAGCGTGGTATCTCGAGGGGCTGCGAGGGTGCCTTTGGGCAATTGGTTGTTGGCCCTGCGGGACGTCCACTTGACATGAGACGCGACGCTAGGGTTGGTGGGTAGACGCGGAGAAAACAGGTTACGCGGGTATAGAGCTTCGGCTGGTCTGGGCTACCCTAGACCCGGGCAGGAAATAACAAGTTTCTAATGTTATCTCAGGCCATGCTGGGGGACGCATGACGCCGCCTATTTGCGCCAGGAACAAGGACTTTACTTGAACCAACGAGGGCTCAGGGTAGGCACGAGTGCTTGTTATTGTTGATGTTTTTGCTTGGCCGTTGCGCATTGATGAGGGTCCATCCGAAGCATCGCGGCACTTCTGATTCTTCATATCGCAGACAGCCCATGCAGAGGAGAAGCCCAAGAGAGAAGAAGCATTTGCGCATCAGTACAGCACTGGCTGGTCAACCGACGTTCATGCACCAGGCGTGCTGTTAAAGCAAACTGGGCGATGCAGACTGGAAGTTCAAGCCCGTCTCATTACATAATCACAAGTCCACGTGACCGTGAAGACTAGTCCAGTAGTATTAGCGTCCAGCCGAAACAACATTCAAAGCTTGTCAAAACCACATACCAAGACTTTACCTCTAGCTTCCGTGTGCTTGATCGGCCCAACCTCCCTTTCCGCCCCTCTGGTCTCTCCCTCGTGCCGGATGACAACACTTCTTTCCATGAACTCGCGAAGCTTATCGGCTATCGCGGCCCTCTCTCCTTAACCATTGGACAAGGATGCTGAGAGACGAAGGCCGCATCAGAAACCACAGGCTTGGAGGCGATGAGCAAGCCTTCAAACATCTCCGCCGAATCCTTCTGCTTGTCAACGTCGTATTGATGTCAGCAGTATTCGAGGCACTGGGGGACAAGCTGGTTCGCGACTTTAAAGTCCTTGTCTCACTGCTGGGCACGGCCAGGCATGACTTGGAATGCGATTCGGACATCGATGGCCACCTGATGAAGCTTTTCTACAGACTAGGAACGTGACAATGGTATTCCAGGGACAGACATAGGCGTCATTTGAAACACTCCGGCAAGCTCCAAGCTCCGACGCGCCCTTGACGAACCGGCTTTCTTCCACCCTCCAGAAGAGTAGTCCAAGAGCAGCGTGTGGCTGACCCGCGAAGCATGCACATGATCAATGTGTACCTGTCTCTACCTGCCGATTAGCAGGTGGGTGCGCAGCCGTCTTTATATGTCATGTCGTCTCGGCTGTCTTTGCTCGCCGCCGTGAGCCGCCTTTGTTCCTCGCCCAAGCGTCCAGTCTCGCGGGAACTCTCGTCGTAGCCCGTTACCCACGCCGCTTTCGCCATGCGGCGTTTGGCACTCCTGACTGCAGCGGCTACGGCCCTGGGCGCCTACGCTGAGACACTCAGCAGCGCTACGCAAGAGTTCGAGGCGAGCTCCTCGCAGATGCTCTCAAGACTCAGCAAGGTCATTGGAAGCCAATATGGCCTTGAATCGATCAAGAGCCTCCCCGAGCACAAGCAGGAGTTGCTCTGCATAGGCACAGCCTCTTCAGGGTCCGTGGATAAGGTAGCGCTTAAGCTGGCGTTGGGCGCAGACGGAGCGACCGATATCAACAACGTCCACACCTACCTCCAGGAGCGATGCCACGCGAACGGCCCCGTGACAAACATCAAGGGCGTTGCTCAACCGGACTTTGGCTTTCCTAGCTACAATAAGAACAAGCTTTGCGACTTACTCCGAAATGCAGATAAGGCACTCGACTCGACCGTCATCGGCGACATCGCCGAAACGTTGGGATTCGCCAAACCCTTTTCGAAGAAGTTTGGCCACCTCGTCTCTTCCAAATGCGGGGTAAGCCATTTATCTTGACTCTGGCCACTCGTTTCAAGCAGTCTTTGTTGGGCTCAACTAATAGAGTATTAGATTGTAATCCATCCGCACCCCAATCCAACTAAACCGATAGATCCCAAGTCGCTAAAGCCGGACCCATGTCAGGCTGCCGTATCGACGGGTGCACATGGGTCTTTTACGCTGCCGAAGAACTGTGGCGCCTCTGCAAACAGGTCCGGGTCGGATGATGACGGATCGGATGGGTCGGATGACGAATACAGATCTTGACGGTGGCCGGTATAGTGAAGACCGAATTGGGCGTATACTGTACTTGATTGCTGGCTTCGTGAGAAGGCAAACAGCTATTTCAGACCTTTTCATACAGTAATGAAGATCAAGGACCAAACTTCTCTTTTAAAGACGTGATAAAGTAAAAGCAGCCCCAGCCTCAGCAGAAATCGGTTCGTTGTCTGCCGTCCGCAAATAATGAACGAGCTCCCTTGCATGAGTATTGGAAGTTGCAGATGGCTGAAGATTATGCTCAAATTGAGTCAAAACCTTGATTGGCAGTCCTATATGAATCATCTCTTCTGGCACTGCTAGTTCAGCCCCGTGCTCGTAACAAGATGGTGTGTGAATATGGCGAGGCCTTTTTCATTTCGCAGTCTCATCATTCAGCTATACTACTCGTTGCGCTAACAAACATGGGACCAAAGCCAACCAAGGGCTTTTGCCATTTTCAAGAGGTCCAGTCAAGAACCAACAGCCATTAATCATGATCATGAAAAATCAACGCTTATGTCACGCTTTACCGTGCCACAGGGTAACGGGTCACGGGAGAATCAAGCCGGAGAGGCGCCTGGCTGATGGAATCACCTAATGAGACTTGCCTCCCCCGTTGCGGGCGTCGGCGTGTATGACGTCGGCAGCCTTTTCGCTGATCATGTAGACGGGCAAGACGATGAAGTAGCCGGGAATCTTGGGGAAGACGCTAGCATCGACGACGCGCAGGCCGTCGACGCCGCGGACGCGGAACCGGGAGTCGAGGACGGCCATGGGGTCGTCGTCGGCGCCAATGGGACAGGTGCAGGAGGCGTGATGGCCCCAGGCCTCGTCGCGAACCCATTTCTTCATTTCTTCCTTGGAACTGACACGCTTGCCGGGCCAGTCTTCCTTGAACTCGGTGCCCGTGGGCGCGTGGTTGATGTTCTCGGTGGCCTTGCGGGCGTACTCGACGCCCTCGGCTAGGGCGCGAGCGTCCTTTTCGGCCTGGCCCTTGTCGTTGGTGCCGGCCTCGAAGTAGTTAAAGTTGATGATGGGCGTGTCGCGCGGGTCGGCGGAGCGCAGCTCGACGGTGCCGGCGCGATTCCGGGTGTGGGCTTTGAGGATGACCCAGGTCCAGTGCCGGGCGTCGGCGCCGGCGACGGCGGCGTAGCCGGGGAAGTAGCCGGTGAAGTAGGAGAGGGAGCCGGCAATGAAGAGGTCGGGGATCTCGTTCTCGGCCACCGACGACTTCTTGAGGATGGCAAGGGCCAGGCCGCTGCTGGTGTAGGCGCCGCGGTTGGCAATGGACTTTTCGGTCAGCCAGCTCTTGAGGCACGGGTCGTTCTTTGTCTGCAAAAAGGTGCACTTCTCCGTCAGGGTGAAGTTCTGGGGGCTGCTGGTGACGACGGTGTTCTCGTAGCGGTCCTGCAGGTTGGTGCCGACGCCCGGCAGGTCGACGAGGACGGGGATGCCGAAGCGCTGCAGCTCCTTCTTGGGGCCGATGCCGCTTAGCTTGAGGAGCTGCGGCGAGTTGAAGGCGCCGCCGGCGACGATGACCTCGCGCTTGGCCCGGATGAGGCGCGGCGGCGGCAGCTCCGAGTTCTGCGTAGACGCCCGCGGATCCGCCCGGTACAGGCTCTTGCCTCGGACGTACTCGACGCCCACGGCCCTGGGCCTGCCGCTGGTCCCTGTCTCGAACTTGATGCGGGTGACGAGCGTGCTGAGGAGGATGTCGAGGTGATAGCGCTCCCTGCCGCTCGGCGTCCATTCGCTCAGGACCTGGTTGATGAAGTCGACGGGCCCGGAGCGCTCGCCGTCCTTGATGGCCCCGGGCAGCTGGAACAAGCCCTCGCGGCGGTCGCGATTCCCGAACCCCGAGTTGAGGTCGCGGAAGAAGACCTGCGCAAAGCCTTTTGCGTCGAGCAAGTACTTGTCGATGCCCTGGCCGACGGCCGAGGCGGCGGCCAGCACCATGGCGCCGAGCTTGACGTCCTTGAGCGTGAAGACGAGACTGGTGACGCTCGTCGTCAGCCAGCCGTTAAAGCCGTGGCCGATGGGCGACGCTGGAAAGTAGCGGCATCGCTCCAAGCGCTTGAACATGTCCCGCATGCGGCCGGCCGCCCAGCTTTTGTCGCCCATGATCTTGGCAATGTGGTTCCAGTCCTCCTCGTCCGGGTATGCCGTGATCATGGCATTGTGCGCCGTGCAGCCGCCGAGCGTCCCGGCCCGCGGATACAGTATGCCCTTTGGCTTCGCGCCGGGCGGCGGGTTGGCCCCGATAAACTCCTGGCCCGACGGCAGCGTCCACGTCATCTTGGTGTCCTTGCGCTGCCGGTTCAGGTCCGGGTAGTGGTTGACAAAGAAGTTCCACGACATGGCCGGGAATTCAGACGCTCCCAGGCTCAGCGCCGGCAACCGGTACTCGTACGAGCTGGTCTGGTCGTCGCCGGCGTCGATGAGAAGCACCCGGTGCCCGTACTTGGCCAGCCGCGCCGCCAGGGGGGAGCCTCCGGCGCCGGAGCCGACAATGACATAGTCATACTCAACCTCCGGGTCGATTTCGGCAATGAAGCCACTGCTCCGGCATCAGTCAACGACCTTGATACTTTCTCTCCAAGGCTCTGGGAGACTAGAGAGAACGCAAAGGGGGGGCAAAGACAGAAGACTTTACAATGAGGTCTTCACTTACGCTCGAGTCGGACCGCCGAGCCAGAGGACTGAAAGTAAGACTGCTGATAACAACATTGCGCCGAATACCGTGCGTGCTATCTATGCAGTTGCTGCGACCGAAGGCACACAGTTATCGGGACCGAAGGGACGCGGTGGGATTTGGACAGGCCCAAGGCATATAAGGGCCTCGTCCATGACCACTTTTGGTCGTGTCTCCATTGTTCTTGCCACGGAAACGCACGTCTTTGCAGGAATATGAAGCGAAGGCTAACGAGGAGGGATGGCATTCCCCAGGCGAGCAAGGGTTACACCCAGGTAAAACATGTTAAGGGCGGCTGCATCGAGTATTGTAGCTGCGGGACACGGTAGCGTTGGGTCGAAAAGCCGCTGGGCTGTTGACTCGGCTTCAGCCTGGGCCATGCTGTTGCACGCGGCACTTCGCTTCTATTGGAGAAAGCTGGACGCCTGTGAGAGGATGCTTGAGCGAGGGAGGGGGACTCGGCTCATGTTTGCTCTCATGCTCAGCAAGGAAATACATCAACAGGTCGCCAGAATGACAAAGCCGTTCCGATCCCGCTGATTCATGAATGTTTGCTGTTGTCTGCAGTGAATATTGAAAGCCTCCACGATGGGTGACAAGTTGACAACTGATGAGCCGGCGACTATCGGGTCCCAACGCTCCTGGGACCTGCGTATCAAAAAGCGGTTGAGGCGTTTGAAACGGCTGTGGCTTGTGCCAAGAGAAGGAGACAATGTCTCGAGGGTGGCCGCGTGAGACCTGTGCAGTGACTGGATCTTGTGAAAAGAGACAAGCGAAGGAATGAGGGTAAGACATGGTGAATCGGATGACAGATGGCTGCCCCACGAATACGTCACTGCATGTAGCAGTTGACAGAGATGGCTTGGACCCCGATGCGGGAATGCTATGAAAATGTAAACTATCTGTGGTGATCAGGAAGGGGGGGAGAGGGGGAAGGGGGGTAGATTGCCGAAACTGCAGAATCCATGACTCTCGGCATTTCGGCGCTTTGGTGCCTCGTGCTACCCCGTCTACATGTTCACTCAACTGCTTCATATGATAGGGCTTAGCTCCCGCTAGACATTTATGAAATCATCGACCAAGCCGTCCACTCGCCTCCTTCCGCAGCAAGCGAGGAGTACGACACACCGCAGCAGCCGGCCGCCTTGCACCCACAAATACTGGAGTTTCTACAAATTCAAGAGACTTTGGATTGATAACTGGTGGTGACCACACGCTGCCTGGGGGCTGGCGTTGTTTAGACTGGTGGCAAAAATATATAGCTCATTACCAAGTGCGTTCCAACCATTGGGGAGGTGAAGAGGTGGGGAAACAGAGACTTTACCACGAGGATAGCATACGCACTGCATTCCATGGGCTGTCACTTGATCGAGGGGTAGGCGAGACAACTGTCCACATGGGGCTTTGCCAGCTCGGAATAGGCCAAGGGGAAGAAGCGCGTTTCTGCAAGCGAGAGACGACGGGCTAATTACTCAGGCTCGGGTTTTGAAAGGCGGGCCGTCATCGTTTGTCTATCTGTCTGTCTGCATGGTGGCGACTTTGTATGACCGCCAACTTCATGCAGCCACGTCATGCTCACACATCTTTGCAACTGCAAAGATAATGCCGCTAGCCAGACGGAGGACGCCTCTCCCGAGACGTCACCGAGCAAAGCTTGCCAAACTCTTCTCAGCGGTGGCCACTGTCTCGTCCCCAAGTGTCTGGCGAGATCCCCTCTCTGACGCGAAACGACTTGGCGGCATGCCATAGTTCTGCGGCCCGCCTAAGAGGATTGCACGGCTACCAAGAAACAATACAGTGTACAATTTCGGGCCCATAGTTCTAACAAGTGGAGGTGGGACAAGACCGTTATACTTTGTAGGCAATGATCCCAGCTTATTATATATACAGGCAAGAAACTAGCTGCATATTAAACTCGTTTAGGCTGAGCTGTAACGCCTGTCAAGAAGACCACACAACGGCATAATCCGGTTTCTCCTGTATTTAAGGCGCTATCCGATGCATTCCGCCAGAACAACAACCTCCAGCTCTTCCACGAAGATTCGAGAGTGATGCCTCTTGAAACTGTCGAAATCATGATGCACCTTTCTAACCGAGCATTGAACTTGCCGTTCAATTATTTTGAGAAGTCGGGCGCAAGTGCCGTGCCCAAGTTTCTCAGTTCAAGTTGCGAGATCGAAGCTGTGTTTTGTCTCTGTCGACCGTTCCTTGTTATTCTCAACCCACTCATCTATCATCCACTTCTCATCTTTATGACAACTGCTGCAAACTCACCTTGAAGAAAACGGGTTATAGCATCTGATTAAGCCCACCTAGATTCTTCTACGGTGGCTTTCTTAATACCGAATATTTTCCCCAGCGTCACCCAACTGCCTGTGTAGCAGAGGATGCGAAACGATTTCGGATCAGCTTCGTCTCCAAACGCCTTGTCCAAAGCTTTCTCGACTACGCCATAGTTGACGAATCCAAGGCTGTCGACAGCCTCAGCAGACAGAAGCTTCTTAAACATGCTATGCAGTGGCCCATCTCTTGGCCACCGCGCGGGGGCCAGAATCGGGAGCTTCCTGCGAGTGTAGAGCTCGTCGGTAATGTAGGGGCGTGCGACCTCGCGTAAGATCCACTTCTCGGTGATGGAGTGCAGACTTGAACCCGCGGCTTTCCACCAAAAGTTGCTCACCTTCTGGCCTTTGTCGTCGGGTGGTGAATACCGCATCTTAACGCTGGGCGGCAGCGAGTTAACATACTCGGCCAAACGGTGGTCGAGGAAAGGTGTCCGCGCCTCGACGCCGTGAGCCATCTCGACGCGGTCACCGAGGCAGGACAAGATAATGTTGATAAGCAAGGACTTATTCCACATATACATTGCTGTGTGACCAGCATGCCACTTCTGTCTCATCTTTTCTCGCACCTCGGACGAGTGGGCGGCCATGACTGTGTCCCGCATATCCCGCTTGCCCTGATACTGGACTTGCACCCAGTCTAGGAACAAGCTATTGGCGGGATGCCAGGCCAAGAGGCTGTTCGGCATTGTGTTTTTGTTGGCATCAGCCAAAACACCGGCGTCAGCCATGTCCTCGTAAACTGCGGCGCCTTGGGAGCGCAAAAGAGCGGCAATCTCAGCACTGGCGGACTTCTGCATGCCCTGGCGCAAGGCGCTGTCCTCGGCCAAGATTGACCCAGGCATGCCTCCATCCGGTTCGCGTAGGAACTCTGGGGGGAAGAAAGGGTACCCGGCAAAGTGCTCGTCAGAACCTTCGCCGGTTAAGACGACCTTGAAGCCGTGCTCACGGGCCAGGGCCGACAGAGCAAACTTGGCAACCGAGTTTAGGTCGAAATGATGGTGCTCGCAATGGTATGCAGCGTTAGCGAAATCTTTCGCAAGTCTCTGCTCGTTAACATTCTGCTTAAACATCTCAACGCCCAGCCACTCAGCCGTGCGGTCGGCAATGTCTAGAAAGCAGGTCAGTCGCTGTGGTCTACATGCGAGGGATGCCAATTACCAGATTCATCATAGCCTGACTCGCTGGGAAACTGGATGGTAAAGCAGGCAATGCGAGAACCTAACCCGCTGCCAATTTGCACCTTGTCCTTCCGAACGAGCTCGGCCACGATGCCTGCTATGACCGAGGAGTCGATACCGCCCGAGAGGTAGATGCCGACGGGGACATCGGCACGTAGCCGAGCCCGGATCGCCTCGACTAGCCGTTGACGAACTTGGAGAATCATTTCATCCACCGTCCGAGGATCGGGAACTGTCTGAATGATGTTAGCCCGTGATGAGATGTTGAGGATGGGAAACGGGCATGCCTTGTCGGGATAATCGGCATCCCAGTACTTGTGAATCTCCATGCCGCGCTCCTGGGTAATCTCTGCCCAGTGCCCCGGCATAAGTTTTGTTACGCCTTTGAAAACCGTGCTATCGTTCATCATCCAGCCGCTGTCGGCGAGGGCTCGAACATTCCACTCGGGCTTCCAGCCAAAGGCCAAGAATGCCTTGGCTTCGGCCGCGAAAAGGATTTTATCGCCGAGCGCTGTCCATAATAGGGGCTTTATACCGAATCGGTCACGCGCTGCAACAAGTCGCCTACTGCCCTCTCTCTCGTCAAAAAGTGCAAAAGAGAACTCGCCTCGCAGGTGCTCGAAGAGGCCAGGGGCACCGTGGATCTTGTACAAGGAGATGACAAGTTCGCTGTCACTTTGGCCAGCGAACCTGTATGCGTACTTGGTTGCACAGACTTTGCGCAGGCGGTCGTTGTCATAGATCTCTCCGATAACCACTGCGTGGATGAGCCCATCGTCGCTATGCAGAGGCTGGGCGCCGCCGGGAGAGAGGTCGATGACGGAGAGCCGACAATGGGCGAGTCCTACGCCGGCATCGGTGCTAACCCAAATGCCGGATCCATCTGGCCCACGATGTTTGATCGAGTCGATGCCAGCTTGCAGCGCTTTGGCGATGGCGTCGCGCGTAGAGCCACCAGAGGCCACTCCACTGCTTTCACTGGTCTTATCCTTGGTGTCGGTCTCGTGGCCGGTAGTTTGGCCGTGAGCATTGCGCTCGCGTCGAGGCGGAGGGCAAGAATAGCTTGCGATGATGCCGCACATGGTAGATTTCTGTTTTGACTGGTGTCAGGGAGCACGTTTTGTCAAGTGTAGAACGCAACGCTGGGGAATAGGGCGATAGTGGCATGACACTTGACGAGCACTTTTCTCCGGCTTGATCTCCGATCAGTTCTACATTGTGAGTGTTGGGGAGGCTTGGGAGTTAAATACGCCTAAATTGTTGCCTCGGTCTATTACAACTGAGCACGGATTCTACTCTTACACCTGGAAGCCGCATGGCCGTGCGGGCGCCTAAGCTCGAGCTTCACGACATACCTGCCTATTAGGTTGCTTGACAGAGATAACGAGACGGAAGCGAACGAGTAGTGAGGAAGTAGCAAGTACGAGGTACAAGTAGAGAGTCCTAAAGTAAGAAGCAGGGCATAGGCTGATTTTAGTGGCATACTATATAACAATCGCGATATACCGTAAGTATAAGTTGAATAATGAAAATTGAAAAGAAAAGTAGAGAGGAAAAGGAGTATATATATGCTAGCGCGAAGGGGCTTTCGCGCTCGTACGTTAAGCAGTCATCGTGCTAGCGGTCTACGATCGATACTCCCCTACCCTTTTGCCTTTCTTTTTGTTTTCGTCTCCCTCCTTCCCCTGCTTCTTTGGCTCTGGCCTCTACCCTTTACCCGTTCCCCACTCGGCTGCCGGCCAACACGAGTGAGTTGGAATTGTATTAGGGATGGAGCTATGTATTGTAAAGGTTTTCTCTACAGTGTAAAGACTCTCGTTACAACTGTATGGCTTTTCGATGTCTTACGATCTGCCTGGGCCGCTTTTGACTGGTGATCGTGACTGGCTCAGCCCGTGTCTCGCTCAGGCGGCACGGAAAGGGACTTTGCTATTCGTAGATGCATGTGTCTGTCTGCCTGCACAGACGCCTTGAAGAAACCTCGGTGTGGATTTGTTTGCTGTGTATGGCTACTTTGCTGTTCGCATAATAAGGTGATTGTCCTATTGTCCTGCAAGATGATGGCGTCGGCGACGACCAACATACGTAATGATCCGATCGAGGCGTACATATGCGGATGGCCAGTAAATAGGACAACCGTACATGTTCTCTTGCTTGGCCGACGATTATGTGCCGCTCTTCACTCGCACAAGAGTCGACGCCCCAAAAAGGGAACTATTTTCGCTGCGTCTGCTGTTGTCGCCTAGACGCCCCGAGTTCAACCCTTGCCCAATGGACGCACACCATTGAACCAAGGCCGGTTGTGCAATATATTGGTACACTAATGGTTGGAAACGCGGAGATCTCCAACCCGTTTGCACGGCGTTGCAAGAGGTCTTGTTGGACCTTCTGGCCGTCCGGGGTGCCACTCCGGCCGTGGTCACGGGGGACTCTAGCGGCGAATGCAGCTTCGTGGGCTGCTGGCGCGCTTTCATTCAGACGAGTGTTATTGTTGCTTTATATAGCGGCTTTGTGTGCAAGAAACACATCAGCCTGGGGGGGTGGCGGCCGTGAGACGGGGTCGAGAAGACGTAGAGCCGTGCCTCGTTCTAGGAGTTCAGACTGCTTGCGAGAACAGCAGTAGCGTTTCCCTGAGTGGCGACATCGAACCACCAGAAGAAAGCATGGCCGCCACCAGTTCGTCCCGCTTACCGACTATATAGGCATGCGCCCCTTGCCTATATATAAATGAAGGTAAGGACCAGGCCCCGCATTCTCCTAGGAGACTCAGCTATTCCGATGAACTATGTTACGCTCCTCTTCGTAGGCGAGCGAAATTTCGAACAGCATGCTGGCCCCCTTCAGTGGCACAGACGACACGTGTAGAACCCGGGCAACCCCCCTCCCCCCCCTCCGGCAACGTCCTCGTTCCGCCTCGCTGAAAGGATCGTCCAACATGCTGCTGCCGCCTCGAGGTCGACGGATCCAGACTACAGATACGCCGCAAAGCCTCGGCACAGGAGCCCGACTCACTGGCCTGCTTTGCAGGACGCCACTCCCTGTTAACCTGCTTTGCGCACCATAAGAATCAAAGTTGGAGGCATGTTGGTTCAAGGGAGAGGGTTGAGAGACTGAATTGACCACCCCTCATGTGTATACTACCGTGAAAGCTATAACAATCATTTACTTATGTTATTAGGATAGCTAGATGGAGTACTATAGCGTTGATCAATATAGCTTTATTCGTAAACGGGCAGTTTCAAACACGTGTTGCTTCCCTTGAGCTGTTCCTCAGTCTATTATATCCAGCCTCGCGATGTTTCTTCCAAACCATATACGCAATTATACGGCCATTCTGAGCAGTCATCCCGTAGGAACGAGTGCTCCCCAGAGCCTTTCAGATTTATCGCGATTAGTTTAGCTCTGACGGGCAAAAGTCTCTGGCTAGAAGCTAGGCCAGCAACATATATAATCTGAGGTCCTAAAGCAGCTTTTGAATACCTCTATAGCCTGCCTATCGTCTACTGTAGCAGCTAAGATTTGTACGAAACGAGTTTTATCGAAAGAGGCTAATAGATTCGGCACAGACCACATATGAAACTTACGGCGCATAAACCACTTTTCTAGCGTAGCAGTTTCGGCCTTGGAATGTAGAACGTACAAGACGTCTCGCTCGACTTCATCGCGGGAATGACAGCGATTGGGAGCCATTGAGTGCACCACCAGTCGATGCATCACTGAATTCACCCCTGGTGCAAGTATCAAGCAGAGCTTGCGATTTGCGTATCGGGAACACGTAAAAGCGGGCGAGGGGCGGGATCAGATTCGCGATTCGTGTTTCCCCCGCGGAGGAATTTCACGGTGTCATGATTTACATGTATGCATGAAACAAAAAGGCAAAAGGCAGCTGTAGATAACATGTAGGGCCACGCCACAGATACGAGCCCTGGATTGTGGCGGTGTTCAGCAGTGAAACCAGTACCGGGCTCCGATCCAGGCTACGCGCTAGCTGAGGTTATTCCGGATCTTGAGCCGACCGCACCTCAAGACGACGGAAAACGAGGAATCCATAACCCCGGAAGCTCGTCCAGACTGCCCTCACCCTCATATAAGGACCTAGGCGGCTGTCGACCCTCGGCCTGGCCCGTGAGTCTCCCATCGCCTTTACTCGGTACGCTGATTTCTCAGCCCACGCGAACGGGCAAAGAAAAGAAGACGACGCATCTGGATTCTCGAGTGTGTACGAGAAACCGTCCAAGGGGCGGCCTGTCAAGGACTCAAGATGCTCCCGCCTACTCTCGTTAGCATTTACCGGCAGTACAAGGAGGACACGGATGCCGTCGCGAGCTGGCTGGCGTCCAACGCCAAAGCAGCCGGCTGTCCAGCTGACTTGCTTGCCGCGCCTGTGAAGCAGAACAAGCAAGGTGGGAGGCTAAAGGGAAAGGCGAGGAGAGAGGCCAACAGAATCAGCAAGAGCCCTTCCAAGCCGGCCTCGGCCAAATACGTTGTTCCCCTCCAAAGCTTCATCCCTCTCGCCGAGCACATCCTGGCATCTAAACGCGCCGCCTCCGTTCCCGCCTCCCTCCTCAAAACCCTCGATCGAGTCATCGCCGTCCGGTCTCGCTTTGGCTAGCAACTCAGGGAAAATGGAACCCAGACGAGTGCCGCGTCCGAGGCCAAGCACTCCTTCTTCAACCGCGTTCTCATCAAGGTTCGAGACATTCTCAGCCCCGAGATGCCTGCCGCAGCGGCCCCCAGTGCACCCGCCGACGCCGACGCCGACGCCGTCGATTCTGCCGGCACCCTTCCCCCCGCCATGGAGGCGCTCGACATGGCCGAGCCGTCGTCTGACTTGCTGGCTGCGCCCGACGTCGAGCGACCGACCGCAGCTAATAACGACGTGGACATGTACGAGGCCGAGCAGCAAACTTCTCTTGAGGACGCCGCGCTTGCCTTCATCATGATGCTCGAGGATCTAAACCGCATCCGCGCCTACATCAAATGGATATGGTCTAACCAGTTCGACCTCGCTGCGGCCGCCGTCGCCACCAACACGGGCCTCGACCTCGCCCGTCATCTCATGTCCGATGTTCTACCCCTCTTGGAGACGCACGGCGGTGCCTGGAACATGACGCACAAATCCTACATTGCTGGCTGCGTTCAGAAGGGCTTCGGCGTTGACAGTCTCCAGTCAGACAATGGCATGCTCAATCAGGACACTTACGACGTCGCAGACAGTGTACTCATGATTCCCTTTTTTTTCCTCCGAAGCTTTCTCGACGTCCTCCAACCCAGGGCGGTGCCGCTGATCAAGGAGGGAATATTTGGCTACTATGAACCGACGCGCGATCGCTCCACCATGTCCAACCAGGAAAAGTTTCGAGAGGACCAGGTTCTTCTCATGGAGACCTTCACCGAGCTCACGGTCATCATCCGGATGATTCCCGACTACCCAGTGCGGGACGAGTTCCTACGCGGCATAGACGAAATGGACCGCACCCGGGCCATTCCCTACTACCTCGTCTTCGCCGCCCAAATCTTTCTCGACAGCAACCACCAGCTCCGCGACAAGGCGTCGGCGTATTGCCAAAACATGCTCCAGCAGCTTTCCTCCATGTCCGCCAGTCTAGAGACGCACTTGAAGTTCCATGAGAATCTAAAAATCGACCACTGGCCCGCCTCAAATGACCGAGCGCTGGTCGCGACACAAGGTCAGATCAAGTGGATACAATCAGACCCTGTCTTTGTGGCAAAGCAAAAGCAGTATTCAGGACAAGGCATGCCTGTGCCGATCACGATGCAGCCGCAACGTCTTCTCATGCGATCTCCCGTCCTCGCCGGCCTGGTCCTTTTCCACTTTCGGGCTAAAATGTATGATGTCGGCATCAGCGTGGTAAACGCGTGGGGTTCCATCTCGTACTCGAACCATCTTTACAACGCCCTGCGGAGGGAAGGTCTGCTCCAGGGGCGTTGGGAAGACATGGATGTGGTTAGTACGGCGCTCGGGGATGCGAGCTTCTTCGTCGGGGAGCCGCCATACAGCCGCAACGCGTACCTCACGCGCTTCTGTCTGCAGATGGGGGTCTCGGCTGCGGCGCTGCGTGCCAGCCCCGCAAAGCGGCGTAGAAACGCATGTCGACTGGCATCCCGCTCTGGTCCACGAGGCATCAAGCCTGGGGCTCCCGTCTCGTCCATGTTTGACGAGCGATACCTCGGGGGCACCGAGCAACTCGAATGGACGCCGGAGCGGGTCGATCAGGTCCTCTCCCGCGCCGAATATGAGGTCGAGGGATCGGTCGAGGACGGCAACCTTGCCCTCAGCCAGATCGACGACCCAGACAAGCTGCGGGAGATTAGGAGGGCGCAGCAGGGCAAGGCCAGACGGGCGGGTGCCAAGACGGGCAGCGACAAGGCGCGACTCGCTCCCGAGAAGCTTGTCCAGTCCCTCATCCTCGCGCTGCAGGCCGAGACGCTAGAGCACGCCTTCCCCTATCTCCTTCTCCATCGCTTCAGCTGGCGACTTCTGCGGTCCGTTAAGGATAATTGCGACCCGCTGCTGCGCAGCTTGCACTCCCCGGCCTACATGGAGCGCGAGTCCGAGCTGCCGTTTGTAGTCGGATACATCTTCCTGGCGGCCGCAGGCATCGAATACGGCACTCTTCCGGACGACAGGCTCCTCCACAAGGCCGCAGACGCTATGAATGGAATGATTGAGGCGGGCGCTGGACGGTTCACGCAGGGGTTCCTGCAGTCGATCGCGGGGATACGCGTGCAGTTTGAGGACAAAGTGGAAGAAGAGGCCGAAACCGAGAAGTTGTGAGGGCTTGGAGGATACGATTGGCTCGACCGTCACCGCGATTCTCCTGGGCGCTGAAGCGAGTGAGGGTGATGAGAGCAGCAGCAGTGCTGCATACATTCACCTGCTTCCTCTTGCTTGGCCTCGGCCCGTGCGGGGTGCGTTTACGAAGAAGAAACTCGCCATTTCCAAACGGCAATGTCGCCGTGTCCCTGGCGGTCGATCTCCCAGCTCATGGCTACCTGTCTCTCGCAAAGGGCGATGAGACGCCCGGAGCTCAGCACCCAGCCCTCGAGCCTCGACACGACACACCACGGCCTCGTCTAGCCACAGCTGTTTGCGCTGGCTGCCTTGCTTGGCGCTGGGGCAGTTACAGGCTCTGTGGGTAGCACCAAGAGTCCGCCTGCTCATCCACCTTTTCCCCGTCTGGCTCAGCTCCATCGCCCGCCTTGTCCGCATCCTCCTCTTGCAAGCTCCCAGAATCGCCTGATCCAACTCTCTCAGCTGACAAGCACCCTCGGCTGGCGTCCCAGAATCGATAGTACAGGAGGGCGACAAGGGTGCCGGCTAGCGAGCTTGCTCATTTGCTAACCGCCTCAAGCCCGTGGGCGAAGCGCACTGTCCCGCTCAATCCCTTGTAAGCCCATTCGTTGTCGTTGGCGACGTCATGCCCCGTCGTTCCAACAAGGTGCCAGGGAACGTCGGGCCACTTTGAACGTTCCAACTGCCGGCTTCCACGATTTTAGGTGCCAAGTGGTGGACCTTGGCCCCGGCCCAGGGGCGTACCGCGATCTTCAAAGTGCAAGGGCTTCGGGCTAGAGCTGTCGTTGGGGCCTCGGCGCCTCGGCGATTCTGTTCTTGGCAGGGGGCACAGTCTGACCCGGCGATTGCGGCCGAGGTACACGGGGAGGTGGTCGAGATTGCGGATGCCACAGCGTCGCGCAGTGTCACGGGAGGCTGCCCGCCATCCTGAAACTCCCAATCGCGGTAGTTCTCAGCTTTTGAATGGCGAGTCTCGACTATAGCCTCGTGAGTGAGCTGAGAAAAAGAGAGGGCTGGCGTCGGTGAGCCGCAGTCGGGACCGCGGAGCGAGGTGGGCATCTGGTTGGGTAGGAAAATGGTAGCCAACGGCGCAGCAGGTGTTGTTACTTGTGATGATCAAATAGAGGTACAAATCAACAAATCACTGTTTATGGTTCCCTCCCCGCAGGCCAAACACAACCTCCGCTTCATCAACAAATGGCCACTGAGTTCAGATTGCCCTTTGGCAACAGCAGTGGCAGCGTTGCCCTGAGTGGCAATGTCAAGCCACGAGAAGAAATAATGGCCGCTGTCAAGAACGACCACCCCGACACTCTGGTCCGCCGACTTGACGTGGAGATGGCTTACCACTCACGTAGATTCTCCCCCTGCCCCCTTCTTCTTCTATCCAATGTTTTCGGTGTTGAATGTTGGATGATGACATCGCCCACGTAGATCAAATGCACCAAGTTAGCGACGTCTATTACAACCTCGTAAGTACGAAGTAGACATGTCGAGCCCCGAGCGCCTCGCATGCCATTTGTTTCGAGTGTAAGAGCAAGGGTGTTTTCCGAAGTCGGCGACTTTGGATCTAAGTGCTGGAAAGACAACATGGAGAAACCCGTGGCGCTATTTTACTCGGCTGCGAAAAGGCTGGACGATGATATCCTGGACGCTTCCAGCCACATCAAAGTTGGGCAAATATACGCCGAAAAAGTGGCTTCTGGTCAATACTTCTCGTGTCTTACCCGCGGCAAAGGCGACACTGTCTTATTCCTCGAGACCATGGGGCAGCTATACTGCTTGGGCGTAAACGTCCGACCTTCTGCCTTCGCGAAGGTACACATTTGAACAGATTGACCGATTCGAAGAGCCCAGTTAACCCCTTTATGGAGGGTTCGACCTATCCGTTGGGCCTAACCAGCGAAAAGAGGGCAGACATAATTCTCGACCGCCTCGAGAAAGCTCAAACTATTGAATCCCGGCTTCTTGCAACGGCCATATGGCGCTCGAGCACACAGCCAACTGATAGAATTTATCGAGAGCCAAACAGAATATCAGAATCGGCTGCTGCGGGATGATCAATATCGTCTGGGTTTGGGGTCTTAATCAATGTTCTCTTTCGCACATCCTGGTGATTCTACCCAGTGGTTTGAACCAGCGCTGCTAGTACTCAACCTGACTGGTAAACTGCTCTTCTGGGAGAAGAATTTTGTTAAAAAACATCCTCGAATTCGTTACAGCTCTGATTCGGTATTCCGGTCTCTAGGTGCGTCCTCGATACAATTTCGCACAACTGGCTCAAGTCAGGCGTTTCTGCCACGTAGCAAGTAAAATAAAATGAAGTAGATAGAAACTTGAATAAGCCGACTATATACATCACTTGCGAGCCTATGCCAACGACGAATCTGGTGGACTGCCTCATTCAGAAGTCGACGAAATTTCTGTGTGACTGCACCTTAAGAGCTCTTGGAGCGGTATAAGCTGTATATTTCTTCCATGCGATGAGCTTGTTTAGGAGTGAACTCGTTCCTACACGCGCTATAGTCTCATGTTAGCAATTGTTAAACTTATTCCGAACCCTGAACAACATGAGAGTCGGCACACGTACTCGCTGGTATAATGCATATAATTGTGAATAGGATCCTTGCCCTCGTGGTCGGGGCAGGTGTCAATCTCCGTTTGAGGGCACAGGTCGGACCCCAGCAAATCCCAGTTGAGGTAGCAGACCGGAATATCATCCACCAAGTCAGACACGCTGAGGTCGCAAATCTTCGGATTCTGGTTGTAACCAGGTCCGTCAGGAAATGGGTGTCCAAGGCCGAGCCAATGACCGACCTCATGGACAGCTGTTTTCCCCATGTTAAACTCATGATCTGAACCGTGTGGGAGAGCACTAATATCTATGTTGCAGCCGTCCCAGTGTAGCTGCCATGAATTATCTAGCCATGTACCAGGAGAAAGACAGTCGCCCAAGCGCTGGGTGGTGATGCGAGGTCCTGTATCGGAGACAGTGATCGGCGTGCAAGTGGTGGTACCGTTGGAATATTCGACGCAGTTCTCACCGCTAGAAACGACGGGCGACGCCTTCTTTGACAAGTTTAGGAGTTGAAAGAAGAACAGGTTCAGGGCGTCTTTTCCACCCTGTCGCAGGGTCCACCGCATTTCCCCCTCTACAGCCCGGCCAGGGGCAAACCAGGCTTCGTTGGTTGTTCGGGTTGTGTTCTTTAGAGTAAACTGGAATTGGTGGGGCTTGAAGGCGTCATTCAGCACTTGCACCTGTTCCTGCAGTCTCTCGTCCTATATGTATCCCAATTTATCAGCTCAACGCTCAAGGCTGGCCATTGAAAGTGGCCGCGCCAACATACACTGATGTCGTGCTCATGCTTTGTGGGGTGTTGGATGACGTGCAAGTATAAATCGATAAGGCGTTCGTCTCTACGACCCAGTGAGTTGCTTTTGGCTTCTGCAGCATCAGCGGCTCGATAGGCGGCAACCAGCTCGTCTGGAAACGCATATGTATCAAATGGAAGGCCAGGGGGACGATTAAAGCCAGGGTAAACAGGAGGGACCGCCATGGCCCCAACGGCCAGTAGACCGGTTATCAAAGCCCGAGTGAAAGATAGCATGATGATGAACGAGTAATTCCGACCTAATGGGTGTGAAGAAACGGCGACTGAGAGTTTTGAATGGACGTGAGTGCTATTGAAGCTTGGGGTCTACACATGAGATATGGTGTCGTCTATAGGGTTTTATATCTATTCGAGAGTGCTGCTATAAACTGATACTTGAGTAATATGCTACTCATGGCTAGTGCGTAGTTGCTTACGAGGGTTGCATCATAATCAATGCAGACTTTATTTGGGTTATTTGAGGAAATACCGCAATGCGATATGTCAGGATGTAGTTATGCCGTGGATCTCTATACATCGTTATGCCTCGTTTGTCAGGAGTCAGGGCAGTCACCTCGGTCACCCCCGGCTCACTAAAGGAATAAAAGAGGCTCCTGCTTCATTAACTCTCATACAGTGGGTATTTTCTTTCATTGCCAGGGATAAAGATTCGTATGTTTAATCTCTTGAATTCTCCCAAGGGGACTCGTTGTTCCGCTTCGAGTTCCTTGCTGAGCTGAAACAAGCAAACACTTTATTGGTTGACGTTATGGGAACGTTAGCTACAGAATAGGGAGATCTATATCGCCGTTTCGAATAGTGGCGCGGCTTTACACCGGACCCGAGTTTTCTTAGGGGCAGTAGTGTCTAGATTCTTGTGCTTTAATGCGTACTTATATACTTTGATGGCAAGCCGGGCTGGCATTGAAATGCGCTCCTAGGAACCACGTAGCATGAATTCGCAACGGCGGAAGCATGTGGTGGGAGAGTCGGCTCAGTCTGTGAGCAATAACCCCGAGTTGAGTAACTCAATAGGTAACTGTCAAGCTGGTAAAATACCGCTACACCATGCAAAATGAGGGCACCCCCAATAGAGGTGTTACTAACGCGTATTATAGGCCCTTTCTTGTCCTGACAGTAACGTATCTATCCATCCGTATCCACAGTACGGCATTTAAATGGCGCTTGCTGAGGTGTCTAGTGAACGGGTTTGAAAGCTCTTGCATATACGCGCGGAGCTCTGCCCAATCCACAATGTGACCTTTTCGTCCTTGATTATCCCACACAGGCCCCCAACGGCTTTAATCCAATCGCCATACTGCAGACAAGGTGGCGGTTCAGGTCGTGTCGGACCCGCACCTGGAAGCTTCCAGGACCTCGGCAACATCGTGTTGCGCAAGGATGAATGCCTGACCTTCTTGTCCAAGGAGCTCGCCCGGTTCCGGTCCGTCCTGTTTGTCTCCGGGAACCAGAAGGAAACTCATCACCAGCGGCTTATCTACCGACCAGACAGGAGAGAGATGCTTTACGAGCCCCGGCGTCAAGCTCTGAGCATTTGGCCACACGCACTACAACTGCGATTTCATGGTTGGCCGCGAATGAGGCGCCGAGCCGCAGCGGCTGCTTGCCGACCAGAGAGGCTACTGTTTTACTCAACCTGAGGAGTTTAATGGGGAGAAGACGGCGGCGGACTGATGCTAGGTACTAGATAGCTTGCGGAACCCCATTGCTCGGCACAGATTGCATGCGCCCTCTGAGGCACCACTTGCCCACAGCCGGAAACAGCCTTTGGCTGCTGGGTCTGAGGTTCGAGTGGAGTCATGGAGGAGGCGCCGGGTTTGATGAAGATAGATTGCATGACGGTTTGGCATGCTGGTTGGGCCTTGGACTGGGAGCTTGACAGACAATGCCCTCTGATCCCCGAGCGGCCGAAGCAATAGTCGATCTGCATAGCCTGACTCGAGCTCCCGGTTTCCTAATCGGGGTATACTCAAAAGACAACGACGCGAATTACCCAGAATGGATCATCCTAGTGCGACTATGCTTTCCGACTAATGCGAACTGTGTACATCATGGCACGGCGAATCTAGGTGCCAAAGCTACGGTATATACCTCACCGTGCATCTATGACAAGGAAAGCTCTTCTGTTCTGTTGCGAGTTTCTAGCTCTGCGAGTTAGGGGATGAGTAGCTGCTGACAAAGGCGGGGGCTGTGGGTCCAGCTACTTAGGGGTGGCCGTAATTAATACCGCAGCCAAAGGGATGGACAGCACAGTCGCATTGCCCCTCTGTGGCCCCCGCTGCGACCCTGAAACCAAATAAAAGTGCCGATACATACGGCGGCCGCCAAGGGTGCTAGTGGTGCCAGGTACAGGCACACGCTCTCGCAGGCACTTTAGTATGTCTCGGTCCGAGATGCGTAACGACTCCGCCTCAACTAAACTTGCTTTTTCCACCACCTGTCCTGACATCGTCACCACAGATTCACTTTCCCGACTGTGAACGCATCGACCTTGAGGCTCGCAACGCAAGCGAATCGCCGGTTTCGCATCGCCAGCTACTCCGCTACTCTTCGGTTTGGCGCATCCATCCGCTCGCTCGCTGCACAACATGGACTCGGTCGTCGATGTCGCCGACGCAAGCAAGGCGCTCGACCTATCGCGAATCCGGTTCCAGTTAATGTACAGTCACAAATACACCCGCATACACAGAGAAGGCGCAGCTTGCTGATCCATCGCCGCAGCCGCCTCGAGGACACCATCACCTTCCACCTCATCGAGAGGGTCCAGTTTGCCTTGAACAAGGTACCGTTGGCCCATCTCGTTGGCCCATCTCCCCGCTTCGTTCCTCCTCCACGCACGCCTTCCTCCTAACCTCTCGATGCGACGCCGGCAGACAATCTACACCCCCGGCGCCATCCACATCCCCAACAGCGACCTCAGCTTCTTCGACTGGTACTTCTGCGAGCAGGAGAAGCTGCAGTCGCTGATACGCCGCTACGAGTCCCCCGACGAATACCCCTTCTTCCCCGAAGCCCTCCAGAAGCCCATCCTCAAGCCCCTCAACTACCCCAAGATCCTCCACGCAAACACCGTCAACGTCAACGCAAAGATCAAGCACTTTTACATTGAAAAGTTCCTTCCCGCCGTCTGCCCCGACTTTGGCCGTCAGGACCGCGGCGAGTCGGAGGAAAACTACGGATCCACCGCCACCTGCGACTTTGCCTGCCTCCAGGCTCTCTCTCGCCGCATTCATTTCGGCAAGCTCGTCGCCGAGTCAAAGTTCCGCTCGGACCCCGAAAAGTACACGCGTCTCATCAAGGCCGCCGACCGCCAGGGCATCGCAGACTCCATCACAAACGCGGCCGTCGAGCAGTCCATCTTTGAACGCCTCCGCCTCAAGGCCCTCACCTACGGCAAGGACCCCGCCGCTCCCGACGGCTCAGAGGGTCCCACGAAGATTGACGTCGACGCCGTCGTTGCCATGTACAAAGACTTTGTCATCCCCTTGACCAAGGAGGTCGAGGTCGAGTATCTGATGCAGAGGTTGGAGCCCGACGCATAGACTTTCTTCATTGCTGAGGTTGCTGGGGTTTGAACAACGCATTTATCTCCTTGACGGCGCCCTCAAACTTGCTCCCCTCGACTAACATCATGTGACCAATCGTCTGGATGCCCACTTCTTGGAACGCTCGCTTGCTATCCGATACCACATCTCCCTCCTTGGTGTACACAAAGTTACCGTATGCCAGAGCGTGCTTGTGAAAAATCTCGTCCTCGGGGTGGAAGAATTGTGTAACACGTTCCTCCCTTGCCTTCTTCGGCTTGCGATCGTCAGCGTCAAGAGTCGACTCGATTTCGTGGAACGCTCTGGACATGATGAGGTAGTGGCTAAACTCGTACGGCTCCTTGTCTTCCACGGCAGCCTCCATCTCGTCAATGAGCATCGAGTACATGGGCGCGCTAATCTCGGACGGCACGTTGATGAGGCGCTCCGAGAGGATCAGACCGACCTGGGCCCTGGCCTTGATGACCTCGTCGATGGCGGCCAGGGAGTCGTTGGCCCTCGCCTTTTCCGCCAGGTACGCCATCATCTTCTTCATCGACTCATTTGCGCGGTGCTCGTGGGTGTTGAGGACGGTGAGAATGGCGTAGGGATCGTTCTCCTTGCCGTCGACTTTGACGGCCGAGCCGATTGTCGGCTGTGACAGAATGAGGTCTGCGAGCGCCGACGTGTCGAAAAGGCTGGCATCGACGTCAAACAGCTGCCGCAGCAGCGACTTCGTGCCGTGAAAGTCGATATCAGGCGCAAAGTTGAACCACTCGAATTCTATTTGTAGCGTATGAAAATGCTACTATTCTTGTCAATATGGCCCATGTATCTGCGGCTGCGTTTGGCGATGGCTGTCTTGTTCACCTCATCGTCATCGCTTTCCTCTTCGTCCTCATCCATTCGATCGCCATCCCTGTTCTCCGCTGCTGGGATACTTGCGGCCTCCTCTCTCGCTCTCTTCTTGCCCATTGGTGCGAATTTCTTTCGCCGAGATTGCAAAAGGGCTCGAGAGTTTCGTTTGTCTTGGAGGGGATGCGTCAGAAATGAAAATGGTTGCCGACAGCGAGCTTGGAGACGAGGGCTTTTGGGCAGGTCGGGCGCCTTGTCGATTGCTGAGATAGGGAAGCTGATAATTAGCGGTGGAAATTTTGATCCTCAATTTTACTAGTCTGCGCGTAAATTTTTTTTGTTACTGCCCCGCACTAGGCTGCTTTGGGCCCGATAAAAGCTCTTCAGCGCCTGTTTTAAGCGCGATAAAGCCGCGCTTGTTGGGCCAATGGCTTTGCACGCACCCCCGCCTTCAACTTGGTGCGGAGCTCCCCTTCACTTCCAGAGCCTTTTAAGTGGCACGCAATCGTAACTTTGGCGTCACATTGTCAGCTCCGCCGACGACACGTACGACCCAACGCGCCACTATCGACGACCCTGGAGGCATTCTAGCGTTCGTGCATCGCGTTCGCGCCATGATTGACGCGTGAAGCCACGACAGCCAACCCCCCGACCTCGTTCTTGTCCCGCTTCGCCACGGCCAACCGAGGTCAACGTCATCTCTCTCCGCCCACCGCGGCCCCCCAGACCCGGGCTGTCAGTTGGTTCCAACAAGTCGGGCAAGGAAAAGAAACAAACAAATATGGACTACGGCGCCTCGATTCACGAGGCAGACGACCCCGCTGGCGCCTCGCCATGGGTCAACTCGCCAATCTCGTCTCCCGAGCAGAACAGCTCCGGCTTCGAAAACATGTCGGGCCAGCAGCCTCCCTTTCCCTACGCACCGCAAGCATCCAACGGGATTGACCAGGTCGTCGAGGCCGAGGGCTTCCAGCGGCCTGGAACGGCGAATGCTGAATCGGGCACCGAGACGGAAACAGAAGCCCCGGTCACCCTGCCGTCCGCCGGACCACAACCGGCGGGCGCTTTGCAAGCAGATAACTCCGACCCTCTCGCGGGCTCGGCCCCGGCATCTCAGAGACACGAACAGCCCGCTGGCCCACACGCGCAACCCGGCCAGGCTCAACTGCCGCATAAACCATCTCAGCCTCAGTTGAAACTGCAGGCCAAGATCACGGGACTCGAACGCACCGGCAAGAAGGATCCTGTTCTTCGCTTCGATATTCATGTAATTGGCGCCAAGCTTCTCGCATTCCTCCTATCAGGCGGCTAACATTGTACAGACGAACCTGCCCCGTTTCCGCACAACCCAGTATCGCGACGTCCGACGTCTTCATTCCGAGTTTGTCAAACTAGCCGCTCACCTGATATCTGCGAACCCCGAGGCCCTGGTCCCTGCCGTTCCACCTCCCGTCACGGCCGCCGGCGCCGGCACCGATGAAGACGAAACGCGCGTCAAGGCCACGATGCAACGATGGTTCAACTACGTATGTAGCAGTGACGTACTGATGAAAGACGATGAAATGATTCTCTTTGTGGAGAGTGATTTTGGCTACAGCCCGATGGTCAAGATGAAGCAGCCGGCGACTGGCGTTCGCAGAAAGATTCTGAAGCAATTTGCGCCACCGCCTGACGATACCCCTGAACTTGCGGATGCCCGTCCCGCCGTCAAGTTGTTCTATCTTGGCACCATGGACGCTGGCCATAAGGTCGATAGGATGGTTAAGGCCCGAAGAGGTCGGCCACGCATCACGAATCCGCCTTCTGTACACTTGGCTGACAAGATCCGCAGGTCTCGGTCTCGCAGAATCGGACTTTGGGGTGAAGCTGGGCAGCATGAACGTCCAGGAGCCCCATCCCGGGCTCGCAAATGCATACAGGAAGCTCGGTAGGACTGTCCAGACCGTCGGCGACTACCACGCGGCGCAGGCGACGGCAGAAGCGGCCACGATCGGGGACCCGTTTCAGTACCATTCCCAGGACGCATTCATTGTCAAGGAATCTCTCACCAATCGCCAGATCCTCATCAGGGAGTTCCTGCAAGCCCAGGATGTCACCCGCAACAAACTCAATGCGGCCGATCGCCTCAAGGCAAGCTCGAGCGTGCGCCGCGAAAAGGTGGACGAGGCGATTGCGGCCCTCGATGACGCGCGGCAGAGCGAGATGAACCTCCACAACAAGACGGCGCGCGTGACCAAAAACCTGGTCCTCGAGCGCCGCAAGTGGTTCACGCGGACGGCGGCAGACCTGCGCCTGAGCATTAGGGATTTTGTGCTCCGCGAGATTGAGGCAGAGCGCCGGACGCTGGCCGTGCTTGAGGCCGTCCGCCCGGACATTCGCTCCATCGATGCCTCGGGCGGGCTGAGCCGCCTCGGCCGCGAAGCCCACCCAGCCACGCGGCGCGCCAGCCTCGCCGCCAGCCAGGGCCCCAGGGGCGACGCGTGGAGCGGAGTGCCCCGCCGGTCCGACGCCTCGAGCCGCAGCGTCTCGGGCAGCCTCATCATGGGCAAGGTGGCCGAGGAGGGCGGCGAAGGCGGCGGCGACGAGGACCAAGACTCGGCCCAAGGCGCGGCCGGCGCGGGGGCGGGGGGGCTCGGAGGCGCCAACGAGGACGACGAGGATCGCATCGACGCGAGGAACGCGGCGAGCCGGCTGGCCACGAGCACCTTTTGAGGACGGCCTGGATTTGACGACGGCACGAAACGTGTGGGTCTTGGTGTCCAAAGTGCTTCAGCGGGCCCTCTTTTCTGACGATTTTTCCTTTGCACGCTCTGTATCCTATGCATCGAGGGGGTGGGAGCTCTTCAGCTTCTACATGTCCAGTCACGCTCTGTATTCAACCATGGGGGAAAAATCAAAGGGAACTTTTTGACTCATTTCTTAAGATAAATTGACGACGGCTCCAAGTGCCCCAAGCCCTGAGGAGCAGCCATCGTCTCGTCAGACCCCTGTGATTGAGGATTCCGTAAAAGACTCCAATACATGATGTATCCCCTTCCCCAACGCCGGATTGTAGTCGCTTGGTTGGCAATCGTGCTGTGCGCGCCGCGTCCGAGGACAGTAAAGATTCGTGACTGTTAGATGAAAATGTCGCCCGAGCCAGCCAAGCTGTACGGCGAGCCCCCCGGAAACGCGTCCGCCGTCGGCCGCCGGGTGTTGAGCTTTGACGACTCGACAATGCTCGACTTCTTGCCCACGTCACGAGCCTGGCTGAGGTTCTGCATGACGGTATTGAGGAGCTCAAAGAGGTGCACGTCGTTTGACTGCTGGAGTGTCTCTCTGTCAAAGGCTTCCTTGTCCGAGGGGATGACGAGGTCCAGGCGGCCGACAAGCGCCTGGATCTGTCGCAGTATCGTCATGGACGGGACCGTATTGTCCGTTTCCATTCTGTCGGCGTCGCTATGCTCGCCGTTGACAAACGAGGGCGGTAGCCGCTCCAGGTAGGTGGCGAGGAGGCGGATCCGCGAGTGCAGCATCTTGATGGCGTTTGCCTTGGCGGTGAGGGAGGCCACGATCTCCTCCTCCTCGCGCGTGAGCACGTCGTCGGCGTCCTGCTGCGCCTGGCGCTTGGTCTCCTCGATGCCGCTCTCCACCAATCTGCGCTTGCCTTTGCCATTTGACTCCACAGAGCGCGACAGCCGCTCGTCTTTAGCCGCCGCTGCCGAGGCACCCCCGCCGCCGCCGGCCACATAGTTCATGCTAATCATCTCCGTCTCGTCCGTCTCGACCGAGTAGGGGACCTCGCGGAACTTGAGCCTGAGGGCGGGTTCGCCGTCGTCCATCTTCTTATCCTCGCCATCTTGGTCGTTTTTGATGTCGTCGACTTCGTAGCTGCTCTCGTATATCGTGAGGGGAAGCTTGCCGCCGACAGAGTGGTTGAGGGCTTCCTCCGGGTGGAATCCGAGCAGGATGGCCGACTCGTTCCATCCCTCGACGATCTGGCTGTGGATGGGCAAGATGGAAAGCGTCGGGCCCGAGACTGGGAGAAGAGTGTACCAGCCGACGAGTTCTAGGCGTCGCTCCTTGTGAACCGTGACCACTGCTTCAACATCAGCATTTGAGGCTCTGCCATGAAATCGCAGCGCCACCGACTTTGCTCGAGCCTCGCCCCAAACTTGGGAGCATCCAGCAGGTAGCCTCCCTCGACCTCTGGCGCCGAGCGAGTGTGGCATTCAAACACATGTTCAATGGTGATTTCGCGTCCATTCTGCTGGCCGAGGAGGGCCCCGATTATCGGCCCCTGCTGCTCGCGCAGAGTGTGGCGCGTGATATAGTCGGAAATGGCGAGCAGGACAAGGGGGTGGAGGACGGTCTGGAGCTGGGAGCTCTTCTGGCCCGAGATGAGGGGGTTGGCGCTCGCAGCAGCAGCCATGGTGCCCGTGAGAGGCCGGGCGGGCGGCTCTTGCGGGCTCGCGAGACAGGGTCTTAGGCAGACGCGCCCGAGAGAATTTGCGCAGTGATGGGCGCCAAGGGTTGCTGCGGCGGTCGATGTTGAGAGGACCGCGGTTGAGATGCCCCGCGACATCAAGTGGATGTCACAGGTCCGGCTTTGGTGGGCGGTCAGCGGATTACCCCGCAGATTACCGCCGATTACCCGCTTGCCCTTGACATCACCTCTGCCGGGTTGATGTCATCTTCGGAGCGCCATAAAGCGCGAAAGCCGGGACCGACGACGAGAAAACCAGTTCGACTGGATAGCCTGCGTTTGTGCGATCAGAATGCACCCTGTCTAAGGTCCTACATCCTGTCGGTTGCGAGGTTGCGGTGATTTGAAGCATTTTCTAGCCTTGACGCACTGGAGCTACAGCGACGCTTAGCGGATGCATACCCTGTCTACAGGCCCCCTGACGGCCTGGGGGCACTTTCGCCGCCAAGGTCCTCGGTCATTCTATCAGACGGGTGTTCAAAATCACTGCGCCATCGACTTTTCGCTACCACCGACGTTGAATTGCCCGACGCACGTTTGTGTCCCTTTTCGCCTTGCCTGTCCTTTCGGATGGCCTTGAACAACTTATCCAAAGAGCTGGGTCCACGTTCTTCGTCCATTTGCCTCGCCACGATATCTTCAGTTAAGCCGTCCGACTGGGCCCGCCTCCGAACCTCATCGACGATGATCTTGCGCGTGGAAAGGTAATTCTTCTCTGCAGATGGCCGCCATCGAGCACCCCAGTCTCGCTCAAGAGAATCCACAGAAGGCATTTCGCCCCAGCCCTGCCGCCAGAGACGCAGCAGCTCCTGTACAGATTTGACAGAACGGGGAGCTTGAAGCTCGGAGGTTCGCGCGGCCCAGGCGGCTCGCCATGCGCTCTTCCCTGGGGGGCTTGCCCCTGGCCCGCTTGCACCATTCCCTGCTGCTGCTCTAGAGAGAGCGGAGCGTATGTCGGACCGCCCGCTTGCGAAGGGCCTATCTCGGACCTGAGGACCGTCTCTCGTGGAGCGCGGCGCCTCTGTTGATGAGCTCCGCGATCTCCGCATGTTGACCTGCAGCACCTTGGCCGGGGCTGAAGGTGACGGTGTAGGTCGCCTGCGCAAACTCATCCAACTTTGTGCATAGTTCGTAAGAAGCCCCCAAAAGGTCTAGATGTCTTCGCTCAGCTAACTGCTCGGCTGCGACCTGTTGAGTCAGTACTGTGCGCAGCTTCTCCGCAACCACCGGGATCGCTTTTGAATGACCGTGGTATGGCTGTCTTCGTGGTCCCGTGTGCATGTGTCTTGAACTTTGCTGGCGAACGCTTCAAACTCGGGGCAAGAGAAGACCGGATCCTGAAAGATAGGATGGTCGGGGTAGGACTCGCGAAGGAAGACAGCGTCCTGCAGGAGCACCTCTCGAAGCCACTCCAGGAGTTCCAAGAAGGCGCCGGCGGCCATGTTCTGCTCCACCCGAGATCTGAGAAAGGGCTACTGTGGGCCTCTTTCCATTTGTCGAGTTGAGGCCAGACCTGCACGAGTAGCACCACAGGCGGCCTCACGGTGGCCCGGGCACGAAATAAGACCCCGACCATTCAGGGTCAAAGTCGGCCACGGCCTCATGAATTCGAAAGGCAGGAAGTCAGATAGCAGCCGGTCATTTGGTCTCCGTTATTCCAACGACCGGCTCGGCGGATCTGTATAGTTCGGGTCAGCCCAGGCCAGGGGGTTGGCGGCTTGCCTAGGGCAGATGACATGCCTGGCCTTCATCCACTCCGGCCATGTCGGCGTTTTGCGTCGCGGCCACTCTAGGCGCGTGGCTGACCTTGGAGACCTTGATCCCGGCCTTCTTGTAGAACCTGGACGTCCATTCTCGGGCAGTCTGGCCCGACAACGGAGCTGTATATTCGGTGAGTGAAAGGGTCGATGCACCTCTGAGTTATGGGATTCCGGTGAATGCCATCACGCTTACCTTGAGGCTCCTTCGCCGATCGGCGGAGCACCTTCGTTTCATACCAGTCTTCGCTTCTTTGGAAGACGGGAAACCTTTCCGCCTTTTCTACCTGCCAGCGCCAGAAAAGCCAGAACGCGAGGGCGCCGATGAGACAAGACCGCGGATCTCGATGCCGCAAAGCAGATCCATACTCCATGCGGCCGTGCTGGTTGGTCTTCCCACAGTTCATCACGACAACCAGCGCCTTCGTGGTATACCCTGGGCCTTGAAGCCCTCGTTGGGTAAGTCCAGGGAAAGCAGTCTGCCAACTCCATCGGCAGGCGGTTGCCGGACCGCAGCAGCATGTGGTTCCCGAGCAGAAAGTCCACCTGCGTCCTCAGGGCGCAGGCGATCTCTCTCTCGGACCATGCCACGTTGGTGTGGTCGGGTATCTGCGCCGGCGCATACACATCTCTCAGAGTTCCAACTCCCCTGTCCATGTATTCCTTCCTCTTCCGGCTCCAAGTCGTTGCAAGAATGCTGCGTTTGAGCGCCTTCAGTGCCACTCCTGTGGCCGGGCCGCAGGATTGACTCCCGGCTCTTCTGCTCGTCGTAAAGCTTCTGTATGGCCGAGACGTAGCCCCGTACAGTATTATACTGTAGTTTGAGCGTGGACTCATACAACTCCAAGTCGGAGTCTGACTCGTATTCGCTACCTCCGCCGCCTACAACGATGGTATCTGCTGGGGGAAGCTGGGTGTTAGTATGATGGGCTGGCTCAGTCCGACGACCACATCCCGTGATCAACATCTGTTACCTGATGGTGCTCTGCGTCTTTTCACGGCCCTCTTGGCTTCCTGAGCCTCGAGGTGTCGTTTTCTTTCATCGGCGACCCTCTTTCCTTTCTTTGGAGGACGTGATGCCACTACCTCCTTCATGAAGAGCAAGAGCTTTCCTTCATCGACCAGGTCTCCCGGTAGCTGTTGGCCCTGTGGTACCGAGGCCGGCCAAACGTCCGGGATCGCAGGCCAGTTGGCTTGACACCACTCCTGTGAGGCGGTCAATGCATGGATCTACATGAAGATTGCAGGGCGCGCATGCGGGCTTGCCTTCCATTCTTCCTGCTTGGGACGATAATTTCGCTTCGTATTCTTCGGCTGGGTGTTCTCCAGATCTAACAGGTAGTGCTCAATGGCCGCCCTGACCCGGGGATCCTCTATCGCGTTCGACATGGTGCAGGCGGTCGCCGTCGCGACGGTGGCAATGGAGGAGGTGGTGGAGGAGGTGGGAGGAGGGAGGTGGAGCGCAACGCGCGTGAGCGAGACCGAAATCGAAGGTCTCGCGCAGGGCCCCGCGGGCGTGGACCTTCGATTTTGCCGTCCGATGGCGGTAATCCGACTAAGAAAACGCCAGCCCCGCAGGGACGAACCTTCGAAAACGACATGGTTTTGCGTGGGGCGGGGCGGTAATCCGATTACCGGATGACCGGTCAGCCGGCCCCGGGACCTGTGACACCAGCTATTGCCAATAGTTGATGACGCCCCTGTGAGTGGATTGATGACTAAGCCCCGCCTATGCTTAAACCTTGAAGGCACTTGATAATTAATTAAGTTACCAGCTGATGGTACAGGCCAGGAGACGAAGGCCTCCGTACCTCGGTCACGCAGCTCACCAGCCGCCCCTCGCGCGCGCTGACAGGCAATATGCTGCTTCAATCCAAGCTCCGTACTGGAGGTTAATTTCTATTGAGCGGGTTTCTATATACATTGCAGTCCTACGGACTCGCTGACTGAGCGGAGCGGTGCCATTGTCACGATTCTAATACTCTTCCTTGTCCCGACCTCCAAAAACGCCTCCTTTTAACCCGTACACTCCTGACGCATGAAATCGGTGCAAGGCCGTTACTTGGGCGATGGGTCGTTGACCGCCGAACCTCGAGCCTGTGTGCCCTGGGCCCCTTTCTTGATGCTCCGCCACTCCACGCAGCACGCGCAGAGCAGCTGGGCAAAGGCCAGAGCGAGGGCGGCAAAGAATATTCTGGTGCACGCATGGTTGTATGCGCTTACAACAACCGGCAAGTAACGGGCGGAGACGACACGGTGCAGGTCGGTGGCGCCAGTTCGAACAATGACCTCAGGGTCTAGCCCAGGCAGGTGAGCAAGCTTGTCCACGAGGAGGCCGCTCAGGATAGTTTGTCCGACGGAGACGAATATTGCACCGCCTAGCTGCTGCGCAAAGAAGGTTATCGAGACACCTGTGGGGATGTCCTCCTTTGGCAGGGTTGTCTGCGCAGCCAGGCTAGCAGTTTGCATTCCAAGGCCGAGGCCAAAACCAACGAGGAACTGGTACGCAATCCAGTGCGAGGAGTCGGTGGCGGGCGTAAACGTCGTCATGAGGCCTTCGCCTATGGCGGTAACGCAAGGACCGAGTAGCATGTGTGAAAGGCTGGCCCGGAGTTTATTCAACAAGCAGGTGCCTAGGTGTTGTCTATCTAGAGCTAAGGAGGAAAAGAAGCTGAACTCGAGGCGTAGCCTCGAGTGCGAGCTTATATTGCCCTTCTCGGAATGTTCTCGCAGCTTCTGGGTCCGCGGAGCGGCCGGTGTTGCCACCGGAGCACGACCCACCGGACCCGGTACAACCGGGTTCACCAGCCGGGCACAGCCGTGACATTACCCCCTTGTCCCCTCCGACCAGGTCGGCGTCTGCGGGGTTCTTGCGTTCCTGCCAGCGTCTCGTACCTCTCCTAGGGCCATCATCGGTCTTGATTGGCCCGTACTTGTCCTCGAATGCCTTCATCGCAATTGTTCCTTGCAACCACTCAACTGGCTCCCAAGTCGGCTCTGCGTAGCCCGTCCATCGCACTAGTGCTTGCCTGAATTCCTCGTCCGCGCTTCTTCCATCTCGCGCAGAGGATCTCGTCGACATCCCACAGATCCGTGCCGGACTCATCTTGTACCGGTGGTGGCTGTGCGTCATCTACCTTTGGCCAGGAGCCGGATCTTGATGCGCCCGCCGCAAAGGTCAACATGAAATCGCGGGTAAATTGAGCCACGAACATCGAGCTCAACAACGTGCGAACTAATTACCTTCGTGACTGTGTACTTGTGATGCAGCCAGTCGAGCTTCTTGCACGGTCGTGGCGATCTGTAGTTTGCCATCGAGAGCCACACCTTGTCACCAACTTCAAATCGCTCCGCAGGCTGTCGCTTTGCGTTGGCAGCCTCTTCTTGTTGTTGCTGTGAGGAGGCCATCACTGCTTGCATGTACTCATTGACCTCCTGCAGGCGACTGAGTAGGCTATCAGCTCTGCTTTCCTCTCTATGCCTCGGTGGCTCTTCCGATTCCTCGACGCTGATGGGATCGACGTGGTAACCATGCTCAGCGAAAAAGGGGCTGATCTTGGTCGCTGCGGATTCACGATTGTTGAGTGCCAGCTGCGCGGCAGGGAGCAGTTCTCCCAGTCGTCCTGCACGTACGACACGTAGGCTCTCAGGTAGGCCTCGATCTCCTGGTTCATTCTCTCTGGCCCTCCGTCCGTCTGAGGATGATAGGCCGTGCTCAATTTCTGCGTGACACCTGCAAGACGGCAGAACCTCTTCCAGAACCTACTTAGCCAGTTGCTCCCGCGGTCGCTGACGATGGACCGTGGCATTCCGTGAAATCGGTAATGACACTGGAGAAAACGGTTTGCACACGGCTCAGCTTCCATGTTGTCCATCACCTCGAGGGTCACAGCCTTTGTCAGTCTGTCCACAATCACCCACAGGTACCTTGCCTTGCTCGGTCCAGTAGGCGGCAGATCTGTGATGAAGTCCATGGACAAATGGCTTCGGGGTCGATCTGGAATCGGCAGAGGCTTGAGAAATCCTTTTCGACTGGCGCCAGATGTGTGCTCTGCCGCAGGTGTCGCAATTGGCTACGTACCGGCGAACCAGCTGGGACTGCCCAGGCCAGTAGAATCGCCGAGCCACAATAGCCAGCGTACCTTCCTGCCGGGATGACCGGTCGCAACAGAGTCATGCGACTGCTGCACAATGCGGGTTCTCAACTGGTCTTTCTCAGCTTCCTCCTGGTTACCCTCCTCTCCGGATCACCCGGCACCCAAATACGGTCTCTGAATGTCAGCCTTTGCCTGCGTCGATCGCACATTCTGAAATCTGGATCTTCAGGCCCAGCGAGGGCGGGAAGGCACGCTCGCGATCGCGGACTGCCTTATAGGCTGCCCGGAATATCGAGTCCTTCGCCACCGTTTCGTCCCAGAGTTGCTGCAGGTCCGCTACCTCGAAGACCTTCATCTTCGGCAGGGTGGATGCCTCTGAACAGTCAGAACTCATCGCGTTGATACATGCTCTTGTCGATGATGGAATGGCACTATCCGGTATCAACTGTATCATTCTTCCTTGTTCCCGCTCGTCGTCAATGCCCTGTGGCTTGTCTTGTTCACGGCGGGACAACGCATCAGGCACGACAGCCTCGCTTCCCGGTCGATACTCGAGCTTGAAGTCGAACTGGGACAATTCGGCTGCCCAACGGCTCTGCCGTTCCGTGAGCTTCTGGCGTGTCGCGAAATACTCCAGGTTGCGGTGATCGGTAAGGATTGTAAATGGGCCGCAGCTCCTAAGTTCGGCGTTCCAGTTGTCGAGACATCTCATGATGGCAAGCATCTCCTTGTCGTGAATGGGATAGTTGTACTCCGCTGGCGAAAGTCGCTTCGAGAAGAAGGCGCATGCGTGTCGACGTCCATCTGGGCCTTCCTGCGACAGGACGCCTCCCAATGCGTAGCCTGAGCAATCCGTCTCCAAAAAGGTCGGGAGGCTCGGGTCCCACTGCTTGAGCACCGGTGACTCGCAAAATCGTCGCTTCAGCTCCTGAAACGCCTCGTTCTCCGCTCGTCCCCAATGAAAGGCAGTTCCTTTCTTAAGCAGGGCATCCAGAGACTGCGTGATCTTGGCATAGTCGGGGATGAAGATCCGGTAATAGTTGGCGAAGCCCAGAAAGCTTCTGACACCTTCACCGTGGTCGGGGCCTCCCATTCGCGGATGGCGCGCTGCTTTTCGGGGTCGCAGGCGATTCCTTTCCTGCGTTGACGATGAACCCAAGGTATTTGACCTCTTGTACCGAAAACTCGCACTTCGCTGGGTCTAGGTGCAGCCCAGCGTCGGCGAGTGCTTGGAGAACTCGTCGCACCTTAGCCTCATGATCCGCCTTCGAACCGCTCGAGTAGATCAGTACATCATCCAGGTACGCTGTGACAAAGTCGTCCAGCCATTCGCGCAATACACTGTTCATGTATCGTTGGAATGATGCCGGGGCGCCGCTCAGGCCGAAAGGGCACACGAGCCACTCGTAGAGCCCAAACCTCGTGCGAAATGCAGTCTTTCCTCATGTCCCGGAGCCATGCGGATCTTATGGAAAGCGGCCACCACGTCCAACTTGGTGAACCACTTAGCCTTGGCCAGATTCTGCAGGGTCTCCGCGATGAGGGGCAGTGGGTATCGGTCGCGCTTGGTGATTGCATTCAGCGCTCGGTAGTCGCAACAAAATCGCAGCCCTCCATTCGGCTTCCGCACGAACAGCACCGGCGCGGCAGCCGCTGAGCTACTCGCTCGGATGAATCCTCTGTCCAGCAGGTCTTTCAGGGTCTTTCGCAAGACCAACAGCTCTTCTCGTGACATGTTGTAGAGTGGGCCCCACGGAAGGGTGGCTCGTTGCCGTTCTTGTCAGGCTGCAGGTTGACTTCATGATCCACACCCGGTCGATGTGGCGGCAGCTTCATTGCCTCTCCTGGTGAGAATAGGTCGCGGAATTCTTTCAGCACTTCTGCCGGGACCTTCTCGCTCGGATCGACTGGCGGCTTCGGCTGAAGCGCCCTCTATATCCGACAAACTGATTGCATGAATCGAGATCGCGTTGCACTTCTTGCGTCTCTTTGCGCGTCGACACTCCGCCGTGAATACGGCTGCCGACACGAGTCTTGCGCTTCGAATCGCGCGTATCTTGGCGGGCTCTTCCTGCCCAATGAGGCGTATCGTCACACCTGCCCTCCCATGGTACATTCGCTGCTTGGCAGCATCGTACACGACGTGATTTCTCTCCATCCAAGGCCGGCCGAGGAACATGTCCTGGCCCAGGCTTGGGATCACGTATGCAAAGACACGTTCGTCAAATCCAGCTGTCTCGACCACAACAGCCCCGACCCTGGGGATATGACACTCTTCGCTGACTCTGAGAATCCCCCAATTTCTCGTGGTTTCGAGTCGACGAAGGGTATCCGCAGCTTCCGAACAAGGGCTTCGTCGATCACGGCATAGCAGTCACATCCACAGTCGACAAGGGCGCGTATTCGATAGCCTCGGTTTACCCGCGCGTTGACTAATACAGTCCGACTATTCATTCGTGGCTTGAACGCTTCCCAGTCCCGGATGTCTGCCTTTGCAGGCCCCGGCGCCCGCTTTCGCCCCGGGGCTAGTCTTTTCCGCCGACTCGTCCTCACTGGATGCTGCGGTTGATTCCGAATCATCTGCGGCATCGGGCTTCTTCATGCGCGCAGCTTTAGGTCGCTGTTGCTTCCTTCGCCAGGAAAGACCACCTGGGCTGGGCAGTCCACGATAAGATGATCCGTCCGACCACAGCGATAGCAGCGGCGCTCATCCTTCGGCTTCTTATCGACATGTCGACGACCCTTCGACTCGTGGCCAATACGGTTGATGTCCGTCATCTTAACATCTCCGTCGGGGTCCTCCGGTTCCTCCTGGGTCGTTGCCTTGGTAGCTGTTGAGGCGTCCGCTCAGTCGACGTCGGCTGCCTACCGGGTTTCAGTCTCCAATCTGCCCGCAATTTCCTGAACTCTCGCAAGCCATCCCTGGTAGTCGTCGGGTAGGACGGCTGTGACCAAACTCTCTTGGAGGCGTGCATTTATTGCGTTCTCTAGAAATACGATCTTTGCACTGTCCGGCCAGTCTGCTCCCCCGGCTTCAGCTAATGCCTGTTCGAATCGGGGAAGGAAGGACGCGAGAGGTTGGTCTTCGCGCTGCCGCATAGTTCTCAGCGTGGCAGCAGCGCGGGATTGGATGTTGCTGTCCTGGTAGGTTCGGTCGAGGTATCGCATGAACTCTTGGGGTCGTAGCTACCCCAGGGCCTCCCGCGGCGTAAAAGGTAGCGACCACTTGCTGTGGTCGCTCGTCCAAACATGAGTTGATGAGGTACCAAAGTTCGCGATTTCCACTGTAGTAGTGTGCATCAAGGTCCAGCTTGTCTCGCATCTGCCTGGCCCAGGCGGAGTAGCTCTTCCGTGAGCCGTCATACTTGGGTGGGTTGGGCAACGGTTTCCGCATTCCAGTACCGCAGGTTTTGAGAGGGCGTGCCCAAGCCAGGCGTGCTCTCGCCCAATCCTCGTGCCACTGGCGGCGATTGCAAGTCGGCGCTCTGCGGCTGCGCTCGCCCGAGTTGCTCCATCAGCAAGGAAAGTTGGTCCTGTAGAGGGCTGAGAGTCGCATTGACCGCTTCTTGAATGCGTTGGTCAATCCATTGCTGCTGGAGACTTGGGCTCTCACTCTGCTGGTCCATCCTGACGAGCAGTCTGCAGCTTGCGGTATTTAGAAGGAGCTCTAGATATGTGAAAGGCTGGCCCGGAGTTTATTCAACAAGCAGGTGCCTAGGTGTTGTCTATCTAGAGCTAAGGAGGAAAGAAGCTGAACTCGAGGCGTAGCCTCGAGTGCGAGCTTATATTGCCCTTCTCGGAATGTTCTCGCAGCTTCTGGGTCCGCGGAGCGGGGCCGGTGTTGCCACCGGAGCACGACCCACCGGACCCGGTACAACCGGGTCCACCAGCCGGGCACAGCCCGTGACAGCATGGACGGCACGTAATATCCGATTTGCTGGGTGACGACCCCGGACGTAATGGCGGCGACAACAAGGCTCAGGACCAGGGGAATCGTGTATATACCCGACTTGACCGGGTCGATGCCGTGGGTAGTTTGGACTGAGCAAGGTTGTCAGCGGAAAATGCCGGCTACAAGCAGCTCATGTGAGATACCGACACCAAAGGGGGACATAGTAGACGCAGAGCATCATTCCGCCCGCGAGAAAGAACATGAAAAACGCCGACGCCAGCATCGTTTGCTGCTTGATGATCCGTACCGGCAGTGTCGCAGTCTCTGGCATCAGGACTTGAACACCACCAAAGGCAATAGCGGCCAGCGCAAACACAACAAATAAGACGATGATGCGCCAGCTACCCCAGGAGTACGTGGAGCCACCCCATTGTAGAGCTAGGACCAGGCAGACGACGGAGGGAATGAAGAAGAAGGTCCCGAGGGGATCCAGTCGCATGATGTGCTCCTTGACCGGCACTTGCTTCCGAGGCTCTTTGGATACGTGCAAGAAAAAGAAGAGAAAAACGGAGGCAGCGGCTCCCACAGGAAGATTCATGTAGAAGCACCATCTCCAAGTCACCCGCTTGGTGAAAGCGCCGCCTATCAAGGGCCCTGCCACGGAAGATACGCCAAAGAGAACGCCGAAAATAGCTACCACGCTATGAGCATGCGTCTTCAGCTTGGATAAGAGCATCAGGGAACTCACATTGGAACATGGGCCGCCTATGAAGAGGCACCATGGGGATGATTACCATCATGGACCCGGTCGTGATGCCCGCCGAACCCACTCCAGCAATGGCCCGGCCGACAATGAAGACGGGGGAGGTTGGGGCGGCGCCGCAAATGGCAGACCCGGCCTCGAAGACGACGATGCAGCAAAGAAAGGTCCAGCGAAGGTCATAGAAGCGGTACACCCTCCCGAAAAGCAGCTGGAAAGCGGACGTGGTCAGCATGTAAGCCGAGCCATACCAGCCAATATCGCCCAAGCTCTGGAAGTCGTCGGTGATTCGCGGAATGGCCGTCGACAAGATGGTGCGGTCCAGGGCGACGAGAAACATGGAGACAAAGGCCGAGAAGGTGACGAGCCAGAACTTTGCAGTTCTAGGCTTGTAATTTTCCTCAGCCTCCCTCAGGGAACCTGTGTCGGCAGGCATTGGCTTCTCTACTGCAAGTTCGGCGCTTGTGGGACCTTGACGTGTGAGAGAGGGTGAAGGCAGCGTTGAGGCGGCATTGAAACTTGGGGGCATCTTTCCTGAGGTCGCGTTCGGTACTTGATGGAGTTCCTTCTGGGCACTGGCTGAAGAGACCGATGTGCTGTCGCTACTTTGATCAAGGAGCTCTCGGCCTCTGTTCCAGGCTTTGCCATGCGTGACAGCCATGGCCACCAAGGGGGTCGTCACCAAAATGTGCGGCGTCAATCTGGTGCCACGTTTAGAGCCACTTATACGATAAAGAGACTGCAGTACTTTACAGTACTGATATCGAGCATGAGAGCAAAAGATGAAAGACAGCCTTGGCGACCCTGTCTAGGAGATGGCGCCTCGAGGGTTATTTAAATCCATGAGAGGCGCTCAGCACGGGATGCCCTGGGCGGCTGGGAGAAGATAGGCCAGCATCGTGCCTTGATTCATTTCTTTCTTCCTCGGGTTCGGCTTCGAAATGTTCAGCGCGGCGTGGGTGCTGGGAGTATGGGAGCACGGGCATCGGACCATCTCCTCGTCGTCTGAGGCGTCGGTCACGGAAGAGGGACTTCGGAAAGTACAGCGGCCATCATTTTGCCCCCAGTTACCCAGCCGCGAAGCCGTTGCCGCTAAAACAAGCCTTTCCCTTTCGGGACAACGCTGTTAGCCGACGGCCGACGGTGAGCTCTTGCCGTATTTGATCTCGGGACCGAGAGGGGCTGCTCCGACTCCGACGTCAGCCTTGCAGCATCCAGCTCCAGCATCAGCACGCAAAGCACCCACACCATCAGAGCAAGACTCGAGGTCCCACGGTGCGGCTTGGATGAGTGTCGAGAGAAGCTCTCGGTCAGAAGAGCTCCCCCGTTCTCAGCAACTCACGCCCGGCAGTGGTCCGGCGTTCGCTCGTCGTCGTTGCGTGCCGACGACTCACCTCGCCTGCTGTCAAACCTCCGCAACTGAACCTCGACTGTTCCATCACTTTGCGCACGGCCGGTCACGCGTACTTCTGTCCTTGAAGAGCAGAGGAACCTCCCTCCATCCACCAACCGGGCAGCTCAAGCCGTTCCGCGTCCGAGACTTGTCTGCCAAGCCCGGTCCAGCCCTACGAATGGCGCTCTGCACCGCGGCCACAGCCCGATAGATCACAATCTCGCGTCTCATGGCCCTGGGAGTGCATGCAGCTTGACAAGTCCGCCCTCCTAACCACCAACCACGCAACAATAACCCCCTCTGTGACGCAGGCCCTGGACGCATCACGCCACTCACACCCTGCATCCGGCTCCCCTGACCCCAACGCCCGCGGCTGCCTCGCCAGACTGCTGTCGATGACGCTACTATGCTATAGTCGTTTTGTATAAGACATGTCTGCTGAGCCGACCCCCTCTGCGCCCGGTTCGGGTTCCGGTCCGGTTTCGGGCCCGCAGTCTGACCCTTCGGCCATGAAGTTGACTCGGGGCACCAGCTGTGTGCTTTGCCAGCAGCGCAAGGTCCGCTGCGACAAAAACAAACCCTGTGCCAACTGCGTCAAGGCCGGCGTCGATTGCAAGATCATACCTCCCGCCCCGCCCCGTCGTCGCAAGAAGCGCCTGCAGGAGAGAGACCTGGTCGACCGGCTCAAAAAGTATGAAAGCCTCCTCAGCGAGCACGGCGTCAAATTCGACGCCATTGGCCACGACCTCAGGAGCGATGGCCCGCATATGGACGACGTTGAGGAGCTCGAGAATGACTTTGAAGGCCTCAAGACATCGCCAGAGGCCAGCGCGTCTCCCTCGGCGGCCTCTCAAAATGAAAAGTGAGCTGTTCTACCCCTTGTCCCGGGTTGGCTTGCTGAACATCATGTTACAGACCTCGCGGCTCTTGGTTCTCTTTACACAAGGAAGTCGGTGGTCACCCGAGCCTGCATCCGCCTCTCGTCTCATGCATATTGACGCAGGGTTCCAGTTCCGCGCGAGCGAGCAATTGCTCCACGACTCGTCCGAGGACGACATTGACGGCTCAACCATCCATCGCGCCTTTGACAAGATGTTTGGCGAGCAAGACGGCTTCCCCTTCGTCATCGGGGGCCGAGCAGAGTCCGTCACCGGTGCTCATCCCTCCACTATCCATATCCTTCAGCTGTGGCAGATATACATTGATAATATCAATCCTCTCCTCAAGATCACCCACGTGCCGACGATGCAGGGCCAGATCATCGAGGCTACATCGAGGCTGGACAGGGCGCCCAAGAACGTTGAGTCGCTCATGTTTGCCATCTACGTCATGGCCATCACGTCTTTGGAAGAGGCCGTCGTCGAAAAGATGTTTGGTGAACCGAAAAAGGAATTGCTGGGCCGCTACTTTGCGGCGCTGCAGCAGGCTCTGCTCAACGCCGGTTTTATGCGTAACACCGACTTTATTTGTCTACAGGCCTACGTGCTCTACCTGGTAAGGCCCGTCGACCATGTGGCTCAGGCCGGGGAGCTGATTGTGACTAGTACGCCGTGAGGTGGTTCGTCGACCCTCGCCAGGTGTTCTGCCTCATCGGCATGGCGGTCCGGATGGCACACCGGATGGGTCTGCACCGCGATCCGGGTGCCTTTGGACTGCCTCCCTTTGAAATTGAGCAACGCCGCCGGCTCTGGTGGACAATAGTCGGATACGACCGCCGAATAGGAGAAATGACTGGCTCCACTGTCACGGCCCTCTCCAGCGGCGGCGACTGCAAGATACCACTCAATGTCAACGACTCGGATCTGCATGTGGACGGCAAGGACATGCCGACGCCGCACAGCGGGCCGACAGAGATGCTCTTCGCCCTGACCCGCATCGAGATTGCCATGGCCGTCTCGAGCAACAGCAACCGAGACAGCTTCAAGATGAACAACCCCGAAAAGGCCAGCCCGGTCCCGCAAGGCACGCCGTCCAAGCCCCCTGTCCCGACCATCCGCATTGCCGGCCAGGATTCTCCATCCTACACCCTCGATGGCTACTGTGCGCATATAGAAGGCACATATCTTACCCAGTGTGACCCCAAGATCCCGCTTCACTTCTTCACCTTGACCATGACGCGGCAAAACCTGTGCAAGATGCGTGTCATTGGCTTCCTCGTCCGCATGCACAACGCCGAGGCGATGCCTCTCAAAGAAATCGAGCGCGATAGTCTGTCCTTGCAAGCTACGCAGATGATTGAGTATGATAACGTGGTCCAATCGTCCGAGAGCTTGCAGCCGTTTAGATGGTACGCAATGCACCACTTCCCGTTCCCGGCATACATGTTCCTCGTGCAGGAGCTTCGGAACCGCGTATCGGGGCCCCTGGTCGAACGTGCCTGGGATGCCATTGCCGCCAACTACAATCTCCGAGGCCTGCTCAGCAATCTGCACAGCCCCATGCACACCGCGTTCGGGAACCTGTTTCTCAAGGCGTGGGACGCCCACGAGGCATCTCAGCTCAGCAATGGCAGGCAGGTCACCCAGCCACGATTCATCACCATTCTCCGCGAGCGCGCGGAAAAGCGTCGCCAGGCACGAGCAGAGAATCGCCACGACCCAAGCCTGGAGCAGGCACCCGTTGACTTTCCGCGCTCGCAGGGGCTCGGCCTGACCCCAGCCGACTCCGAATCTGCCACATCGATGATGACCCCTCCCTCTGTTGACCATTCCATGATGGGTGCAGGCATGGCCCCACCTACGGCGCCGGACGCCGGGCCGGCCCAGGAGACAGGCGACATGGACTGGTCGTACCTTGTGTCTGGATATCAGGACGCAGGGGGCTTGCAGGGGTTCGGCAACTTTGGGCCGTTTGGCAATCCCATGGGGGGGATGGGTGGTATTGGCGGCCCGGGTGGAGCGAACATGTTTGGAAGCGGATGACTTGAAATGTGATGAGACGCAGAATGCCACCATGATTATGATAAAAGCAGTGATTGGTAATTTTCAAGTACTGGCGATAATGCTGTTTAAACCACCATCCACTCGTTAAGCGATACGTTGAGCCACTCCTCTTGCTGAGTTGTTGAAACCAGCTTGCCGCATTGTTGAAATCGGCCTTGCTACGGTGTTGAAACCAGTGCTGTTGCATTCCAAGTCCGGCCTTAGAGTGTTGAACCGTTACGGCCAATTCAGTTCGGCTGTCATATGACTCCCTGCGGAGGACAGGAATGGACCGAATATCAATAGTCGTTCCCCCGACTGATAACTTCCTTCCTCGACTCCCTCAGCAGGATCGTCTACGATGCTTAGTCTTTTTACTCTACCAATGTTGAGAGAAGCTTACGTACGTGTTCAAACTGTGCGGAATAGGACCCAGGCACGTCCACCAGGGGTTGGTAAGGTTCGAGTATCCCATTGGATACAAGGCAGTTGAGCTATCATGATGTTAGTATATCAGTCCGCCTTAGGCATGGGTGTGAGACTTACACCAGCCAGATAACGTTCGCAGCCAAGGCGTTCAAGGTAGCGGCGACAGAAAACAAGACTGCCGAAGTTCTCCTTAATGGTTTTGTACAACCGATTGGCCGAGGTCAGAGGCAATGCCACCGCCCTCGGAGCATCATGACTCAATCCATAGCCGTAAATGCCTGTCTATCACACAGGCCCTCCCGTCAGCGTCCCGAATCCAGAGGCGTAGTTGAGCAGAACCCACATCGTCCCTGAGAAAACCACGGCCTGTGGTTCCAAACGTTTCGATGGCAAAGACTTCGCCTTGTTCCATCTTGGTTTCGTCTGAGTTCTTGACAAACGGTATCGACTTCCCACCGTGAATGCGGTACTGCTTGATGTCATGTGCGCAAATATTTCGCACGGGCTTGACGGGGAACATTCTGCCACGTATCTCGACTTCGTAGCTTTCCATGACCTCCTGGATTGCGGAACTGACGTCACAAATGCGGACGTCGATTCCAGCAGTCTGCGATGGTCCATCAGTCCTTGGTTCCCCGACGGCGTGGCGGAATATTTCATCCTCACCTCGATGCCCGTGTTGGTCGCATCTTTGACGGCAGCGAGGAGGCTGTCGTAGGTGGAATCGAATGCCACGGTGAATGCACTATCGACGATCCAGCCATTGACGTGAACACCAAAATCAACCTTCATCACGTCTTCGTGTTGGAGAACAACGTCCTTTCGGCCTGGGTTGGGTGTATAGTGGGCCACACAATGATTCAGAGAAAGCCCCGTAGGGAATCCCATGCCCGCCTGGAGGCTGTGGCCTGGCTCTAGCCCGGCGTTACCCAGGAGCGCTCGGACGCCGTCCTCAATTCCGACGGCGATATCTGTGAGCGTCTGGCCGGGCTTGACAGTCTGCTGTACCGACTGTCGAACTTGGCGATGCACCTCAGCGGCCTTTCGATAGTCGTTGAGGAAAGCGCTGTCCTCGAGAGAACGATGGGCCTCGTAACGCAGCTCGGGCGCCTTTGTCCTAATCGTAGTTTCGGACGCAACACCGTAGCTCAGAAGCTCGCCCACGGGGTAATTGCCCGAGGGGAAGATATCGTGCAGTGGGACTCTCGGAGGCGACGATTGCTTTGGAACAGACGCCTTGTTCTTCCTCCTGGGCCTGTTGCGTTTCTTTTTCTTGTTTGAGACAGCAGAGGCGGTCTTCATCAAGGCGGGAGCTGCGTCATGAGGCTCGTCGTCGTCATCGCCGTCGGCGGCGCCTTTGCTGCCCATGCACCCATCTCCATCTCTCGACAGATGAGCACCTCGTGGTTCTCCGCCGGCGGGTTGGGGACCAGCTGTCGATGGGCCATCTGCTCCATCTCAGTACCAAGGCTTGCAACGCGAGACAAATTCGATGAAGAGACAGGCTAGAGAACATACCGTGTGCCGGAGCGTCTTCGATTTCCAAGGTCTTGGAGCCCATGATTGCATGGCGGCAAAAGAGGTGGTCGAGTTGCAGAGCGGGGTTTTCTCGTCTCGACTTTGGCTCGCCGAGGGTTTATTAAGTTGTACTGCGTCTGACTGAGCGCCGAGAAAGCTCCGTAAGCCATTATATCCGACCGTGGCTGATACATTAGCGCCCCGAGGAACCAGTACAGACAGGGCTCTTCAGCGGCCGGCTTATAGACATTAGCTTGTCTCATCGGAGAACCACAAAGGGGCATAAGCAAGATCCGAGAGCTGCGGGCATGGCGTGTGCGCAATGAAAAGACTCGGGAACCGGATATATAAAATTGAATCGGTCTGTATGTGTTGACGTTACTTCGTATGCCAAAGGGTTGGTAATCCAGCAGGAACAGGAATACGCATATTGTGTCCGGTCTTACCATTGTATCTGGTATAAACCATTCAAATACGACGCATACGACGTATGTGACTAATGACGGCCAGAAAATGCCTCGTGGGCCGCAAGGGGAAACTATGTGTGTTCCTCCAAAGGACTCAAGTTGGGGGCGGATAGCCTACCGCAGCGATAACAGGTAACAACTAATTACCTCGTCTATTTAGAAACCTCCGCCACAGTCCTGACCCTGCGTAGAAGTGCTGATTCCTCAACTGGGTACGCGAGAGCAATTTCATATCTCCAGCCAAGTCGGCTACGACGACCAACTGCATTACGCGAAGCCCGTGAACATCTACCGAACAACGTATACAACTGTCTCGGTCACGACGACCGACCAACTGCATTTCGCTACGGTGCTGTTACTATAGCTGCAGTATTATATCTGCAACCATCTTGGCTGGCGATCAACTGCAGTGACAAATATGGGATTGTCAAGTGGAGGACTGCACGTCATGACAGCTGCGTCATGAGGAACGTGTATGCCTACTTGCTGGCAACTGCCTACAGCAGCTTTCAATGAGGTAAATTGGTCCAAGCAAGGTCGCTATACCTACAACTATGCTCCCAGCTAGACTCGGGAAGAGTCATAGGGTTTCGTTCTTTGCAAATGGCGACGGTTAAATACGCCTCTTGGTGACTCTTGCCTTGATATTTCCCATCTGGAACCCTTCTCATGCCGCCGTTGCCAAAAGAGATGGACTTAGATCGCCATTCTAGTCTCGCCGGCCCGTCTTCTTTTTTCGGCTCCGATCGACGGCGAACATTGTTCTCGGTGCTGGTATCCAAGCTGAACAGTGTCCACTTCCATCTCCCGAAACCAAGTCGAATGCCAAAGTGCGCCGATTCGCCCTTGGTCTGCATACTTGTCCCCTTGTTGGCGTCGGCGCTCGTGACAACCTCTCACTCCTCAGAATCACCCTTGCCGGCAGCCTGTGGAGAAGGTTCGGACCGCGAAACAACGTCAGCTCCTAGTGCTGTTAGGCATGCAGTTGATAGAGGTAAAGGGGGTCCAGATATGTACCAGATGGAACTCGATACGTGCCTCCTTTCTGTGACATTTTGAAAACGCCGTATGAAACTAGTTTGTAGAATGGTAGTGCTATCCACTGTGAAGGAGTGCAGAGCAGGTCTGGCTGATGTCTGAAGCGTCTTGATTAAATACTTGGCGCCATTTCGCCACGCCGCTCATGCGCTACTGCATGCTGCTGACGGTTGCCAATGAGGGCGGCATCGCTGTGATGCAATGCAACTCATGAGTCGGATCGTGGCCCTGGAGCTCCAAAGATCCACCTCCATGGCGAGTGTCTCTAAGCGTAAGCCGTGCGGTCAAGGTCTGGTATCGCTAGTCCATCGCGAGAGACCGACTTTTATCTCCCTCCCGAGGATAACAATACCAAAATGTAGTTGCATGTTTTGAATGACAACTTCAGACTGTCCGGCATCACATTCAACCTTGGAGATATGGACCGGACAGTCAATGACGAGTGTCAGCACATCTGGAATCGCGACAGCATGCAGAAGGCCCTCCACAAGGGCGACTACAGCGTCCTCAACATGCACACTCTGAAGCTGGGTGACTCCTTTCAGTGGCTCGACGATAGTACGCCCCCCCACCAAGTTGATGAAATCTAACCCGGTCTCGGATGGCATCTTCATTCTGGATTCCACCCTTCCTGACGGCCCTGACTCTGGGTTTGGCCAGGGGAACCCGGCCGTCCATGAGGCCATCCCGTCAGCCGTGATTCCTTCCCGGGTTAGCCTGGTCAAGATCCCGTCCAAAACCACATGGACTATAGCAACGAATACGTCGCCCTCAGGAACGCGAGCGGACAAAGGACATGCTAACTTGCCTCCACCTCTGACCAATGTTGCATTTGATCATTATTGGGCCATGCCCTTAACAGGTTACAATGCTTCAAGGCCAGAGATCGTCCCTTGCCACAACCGCACCACACTCCCAGCTTCCTCGCCTGCTCTCGGTCATATTCTACCATCACTTCCACCATTGACCATTAGGATGTTTTACGTCGATATGAAGGACAGGCTGTGACGTCGATGTCGTACGCCAAGACGCCCAAAGTGCCGCTGCAGTGACCACAAACAAACAAAGCGGCCACGCCATCGCCAACTGTCCCAGGTCGCAGCCTGCAAAGCACGAGGACAGAAGGGCCACAAAACTATCCATTGCTTCAAGAACAAGTAGAGTTTCGAGTTATAGATACCCGAGTCATGCAAGCTCAACCGCTTTGATCGACCATTCGGCAATTCAAACGATTTCAGCCGGGCCGCTTGGCGCCGCCTTCGAATCAACCAATTTGTCCACCCAAACCCTCGCAATCCACGTTCCATGTGGCTCAATTCGTTGCCAAAATCCAAGTCGCTGAGCAAGGTGGCCAAGTGGTTACGGCGGCAGACCCGGGTGCAAGCTTTCCTGCCCAAGGCAACGAATTTGTCTCAGCGTTCTGCTGGAGCGATCCGCTAGGTTGAATCCCTTATCCAGTCATTCCTTTTTTTGTCTTTGATTTTGGTTTCCAAGTCTTCTACCGGGAACCATTGAACTATTCGCAAAAAGTAACGATTTCGGGCGCTAAAAATGGGTTATTGGGCAGTCTAACAAGGCACCAACTTTAATATTGGCTTCTTGACACCCATTTTTCGTGTGCAGTACTTGCAAGCCTGACATGGGTTGCCAGAAGGACTTCTCTCTTGTTATGTTTCCCTTCGTGCCCATCCACAAAAACCAGCAAGTGTATCATCAACTAGGCGCCACTCTTTACAACATCCTGGCGTCAACTTGGCGCCCCTCACCCGATGAACCGGGACCCTGTCCATGCTCGCGTCGCACGCTCTCACACTCGCCATGTTGTACCGCGCAGTGACCCGTAAGCTGCGTGGCATAGAGCGGCGGACTCGCCCAGCGCCATGGGGGAGTTAGCCGACCGTCGTGGCCACACTGCTCGCCGAAAGTGAGGGGAAGGAAGGCCACGATGTGGTCTGACAGGAGAAACAATGCTCTAGCAGAGCTTGCTGGTGCCATATCGGTGACAAGAACATTGTTGCCGTTGACAAAAGAGTGTTGCAGTCGCGCTTTGGTCTCGAGCTTGCGGCTGCGCAGCCTCCGATAACCTAGCAAGCGTGTCGAGACTTGATCGTGGATTCTGTTCGTTCAGCTTCCGTCGCGAGAGTGAACTGCTGCAAATGGCAATGCTGTTGGGGATCCACTCGCTCCACCTCGCCAGATGCTTCGCGCAAGCAGAGGCTGACGTGCTTGTCTGTTGCTCGTGCATTTCCGTGCAGCAATCCCAGCCCCAATCTCCCCGAAGCGACTTTTCGTCCCCTCCACCTCTTCCTGCTTCTCCCTCCAAGATGGATTGCGATTTCGAATGCGTGCTCGGTGATGATGTTGGTCCTTGCGGATCTGAGTAGCGTTGTGGCCTGTGATCTCGAGGACTCTTTGACAAACCCGGTTTTTGACGTGCCGATGATGGCTCAGTCTCCGATCTTCACTTCGAGGTCTGTTTGAGGTCCGTATGACCAATATGAGCCCCCGAAATCGAGTCGGAGCTGCTATAGATGTGAATTGCTTACTAACTGCCAACGTTTTCCCGTGTCTAAGCTCGACAGCGCGATAGACCGCGACAAACGACTCGTACAGGACAAGTGAGGGCATCTCAAGGTCCAGGCCCTTTGGCGACGTAGCGTCCAGGCCAAGCCAGACTGCTTCTGGCGCTTCAGAAAAACACTCTCGTCCTGGTCTCAATCACAAGATCCGAGACACAGAGCTTCAGCTTGAAAGGGTAAGTCGGCCACCTAGGGATTGTCGGGGGCGACCTGCAGAGGCGGTTTCTGGGCCCAGACGTCGATCCAATCGTGCTGAGCATGGATCTGGGGGTTATTGAACGCATCCAAAATGCATTGTCCAAGTCTGTAGGCTCCCTCAGAGTCGAGTCCAAGCGTTTCGTGCCTGGTAAGCATGGTGACCGCCCAATCAGAAAGGAGGCTCTGCGTAAACATTCCCATTTCCCTCATTCTCGGCTCGTGGTGCCAACGGCCAATTGGAATCGCATTGTGCCTCACCGTTACGTTGACAAAGCCAAGTTCCCGCAGCATGTCTGCCACATCGCTTGGGACTTGGAAATTCCAGCCGTACAACCTGGAGAATGGTCCCTCAATGAGTCTGTACAAGGCGTGAACTGGGTGATCGTCACCAGCAGTGCCGTCATCCGAAAAGGTCACCGGCACGATGTCGTGAACCTCGGCCCAGCCACCGGGTTTCAAATTCCTGGGCTCGGTGGTTAGACGGCATCGCAGAAGGGGACAATTTCGAGGCGTCTGAGACATACTCTAAGCATCTTTGTAGGAGTGTCCGAGGCCAGCGAATTGTCGGAAGCAAAAACCTCAGGTGTATTAAGTCGGCGTCATGATAAATGTTCGTCCATGGGCGGAACTCGTCATCGAGATCTTCGACTCGGAACTCGACGTTTGGCGGCGTCCAATGTGGCTGCACGGGGGACAAGTCTGTGCCAATGATACGAGCGCTGGGGAATCTTTCGGCGACTGTGAGCAACGTTAGGCTTGGAAGACGCCTCATCTGGAATTGCACCAACCGTCCAAGGCCCAAAAGCCGAATCCCGTACCCAGGTCAACAATCTTCTGGGGGTTGTCTCCAATGGGTGCAAGGAACAGCCCCCCGCCGAGAATATAGTCGACATAGAGCTTGTGCTTGACGCCCTCTCTCAGTTGCTCCGCGTCGTCGTTTGGCATTCCATATCGTCCTTGGATGAAGCCTTGATATCGTCTTCAAACCAGTTAGCCTTTTCGATGATTTTCTCTACCAGTAGATGGTGAGCTTTGCCTGCCATGCTCGTAAAAATGCAAGGGATGGACTGTATTGTCCGACGTAAACTCTGATGTAGTAATAGAGTCGCCGTAGTCCGAGGTGACTTCTTGCGGCTCGGGAAGCCTGGAATCCATCTCGTGTTGAAGCCGGTGTGCAGCGAGGTCAAGCCGCCCTGGTCTCAAGCCGACATCTGGTTGGATGATCAACAGCCAATGCGAGGTGATATCTAGCAACACGTCGCCCCGTCTTGGATCAATGAGGGCAGGCCAAGACGAGCGGTAGGGCGAATTGCCCAATTGCGTTACTTCCCTGGCGACTCAAGGAAAAGCATCTAGCCCTGACCACGACTTGCCGGAGCAGAGAGATGCGGATTACGCAGACGAGGCAACCCAAAAACCGGCCTTTGGTTGGTTCCTTGCAGGACAGCCGTTTGCTGCTTTTCCAGTCGTGGGTGCCGAAAGACAAGGAGCTCCGAAGCGAATCGGTTTCGTTGTCGAAAATGTACGAATGCTCGGTAGTTCTCGATGAAATCGATCCCCAGTTCCTGGATATTACAGCCGAATTACCGGCACAAGGTTTGCCGTTTCGGGTCGCAAATGCAGGGGGAAATTGACATCGGTCAAGAACCCGCAATGACGGCGACAATGCACGCAGTGATTCTAGGCTTCGAACGATGACACGGGTAAATTTGCCACCGTTAGCCGTGTGACTATGTATTGACGTCGCAAGTCTTGAGTGGATGAAGCCGACAGAGATGGAGGGAGAGATGGCTTATGAAGGTCACTATCCCGACAAGCCGAAAAAGTGCCAATGCTTCTTGCCGTAGCCGACATGGCCTGCTGCTCAGTTCGGATTCTGACAATTGCGTGCAGGGCGCAAACGATAGCAGCATCGCTAATCAAAAACTCAGCCAAGCTGGGGTGCGACTAGCTGGCTGCACTGAAGAGAGTAGATCGAGCCACTAGTTGCATCCCGGGAAATCCATGCTCCCTTTGTTGTCACGCAGAGAGCCTGCTGCTGAAGACGGCGCAGTACGGGGAGGGTATGAAGTCGCGAGCAAGTTGTCCGCCACTCGAGTACAAGCCACTCTGCGCCGCTTGACCGAGTACCCGGGTCCGGTTCCAAAGCAGTGGCAAGGGTGGACATGTTGCAAGCAGAGCGAACCGCGTTCGCGAGAAGCAAGCCCTACCAATGGTCACCTTGACCACTGCGGGCACGACGGAAAATAAGCCTGCATGCCGCACTAGCGCTCGCTCGTTGCCAAACCAGGCGATGATGAGTGGGAAAGACGGCAACCCTCCAGCCCGCCCCTGCCAATGAACGTTACAGGACGGAGGCGCCTTTGCGATCCAGGCCGTCGAAGCCGGGACCGGGTCTCCAGTTTCAGCTGTGCCGGCACGGATCAGGAACAGTTCAGCTTGTCCGTGACCGTGTCCCGCTTGGCAGTCTGGAGCCCGGGGGAGAGGGCTGCAAGGCGGACGAAGTTGAAGGTTCTTGGCGCGCCACGAGCACCGCAACGCCGTCCATCGGCAACCCGAAGCGCGTGTGCTGTCGTATCTGCTTTGGGCGGAGCTGGTTCGTTGGCTCGCTGGGCGGCCACTTGTGCCGAGTCGAATCGTTGCTCATGGCCACTCGATGGACATTGATATCCGATGAAATCGTCTTAAGTCGCGACTGTTGACCTGTCCAGTCTGCCGGCAGAGACATTCCGGAGCTTGGCGCTGGAGAGTGAGCGTCGTCAAATGTGCGGCCGTTGGAGACGTTTTTGCTGTACTGCGAGAGGTGGGGAAGCAAATAGAGAGAAACATCGTAATGAGGGGCATCGGCACGCCGGAGTCTGTAGCTGAGTAACGGCGCTGTTCAGAGCCACCACCTGTCCTTGGGGAGTGGGAAGAAATGTCGCAGGCCGTCAGTTCAGTGCACTGAGGTACGTACTGCTAGCAGCTGCGACTGCCCCCGTGCCGCGGCTGCCCCCGCGTACCCCCGCGCGCGCAGGGCAAGCGCGTTCTCCATCGCGTCCAAGCCCGTCAACACCCATTTTAATCACTTGTTATACCTCGCGGTTACTTACGCTCAAACCTTTTCACAGAGTTTGGCATTCCGCCTCCCGGAACCCACAAGCCCTCCATCTCCGCTCCTGGGCACGAGGCCGTCGTCGACTTCATCATTGATTCCCTTCGTATTTCTTTTTGCATAGCAATCGGCGCCCTTATTCGGTATCTTTTATGCGTTGCAGCCAGGGCACCCGTCGTCGCGCGCTCTCGTCGCGTCCAACTCAAGCCGCCTGTGCTCCCGCCGCCTGCTCCCACGCTCCATGAACCCGCAAGCCTGCCGTCGCCGCCGCGCATGTAGACCTGCTCAGTCATGTATCTTCCGCGGTCGCTGATATCGAAGCTCTATGTTCATCTGCAAAACACGCGACATCCTCTCTCACCGCCCGTCCTCATCCTCGTCGCCCTCGAACCCGACGCCCTCTGCGCCTGCCGCATCCTCACCCGCCTCCTCAAGCATGACTACATTCCGCACAAGATCCAGCCTGTCGCAGGCTACAGCGACCTCGATGCCGCGGGGAGAGAGCTCGTCATCCCCATGATGGAGAGCCAGGGCGGCAGTGGCGGCGTTGTCGTGTGCTTGGGAGTCGGCGGAATGGTCGATCTCGGCCCGCTGCTGGGGCTCGAGCCTGAGGGGCACCTGTCTCCCTACAGCGGCGTCGAGGTCTGGGTTATCGATGCCCACCGGCCGTGGAACCTGGGGAATGTCTTTGGCGGTTATCCCCTCGAGCCTGAGACGGACGCTGCCAGCTCGTACCTAGCTCGAAGCCCCGTCGGCGTCGAGGGTGGGCGACTTGGGCGTCACTACAAGGCTGGCAAGGGGGGCATCGTCGTCTTCGATGATGGAGATGTCGAGGAAGGGCTCGAGGCCGAACGCGATGCGTATCTGGCCTTGGTCGACATGCCAGACATTGACAACGCCCAGGGAGACGACGAGCACGGCGACGACGAGCAGGACAACGACGAAGACGCATTGGATCAAGCCTCTGCCCGCCCAGGCCAGAAAAGAAAGAGCTGGTCCGATGGACCCCAAGACGAGTCGAGCGACGATGAAGACAGACCGCACCAACGGCGAAGAAGCAATTCGGTAAGTTCAAATGGCCGCAGCCATGTTTCCCTTCTGACGCATCGCAGTCTAGCCCAATTCCCCAACCCCACCGCCGCCCAGATCAAAGAGGGCTTTTGTCGTTCAGAGATCCAGACATTGCTCTCTCCAGTGACCCGACCGAACCGCCATCCGGGGCTCAACCTTCGCCAGCGCCCTCAGCTCGTGCCCTGAGAAGAAGATTACTTCGAATGCGCCGGGAAAGCGAAACGGTTCTCCAGCAGTACTACAAGATGGGCTCTTCCTTTGCCGAGCCCATTTCTTCCATGATGTACTCGTTGGCGTCGGAGCTGGGCCGGGAAGACAACGACCTCTTGTGGCTGACCATTGTCGGTGTTACCTCGATGGAGCTGTATGGGCGGTCGTCGGCGGGCATAGCCGCACCGCTTCGCGGAACCGGCGAGGGGAGGCCAACCGGTTGGATGGGGGTGAGGGGAGCTCGGCTTCGGCAACTGCTCCGTGACGAGGTTCGACGCTTGAACCCCCCGGAGCTTGCCAACGGGCGAGTCGCTGTTGAGAACACGGGCGTGATCCCGACGACGGCCCGAAACCCCGAGGACACTGGAATCCGCCTGTCACCCGAGCCTCGATTTCTCTTGATACGACACTGGAGTCTGTACGACAGCATGCTGCACTCGCCCTATCTCTTCTCTCGCCTCAAGACATGGAGCGAGACGGGCATCAAGCGCCTCCACAAACTCCTCGCCAAGATGGGCGTTAGCCTGGCGCAATGCAAACAGAGCTATACGCATATGGACATGATGCTGAAGCGCGAACTAAGGGCAAAACTGCTCAAATACGGCTCTCTCTACAACCTCGACGAAATGGTTCCCGCCGTGGATACCGACGGCAAGGATCGAGCCGGCGCAAAGGATGGATGGGGCTTTGTGCGCAGTTGGGGATGGCGAGCGACTCTGAGCGCGCAAGACGTCGGGGTTGTCATCGGGGCGCTCCTTGAGGTGGGAAAGCATGCGCAAGCGACGGACGGCGCTTCCACGGCGAGCCAGATAACCCGAGATGCGGAGGAAGAGGCCGAAAGTTTGGCCCAAGGCCAAGAGTGGGTAGTGCGGTTTTGGGAGGCGTATGACGCATTGGAAGAGTAGGTCGGCCCTTTGTGGATTCTTTGACCCTTTCTCTGAGAGAAGAGACGCTGACGAAGGACCACGGTTGAATCGTTTCTTCCCTCGTAACAGCATCGACTCTCTCAAAGCTGGTCTGCCCACTGCGCAGTTTCTGCATCGTGCCATCTACCGCACAGGCACGTCACTGATCAACAAGAAACAGATCAAACACCTGCGGGCTTTCCGTATGTGCGTCGTCAAGGACGGGCCGGACGTGGCACTGTTCGCGCATCCCGCAGCGTTGACCAAGCTGGCTCTCTGGATCGGAGAGGCGCTGGCGGAACAGGAGAGAGAATCGCAGGGGAAGCTGTCGCATGGGGGACGCGGCACGCCCCTTGTTGTGTCAAGCTTGAACGAGAAGCGCGGGGTATACGTCGTGGTGGGCACTGGCGGAGGCGGAGGGCCAGACGCGAGCTTTCTCGACCGGGAGGCTGCCAAGAAGCGGCGAGAGGAACGAGAAGCCAGAGGAAGGGCCAAAGAGGAGTCACGCAAGGCCAAGGAAAGAGTCAGGGAGGAGAAGCGGGCGGCCAGACGCGCCGCGGGCAGAGACAAGGAGGAGGAGGATGACGAGGCCGAGACGGAATCGGAGGGGTCGGATTCGTCGGACTCGGACGACGAGTCGGACGGGGGCGAGGTGGAGCACGACAAGGGCTACGGCCTCAACCGGTTTGGCAGCGCCTTCCAAGAGGTGGTTTCGGAGACGAGCGCGCGGGTGCGGATCGACAGCTTCGAGCACTGCGTGGTGGAGGTGAAGAAGGAGGATCTGGGGGCGTTCCTGGAGGGCCTCAGCATGAAGGCGGTGGTGGGTTAGCTGGGGCATTCTTTGGGTGCGCGTGTGTATTGCATAATGGCGGCGGGATTGGGAGTCTGGGATGGGTATTATTCACGAAGCGGACGGCAGGACATGTATGGCGGGCATTTGGTTTGTCTCTGCATGGATTACGTTGAAATGACTTTGAGAACATGTGCCTGGCTGCCTTGTGCTCAGTCATGGCTGCCAAGGCGGCGTTGGATCAATCAATTGATGAGACGAGGGCGTGTCGTTGACTCGGCAAGGCGTCCGGCGGCCTCGGTCGAGTTGGTTGAGCTAGGAGGGAGCCCTGTCGGAGAAGATTCCAGCACCAGAGGGCTGACTGTGTCACTCCCGGCATCCAAACATCCATCTCTTGCCTCGAGGCTTGGACAGGCGGCGGTGCTCAATCATCTTGAGGCTCTTTGACCCCCCCTGCCCCAGGCTGTAGGTATATAATATTATGCTGTGAAAGTGGGAGGCTGTGGTCTAGGTTCCTCTGTTGGGTTTCGGGTTTCGCAGTTCAAAGCATCCCGGATGGACCCCTAGTTACTTCAAACTTGGTAAGCAGCCGGGCACCTCAAACATTCCGCCTTGGGCTAGGTGCAGTAAGCTGTACTGTAGGGGGCATGGGGGGGGGAATAAAGTTGGCGAACTCGGCGCCGCCCCACGGCTGGTGTTACAGAAAGCCAGCCCCTGCATGGTCCGCTGGTAGGCGGGTACTCGGGCGGCGCCTGTCTTTCCGCCGGTGGGCAGAGGTAGCGGGCACGCCGACATCCTGTCTCCCAAGTGCGCGAGTACTCGGCCGAGCAGTGGACCTGGAGTAGTGGATACCTGCTCTTCTTCTCACGCCGAGCAAGGCCGCAACGTACCTCGCTAGCACGGCACTAGGGAAGTCCTGTAGTCATCATGGCGCCCCGGTGCCTTGTCCTTTGGCCGAGGTACGTACTTCGATACATGGTGCAATCCTTCGTCGCCTCCCTCACTTCGCTCTTTCTCCCTCGTCTCCCTCTCTTCACTTTCTTCTTTTCCTCTCGTCCAAGATTCCTCCCATCTGTCCTGTTCCCCATGCTCTGAAACCCCACTCTTCTTACTCGACGACTCATCATCGACGACGACTCAACCTCCAAGGACGGCGCCTTTCGGCTCGCATCAATTTCCCCTCCCCCGCCAAGTCCGCTCATTACATACGCAAGCGCCCACGTTCGCACCACGCACCACCGGTCCATCCATTCACCATCGTCGTCAAGTCGCCTCTTGCGCGCCCCAGCCAGCATCGCCGACGACATTTGCGCACCTCGCACAAGGTCGACAACTCCCGTCCTCCGCTCTCGAAATACCCCGCGTCGCTCCCCCCCTCATCCGAAATCACGGCATCCCTGCACGAGCGCCGAAACAACCCCCATCTGACGGCGGCGCAACACCCCGGCCCTCTCCGCAGTCGCCGCGCCGATTGCGCTTGACGCTACGCAGCAATCTGCGTCCAGTGACCATCGACCCTCGTCTGTGAACCAGCATGGGTAAATCGTGAGTTGGGCGCCCCCGCCTCCTTTTCCCTGCGGCGAAACCAGGTCGACGTAACAAACACGCTGTCGTCTCGTTGCTCGCCTGCAGGGCTTGCGCCCGCGCCCGTCTGGAGAGAGGCCGGTCCGCTCGAAGTTGTCGACGCCTCTTGCCGTGTCTCTCTTGATGCGCTCGGTCGTTGGTCGGGCGTACGTCATGCGCCGAAGATAAACATGATTTGCTAACCTGTCGGACTCTCCTTTTGCAGACAGTCGAAGCTCTCTCAAGAGCAGCTCTCCGAGCTCCAAAAGTCGACTCACTTTGACAAGAAGGAGCTGCAACAATGGTACAAGGGTAAGCCGAACATCCGCGGGCCTCGAGGCTGCAGCCGCGGCTAACCTTGGACGTGCAGGCTTCCTCAAAGACTGCCCGTCAGGCATGCTCTCCAAGGAAGAGTTTCAAAAAATTTACCGGCAATTCTTCCCATTTGGCGACCCTAGCTCCTTTGCCGACTACGTATTCAACGTCTTCGACAGCGACAAGTCGGGCACCATCGACTTTAAAGAGTTCATCTGCGCCTTGAGCGTTACTAGCCGGGGCAAGATGGAGGACAAGCTTGACTGGGCCTTTCAACTATATGACATTGACGGCGATGGCAAGATAAGCTACGATGAGATGCTCCAGATTGTCGAGGCTATCTACAAGATGGTGAGTGCACCGACTGGTACTTGATAGCGTGGTTACTAACACACAGCTCAGGTCGGATCCATGGTCAAGCTGCCCGAGGACGAAGATACCCCCGAGAAGCGCGTCAAGAAGATATTCCGCATGATGGACAAGGACGAGAACGGCTCGCTGGACATGGAGGAGTTCAAGGAGGGCAGCAAGCGCGACGAGACGATTGTATCGGCACTGTCCCTCTACGACGGGCTCGTGTAGGAGCCCTCGGTGGCAGACTAAGGCTAGGCGGGGGGCCGCGCGGTCGAATGCGTTGTTGATGTGGATTCGTCGGGGTCGCTCTTGTTGGCAGCGGAGCTGTTCTCTCGCCTCGGACTGCGAATGCAACGGAGCTGCCCCCTCGCCCACCTGCTGTGCCGGCTCGATTGGACGACATTGCATTGTTTCCGCGGCGTTTTGTTTGAAGGCCGGTGCTGGTGCCCGCGGTGTCCATTATGCGAGACAGGAAAATTAAAGACATGGATTACAAGTATGGCAACGTTGTGGGCAGAGGCAGGCCGGCGGAGGAGGGCGAGGAGGCTCAGCTTCGACATGGTTGCCCTTGCTGCGCCTCTCATGCACGTTACATGTGCCTCGCTAGCCCGTGGCAAAGGAGCAAGAAGCTTATCTGGTTAAACACAGCCCTTGGGGGTTGGTTTGTCCATCCGGGGGCCGTGACGTCATTTCTGGCGGCGGCTATGCGCGGCGTCGAGGCCCCGAGGCATATATGGGCCATGTGAGCCTCGAGTCCGGCGATGCCTATCAGCATTTCCTGCGAGAGCTGACTTGAAGTTGTGGTTGTTTCTAAAACTTGTGTAGTGGTTGGATGCCTGGACTCCGGGTCTCAAAATGTATCGTATGCTTACACTGTGCGTCAACCACTATAAGCACACGGTATCATGCCTCACCGAGAGACGTTCCTTGCCTCCCCTCACGACACCCAAACAACCTCGCAGCATCACCGACCGCCCGGGGTCAACCACCGCAGCACATCCACCCCCCCCCCCCTTCCTCATCCTCCTACTCCTCCTCGACGGGGGACGGCGGGCATCCGCGCCCGTGCCTGCCATGGAGCTCCTCGCCGCCGCGCTGACGGCCGCGCTCGCCGACGAGGTGCACGACGCCGACGAGGAGACGTTTCTGCTCTACGCGCAGCCCGCCACCTCGCGCGACCTGGGCTTCGTCGACCCCCGCGTCCCGTCGTTGTCTGTCGCCGTGGCCGGCCGCCTTGTTACCGTGCACCAGTCCCCCGCCGTCCTGGCGTCGAGCCGGCCCGGCGGCACTACCGGAGCTGGTCAGTATCTCCCCCCCCCCCCTGTTGCGGGTGCCGTAGGAGAGAAGAGAGTAGTGGTGCTTGACGCTCGGTCTTGATATGAGACATTTTTGAGGAAAAGGAGACGGAGAGAGAGAGAAAGACTCATCCGTCTAGTTCTCTGGAAAGTCACCCCCCAGCTGGCCTCGTGGCTCGCCGCGCCCCAAAACCCGCTGCTCGCCCTTGTTCTCCCCCCCTCCGCGTCCTCCATCCTCGAGCTCGGCTGCGGCATCTCGCCCCTCAACGCCCTCGCCCTGCGCCCCCGCGTCGCCCACTACGTCCTCTCCGACCAGGTCTACGTCCAGAAGCTCCTCGTCCAGAACCTCGCCGAAGCCCTCGATGACGCAGCCCCGGGACCGCCCAAGACCGCCACCCCTCGCCGCCGGGCCCGCACCACCCGCAAGAAGGCCCCCGCACCCGTCGCCGCTGCCGTCTGCTGCTTCCGCCCCCTCGACTGGGAGACGGACGCCGTGACGCCCGCCCTCGCCGCGCCCCGCCGCAGCTTCGACGCCGTCTTGTCGTGCGACTGCGTCTTTAACGAGGCCCTCGTGGCGCCCTTTGTGCAGACATGCGTCGACGTCTGTGGCCTACGGCGGCGACGACGGCGGCGCGGTCGAGGAGCAGCAGCAGACGCCGACTCGGACGGCAACGGGGCCCTTGATGATGGTAACGGCAACGGCGGCGCGCCCTGCGTATGCATCGTCGCGCAGCAGCTGCGCAGCGACGACGTCTTCCGCGCTTGGCTGGCCGCCTTCCATGCCGCCTTTCGCGTCTGGCGCGTGCCCCCGGACATGCTGCCCCCGGAGTTGCGTCCGAGCGCCGGGTTTGCCATCCACGTCGGCATCCTCAGGGACGACGACGACGAATAGAGGAACTGTGGCCCCACGCACGAATAAAGGGGGCAAGTAAGATGGAAGAGGAGGAAGCGTATCCGCGGATAGAGTCGCGCCGGGAGAGCACTGCACCGTCACGTCTTCTCTTCGTAGCCTGTAGCCTGGTCCGGTACTATTAATCAAGTAAAAGTAAAACATCGCTTCTTCCCCCTATTTTGTTTACCCGTCCACGAGCCCTTCTACATGTCTTGGGCATCTCTTACCAGTGCCTTGGAGTTAAAAAAAAAGCCGATGGTCTCAACAATCATACGCCTCCCCCCACAACAGACAAAAGCACACACGGACGTCAAATCACCACTCGAGCGGCTCCGTCTTCTCCTCACCCCGGTTCGTCTTCGGCACCGGCACCGCCTTGGCCGCCAGCCGCCCGCCCTGCCCCCTGCGACGCAGGTAGCCGGAGCCGTCGAGCCAGGGCGTCTGGCGGGACATGGCGCGCTCAAAGTCGGTGATCTTGTCCTCGAGCTGCATCGTCAGGCCAATGTCGTCGAGCCCGTTGACGAGGCAGTGCTTGCGGAACTCCTCGACCTCGAAGCCGCAGATGGCGTCGCCCGCAGAGTTGCGGATCACCTGGCCCGGGAGGTCGACTTCGACGTCGCGGCCCGCGCGCGCCTCGGCCGCAATCGCCTCGAGGTCCGCGCCGTTGTCCACCTGGATGGGCAGCATGCCGTTCTTGAAGGTGTTGTTGTGGAAGATGTCGGCGTACGACGGCGCGATGACGCACTTGATGCCAAAGTCGAGCAGGGCCCACGGCGCGTGCTCGCGCGAGCTGCCGCAGCCAAAGTTGGCGCCCGTGCACACGAGAATCTTGGCCCCGCGGTACGGCTCCTTGTTGAGCACGAAGCCCGGGTTCTCGCTCCCGTCGGCGTTGTAGCGCAGCCCGTGGAAGAGCGCCGTCCCCAGCCCCGTGCGCTTGATGGTCTTCAGGAACTGCTTGGGGATGATGGCGTCGGTGTCGACGTTGGCCATGTCCAGCGGCGCCGCCACGCCCTTGAGGGTGAGGAACTTGGGCAGCCCGGCCGACGCGCCCCCGGCCGAGACGGACGTGTTGGTGTGCGGCTGCGAGTCCTGGGGCTGGTCGCCAATCAGGTCCCTCGCCTCGGGCTCGTCCACGCTCTCGTCCACGCGCGGCTTCTCTGTAGACGATGATGTGCGGGCCTCGACGTGCGGGCTGGCGCCGTAGTCGGCCAGCTTGCGCACGTCGGCCAGCTTGCCGACGACGGCGGCGGCGGCGGCCATGACGGGGGACATGAGGTGGGTGCGGCCGCCGGCGCCTTGCCGGCCCTCAAAGTTCCGGTTCGACGTGCTGGCGCACCGCTCCCGAGGCGACAGGATGTCCGGGTTCATGCCGAGGCACATGCTGCAGCCGGCCTCTCTCCACTCGAAGCCGGCGTCGACAAAGATCTGGTCGAGGCCCTCGTCTTCGGCCTGGCTCTTGACGAGGCCGGACCCTGGCACGACCAGGGCGCGCTTGATGTTGGGCGCCAGCTTCCTGCCCTTGACGACGTGGGCGGCGGCGCGCAGGTCCTCGATCCTCGAGTTGGTGCAGGAGCCGATGAAGACCTTGTCCACGACGATGTCCTCCATGGGCGTGCCGGCAGTCAGGCCCATGTACTCGAGCATCCTGCGGCCGGCTGCCTTTTTGGACTCGGTCGCAAACGTCTCCGGGTCGGGGACGCAGCCGGTGATTGGGATGACGTCCTCGGGGCTCGTGCCCCAGGTGACGGTGGGGATGATGTCCTTTGCGTCGATGAAGACGTCAATGTCGTACTTGGCATCGGCGTCGGACTGCAGCGACTTCCAAAAGGCGACGGCGGCGTTCCACTCGTCGGAGCCGTACTTGGGGGCCAGGGGGCGGCCCTTGAGGTATTCAAAGGTGGTGTCGTCGGGGGCCACCATGCCGGCGCGCGCGCCGCCCTCGATGGACATGTTGCAGATGGACATGCGAGCCTCGATGCTCAGGGCGCGGATGACGGAGCCGCAGAACTCGATGACGGCGCCGGTGCCGCCCGCGGTGCCAATCTTGCCAATGGCGTGGAGGACGACGTCCTTTGAGCTGACGCCGGGCATCAGCTCGCCGTCGACCTGGATGCGCATGTTCTTGCTGCGCTTGGTGATGAGGCACTGCGTGGCCAGCACGTGCTCGACCTCGCTGGTGCCGATGCCAAAGGCGAGGGCTCCAAAGGCGCCGTGCGTCGACGTGTGGCTGTCGCCGCAGACGACGGTGGTGCCGGGGAGGGTGAAGCCCTGCTCGGGCCCGATGACGTGGACGATGCCCTGGCGCTTGTCGCCGAGGCCAAAGTAGGTGAGGCCAAAGTCCTTGACGTTCTCCTCGAGGGTGACACACTGCGTGCGGGAGTCGTCCTCTTCGATAAAGGACGCAATGTCCTTCATGGCCTTGCGCGACGACGTCGGGACATTCTGCGTCGTCGTTAGCAGGTCGACCGACGCAAGGACAATGGGGGAGGAAGCGACACGTACATGATCGGTGGTGGCCAGGGTGCAGTCAGGTCTCCGGACTTTGCGCCCCGCGTTCTTGAGGCCCTCAAAGGCTTGCTGTTTGTTTCGAGGCCTCGGTCAGCTGTGGGGAAAGGGAAGAAGCAGGCGAGACAGAGTGTGCGCGCGTCTCGTACCGGTGAGGTGACCTCGTGGACCAAGTGTCGGTCTGCAGGCATCGCAGAGTCAGCGTCGAGAAGAGGCAGAGCAAGGGAGGCGTGTCGAACCAATGTAGAGGAGGATGGTGCCGTCGAGCTTCTCGTCGACGACGTGATGCGAGAGCACCTTGTCGTAGAGAGTCTGGGGGTTTCTGTCGGGGACAGGCATGATGGCGGATATGGTCTGGTGACGGACGAGGAGGAGGAAGTCGAGCCAGAGGATGCCCGGGGGTTGGAAGAGACCAGCGTCAGAAGGTGTCGTCAAGGTCGAGGACGAATGAGGGTGGGCGCGGGGGAAGAAGAGGGGCGTTGGTCGGGCGAAGCTTTGGAAGTCAAAAAAGAAACAAGAGATAATTCCGAGATATATGGCTGACTTTTCCCCGCCACGACCGGGTAGTTGCACGCAATGCCTCTTGATATAAGAGGCTAGAAAGAAAAAAGAGACGAGGAATGGGAACAAGGGCAAGTTGGTGATTTATTATCAAGGGCAACTCTCGGGGCGGTGCGCCCAAGACAAAGGCCGGCCTCGGAAGCCTCCGATGGTCGGAGTCGGTCGCACGCTCCGGTCCGGCACAGATGGGAAAAGGCGGGGTATCGACGCACATGCTGCAGGAGGGGCATGTATCTCCAGGTACCCCTGGCGGTGCCGGCGACATGCATGCTGCACCTACGAGGCCCAGCACGCATCCATTTCCGCCACGAGCCTTTAATTATACAGTACGGTTGTCTTAGGCTTCAGACTAGAGAGACTGGTGGCTCAATGAAGAGGGAAGAAGTAGGCTGGGAGGGAGCATACCGCCACCCTTGCTCGTCAGCTCAACGAGCCTCGAGCTACTGCAAGTACTTGCAGGTACTTTGTAAAACCTGCAGTGTGCAGAGTCTACCTGGAGACGGGGCGCTTGATTTCCAAACCCCACCCCATGATTGGCCCCCTCTGTGCCTCCGTGGCGGGGGCAGCCCGGGTACTTTGTAGCGTCGTGAGGCCGACGTCGGAGACTTCCGTGAAGGAGACACAGCCAGACTGACCAGGGGAAATCCTCCTCCCACTCGGCCCCGGCATCAACGTCATGTGAGTCCGACTTAAGCATTACTGTCTAGTCTTTACAGGTGTTGAGCTTCATCCTCCCCGTGCTGTCTGCCCACTTTGCGGCCATCCCAGTCTTCGATCCCATCCTCAGCTGCATCTCCCCTCGTCAGCAAGTCCCGTCATGGACTCGTCCATCTACACAGGTCCAGCGCCTCGCTGCTCGCACAGCCCATCCCGTCCCCGGCAAGCATCCTCAGGATAGCCACAAGCTTCATGCTCTACACGAGCGTGACCGCCCCCAGCATCGCTACAGGCATCGCCAGCGCCAACGCAAGCCCGTCCGCCAGCGTCGTCTCGTGCCTGGCGTTCCTCTCCCAATACTCGGACCGCGGGTCCAACACGGGTCCGATCGCCTCCCAGTACATAGACAAAAACCTCATCGCCCGCGAGTGTGTGTGTGCTGTGCGATGCGCCCCCGGCGCTGTCCCCCATGGCTCGCCTTCGCTTTCCATGTCCGTGTCGGCCTGTCCGACGCTCACGTCCTCCAAACCATTCCCACTACTGTATTCGATGTCCAGCTGAGCGGGAAATGCTCCTGGTATTCGCATACACGGGCTCGGCAGCTCGGCGGCCTCTTCTGTCGCATTTGTCTGTCGAGGACTTTCGTCGTCTGCTGGCTGGTTCGGGGCGTACTGCTTCTCGGCCCTGCACTCTTCCCTGGCCGTCCGGCTTTCGTCGTCTGCCGTCCGAATCGGGAGGTCCATTGCCGTGTTGGCCTCTCCATTGGCCGTCGGGCTTGCCCCCTCCTCCATCTCCACCGCCGTATCCTCGCCGTCTTTCGGGCGAATTTCTCGGCAAAGGCTTTCCTCCTGACTCTTCCCAACGTCGTGGTCCCTACCCTTCGGCGGCGTAGACATTGATATGAGTAATGTGCTGCACTCCCTCTTGCTTGGCTGCTTCTCCGGGGCCGCCCACGCAAATGACGCCACGCTGGGGCCTTCTACACGCCGATATGTCTCCGCCAGAGGGCTCGTGGACATAGTATCTGTTATGACGCCTGGCCTCATCTGCCCCGAGCTCAGCGAGATATTCGGTGAGGGGCTCGTCGCAGGGGCCTCGTAGTCGTGCTCCTTCGAGAGGTTCGCCTGGCGTCTCTCTGCCGGACGCTGACCTGCCCTCGTGCCCCTTGTGCTCGCGCTGTCGTCTTCGGGCTGGTTCGACCAAGACACTAGACGGTCGTACCCAGTAGTGGTGGTGGTGCGTGTGGAGACAAACTCTTCCACGAACTGGTTGCTCCTCTCCGTGATGTCCTTGAGGGCTTGTTCGACCCACTCGTTGTCCTCGTAGATCCTGATCGGCTCCATGCGCCATGTCTCTGGTCCGGAGGAGCCCATGGAGGCGACCTTGTTCCTCGAATCCGTCATGTCCGCAACGGTCGACGGGCTTCCGCGCCTCGTCTCTCGAGCGGCCTCTGGTTCCTGGAGCCCCTGGTTTGCCTGCCCGGGCTCCCGTCCTCCGCAAATTTTGTGTCGCCCGAGGCTGGCCATTGACGGCAGCGCTGGCGGAGACGCTTCTTCCTCTACGGTATCCGGCTGGTTGCGACTCCCGTCCGTCCTTTTCGGCCAAAAGTACACCAGCGGAGGCATCCACTTCCGCGACTGCCCTCTCGCGTTCAGCTTCTGAGCTCGAACCTGCGTCAAGAGGTCGAGGTTCGGTGCCTTTCCGGTGCCGGCTTCTTTCCAAGGTCCCCGATGGGTTCGCTCCGTGAGATTGCGATGACTCGGATCTTTGGCCGGTGGAAGACTTGCGGAAGCGCTCCTTTCGCACTGGGGCTTGGACAATGTCTGTCGGCTCTCCTCGACTGGCATGCAAGTGCTGACCGGCGGATGCCAGTTTCCCGTCTCGGGTCCTCCTGGATCTACCGCCACCCTGACTCGCTTGTCTAAAAAAGAGTCCTCATTTGAAGCCTCTATCAGGCTACCCTTGAGCTTGCGAGCAGCCTTGCCAGGTATGGTCGCCTGAACAAGTGCGGTTTTGCCTTTAGAGACGGCCACACGATCTGGTGACCGCGCTGGAGGGCCCCGGTCGATTCGATGTTGTGTAGCATCATAAGCAGAGGCGGGAACAGGGGCAGGCTCGCCCAGTTGCTGTCCGAGACCTGAAGATTCGGAATCATCAAAACTTATACTATTCTCAAAGAGCTCCCATGCCGACGGTGTGAAGTCCGCAAGGCTCTGTCTCTGGGGAGTTCGAATCACGGTTGACGTGGAGCCCGGGCTGCCGACTCGCGCATCTCGAGATTGTTCCTTAGCAGCACGATGGGGTGGAGTAGAAGGCCTTGCTGGAGACGTTAGATCGACCAGTCGACCACTGGCAGGAAGCGCTGCCCGCTCAGCAGCTTGATGTTGCGAAGGTCTCCCTGCATACAAGAAAACTGGTGAGCAAACGACATTCAAGTTGGCATCGTGCAAAGAGGAACAAGCCGTGGGGGGGAGCTCACGGGAGCCAAGGTCGCTGTCGGCGTGCGACTGGACAATGGGGCTCAGGTCTGGTTCTTGGGCTGAAGACCACTGCTTCGTTTGCCTTCGCCACTTGACGCGTTGACTGAAGTTGCGTAGCTTCTGCTTGTCCTTCTCGAGACGCCGCAGCTTGTCCTTCTCGCTCTCCAGATCCTTCTTGGCTTCTTTCCTACTCAGGGCATTGACGTGCTCGTACGACTGCCGGGCATCTCTCAGAGCGTTGCGCAAGTTGTTGAGCTTCTGCTGGGTCTCGGGGCTGGTGCTGTTCCCCTCGCTGTCGGTCGGGGTGATCATGTCGAGCTGGCCCGTGGCTGGGTTGATGCCCTGCACTCCGAGATAGTCTCCGCTCTCCTTGAGGTCGCGCCTCTGGCGTCTCGCCTCCTTCCTTGCTTCAATTGCCTGACGCGTCTGAGCGAGCCGTCGCTCGATGGTGGAAACTGCATGCGCCTCGGACGGTGTAGCTGCAGTCACTTTGTCCGGCCGGGCCTGTTGAGAAGTAGGTGCTCTCTGAGGCTGGCACAGCTCGGTCTCATCCATTGGAGCCCAACTCCATGTCCTCTCGGGGTCCGCATTCGAGGACATGCAGGCGTTGGCGGGTTCAGCCTGGAGCCGCGTCTGTGCTGCCTCGGGCTGCGTTTCCGAAAGATCCTTGGCCGTGTTCCACCGAACAATGTGGTCAGGGCCGTGAGTCTCGCTCGTGCGGCTCTGCCAGCTATCAGTCACGTGGCGGCGAGGCCTTTGATTGTCGGCCTGTCTCGACTCCTCGCTTTCCCAGAAGCCCCGGCTCCTGAGGGTCCCTCCACGCTCTGACCGGTGGCTGGGAAGTACGCTCCTGACCCAGCCGCTCCAAGATGACGTTCGGTGAAAACGGGAGGGTTGCTTTGCTGCTCGATGCTGGTTTGGTGGCAAAGACTGAGTCTTGGGGTAAGGCTTGAGGGGAACGGATACGGCGGGAGATAGGAAATAAGGCATTCCAGCCAAACAATCGAGCGTTGGGGCAAGCAGACGGGAAACTAGTCGGTGGATTCTTCACTCAAAGCATCGAGCAGGCCTTGAGAAGTCGATGCTGGTGTCGTCGGCCGTGGACTGCCAGTCGTGCCCAAGAGGTCAGCTCGCTCGCTGAACAGTCGATTTGTTAACGATGAGGTGGATGGCATGACAAGCCGCAGGCGAGAGGCATGGGAAGCATGCACGGTCTGAAGCGTAGCCACAGCAGAGACAGCTGTGGGTGGAAGCAGGCATCATCTCCTACCCAGTCTCCTCAAGGTTAGACAGGTAAGAGCAGGTCAAGCTTGCGGGCTCACTTGCCCAGCGTATTAATACGGATCCCCCCGTGACGGCAACAACGCGCTGGCGTCGATAATACAAAACGGCCCGCTTCTATACACCGGCTGGAACTCACCAGACGCCGTAGAGATGCAGTATAAGCGAGTACAATTCATCCGAGAGGCGCCCTGGCCTGTTCAATGTTGACAGAAACGACTCCACCGTAAACTCCGCCAAATTCCATCTACCATCGCGACGGGTATCTCTCGTACTGCGGCCTGTGTCTGCCCATGTTGGTCAGCGGGAGTGACGAGGTTTGCGCGCCTGCCCCCAGGCTTTTCCTCTGCTCCGAGTGCTTGGTCGGGCTGCTCGGAGGCTCCCGGCTTCGCTGCTCGTAGGCTGCCATTTCTCTAGAGTTCCTCGGCGAGGGCTGGCCAGATTTGTTAATGTCTCCCATGCTGATCGCCTTCTTAAGCGGCGACTTGTTGTGTGTATAAATACCCATGTTCCCTGCAAAGTTCTGAGTGCCTGCCGAAGGCAGGACACGAGTCCCGGTTTGCGCCTCTGAAGGAGAGTGGCCCGCGGGTAAGCTATGCCGTGGAGCCGAGCCGCGTTGACCGGTCGTCGGGGCCAACGATTCTGCCCGCCGGACAGGAGGCGTGAACATTTGCGGCTTCATGAGATTGCTGTGGCTTTTGACTGGGGTGGCCTCGGGGGAGTCAGCATGGGGGTTGCGGTGTGGCTTGAAGTTGCGTCTCAGCAGCGTCGTTGGGGTGCTGAATTGCACCAAATCCTGGGCTTTGGTGGTCGATTGCTCTTCCGACGCTTGGGTTCCCACGTCTCTGACTACCGGATACAGTCGAGGGTGGACAAACTTGGCATCGTATTCATGCATGACCTCCCTCTGGATGATTGTCGTATCCTTGGCTTGCTGAGAGAAGCGCGCAGAGAGCAGGAGCAGCTGGGCCGACAGAACAATCTGCATCACCAACGTGTTGAAGACCGTCATGCTGGGCCGAGGGTCGAGAGGCGCGAGCGGGAGGAAGAGGAGATAGACGAGGACGTGCCCGGGGCTGAAGAAGCAGAAGAGCCGGATACACACAGGGAGCGGGTCCCAAACCGAAAGCTCCCACACGTCCTTATTCTTGTCGGGGTGCGCTCGCGATTCGGCGGATTCGGGCGTCATCATGTCGGCTATGAAGCGGAGCGGCGACGAGGAGACCGGCGACGACTGCGCTCTAACTCGACGTGCCGAAGGCGTCGACGGTTGGGTCTCGATGCTTGCCTCGAACATCCTGTACTTTCTCGTTCGCGAGATGGTGTAGACGGCGTTGGTCATAGAAAAGGCCACGAGAGCCCAGACCAGAGGGTAGACCTGCCGAGAGCCATAGTCAGCGACGGAGCCGCGTGCATGAATATGCCTGCATCAGCTCACAATAAGGGACAGCCAGCTCGAGCTCGCATCGTCGCCAAACACGTCGTCGCTGGATGTCGTCGACCCCGAGTTGGCTCGCGCCAAGAGGAAAGTAAAGTTGAGGCCCAGGCCAAGCTGGGTGCCCACCAATTGCGAGTCCCAATCGCGCGTCTCAATCTCCTCGGACAGCCAGAGCAGAAAGTCCATGGGGTTCAGCATCGACGCGACGCGCTCCCAGAGCGGCCTGCGACGCACAAGTCTGGGCATTTTGGCGGCAGGCCGATGCTGAAGGCCGAGATATTGCGCGGAGAGCAGAGTCGACCCTGCCAGCCGAAAAGAAGCGGACTTCGTCTCGTCGGCCGCGGTGATGATGGATAGTGGACTTGTTGCGGAGAATTTACGTCGAAATTCCTGCCCGGGCCTGAGGGAGCTGCCTACCACTTGCTGCAAGGGGCAAGGGGAGCCGAATTGCCTGGGGGACCATGACTACGCCTGCACTGTACGGAGTACTCCACAGCTTATCAGGCTCCAGGTCATGATAGGTAGGTACTCGGAACCCCAGTACGACTAGGTACCTAATTAGTACCCATGAGGCACTGGGCAGTGGAGCGTCACAGCCCGACTTCACCTCACGTCTTGGAGGGGCCGGCACAGCTACACAAACAACCCACGACGGCCCACCATCGAAATGGCCTCGCAAGCAGACTTCAAGGACCGACAGTTCCTCGCCGTCATAGGCGACGAGGTATTTACCACGGCTTGGCTTAGGCCATGTCCCAGGCGCCCTGGGGCGAGGCGAGACGATGAGGCTGACGCAGACCAGGACTCGGTTACGGGGCTCCTCCTCGCCGGCATCGGGGTAAGTGCTGCTATAGGGCTCGCTCTGGGCGCATGCCATTGTTTGACGAGACGAGCTATTGACGGTGCCTAGCATGTCACAGCTGGCGCAGACGCGCAAAAGAACTTTCTCGTCGTCGACAGCAAGACGGAAACGGCCGCCATCGAGTCGGCCTTTGACCGGTTCACCCAAGAAAGGAAAGACATTGGCATCGTCTTGATCAACCAGCACGTCAGTCAACAGTCCACCGTGTCGTTTGCCATCTGATCCTGACCCTCGTCCAGGTTGCCGACAAGATACGACATCGGATCGATACCTACACAGCAGCCTTTCCGGCTGTCCTAGAGGTTCCCAGCAAAGACCATCCCTACGATCCCGAGAAAGACAGCGTTCTGAGACGCGTTCGCCGCTTGTTTGGCGAATAAGCATGCGTCGCGCCTTGGTCGATGAAGTAATACTGGTGTCCATGGCAATTGCTGGGAGTCTGGACGGTTTTAGAGGGGACGTATCAAGGCCCTCTAGAGCATGTTCGGGCCGTGATATGCTACCGCTGCAATGATTCAGTGTACGCTAGATGTATATAAACCCTCGAAAGAACCGGATTATCGGAAATCTTGCTCACTCCAAGAACGGCCCTGAAACGACACAGCATTGAAATGACCAAATCAGGCTCGCCTTGTGAACCAAAGACGGCGCAACAATGCAAGTCCCTAGAACTCGACAGGCATGCAGTGTGTGTATGTACATTCATCGTTATCTCAAAGAGTTCCCATTAAAGCTCGATGTTGAAGAAGCTGTTCTCGAGAACAACATTGCCCTGCAGGCAGGTGATTGGCTTATCATCTGCAGTCCTCGCGTTGGCCTCGACGGTAAAAGGACCCTGACGGGGTGTCAGTATTCGCCTTGTCCAGACAACGGGGACGAATCTCATACCGGAGGAATGTGTCCTGGCAAGGAGACCGTCTTGACGATGTTCATAGTGCCGTTCTTGATGGGGCATTCGAGATCGACGTGCCTGACCTGGTCACAGAGATCCTCTTCCCTGTTTACGAGTGTAAGGAGGCCCATTTTTACGACTAAATGGACCTTGGCATTCCTCTCGATGGTGGTTTTGACGGTCCCCGTAGCATTGATGACGAGATCCCGGCCCCTGTACACCAGTCAGTCGTCGCGCGCAGCAGCGAAGGAGGCGAGCGACAAGGCTGGCGCGTACATGGCTGGCGGATTAGGTGTGAGGTTAACACTCGTGATCTGGACCTCGTCCCTGGCGATGTCGCCGGGGCAATGGTATAAGGGATTATCTCCAGGAACCTTGATCCTGTCGTCGCCGAGCACGGCCGCCGGCGCCAGCAAGGCCGAGAGGCAGGCGACGGTGACGGGGAACTTCATCGTGGGTGTGTTAAGCAGAGCAATGACGGTGCGGTGGAGGGTTTCTGCTTCGTCTTGCACAATGTCGGGAATAATCAAGGTGAGGGCAGAAGCACTGGAGTCGAGGCGCGGAGGCAGAGAGGAGAAGGGCGAGACAAACAAAGGCGGCTAGGGAGGTTGGGTGCGTCATGCGACGGCGGCCCCACTCAATTCAAAGTCTGGGGGCGGAGCGCGAGGTACAGTACCTTTCCAGGTCTTCGCAAGTGGCCCCTCAACATTAAGCAGCTGACATAAGACACAGAGGCCCGTGAGCAACTTGCGCTTCGCCCTTGGTTGCTTGGCCGCCCCAACCTGGGAAAAGCTCACGAGTCAAGCAGGCAAGTGACTGAGAAGACCAACGCCCACCAAGTCGTGCAAGGCTGTGTGCCTGAGAATTTCAGCCACAGTGGGCAACGCTCTGCCGTTCCGAAACCGGCAGAGCCTCTTTGATTGGGGGCTTGATTACTTGCGCACTGGCAGCTACCCGATTGCCTATTGCCGGCCATATGGCTTTGTTGTGTCGCAAAAGTACATAGATACCCAGGCACCTGCCGTGAAGTAAAAGGTACTTAGGTAGGTACTGTATTACCTACCTACCTTACCTACGGTGCCCGAGCATTGTATCTAGGTACCTACCTGGTAGTACCTTAGGTACTTTAAGATACTGTACACCTCCCACCAGAAACAGGTTGGCTCCTCAGACAGTGAGGTACTCGGCCCGGGGCTTTCGTTCCGGTGAGAAATGGCCGCCTCAAAGGCGCCCGCGAGGAGTACGAATTCAATATTTGCGCCGCGCATGATTATCTATCTTCAACGTCCAACTGCATTGTCACGCTGACGCTGTCCATTTCATTTGCCGGCTTGCGAGGTTTCCTGTTTTACTTCGGACCTCCTGACACCCCAATCAGACATTTCGTGAACTGGCGATCGGGGTACTGTAGGTACTCCGTACCTCGCGTACCGGTACAGAGTACTGGCACTACCGACTGGTTCAGTCCTCAGGCAGCAAACGCACGGACCACAGCGCGCATCGGCCACGTATAAAAAAGCTCGGGGGCCCGCGTCGTTTTCACCTTTCTCTCTTTCTTCTTCATACTTACCTTGTTCCAGTACTCTGAGATCATGAACCCAGAGTACTAGTGTAGGGGGCCTGCATTGCACATCGCGGAGTCATCCTGCACTCAATTGTCCTTCGGGGCCATTGGGGGCGTAATTTTTGATTATCCACCCGCTTCCATTGTGGTGCGGACTCGAACCGTGCCATGAAGGAGGCCCAACTGTTAGGGGGAGCATGTTTAGGACCCGAGCAAGTCGCGACGCGAGCCTCGTGCTGGCACTCTGATCCCACGAAGAAACAGAGTCAGCAGTGTGATGCTGGGCTATTCGGGCTTATGAGAGTGGTCCCATGTGGACGACCTCGTCGAGCCAGCCGAGGCGGCTTGTCCTGATTAAGCAAACTGCATTGCCTACGGATTCCGTCGAGATGGCGGAGCTGTAGTGGACGGCAAATTTCCTGGCCGGCTTGCGACATGTCCAGCGTTTCACCCTAGAGCGCTCTCGGCTGCACGCCAACCAGAGGTAATTACGTAGAAGGCTTTGCTGTACTGCGTACCTTGACACCTTGCTCCAAGTACCCACCTACATCACGCTCAGTGTGGCATGTTGTTCTTTAATAAGACATGCGTGCCAGACACGGCAAAGCATGCGCATGCATCGTGATTGGCTTGGCCCGTCGGCCAAATCAAAGGCTCGGATTGCACACCGTAATCAAAATTCTAGCCAGCTGGCAAGTGCCAAATGGGCTCTGCACGGCTCGGCGAGCAGGCAATCACCGTCGCGGCCATTCTCAACCAGGCTAGCGGGAGGGGTGGGGAGGGGCGCGTATCAGGGTTCCCTCTTATCGCCTCAGGCATCTGCGCCCCCGCTCATCGCCACGCCCTGTATCCACCCGGCCAAAGTCTATCAGCGGCCACCGAGATGAACAGATTATCTCGGTCGTGCCAGAGGCGAACCGTCGCCGTCTCCCTCCGACTCTCGGCACCCATCCTCGTCGTCTGCTCCCACCGCTCCCGGTCGTGGGACAGGGCGCGGCTCGCTGCAGTACGACGCGACCGAGCCTGCTCGGTCTCGACACCACAAGTCAGTCTCCGGAGCGAGGTACGGATAGTGAGTCACAGACTTGGCGGCGCAACCCTGTTTTTTTTTTTTTCATATTGCTAGGAGACAAGGTGTCCCAACGGGAGCAAGGACCGGGAGGCCGCTTACAGGCGGATACCGGGCTTTGGGCGCTTCACAAACTCGAGTCGGCGGCGATGTAAGGCAGCGAGGTCCAATCCGAAATGTCGGGGTCGCACGAAAAGCTGACGTCGCAGCTTCGAAAGGGAGGGTGTGGGCGCCGTGTAGCAGGTTGCTCGCCCGCCGCCGTTGCCGAGGCAATCGCGGTACTTCAGCACGAGGGGCGCATCATAAATGTCGCTTATAAGGGCTGCTTCCAGCTTCCCACAGCTGTACGAATTAATGCTTGCTGGTTTTGTTGACACGCGCGACGGCGCAGCGCACAACAGGCACTGTGTGTGACCGTCTGCCACTCCGCCGGACAGTACTGTACTTCGTCGCTCGAGACGGGAGCGAGGGGCCTGGCAGCACAAAGGCCGTGGGACGTGCCTTGCAGAGTGAGTTCTTCCTTCCATCTGGTCTGCTGCTGGGTGGTCTTGTCCAACCATACAGTGCTAGGTAGGTAGTAATGGGTGCTGCTGCTGCGGTTTTGTGCCGCACTGAGTATCACATACTTAGGCATGTACATGCTTGACACAGCAGAGCATGTGCCCCGGCACCATCTGTTGCACGGGAACCTGCAAGCTCGCAGCGGTAAAGGGTGCGCGAGCGAGACGGTGCGAGGTTGCGCGTTGCGTTACGCTGCGCTGCTCGCCCGCAACGGGTGGCTCTGAATGGCCGTCACGCTCGCATCCAACCGCCCTTTTCGTGGTGCCCCTCGCAGAAGCCTTGAGATTCCAGTCAGTCAGTGCCCGGTCGTCCATCGCAGTCAGGACAATCAGACCGCTTCTCCCTCTCTGCCTTCTTTCATCGACAACGACGACGGCCGACTCGCTTCTTGCTACTCGTGATGGTGAACATCTCCCTCACCATCCCCCGGCAGCGCCGAGCCCTCCTCGTGGAATCGTCCATGACCATAACGGCGACAATGAGCGCCATGCCGTGGCCGTGGACGCGCCTCTGCGTCATTCTCGTGCTTGCGAGTGCAGCCGCGGTGGCTCGAGGCGACGACGGCGCCGCCTTTGCTGTCTGACTGCCAGTTTGCAAGGTTTGCTGATTGTCCAACTAAATTTCCATCTCTCTACATCGTTCTTCTGCTCCTTGCCATGGCCCTCACTTTCCCTCTTGCCTCGGGCTCGTCTTCCCAGCTCCGCCCTGCCTCGCCTGCACCCGGAAGCCAGCACTGCCCTGGAGGGGGGAGTAGGGCTGGGCTCGCTGCCTGAGGCATCCAGACAGCAGGCTCCATCCCCTCCCGCCTATTCGCCGTTGGGTTTAGCGCCAATGCCCGCTGTCCTCCTTCGCTGCGCTGAGACGACTGCCGCCTGGCTGCTGGGAGGTACCTCGTACCCGGTACCTGCTACCTTGGCCTGCTTCGGGGTACGTATCGGTAATGGGTGTGCCGCACTCGTTGCAAGCACCCAGGTCTGCTTCGGTCGCTCTTCCCCGTCCTCCTCCTCCTCCCCCATTTCCCATTCCTCTGCAGCCCACGATCCTCTCTCTCTCCCACTCTGTCTTACTATTCTTAACCTGGGACATCCTCGGCCCTCTGCTCTGCTGGATCTGCTGTTTCGGTCCTCTGCCTGGTCGTCGTTTTCTTTTGCCCTTCCGTCCGTGCCGCGTCCTGCTCCTCCTGCGCGCAGGCCTCGAATCGCCTGCCACCTCTCCGTGACGATTCCTCCGAGTTTTCCAACAAGACGGTTCCGATCGACCACGCTCCGCACCGCCAAACAGGGCGTCGTCAATCTCAAGTTTCGAGCCCTCGACGGCCGTCTCGACGCTTGGCTCATCTCATTTTTCTCCCCAACGCTGCCGCCGCGTCTCTACCCCTGGGCTGCGTTGCAGATTTTCCACCTCGAGCCCACCCGTCGACGGTCGCGATCCCTCGGGCGGCTCGACTGCGCCCCCAGTCGTCCCAGACGCAGGAGAGCGTGATCGGTCCCAGTGACGGGTTGCGCTCTTGCTCGTGGCCCCCGGCGCGCACCTAGACAAGCGCCGTCATGCCCCCAAGACTGCGACGGTAATCAATTCACTCACGCCTCTCTCCGAAGCCGACTCCCTCGTGAGTTTCTCGCAGATTATGACAGACAAGCCTGCGCCGCTGCCGACGCAGACCGCCCTTCCCAGTCAGACCCCCGTCCTCGCACCAGCTGCACCCGTCGTCCGGAACGAGGTCGCCGCCGCCAACGCTGCAGAGACGGTGGAGGAAGAGCCCTACACCATCAAGTGTATTTGCAACTTCTCTGACGATGACGGAAACACAATATACTGCGAGACGTGCGACACCTGGCAACACATCGATTGCTTCTACCCCAACAATAGGGACGAGGCAATACGCGAGGATTTTGCGCATTCGTGTGCCGAGTGCAAGCCGCGCCCTCTAGACCGGCAAAAGGCAATTGAGCGTACGCTGCGGCTCAGGAACGCCGTCCTCAAGGAAGAGCCCGTCGACAAGAAGTCCAAGCGACCTCCATCCAAGAGCCATAAGAAAAAGGCTAAACCTGCCGACCTCCAGACTAGCATCCCTCAAGGCTCATCCGAGGCCGCAAAGCACGGCAGCCCAAGCGAGCAGCAGCATGCCTCGAAAAAAGCGAAATCCTCGCATCGCCCTTCACACTCCGTTAGCTCCCAGCCGTCGAAACGCAGCCCTTCGTACGGAAACCCGCGGCCGAACCTCGCCCATCCTCCCAGTCCCGCGACCACGCCGCCCGATCTCCCCGACGACTTTCAAATCCACCACTACTCTGCCGGCTTCTGCTCGCTGTACAACGAGCAGGATGTCCCTGACACCCACAACAATGCGTTCGCCAGCCTTGCCATCCCTACCGCGCTCTCCCGGTGGCTGCGGGAGCCGGATACGATGAAGCAAGAGGTTGGGCGCACACATGCCGAGGTTTTCCAGACTCTGCCGGCCAACGCCGACAAGACCAGGCCAAAGCTGGAAGTCAAGGACTCGACTCGCTCCCTGAATCCTGCAACGACGCTTCGATGGCGGTCTGTCAAGTCGACGGCGGCCGTCGAAAAGGACGTGCCCATCATCGAGTTGAACGGGGAGATTGGCTTCCAGAAGGATTACTGCGTGGACCCCGACAACCTATGGGCTGATCTTTCATCACCTCTCCCCTTCGTCTTCTTCCACCCCATCCTCCCCCTCTACATCGACACCCGGAAAGAGGGTTCTTTGGCGCGCTATGTCCGGAGAAGCTGCAAGCCCAACGCACAGTTGGACACGTACCTCTCCGACGGCTCGGAGTACCACTTTTGGCTCGTGAGTGATCGCTACATCTCGGCGAGTGAGCAGATTACACTTCCGTGGGACTTCCGACTCGAGAAGAGCGTCCACACTCGCTGGCTTCATCTCCTTGGCCTGAGCGACGATGACCTGGCGGCGCAGGACGAACCGGAATTGGACGCATCCGAATACACGGCTATATCCAATTGGATTGATAGAATCTTGTCCGAGTACGGCGGATGCGCATGCGATTTAGACAACAACTGCGCCTTCGCCCGGTTTCACCGCCATTATTTGTTCGGCAAAAATCAGGGCCGGTCGGCCAAGAAGCGGTCGCGAAAGTCGCGGAATCGCACCATTTCTCCCACCAGCACCAGTCATGCTACCAACAGTCGTGCCGCTAGCGAGGGCCACGTCAACGATAATGCGGACATTGATGCTAAGAACGACTCGAACCCATCGCGCAGCAAGCCTCCCAGTAGGGACCGGACGCCTCTGCAAGGGCAGTTTGACCAGCTCGGCATACTCACGGAACCAACCGATCGTGATAAAAGAAAGGTGGCAATGGTGGAAGACTCGTTCCGCCGCATGGAGCAACAGCAGCCGCCGAGAAAGAAGAAGCGTGTGTCAGACGGCGCTGTCACTTCCACTTCCACGTTGACAAAGCCCAAATCTCGGAACGGTTCCGCTGCACCCCCGGGGCGCTACGCGGACGCCGGCACTTCAAGCAGGAGCAAATCGGACTCTCCAGTAAGCGCGCAGTCCCCAAGCTTGGCCAATTTTGCGTTGTCGTCCTTGGCGAAATCACCGTGCGCATCCCAGCTGGGGCAGGACCCTGCCGGCCTGCGGCCGACATACTGCGACGTCTCTGTTCAAACAGATACAGTGGAGGGCGAGTGGTTCAGTGAATCTTGCAAATCACAAGCCAACAAGAAGAGAATCATTTCGCTCTCCAAGCGGTTACTGAACAGCAGACTCAAGAACCGTACGGGCGAGGAAGGGCGCAAGCGGCGGAGCCTCTCGGGGCAAACGTCGGCTGGAACGGTAACCGATGTCGAATCACCAACGGCCGACCTGAAGCCGTCGGTTCCAAGCTCTCTGGCGGATCCTCAGTCTCCCAAGTCACAATCTGGGGACGTGCACGCATCCGACTCACCGCAAGCAGCGACAGCAGAGGCCGCCGTACCCACGACCGCACCCACGACGACAGTGGCCATTGCTGCAGCCACGGGCGGAACGGCGCCGGAGCAAATAAAGATCAAGACTCCAGATCTCCGAGTTCAGATGCCTCCCGTCCCAACCTTCGATGGTGGCGGGGTCGTCACAACGCCTCTCTCGGCTTCAAGCACAACCATCCATTCACCCATCGTGGGCGGGCTACCGAGCCCGTTTGCGCCGCCGGCGGTCAACGGCATCGCAATCAACCCGAGCCCGATCAAGAAAAAGCTCAGCCTAAGCGACTACACCAAAAGCAGGATGAACAAGGCCGCAGGCAAGATGGTCGGGGGATCCGCCGTTCTCAAGCCCGGCTTGGCCAGCCCGGAGGAAATCAAGGTAGACGTTTCCTTGGAACCGCAGCCCATTGAAACATCTGACGAGGTGGTCTCCCCTTCAACCTCAGCCCCGGCGACCAACGGTCTTTGATATGTACGATGTGTTTGTACTTGTATTTGTTGCCGAGATCAAAAAGGGGAACTTGGTTGTTCCGAATGGGCTCGGGCTGGTTATCGGCTCTCACTGCTCCGCAACCGGACACTCAGCCGCTTGTTCTCGAGAGTGGCGCGGCGCTCTTTACATCTTGATTTACGCAGTGGCTGCTGCGCGGATGGGAAACAGGTTTATTCGGCGTTTTGGGACAGGCTGGGGCAATTGGGCGTTTAGGGAACTCGCCCAAACAAGACAGGATCGAATCAGCCTCGCGCAACGGATGCGAATGCGAGGATGGATGGAAAAGGGACCAGGCCGAGAGGGCATCTACGGGGTCTCAGCTTAGGTCACGCCGCTGTGCGCACGATTGTGACGGAAATAAAAGGGTTTCCGAGGTGGCGCTGCACCAGGACATGACTGACCAAGTAACTTGCCCACCTCGTGCGAATTGTCTGTATTTATAGGCACACGGTAGCCAGCTGTTTGACTTTGCCACGGGCCGGGTAAAGGCACTGTCACGCGAGCAAGGATGAGTCGAGTTGTTGATGTTCCAGGGGGGGGGCTCGAACTGCTCCTCTTGCGTCCGGTCTCCTGCCAGGTTACACCAATCGTCTGCTTCGCAGCCAGATCAGTGTATGTTGTGATTCGTGTTACGGCAGTTTTGCTGCCGCGATTCCCAGTTACTGTCGACGGATCAGATCCCCTATCGTTGCTCTCAGGTTTTGTTCTTTGGCTGCCTAGTCTATGTAGTAGGTAGACAGGCACACATTCACGTGCATGTACAGAGACACGCACTCCCACTCGGATCCGAGCCGGTCAGCAGCCCTCGCGGCGGACATGCCGACTCCCTCAGCGCTGCGTGGTGCCCCAATTGTCCTCCTTAAAGACGAGCAGGGCCAGCTTGTGCCGGACAAAGAGCCCAAACAGGCCCGCAGCGAGCTGTAGCAGGGTAATCTCCCAGGCCAGACGGTCCTCGCGCAGGGGTCCGCGCCAGACGAGCCACAGGTTGAGGATGGTGAAGTTGCTTGTCTCGACGAAGCGGCCCTCGTCGTCAACGGCGACCTGCAGGAGGCGGAGCTTGCCGAGCAGACGCAGGGTCTGGCCCACGAGGGGGTGGGGCTGTCGCTCCGCAGACCAGGGCGTGACGGAGGGCTCGAGGAGGCCTGTCCGCGCGTTGAACTTGGGGAGTCGGTGGCGGGGGCAGGGGACGAGGCCGAAGATTTGCGGGCACGAGTAGAGAAAGTTGAAGATTTGGGGCACGAGCAGGAGGCCCAGGGTCTTGGAGAAGTGGCCGAGGATGCCGACGACGGCAAAGACCATGCCAGAAAAGTAGCAGTAGGTGTCGCCGACAAAGACCTTGGCGGGATACCAGTTGTGGTAGAGCAGGGCGCACGAGACGCCGATCCAGGGGAGGAGAAGGTAGAGAGAGAAGAGGTGGGAGTCGGTGGCCGGGTGCGGGTAAGGGGTGAAGAGGTAGAGGCAGTCGTTGAAGACGAGCAGGAGGGCGACGGCGACACACTGCGAGACCTCGATGCCGTTGATGCCGGCGAGCATGTTGATGCTCTGGGGGCAGAACATGGCGACGCAGGCCATGTAGACATAGTAGAGGATGCCGAGATCGAAGAGCTCGCCAAGATATGGCTGCAGCTGCAAGGGCATAACAATGGACGTGACGTCAAAGTCGACGAAGTAGACGACGAGGAGGGGCGCCGAGGCCAGGCCGGGGATCCACCATTTGTGGCGCCATCGGATGTCGAAGAGGTCGTCGCCAATGCCGAGGAGGGCAACTGTCTGGAGGGATATGATGGCGCTCAGGTAGGACGCAAGCTGCAGGCAGTCGGGGGGGCGGGTCAGCGCATGGGGAGCTACAGCAGACGAGGCGGCGCGATGCCCTCTTTCTTTACCTTGTTGTGGGGAAAACGATGCAAGAAGCGGCCTTGATTGACGTGCTGGACCTCGAGGACGACGTCTCGGTTCCCGCCGCCGCTCGTCGCGGCGACAATGTCCTTGTAGAAGGGAAAAGGGATGAAAACGATGACGGCGAGGAGATATACGGCGGCACAGACGGCGCCCATGCACTCGGGGATCTCGACGCGGTTGGCCTTGCCCAGGTCGCGGCCGCGGAAGCCGGCCTTGATGAAAGTCGGGCCGAGCCAGCGGATCATGCAGAAGCAGAGCGAAAATGCGACAAGGGAGAGGGCGAGGGACGCGATGAGGGGCTCGCCGTGACCGCGAAACGTATTGGCGATGACGGCGACCGAGGCGGCGGAGAGGGAGAGGAGAAAGAGGGTTTCGGATCGCGAAAGCGACGTCGACGAGGCGGCGGAATGGGCGGACATGGCGTGCGGGTGAAAGGGTCTCGTAGTCGACGACGAATCGGTATTATTGGTTTCGGTCGTGGCGCGATTGTTACGGGAGCGCGCCGAGTTGCAACATCATGAAGATTCGAGGTGACGGCATGCGCTGGACGCGAGGGCCGAGGGCCGAGGGCGGGGGACGGAGGGCGAGGGTCGACAGCGGGGCTGCGGGTGCCTGCGATGGCCTGCTGTGAGGGATATGCTGCAGGCGCGCAGCCGGAGAGAGAGCCGTCTGGGTCAAGACGATGAGGGCGGATGCGAGATGCCTTTTTTTGGCGGGATGGTGGTTGAATGAATTACTATGAAGCCACTTTACCTTGGCGGAACTGCCGGAGAGGTACCTTAGGTACAGAGTACCTGGCAGCTGCGGGGCTCTTGTTTAGAGAGATGGGATGCTCCCTGGGTCGTTGCCTACCTAGGGATGTACAGTACTGTACTGTACCTAGCAAAAGGAAGCAATCTTCAGCTGTGCAGCCAATCAGAGTGCTCCTTGCACGTACATATTCTGTGCAACCCGCAACGTTTTCCAGCATCTGGCCAAAAAGTCTCACCAAGAAGTCTCAGCCACTGCCGAGCAATAGCCCTGCTTCTCAATACCGAATCTCGATCGGGGCCTCAGCAAAGCCTGGCTGGATGTGGGCACCAACGCCGAGTCCCTCTGGAACGCATGACGGGCTTGCCCGGCTGCCAAGAAGACGCGTGTCGACACGATGCTTTCCAGGGTTGGTTGCCGACGAACGCAGGGCCTTCTCGAGCGGCTCGTCGGCCTTGTGTCAGAATCAACGGCTCCCGTCATCTTGGCCCGTCGATGGCACATAACGACGTGTCTCCTGTTCCGGCCTGCACGAGCTGGCTCAAACCCCTCTCATACTGCAACCCGCCTGACGCCCAACTCAGCTCGGCTTCGGGGCCCGAAACTCACTTTTGTTCGGAAATGCTATTACTGACAGCTCCAAGATGGCCACGACATGTGGATGGACGACCGAAGGCTGCATGGATCCTTGTCCATGTCCGCGCCTGGTGGATCCCAGATGTGGACAGCCTCTCTTTCTTCCGAGTCGACGTTGGATGTCAAAGGCGCGTACAAGACCGTCGTCCCTTACAGGAGTATTCATGGACTCAGTCATCCTTCACGAGCCAGCCCTATGTCCTTTGCCATGATGACTACCAGCTGGCCGCACTGTCCCTCTCCTTCTCCGTGGTCGGCGTCCGCTGCCAGCTGCAGGAGCCCGCGTCTGAACCCTGTCCTCGGCCTCGTCTGATTCGGCGAGCGGACTTAACCACGGGCGTATCGAGCTGCTGCCAGTTGGAAGTCGTGCCGCAATATGGCTAGGATCCATCTCGATGCATCTTGGGCAAGGTTGCTTTGGGACTGCGCCAACATGGCATCCAGATAGTCTCTTTCGCCGCTGTGCAGCACCTTGACCGCCCAAGCCCGAGGTACCGCTCGCCTCATTTTACTGGCTAGCATCCTTTCACCGAGTTCTCGGCAATGCTCCCCGTGTTACACGGGTTGGACTCTCGTAACGCATGCTTGACAAGTTCCAGCTTCGCTGACACGCTCCTACCCAAAGCCCCAACAATGGCCATGTCTTTCTCTGGAGATCAGCCGGGCATCGTCCCCGTTTGCCTTTCTTTTCGTTTTCCCTCCTTTTCCTTCCCGTCTTGTCTAGGCAACGAGCCCGGCCGCGACAGAAAGCGGTGAGATTTTCGACATGGTTTCGCCAGACGGGGAGTGTCCCCGAACCGGATCGGTGGAACCGGCCGATGCCAATCCCGCGGCCGACGACTCGGTCTCATCGGCCGGCACTGAAACTTTGGGCGGCATTGAAAAGTCGACAAAGGCCGGCGACGTCCGTCCAGGGGCCGGGAAGGATTCTGGAGCCTCTGGAGTTGGAGACGTGGACATCGAGGCGCAAGGAGTGGGCCACACTCAGCGCTCCACCCCCGACCTCGGCGTGGAAAGAGTAGAGACTCGCAAGTCCCACCACGGCTTTCTCAGCAGGCTCTCCCAGGGCAAGACCGAGAAGCTTCCACCCCCCGTCGTCCCCGTCATGGACCTCGCCAGGGGTATCGTCGGTTGGGAAAGCCAGCACGACCCCGAGATGCCTCTCAACTTTTCCCCCAGCCGCAAGTGGCTTATTGTCGTGCTCCTAGCCGCCATTACCTTCATGACGCCGTTTGCCTCGTCGATCCTGGCGCCGGCCCTCTCCGCCATGGAGGCCGAGTTTGAGGAAGACGACATCACCAAAGGCTCCATGCCCGTCAGCATCTTCCTGCTGGGCTATGCCGTCGGTCCGCTGTTCCTCGCGCCCCTGTCCGAGATTTATGGCCGCAGCGTCGTCCTGATATGCGCCAGCGCCTGGTTCTGCGCCTGGCTGATTGGTTGTGCCGTGGCCCCGACCCTCGATGCGCTCATATTTTTCCGCTTCATGTGCGGCATAGGCGGCTCGGCGTGCCAGAATATCGGGGGCGCCATCATCGCCGACGTCTTTGCCGTCAGCGATCGCGGGCGAGCAATGACGTTTTGGATGCTGGGGCCCATCTTTGGACCGTCGTGCGCCCCCGTCATCGGGGCCTTTGTGTCCCAGAGCATCGGGTGGCGATGGGTCAACTGGCTGGCCTTTATTCCCGCCACCATGATCGTCGTGGGCATGATGTTTCTCAACCGCGAGACGAACCACCAGGTGCTCATGGCGCGCAAGGCCGAGAGGCTCCGGGGGGAGCTCGGCAGGCCCGAGCTTCGCAGTTGCTATGTCGACCCCGACGCCCCCATGCTCACCAAGCGCCGGATTCTCTTCATCGGTCTCACCCGCCCCCCGAAGATGCTCTTCCGCTCGGCCATCCTGTCCAGCGTCTCGCTGTACATTGCCTTTGTCTACGGCTGCCTGTACCTCCTCTTCAACACCATTCCCGTTGTCTTCCGGGATAGTTATCACTGGTCCGTCGGCCTCACGGGCTTAGTGTATCTCGCACTGTTCGTGGGCTATGCCGTCGGCCTCTTGTCCTTTTCGCTCTTGTCGGACCGCACCGTCGTGCACATGACGGCCACCAACGGCGGTGTCTACGAGCCGGAGATGCGCCTTCCCGACTGCATGTGGTTCGCTCTCATCCTGCCCATCACCTTCTTCTGGTATGGCTGGAGCGCCGATAAGGCCCTTCACTGGATCGTTCCCGTCATCGGCATTGTGCCCTTTGGGGTCGGCATCGTGGGGGTGTGGCTGCCCATCCAGGCGTATATTGTCGATGCGTTCCCGCAGCATGCCGCGAGTGGCCTGGCCGCCTTTTCAGTGCTGCGATGCGCCGTCGCTGCCTTCCTGCCCCTGGCCGGCCCGCAGATGTACAAGACGATGGGTGTCGGATGGGGCAGCTCGCTGCTGGGCTTCGTTGCCGTGGCGTTAGTTCCGATCCCAGCGCTGATTTACAAGTACGGCAAGTGGATGAGGACTCGCTATCCGTTGAAGCTGTAGTGCCACCTCTGGCTACGGCTCTCTCTGTTGCTTCGTCGCGGTTGCAAGCCGTATCGTTTGAACCATGTCAGGTTCTGGCGCCAAGAGCAAAGGAGCGACGGTCACAGTGACTTGCATCAGAGGTCGTTTTTCGTATCAGAAAGATTTCTTGATCACCGACTTTGAGCATAAGACGGCCGCAACATCACGGCGGATCATTGAAGCAGGATGATTAGAGGTCAAATGAATCGTGGCCAACACTCAACGTGAGTATCTCTTACCGAAGCCAGCTGTCAGGCCCCGTCCTCGCTACCACGAAAAGAAAGAATCGAAAAGCCTTGCGGTCCGCTACTTCTATCGTACAGCCAACTCGTCATGTCTGCCGAAAATAATCGCTCCAATTTGAGTCCGTCACGGTCAGGTGCCTAATCTTTGGCAGCTCCTTTGCCTTGGGCGGCCCCTTTGCCCTTGGCGGCGTCGACGATGTCGCCGATGGGCTTGGACAGGCCTTTCGGTTGGAAGATGCCGGTGAGGACGGTGTCAGTGATGGCGTTTCCCAGGTTTCCCTCAGCAGCGGCGCCTGCAATGAAGCTGGTTAGGAGCTACTGCAGTCAGGGGAGAGGGGGTATTTGCTTACGACGGGTGGCCGGGGCGGCGGCGGCGAGGGAGGCGAGGAGGAGAGCAGCGGCGGTGGTGAACTTCATGCTGAAAGTGGGAGTGAAGAGTCGACGGTTTGTTTGACTGTGGAAGGGCAAGTTGTTGAGTGTGCTTGAAGCTGGAAGTGAATGATGGAGAGGTGGATGGCCAAGAAGACGGCACACAGGACCTCTTAAATACCATTGAGATGGTCAAGCTCACGAGTCTCTCTGCCTGTCTCTCTCGACACTGGCGGCCGAGGAGCTGCGCGACAGAACCCTGTTCCTTGACGTGACATGTCCATCCTGACGCAATGGATTTGCCCCCCCCCCAAGAGCGGCCTGGTCGTCAAGAGAGGGAGGGTACCGGTGAAAGAGTCGGCGAGATGTGTAAGAGGCTCCAGTTGATCTTGCAGGGTCCAACCTGGCCCGTTTTTTGTACACTCATGGTGCGACGACGATGGTTAGGGGCAAACCACTCGGGCTGCCCACGCACAGAAACATAGACAGGCCGTTGTGGTTACCTGATCCGTCACTTTTCGCTTTGATCTGGAAGAAGGGCAAGGGACGGATGCCGGTTCTTTCGAGTCCGGTTCTCTTTATTCAGGGTATGTTGTACGAGGCGGCCCACTCGGCTCCTTGCAGCACTTGCAAGACGCGAGAGCACGAACGACTGGGGAAGGGGTTCTCATTTCCCGCCAGAGGCATGTAGTCTGTGTCTTTGAATCTGGGTGTTCTTGTTGCTCCGGGCCTCCGGGTCCGTTGCTGCCTGTCAGCGCCGTCTGGCAGCCCGATTGGTTCCCTCTCGCCGGCGGGTCCGCAGCGGCATGACGGAGGCAAACTCTGTGACGACATGTTCACGCCGAGTGTGGACGGTGACGTAGCGCCAGGAACAGGTTAAACTCGACCCCGAGTCCCCCGGCTTTGACTGTGTGTGCCTTGACTGAGTCTAGCCTGCAAGTAGCACGAGTCCATTGGGCGATGACTGCTCGTCTTCTTGACACAGGACGAAAAATGAGGCGAAGATAAACCCCGGGGTCGAGATCTCCAGCGCCGTCGAATGTGCTGCAACAGCGCGTCCGTCAGTCCTCTCCATGCAGTTAAACCGCGGATGCAACTGTCAGATGCGGATAGAGCAGACAGCTATTAATATAACCATCCTCGCCAAGGGAGGCAGGCCGCTGTCGGAGCGCCCCACTTTTGCCTGATTGGTTAGGCGGTATTTTGATTGGTCGGATGGCAACCTCGTAGGGCTGGCCTTGGCGTCTCCGCTTCTCCCAACAAACTTGTCGACGGACAAGTGAAACTCGAGCCCGGAACCGACGAAGCCGAGGCTCGTCGTTGTCAGAGGCTCTCGTGTTTTGCTAGGCGAGGGCCCCGGCGTGACCTACGCGATACGACGTTGACGGGCCCGAGATTGAGACGGCTTGTCCCCACAATGTTTTCTTCGCGTTGGAGCTGTGATTCGAGGAAGAGAGTGGCAGCAGCCCTCATCCTGGCAGACCAAGATTCGCACAGGCCTGTTTCCGCAAAATCGGGCGCGGCAGGTGACGCTGACTCGCTTGGCTGGCCGACGTCCCGCCCCGGTGCAGGCAGCGTCGTCTTTGGACAGGTCCCCCAGTTCCAACACCAGGCTCGCCGGGATGGAAGGAAACGGAGCGACATAACAGGCAGCGGCTCCGGGCGGCCCGACGGGACAGAGTACGCATCCTGTCGACGGGAAAGGTCCCCTAGGTAGATGGGTAGATGGGTAGATGGGTAGCTGGGTAGCTGGCGTTGGGACCGTTTCCTCCCTCGGCCGAACCGCCTTTACCATCCGTGCGCACGGCCACCATACAGTCAATTTGGTATTATAGGTACGGAAGGATTAGTTGCCAGCTTTGTTTATTGTCTGTGCCAGCCCTCCCCGGACGCGTTGCAACGCAAAAAAGCACCCGAGTTCGACGTCCGTCGGAGGGACAGTCCTCGACGCCTCCTCCCCCTGTTGCAACCCATGTCGACTTGCGTTCTCCCCCTTCAGACTAAAGGGTTCCCGTCTGAGCAACATGTTCGTCGCCAGGCGCACATCTGCGCTCGCCAAGTCCATGAATCATGTCCCGAGCCCGATGGCCTGACACGCCTGCGCCTCCCGGGAGCAGCAGCCTGACCAAGTCCGGGGCCACCCCTTGACTCTCCACGGCCGGCATCCATCTCTTCATTAATCCCTGCAAGCCCACTCAGGATCCCTTGACTTCGACCATGAAGCCGGGGCAAAATTCACGTGCGACCTCGACGTCAGACCAGCTCCCACTTCATAACGTACGACCACGACATGCCGACCCTGCCCCTCTTGGACAGGAACTCGGCCGCCGACACCCCCCGCGCGTCCCTGTCGTTCATGGTCGTCAGCTGCGCAACCTCGACCGACTGGCCCGGCGCCCCCAGCTGCCTGGCGTCCACGTCGATCCAGTGCCAGAAGCCGTTGCTCTCCATCGGCACCATCTCGTCCTTGCGCCCGTCCACCCCGTGGATGCTGAGCAGCAGCAGCGGCGCCTTGCCCAGCCCGTTCCTCTCCGGCGTCCAGTGCTCGCAAATCTTGGAGAACTGAAACCGCACCGACCCGCCGCCGTGCACCCGAATGTCCCGTTCCCGCGGCTGCACGCTGTCCTCGGCAATGCCCTCCTGGTGCCCGTTTGTGTAAAAGGTCGGCGGCTCGCCGTCAATGGGGCCTCGAAAGTACTCTTCCCACGACACGGTCCGCCCGTCGCTCCGGAATTGGTGGCTCGCATCCTGCGGAAAGTGTCGGAGTCCAAACTTTTCGTTGCTCGACGTGAACTGTTCCGGGCTGAACTCCTGCTTGTACAGCTGGTTGTCGCCGCAAATGTGCCCGGCTCCCCAACAGGCATCTATCAGCTTCCACCCGCCACCGTCAATCCTCACCGCGTTCCATGCGTGCCCGTCTGGCTTGGCCCGCGGCGGCCGTTCTCCCTTCTTCAATGGTACGTGCCCGAAGCCCTTGCCATGGCCGCAGACCATGATGCAGTCCAGCCCAGCTTGATTGGCAATGGCCTTGTACGTCTCCGCGTACCCTTGGCAGACAGCCCGGCCACCGAAGATGGTCTGCTCAACCGACATGCTTCTTACATTGTTGCCGAAGAAGGCAACCGTGTCGTAGTGAATGTTGTGATGGAACCACGTAAAAATGGCCCTGGCCTTGTCCGTATAAGAAGGGAAAGGGTCGCAAAGCCCGCGAGCCAAGTGCCCTACCGGATCCTTTCTCGGGAGAGACTCTCTCGGGAATTGCGTCGCTACCCTGTCTGGACCGCTCCAGTCCCGACACACCCAGCAGTCACCTGGCGTCTGTGTTCTTGTCACCGCCTTGGCTGACGCGGCTTGGATTTGGGCCGCCGACGGCCGCGAAGCACGGGGAATCGGGGGAGGGACGTCGTCGTCGGCCAAGGTCGTCGTCGGCCTGGTCGGAATCGGTGGGCGCTGAGGCGTTTCCTGCCCGCTGCTGAAGCCTCGGATCGGGGGCAGTTTGCGAGGGGCATTTTTTGCCTCATCCGTTTCGGATCCGGTCGGTTGGGGTGCGCTTGGCGGCTTTGCCGGTCTCGAGGGCACCCTCGGCGGGAGACTTGGTCTAGATAACGGCGCCGGACTGGAAGATGCTGAGGGGGCACTCGGTCTGGTAGACTGCCTTTCCGTGGCCTCTTGTGCCTTGGTCTCGGACTCGCGCCTCGAGGGCGGCAGCGGGGGCAGGCTAGAGGGGTCAGAGAGGGCTGGGGCTAACTTGCGCTGGTAGGCGCTCCCGTTTGATCCATGGCTCGGTTTGGAAGAGGGAAGACGGCGCAGAGACGATGACGACGACGACGACGACGACGACAGTTGGGACATGTCAGAAGATGCAGAGTTGCGCCTGAGCGTCACGAGGCTGGACTGGGTCGAGGTTCGCCGGGGGAGCTGGGGAATAGAAGGCCGGGAGGACGGCGCTCTCGATGGCAGTGGTGGGGGGACGGGGCGCCCATTGTCACGTATCGCCGTAGTCTTGTCTCCAGACACGACAGATATTTGGGTATCGCGCCGAGGCAGTGGCGGCGGGTTCGATGGAGCGGACGGCGGAGGCAACACGGAGCTTGGGCGACGGGCCGAGGCATCGGGGGTGGCGGGAGCAGGGTTCGTCGCCCGCGCCTTTGCAACGGGGGGCGGCGGCGGAGGAGGCCTTTTGCGGACGGGCTCGACCAAGGCCGAGTTTTTCTGGCGGTTGAGGGCGGTGATTCTGTCGGCGAGGGAATTGAACTGGGTTTCCTCAGCGTCGGCCATGGTAGCGGGGCAGAGGTGGCCGTTCGCGGTCGAGGGAAGTACCAAGAAGTAGGAGGCGAGGAGGAGAGACGTGGCCAGGCCGCCGAGGATGGAGGTTGTTCCTGGAGATGGGGGGGGGGTGAAACTTTGAAAAGAGGATGGAGAAGACCAGGCCTTATCATGGCGCAGATCGGGGGCCAAGACTCTTGCTGTGGGGTGAGGTGGAGCTTGGATCCAGGGGCCGAGTATCCGTACCTTGGTAAGGTATATATACAAACGCTGTAGCGGGGACACGTGGAGCGAAAGGAACAACGAATCAATGCGGTAAGAAGAGACAGTGAAAGAATAGAACAAGAAGGGCGAAGTGATGGAGTGCTGGGTAGCCTGACAGATGGATGGGCGGCTGTGCAGGCAGGGGCCGGTTGTGCGTGTTCAGATGCCTCCAGGTACGACATGTCCTTCTCCGAGTGTGCCTGGAACTGCCAAGAGGAAAAGAGGAATCGGTGCCTCGTCCCCGAGCTGTGCCGTGCTGTGATTACTCCGCACCCTCTCAGCTGCCACGAGCCAGGCAAGTGGAAGGAGGCGGGTTAGGGCTCGGGTAAACTGCCCAACCAGTTTCAATGGCTTTGGAAGCATATACCGGTAATGCACAAGTACTCTGACTTGTGAGCACGGGCCCTCGCGTGCGGGGGGAGACGTGGGGTAAGTCGTCGACGGCAACAGGCGTCTCCCGTTTCCATGTAATTTGCGTACGGTAATTACTGTAAATAGTGTTCTGTGCTGTAGCGCTTCCAACCAGCAAACATGGCACACGGCTAGGTCGGTACCTAGGCACTTACGGAGAACGGTACTCTACGCTCCGCGTGCAGTACAGTACTTCATTCTCAGAGGGCTCTACTGCTGTGCGGCAAGCATGCCAAGGGTCACATGCTCGTGGCCTCCGTCAAGGCACCGTCTCCAGTCGAGGGCGAGACAGACAGACACCCATCTGGTGACTGTGTAGGCCGCAAACGAGCCACTAACAAGTAACAACCACGCCTTGCAGCCAACACATGCATGTGCCGTTGTACGTAGAGGCAGCACTTGGCTGGCCTACCCTACAGGCCTACAGGAGAGCCGCCTCCCCCAACGCCAAGCCAACAAACTCCAAGAGGTGATGAGACAACAGTGGACAAAATCGACGTCGCACCGCATCCGTCCTCGGGGCGGCGAGACTCACCACGCAGCATGGAACTTACTGTACGGATACCACCTCTGCAGGCCAAGCGCCGCCGAACGAGACTCAAACGGGCCTCGTATGTCACCCAAGTTACTGTACCAACAACACCCGCCATGCCACCAGCTGAAGCCACGCACGACGGGTGGCGCTAAACGCACCCACGGATCGCTGATGAGAGCGGCAGAGCAGCGCACGGTCCAGCGCCTAGGGCCGCCCCACCCACCCGCTGGCAACGGAGCAGAGACCCCTGCTGGACGAGACCGGATGGATTTGCCAACGACTTCTCTCTCCGCTCTCCATCCGACCACCTTCTACCACCAACGATCGCTCCCAACGCATTCTTTTCCCGCCCGCGACCCAGCAGCACTCCACTGCAAGATTCTTCTTTCCCTTGGCCGCGCCCTGTCCCTCCCAGCAAGCCCATCCACGTCTTACCAAGTAAAGATCGTGGGGCGCCATCCCAGCCTTGGTCGCCCGCCAACCGGCCGCCACCTGGCCAGCATCTCTTCCTCGATCCCGTTGCCGCCTTGGCCATCGCTCAATTGCGCTTCCCCGTATTCTTCCGCCCTCACGCCCATCGCCGCCTTGTCCTCGGCCTCTGCCCTCTCCTGCACGCGGCCTCCAAAGCGAGCAGTGTCTGCCTCTCAATCGACGCCACCGTTTTCACCACCGCAGTCCCTCGCCTAGGGCACAGGTGACAGGCCATCGCAGACAACCCAGCCAGCGCCCGTCTCCCCCCGCCGCCCGTCACCATGGCAGCCAAGGCTGGCGGAGACGAGGCTGCGGCCCGGACAAGCCTCTCGTTTCTCCATCTGCCGCCCGAGACGCAGCAGGACATCATCTCCCATGTAAGTGCTCGGCCTCTCCCACAACGCAGCTGCCTGACTGACCGCCGCCAAGTGCTCCCAAGCCGATCTCATATGCGTCGCACTCGTCTGCAAGCGATTCCACGAGCTGGCCTCGGCTCAGCTCTATCGCAACTTCCACATCGTCTTCCCCGATGAAGACGACATTAACTTTGATTCGCCCATCGATGGCCTCGCCGGCGGCCTCGACACTTTTACAACCAGCGACTACAACTACGCAAAGTACCTGAGAGACCTCTCCATGGACACGCTGAGCGCCGGCGTCAAGGGAGAAAAGTCGTATCAACCCTACGTCTACACCGCTAGCTGCGGCAAGTTCCTCAACAGCCTTCTTCACCTGACTCTCAGGAAGGCCACCTCTCTCGAAACCTTTCGGTCAGCAATGCTCGCCTCCCATCCTCGTCCCGCCTCGGGCCCCTGATTTGCTGACTCGACCGTCTTCTACTTGCGCGGGCAGATGGAATATCCGTGTCGAGCTGAGCCGGCCCGTATACCGAGAACTCCATCGGATCCAGTCCCTGACAAGACTTCATGTGCGCATGCAAAATGGAAATTCGTACTACAACCCGCCCCCTCCCCTACCTGCGTCCGTCGACACGCACCCACAAGGCTCCGCGAACCACTGGCCTGCTCTCCTGCCGCCTCTCACCACCCCTCTTCCGCCGCCGCCGCCACCCCCGGGAATGTCGCCGCCACAGCCAGCCGGCCCACCCCCCGCCTTGTTGCCACCGTCCAAGTCCGCATCCAAGAGCAGAAGTGGCAAGCGGGGCTTGGGCTGCAGAGAGCCGTCCACCTTTTCCGGGTTTAAAAACCTCAAAGCCCTGAGTGTTCTCGACATTGAATCCATCGACGTCGTCCCGGAGATTAGGGCGTGCGTTAAGAACTCCTTTTCGACGCTCAAGGAGCTGCAGCTGTCCCTGTCCGATGACCTCGCACAGCAGTCCCGGAAGCCTCCGCCCGACTCGGATGCCGAAGACTCCGATCTGGACGACGACTTTCAAGTCGTGTCGCAGAGCATAAACTATGACGCTAGCGGTCCCGCCAAAGCGTTCCGCGCACAGGAGGAGCGCAAGCTCCACGAGGCTATCCTCGGCAAGATCCTCGATATTGAGCAAACGCTGGTCAAGAAGTCGCCCATTCGACCAAAGGCCCAGGAGAGCGCTTGGGGCCATGCCAAGAGCGACGAACCAGCAGGAAGCGCTGCTGCCCAGAGTTCCCATGAGGATTTTATCTCATCCATCAAACGGGCATCGGCTAGGCTAATAGCCCTGCAGAATGGCTCCAGAGACTTTTCAGTGTCTCAGCAAGATATCTTGGACATCATCGAGAAGGCCGCGAGAAAATATGTCGATTCGTGCGACCACTCGCCCCTCCAAGGTACAGAAGGGACAGGTGCCGCCAGCGAAAAGCTCGGGGAACTGGACAAGGTCGAGGGCGACCCGGTGCTCGACGCGGCACAGCAGACAAAACAAGGCAGTGTCGCCGACCACAGCGTTGAGGGGCAGAGCGCCCATCCCGAGGACGCCGCTGATGGCGAATCCCCGAGCAGCAAATGCCTCGGCGAGAATGTCACCCCCGAGTCCCCGCCAAATAAGCTTCCCGGAGAAGAAGTCGTTCCTGACGACATCGACATTGCTCATATCGACATGATTGGGGACGAGCCGTATGATTATCTCGAGCACACGACTTCTGGTCCCTCGGGAGACGAGTTTACGCGCGGGAGCCAAACGACTACAACTCAAGCCGAAGTATGTGGCACTGCCGCCTCCGAGACCACAAAACCGCCATGCGGTGCAGCCGACGAGTCGCGATCCGCACCGGCGGCGAACCAGCTCTCCGGCCTATCCCGAGTGCCAAGGGCTGCCCTCCGACCACTATGGGAGAGGCTCAACTGCTTGCAAAACCAGTTCTCCAAGGTAGCCGCGAGGGTCGAAAAGTTTCGATCCCAAGCGGCCGCCGAGGGATACCCCAAGACAGGCGTGTTCGACGCCGAATTGAAGATGCTCAACCAGAGCGTCGGGGACATGTTCAATGAGATCCAGGCTATAGAGGCCGAGGCCCTCGCCATACCGGGGCAGAAGGCAGCGCGACCTTTGGACCAGAATCCAAAGGAAGAGACGGTCCGGCGCTCCATGGTGGCCTATGCCCGCGACACCAGAGGGTTGTCGGTGGAATCGCTGAGCATCCACCTCGTGCCCGTCAAAGCATCGGTTCTGTCCAGGGGCGTCGACCTGGCTTCTCTCAGACAGCTCACGCTGCTCAACGTGGGAAACCAGGTCCCAATCTGGACGCTGCTGGCCAAGGAGGGTAGGACGCGGCCGCTAGCACTCCGCAGCGTCTTCACAGATCACGTCACGACGGCCTTTCTCTCGTGCATGGCCCAGCTACCCGAGCTGCACGACCTCTTTCTGCTCGAAAGGAGTGCTAAGCACAAGCCGGAGAGCTTCGCGTCCCGCACGACGACGACCATCGACCAGATCCGGCGGCTGGTGCTGAAGAGACATATGCCGACGCTCAAGCGCCTCATGATCAAGGATGAGACCCGTGGGCCAAACTGGGACGTGAATGAGAAGACCATGATTCTCGTCTGCACGCGTGGGGTGCATCTCGAGGAGCTGGCGCTCAGCATGAACATCCACGCCGTGGTAAGTTTCGACTGTGTGTCACGCGTGCCGTGGCAAGCCAAGCTGACGCAGCATCAAGCACGCATTCATGCAATACTTTTCGGGCCTCTCCAATCTGCGGGCCATCAATATCCTCCACTTCAAGAACAACGACACGTGCATCTGGGTCATGCGCGAGATTCTGAGGTTCATTGTCGATAACCTGTCTCACCACCCGGAGCTCAAGTTGGAGTGGATCGCCATGGAGGACGAGCGCGTGGACCGGGTGGTTAGGCCATCAGAGGTGGCCGGCGAGGCTCGCGAGGCGCAGCCGACGAAGCGCTCCAAGGGCAAGAGCAAGGGCAAGGCTCACGTGCCAAATGGTATGACGTTGGACGGCGCCTATCCCTTGCTGCCGGTGGACGGCCTGGAATCGGAGAGCGATAGCGACGGCGAGGTTTCCGACAGCGGAACTCGACTCCGGTTCAAGACGGTCGGCCCGTTGCAATTTTATGACGTCTGGGGGGTCAAGATCTTCGAGAAGGAGGTTCGAAGCGGGCGCTTGTAAGGGTTGGAGGCCGCGCTGGCACGGCTCAGGGGTCGAGAGGGGAAGGCGGGCTGCTGGCTGTCGGCCGCCTCCCTATGGAAGGCTATTTCCGAGGAGCCGGCGCGAGCTAGGCCGGGGACAAGAGGTCGCATGAGGCGACGAGGTGGCTTCGACACGCACGACCTTGGGACGACATGGCCAGGCCGGTGCCGGATGGTATAGGGCGCACATGGAAAGGTGGTTTTCAAGGGGGCCAAGTCGGCAGTTGGGTTACGACGGCAGCTGCCGATGAATTGGGGACTCGATGACGAAAGGGTGATGAGAGATTCCCAGTCGTACGAGGCCGGCATATCACGAAGCGCATGTCGCCCCTTGACGAAGGAGGGAGAGCGAGAGCAAGCGTACAGCGAGCTGTGTGTTTGTCTAAGGTGCGCAGCGCTGGAATTGTCGATTCCATGTAGGGGATACTCTGTATAGAGTAGATGGTATGTATAACTACCTATACATATGTCGTTGGCGATGACTTTGAGAGTCGCGAGCACAGCTGCCGGCATGTGATTTGCGGAGCAAGGGGGCTGCATCGTGCGAGCGCGCTGGCGATGGCGATGCTGACTGACATGAAAATACAGTTATCAGATGATGGAGTGAATGAGTCTGACAATGACGTGTGCCGGCCGTTGTCGATGCCGTACAGGAGAGTACAGTAGAGCGTGGGAGCGTGGATGGAAGGACTTGGGACTGATGCAGCACCCGCAGCAAGCCGGCAGCCCAACGGAGGGATATATGTGTGTATGTATGTGTGTGTGCCTGTGCCAGCGGTGCTGTACTGTAGCCGCTGCTTGTCGTCCGTGTCCGCGTTGAAGTGCCGTCATCAGGTATTCACGAGAGTCGAGTGGGGGCGAGCGAGAGGATACAGACACGGTGCAGCGGAGACAGGACTAGCAATAATTACGCACTGTACGTTGACGGCTTGATCTCCGAGTTGGACAGTGTATTCTGACTCTGAACACGCAGTAGGGCGAGAGGGCGAGCCTACAGCTCTCCTCCCCCCGCGTTGCGGATTTTTCGCACGAATCAAACGCACATGCTTCGGCTACGATCTGGATCTACGCCGTCGTCGGGCAGCGCCCCATGAGACGATTTATTGGCTGTCGAAAGAGCTCGATGCAGCGGGTCTGAGGCAAACCCAGTCCTTCTTCTACTTGTCCAGCGCAGTGGACGCGGCTCGTCAGTTCTCTCAGGCCAGGTCTCCCAGGCCAGGTCTCCCAGGCCAGGTCCCGTGGACACGACAGACACGACAGACACGACAGACACGACAGACACGACAGACACGACAGACACGACAGACACGATGATTACGCCGTCTCACGCAGACGGCCGTACCCGACCCGACCCAGGACGACCCCGGCCGACGCTGGCTTGGCAGGCTTGTACAGCAACAGCAACAGGCGGCCCACGCGGCTCGAGTAGATGCTACCTACCAGGAAGGCAACCTCGTTGATGCGGAGACGCGGGCAGAGAGCCAATGCCAAACGCCGAATCATGGGCTTACCAATCCCGAGCTTGGGTTCCAGCATGAGGGAGGAGCGCTTCCCCGACACCCACTGGAAGCCAAGACGGTTGCATGACGGGGGGCCGAGATGCGCCTACCTCGGTGCCGAGTACCATTGACCCTCCCCTGTCTATCCGCACGGGAGCTTACTGTACCCTCTCCCTACCCATGGGCAGACCAACATCTTGGGCCGTTGGTCTGCAGCTTATTCCTGGGCATTGGCCTCTTCCCCCCCCTGTCGCGCCAAACGCTGACCACGGGCTCCGCGACACACTTGAGCTCGTTCCCACACTTACAAGGGAGCCCAAGCCCAAGGCAACTTCACCATGTCACAGAGGGCCCGTCCCGGACATCGGCAGCAGCATCGTGTTGGGCCTCGATGCCGCCCCAGGCCAGCGGATAAGCTTCCCGCATCTGCATCGGCCATGGTAGATATACCGGCCAAGCCTCCCGGATCACCATTGATTGCCGCCTCTCCTCCTTCTGGCCTCTTCTCCCGTCTTTGCTCGTCTTCCCCCCTGCCCCTTCAACCATTCATTCTCGTCCCCATCTGCCTACTCCGCACTCAATGGAATCCTCGTGGCCTCTCCAGCCGCTCGGGTCGCCGGCCGTTTCCCACGACGACTTACCCGCCGGCAGACCCTTGACGCCCGCAGCATCATCGTCTGTGCCGTCCTCGCCAATGTCTCCATCACCGCCGTCTTCCCCATCGTCGCACTCGTCCGCATCACTGCCACCGCAGCCGCATTCGCCCTCGCCCCTCACAGCTTGTGCTGCCACCACCGCAACCCCGCTGGAGCCACACATCCTGCAGCTTCCCGCCGATATCCTCCTCTTGATATGCGACCAGCTTGACACGCCAGAGGCCCTGAGCATGTCCCTCACCTGCAAGAGCGTCTTTGCCCTCAGCCTCACCATGTGCCAGTGTCGGCGCAAAATGCCCTCCGAAGAGCGGAGGCGCTTCCTCTTGCTCCTCGAGGCTGATGCCCGCATGGGCCGCGGCGTCTTCTACTGCCACGCATGCAACTCTCTGCACCCCTTCCAGAGAGATTGGGGCCCTCGCTCCGAGCGTGAAGCCAGCGGCGCCCCCGCACGTCCTCACCATTGCGGCATCAGGGACCGCTTCGCCCCCGCCGGCAACCCCTTCGGCCTGTCCTACCACCATGCTCGCCTCGTCATGAACCAACATCTATACGGCCCGGGCCGTGGCCTGGCCCTCGGCAACATCTGCGTCCGGCACACGGAGCGCAGGCCCGCCACCAGCATCCTCTGCACCACCGACGCCCAGATCAAGGACGGTGAGCTCCTCCTCCTCCGCACCTACGCCTTCACCGTCGCCGACGACTCCATCTCCGAGTTCCGCCGTGGCGGCGGGCCCCGCGACTTCCGCCTCTGCGAGCACACCTGTTTCTTCCCCCACTCCTCCTCGTCGCCCTATCGCCAGCACATCCCCCAGCTGCAGCCCCCCCGGACCGGCGACCAGGCGTTCCCCCCCTGCCACGACGCCCCCGGCTCGTGCGGCCTGTGCCTCATGGACTACGTCATCACCGTCGCGCCCTCGTCGGCCGCCTGGGACGTGACCATCAAGGCCTACCACCAGCTCGGTGCCTGCCGCTCCCCCGACGACTGGAAGTGGGCGCGCTTCTCCGAGGCCAAGCGGCCCCACCTGTTCTTCCCGAACCGCCCAAACCGCCGTAGTTCGACGCTGGAGGCCGGCGCCGTTAGGCGGCGGTGGCTCGGCGAGGCGACTACCGCTATGACTGCGGGCAAGGTGGGCCCTGACGTCGACGGCATGGTCGCGAGCCACAAGAGCGTCTCGCTCCCGATTACGAGCTGGTTGTGGCGCGATACGAAGCCCCTGGTGTGCGCGGAGCCCAGCTAAGCGAGTTCACATCGCTTGTTCTTGGGCGTCCATCTGTACCTTCTAAGAGGTTTCAGCTTCTACGTGCGCAGTGTTTTCGCATGTCCAAGTGACGGGCTTGCGATGTCGAGGGTTCGGTTCCGTAGGTAGTCGAAGCAATGCGAAGCGTAAATATTTATGGCCCGTCCCCTCCGCCCTCTTTCCGACGGCATGGCTTCGGAGAGGGGCTTGGCTGTGGCCTGTCGCGATTGACGAATGGATGGGAGCCGCGCTGGGATCTGGACCAAACGGCATGTGCATCGGGACAGGGCGGGGCCAGACCGGTGTGGGCTGGGCATCTCCGGGCCGAGTGGGGCCGCTGACCCTCCCTCCCCTGCCGGAGATGGGTAGAGTCCTGGCCGCCGAGCATCGCGACCACCAGTTAAATTCACGATGCCCCTGTCCATCTGTTCTCTTCGGAAAGACGTTTGGCTACGATAAAGCACACGAGGTAATCACGTCACAAGTCACCAACTTTGCCATCATAAACCCGCCCGGGCTATCAAAAAGAATATGCGTATCCATTCGTCATTGACCCGCCGACTCTCCGCCTTCGGCACATCCTACTCAAACACTACCGTTCAGAAAACAGGGGGGTAAAGGAATATATCATCACTGGGGCCCTTTTCTATCCGGGGAGGGGGTAAGAGGCGGTGCTTGGCGGTCCCCGTTGCCGGTGACGATGCGCCAGGCGAGAGGGAGGGAGGAAGGAGGCCAGGGCGGGTTGAGGTAGGCAGTTAGGTGCTGAGAGGGCGGTAGATAGGTATCTTGAAGGGTATGGATGGGGGTTATGGTGCAGGGACGGACAGTCAGTCTATTACAGCTTCTTGATGATTGCCCCCGCGTACTCGTGCGTCTTGGACTTGCCGCCCAGGTCGCCCGTCAGCGTCTTGCCCTCGGCGAGGGTGTCAAAGATTGCCTTTTCAATCTTGTCGGCGTGGGCGGTGAGGCTCATATGCCGCAGCATCATGATGGAGCTGAGCAGCAGGGCGGTGGGGTTGGCCAGGCCCTTGCCGGCAATGTCCGGGGCGGAGCCGTGGACGGCCTCGAAGATGGAACACTCGTCGCCAATGTTGCCCGAGGGGGTAAGGCCGAGACCGCCGATGAGGCCAGCGCACATGTCGGACAGGATATCGCCGTAGAGGTTAGGCATGACAAGGACCTTGTCGTTGTAGGGGTCCGGGTCCGTCACCATCTTGAGGCAGGTGTTGTCGAGGAGCTCGGCGTCAAACTCAATGGCGGGGAAGTCCTTTGCGACGCGGCGGGCAACGCTGAGGAAGAGGCCGTCGGACATTTTCATAATGGTGGCCTTGTGGACGACGCGCACCTTTTTGCGGCCAATGGCCTCGGCGTGCTGGAAGGCGAAGCGCAGGACGCGCTCGCTGGCCTCGCGGGTGATGAGCTTGATGCTCTGGACGACGCCGTCGACGACGACGTGCTCGATGCCCGAGTACTCGCCCTCTGTGTTTTCTCGGATCAGGACCGTGTCGACGTCGTCGTAGGGTGTCTTGAAGCCGGCGACGGAGCGGCAGGGTCGCAGGTTGGCAAAGAGATTGAAGGTCCGCCGCAGAGTCAGGTTGAGCGAGACGTGGCCCTTGCCGACGGGGGTCTGCGGACGTTGAACGGTCAGCCGACGACACTGTACGACGGCTTATTGGCAGGGCAAGTGTACAGCGAGAGGGCCCTTGAGGGCAATCTTGTTCTTCTTAATGTTCTCAATGGCAGCATCGGGGATCGCCGTCTTGCCGTCCTTGATGATGGGGGTGACGTCGACCGACTCCCAGGCGATGGGTGTCTTGGTTGCGAGCGAGACGTCAGTGTCCAGTGTAGGAAGCTAGAAGCTGAGACGAGACCAACCTTGGCGGCGGCAAAGATGTCCTTGACGGACTGGGAGATTTCGGGGCCAATGCCATCGCCCTCGATTAAGCTGACGAGGTAGTTGCCCTGCGCAGGATAGTGAGCCTCGTGTTGTCCAGTGGCCTCGATCCCGAGAGAGGAGCGCACCTTGGAGTCCTTTGTTCCCTCGTACTTGGCGACGCGCTCGCCAGCAGTGGCATAGCAGCGCTGCGAACTCCATGTCAGCGCTCGGGATCCTTTTATCCTGCAATCAAGAACGTCGGGGCGTACCGAAGCCGCCGACCAGGATGCGGCAGCGCGGGGGGCGGCGCGCAGGCCCGGCCGGGCAATGGGGCTGGAGAAGGCTCGGATGGCCAGCATCTTGAGTGGGAGAGAGGCAAGAGGCGGGGAGAGGGAGCGAAGCAGTGGGCCGGGAATTGGGTCGAGGGCGAGGGTGATTTGCGAAGACGACGAGGCCGGCAATGGGACAAAGAAAAAAACGGAGAGAAAGCAGTGGAGGAAGCCGTGGATACGTAGACGTGCATCTCGACCCTTCGGCTAGGTGGTCTTGTCACTGTGGCTGGTGCTGCGCGAGGCTGAATGTCAACGGGTACCGCCTGGGTACTTGGTGCACGACTTCGCTCAGTCAAGCACTTCTTTACACCTGGAGGCGCTACAAGCAATGTTCTGCGTCTTCTTGATTGTTACAATTAAGCGTATCACCTGGCAGAACCGTGCAATCCTGAGCATTCCTCCTATCCGGCACCTCAACACCGGTCCACGAAGTGCTGTGGCGTACGGCTCCGTAATTTTACTTTTTCTTCCTTTGCCCCGATCGGAGCCGTCGGAGTTGCGCCTGTACGCCGAGCCGGCGGAGGAAGGTACCGCAAATGTACCTCTTGTGTTGACGCGGCTGATGTCGGCTATGGCGCAGCCGGCATCCAAAGGCCTGCCCCTCGTAGCCTCGCGTGGCGCATGCTGTTCATGCTTCATGCGAAGCTGCGACCAACTCGACTCGTCTCCACAAAGACGGACGACACATTCGAGACGCCATCGTGAGCATCAGCCGCCATCAACAACTGCCCGCTCACCATCTCGGGCCCAGTCAACTAGGCTGTGTCTGGCTGAGATTCAGCATGCGCCGTTCATAACACTCTCGCTCCCTTTCGCTGTCCGCTCGAAATGGCCGAATACGACAGGACTATCCTCGAGTTCTACCAGCTGCCGACGCCCTTTCCTGCCGAGTGGCCGGCCGAAAAAGACGCAAATGACTCCTCAGGTGACGATGAAAAGGGCGCGAAGCATCGCCGCCAATCCCGCTATCAGGCTCTCGAGACGGCCGTCAACACCCGGAGGAGTCTCCTGTCCGGCCCAGATGGCGGCAACCTGGTCCAGAAGGACGAACCCGACCCTCTAGGCTCCTCGGATAGCGTTGTGCGGTCCCTGAGTACCATGGGGCTCCCTTTGCAAGACGACGTGCGCATGCGTAGGTCCAGTTCTACACTACTATGCTTCCGTCGTGAACGACTAAACAATCTTTCGCACAGGCAATCGCTTCCTGCTCTCCTCCACCACCTTTTCTCCCGCCCTCTTCCTGTCCCAGATGCATGCCGATGCCGACACGCGAAGCCTGCTTCAGGGCCTCGACGTTCTCTCCCAGTCGATTGACCAAAAGTCCGCCTCCCTCAAGGTCCTGGTGGAGACCAACTTCGAACGGTTCGTCAGGGCAAAGGCCACCATCGACAACGTCTACAAAGAGATGAAGTATCGTGGCGCCGAGTCGACTCAGCCTCGTGGTGGCCGCCATTCCCGCCACGCCAGTCGGAACAGCTTTCGCCAAAGTGGCAACGGAGGCCTCAGCAACCCACTTGCCTTGTCTGCCTCGGATAGCCGCAAGAAGAACGCGCTCCTCAAGGAGAGCGAGTACGGCCTTTTGGGGATCAAGGTCCCGCTGCTCGATGTGTCTGCCAAGGCCGAAGATGTCTGGGGCCCCGCGCTGGGGGGACGTGAGAAGGAAGAGAACCTCAAGACTGTGTCCAACCATCTTGATCAGTTCAAAGAGTACGTCCAACTCAGCGCGTCGGTTTCCGAGAGCATCAAGAGAAAAGACTATGAATCACTGGTAGAGGCATACAATCGCGCCAGGAAGTTTGCAGACGAGGCTCGCCGGCTGTCGCGCGAGCTAGGCGGCCACTCGCCCAGCGATGCGCAGCTCTACCAAATGGTGCTTGCTGGGCGAGTCTGGAACGACGTCGAACAACAAGTCCAATCCTTCAAGAGAGACGTTTGGAAGAAGCTCATGTCGCTCCAGACGGTCTCGAAGCTGGAAAGCCTGGCCGGCAGAACCCAAGATCAGCACATGGACATAATCAGCATGCTGCTCGAGCTCGGCGCCGAGGAAAACCCCATCCACGTCTGGCTTGCGACTAGATATGAGCAGCTCAAGGGCAAGGTCCAAGCTGCCGCCGATCGCTCCAAGGTGGAAATCGAGGTGCTGCGACGCAGGCTCGCCAGCAACGACAAGCCACCGCCTCAAGTTGTTGCCTCTCATCTTCAATCACTGGGCCGGCAGTCGGTTGAGGGCAAACACCCTTCATCCGACTCGGCCGACGTCATTGAACTGTGGGAAAAGATGCTCACCTTCCTGACCAACCTCATATCGTCGCAGGGCATTCTGGGAGAGCTGGTCGACTTCTGGCAAACAGTGCAGGGGTTCATCGACGGCAAGACGCAAAGAATGCTGCCACTGGGCTACAATGGCGAATCGCGCCATCACCACCAGCTATCCCCGCAAGCTGTGACCGACCTAGAAAAGGGCGTGGTGGAAATGGTGGAGTTGCTGAGGGAGCACGTATACGCATTCTTTGCGAGTCCGCCGCCCGAGGACATCTCATTGCTCTTCTCCCCGCTGCCGCTGTCGCCCAACTCCCCGGCCTCGGCCAACGCTCTGACGCCGACTGCTCTTCGCGACCCGCGCTTCAATTTTGACCCGAGCAACCCTCCGCCTCCGTCTCCTAGAAGGGGCGAGCCGTGGGAGAAGCTGGCCTTTTGGCCGCCGTGGTCTAATTCCATCAGTGGCGCGCACTACCTGTCTAGAATGCTGGCCCTGGTGGGATCGGGCGCGTCCGACATGGCATGTATCGGCCCTGTCGCGACAAGAGACCCCCAACTGCTGGACCACCTGAAGTCTCTGGTGGGCATTTCGCGAGAGCGATGCGTCACCGCGCTCTGTGCCGCCTGGAACACCGATGCCGAGAACATCAAGTATGTCGAGGACTGGCAGCGAGCGCCAGGATCCAAGGACGTGACGCGCATGCCCGCGGCCTTTTCGTCCTTCGAGGGCGCTCTTTTGTCGGGCATGCAGAAGATCCTCTACATCCTCGAGGCAATGGAGAAAACTGATGCTGGCAACATTGTCCTCCCGCCGCCGCCTAAGCTGCTGCAGATGGTTCGCAGCCAGTACGTCACGACTCTCTACAAGGCCCTGAGCGGAATGGTGGAGAATGCAGAGCGCTCCGTCATGACGGGAGAGGACGAGTGGACGGCGGCGCGGGATAGCTGGAACAGGGCGAGCTCCGTGGCGTTGGTGGCCGGCAAGAGTGCCTTTGACGTGGGAGACAGGGTAAGCTCGCGGTGTTTCCTTGCCATTATATGCTGGCGCTTCTCACTAACTTGCTCGCAGAATGTCAGGATGCTCTTGACCCTGAGCAACCTGCAGGCTCTCCGATCTCAGGTCGTGCCCAACCTCAACTCGCAGTTTGAGAATGCGTTTTCCGTCAAATTGACGGACGAATCCAAGACGATCCGGGACGTCCTTGGGCAGATTGACGCGCGTCTTTTTCAGTCTTATACGAAGCCGTCGATTGACAAGCTTCGGGAGATTATCCAAGCCGGCCTCTGCGCCCCCGACTGGATGCCAGCCCCCAACCAGCGTCCCCAGACGGCAAAGCCATATGTCTACGAAGCCCTGCTCGCCCTCGTCCTCGTGCACTCGCAAGTGTCCACGACGGCGCCGTCGCTCACGGCGCAGGTACTGTCCTTTCTCCTGGAGCAGACGTCGCTCCAGATCCTCGACGCCTTTCGTCGGCGGCCGCGGTACTCGCTCGAGGCGCTGATGCAGGCCACGCTCGACGTCGAGTTTGTCGCGCAGACGTTGAGCCACTACACGACGGACCGCGCGTCGGAGCTGCAGAGCCAGATCTACCAGGAGCTCGACGCGCGGACCGACAACGACGCGCGCGCCAGACTGCAGAACGAGCTCCCCGAAATGCGCAGCGTGCTCAAGAAGTTGCGCGAGGCGAGCAAGAACGAGTTTGCGTGCTTCAAGAAGCCCAAGCGCCACGGGCACGGGGGTTCCAAGCCCGACAGCGGGTCCGTGGGGAGCTGAGCGGGTAAGTCCTTGCTGGGTGGACCATGTTGGTGCATGGGGAGGGGGTCTTGCGAGTCTGCTCGTCGAGGTCGTCACGGTGAGAGAGCGCAGCTTGCGAAGTGACGGCAAGTCAATGGCGGTTTTGTTTTCTCTCCTTGAAAGTTGCAAAGGCTCACAGCTGAGAGCCTTGTGGCCGAGCACTGTATGTGTATGGTATCTATCATATTGCCGCCCGCGAAGACGGGAATCTAGAACAGAGATGTGCGTCAAAAGTCGCACATTTCAATACTTGGGTTCCGCCTCCCTTTCCTATCGCGATGTCTCACGTAGCCAAGCCAGAAGCCCCCCTCACTCTTTACCCCTTTACAGCATCAACTGAACTGTAAAAACCCCGTCGCCCGCCAGTTGTGCTTGGCCCAACGCCAGGCTGGGCAAGAACAACGCAGGCAAAAACAGAAATTAAAGGTGGAAAGTTACAGTGAAAGAAAGGGAAAAGACCAAAGTGGTATCATTTCGTATGCACGTGCAGTCATGAAGCGTAAGGAGGGGAAAAAAAGAAGGGGGAGGGGGGGCAATCATCCGAAGATATGAGGTTGCAAACCAACGTATCGTGCAAGGACCACGCTTCCCTGCGAGAAAACTGGAGTGCGAATCAGGACGCCACATTGGGCAGGAGAAGGTGGGAGCAGAACATGAGCTCGAGGGAGCGCGAGTCGGCGGGAGAGAACTCGGAGCCCCTTTGTCGCGTCTGGATCGTGTCATCTGCGAAAGAAGAGAGAAGACATATTAGTAAACAGTCAACAATGCCGCGACCACGCCGAGGGGCAAGCAAGCAAGCAAGCAAGCAAGCAAGCAAGCAAGCAAGCAGAACAAGCGGCACAAAGGCATCACGTACATTCCATGTCCAGGCTCTGAAAATAGTTGACAATGACTGGGTCCGGGTCCAGGGTGGCGAGCTTGCCGTCGTCGGCGCGCATCGTCTGCGGCAACGCGCGGCGGATGCTCAGCAGCATCTTGAACAAGGCGGCCAGGTGGCCGCCCTGCTGGGTAAAGGCACCCGGGTCGCGCTCGAGCGGCCAGCCGGGCCGCAGATGGTCCTGCTCCCAGGCCTTGAAGGCCCACGTCGACTTCTCGACGCAGTTGAGCAGGATGAGGGACGTCAGGTAGATCCTGAAGCCGGCCTTGGTCTTGCTGTCGGCCAGCAGCCGGTCCATGAGGTTGAGGAGGGCCTTGGACGTGCCGTTGGCCTTGCGCTCCGCGGCGGCGTTGAGTTGCATGCAAATCATGGTGTAGATATCGACGTCGTTTTCGTCCTGGGCCTCCTTGATGGACCGCGGCTTCTGGCCCTCGCCGGCCGGCCTCTCGACAATGGTCCACTGCCGCTCGCGGTCGATGCTCTCTACCAGGCCCCACAGCTCCAGTGCTTTGCGGAGGAGCTCGTCTTCTCCTTCCGCCAGTTGCTGCATCGCTGTCTCGAGCGTGACGCGCATAAACCTCGACGGCTCTCGCTCGACAAATAGCTCGAGGACATCGCGCACGTAGGCGTCGACCTTGCCCGGCACGTCCTCCTTGTCCTGGTTAATCATGATGACCTGGTAGACCTTGTTCTCCGCATCTGCCTCAGGGCTCTCGCCGGGTTCCAGCAAGACGGCTAGCGTGGGTAGGCTGATATGTCTGCCCGTGTCGGGAAAATGGGAAACCTCGACGACCGAGTCGACGTCGGTCAACTGAAGCTGGTCTTTGTGGAGGTTGATGCGGTTCTGCGACAGCACGACTTGCACTCCGGCGGAGTAGAGGTCGAGCTGCTCGTGCAGGCGCGAGCGAACACAGCCCGTCATCCACACCCGCGGGGCCAGGACTTTGCGGCAGGTGTCGCACGGAGTGCCTTTGCTGCAGATCTTGCGAAGGATGCGGCAACGGATGCAAGCCCCTAGCTTCCGGACTTCTTTGACCTCCTGCCGTCTTGCTGGCGTGAACTTGGATCGAAAGTGGCGCGATCGCCCGTTAAACATGGGGCCACTCGTGTCCATGCGAACGCCGCCACGAATCTGCGGCAGCGGTGCGGGCGGAGGAGGGTTATTGTGGACAGCGGGAGCGGGCGACGTCGTCGTCAGGTACGTCATCTCTCCCCAGGGCTGCGAGACGCCTGTGTCGCCGATGGGTGTGGGCGATGCTGTTTGAGTTGCTTCGGGAGCTGCGTGGAGATCTTCAGGAGCTTCATGGGAGACGGCGGGAGCCTCCGAAGGAGGTGGGGACGCGGAAGAGTGGTCGTGACTGATGAGCTGGGGATCGAAAAAGGCCGAGTTTAGTCGAGCCGCTGCTGCAAAAGCGACGGAGATGTTAGGATTATCAGGGGAATCGTCGCTCACTGGCAACAGGGCCTGCAGTCTTTCTTCCGGTGTGAGGTCGGCGGGCGGAGGCGGCGTCGGGGCCGGGGCCACAGCAGGCTCTGCATCGGGGGCGGCCTCTTCCGTCTGTTGGCTGTCGTGCGTGTTCATGTCGTAGGTCACGGGGGGATTGTCGAGCGTGTAATGTCCCTGAACGTCGAAGCGATAGTCGCTTTGCGCGCTGTTGGCGGTCGATGGGTTATGCGCGTTGTGGCTGTTGGGGCTGCGGCTGTTCTCGTTGAGGTCAACCTGCCGGGACGCCTCGGCCAGAGTCTCGAGGGCACTCCATTCCTGAGGCAGTGTGCTAGACGACGGGGCGGCTGATGCGCTTTCTCGACCGACGACCTGTTGGTGTCGTTCGGCGGCGGTGCGGGCATGAGCGATGCCGTGGAGCTCGAGACAGGCGCGCATGCGCTCCGACTCGGAGATGGCAGGACACCTCTTGGTGATGTGTGCGGTCAGGCTGTCAATGCGGCCCTTGGGAAATATTTCGCCGCACAGCTTGCACGTATGCGGGTAGCGATTGCTGTTGTCGTTGAGCTTGGGCCCGCGCTCGAAATACTCGAGGATGAGGGGGTTCGGCTTGCGGCCCATTGCGCGACGTCGGGGGCCTGATCGAGGCACGAGCGGCTGGGCAGCGGCGTCGCAATTGAGCCCTTTGGGGAGGGGCCGTGGCACAGGGCAGTCTGGCCGTCGGACGGAAGCGTGCTCGAGGCGGAGATGGAGAGAGGGCGTCTGGGGGTGACTTCACGGCAAGAAGATTCTGCCTGTGTTGACCGACAAAATTCTCACACCGCCTAGAATCGAGGTCGGCGGGGAATTTTTCCGATCTCCGGCTGGAGACGTGCGGCTTGTTGACTGTGATTGGCGGATCACGGGGCTCGGGAGCGGCCGAGGCGGAGAGGCGCCTTGCCTGATCCGTTCACCTTGGGAAGACAGCCATCCATCCGGAGACGGCGGAAGGCCTCGTGCCCTCGCATACTCCATACACACCATCCGAGTTGTCCATGATCTTCCGTGGCAAGGGTCCCCGTCGCCGCAGAGATTGGCAATCCAGAACCGGTCAAGCCTGGCGGTAGGAACAGGGCTGTCGTCTCGTCCGGCTGCATCACCGGCCAGCCGGGAATCAAACGTCGTGCCCCCATGCACAGGTGATTCTTCACCAATGACCGGGAACGGGATGCAGCAAGAGGGGCACAAGCAACGTGCGGGATACGGGCACGGGTCGTACCGGGCGCCGGATGCCTGCACGATGCAGTGCACGAGACCGCCCTTGTTCATGCGGACAGAAGAGAAGCTTCTACTCCATACCCAGAGGACAACAAATTCATCATGTATCAAGCACGGTACGAATGCTCCTGGACCCGGAGTCGGTGATGAGACATCCATGCGACGCGATAAAGGACCGACCAAGCGCGAGCGCGTTGCCGGTTGATGCCCCCCCCTTATTTTTTTATGGCTTCCTCTGTCATGCACAAAGTAAATAAACGCTGCCTTGCGTGCCCGTTGCTGTAAGACGATGAGAAATGAAGAGGCTAATCAAGGTTTAGCAGCTGTCTTGGAGCAGACCCTGGCTGTCTTGCACGCGACACGGCGCGCCCGACACGCCTTGCCGTCACCCGGAGTAAAACGGTCATTTTGAATTTGGAAGAAAAAAAGAAAATTCCAATCATCAAAACCTTGTTCATTGTCAGGCTCTTTATAAATACGGCTCTTTTCACCCGTTTCATTATGTCGACTTGGCTCATCCCCGACGACGCCGCTGCATGCACCACGGGAATGCGATCCGGCTTAACCACAACCGGCTCCGCAACAGCATTGCTTCCAAACGGGCCTATTGCAGCCGCCTGGCCTTGTTCTCCCTTGGCCGTTCCCTCGGTCGCGTCGCACTGCACGCCCTCACGCCGACCCCGGCCTGCTGTTCCAGACCTCCCTTACTCGATTAAAAGCATACATCGAGCATCGATGCTACCTGGGTGTTGCAGAATCTCTCCCGCTGTTGTCCGAGACCTCTTTAGTTCGCAGCCATGTTCGTGGGCTTATTGCCCGTCTTGAGCTGTAAGTGATAGCAGGTCCGTCGACGTCGGACATGCTGCCGTTGCATCGAGTAGCCTGTGCATTGGATCCCCTCCCTCTCAGCTAGCGACGCGAGAGCACAAGTCGCCGTCATGGTACCCAGTCGTAATGTTTGCACGCTGCTAGCGGCAGTGGCTGTTGCCGGCGCTGCATCGCCTTCCCACGACTTGTCGAGATATGCGTTGACCGATGTAAGTTGAGCCGAGTGAGAGGAAACTGTTGAGTCGAGAGAATTGCACGACTGACACTCGGGGCTTTTACAGACTGGGTCCGTCAATGGCGGAAATACCTTCCCCGGCGTCTCCCGGCCGCTCGGCATGGTCAAGCTGGGGCCAGACCTATACACCGGGGCCGACGCCTACTCGGGCTTCCAGCCCACCGGCAACTTCACCGGCTTCACCATGCTGCACGAGAGCGGCACTGGCGGCGCCCCCAAGTACGGCGTCGTCTCGCAGATGCCTTTCGTCGGCTACCTCGCCAACCCCCTAAGCGACGCCGTCAACGACACCCGCGCCGCCCCGGATCGGACCGAGGTCGGCTACTACAGGGCTGCGCTCGGCTCCGGCACCACGGTGGAGCTGACCGCCTCGCAAAAGGCCGGTTTGTATCAATACACGTTCCCCAAGAGCGGCCACAAGCACGGCCGCTTCCACGTCGTCGTTGACGTGTCGCACGTCCTGTCGTCGTACCGCGGCCAGGGGCTCGAGCAGCACTTCCTGGGGGGCAACATCACGGTCCGGAAGCACCACTCCTCCGGCCGGCTCGAGTACACCGGTTTCGGCACCTATGATAATGTAAGTCTGTCTGGCCGACACGCGCCTGCCCACTGAAATGCCCGGTAAACAATTCACTGATGCCACGGGACCGTTTTCAGGGATGGAACAGAGCGGGCCCCTGGACCGTCTACTTCTGCGGCCGATTCGACGCTCCCGGCACCTTCCGGACCTTTCTTGGCGTGGACAAGCTCTCGGACCGGCTCGCTGAGTTCTCCACCAAGCCGAGCTACGAGTCCCGCTCGGCCCGGCTCGGGGCCGTCTTCACCTTCAACCGGACCCGAGTGGTGTCGCGCGTTGGTGTCTCCTTCATCTCGGCCGCCCGGGCCTGCGCCAACGTCGACGGCGAGATCCCCAAGCGGACGGCGCTCAAGACCGTCCGGCGGCAGACGCGCGACGCCTGGAACTCGGACGTATTTGCCAAGGTGACGACGAGCGAGACCAACCTGACCAAGCTCAACCAGCTGTACACGGCCCTGTACTTTATGCACCTGCTTCCCACCAACAAGACGGGGGAGAATCCGCTTTGGCGGTCTCGGGAGCCGTACTATGACGACATCTTTACCTTTTGGGACACGGTGAGGCCCCTTATCCCCCCCCCGGACCCCTTTCCGGCGTCTCGGATTCCGACGGCAGAACGCGGCTGACTCTTGATCCCTTCTCCCTTGGTTCTGCCCGACAGCACCGTTGCACGACTGCCCTCTTCCACGTGCTGCAGCCGACCTATTACGAGGAGCTCCTGCGGTCCATGGTGGACGTCTGGCGTCATCAAGGCTGGGTCTCGGACGGCCGCTCGTCCTTCTCCAACGGCGCCGTCCAGGGCGGCTCAAACAGCGACAACGTCTTTGCCGACGCCTTCATCAAGGGCGTCGGCGGCAAGCTCAATTGGGACGACGCCTTTGCCTCCATGGTTACCAACGCCCAGACCGTCCCCACCAACAACCACGATCCTCGCGATCCCACCGGCTCGACCAAGGAGGGCCGCAGCGCACTACCCGACTGGCTGGAGCTCGGATATATCACTCCGCGCTTCTCTCGCTCCGTCAGCCGGGCCGTCGAATAGTAAGTCTCTGGCGTCAAAGCAGCAATGGGTCGTTAGGCAAGCCGGGCGTTGGTTGACTGACATGCCTCGCATAGCTCCGTCAACGACTTTTCTCTGGCCGTCGTCGCCGCCGGGCTCGGCCGCCTCTCCGACTTCTCCACATACCTAGAACGCTCGCGCAACTGGCGCAACCACTGGAACCCAAACATAGAGGCCCTCGGCTTCTCCGGCTTCGTCGGGCCCCGGGACACCAGCGGCTTCCTCCCACAAGACCCCCTCTCGTGCGGCGGCTGCTACTGGCGCGACCTCTACTACCAGGCGCTGCCCTGGGAATATTCCTTTAACGCGCACCATGATCTCGCCCACCTCATCCGCCTCTGCGGCGGACCAAATGCCTTTGTCGCGCGCCTTGAAACCACTTTCAAGCCCGGCGTCTACTGGGGAAACGCCCAGTTCAACCATACCATATTCAACCCCGGTAACGAGCCCAGCTTCACCACCCCCTACCTCTACAACTTCGCCAACCGCCAGGACCTCGCCGTCAAGCGCAGCCGCCACATCGCCAAGTCCTACTACCACCCGACACCGAACGGCCTCCCCGGAAACAGCGACGCCGGCGCCATGGAGTCGTGGCTGCTCTGGAACATGATTGGCCTCTACCCCATGACCGGCCAGCCGTTTTTTCTCATCGGCTCTCCCTGGTTCTCCGACCTGACCATCGACCTGGGCCCGGGCAAGCGGCTCCAGATCACGACGACCGGTGGACGCGAAGACGCTTTCTACGTCCAGTCGCTCAAGGTCAACGGCATGCGTTGGCACAAGAGTTGGCTGACCTGGTACGACATCTTTGCCACCGGCGGCACCTTGGAATTCGAGCTGGGTAGCAATCCGGTCAACTGGACGACAGGTCCGCCGCCGCCGAGTTTGGCAAGCTTGGATCCCGAACAAGCCAAGACTCTGCTTGGAAACCTCACAACGCTTAAGACGTCAGGCCAGCTGCGGTGATGACGACCATGATTGTCCACGGACATCCGCTTCGAGTCGAGACCCGTAGCCAGCCCAAGGCGTTCGCGGACTTCACTCATCCCGTTGAAAGAGTATACCAAGTACACATCGATAGCCCTGGCTGCGTTGGATCCATCTGCTGGATCGATTGCTTGTACATTTGAGTAACTATTGCCAAGGCCAGGTCATCTGCAATCACCGTCAACGCCCCGCTTTGCTTATGAACCACCTCAGGGCCCCGAAAGTCTCGTAACACATGCTGCACAAATCAGCCAAATCTCTCAGACTCATCACCGATCGCCGTCCCAGACATTGCGGAATTCGTCGCTGTCCGGCACATGAATTTGCGGTCCTCGGTCTTCCTGTTGCTGCGCCTCAACATCGACCTGTGGCCTTGCCTCCTCCGTCCTAGGATCGGCGCTTCGGCCTTGCTCTGCGCTCTGAGGCGCCGGTGGACCGCGACCGAGCCCCAGGTCTGACGTGTTGGGCTGAGCGTGCTTGACAATCTTTTTCGTCCTCTTCTTCTTGATGGGAACGACCTGCTGTGGCTCTTCCGTTGAGCGGCTCCTCTCCGAATGTGGTGGCGGGCTGACCGGAAGAGGAGCGGGCGATGGTGAAGCTGTGGGAGCCCAGCCGGGGGACCCTGCCCTCAAGCTAGCTTGCGAGGACCGATATCTTTCGCTCAGCGGTTCACTGGCGGTGATAACGGGATACTCCAAATTGAAAATACGTCAGCATCCAAATAGTGTGTGTGAAGAGGTCAACTCACGTTCCAGTCACCAAACTCTAGCTGCCGCGCAGAGCTGTAGAGACGCTCGTCGTCGTCATCAATCTCGGGTTCCTCAAAAGTGCCGTGTGTGTTGTCGTTTATCAGATCAGGACGGGATGAGCTTGGCTCGCCGTTCGATCCCAACAGCGGGGATGCGGCGTTGATCTCCCCTGGCTTGGGTATCCAATATTTGCCTTTTCCGCCTCTCTCATAACGCATGCCTTCGCGGAGTCTGGCAAGCCTCGACTTGGAGTCTTCATGAGCCATGACCTTGTCCCCCGAATCGAATGCCCTGTAGCCATAAGTATTGCCTTTGAAAGTCTCCCTGGAGTCCTCAATCAGGTCCCTGACGCCAAACGCATCCCTCAGTGCGTAGTTGAGGGGCATTCGTGCAGAGGAGATGTCGTTGTTGGCGAAATCATGCCACGAGAAAGCATACCAGTGGGCCACGGCGAAGATGGGCATTTCGATGCAAATGAGGGCATCCTGGATGGCGGCAGCGAGGTTGTCTCGCGTGTAGCCTTCCACATCATCCGGGATGGCACCCAGCCAGACCAGAATGGACAAGAAGAAACCTTGCCAGTAGGAAGCGAAGATGACGAGTTTGATGCACAAGAACTTGGGGACTGGTCGGAACGGCTGCAGGTCCTTATGCATGCAGACCCAGAAGAGGCCCAGCGAGTACAAGCTGAGAGTCACGCTGATGTTATATAAAATGCCGCTCCACAGGTACCCGGACCCAGGCCCGATGTAGCCCTCCTGATATGTGCCTGTCGCCTTCATGACGATGGCGGCGAGGGCAAGGATGGGCTTGAGCCACGCGTACTGTAGGATGCCGCGCTTGATGGAGAGGAACGTGTGCGGGTCTGAGATGTCGACGTTGCGAAGCACGTAGTTGAGGGGCCAGAGGTGTTGAACGGGAGCCCGCCCATGCGTCATGATGATGAGGGAGCGCTCTCCATGCAGGTAGTTGATGAGCAGCTGGAAGAAGGTGTAGATGGTAAAGGCCTCGTAGATGTCTCGGATCGGGTCAAGAAAGGCGGCCGTGGTCAACGACACCATGCTCGTCCACGAGGCGATGGAGTAGATGGGCACCATGAGCAGGATGCGGATGACATATCTCTGCAGGAGTGGCTTCCGGTAGTTCTTGGCCTGGAGCCATATCGAGCTATAGCAGCATATCCGTCAGCACGCTTGTCAGGCACGAGGAAGTCGACGAGTGTCGACGCACACAACCGAGAGCAGAGTCGCAGCCAGAGAGGCAACGCCAGCTACCACCGTCGTGGCGTAGGTGAACTTCTTGCCTGTTCCCCCGTCAGGCATGGTGGCGACGTCGAGCGGACTGTTGACAGTAAAGAGGGGACGCCTCGCGTTGGAGCGGGTGGTGAGTCTAGATCATGACTGTACGCAAATCATGGTCTTTCCGGTCGCTTCGGGGGACGTTGACTTGCGACGGCGATGCTGGAAGTTCGCGGGCAGATTCGCGATTACGGACAGCGTGCGTGACGACACTCATGCGTCGTGCTAGCTCTCTGTCCCGTGGACACGCGTCTTGCCCTGGTTTCAAGGAAATGCAGGTTATTAGCAGGGATGCCGGGACCGGATTTACATGGGGTCGCTTGGTAATTATGCGCCATGCCTGCAGGGGACAGCGGGTGGGGCGGGAGCCTTCTCAGGGGTGGAACTGCCTGTGCTGTACCGTGCAGTAAACTCCAGCGCGTTTAGTTGATGTGATAGCCCCGAAGTACCTGCTTATTGGCACGTGGGAGACAACGACGCAGCTTCATCGCGTCTCGGCAGAGCCGTTGAGGTTTCGGTTCCTCGACCTACTCACGCTGCCACAGCTCTCCGGGAGACGCACGCTTACAATAGGCAATGCCCCGGAAGACAGCCTCGACGACGTATGGCGGCGCATTTCCCCCCTCGGCCACGCCATCTCGCATGCTTCAACGGCTCTGATGATGCTTCTTCTCAGTCCACGACTTGACTTCCAGGGAGTTGCGCAGGCGCCTCGCCACTCGGCCCAATGTCGACCAGCAACCATGTGATTAACGCGAGGGCTACCGGGCACCTTGCGTTCAACTTGTGAGCCTCCGCGCATTGAGTAGCCGTTCATGTTGAGCTGACCGCTGCGCCCAGCGAGTTTCCCCTCTTCCTCATCATCTGCGCCCTATTGTCCATCTTCTTCCTGCTTTACTTTAATCGAGTCTTTGCATCAGTCGTCTCGTATGGCATCCGAGCATTCACTTGGCACCGCTATCGAGTCTACATCGACGTGAAAGCCTTGCAGATATCCCTCCTCGGTGGGCGCATCTTCTTCACCGGCTTGCGCTACCATGGGTCCAACGAAACCTTCTTGGTGCAACATGGATCCATCACCTGGCGCTACTGGCTTCGTCGAGTTCGAGAAGTGGACATACGCGCGTCGAGCAGCACGGCCGAGGGCGTGGCTGCCCGACATGACAAGAATGCAGCCCTCCCGTGCCGCATCAACGTCAAGCTCGTTGGTCTGGAATGGTTCGTGTACAATCGCAGTCCGGCATACGACACCATTATCGCTGGACTTGCCGACAGTGGCTCCCCTGAAACGGAATTCAGCGGCGTAAAGGACGACAAGGATGACGACGCCGTCGGGTCGCGAAGGGCCAGACGAAACGAGCCCTCTGTGGATACGCCCGTCCCCGGGATAAGAAGTTGCAATCAGGGCGCGACGTCGGAAAAGTCGACAGACTCAAGGCAGAACTCTTCGCTACTCAGCTCCAGCACAGGCGCAGCCAGCACCGATGACGAGAGCCAGCGAGACGGCACGGGCCTCCCGTTCATCCTTCAGCTCTTTCCCATCCATGTCGACTGTCACAAGCCGGCGGTGGTTGTTGGCAACGAGACAACCAAGGCCATCTTGGTTGTCAAGGCAAACTCTGCCTCAACCGACATAGATGCCTCGGCGACGCCAACATGCGACCAATATCGGCAGACCTTCAAAGCACGCCTCGACCATCCAGTGGTAGAAATGAAAGAAAACGAGGACTTCAAGGAGGATCTGACGGCTCGCGCAACTAGACGACAGGAGGATGCTCAGGGTTCGAAGCCACCACTCCCGAGATCCTTCTTCAGAAGAAATCGCCGCAAGATTCTCAGCTCCCTGCGAAATATGGTGCCATACTGGCGACGTTCTGTAGAATCGTTTTCAACCGACTCGAGAACTGCCATGGGAACAGGCACCTCTCAGGTTCCAGGATCGAACCACTGGCAAGGTCTGTCTAGATACTTGGATGATCAATATCAGGACGACAAGGCCCGTTGGTCCTTGGTAGAATACGGGGCAGTTCCAACAATCTTGGATTCACCAGACGTCACACTCACTGTATATTGGGATGTGGTGGGCCGTGTAACAGAGCAGGCCCACTTGAACACTCGCACGGCCTCGTCCGCCAACATCAACGGATGCGAACCGCCGGCGTGGGGAATGAGCCTTTCCGTCAAAGGTGGTACTATGAGCTATGGTCCATGGGCAGACAGGCATCGTGCCAATCTACAGCGCGTCTTCTTCCCGCCACTTGCCAAGAATGCTTCTCCTGCAAGCGCCTTGCCGGCTGGTGCGTGGAGAGTTGCCACCTGCTTCACCTTGTTCGTCGACTTGGAGGACACGGTGACCCTCCGCATTCCAACTAGGGAAGAGTCCAAGAACTGGCGATGGCGCGGCAAGGAACCTCCAATTCGGCACCAAAGCGGGCCTAGCAAGCGAAAGCAGAGGAACCGGGCCAAGAAGAACATCAAAGGAGAGGCATCTCAGCCGCGACCCGCCGGTTGGCTCGAGATCAAAGTGCCGGCCAATGCGACAGTGGCATATTCCATGGACATGCTCGCCAGCCCCTCGGGATTTGAAAATCGCCTGGATATCGACCTACCAAGCACGGAGCTCTGGAGCAGCGTCAACCATGACTTGCTGTGGAAGTCGGGAGCACAACGGATCTCTTGTAATCTAGGCAACCCCCTACCTTGGAACACCCTGCGGCAGTGGCATTTCAGCGTCGACTGCACCGATTTGGAACTGTTTCTTCTTCGCGATCACGTCTTTCTCCTCATCGACCTGGTGGATGATTGGGCTAGTGGACCTCCTCCGGAGTATCTCGTCTTCACTCCCTTCAAGTATCACCTGCACCTGAATCTTCGGAACCCACGGCTCTACATCAATGTCAATGACGAGAACATCATCGACAATGCGACAGCTCTTGATGACAACGCATTTCTGATTCTCTCTAGCCCTCTCCTGAATGTCGAGACCACCATCCCGCTCGACAGCTATCGACCAAGCAAGAATGCAATCCCGTTTGACATTCGCACCGATTCTGTCGACCTGAATTTGCACTTTCCACAGTCGAGCACGCAGGCAGCTTTCTTGCCGTTCAACGAGCTCGGCCACGCGGATGGGCTTGTCGTGAGTGGCAGTTATCAGTACAACTCGACCACGTCACCAGCGAACACAGATACGCTCGTCTTGAAAGTGCACGGCCAATCGCCGTATGCGCACCTCTACGGGTTTGTCGTCAGATATTTTTTGCTGCTCAAGGACAACTATTTCGGCGACCACGTTCACTTCAGAACTCTGGACGAGTATCAGGAGCAGCTGCAGGTCGAGACGAAAAAACAAGGAGCCGAACCTGCACCTCGCCCTCCTAACAGAAAGTCCAACGATCTGGATGTCATCTTGTCCGTCAAGGTTGATGATCCTAGGGTCATGCTGCCGGCCAATCTCTACTCAGCCGACCGATACGTACAATGTGAACTTGCCGACTTGTCAGTCGACCTTCGCTTCACGAACTACTTCATGGATCTTGAGCTTGCCCTGAGCCCCTTGAGCCTATCGATGGGCAATCCGGGAAACGGCATGGAGTCCCCAGGTGTTTCTTTCTCTAGCACGCAGCTGTTCATTGATGGACTGCGAATATTTGGCCATCGCACATTCGGCCTCCCACCCTCGGAGCCAACCTATCTTTGCAACTGGGATCTTGCCGTTGGAGCTGTCAGTGGCGAATGTTCCGCAGATTTTCTCGCCACCTTGATTAGGGCGGGCACGGCTTTCAGCTTCACATTTGATGATGTTGAGAACGCCTTGGTCCCATACTCATCTCTCGTTTTCCATGACATTACCTTCGTCCGCGCAGCTGTGGACTCTGTTCGAGTCTGGGTCCACCTGGATGACGTCGCCTTCCTTTTCTCTACAGACACGATTGAAGTAAAAAGTAATGACTGGGCTCGCTCACATTACTCCAAGCGCGCCGACGTCAGCATTCCCAACGTGCAGTTGTCCTGTGTCAATGCCGAGGCAGCGGCAAGACACAACTCTCGACGCCATCATCCAGTGGAGACACAGGCCTACTTGCGAACGAATATTCACCTGGCGGCCATCGGCCGGAAGTTCCACTTCACCAAAGAACGCAAGATTCAACAGGACTTGGCGCGCCGTGAAGACCAGCGCACTGAGCGAATTCCATTTCTCCTGATCGACGGGCTAGCCAGCGACTTTGTTTCAGAGCCAGTTGATCCTCCTGCGCAGTGCTCACCGACGCCCCCTTTTCCAGTTATAGAGGCCGAAAATGACGGGAACTCGTCTCACAGTACGTCTCATTCTCGTCGTTCCCATCGCCTAAAGCATCGGAGTTCCTTTCTGTCTATCTCAAGCGATAATAGCGTTCGGGATGCACGAGCGCGTGACAAGAATGATACGAGATCGAGGCTAAGGAGGGATATGCTTACTTCGATAATTGGACCGGGCGGGATTCCATTCCCCAACGATCATATTGAGGCTCCGGGCTCAACCGCGGGGCAGCACTCGACATCCCATGCTGCAGCTGAACACCACTACGTGAAAGACGTACATGATCACTCGTCTGTCGCCTTTTCGAGCCAGTATTTCGCACCGCACTTTCCCTCGGATAGTGTTCGTCCCGAGAATCGCGATGCCGTTTTTCCTGACATTCTGGAAGACGACGACGACGACGATATATTCGGCCAAACGATAGCGACCCTGGGTGAGATTGACCCACGCAGCCTGAGCGAGGAGCACGCCTACGCAAGCGTTATTCTCGAGTTTCCCTCTGGTCTCACGGCTTGCATCAAGCCCGAAGCAGTTCGACATGCTGTTTCGCTTCTGGCAGAGCTGCAACCGAGCGAGCCCGAAAGTATACTCGATTCTCTCCAGATAGGCGCCATGGGGGAGATATTCGCCTCCAAGAAGCCAGAGCATCATCACGGGAAGATCCAGGACCTTCTCGTGAGGCTGCCAAAAGCGGACATTCGTTTTCTCAACTCAGCGGCGCCCAACTCCCCGAACGACTCCCACGAGGACCAAGACCAGTATGACCTGCGAATTTCCAAGGCGGTCTTGATTACTCGAACTGTAAAAGAGAGCAGTGTCACCAAGAACGCTAGGACGTCGCTTCATTTTCGCCTGAAATCTGCAGAAATCTCGGCATCGGAGCGCTTGTCGTCGCTTTACAATCCCAAAGCAGCTGTCATGGTGGAAATTGACGATGTGATGGTGTCTTTGGGCGCAAAAGACATCACATTCTTTGACGCTGATATAGGCTCTATCGTTGGGAGCACTGCATCAGGAAAGATTGAATATTTGGCTTCTCTCATACACCGAACGGGAACCCTGGCATCGGATCTCGAAAGTCTCGTCTCCGCGACTACGGCCGGGAACAGTGAGCGGGCCAAGTATTTGACATATCGCCTCCTCAACCAGGGCAGGTCTACCAACGATCCTGCGTTCCTCACTCGACCCTCGGCTGTTTTGAGGTCGGCTCCTCAGCATATGCGGACATGCGATTCATGGAAGCTAGTCATGCGACTTCGTCAAATATGGGCTACTATGAGAACCATCAAAAGCTCCCTGCTGGCGGACGACTGTAAAGATGCATCCTGCTTGGCCCCTCCCGATGCTGCGGGAGTTGTGTTGACCGCCTTCCAACGGTGGCGCAGCTGGGATCTGGAGGATGCTGCTAATTCCGTGCTGCTCGCGAGAGTGTTTGGAGGAAACAAGGCAGTGGATGTAGAAGCTGGAAACGATGCGCCCATCCTTGGTGCGTGCCGACTGGCAGAGTTGCGCTTTGTACTGGATCCGGGCCCGAAACAGAACAATATCGGGCTCCTCGATATCACTTTCAGGGTTGAGCAGAAGCCGGCTGCTTCGAACCATACCCCTTCCGAGGTGCCCGATTTTGATGGCCCGTTGACTGTTTGCAACTTGTGCTGCAGCGACGCGGCCGTACACCTCAATTGGGAGCTTTGCGAATTGGCAGACGATGTTCTTCGACTGTACAATCGAAACCGTGCGAGCAGTCTCGACGAGCCGAAATCGACCAAGCCACACGCCGAACCTGCAAGGGCACGCTCGTCCGCATTTCACGTCGTGCTCGAGCTAGTGAGAGGCTCGATCGACTTGGAGACTGTGAATCTCAGCCTACAAACTCTATCCAGCGGACTCAAGGCCTCCGTCCTAATGCAGAGCACTGGCGAGCAAACAGATTTCGCCAGCGCCCTGGTGAACTGCAATGCGGTCACATCCCGACTGCATAGTCATTCGCAGCTCCTTGGAACTTGCCAGCTTCGCCAACCAAGTATCTTTGCGTCTCACGAGCTGCAAGAGACAGAAGAGGCCTTGTTGCGCTCATTCAAGTCGACGGGCAGCTGCCAGGATCTAACGTTTGCAATCAAACAGGATCCCATTTCTTTGTTAGAAACCACTGACCTCGTCATCAGAGACGAGGTTGCTCAACTATACCGCCTTCAAAGTCTGATACCTGCTTCTACGAATGTTTCAGAGCCAGTCAAGATGGCGGATCGTCTCTCCAAAGTCAAAATCAACGTGGCCTTGTTCCTCGACAGCTACACCATCAACATTCCGCTTTTGCAATCTCTGACCTACAAGATCTCAGGGGTCGTGGCGCGAATTGCATGCGCCGCCAACCGTGGCGAAGAAGTCATACTCGACTTCGATGTCAAGGAGAACTCGCATGGAATGCAGATCGACGTCCGAGACGAGCCTCGCAGCATCTCTCTTCTTCAAATACCTCCCATGAATGGTCGCGTAACAAGCCAGACGAATCAATCCGACCAAGCCTTGACCATTCTGTCCTCGATCGAAGTCATCAGGCTTGATGCCTCTGCCATTTATAGTATACTCGCGGCTCTAAACCGACCACAAATCTCTAGCGCGATCCAGGAAATCCAACAACAAACCAAGATCATACGAGGACACATGGCCGACGTCTTCGGAACGACAGAACCGCCCAGTCCAGCATTCACTCATGCCCCGCGTACGGCTTTGACATACAATCTTCATCTAACGCTTGCCGGACTGCGAATATTTACCAAAGCAGTACTGACGTCGAAGACAGAGCCAATGGCCCAGATCCTCTTCTCCCTGGATAAGACGCACCTCCTTGCATGCAACCAACACGATTCGGATGGCCCCCCATTACGATACCCAGATCTGCATGTGAACTTGCGGCAAATGGGACTCGACGTCCGCAGAGGCAGGAAGGATGCTATGAGATCGTGCGGTAGCATGGGAGCCAGCGTCACGGTTTCTGCCAGCTCCAGACGTGGTGACGACAACAAGGAGGATTGGCACTTCAACTTCCGCAGCGACGAACTGGACATCAACCTATCCCCAGAGACCGTCTCGACCGTAATTGACGTGATAGGCTATTCTGGCTCCAAGGTCAAGGATCTGGACACGTCACGGGAGCTCGAGTATCTGCGAAAACTCCGGCAGTCCAAACCGCGAATCACCATCAACGACCAGGAAGAACCAGGAGAAGACGCCGACCTGTTGGGTTCCGTGCTGGCATCTGTGGTTTATCAGTTTGAGCTACGAAACATCCGGATGTGCTGGGACGTCGCCAACGAGTCAGGGGATAAAGATCACAGCAAGGAAGACCTTGTGCTGTCGATTCAACTCATCGAGTTCGGGACCAGGACGAGGAAATCTGCCAGGCTCACAATCGAGAGGCTCTTGCTTCAGACCGTCCCGCCGGGACAAGACAAGAATATGCGGTCTTTGCACTCCGCTCTTCTTCCCGAGGTGATCTTCAATGCCGCCTACGTGTCCACAGCCGAAGCACGTCGCATGGCTTTCCAAGCCACTGGAGAGTCTCTGGACCTACGCCTGACCTCTGCGTTCATTGTGCCTGCTGCAAACCTGGTCGAGTCCATTTCCCTGTCGATGAGGAACGTGCAGGAGGCCTCGGCGCAATGGACAACTGGAACAGCCGCCGCCAAAAAGCCAGACGAAACCACAACTGCCCAACGGCAGCGGAGCTTTTTTGGAAACAAGCGGTTGGAAAGCCTGCTGATTGACGCCGACTTTGCCGGGGCAGTGGTATATGTCTCTGGCAAGGACGGCAATGACGGCTCGCACGCGTCGTCGAAGCACAGCCGTCGACCGTCTCTAGGCGGAAAATACGGCCAGTTCAATGCAGACGATTCTGGGAGCGCGGCAGTGCTTCGCACCCCTGGATTGGCGTGGAAGGCCGAATACCGAGATAATGGCGAGGAAGACCCCTCACTGTATGGCGAGGTCAAGATTGATGCGTCAAGCAACATCCTGTACCCGGCGGTGGTTCCTCTCATCCTCGACATCATGTCGAGTGTCAAGGAGGTCGTCAGCAATAGCAGCCAGGACAAACGAGCCCCGAACAGCGAGCCACCGAAGATGAAGCCAGAGAGGTCCGCGGAAGAGGATAACATCCTCACCGCGGACCCGAGTGCCGTCTTGGGCCGGCTGAAGCTCAATCTTGGCCTGCGCATCTGCAGGCAAGAGTTTTCCTTGAGCTGTCAGCCCGTGGCTCGTGTGGCAGCAACCATGAGTTTTGACAATGTCTATTTCACGGTCAACACAGTAACCTCTCAAGAGCAGGGCAACTTCTTTGCCATCTCTGGAACCCTGACGAAGCCTCAGGCCTCAGTGCAGCACGTTTACTCGAGGGACTCGACAGCAAGTTTCGGGGTTGACACAGTGACACTTTCCTTCATGAACAGCAAACACGTTAGCGGCACCAGCGGCGTGTCCGCCATCCTGAAGGTGAGTCCAATGAACATATCGGTCAATGCGAAACAAGTGCAAGACTTCTTGCTGTTCAGAGAGATATGGTACCCCGAAGACCTGCGCCACGCATCGTCGGCCCCGGTTGCGAAGCTCGAGACGGAGACTTCGCAGGGCCATCTGGTCCAGCGCTATCAGCAAGTGGCTGCTACGACGGCGTTTCCTTGGACGGCCACGATATCCATTGCCGCCCTCGACGTCCAGGTTGACCTTGGGCAAGCCATAGGAAAGTCTGTCTTCCAAATCAACGACTTTTGGGTATCGGCCAAGAAGACGTCGGACTGGGATCAAAACTTGTGCCTCGGGTTCCGACGAATAAGCATCGACTGCACAGGTCGGCTGAGCGGCTTCGTCGCCCTGCAACACTTTAGGTTGCGCACGTCTATCCAGTGGCCCAAGCGAGAACAAGCGCTGAACGAGACTCCGCTCATCCAGGCGTCGTTGGCATTCAATGCCTTGCGCGTCAAAGCGGCTTTTGACTATCAGGCCTTTTTGGTCGCCGATGTGACGTCTCTGGAATTCTTGATGTACAACGTCCGGGAGAGGCGCGAGGGTAGCGGAGACCGGCTGGTAGCCATCTTTGACGGAGACGCGGTGCAAGTCTTCGGAACGACAGCATCCGCAGCTCAGGCCGTGGCGCTGTACCAGGCCATGCAGAAGCTCATCCAGGAGAGGAAGGAGAATTTCGAATTATCTCTTCGGGAGATTGAGAAATTCACGAGACGCAAGTCGAATACGCCGCGACACATGCAGCAGCATTCGCCGTCGGCGCCGCGGTTGGCCGAGGACGACACCATGGCCAAATCGCCGATATCTCTGGACACTGACGTTGTGGTGACGCTCAAGACTCTGAACTTGGGGGTCTTTCCCAGCACCTTTTCCGACCATCAGGTGTTCAAGATGGAGGCACTCAACGCGTACGCAAGATTTGCGGCCAGCATGGAACAACGACGGATACACAGCATCCTCCGGATGACGCTCGGTCAGCTCCGGATAGGGCTGGCTGGAGTGAGAAATGCTGAGGCGCCCAAGACGCTGAGCGAGATGACGGTAGAGGATGTGGTCCAGCGGTCGACGGGATCGCGAGGAGGCACAATCCTGAAGGTGCCGCGAGTGGAGGCGGTGATGGAGACGTGGCAGAGCCCCAAGAGCAACCATATCGACTTTGTTTTCAAGAGCGCTTTCGAGGGCAAGGTGGAGGTGGGATGGAACTACTCTCGCATCAGCTACATCCGCGGCATGTGGGCGAGCCATTCGAAGTCGCTGGAGCAGACATGGGGTCGACAGCTCCCGATGACAGCAGTCAAAATTACCGGGGTGCCGCAGACGGAAGCGGAACGGAAGGAGGGCGAGCAGCAGAAGATCAGGGCCGAGGTCAACGTGCCTCAGTCAAAGTACGAGTACGTGGCACTCGAACCTCCGGTCATCGAGACACCACAACTCCGGGACATGGGAGAGGCGACGCCGCCGCTGGAGTGGATCGGGCTGCACAGGGACAAGATGCCCAACTTGACTCATCAGATTGTCATTGTGTCGCTGCTGGAGCTGGCAGGAGAGGTGGAGGACGCCTACTCTCGGATCCTGGGGTCTTCGTGAGAGGATGAGCGATGGATGGACTCCCATGGGGGTTTAGGGGCGAGAGGATGGCGAGCTGACAGGGCGAGTAAAAGAGGTCAACATGCATGCATGACCTGGATGGTAGAATAATGAACAGTCTTGTGCAGTAGGTAGCTAACCAGAGATGGCGCATCTCTCTTCCCAGTTAACCAACACGACTGAGATTGTGGCAGCACGCGCTACAGGGCAAAACTGTATCGTCAGGGTGTACAAAGAACGTACTCTGTGCAAAGCGCCCCGTACGTACATTCCAATAAGTGGGCTGAAACCAATAACTTGAGGGCCAGGCGATGACGGCCAGCCACACAGGGCTCTTGCCCTCTCTAGTCGGTGCACAACTTGCAGTGGGTTGGCTCAATTTGGAGGGGGAGGGGCAAAGGCAGTGAGACATACAGTGCTAAATACATATCAAGACAGTGAGGGGCTCTTTTCCTGGGTGATGATGCCCCGCGCCCTGGGCTGCGCGCAAAAGCCAGGAAAAGATATCCAAATAGCGAGAAAATACTGCCTGCAACAGGAGAGTCATGAGGCCTGGCCAGGGCAGGATTATAGAAATAGAAAGGAATTGAACCAGGTCGGCTAGTCAGGGCTCGGACTTAAACGGACGTTGGTTCTGCTGCTGCCACAGTGGCGAGCGCATCCTCTCTCTGCCCCACCTGCTTGGATTTTTCATGGATTTTCATGGATTTTTTCCCCCTGTTACGTAGTCTCCTCTGCGTACCGGGTATCTTTGCACTGTGTTAGCCACAGAGTGGGGGTATTGCCCACCTGTAAAGGCAGTGAGGAGGAGCATTGACAGCACTACATGCACAGTGAGGGCAGCAGTGCAGCTCTCGTCGCAGAATCTCCCCCTCCACCCACTCCCTCCGTCCTTTCCCTTCCTCTCCTCTCCCCAAAACCTCAACCCACTCCCATCACCCAAGGGACACATCCGAGAGTGACAGTGATTTTCCTCGCTGTCTCTCTTTTCTCCGAGCCGTTCTGGTCTGAGAGGCTGTCTTGCTTTTTCCCAAGGCCACAAAGAGCGCGGGGTCAAATTCTTCAACCCCGCTTTGTCCTCGACTTCGCCAGATTTTTTCTTCCCCTCCGACCCTAAAGAGGACGGAAACACCAAAAAACACATAGCAAGTTCATCACTGCAATACCGCAAAGATGGTCAAGTAAGCTTCAATTTCCCGTCCCAGAGGCTCCCGCCGCCCGCTTCGATGCCAGGTCGCTGCCTCGGCTCAAGCGTACCCCGCCTCGAGGTGCAGCCGGCTGACGTGCCTCTTACCATGGCAGCTTTACTATCGACGAGATCCGGACTTTGATGGACAAGCCGACCAATGTCCGGAACATGTCCGTCATTGCCCACGTCGACCACGGAAAGTCCACTCTGACCGACTCCCTCCTGGCCAAAGCCGGTATCATCTCGACGGCAAAGGCCGGAGATGCCCGAGCGACCGACACTCGTCCCGACGAGCAGGAGCGCGGCATCACCATCAAGTCGACGGCCATCTCCCTCTACGGCCATCTCGATGACCCTGAGGACATCAAAGACATTGTCGGCCAGGTCACTGATGGCCAGGACTTCCTCATCAACCTCATCGACTCCCCCGGTCACGTTGATTTCTCCTCCGAGGTCACTGCTGCCCTGCGTGTCACCGACGGTGCCCTTGTCGTCGTCGACACCGTCGAGGGTGTCTGCGTCCAGACCGAGACGGTCCTGCGACAGGCTCTGGGCGAGCGTATCAAGCCCGTCGTCGTCATCAACAAGGTCGACCGCGCTCTCCTCGAGCTCCAGGTCTCAAAGGAGGACCTGTACCAGTCCTTCTCTCGTACCATCGAGTCCGTTAACGTCAGCATCTCCACCTACTTCGACAAGACCCTCGGCGATGTCCAAGTGTACCCCTACAAGGGCACCGTTGCCTTTGGTTCCGGTCTGCACGGCTGGGCCTTCACCATCCGCCAATTCGCCGCCCGGTACGCCAAGAAGTTCGGTGTCGACAAGAACAAGATGATGGAGCGTCTCTGGGTAAGCCTGTCTCCTCCCCATGCCCATGACCGTTAACCGGCTAATACATCCCGTCCGTCAGGGTGACAACTACTTCAACCCTGCCACCAAGAAGTGGACCAAGAACGGCACCCACGAGGGCAAGCAACTGGAGCGTGCCTTCAACCAGTTCGTCCTGGACCCAATCTTCAAGATCTTCCAGGCCGTCATGAACCACAAGAAGGAAGAGATCGCCACCCTTCTCCAGAAGCTCGAGCTCAAGCTGAACACCGAGGACAAGGAGAAGGAGGGCAAGCAGCTCCTCAAGGCCGTTATGCGAACCTTCTTGCCCGCCGCCGACTCCCTGCTGGAGATGATGATCCTGCACCTGCCCTCGCCTGTCACCGCGCAGAAGTACCGTGTCGAGACCTTGTACGAGGGTCCTCTGGACGATGAGGCCGCCATTAGCATCCGGGACTGCAACCCCAAGGGCCCTCTGATGCTCTACGTCTCCAAGATGGTGCCGACCTCCGACAAGGGTCGCTTCTACGCCTTTGGTCGCGTCTTCTCCGGCACCGTCCGATCCGGCCTCAAGGTCCGTATCCAGGGCCCCAACTACGTCCCCGGCAAGAAGGAGGACCTCTTCATCAAGGCCATCCAGCGAACCGTCCTCATGATGGGCGGTAAGGTCGAGCCCATCGTCGACATGCCCGCTGGCAACATTGTCGGTCTGGTCGGTATCGATCAGTTCCTGCTCAAGTCTGGTACCCTCACCACCAGCGACACTGCCCACAACCTCAAGGTCATGAAGTTCTCCGTCTCGCCCGTCGTCCGGCGCTCCGTCCAGGTCAAGAACGCGCAGGATCTGCCCAAGCTGGTCGAAGGTCTCAAGCGCTTGTCCAAGTCGGATCCTTGCGTCCTGACCTTCACCTCGGAGTCGGGTGAGCACGTCGTCGCCGGTGCCGGTGAACTGCATCTCGAGATTTGCCTCAAGGATCTCGAAGAGGACCATGCTGGCATTCCCCTGACCATCTCGGACCCTGTCGTCCAGTACCGGGAGACGGTCCAGAGCAAGTCAAGCATAACGGCCCTGTCAAAGTCCCCCAACAAGCACAACCGTCTGTACATGGTGGCCGAGCCCATCGACGAGGAGCTGTCGCTTGCCATTGAGGCCGGCAGGGTCAGCGCCCGTGACGATTTCAAGGCTCGTGCCCGTGTTCTGGCCGATGACTTTGGCTGGGACGTCACCGACGCCCGAAAGATCTGGACCTTTGGCCCCGACGGCACTGGCGCCAACTTGCTGATTGACCAGACCAAGGCCGTCCAGTACCTGAACGAAATCAAGGACTCGGTCGTCTCTGGCTTCCAGTGGGCCAGTCGTGAGGGTCCCGTCGCCGAGGAGCCCATGCGCTCCGTCCGCTTCAACATCCTCGACGTCACCCTGCACGCCGATGCCATCCACCGTGGTGGTGGTCAGCTCATCCCTACCGCTCGTCGCGTCCTGTACGCCGCCGCGCTGCTCGCCGAGCCAGCGCTGCTGGAGCCCGTCTACTTGGTGGAGATTCAGGTGCCGGAGCAGGCCATGGGTGGTGTGTACGGTGTCCTGACCCGCAGACGTGGCCACGTCTTCAACGAGGAGCAGCGTCCCGGCACTCCTCTGTTCAACATCAAGGCCTACCTGCCTGTCTTGGAGTCGTTTGGGTTCAACGGCGACCTGCGCCAGGCCACGTCGGGCCAGGCTTTCCCCCAGTCTGTGTTTGACCACTGGCAGGTCCTGCCCGGTGGCTCGCCCCTCGACAACACCAGCAAGACGGGCCAGATTGTCACGGAGATGCGTAAGCGCAAGGGTATCAAGGTTGATGTTCCGGGCGTGGAGAACGTAAGTAAATTCAAATGGCACTCAGAGGCGGGCGCATCACTAACAGATCGCAGTACTACGACAAGCTGTAAACGGCTTCTCTCTGTGCCGATAGACTCAAATTTCGTGCCAAGATGGGCACCTCCTGTCGACTGCCTGCCTGCCAAGATGTCGAGGCGCTTGCCGGGGCCACTGAGGCAGTTCCGCTGGGCATTGACAGGCGTCGGTTAAGCGACGAGCCGGCCGGCAACAAGCGAATGCCGAGTTGGGACTAATACCAAGGGAAGCTGTGTGTAGCTGTTTGTCTCTTTGTAGTTATGTCGTCTCGCAAGAATCGGAACACGTAAGATGCAGGCTGAAGTGCTGGGTGCGCCGCGTGATTGTTGCCAGGGGAGCATTCGTAGTCGTGAAGGTGATGATTTGGCTTGCTGCTCGAGACACCGGAACTACCTACGGATATTACATCAGTCGGTACATGGGAGTGGCGCAGTTCACGCGTACCTAGGTAGGTACCTAGGTTAAGGTAAGTATTGCAAGTCGGGTAGCTACATGTAATTACCTATCACAGTGGATTAGCGGAAGCGACCCCACCCACCCTCTGTTGAACGGACCCGCGTGTTCCCCAACTTCTCAAGGTCGTCGGTCGCGAAACCGAAAAAAAAGTGTGACCCGTTACATCAACACAGCCTTATCCCACCAACAAAACCAGCCATTGCGTCGCATCCGCCTGGCTCGGTCTGCTGGCGATCGACCAATAGCCCGCGGTGGCGCCACGACCAGAGACACTTTTGCTCCCGGAGAAGCTCGCGCTGCTTCATCATGCTGTTCCCGGAAGGAGACGCGCCGCCGCTCAAGGCGTGGATTGTCAAGAGAATTGAAAACACGTCAGTGGCCCCAGAATCGACTGCTCTCGACCTCGCTCACTGACATGCCGTCTGCAGCTCCGACGCCGACTCTGACGTTCTTGCCGAGTATGTGATTGCGCTGCTGAAGCATGATGGCGACCAGCCGGCTATTCGGAAGCTCTGCGAGCAGGAGATTCCCGACTTCTTGACCGAAGGTATGCTCGGCCTTCTAGACGCCCCATTTAAAGCCTTCTAACTTTCGCCTCGTTCTCGCTGCAGACCCCAAGGCCTTCCTGGACGATGTCTTTGAAGCCATCAAACACCGATCCTATATACCCGGAGGGGCGCCACCCGAGGAGCCGTCTCCCGAGCCCGATTCCCAATCAGCTCAAGCACATGCTGGCTCGAGGAAGAGGGCGTTTGGCGACGAAGCCGACTCCCTAGACGACGGGCAACGGGATCAATCCTATGGCGATCACCGATCCGTTAAGCAACCTCGGCGCGGCGCTCGACGAGGGCCCGAAGACAACCGAGGCAGCAAACAGGGAGGCTTCGGCTCCATGAATCTGCCTGCTCCGCCGGCAGGGATGCCGCAGTTTGACGTCAACAACCCCATGGAGGCCTTCATGCAGATGCAAGCAATGGGCATGCCCTTTGCTGGCCTGCAAGGTTATCCTCAGTTGAACTTTGGTGGCAGACCCCAAAGACACCAGCCCAAGCGCAAAGGCCGATGTCGCGACTTCGACACCAAAGGCTTCTGTTCTCGAGGAAGTACCTGCATATATGATCACGGCAACGAGTCCATTTACGTTCCTCCCTCTGCGTCCAACGGCGAAGGTGAGATGCCGCCCTTTCTTCACTCCATGTCTGTCCCGAACTCTGCTGAACCTGGCTGACGTTTGCCTCAGAGTACGATCCGAATGACGCGGTAATGCAAATGCCAACGATGCCTCACCAAGGAAACCCACTGCTCTACGCCTCCGATGGACCCCGTGGGCGAGGAGGTCGTAAATCCCGCGGAAACGTTCACCGCGGTGGCCGGAGAGGCGGCGGTCGTGCTCTGTTTTCAGCAGATGGACCCGTCCACGACCGCACCAAGAGCACGATCGTGGTTGAAAACATACCGGAGGAGTGCTTCAGCGAAGACCAAGTGTGCGGCTTCTTCTCGCAGTTTGGCAACATTGTCGAAGTATCGATGCAACCGTATAAGCACCTGGCTGTCGTCAAGTACGACAAGTGGGCTGCCGCGAATGATGCTTACCGCTCACCTAAGGTCATCTTCGACAACCGCTTCGTCAAGGTCTTTTGGTACAAGGAGGAGACGGACAACACTCTCAACGACGTAACTAACAATCTCCAATTCAATGCGGATGCAGGCCCTGCCGTAAGAGGCCCGGAGCCAGAGGTCGACTTGGAAGATTTGAACAGAAGACAAGAAGAGGCACAGCGGCAGCACCGAGAAAGGCAGGCCAAGCGGGAAGAGCTCGAACGGCAACGCCAAGAACTGGAAAAGAAACAGCAAGACCTGCTGGCAAAGCACCAGGCAGAAACAGAGCAGCTGCGAGCAAGGCTTACGGAGAAGAACGGTAGCGACGCGGGCTCCGGCACCTCTGCCACGGAGCTGCTGCGCGCACAACTGGCTGCGCTGGAGCAAGAGGCCAAGATCCTCGGGCTCGATCCGAGCGCGGCGGAGGATGGTGGTGCGCCAGGCTTCCGGGGAGGTTACAGGGGGAGGGGTGCGCACCGTGGCAGAGGTGCTCCCCGAGGCCGCGGTATTCATCGAGGCCAGGGGGCGAGGCACGCTGCGTACGCCCAGTATTCCATTGATAACCGGCCGCGGAAACTCGCCGTCCACGGGGTGGACTTTACGCCTCCGGACAAGGACGAGGTGCTGCGCCATTTCCTTTTGGTGAGTGACTCGCAATATCTTCCTGGCACTCTAGGAACACCCCCTTCCCCCCCTTTCCCTTTCGTCTCCAGGCGATTCGAAGAAGCACACGCTAACAAGGACGCAGAACCTGGGCGAGTTCGAGTCGGTCGAAACCACGCCATCGGTCACGCACGTCTCTTTCCAGGACCGCAAGACGGCCGAGAAGTTCTACTACAGCCTGCACGGCAAGGAGCTGCCAGGCGTCGAGGGCAGGCTGGACCTAGCGTGGGTCAACGCGGGGGCGGCGGCGGCAGCTGCAAAGAAGCCGGTCGACGGCTCCACGCCGGCCCTGTCAGACGACGACGAAGGCCCGTCCAAGGACGAAACGGCGCCGACAGAGATGCAGCAGCGCCAGGTGGACATGGACTACGAGGTTGGCGACGACGATGCCTGGGACGACGGCGTTCGGTGATGTGCCACCTCTCTTCTGTGTACCCGATGGGGGGCTTGGAGTGGTGAGGCGGTGGTGGGGGCGGTTCTGACATCTGCTGTGATTATATGCCGATGCCAAAAAGTACCGGTGGGCAGCGGGACCGGGGGCTTCAACAGAGAGTGGGCAACAGCGGCTTGTACGCTTAGAGTCATCATATATAAAGGGCAGAGAGGCAAGGCATGTGCTTCGATGGATAAGAATCCACACAGGCAGAAGAGAAGCAGAAGCGGCTTATATAGTGCAAGGCGGCCAGGTGATGGATGCAGACCCAGGGCGCAAACGGATACCGCGCACAAGGGCAGTTCTTCTCGATACTCCTGTGTCTCCAGCTGCAGCGAGGCGTCCAAGCAGTCCAACTCCTCCAAAGCTGTGCCTTGAGCACTTTCGACCATGCTCCCACTTGGCCACCTACCACTGCAGTCTCCTCCTCCTTTCCCCCATCCTCACCCCTTGTTTTTTTTTTCTTTTCAACTTCTTATTTGCACTCTAACCCAGTTCCCCCTTCTCGCTTTCCTCTCTAATAAATGCGGCTCTTCGCAGGCGGGGTATCGTTGAGATATGTCATGCATGAAAAAATAACATTACAGAGGGGCGGGCCTCGGCCGGTGGCCTCGCGTGCCCTCGTACAGTCGTGGCGCGTTCAAAAGCATACCCGGTCGTGGCGGGTTCGTCTTCCATTGTCGCAGTGTGTGCAGCGTTTTGTTGAAAATGGCACGCCTTGCTCCCGCCTGTCCGCCCAGTCACTGCGCTAAAACGCCGTCCAAAGCACGCTCGTGGCGACAGACAAAAAAGGATGGTAGAGAAAAGTGTAATCGGAACAAGGAAAGCCTGGGTAGCGAAGAGCTTCATCTCTGGAAGCCGCCGCCGCATTACTCGCCTTGGACCACATTGTCGCTCCGAGCACAGCTACCCAGGCGCCTTGGGCCTCATGCAGTCTGCGCAACGTCAAGATCTTTGACCTCAACGTCCTCTAGTAGCTCGAAAATGGCGGCGTTGTCGTGAAAGTCGTTGTTCACTGTCCTCGTGTCAGCCATTCATCTGCAAGGCGCTACGGCGCGCACACCGCGGCCGGCAAATCGACATACCAATGTTGACGAGATACCACTCGCTCATGATCCTGTCGAGCAATGCCCTGGTGGGTGTGTTGGAGTCGAAACAATGGGCCCAGTCGGTCCCCAGCCGAAAGGCCTCGTCCCTCCAGGCGAGGAAACTGACACTCTCCACGATGGTGGGCTGCACGATTTCTTTGCCCGGGAAGACGCCCCAAGTCACTGCGTTGGGGCCGTCCGAGGGAGCATTCGTCTTGAGGTCGCCGTCCTTGGTGATGGCATAGTATGTAAGAGATGGCCGGTCGTCGATTCGATTGATGATGGCGCTGACAGTCTCCGGGGGGACCAGCAGCTCGAGATAGGCCTTCTGGTAGACATAGCCGTTGGACGGGCCCCAGCCGTGGACCGAGTGCGAGGACTTGACGCCGTCGACGGCCGGCTGCGAGTTGATGGTCAAGAGCCCACGCTTGTTGAGAGCGACGAGATTCTGCTTGATGATGTCGGCCTCGCCCGTGAGAGGTGACTCACTCCACGGGAGTGAGTCGATTTCCTGGTCCAGGTAGCGGACAAAGGTGTTGGCAAGGTCTCGGATGGTCGAGGGCTCGCCCCATTTCTTGCGGTTGGCCTCATTGGTGCCCGTCAAGCCGATGCCGTAGGCGTCGAGCTCGCCAAAGGCGGGAGACCGCGAGTCTCCCCAGCGGCCGTTGGGAAACTCATCCCAGTCCTGCGTTCGGAGGACGTAGGACTTGTTGCGGTTACGCCAGAAGATGGGACGGACGTCTTCGTCGCGCCGGCCGAGACCCTTGGACTGCTTCCACGGGAGGGCGTGGTGCAGGGGCCTCTCGGGACACGGGGCCCAGCTCAGCTCCTCGAGGACCATGCGCGTGGCCTGGGCAAGGTTCATGGTGTAAAAGTGCAGGTGGGAGATGCCGTTGGCCAGCAGTTTGCGACACATGTTGGCGACGAGCGTCTTTCCAATTTCGCGGACGGCGACGTCGTCGTTCTTGACGGGCTCGAGGGCGTCCAACCAGTGCTTGGGGACCTTGCACTGCATATGGTTGGCTCTGCGGAGGAAGCTGGCGTAGGTGGCAATGGGCATGATGCCAGGGAGGATGGGAGCGGTGATGCCTCGGTCGCGGACCTTGCCGACCCAGCCGACAAAGTTGTCAGCGTCGTAGAACATCTGGGTGACGATGAAGGAGGCGCCCATGTCGATCTTCTCCTTGAGGTGGTCGAGCAGCTCGTCCTCGTTCTTGTTGTCGTCGCAGCCCTCGGGATAGCCGGCGACGCCAATGTCGAAGTGGTTGCCGTAAGCTTCTCGAATGTGCTTGACCAAGTCGCGAGCATACTGGAAGCCGTCGTCGGTGGCGGTCCACTTGTCCTGGTCTCGGGGCGGGTCGCCACGCAGGGCGAGGATGTTTGTGCAGCCAGCCTTGTAGGCTTTCTTGAGGGCATCGTTTACTTTGTCGCGGCCCATGTCGGTGCAGGTGAGGTGCATGCAGGTCTCAAGGCCATAGACAGACTGAGCCTGGAGGACCATTTCGCAGGTGAGCTCGGCGATGCGTCCGCCAGCGCCCCAGGTGATGTCGATGAACTTGGGGCCGAAGTTGTACATGCGGTCCATTCGGTCGTAGAGGTTTTGGACACCCTGGGCCGTCTTGGGAGGGAAGTACTCGAAGGAGAAGGAGGGCTGGTGGCCCTTCTCGGCCTCGGCGAGCATGTCCTTGATGTGCATGCTGGGCGAAGGATACGGTCAGAGAGGCAGCGTCGGGATTGCAGTAGACGGCGACGGCAGACGGGGCCTCGTCATGAGATGAGGCAGAAGGGCGAGCGGGCGGAGATGTCGTCGGCTCGATCAAGAGGATGACAGAATTGAACGTATGACTGTGGGCTGCGACTCAGACAAAGACGTTAGTGAGAGACAGGAAACCGGCCGAAGTGATTCAGAGTTTCCAGGCCGGCAGGAAAAGATGTGACGGAGCTTACGGAGTGGATTGAGGCGGTCGGTGACCGGTGTTCGGCGAGTTTTGCAGGGCGATAGCACGAGAGAGGTCGGGCAAGCCAGCCAAATCCTGACGAGGAGAGCTCGGGCCAAGGAGACGACGGATTGAGGAGGGAGGCGACGTGGCGAGAGAAGACGAGACACTGTTGAGAGAAGAGAAGAGGATGAGGAGGGGGAGAGGGGAAAAAAGGGAGGGGATCACTGTCGACAATTTGTTCCCGAAAGCTACCAACAGGCAAGGCACGGAACATGTGGGAAGCAGGACGGAGCAAGCGTCCAATCACTGTATGCACTGAAACCCTCGGCGCAGCGAGAACCGTCCGGGGGGGAGGCAGGGGGTGGGGAGGGAGAGGGAGGGACCCGGGGGGGGAAAGGCGCGGACGGCATCTGGAGTGAGGGAGCACGGCTGCGTGATAGGGCGGCTGAGGGCCGGAGGGGCCTCGACAGGTCTGCCGGGCTCTCGGTGCCGCCATGCAATCCAAGTCTCGGAGGGGTACCCGGCCCAGGCAAGTGGGGTCCTCGACAGCTTCAACGGGGCTTCAGTACTTGTGCTATACGTGATCAAGATGCCGCCTCTGGTATCTTGCTGGCCCCGATGCCGCTCCGCAGGTACTGGGCAGCTAAGTTTCCCGTGCGTAGCGCTCCACAACGCAAAGTCCAGTGTGCACATGGAGCTACAACTCGAGTACCTACCTTACTTCGTCGACGGGAGCCGCATGCCGCCTCGCAATGGCTACGACATAGATGATGCACCGTTGAAATCGGGTCATTTAGACACAGTAGCCGATGGATAGAGTATGCCCTACACCATGTGCCTGCGGAAGTACTGTAGTGTAGAGTAGTTCTTGCGGCGACCCATTGCGCCCTCGCCAGCGGCGGCAAACGTCTTGTCTGTTGTACAGTACAGTCCTCCAGCGCGTACAGTACTGAGGCCGAAAACGGAAGGGCTCAGGCAGGTGCCATGTACATGCGCGCGACCCGCCCGCGGCCATGACGTTTTGCTTGGCTCCTTGCCGAGACCCATCACCCGCGTATTCGTATCGGGAAGTACCGAGTACTTGATCCGTGCCCGACGATTCTGCTGTACGGCACGTTGCGGTGCATTGATGTCACCCACTTGCTGCCCGTGTCTCAAAGTTTGTTCTGCTGGAAAGGAATAGAAAAACGGGGAAATTGAGGGGGAAAACTCGTTGCAGTCGTGTGTTCAGAAAATCCTCGGAGGAAATAGGCGCCTTTGGTACTCGGTACAAGCACACCGCCCTCCACCCAGCGGCAGGAACTGCCTCTGCCCAAGGTAGTGACTACCTCAGCCTCAGACATGCAAACAAAGCACTCCTCTCTTGATGAAGCTTGACGACGGTCCTTGTTCTTGCCCCTGTACGGGGTCCAAGCCAAGACACAACTCTCTTCTTACTGTTCTCGAGCACCCACCACGGCGTGACAGCTCAAGAAACCCGCGGCGACAAGCCTCTTCCATCTCCAGGGGGACTCATGCAAACAAAAGTCCTCCAAGCACACACACATACACCCCTTTCCCTTTCGGCCGCTGTTCGACACCATCACCTGCTGCGCTGGAGCATCGGAAAGTCCCGCCGCGCCCAAGGCTCAAGCAAGCCCGCCACTATCCTCCTCACCGGCTGCGCCCAGCAGCAAGCCTCGTTCAAATTAATGGTGGCGAAAAGCGCTCGGCCAACTTCGGCAGCTGCCCGGCACCTATCATCTCAATCCACGCACGGCGCCAGGGCTGTCCAGAGACGACGGCAAGGAGAATATCAAATCGAATCGCTTCGGTGCATGCACGAGTAATACGAATACAAGCGGCAATGATCCAAGTCGGCTCAGGTGAGCGGCACAAACCGCCCGTGCTGTCCAAGCCGCTCCATCAGCCTCCCCATCAAACAGCCTCTTTCTGATCCAGCATGCTCTCGCTCTTGGGCGACTGCTCAGGCTCTTCCAGCCTCGTCGCCGTGGAGAACTGCTTTCCCTTCTTCTCCGGTCCCAAAAACACAGTAACAATGACAAGCACAATGGCCGCCCCGAGGACGGCACAGATGACGATGCCGTAGTTGTACCGCTTCTTGCCGTTGGGCCCCGGAGAAAGTGGAAAGTGCTTTTCTCCAATCGACGACTGTATCGTCGCCGACGCGCTTGATGCTAGACTTCCCAGCTGATACGCCGTGCCGACCACGAGTGATCGGAATTCGGGCGGCGACAGTTCCAGGAGGTGGCTCGGTATCACGCCAAACGCGCCCTGCGTGGCAAACTGCACAAAGAAGGCGACGGCCGTGATGGCTGGCGTCGACACAAACGTGTACGGATACAGCAAGGCCCCTGCCAGCAGACAAGAGGCGATGATGGTCAACCGCCGACCAAATATCTCGGACAGGTTCCCGACGCACACGGCTCCGATGAAGCCTCCGAGGTTGCCGACGACTTGCGTAATCGTCACTTGGTTCTCGCTAAACTCGAACTGGTCGGTGAGCAGCGTCGGGTAGAGGTCCTGAGACCCGTGTGACTGTATGTGGTTTACCCTGTCAGATATGGCCATGGTATATCATCGTCAGCCGTGCGAGCCACTCACCATGTAAGTAAACCCGGCCATGAGCACAATCATGTAGATGAGGGTGAGCCAGTAGTTCTTGACGGATTTCCCGGCCTGATCGAGGAAATTGGTCTTGGCGGCCGGCGCGGACCGACGCAGCAACTGGCGCTCGCGGAAGGCTCGGGTCTCTGGAAGACACAGTCTCCAGATGATGAGTAGGACGGGCGGGCCGGCACTGAACCAGAACAGGGGTCTCCAGCCGTGCCTGGTGGTGTTCACCAATGCCCTCGCAAACGCGGTCGCGAGAAGATAGCCCAGCGGATAGCCTCCCTGGTACAGCCCTGACATGATGCCTCGGGCTGCGTCTGGACAGTCTTCCAGGGCAGTTGCGGCGGCGTTGCCGTACAGGCCGCCCATGGCAATGCCAAACAAGGCTCGGGCGGCCAGAAACTGGTTGTAGGTTTTGCAAAAGCCGGTTCCGAGCTCAAGGACGATGAAGAGCAGACAGTTGAGGACAAAGGGCCACTTGCGACCCCAGCGGTCGGACCAAACGCCGAAGATGACGGAGCCCACCGGCCGGAGCATGAGGACGAGAGCAATCCCCCAGGTGATTTCCGAATTAGACTTGTCGAAGTAATTGGCCAATGGAGTCAGCGTCAAGCTGACTGTGAAGAAGTCAAACGAGTCCAAGATCCAGCCGAACCACGCGCACTGCAGGTCTCGCTGTTAGCAGAGAGCGCCTGTGGAAGAGACGAAGAAGAGACGAAGTTGGGGGGCAGGGTCGGTACAGACGAGAAAGAAGGTCCATTGCTCGCGGTTGAGCATCTTCATGGCTGTGATTGGGTTGATGACTTTGTCCATGGGCGGCTTCAGCGTCGAAAATCGAGAGGCCAGGTAGCCTGAGATGGTCGATCTGGACTTTGGGCGTCGGCCGCCGCCAAAGGTGTCCGGCATCGACCAGCCGCTTCTCGCCCCTTGGTTGGAAGCCATCTCAGACGCGAATCGTGAGTTCTCAGTGTCCCAGACTGCCCTTGCAGAGGAAGTCGAGGGGATGAGTCCCGCGATGCCTACAACGGGAAGAAAAGAGGCTTTGCAACGCGATAACAAGACAAGGCAACCATTTCCGGGATGGAGACCACAGTGATATTAGTTGGCCCACGGCTGGGTTTATTGTCTTATATAAGGCGGGCTACGGATGAAATATCAAATCGGCCATGGCCGACACGACAAGCGTGGAAATTGTGGACTTTTGTCGTGCGAGCAGTGCCTCGGCCGCGTGGACCGACAGAGTTCTGCTGCGTCAAGAGAGATGCCTTCCGAGGTCAGGCGTCAAAGCGGCTTCAGAATACGATCAACGGCGGCGGCGCCAACGCAAACGCCGTTGCCACTGCGACTTTCGAAGGTGGGAGTCATGACGTGCCCGCCCGACGCCAGTGTCTGGTCCCCTGAAGATGCAGCCGGCACTTTCGACCGGTGGACAAATGAGATGCGGGCGATTGAGTTGAGGGCGCCGGATTAGAGTTGGGGCCGGCCGCCTAGGCGATGCCGACTCTGGCGGCCAATCGCTCCGCCGCCCTGGCCCAGATGTGTCAGATGGAAGGGAGGGTCTGATGGCCTCTTGCTAGCGAACGAGGGTCTCTTGTTTCCAGTCGAACTCCCGGTCTCTCTCTTTGCTGTCTTCTAACTGCGTGTGTGACGACGGGGGACAAGGCAGGACGTGGCCGATGCCGTGGGCTACAAGCCTACAACTTGCCATTGCTGGCTGATGAGCTAGCCGAGCCGAGGCCCATGACGTCAGAGCGTTTCAATCCGCACGCGCTACCTCGGTCCCTTCGCACGTCCCGAGAGCTAGTTGTGTTTCGCCCGTTCCCTTCCGGCCGGGAGCCCGCCGGTGCACGTCCCCCACGGGGCGAGCGGATGCGGCTTGCTCCCGCTAGAGCCCCGGGCGCATGTCACGTGGTAGGCCGTCTGCAAAGTCACGTACGTACAGCAAGTTAACTCGGAAGTTATACAGTAACTGTCAAACATAGCAAATACCACCTGACCACCAGCAAAATAGGGGCACCCCCATGTGGAGGTGTTATTGGTATAGTTTATATGTCTTCGTCCTGCTGACAGTAACCCGAGCAGCTTCGGGCATTTTTTTCAGTGTGCCAGTAGGAGTAGTGCCGGTACGTATCGAAAACTCCGGCCCTCCTGAGTCAGCCGTCAGATAATCCACCTCCAGCGCCATTCAGCCAGCTATTAGCCGGACTGCGCAATGTTCGCGCAACACTTGGCAATATTAAACCGAAATACCGTGTTGCTCAAAGTTTATAATACCTTGATGTCTTCAGATATGGCTTTGGGCGTTGAAGTTAAAGTCTTAATTGTGTGCTTATTGAGATAAAGCCAAGTAGGTACGTGTCGCTAGGGCGGGAGTAGGTACCTAGATTCTTAGCTACATACGGGAGTAGGTACCTACCTCTCAAGATTTCGTAGCGCTATCGATACGGCCCGTACCGCCCCAGGACCCAGGACGCCAAGACCATCTCATTTTTCTAGCAGTAGCATCCAAAGGCATCCATCGACTTTTTTCCCCGTCCCCTCCCGCGAGCTCCTGCACCAGCACCATCCCACCCAGGTCCGCATCACGGCCCAGTCGCACTTGCAGCCCCATCATGCTCTCCCTCCGCTCCGCTGCGCGCGCCGTCCCGCGGGTGCTCGGCCGCGCCGCCGCCGCCCCGCTGCGCTCATCCGCCACGGCGCGCCCCAGCATCTCGGCCACGGCGGCTGCTCTGCGGCAGCCGGCCCGCGCTGCCTTTTCGGCCACGGCGGGCCGCAGGGCCCATGTCGCTGAGTCTACCGACGAGCTTTCGGCCAAGCTTGAGAGCGAGCTTCAGATCGAGGAGGACCTCAAGGCCAACGAGCAGCAGCCGGCTAGCATCAAGGACTTTTTGGACAATTGCCCCTTTGAGCTGCAAGATACCCCTGGCCAGGAGGTTGTCAAGCTTGTCCGCTCTTTCAACGATGAGAAGTGCGATTTTTTTCCTGGACTTATTATCTCCCCCTCTTCTCTCCAGCCGCCTGGCAGTGATTTGACGTCCTGGGATTGACCGCGAGCAGAATCACAGTCAGCTTCTCCATCTCCGACATCACCAACTATGACCCCTTCAACGAGGACCCCGCCCTCGAGGAAGACGAGGACCTCTCCGACGAAGCGCTCCAGAACCCCAACCAGCAGGGCGGCGTGCCCGCCAAGGGAGGCGCCCGCTCCGCCGCCGCCGAGGAGCAGATGGAGGACGACATGGACGAGGACGACCTGGGCGAGGGCGCCGTCGCCCCCATCAACCTGACCGTCGTCGTCGAGAAGCCGGGCAAGACCAAGGGCGCGCTCAGCGTCGAGGCCACGGCCACCGACGGCAACATTGTCGTCGAAAACGTCTTCTACTACGACGACGCCGCCATGGCCAGGCTCGACAGCCCCGACGCCGCCCAGAGGCGCGCAGACGTCTACCCCGGCCCGCCCTTTGGCAGCCTCGACGAAGACCTGCAGGTCCTGGTCGAGCGCTTCCTCGAGGAGCGCGGCGTCACCCAGGCCATGGCTACCTTTGTACCTGACTACGTCGACGCCAAGGAGCAGTCCGAGTACCTGCGCTGGCTCAGCAATGTCAAGGCCTTTGTCGACGCTTGATCCAGTCTTGGTCGAGGGCCGCGAGGTGGCGCGCGGCTTTCTGAAGTAACGCGACTGTGCTTCCAAAACCCACGTGTTTGGTCAGGTGGGGAGGGAGAGGGAAGAGAGAGAGAGAGAGAGTCGCGTCCCAGGCCCAAATAAACGCCAGCTGGGTCGAATTTGGGGGTCTGAGGAGAAAACACCCCTCGTTGAAAGCTGTAACAATACTGCAGAAATCTGCCTGTACAAAAATACCAAAAACGGAGTCTTATGAATCAATGCAAAAGCAGATGCTCAAACCGGCCATCTCATGGGCAAGCAATTAACGATGCAAATCTGACGAGTGGGCGGTGATTACGAGCCTCAAGCTCCCATGCTATTACTGCCGGCCAGAAAGATCCATCAATCCCACGCGCAAAGTCGTGTCAAACGGGGCAACACACAGAAACACACCAGCCACCGTGAGACCAACGGCAAAGGAAACGGAAACGCCTCGTAACGCCTGTTGCAGACGCGCGGGGAGCGACCAGCGTCTGCAATGTAGCCATGAACCCTGTTCTTCTCTCCAACCAGCCTCTGCCCCTTGCCCCCCTCTTCCATGATCCTTGGCACGAGAGGGCCATGCCATCGTCTATCTGTTCCCAACTGTAGTGCCTGCCACGTTCCGTATATTCCAAGTGTATGTGTTGAAAAAATAATCATGATTCGGACGCGCGCAGCAGCAGATCCGCCGTCCGACGGAGGAGCAGTCTGGCCGACTACTCAAAATATGCCGTCCATGCTCCACTCGCCCTTTTGCGCCCGGTCGAGGACCAGTTTGCCCTTGTTCGTCAGGTCGGGCTTGCCGCCGTTGCCTGTGACGTGTTCGAAGAAGACGGGCTTCCACTCCTCGCCCGTCTTCTCGCGTTCGCGAGCCTTTTCGCGCTGGCTCTCCTCGAGCTCGATCTTGAGGTTGGTGGCCTTTGCGAACTGCTTGGAGCAGATGGCTTCCGTCACACCGGACCATAGGTTGAGCGATTCGTTGGGCAGCTGCTGGTCCTGCGGAGGAAGGACCTTGGGAGCAACCGTGAGGGGACCGAGGTCGATGATGATGAATTGCTCATCGGGGGGCACGGATTTCTGGCACTGGTTAGAGCTCACATCTACTCATGCAATGGCGTGGGCTTGGGCAAACACTTACAATTGCTCGAGGTCCGAGGGTGAAGATGACTTTCTCCCGCCACGGTCCATTGAGCCTGGCCAGCACGTCCTTTTCGGGCACATCCTGGACTCTCGTCTTGTCGTCATTTTCGGGGTCATACTTGAAGATGACACCGTCAATCTTGTTGGTTGTCCGCCCGAGCCAGCCCTCCTCGACGTAATGAAGAATAGTCTTGATTCCCGATTGCGGACACGAGATGTAGGCCATCTCGCTGACGGAGACGTTCAAACTGCCTCGTAGCAGACCTCCCAGATGCGCGGCGGGGTGCGTGAGCTGGTACGTCTCACCATCACGCTTGTCGAGCGTGATGAAGATGCCCATGTTGTGCTCGCCAGGCAGGACCTTGAGCGAAGTGCCGGTGAACTTTGCGGTGATCTGGTCGAAGCCTCGCGCGGTGATGCCTTTGTCCGGGCACGTGCAGTAGAAGGCGCTGACGGGAGGGTGGTGAGAGGTCTGTTCGGTGAGGTAGGAAATGCGGAGGGGGGAGCTGTCGGCAGCCGGGGCGTGCTGGGGCACCGAGAGCGAGACGGAGGATGCGTTCTTGTCGTCTTTAGCAGCGGCCTTGAGCTTGGAGGGCGTCCCGTTGGCCGAACCGGCGCTCCCTTTTTGGAGCTGGGCTGTGTAGATGCTCGGGGCATTATCTTCCGTCTCCCAGTTACACTAGACGCAGCGCTGTCAGCCAAAGCAAGTCCCACCTCTCACCATTCCCTTGACCCCTATTCTGATGGCGTTGGCGGCAAGCAAAGTGGTCGCTACGCACCCTGAAGAACTCGCCAAGACAGGAGTTGTATGGCTTGCACGGCCGGCCTTTTGCGTACTTGAGGTCTTTGGTCAGCCAGAAGCGCACAACCTCGAGCATGCGATCCAGCGGCTCGTCCGAGGTGCCGATGGCGACAAAGGCATTGGGGGCGTCGAGGTAAGTCCAGTACTCGAGGTTGGGCGTCGGCTCGAGGAGCTGTGACGGGAGGGAGAAGCGGACGGCAGCAAGATCTGAAACGCCGATGAATCTAGGGACGGACAATCATGTCAGTATTGACCGTAAGGAAGTGCATGCCGTCGGCGCCGAGCTGGTTGGAAGGATGGCGTCGCAGCGTTGTGCCTTGCAAGGGAAAGGGGGGAAAGAGGGCTCACTTCTTGAGGATTCCGAGAAAAGTCCTGAGCTTGGAACCGTCGCTCTGCGGTTCGTCTGGGGCGTCGGCCGTCGGCGGTGCCGGCGTCGATGATGCCATGATGAGCTTGTCGGGCGGTGGTGCGTTGCGTTGAAGCGAGCAGTGGCAAAACCGACGCCCGAGACTCCGATGTGGTCGTCGGGCGGGAGTCGATGATGTGCGTCTGCAACGAGGCGAGCGCGTTGACGGTGATGCTAATGTGTGTGGGAGTTTCAGGTCGAGTCTTCTGCCTGACTTGGAGCGAGAATAGCGAATGTTGGGGGAAAATTGGTTGGTTGGTTGGAGGAGAGGAAAAGGCGAATGTCAGAAATGCGCCTCTTCGTCGCCTCGCCCCGAAAAGGGTGCTCGGTTGCGGAAAGCTGGGTAGGGGGTACTAAAAGTGTTGATTCGAGGGTGACGTCCGCGGGGCCTTGGGGGTACTTGACGCTACAGTAGCAACCGCTTGTTTCACCAGAGGGGGGGATGAAGACCAATGTACCCTGTCAGTGTGACACAAGTACCGGGGTTCTGCTCCGTGGGCCCGGCTGCTAGTAGTGGGTACCTTGAGCCTCTAACACATTTCCCGTCCCTTTTCCTCGTCGCCATCATGGCCCGAGATCAACTTTGACAGGAGAGGTGAATAAAAAAAACTGACGAGAGGGGGACAGAGAGAGGTTCCATCCCGCTGGATGCCTGCATGGGTTGATTCGAATGCGGCCCCCTCATTGGTAGAGTGGACAAGCCTATCACGCCGGACAAATGCTATCAAAGCCCAGACAGACAAAGTGTTGGCGGTGGAGGCCAAGGGGCCAAACGCCATGTCCTGCTGTATGGGAAGCGTTTTGCTCGACCGTTGCTAGATGAAGCTTGGGTTGCGCCTGGGCTTGGTGGCCGGATGTGGATGGCGCCTCGTCGTCAACGCCAGAGCGGCAGAGCCCGACACGTTGCTGGTGGAGAGACTGAACCGAGTCTGATGGGCGACGATGGGCGACGACCAGAGTCCCTGTCCTCGTCACCTTGGGGGCGCCGGGTCCGTCTGGTCCACCCTCACCGCCTGTGACGACGACGATTCGTCTCTCGGCTTCTCGGTTTCGATGGCATTGGCGATGCAAGGCTTGGACATCGGGGCCACGCTCACACGCGACTTCATCTCGTGCAGGAATGGGCCCAAGAAGTAAAAGTCGACCACGATGAAAAAGAGCTGGACATGGCCGGCCCATCAGGTAAACAAAATGAAGAAAACTCACCGTAATCCAGGCAATAGTACAGTTTTAGTCCAGCCGGGGGCGCGAGCGCCATCCCTCGCAGCTTTCCCCATCGGCCAAACACCACGCAATCGGGCCTCGCTCCGCGATCGCGCCCGTTGACCGCGGCCCGCCCTTCCTTTGGACGCATTTACCGGTCGCCATCTCATGACATGACATACATACAGGCTCCACCACATGTGTTTCTCTCCCTACCGAGGGTCCAGTTGCTGCCGACGTCATGCCTCGACGGGCATGGCAGGCTTTCGCATCGTGTGACAAGGTAAACCTGCCTCCGTTTGGTAGTTCACCCAACAGCGCCGCGGCCGTATAGCCGTGGTGCCGACAAGACGACATACGTGTGAATGAGCGCAGGGCAATGGAGTAAAATGAAAATGGGTACTGTACTTACTTTGGCTCGGGTCGGGAATATTGGCCCGTGCATCAAGGCCGAGTGTCGTCTCTGGACATGGCAAGGTTGGAGTCGACTTGTACGACATGCACAGTCTCGCTCTTCTCCATGTCCGGGGATGCGGATTCCGGCACATGGAAGTCTGCCAATCCCGGGGCACATGCATGCAATCACCTACATAACCCAAATCTACCTGGGATTGGCGTCCATCAGCCGCTTCGCCCGACCAACACCAACAAAGGCCGCCGATTTGTAGCTGGCTTTTGCTGACCATTTCTCCTACGATCCAATGGAATCGGGACCCAGCAATTCTGCCGTCATTTCCGGATCCTTGGCCGCGGGCGTGCGTGGCACGTCTGAGCTCGTGCCGACAGATTCAGGGTTTTCAGCCGAGGCCCAAGACAATCAATCATGAAACCAGGTGCTCATCAGAATGCCATCTGGGGGCCAAGGCGGAGTTTTGGGATAGCATTGTCACGAGGACGAGCATCACCCATGAGGCTTCACCTCGGTATCTAAGTCGACGGCTTCGTAAACGCCACGCCATGGTAAGCGGCTGCAGCATCTGCACCCGTGAACGCCATTCATGTGCCTTGGCTCTCGAGCGTGGCTGCAGGCATCGCTCGGCCCAAAGCAAGGCACAGCCAGCGTCCTGTTAGCCTGTCCCACAGCCAACTGTCTCTCTCAAGTACCTGTTCCACTGCCTGTTGTGCCTCCTACCGTGCAGATCGCTGCTTGCCGGAACCTATGGTCCGATAGCGAGACAGACTCGCCCACCTTTTCGCCTTGTTGTGTGCGTGATGCAATCGTTGCGTGTACTTGGCCAGTTCTTCTCTCTCCATTGTTCCACCTACCTGTAGCATGGAGCGTGTCTGCGGTCCCAGTGAGAAGGAAGCAAGTTGGGCCGCCGCCTCCCAGCGAGACGGGAAGACGAGGGGGAGAGTTTCCCCATGTAAGCTTGATAAGCCCAGGCCGGGCGCTGCTGCTGCCTGCTCTAGCGCCTTCTGCCGAGGAAGAGGGTGTGGGGGACGGCATATGCAAATCCTGGGCCCCGTCGGGCTTCAAGCTAGCTGCTAGCTTTGCTGAGCCCTGAATCGAACAACGCCTAGACGCTAATTAGCATACAGCTAAGTTATGAGTTCATCATGTCGTAGCAGTAGGTTTTGCCGCCACTGCTGCCAGTGCCGTTCGTTGGGCCCCCACCGTGTTTCGGTGCGGGTCTTGACGGGACGAGACGGCGTGCTTGCTGGGTGAAAGTCCGTCAGTACCAAAATAAACCACGTCAAGACGCCTCAGATGTCCCGTCCATTTGCTCGATCGCCACGCACCGCCAAGCAAAGTAGCCCTGTCTATACGGAGTACAGCGGGGGCGGTGGAAAGCCTCCGGTGGACTGTCCGGACTGGCACAGCCTTAGCCGTCGACTTCCTATTGAGTTGCTCGTCCCGCACATCTTCGGGTTCTATGGCAAGCCCGTGAATCCTTTCCCTTGGGGTTGCACCCATCTCACTCCAGCCTTGGGGTCCATCCCGTTGCCGTCGCGTTGGTGCAGGCGCATGTCCTAGGCGGCCGGACCCTGGCATTCACCTTTTCTCCCTCGGCTTGCGCTCTCCGGTGGCGGTATTCGGTAAAAGAGCCACCCCCAAAAGGCCATGTGTTGGCCGCGAGAACACGCCTATAGGCGGCTTCTGGCCCCTCGGCAAGCATCAAAGACGTGTGTCCATGAAACCCAGAAGGACTCCCAAGCCTGTCCGTATACGCTCATGCGGGAAGAAGTGGGCGTACATCTGCCAAAGACGCTGCATGCTTGTGCCTCGGTACGAGCAGACGTGGCGGGCAATGTTGCTGGTGCATGCATGGCGCGTACTCGCCTGCCATGATAGTAGAGCTGGATTTCCATGCGGCTTGGTCCAGGCCGAGCTCGGCGCCGTGGAGACTGGAGACTGGCAAGAAAAGGTTGTTACTAAAGTCATATCAGCTTCCCTACCCACCGGGTCGCTCTGAACGGCACGAGTGGCCGGGGCTGCGCGCGATGTTAAGCTCGGGACAGGCGGCGGTACCATCGAAATGTCAGATCCGCGCCGTCGTATGTGTCGGGGGCTGCTAACAACAAGCCGCGTGCAAGAACCTTGTGTACCCATCGCCGCCCACCATTAGGCTTTTGAGCAGGCGGCGTCAAGAGATCACGACAGCATGCTACTAGGCTGTATGCGAGTCGCGTCCCATCACGTCCAGCTTGGTATGGTTCCCCTGGGGGAGGAGAGTGGAATGGAGCGTCCGGAAAGGGGGGTCACCCGCAACGGCGCTGGGGCGAGCGTTTTGTTCTTGCCCTCGGGTTGCTTGACCGTCGTCTGGTGACAAATAGTGGGATTTCTGACATGCTTTTCATTGCCAAGAGCAAGATCGGGCATGCGTCCCGCTGCGGAGCTCGGCAGCGGGACTCACCCACGACGGTGCCAGTTACCCGAGCTTTCCAGTGAGACGGCGGGGCTGTGGACGACGTGAAACCTTGTTCTCGGTTTGTCTTGTTTGGGCCTGAGCCGGACGAGTCCGTTGGAGATGCGAGCATTTCTCGTCGAGCAGGCAGCCGTCGGAGGCATGGGGTTTTGTCCCCCCCACGAACGGAGGAGAACTGGTAGACTCTAGCAGTAGCGGTTAGTGATGAGACAGTTTTCTTGGGAACACACGGTGCCGTGGGCCGGGAGGGAGCAATCGAGGTCGTTAGTGTTAATGGGTGTCAATGGGTCGGCTTAAGTAAGCCAGTGGGTAAGCGGCTAGCTCCCGAGCATCCAAGCTAAGTAGGAGCTCCAGGCAAGGTGCGGGGCCTGTGGGCAAACAAACGTCCGACATTTCCACCAACATGGACGATGGGAGAGCGAGACAGCGAGAGGCAAGCATGGGCAAGCTCTGGTCCTGCAGCCAAGGTCCTGGTGCTCACAGGCAGTGCTACAGTAGTGTGCGGTGGCCAAGAGCAAAAGCAAACCAAGGCAAGCAAGGGTGTCTCGGGCTTGTCGATACGGTACCGCTGGCTACCCGGGGCCATTTGCATGCGCTAACAGCAGGATAGGTGCCATCGAGATCGATCTTGCACCCCATCACCATTTGCTGTTGGATCGAAAACAACAGGGCCCTGCCCACTCTGGCCCGAAACGCCCTTGGCCCTCCGCCAGCCTTGGTCGTCGTCGCGGTTGTCAATAAAAGCTTTAGACACCCTCGTTCCCCGCCCTCCCGCCACGTCTGTTTTTCCCGAACATACCGTACTGCCCGCCACCGCTGCGTTTCACGACAAGAAACGACAAGAATCGACAAGAAAAGACAGTGCGCACCCAAAGAAAGGGGAAGAGGAGAAGAACCCATCCCCAAGCTTGACCTCGCCGCTCCAGAACACGTGTGGCTACACAGAAAGGGGGCTGGTCGGTCACCTGTGAGCTTCGTCGAAGCTTGAGCACCCGTTTTTTTCCTCGTGAAAGGGTTTGGTCAAGCTTCCATTCGCCTCCCCGGCGTCAACTTTAGCCTTCTTCTGCATCTGCGGCCGCAGCCGGACAGCTTCATTCGCGGATACGGCGCATAAAAACTCTGCATACCGTCTGCTTAGCTCTGCTCTACCGTACGGTGAACTGCCTTAAGCTTTCGCTTGGTTTGCGCCCCCTCCCCGCTCTCCACGATTTGGAAGCTTACTCGTGACCCAGGCAACCATATACTACGACTTATATACCCTGGACGATCCATCTGTATCGAAAATGCCAAGGAGGTCGCTCGATGTCGGACAAGGAGGCTCGGTCGTTTCAATGGATCAATCACAGCGCAAGGTACGTAGGGTACATGCTTCTAGGTGCACACTGCCTTACTCTTAGACCACAATACACGCCGCCGAAATGGCCCTTCCCCCCCTCTTGATTTTGTATACGAAAAATGTCTTCGGTTGTGGCTTCCTCGCTCACTATCCGACGCTCGAGCCAAGGCTAATAGGCCAGAACAGAGCGAGCGGTCGCACGAGGAGAACCAGGAACGGGCATACATTGCTGCCTCGAGACGGGCTGACCGGAGTATCGAGGCTCGCGTCCAATCCGCGCGCATGGCGAGCGATATCCACAAGAAACGCACTGGCAAAGGCTTTCGCATCACCGAGGAGATTGTTATGAAAGAGGAGATGTACGAGGAGGAGGACGATGATTATCCCCGCTCGTTCCGAATACTGCAATCGAACATGCAGACCGACTCGCCCGAGCTAAATTCCCGGGTCGAGGCTTACCTGTCCAATAGGATGGCCATGTCGGCTCTGCTGGCGAGAACCAACGATGAATGGCGGGAGAATGAAATCAACAGGCTCTTCGCACAGTCTTTCCCAAACGCCGACCAGCAAGCCCAGCAACTCTCCCAGGGCATGCCAGGTCCCATGTACAACGTGCAGCCCCAGAGCCCTGTCGAGCGACCCGTTTTCCAGTCCGTCTCCTATGTCCCGCGATCCAGGCATCGCAGCCAGGCACGGTCAAGGTCAGTCGCCTCCCCCACCAATGTCACGTCCCCCGTCGCCCCGACGCCCAACTCGATCCCGGCTACGCCAAGCATGGACAGCGCCATGAGCCCCGGCACACCCCTGGACTTTGGCTCCTCCGGCGGCTCTGCCTTCACCGCGGAGCTGCCGCCGGAGGCCAAGATGCTCATGGGGGGTATGGGCATGGACAACGCCTACAGCCAGGTCATGTACAGCCCGGAATGGGCGAGTCCGAACCCCTACTACGACTTCAACGACATGTCGAGGCCGGTCAAGACGGGCGACGCACACGACGGACTTGTTCCCGACTACTTTGGCAACGAGCCCACTCCGCAGTTCAAGTGGGACCCGGCCAGCGGCGGCGTGGAAGAGTCGTGGGACACTTTCATCAACGATGCCGCATGGACAAACGAATGATTTCTTCCTCTTTCCGAAGCATCATCGACTTGACACCGACTACTCGACGAGTCCTTAATACTATTTCTCAATACCCCTTACAGCGTACACGAGGCGCCTCCGACGCGCTTGGCCCCGTACGTACTTGTTGTAGTACAGGCTTCTTTTTAGAGTTGTTACCACACGGCAATGGGTGGGCTGGCTAGGCGATGTGGGCGGTTCTGCATCTGCGGCTTTCAATCATCGCGTGCTTTATGGTGATGGTACGAGTTGATCCTATTTATTCTTGTTGACCAGTATCTTTTGTCTAGTTCCCCATATTCTTGTTTCTATATGCTTGTCGATATACTGGGTTTTTTGGGAGAAAGGCAACGGGCAACGGGCTGGGAAAGATGCCCGGTTCTACTGCGAGGACAGGACAACGAATCGGGTGGCGGAAGCTGTTGACCGGCTTTCCCGCAGCTTTGCATATGAGCAGATGAAAGTGCGCCAAACAGGAACAGGCAATGGGATTGTGCAGGGTGGCATGCCATTGCCCGGGGTGCCAGGAGCAGGACGAAAGCCAGCGATTGGGCTCTGAGGAGGAAGTTTGGCAGCCGTATATACAAAAATAATGGACGCTTGGGATTGGAAAATGGAAAAGTACAAGGTATGAACTGATACTGGTGTCTGTTGAATGTGTTTGGGTAGGTGCAGCGACGTCGAGGCGATGGAAGCGATGAGGACTCTCCCAACTGAGATTATGCACGGCGTCCGGCCGAGGACCGAGTGCGTCACGCGGGATTTGACGCGGTACAAACCAAGTCGGTGCAAGCATGTGTATTGTCTTCTCGTCTACCAAGTAAAGTATTCGCCGTCGCCGTGGCGCGTCTTGTTGTCCCCCAATAGCAACAGCCCCAGTATGTCGACTGCTCCGCGTCAAGTCAGCACAATGTATCACGGTGAGTGGAGAGACGGACGTGATATCACCGAACCTTTCCGTTTCCCCAGCGTCGTAACCGTCGTGCTCGCGGTCGCGGCAAGCTCAAGTGTCCTTCCACGTCTCCGCCTCCCCCAGCCGACTCGCAAACCGCGTCATTTGCATAAACAACCTCACGAGAAATCGCCCTTGCCTCTCACTGTCGGTCGTTGTCGGGCGCGTCCTGCATGACCAGGTCGCCCTCGGCATCTTCCTCCCCGACGGCGCCCGCCCCCGTGGCCGAGGGGGCGTAGGCCGTGGCTGCCGAGGCGCCGCCCCCGGCGAGCGGGGTGTTGGTGAAGACGGACGCGTGCTCCGGGGTGCCGTGAGCGGGCCCGTCACCGGCCGGCACCGGGCCCTGGCCTCCTGCGCCGCCGGCCTGATGCTGCTGATCCTGGCCCCGAGCCTCCTCCCCGCCCCATCCGCCCTGACGAGCACCCGCGGTCGCGGCGCCCTGCTGGCTCGCCTGGCCCGCGGCGGGCAGCGCGGCAAAGGCCGGACGGCCGGGAGAGCCGAGCTCGCGGGCCGTGGGCGCCTGGCTGGCCTGCGACGGCAGGTTGAGGCGCGACGCGCGCGGCGTGGCATGCGGGTCGTTGCCTTTGGTTCGTTCCCGGGCAAACCACCGCTTCAGCTTTCTTGGACTTCGGACACGGCGGGAATGGGAGGGGAGGAAGGGGCCTGGAGGCCGCTGCGGCGGCGGGTGGTGGCCGTGTTTCTCTACCTGCTCTTCTGGCACGGGCTCGAGCCGCGGCCTCGGCGGCTGCTGTGCCGGGCAGCGCGTCGGTGCAGTCGTACATGGAACGAGGCATTGTGCTTCCCGCCCTTTTCTTCTTTTTCTCTTTAGAAGCCTTTCTTGCTGGGATTGTTTCGCTGGTCTTTTTGCTGTGTTGCTGCTTTGTTTCCTGTTCGCCCCTTTTTCGTCCGTGGGACGGCTTCTTTCACGATGGCTTCTCTGCTGCCGAAACCGTCCTAACACGCTTGACGATGAGCAAGACACGACACCACAAAAAACGACGGGGAAGCCAGCGAGGAGAGAAAGCGGTATAGGGACAGGCAGCGAGCTCGAGGCAGCCAGGGCAGGGGAAAAAATACGCAAGCAACAGCGGCAGGGAAAGCCCACAAGTGAAGACAAGAAGAAGAAAGCGTGTGCCCTGAACAAGGCGGCTGATGCCTGGGGGTTTGGCCAGGAGCTGCTTTCCAGAGCGTGGAAAGGAAAGGAGAAAGTGAGCAAGTCGCAGAAGGATGCCACGAGCAGGAGGGAGAGAGAAGAGGGCGAAGTAGAAACAACGGCTGTTCGTGCCGTGTGCGTGCGCGCGCGTGCTGTATGGACAATGAGGCCTGCCAGCTGCCAGGGGCCTATTCGAACAGCCCTGGCCAGACCAGCTGGCCGGGTTGCCGGGCAGAGGGCCTGTGGACAGCTGTCTGGCGCCAGTCGGCCGCACGAGACACGATTGGAGATGTGGACGGCAGACATTTCGGGACGACGACAGAGTCGAGCGAGTGGCGGCGGGCCTTTAGGAGTGCCAAAGTGCAAATGCGCGTCGGTGCAAGCTGGTCGGGTATCATCATTGTAGAGACGTCGTCTCTACTCTCTCGCCTTCTTCTCCTTTTTGCTCTTCTTCTCCTTGCGTTGGCCGACTTTCTTCGGCTCCTCCTCAACACCTTCCTGCCCCTCCGTCGGCGTCTTCTTCTTTTTACTCTTCTTCATTGTCTCGTCATCCTTCACCTCCTCCTCCTCCTCCCCCTCCGTCTTCTTCTTCTTCTTGCTCTCCTTCTTCACCTTCTCATCTTCCGCTTCACCCTTCTTCTTCTTCTTCTTCTGCTTCTCCTCCTCCTTCGCTTCCTGCTGCTGCTGCTCCTCTTCCTCCCGCTCTGTCGTCTTCGTCTTTTTGTCCTCCTTCTGCTCCTCATCCCCCTCCCTTGCACTCTTCGTCTTTTCCCTCTTCACAGTCTCCCTCACGGCCAATTTGTCACCTATTTTGGTCTCCCTCCGCGCTCGCACCGGCTGTGTCTCCTTTTGCGCGGCATCCGTCTCCTTCACCCATGCTTTCCAGTCCCCTCGCCTCGTCTTCCACATGTCGCCCTTCCAGGTTCGCCAGACACTCCGCCCCATCCAAGAGTCCCTGAGTTCCGCCTCGTGAGCCCCAAGCTGCTGCATCACGGCCTCTTTCATGTGGCACGGCACGCTGCGATCCTTGCCTTTGCTGGGAACCTCGGCAATGGCGTTGATGAGGTTGTGTCCAAACTGTGAAACTGCGAGTTCCGAGACGTGCGCTGAGAGGGCGCTCACTATGGATTTTTGAAAGATGGAGTTGACGGACGGCGTGTGGAGAGCGCTGGTCAAGAGCGTGACGGTGGGCATCGAAGTGGTCGCGAGGCGGACGAGGAGGTCGCTTGGGAGGGCGAGGATGGCTTCGTGGACACCTTTGGAAGGTCCGGGAATAGAGAGCAGAGTCGTCAACAGCTGTGCGCCGTGTGACTGAATGGCATACTGATTGCGCGTGAGCTGCTCAACGTCCTTTGCTTTCTCCTTTTCATTGCCCAAACAGCAAAGCGTCATGACCAGGTCGGCCGCCTGGCTTCCACAACCCTCCCTCAAGCCCTTCATGAGCTGCTTGATCTCGTCCGAGGCGCCCCGGACGGCGCATCGTTCAAACAGCGTCTTCAAAACGTTGAACCTCGTCTTGGAGACGAGCTGGGGGACGGTGGGCGCAATCTTGCCAACCGCCTCGATGAGGTCGTCCTTGCCCAGCCGGTTGAGCACCTTGATCGCCGGGTACGATGAAATGTCGTTACGGACGTACCCTTGAATGCGGGGGAGGAAAATGTTGTGGTTCAGCGCCTTGAAGATCTTTCCCGGACAGTGAGTGGCGAGAGTCTCAACCAGCCGCGAGCCAATCTGGTCGTACACCATGCCGTTGATGAACTCCGATGCCTCTGAGGACTCGTCCGCAAGAGACTGAGGGGCGCCGGGGAGAAGCTGCTGAAGCAACGACGGCCGGTCAGGGTCCGGCTTTTGGTCCGACTTGTTGAGGGTCATGTCGAGTTCCAGGAGCAGCTGCAGCGTAGGGTTGCCGATCGGATGCTTCGCCAGCACCCGAAGGCCCGTTGCGTCGACCTCGGCGGTCGTGTCGTTGATGATCTTGGTAACGGCCATGGTGAAAGAACCGGGCACGGCGCGGAGACCTTGGTTCTGTGCATCAGCAGCAGCCGAGCCGGCGACCGAGATGTGCTCCTTTTTGCGGCTCTTGACGAGGGTCTTTGTCGATGCATCCTCCAAGGGCCGGCCGGACAAGACGAGCAGCAAGACGCGCAGGGCGTGCGAGGCGAAGCGGTCGGTGATGAGGAAGCTCAGGCTTCCCTCGAGCTCGTCGAGCGTGGCCAGAAACAGGCTCTCCATAGAGGCCTCGGGCTCCTGCTCCTCGACGTCTTTTCCCTTGGTATCGAGGACGAAGCCGTCAAAGCCAGCGAGCTCCTGGGTGACGACGCCGGCAGACCGCAGGAACAGGGCCTCGCAGCAGTGGCTGGCGAAGCGGTGCTGGACCAGGGAGGAGAAATGGCCGGCAAAGGCTTCAAACAGGCGCTTCTTCTGGGCCGTTTTGGACAGCTGGATCAGCCTCTCCATGAGGCGCGAGCAAGACTGGCTGCTGGCCAGCTTGAGCTCCTTGCCCTGGGCCTCGCGGTAGACGCTGTCGACAAAGACATCGCGGTCCTGGGGCGAGGGGAAGTCGTTGAGCTCGAGCATCTCGTCGGCTCTGCGAAAGTACTCTTGTTCTTCGTCGGCCAGCATGCCGAAGAATTCCTTTTCGCCCGGGTCGCCGTGGTGCGCCGGCTCTTCATATTGGCGCGCGCGCTTCGGCTCGGGTCTGCTGGCCACATTTTCTTCATGGCGCTTGCGCTTGCGCTCTTCTCGCACGACGGCTCGCTTCGTCCGAGGCTTTGGCATGGTCCAGTTGCTTCAATTCGCCGCTTGGGGAGAAATTCAAGGACGTTTTGGCTTGAGGTGATGTCGCGAGAGTCAAGGTTCGTTGCTGTCTCGCCCTCGCAAGAGGGAAAAAGTCTCGATCGCGATAAGTATTCTTATCAGAGGATCCGGGTGAGTACGAACGCTCGATAGCTGGTACCTTGAAGTGTGGAGAGAAAAAGTGGTGGAGCCGCATTATATTCTATTGTTCTAAAGTACCGCCCTATCTCCGCCAGATAGCGCTGACGCCTACAATGAATGCCTTTCCTTGCTCTTGTATCCGTATTTCCTCTCCCATAGCAATGGACGGTTCTTTATATGTCTATCAAAGTTTCAAGTCCCGGTGCTTTTCTACCCACAAAGCCAAGTCAGATGTCTGCCCAATCGCCTTGAGATTCAAGGGCGGAGGGCTGGTGCAGAAAGTGCTGTCTCGCCCTTGTCCTGATGTAAGTCGGTGGGCAGATTGTCTCTTGACCTTGGTCCTTTCGTTGCCCTGGGCAGATTCGTTCAACATCTTCTCACATTGCTTCCGTTGCAACCTGTTCAATGGCTCGCACCAAGCCTTGGATCGTCGTCGCAAGCGTCTGGACATTGACAACCACCCGCAGGAAGCTGCCCTTGTCCCCGGGGGCATAGTCGACCATGAACCCCCGGTGCACCAGCCGCTCGACCATCCTCTGCGTCTGCTTCGTGTTCCTGGCGGCATCTTCCGATAGCCTCCCGCCGGGCGCGTGGTAGAAGCAAACCTGCAGGCACGGCGGTGGGCCGATGGAGAGCATGTGGAAATTGCCCGTCTCCTTGACCAGCCTGTACAGGCGCGACGCCATGTCAAAGGCGTGGTCGATCTGCCGCTCGAAGCCGTCGGCGCCGTAATACATCCAGGCCAGGGCAAGCTTGAGGCTGTCGCCGCGCCGGCCACACTGCAGCGTCAGGTCGGCCAGGTCCCAGGTGTCGTGGTCGGCGTTTCCGTGGAAGAGATAGCCGGCGTCGGTGCTGTTGGCCCGGTTGAAGATTCGCATGTCCGGGCCGAGGAGGAAGGAGCAAGTCGTCGGAACGTTGATCATCTTGTGCGGGTTGATGGTCAGCGAGTCGGCCAGGTGAGAGCCGTGCAGCTTGTGCCTCTGGTGGGCGGAGAAGACGACGGGGCCTCCCCAGCTGGCATCAATGTGCATCCACATGCCCAGCTCCTTGCAGATGGCCGAGATTTCCTCAAAGGGGTCAAAGGAGCCCCTGACGGTGGATCCGGCAGTGGCGTTGACGTAGAGTGGCGTCTTGCCCTGGTCCTTTGCTCGCAACGCAAGCTCTCGGAGCTTGTCTGGCCTCATGTTGCCAGCCTCGTCGACGGGGACTTTGCAGACGCCCGAGGACCCCAGGCCGCAGATCATGGCGCTCTTCTCGACCGAGTAGTGGCCATGGGCGCTGGTGAAGACGACAAAGTCATACTTGGTGGTCCCGGCGGACTTGCAGTCGGGGTACAGCGTGTTCCGGGCGATGACGAGAGAGGTCAGGTTGGAAGAGCTGCCGCCTTGGCACGTCACGCCGCCGGCCAGGGGGCCGGTGAAGCCAAAGCGGCGGGCGAGGGCGCGGGCCGTTGCCTTTTCGACGATGGTCAGTGCCGGCGAGACCTGGTAGACGTGCAACTTTTGTGACTGGTCAGCGAGGTGCGTGGAAGAGATCCGATTGGGCCGAGACAGGTCTCACGTTTGTATTCAGGACGGACAGGACCACATCGGAAATGACGCCGACCTGACGTTGCAGTGAGCATGGCGGCGCGATGGTCGATGCAACGACGAACCTACGGGCGTGTTGCTCGAATACAGCTTGTCCAGGAAGCCCTGGTCCCAGGTGTTGACGCTGTGCTCGAGGACACTGCGGACGACGTCGAGCAGGCCGTCCTTGCCCTGGCCTTGGTCGGGCAGGGTCAGGCCGAGCTTGGCGGCAAGGTCGTCTGGCGGGCAGAGACGCACAAGGACATTTTGCGGGCGGCCCTCGGCGTCGTGGGGAAGCGTGCCAGTTGCCCGATGAGCAGCGGCGTCGTCGGCCGAGCGAACGTAGGGAACGATGAGCTGTCGAAGGGCGCCGAGCAGCTGCAAGGGTCAGACGCGTACACACACATGTACACACGTACATGCATGTAACTTATAAGTAGACGGGGCAGAGAACCTACATCGTCCAGTTCAGCCGCCCGGTGCAGCCCCGGGCTTGCGGCGTCGTCGTCCCCGTTGCTCCCACGTCGGTTGGGGGTGGAGATGGTCATTGGTGCAGGGTAGGCGGCGGTGACACGGGCTGGATGGATGTTGCACTGCACTCTCAGCACCATGTACACATGCAAACGCTCCCGGTCAACGTTTTCTTCTTGGACACAAGAGAAGGAGTGAAGACTCGACTCAGACGAAGCCTTATCGACGCATCCAAGAATTTAACGGTGCTGGAAAAGAGAGAGAATGGAAAGGATGACCAATCCGGGAGACGCGGAGCCTTGGGCAAAGGGACAGGGGGAGAAAAGCGCTCAATGATAAAGCCGCTAACACGAGTTGGTTATGCTTTTCCTTAAACCACGGCACCTTTTGTGCTCCGAGTCTTTGCCGAGTCATGACGAGACATGAGTGCAAGCGGCGGCTTCTTGGCCATGGCTATCCACAGCAAAAGGGCCACAGCAAAAAGGCCAAGAAAAAGGCGCAACTGGGGGAGGCATGTACTTTGTAATTGGCGGCTGTCCCAGCACATGGGCAAGTATTCTTCCCAGTGGCACGCTCTCCTTACCTCTTTACGCGCGTATCCGAGTACCAGGGGAACAACGGGGGCTGCCGAAACGACAAGGCGCGACGAAACTTGAAACCGGGGAATGTTCCAGCGGAGCGGGACGACGGTTTTTTTGGCCACCCACGTTGACGCGGCCCGGCAGGGGGGAGCATGCGCCGGAGCGCGCAAGACGCCGGGGCAAGTCCGGATGGTGGCCCGGGGGCCCGGAAGATGCAAGTTGGTCCTTTTGGCCTTGGCCGCGATGCTTTGCTACGGCTAGTTAGTAAGTTAGGTTTCTGCTGTCGAAAGAGGAGTCGGCATCTGCTACGTACATAGACGGAAGGCACCACCACCATCAATCATCACCATCAATCATCATCATCAATCATCATCATCACCTTCGTCGGTCGTCAGCCGGGAGAGCGTCCGTGCTCATGCAGCGGACGTGCGCTTCCCAGGTCGGGACGAACGAGGCGCCTCTCCTGCCTGCTCCATGGCACGGACACCGTCATTTGCTGGGCATGCATGCATCCATACCGTACGCATACTAGACGGGCTCGCACGAACCCCTCTCCCCTCCCCCTCGTGGCCCTTTTTGGGGTGAAGCACAGACAGACATGGAACGGGATGGAGGGGTCCTATCGTCTTTTGTCTTTTGTCTTTTGGCTTTTGGGGCGTCTGAAGAGTCTACAGCGCCTTACCGTGGACGGGCTGTGATTAGATGCAGCCCATGAGCCGTCGAGCTGGGTGCGTTGCATGCATCCGCATCGACATACATACAGTACAAGACAGCGGGATAAGCTGGCGCTTGCCGAGTGCCCGGTTTAGTAGTCGTCGCCCCGTGAGCTATACGGTACCCCCAAGGTAGTCCGGCGCGGGCCTGAACCCATCGCCGGCACTTGTTGGCTCACCCCCTCTCGCCCGCCCACCGCCTTCATGCAGGGCGAGCAGCAAAAGAGACCAGAACTCTCTCGTGTGCTTCAAATAGTGACACGACACCTGCTTTTGCTCTTGTTCTTCCTCCCTCACCATCGCCGCACGCATTTACGTGTCCCTTGCTGAGCGTGTCCCTTGTTGAGCGTGCCCCCTTCTTGAGAGCTTCTTTCTCCCTCGGGCCCAAGCAAAGCAGCAACGAGATGGATACGTGAGCAGGTACTCCATCTTTCCTTGTTTTCTTGCCCGTCTGTACTCTCTACTCTGTACTGTACGCCTTCTCCCCGTCGCCAAGTTCCGCTTGACAAGGAACAGAGACGAGATGGAAAGAGACTGGGAGACAGATTAAAGTGGCATGACGGTACCCACTGACGCTCGTCGTGAGCAGCCCATCGCCGCTCGACGTCTCTGTTTGCTGTAATCAATAAATACCATTCGGCCCCCTCTCGGTTGGTTGGTTTGCAAGGAGCCGCCGTCAGCTTTATAAACCGTCGGTCCCTCTTCTCGTCGACACCCGGACGACAGCAACAACGGCAGCAGCAAGCACTATTCCTTTGCTTTGCCTCTACTTTTCCCCGGTCTTTCTATTCTTCTCCCCTCCTTCTCGCATCCTCCCCCTCCCTGCCACTGGGGAATCCCATCATCCCATCCATCACGCAAGCTCATTACTATTACTTGTTTTGCTCTTGAAACCGACCGGCCCCAGCGCAACCCCCTCCTCGCCATATCATCCGTCCCCCTTCTCCTCACCCCGGATCAGCTGCACGTTTCGCCGCGCACATCATCCCGTCATCCGCCGCCAAACGAGCTCTCCCACGACACAGCCCTCGTCCTGCCTGGCCTGCCTGCGCCACGCACGCGCGCGCGCGCACACACACACACACACACACACACACACACACACGCATAAACCCCCCACTCACTTCCAGAGAACAAGAGGGACCCTGCCCTGCGCGACACCCGCCGTCGAGGAACCAAGAACATCTATCTCGCTTTATTAATACATCAAAAGCACCGCGCCCCATCTCGAGACGGAGCAGGACCCATTCCGGCGCAAAACCTTCGTGTTAGTCGTTTGCGGAACAGAAGAAATAAAAATCAAAAAATTCCAAGCCGCCTCTTCTTCTCTCCTTTGCGCCGTTCCTCCGGAGACTAGACCATCGTCCGGCGCCGAGACACCGCCGCCTCCCGGACCCGGGGCTTCTTTTCTCGCCAATAAGCCTCACGCGCCCAGCCTCCGGTCCCCCCCCCCCCCCTCCCCTTCCCCACGTCATGGCCGTGCCGCCGCCGCAGCAGCAGGCGGCCGTGCCCATCTCCATCACCATCTGCGGCGACGGCGGCTGCGGCAAGTCGTCGGTGACGCTGCGCCTTGTGCGCTCGCAATGGACGTCCGAATACGACCCGACCATCGAGGACTCGTACAGCGTGACGCGCCGCATCGACGGCACCACCTACCACCTCGCCCTCACCGACACGGCCGGCCAGGAGGAGTATCGCGGCATGTGGGCCGCCTCCAACCTCGGCGCCGACGCCTTCCTGCTCGTCTACGACATCACCTCGCGGCCCTCGCTCGACGCCCTGCAGTACTTTGACGACCTCATCGACATGGAGGCCGAGACGCGCTTCGACAACGCCGACCGCGCCCGCCGCGCCGGCCTCGACCCGGCCCTCGCCGCCGGCGCCGCCAGGACCGTGCCCCCCGTCAAGATTGTCGCCGGCAACAAGTGCGACCTGCAGGAGAGCAGGCAGGTCCCCGCCGCCGTCGGCCTCGACTGGGCCCGTCGTCGCGGCTGCGGCTTCATGGAGACGAGCGCCCGGCTCGAGGTCAACATTGAGGAGACGTTTGCCCTCATCGTCCGCCGCGTCGTCGAGCGCAGGCGCCTCGCCGAGACCGGCGCCCTCGACTCTGCCCACCTCAACGCCCGCGGCATGACCAAGCCTCTCACCCCGCTGCCCCCCGAGGGCGGCGAGAGCGAGAAGCGAGCCCCTGGCCTGCGAGGGCCCAACCTGCATGGCGACCGCGTCGGCCGCGGCCAGGGTGGCTTCTGGCGGAAGCTCCGGTGTTGGTGACGTGCCCGAGGGTTGCTTTCTTTCGTCTTGTACATGTTTACCGTTCCCGGCCGTTCCCTTGACTCGGGTTGGCATGGGTTTTTTTCTTCCTTTTCATCTTGTGCGACAGATACCATGGGGTTTTCCCGTTACGGACCACGGCGCACGGCATGAATAGCCCCAGACAGGTTCTTGGAAAACAGCGGGGGCAGGCTTGGCGGGATATGACGTGGGCCGAGAATGGGGAAACGTTTGCATGTAACAAAACCGAAGGATCGACGAGCAATGACTACTTGACTGGACATGGGCGAGATTTGCATCATGCACAGATGGCCGATTGATATGCTTCGCTCGTGATGCAAAATGACATGCCCCGTGCCCTCGTTTCTTCCACAAACAGATCCCAAGAGCGCCAGCCGCCAGGCAAAGCTTATATGTATTCGGATGTATTCAGTGGAAAGGTATCTGTGCGAAATCAGTTGTTACTGCGCTTGGTAGGGCTGTGTCGGCGTATCGCTGTATCCATCGAGTGCAGGCGACGCCATCTTCACCTGGGAACAATTCCTCGCGGTCTTATGAAACGATAAGAGAAGGGAGCATGAGAGGCAGATGGATGCTAGGCAAGCGCCCGACATCACTGCTTGCTCGCCTTCATCCAGTCCTTCCATTGCTTGTATTCCGGGTAGTCCATGCTGCACTTCTTGCCCTGGTAGCGCGTCACCCTGAGGTCAAGGTCCATCCAGCGGCCTCGAGAGCCAACCCAGCCCGCCTTGCGGATGAGGCTGAAGAGAGCCTCGTCCTTGGTCCAGCCCTGCTCCGAAGCCACGTCGGGCAGGTACGTCGAGCCGTAGCGCCGGCCGCGGTCGCTAAAGGAGAGGCGGATGCCGTGCAGGCCAATCTCCCAGTCGTGGGCATCGTCGACCTCCTCAAAGTCGGTCAGCAGGGTGACGGCAGCCTGCAGTTGCGGCAGCTCGGCCTTTGTGATGGGCGGGAAGCGCGAGTCATGCACGGCCGAGGTGATGGCGTAGTCGGGAATGCCCTTGGACAGCGGCTGGGCCTCGAAGGTGCCGATGCAACCGCGCAGAGCCGTGTCGCCGTCCTCGACGGTGTTCCACGTGACAAAGAGCGGCGCGGCGGTCGGGCCCAGGGGCAGAGACGAGGTGGACGTTGCGGGCGTGGAAGCCAGGGCGGGCGATGCCGACGACGACGAGAAAGCCGACGAGGAAGCCGACGAAGCCGACGAGGGAGAGGCATCGGCGACTCGGCGCAAGGCGGGGTCCTTGAGCGTGGTGAGGCCCGTTATGGGGCTGGAGTAGGAGGCCCACGAGGCTTGAATGGCGTCCCAGGAGAGGCACTTGCGGTCTTCGAGGTGGGCCTCGAGGGCCTCAAAGCATAGGAGACAGTGCTCGGCGGAGGCCATGCTGACGGGCTCCTCTTTAGGGACGCGAGGCAGGGGTCACGGAAATCTCACAAGCGTACACCTGGAGGCGAGCAGGCAGCGGCAGCAGTGCGGAAGAAAGGGGGGAACGGGGGGCGGAACAAACGAGTCGGTCGATTTGGTGGTTTGACGGGCGGCGGCTTGCTGAGGCGCATACATCCAGCCGCCCCACCTGATGATAGATAGGGTATTCCAGAGCCTGTGACGCGTTACTGGTTTGGCTGCTCTGCTGGCGCCAGAGACGATGTGCTGGTGCCGCGCTGCCTGGGACTAATAAAGAGGAGAGGAGGAGGCTGAGCAAGGCGTGAGAGCGACGCCGGGGAGTGGCAGTGAGTGAGTGAGTGAGTGGGGTGCGAGGTACGTACGTAATTACGGCACGGTACTGTACTGTGCTGTACTGCACTGTACTGTAGGTACTGTACAGCAGACGAATACTAGATGGGATGTGTCAGCGGCACCATCGGATCAATCGCATTTTTGTTCTTCCTGGCCGTCGCGACGCCCGTCTCTGCCCGTCTCTTCTTTCCACCCGTTTCAAGAACAAGCCCAGTCATTCCGAGACCAACGAGCCAGTCAGACCCGAGACCCGAGACCACCAAGTCAGTCAGGATGGCGTCGACAACAGACTCCAAGACGAGGAGGTTCAGCCTAGGCTGTCGCAGGACCCCTGCGCCCCGCCCCTGTCCCGCCTTGTCTATGAATAGACGCAGCGGCGAGCCTGTGACTGCAATCGTCTCGATTGACGCCATTCGGAGCCTGCGACGCTCGGATGTGTTTCAAGATGGCTTCCAGCCGTCATGCTCTCCAGAAAGAGGCCGCCTTCATGGGCGGCCCTCGTCCAAACCCGCCTGGTCTCAACTTACCAGGTGCTAGTGGCGCAGGGGCAGGTCGCGGGCAACGGTTCATTGGCGTGATGCCGCCTCCATTATAAGGGCGACGGACCGGCGCCCTTTTGACATGCTCCTTCTTCCAACACAATTCAAGTCGTTCCATTATTGTTTACTGTCCTCGCTGCGTTGATCGCACTATCCATCTTTAATTACTTTTGTGCTTCAGTCCGAGACCTAACTCAAGCCAACAAAGCTGTCACCATGCAGTTCTCCGTCATCTCTCTCTTCGCTCTCTGCACCGTCGCCATGGCCGCCTCCATTGGTATTTGAAGGCAGACGCCCCAACGAAATGCTTTCCACAGCTGACACGAGTGATAGATCGCACCGTTGTTGATGGCCTGCAGAAGCGACAAAACGAGGCGGCGGTGGTGCCTCTCAATCAGCCAGCTATGAGGAACGATGCAGACGGGCCAATCCAGGCCTTTGCCAACCCCGGAGCAGCCGGCGATGCTTAAGCGACTGCAAGTTACTATTCAAGGGCGCAGGATGCCCTTCTCGCAGGCTGGACTCTGCTATTCTTTTCGGAGGGTCACTTTTTGGGATATTGGGATAGTCAATACATAACTCTTATTTTACGCAGCTTGCCATTGTTGGACCTCGCCCGTCTCGACGGACCCGATGCGACCGTACTCGTTGGTGTTTGTGAGTGTTTCGTGACAGGAGTGGCAAGCGGTTCTGCAACTACCGACCTGGATGGCTGTCGAGCTCGTTACATACTCGGCAGCAGCGTTTGTGGCAGCCGGCCTTGCTCATCACTCGGGTTCCCGAGCTCGAGAGCGTCGACGGCGAATCCGGCGTCGACGATTACGCCTGTGCGTGGTCTTGGTGTTGGGAGATGGGAGAGGGAGGACCCCCAGACGGCGTCGTTAACCAACATGAACCAAACAACCAACCCTCATTCATCCGCGCTCGGCCATCGGAGCCATCATTCGACGACCTGTCGACGCACAGCCACGGCAACGTCGTACATGTTATGTCGAGGGAATGTGCGAAATTGAATGGCTTGTTCCGTCAGCACATGCCGCAGCCTGGGGTCCAAATTTAGCTCACTTACACCGTACAGCCTCCAGACGGGAGGATCTGGAGTGGCATTACTCAGTACAGCATCCTTGGCCATGCATGTGCTGTGTGCATCCATTCCGCACATGCATGCACCCATGCGTCTCATGAACTGGGAATAGGCTCATCCTCTCGTGGCAATCCAGCCTCCCGGAACTGCCTTCTGAGGTGAGACCCCAGCCAGGCCCGGCCGTCTTACCCATCTCCTGTACACGGCCCGCCACAAACAAACAAGCAAGACGCTCTCTGGCTCTCCGGGGTTCCATCTCCGTCGCGGGGTCCAGGCCGTCTCTCATGTCCTCGGACTGTTGGGTGTTGGATCCAGACGGTCGAGTTGAGACTCCTGTATGCGTGCTGTTGGATTCGACCTTGTGGGACAAATCTGCAGCCACCCTTTGCTTTTTCTTCATTCGAAGAGCAAACGGCTCAGGCCGACGTGCTTCTACTGTTATGCGAAAGCGCCCGATGCAGTGGGTTGCAATCACCTCCATCCTGCAGGCTCCCGGGGGCTAGAGCCCTCCCTGCCCATGTCAGCTTCCTTCGGCCGCAGGCCCTTGGGGCGTATTGGCCCGCAGCAACTGGCGTCGTCCAGGGTTCATGTCAGTGTCGCGTTCGGGCATCCAGCGTGATTGCACAGCGAGGGTGCGAGGGCGCCTTGCCGTCCCCCACTGGTCCTGCACGCACTGGTCCTGCACGTACTGGTCTGCACGGCGAGGCGGTTGCGGGGACATGGGCATGGATAAAAGGTCGCTGGCTGCTGCTCGGGAAATGGCGTCTTGATCGAGATGGAACGACGGATCGAGGGCCGGGGCCTTGAAAATGCTCGAGTGACTCAAGGCCAGGCCACGGCTTCTTGATGATCGCCACCGACACCTGGACAGCAGCAAGACGCATCCACTGGACCAGGGCGACCGACGACGAAGGTATTGGAAGACGGAGGAAGAGTCGACGCCCTTTCACAGACGACGAGGCCATTCAGAGACCAGAGACAAAGACAGCGAGAGAGAACGAGAGACACCTGTTGCCTCGCACAGAGACGAGGAACAGACAGCAAACCCGGCAGACGACACGGCTACAAGGAAGAGACCCTTGCTTCCCTCGCCAAGAAACAGCGAGTGTCCCCGGCCATGGCAAACCACCGAGCGCGGGCACAGTTCGACCGCGCCAAGTGGCGCCTCGCCCTCCTCCTCCCCCTCTGGGCCCTGCAGCTGGTGCTGGCCATGGCCATGACGGGGCTCTTTGCCTGGCGGCTGGGCGACTCGGTCAAGAACCACCCAGAGAGGGAGGCCACGGGGGGGACGCCGACGGTCGAGTTTGCGTATGTCCTGCCTGCCCCGAGCCCGTCTCTCTCTCTCCCCCTCTCTTCCTTCTCATGGCTGCGAGCCGAGTGACTGACCCAACGGCGACGCAGCTGGGAAGCCGCCAACATCGCCCTGTCCTTTGTCGCCGCCTGCTGCACCTTGTTCGAGATGGCCAAGCTCATGGCCGAGTCGCTGACGCCCTGGACCATGCTCTTCACCCACGTCGTTAAGCTGGCCTGCGCGCTGGCCATCCTCGCCCTCGACATCACCGTCTACGTCGTGCGTGCCGAAGCGCACTACTCCATCGTCGGGCTCGGCCTTGACGCCGCCTTGATGTAAGTTGCTCCCGTTGCACCCCGTCCTCGTTGGGACAACGCAGTCGTCATAATCGTGTCTTTCTTACACCCGTCCGCCTGCAGAGTCACGGCCGTCGTGCTGGCCGTATATGCCATCGTCATCTATCGCCGCCTCTCGGCCTACGACGACTACGTCCGCCCCGTAAACTTCAAAGGCTACGGCTTCAACGACGAAGACGACTTTTCCTACTCGAGCCGCCACAGCATCCTGAGCTCCTCTGACAAGCGGCCGTCGCTTGCCTCGATCCGCCACAGCATCCACGCTGCCGCCCCGGAGCCGGCAGACCCCGAGGGCGCGGAGCAGACGGCTTCCCACGGCGGCATCTACAGCCACCAGCGTGACACGCAGTTTGACGACTACGTGGCCCGCCGCAACGGCCGGAGGCTCAGTCTCGATGCGGCCAGCTCGGCCGAGGCGAAGTCAAGTACGCCCTCGATCAAAACGAGGCCCCGGGGCCCGAGCTACACCAGCGATCACGTCCTCGTCGCCGTTCCGGAGGAGGGTGCGGAATGCCTCGACGGCTGTTCCGCACAACAGCAGATGCGTCAGGCGGATCGGCAGGCCTTGTTGGAATCCAGCCAAGGGACAAGCAGAGATGACCAAGCTGGCGGCATCAGCCGGCGAACCGAGTCACAAGAGACGGAGACGACGGCGCCGCGGCTTCTACAAAGGTAAAGGGGTCTCGACCTCGTTGGGGAGGGGGATTTTTCAAAAGAACGCGAGAGCATGATACCCGACGAAGGTGCAAGGGCGTTTCTGGTTTCTCGGACTTGGTTGGCGTTGATATATTCATCTTGGAAAGTATGGTCCTGGTTCTGTTCTTGTATTACGCCTTGTTTTATATTCTCACGCGTCTACGATGGAGTGACGCTTCCGGCCTCGTGTGCTGCAAAACGGCTCTTCAACTCCCATCCAAATTCTTCACCTCTGATCGTCCTATTTTTCTTCCTGGCCATCCCTCTCTATGTCCCAAACCGAGTCACACCCCCCCTTGGTTGCTAGGTTTATGATGCTCATGTAAAGCAACGGAGGATCGGGCCAAGGAGTGCGCGGAGTGTGCTCCTTCACTGCTCTTGTGCCTCCGCATCCATCGATTCCCGTGTCGCTTGAAAGATTCGACGGGCTTACTGTTTCTGTTAACTTGTCGGCGAACCAGCGAGTTGCCGCCATCCTCGGCCGCGGCTCGAGCGCCATCGACCCTCGCCTTCCAACGCAATTCTCTTCGCAGTCCTGACACAACTTGTCCGATCGTTGATAAAAAACGGTGTTTTGTCCATAGGCGTTGATGGTGTTTTCGCACTTTTGAGACGCTATGGCATTCGCGCCGTGCTCCCGCAGGCGATCGTCGCACACCTCTCTTCGCGGCTTATGCCCTGGGTTCGACTGCGGCCCCAGGGGATGAAGAAGGTCGCCGCCGATCCGCCGGTTGTCGAATCTCCTCGCGCATGCCTCTCCTTTGGCGCACAGGCACATGGGCAGGATATCCTCCACGATGCACATGGTTGCGAGGTTGGTTATGGCCGACTGGACGCTTGCTGGCTTACAAGGAAGTCTGGCTTCGCCGTGTTTGCTTTTGGTGGCTCCGTCGGTAGGACGAGAGAGAATTGTGGGTGATGCGTGAAAGGGTCTATTGAGAGAGCACGTTGGGCGGGCGAAACGCAAATGCAACTGAAGGAGCTGTGTCCCTTTATAGGACATGAGATAACACCGACACCTGCGTGGTGTAATTCTTTTCACAGGCAGCTCAATTGTAGTTGCCTTGCACATGCCGTCCATGTTCGCTGCTCCCCTACTGTTCAGTGCAGCAACAAAGTGGCAAAATCCATAACCGCGGACACGGTATTCTTCTTGTCCTGATGCTATTCGCGAACAAAGCGATTGCTTAGTCTTCTAGCCCGGAGGCGGCGAAGAAACAAATGGCGCTTTTCAACGAAGAGTAGGGATGGAGCGGCGAGTCCCAACTCGAAGCTGAAGCTGCTGATCTAGGGGCCATGAGAAGCCCAACTACACCCTGGAAGTTGTATAAGAGGCTTGCAAGACTTTCATGTGTAGGAGTTGCATGTTAAGCTCTGCCCGTCGTCTGTGTCTTGGGATTCAATCGACAGCCAATGCATAGCATCGATATATATGCGTGATACGAATTGAAATCTGGCTCGTGCTGCATCGTCTGGCGCTGGAAAAGTTCACTTAATAGAGTCGAGACTGCAGAAGAACCGGACAGTGCGCGTCGTAGAAAAGGTACAACGAGTAGGACCAGCAATGAAAGAGCGCATGAACGTGGCACGGTATCGACTCACAAAGGCTACGAAGTAAAGAGTGTTCGAGAGCCGGCTCAGGGGGTTCCTGTGACTAGACGATGAACGGCAAGGAGCCATTCAAACCCCGGGCTTTCGGGCGACATGGGAGTAGCTTTCCGAAGAGACAGTGCAGTAGGTATGCGCCTTATATTCACTCGATGCTGTGAATGGCGCAGAGGAGCGGGACACAGCATATGATGAGAGCGCCGGTTCCCGTCCAAGCAGAGAGCAGGCCCCGATCCTCGATCTCGCCGGACAGACATGGGCTAGGAAGCCAGCAAGCCGCTCATACAACGGAAATCCGGGTAGCTAAGAACGGGGTCCAGTATAAAATATCTGGTGGGAGGACGCTGCCGGGAAAGAATGGAAAATAGTAAAAGAGCCTGGCGACTCGGCTCCATACGGGGCTCAGAAAAGGTCCCGCTTCTCCCATTCACATGCAGAAGATTCGAGGATGAGGAGAAGAAAGGAGGTGATCAGACGGGAAGGAGCTGGAAAGAATATATGTAGGTCAGGAAGAGAAAGGGGGGACCATGTTGCACGGCATAGAGTGGCAGCCACACGTTCATGGCCAGGCCGTGTCGGTACCTGTATAGAGATGGACGAGGCAACTATACCTTCGGCCGCTCTTTATACATATCCTAGCCCCTCTTCTCTGGAGCTCTCCTCTGCAAGTCTGCCAAGCCGATACAAGAGCTTCGAACTTCGCTCCTCATTTGAAGCCATCATGGCAACCGGCAACCTCTACGCGGGACCATCGCCGCTCTCACAACCTTGAAAGCATCATGGCCGCGGCTCCCCTGCGCTGGGCTTCCAAGCCCGTCGAGGTCCATTGTGACATGGGTGAAGCCTTCGGCAACTGGACGATGGTATTTCGCCCCCTCCTCCCGATCTCTGCCCAGCGTCTAGGCCCTCCAACGACCAAACGGCTAACGTCGAGAGACGATGTGGCCTGCCCCCCCGTGCCCAAACAAAAGGGTGTCGACGAAGCCATCATGCCGCACATCACTTCCTGCTCCATCGCTTGCGGCTTCCACGCCGGCGACCCCGTGGTCATGTACAGGACGGTCAAGGCAGCCCAGCGCCACGAGGTCCGTATCGGGGCTCACCCCTCGTTCCCCGACTAGCAGGGCTTCGGCCGGCGCGAGATGAAGATGGACCCCCTCGAGTGCGAGAAGATGGTCATCTACCAGATTGGGGCGCTCAAGGCGTTTCTTGATATTGAGGGCCTTGATCTGTCTCACGTCAGTGTAAGTCTTGCCCAGACCATGGGCCGTGGACGGTGAGCATGATGAAGTTGACTTCCTCCTCCTTTCGAAGAGCCGAGAAGCTAATATGCCACAACCCGGGCAGCCCCACGGAGCCCTCTACGGCGTCATGGCCAAGGACAAGGCCATCTGCGAAGCCGTGTGCCACGCCGTCCGGCACTTCACAACCCACGACGGCGCGCCCGTGCCCCTGATCGGCGCGTCCAACACGCTCATGGAGACGACCGCCGCCGACCTGGGCATCCCCTTTGTCCAGGAAGTCATCGCCGACCTCGAGTACGACGAGAACGGCGACTGCATCATCCCGCGAACGCACGACGCCGTCGACCCCGAGGCAGTGCGGGTGCGCCTGGCTCATGCCTTGCGCAGCGGCACCATCGAGGGCAGGGATACGAAGGAGGGGAAGCACAAGAAGCACGTGGTCGACTTGAAGCTGAGCTCGGCGCCGCTGAGCCTGTGCGTTCACAGCGACACGCCCGGCGCGGCTCAGGTGGCCGGCGTGACCAGGGACGTGGTGGATGACTTTAACGAAGAGCACTTCGCGTAGGCCGACCTGGAGTCTCGATGAGAGCATTGCGAACCTCGAGGAACGAATCGAAAAGTACGGTCCGCGGGATGGAAACACGTTCTGCAAGCCCAGAAAAGCGCGGTGGATGCACGGGGAGGAGGTCTTGATATCACAAGTCGGAATGCCACAAGAATGAAACCATGATCGAGGTGAAGAAGCAGTCTGCCAGCCCCATTGCCATGTCATCGAGCCAGCTCGAGTCTTTAGGCATGAATCACCTTGTCAATGATACTCATTGCCCCCATGACCTTTTCGTCCTCGTGCCTTGGCCCAACCACCTGAATAGCCACCGGCATCCCCAGATACATGCTGTTATCATCTGCTTTGCGTCAGCAGCACGAAACCGGTGTGCGGAGACCCGAAATAGACTTACAGAGCTCCATGTTCTCCTTGTCTAGCTCATTGGCCGACTGGTAGCCGTCGGGATACGCATCGCTCTCCAGAACCTTTCCGGCAGGAAGCACGCCCGCAGGATAGTCGAGCAGGTTCCATTGAGAGCCGTATCCCCACCAAGGCTTGACGTCGTGCGGCGTGCTATTCACGCTCGAAACAGGGCAAATGAGCACATCCATGGGCTTGCCAGAGGCTGATTGGCTGGCAGTCTTGGCCCATTTTTGCAGGTAATCGAAACGGTAGATGTCGCGAGCAATGTTGAGCTAAACACGACGACGATTAGCATTGACAAGGCGCAACCGCGAGGAAAAGGGGATGGAGTGGGCGATGGCTTTTACCTTCCAGGTTTCCTCAATCGACAGTTCCCTCACAATGGGATCCTCTATCAGACGTTTGGCAGACGGGAGCATGGGTTCGTTGCCCGCTGCAAGAGCCTTCTTCATGTTCAGGGCGTCGTCTGTGAAATACGAGGGCAGTGTAATCTCCTCCCACGCTCTTCTGTGGTCGTATGGTTCAAAATCAAAGACTGGAAGTGGCCCAAGGGTTAGCTTTGGCCTCTGGCGTTGCGATCGCGTAGCAGCTTACCATCATGGCCGGCCTCCTTTAGCTTGGCCGCGACGTCCTTGATGACCCTTGTGATGTAGGGGTGCGGCATGACAACCTCGTCCCAGACCATGATGCCGATTCTCAGCTTTTCGCTCTGCATAGAATCAATCTGTGACCTCCAGGGCATGGCCATGAGCGGTTCCGTCAGCCACGGCTTGGCGTCAGAGACAATCTGGAAGAACAGCTCGAGATCCTCGACGTTGTGTCCCATCGGTCCCGCAACAGCCATGATTGACTCGAACCCCACCATGGTGCATTCAAGCCCAAACATGGGGACGCGGTTTGCCGATGGCCTGAAGGCGTACAGACCATTGAAGGCTGCCGGCACCCTGACCGACCCTCCGATGTCCGAACCGACGCCGAGGGGCGAGCCGTGCTGGGCAAGGAGTGCGCCCTCCCCGCCGCTGGAGCCGCCAGCACCCAGCTTTGTGTTCCAAGGATTGAGCGTCCGTCCATAGATGTTGCTCACCGTCTCCAGCGCCATCATGCATTGCGGGTTGTTGGTCTTCGCATACAGCACGGCACCGGCGTTGCGCAGTATCTCCACAATGTGAGCGTCGTTATCCTTGACGGGCAGGGCGGCAAAGCAGATGTAGCTCGCCGTCGTACGCTGGCCCTTGACATTGAAATGATCCTTTACGGACACGGGCACCCCGTGCAGAGGGCCGACCGGTTTACCGGTAGTCTGGAGAACATGGTCGAGCTGACGAGCTTGCTCCAGAGCCTCGGCGAAGAAGATCTCGGTCAAGCAGTTGGTCAACTGGTGGGCAACAGCAGCTTGATGCAAGAATGCCTCGGCGACCTGCAGGCACGAATACCCCCCGCCTCTGATCTTGGCCGCCAGGGCGGACGCACCAAGCGCCGTGATTTGCAGCTCATGGTGAGACAATAGGCTCGGTAGTAGATCGATCACTCGCGTGGTTGACCGTTGCGCCGCGTCTAGCTTCGCCGGTGGAATCACCCATTTTGCCGGAATGGCCGAGGCTCGATCATTTTGAACGCGCTGTAGGCCAGCAGGTGAGCAAGTTGGTTCTTCAGACTTTCAACAAGACCGTATGGACTAACCTCGGCGACAGCCTGCCACGATACAGGGCTCATGCTTGCTTCCGTCGAAGCGGCGGCTTCGCCTGGACCGCCCGTAAACTGGGAGGGGAAAATGGGCTGGTTTTCAAGCAAAGTTGCCATTCTGAAGCTCTGTCGGAAAGGAAGCGCGGGTTTCTTATGTCCTTTCGGGGAAGATGATGGTCAAGCTCGCCAACTTTTGCGGCTTCGCGCACAAACGTACCGTACCTTAGACCGGCTAAGCGAACGCTCTATCAAAGAAATTTGGTAAACCGGGGGCAGAGTTTGGGAATGTTAGATGCCGGCCTTGGCTCTTGTTGCGCCGAATGCCAAAGTTTATATAACTTTGTCGACTGGAACGTCAGGTAGCAACTGACGAAGCTCCCTGCTTATTGTCTGCCGCTCCGGGCTGTTTTATGTGCTATAACTGCCTAGATTCGTTAGGTCGCGCAAACTCAAACTCGCCAGGGCGCCGTCCGTAAATCCTCGGTTTCGGGCAAAACAATGGCTGCCTAAAGAGGCATCATGTGGGGACGCGGGGACATCCGGGGTAAACAGGAGCGTCGTCCGTAGATCCGAATAATAAATGTATTGGTCATCTCTGGAGCGGGCTCCCGAGGGCGCTCCAGCCCTCGAAGATGTCGCTGCATGGCATTGGATCCTTGCCGGGCGCGCGTCACCCTGGATATTGCTGCTGCTGCCGAGCTGGCAAGGTGAGTTGTGATGAACATCAAAGGGGGGTGCCTGCTGCATTCAGGAGACGAAGGTGAGTCGTGTTGGCTGCGACTTATCATGACGAGGTTTGAAATGGACGTCGAGAGCCCCGAGACAGCCCACCGCACCACTCGGAATATTCCGTCTGTTTCCGCCTCCATGGGCTTACCGAAGTCCGCAGCATCATGGGTCGGCATACCGTAATTCCTTGGTTCCTGCCCAGATGTTTATGTTGAATTGAAATGGTCGCGTTTCTCCCTCGGCTCCCGCCATCTTCGCCGGGTGCGCACATGCTCCTCGAGGATGGGAGATCTGAAATGTCTCGTCGCCGGTATTCATGAGCCTTGTCCCCCTTTACCGAACCTACTACGTCGGCGACCTGTAGGTACTATCCGCAGCGTCAAATAGCCATCTGCACTGTTGCGCAGCCGCGATGCCTAGTTAGGATGTGGTTATACTCGGATATGGAGCGAGGTATAGCCCGTGGATTGCTCGAGCTACAGGAAGCTGACACGTATAAAGCGGTGAGCTGCGCCTTGAAGAGTGAGGGGCAAGTTGGGGTAACTGTCAGGGAGTTCAGCCGCCTTTGAGCGGAAGCGTGTCGTCGGAGGCCCATATCAACGAGCACCATGGGCAAGGAATCGCCGAGGAGGCTGCTCATCGCCAATCGTGGGGAGATTGCTAACCGCATATTGAAAGCGGCTAGGCGTTTGGATTTTCATATCGTTTCGATATACACGTCGACGGACGTATCCAGCCCGCACGTCACCGAGGCCGACGTCTCTCTTCCGGTATCGTCTTACACTGACATCGAGGAGATAGTCGGCCTGATCAAGCAGAACCGCGTCCAGTACGTGATCCCAGGATATGGATTCCTATCGGAGAATCAAGAGTTTGCCGTGGCCATCCGGGATGCTGGGGCTGTCTTTGTCGGCCCCGAGCCAGAGCACATCTCGACGTTCGGCATCCAAGGTCGCGCGCGAGATCTCGCTGCGAGCATAGGAGTACCGATCTGTCCAGGATCAGGCATCCTAGAAGACGAAGAAGACGCTGCTATGGCTGTGGAAAAGATAGGATATCCAATATTCATCTCTCGACGACGGGCACTTGAGGACTGGCTGTGTTGATCAGCATATAGGCCATGCTCAAGGCCACTGCCGGAGGTGGCGGAATGGTGAGAAGTGATGCCTGTACTCTCCATATGTTCATGCACAAGGTGAGCCTAACTTGCGGTCAGGGCTTCCACATTTGCGAAAATGAGTCCGAGCTGCGTTCATCGTTTGCCAGTGTAGTGAGCCGAGGGGAGGCTTTTTTTTCGAATCCACGTGTCTTCCTTGAGAGATATTACCCTGTCTCTAGACACATCGAAGTCCAGATATTTGGAGACGGAAGAGGAGACTGCGTCATATTGGGCGAACGCGAGTGTTCTATCCAGAGGCGACACCAAAAGATTATCGAAGAGTCGCCGAGTCCGTTTGTCGAGAGCAGGCCAGGATTGGAAAAGAGCTCTTTGAGGCTTCAGAGCTGCTGGGCCGCGCCATCAAATATCAGTCGGCAGGGACGCTTGAGTACCTTGTCGATGACACAACTGCCAGCTTCTTCTGCCTGGAGATGAACTCTCGACTCCAGGTCGAACATGGCATCACCGAAATGCGGTTCGGTATTGACTTGGTCGAGCTGTTGCTCCAACAAGCCGAGAGTCCAATGAAACTCGACCCTCTCAAGAAGATCATCCCGACAGATTTCGCCATTGAAGCCCGCGTGTACGCCGAAGACCCCCTCAAAAACCATATGCCGAGTCCAGGCCAGCTGCAGCAACTCGAATTTGGTGGCGGCCCGGGGGTCCGGGTCGGCACCTGGGTACGGACGGGAACGATCATGTCTCTTGCCTACGATCCGCTCTTGGCAAAGGTGATGGCACACGGCCGCACCAGGGCCGTTGCCATCTCCGCCCTTACCCAGACCTTGGCTGTTACCAAGCTGCAGGGCATTGTCACCAACGCCGACTTGTTGCGCAAGATTCTCGAGTCCTCTGCGTTCTCTCAGGGACGGACAACGACCAACTTCTTGAAGAGCTTCGAATACACACCTTGCGTCATGGAGATTGTTTCCCCAGGCAGCTACACCACAATCCACGACTTTCCAGGACGGCGTGGCGTCGGCTTCGGTATACCAGAAGGGGGTCCAATAGATTGCGCTGCACGCGCAGCTCGCCAACTGCGTGGCAGGAAATGATCCCAGCTGCGAGCTGCTCGAGATTACCTACTCGGGACCCAAAATCAAGTTCCATCAGAAAGCCATCGTGGCGATGGCGGGCGCCGTGGCCGATGCTCAAATCGACGAATCTCCTGTTCCCATGTACACGCGTCTTGATGTGCCAGCTGGCGCCCTGTTGTCGGTGGGTGCTCTGTCCGGCGGTTGCCGCACCCATCTCGCCGTCCGAGGCGGCTTCCCCGGCATACCCCTGTACCTCAATGCCAAGTCCACGAATCCCGTGGTGGAAATTGGCGGACTTCAGGGGCGTCAGCTGGTAGCCGGAGACATCCTGGAGATGAACAAGGCCGGCATGTTCGAGGCCTTTGAGCTTCAGGCGCCTCGAATTCCAGTCTGGGATTCAAACATCGTTTGCTGTCTGTCTGGCCCCCACGATTCTCCTGATATCATGACTCCAGAAGACGTAGAATCCATTTACTCGAGCGAATGGACCGTGTCGCACCAGGCATCGCGTATTGGTGTCCGCCTTCATGGATCACAGCCATATTGGGCGAGACAGACGGGTGGCGAAGGCGGCTCTCACCCCAGCAACTACCTCGACTATCCTTATCCCATTGGAGCTCTGAACTGGACTGGAGACTCGTGCGTCATCTTCTCCGCGGACGCCCCGTCGTTGGGCGGGTTCACCACCTCCCATTTGATCCCACGGGCCGAGCTATTCAAGGTGGGCCAGATGAAGCCGGGCGACAAGTTTCTCTTTACGCCGATGACGATACAGTCTGCCACGGAGCTTGGAAGACGCCTGAAGGAATTTATCGAGGCTATCTCCAGCCTTGCACTTGGAAACTCTGAACCCGTCGAGCCGCTGCCCCTGTCGCCTCCATCAGGCTTGGGGTTGAAGACTGGGTCAACAGCCATCATCTGCCGGCTCGGAGATGTGACAATGCGGCAGGCTGGAGACTCATATATATCGGTGGAGTTCTTGCAATCGTTGCAGCTTGAAGTCCGTTGCAGGGTGCAGGCTGTGGGCGAGGCAATCGACCGGGCTGGCATCCGCGATGTTTGCCTCATAACGCCCATAGGATGCAGTAAACCCTGCCGTCTCGTAGCTGCGTAAGCGACGAAAGCTGACGAATTGACAGGCTTGTTGGTCGAATACGATTGTTTTCCCATCCCACAGAGCGGCCTGGTCGACATCATCAAACGCGTCCTGGTTGACGAACGAGGCTCCGGATCAGGGGCCAAGAAGCTATCAAGCCGTCACATTCGGCTGCCCATGGTCTTTGACGATGAAGTCAACAAGATATGCGTGGAGCGGTACATGGCGACGCAGCGCCCATACGCAGCATACCTTCCCGATCCGGTAGAGTTCATTGCTCGCTCCAACGGCCTCGACTCGAAGCAGGAAATTCTCGAGCAAGTGCTGAGCACGAGGATTCTCGTCGTGGGTGTCGGGTTTTGGAGCGGGACGCCAATTGGAATTCCCTTGGATCCGCGAGCGCGGCTGATGGTGCCAAAATCCAGCCCGTCGAGGACCGTTTCGCCCGCCGGCGGCCTCGGCATTGGCGGGTGCTTCTTCTGCTGCGACCCAGTCGCGAGCCTCTCCCAGCATCATGGTCGGCATGAACGAGGCTAACAGCGGAATCACTCACAGGACTCTCCCGGCGGCTACGTTAATATCGGTCGCACGCTTCCGGGCTGGGACAAGTTCTGCGTCAACAAGGACGTCGGCGACCGGCCATGGCTCTTTGACAACTTTGACCAGTTGAGCTTCTACACGGTCGACGAGGACGAGTTTGAGCACATCCACAGCCGCTGCCAGGCCGGCAAGTACGAGTTATCCACGACCCAGACCGAGTTCGACGTCGGCGAGTATTCCGAGTTTTGCGAGAGCGTCGCTGAGGAGGCGGCGGCTTTCGAGGCAAGACAACAGGCCGCCACGGCCATTGAAGTCGGCAAGTGCGTTGCGGCGTCTGCCAGTCGGGGCCGACGAGCCGCTGACTTTCGGCGTCAACAAAGAAAGGCTTCTCCTGTCTCAGTGGCAGGCGGAGCAAAAAGTCGAAGAAAAGGATGCGTTGCCTCCCTTGGACGACGTCGGTGAAGACATGTAGAATCACGTGCTCCGGGCTACCTAACTCAAGACCGCAGACGAGACGCTGGAGATTCAGACGAGCATGCACGCCAGCGTGTACAAGATCCACGTCCAAAATGGAGACGCCATCGAGGCGGGCGACGTCCTGTTCACCCTGGAAGCCATGAAGATGGAGGTCAACGTCGCGGCATCGACGGCCCAGGCCGGCCTCGCCATCGAGAGCATCGTCGTCGCGCCCGGCGATGTCGTCAAGCCTGGAGAAACGCTCATGGTGCTGTCACGGCCTCGGGTTACGGCATCGTCTTGACGGTGCAGCAGCGCGCGGAAGAACACGACGCCAGGCGGAACAAGAAGACATGACGCCTGTGCGGTGGAGAAGCAGTGAATGGCAATCGTCTCGTCATGTGCCCTGGTGCTACCGAAGGCTTCCTCGTTCTTCTACCCCTTCTTCGTTTGTCCGTTTATCTCGCCCCATGTTGCGCCAAATCAAGGAACCAAGTTGGAAGATATCATAACCTCAAATTCGTCATAGTTTAGCCCGCCGTACTGCCTCATCTGTTCCCACGAGTACTCGAGAGTGTCCAAGACGCGACAAACATGCTGTGCAACACATCGTCAGCAGAGTCAGCGTCGGGTCGGTCAGTGTGCTTTACCTTGAAGCCAAAGCTCTTCATTCCCAATAACCACTCGCGCAGCAAGCGTTGCTGCTCTACTTCCACCGTGGCGATGCCTGCCGTGAGAAAGGGCCAGAGTATCGCCAGCCGATTGATGCCCCTAGAAAAGGTGAGGATGAGTGTCACGATCCTGTCCACGATCTTCTTGATCTCCGGGTCAAAGGCCGCGCTCCCGATTCTCCTCGTGGAGACCCTCTCAAGATAGACAGTGCAGGCCAGGGCGTAGCACTGAATGCATGCTGTCGCCGTCAGAGCCTCCACCTCCTCCTCTGGGGCGCCTTCGGGTATCGCGTCCATGCCCTCGAGTCGCAGGAACATGTCCGGGGCACTCTTGTGCCAGTTCTTTATGCGATGATCAATGTCGTCGTGGAAAATCTTCCTTTGCCGGCCGTCTACCCCTGACTGCAGCAGCTTGACAAACTTGCTGATGTCCGTCTGGATGGACATGACGCGGGACCACGCGCTGCGCAGCTGGGCCATGGTCCGGTCGGCCGAGCTGCGCGTCTCGGCAAAGCTGGGGACCCCTAGGTTGTATTCCCACCCGCCGCCCAGCGTCTCCCAGTAGTCGCCCGGGATGAGGGCGCCGCCGCCGGTGGCGCAGGCGGCGGCGACATCGAGGTAGGACATGACGGAGACGAGGAAGCGCCGGAGCGGCAGGTTGGCGGCGACGCCGAGGCCGTCGGCGCCGTCGCTGTTGGGCAGGGTCGTGCGCGGGCTGTACATGGACTGGAAGATTTGTCCGGCCCCCAACAAGTGGATCTTCCACGAGTCGTCGGTCGAGGACATCTTCTCGAACATGCACAGGAGCAGGCTCGTCGCCAGGAGCTCTAGGTTGGCCTGGTGGCCCGACGAAACGGCATCTCGGAGCCTTGTGACGACGCTACCGTACGCCTTCATGGCCGCGCTGCGGTGGATGCGCTGGTCCTGCACGTGGCGGAGGCCCGACAGGTGCATGGCGCCGAGGGCCTTCATGGTGTCCTGGAGCAGGCCCGAGTTGCCAACGAGCTGGGGCAGTATGCGGTATGGGTTGGCGTTGGCGGGCGTGTCGTAGATGATGAGATATGTGGAAACGGTGCTAAGGAAGTGATGGTAGTAGAGCGTCTCGTTGCAGTCAATATGCGCAGCCGGGTCGGGCCGGGCGAGGTCGAAGGACGACTCAACGCCCCAGGCGGAGCTGGTCGAGACCATGCTGCCGGACACGGCGAAGTCGAAGCCGAGGGGAGACGCCGCCGCTCCAGGACGGGCGAGTGCGACGGCTGCGGCGGCAGCAGAGGGCCTGGCCTGGCCCGGCGTGGGCGGCCGGTCCTGCGCCACGACAACGGCATCGTCTTCGATGGGGTCCTCGTTGCTGCAAGGCGAGGCCGAGGTGGAACTGGCCGACGAGGCTTGTTGCTCGGCAGATGACGACGGCCTTCGCTTGGAGCCCGAGGGCGAAGGGACGGCCTTGAAGACGAAGCGGCGGTCGAAGTTGCAGGGCAGGTTCAGGCGGGTGCAGTTTGTGCACGAGGGGGTCCGCTCGTCGCACTTGACGTGTCGGCGGCGGCAGTTGACACAGCCGGTAAAGACTCGAGGGTGCCACTTCCGTTGCCGGGCCGGAAGTGTTGTCTCGGCGGCCGGGCCGTCGGGATCGGGCTTGACCATTGCCTGTCGTCGGTCATGTCATTGCCGGCGAGCCCTGAGTCGGTGCGGACCGGACCGGACCGGCTGCGGCTTCGGAAGGCAGGACAAGGCTAGGCTCATCAACAAGCCGGCCGGCCGGCCCTTGTTTCTGTTCGTCACCTCTCTGCTCTCCCCGGTCCTGCTCAGTGGGGAGAGGGCCGCCGGTTCACGGGCGACGAGGGGGGCCAAGAGACTTGGCGTTGGAAGCGCAATACCTTCGATATTCTGGATGGGGGTCTTCCTCCTTGCCGCTCTCCTACCGGGTGGACCACTGAGCATCGAGCACAATGTCCACAGCAAATAGGGCCGTCGTCAAATTACGACTTGGGGCTTCAATGGCACCTATACGACGGGAAGAGAAAGGGGGGAGGGGGAGGCATCAAATAGATGCCATCTGCTCGCCGCCGTCACGTGCTCCGGCCGTTGCCTCCCTGACCCCAGAGCCTCTACTGCTGTCTCTCTGTCTCTCCCTATCCTACCATGGTGCTAGTCAGTCCAACGGAAGCCCCGACGCACCCCCGGCCATGCCTGCCCCGTGCTGGCCTGACCTGGCCGAAACGGAGAGGCGGTACGATACGGTACGATGGAGGGAGCGACTTTGCTTTTTCCTCCCCCAGCAATGGAGAGAAAGAAGCTGAGGGGAGGGGACGCGCCAAGGATACCCGGGTGGGGTGGCCAACCATCCTAGATGCCTCGGGAAGAAGACATGTCTGTTGTTTGCCCAACCTCACAGCCCCCCCCCCTGCTCCTCATATCACCAACATATGTACGCATGTGTTGCTTTGCTTGTGCGCGATTGCCTAGATACGGCTTAGCCATGTGCGTTTATTCTACGTAGGATGCCCGTTCTCTCTCTCCTTCTCCATCTTTCTCTCCACATCCCCATCTTCGCCCCATGCCATGCGTGACCATTTCCATCTGCCCCGACATACATACACACACACCTGCACATAAGGGCGATCCCGTGTCATACACACACTTTGGATTCCTGGAGTTGCTAGCACGCCTCCCCCATGCGGACCTACAGTACGGTACGTGCGTGGCCTCCTCCCCCCTCTCTCCACCCCCGACTGACTTAGATGGGCGGGCACCCGGGTAGCTACATACAACCAGCTCCTCGCGTCTTGCCGCCCTTCCACCGCAACCTTCCCGCCCAGGCGGAGAACCTCCTGACCTCGTCGTCGGCCAGAAGCAGGTCGACGATGTAGTAGTGCCTGGCCAGGTCCTCGTGGCCGACGGCGGCGACCTGGTCAGCGTCTCGACGTAGCTCGTCAGGAGGGGCAATGGCTGCTGTTGGCGGCGGCCGGCCTCATCCGGGGGGGGTGAAGGGGGGGACACAAGCCTGAAGGCGATACACGTCTCGCTGAAGGATGGGACCAGGTCCAAGGCCGACGACAGGCTGTCCTCGCTCAGCGGGAGGGCAAAGTCCGTCTGTAACCACTGCGACTGTCGCCAGGACCGGTAGTCGATGAAGTCGGCCAGCTCTTCCTCTCCCTGCTGTTGCTGCCGCGGGTTCCGCCCACTGACTCCTGAGTGCCTCGTCCTCCGCCCCGCCCCGTCCCGTCCCGCCTTGGCCCGCCAGCGGCGCTTCGTTAAGACAGGTCCGGCGGCGTGAGCCGGCCGAAGGAGCGCGCGGCGAGGCAATCACGCAACAAGGCCAAACCGGCGCTCCCTAGTCGGTTAGGCATCCAGACAGCCACATCAATCCTTTGCGGGGATGTGAGTGCAGAGGCGGCGGGCGGGATGCGAAAGCCGGTGTGCCGGCGTCCTCAGCCAGGCACCCTCCCCCTTGTAGAGAGACTAGGCACATACGCGATTGGGCCATGCAAGTTCTTCTGTCAGATCTGCTAATCCCCTTGGCAGACAAGGATTAGGGCCAATAAGAAATAACCAAGCTAAAGGCGCATCATTTTACTGGCAAATTGTACTGTACCATGAAAGAAGTCGTCACAATCCCAGCTGGTACAGATGGCTACATCTCGAGTGTTGCATCATTTTTGTGTCGTCATCGGGATCTTCTTACCACAACAGTAGTCAAGTGGCACAGAAGAGACCCGTCAAAGCCGTTGAAAGCCAGACCAGCCTTTCGGGAAGCCGTTGGATCTGGCTGCGAAGCCACAGAGCTTTTATACTAGAATTAATTCTGCCTGAATAAACCGGGTGCCAAAAGTTCTGCCCACCCTGCGCGACTTATTAATTACCTGGGTAATGTGTACTGTACATGTGCCTAGAAAGTACCTAGCCACCTATAGCACAGTACTGGCTGCCTAGGTACCTACCCAGAGTGGCCTGGGGGCTCCTCCTCCTCCACTGCTAAAGGGATAGCGGTGGGCTCATGCTGTACAGTACCGTATTTAGGCCTTGTCTCATAAGCTACAGCAGGCTATAAGTGAGAAGTGAGCAAATCGACACTAACAACAGCATGGAGCGGGACTAGTTGTTCTCGGCGTGACAGCCGTTTGCCCCGGCGCCATGTGCAGCATCAGGTTCTTTCTTATTCCTTTAGCCGCTTCGCTGGTGCCTCGTTTCTATGCGCCACACCTCCCGGCCGGCAATCGACCTGGGGGCGGCAAAGAGACAAGCCGCCGATCTCGGCTTTTGCTTGCCCTTGAACTCTGCTCGGCCGAGGCGGGCGTCCCAGGGCCCTTGACGTGCCCGCCGCTTGACTCGCCGCCATGTTCGACACCAGCCTCGGGGTTGCCACCGCGTCAGATGGCTTTGAGGAACGGAACATGCGCCTCATGCCGTGTCTTGTCTCTCCCCTGGACGCGGCGCTCGCAACACTGACCTGACGCGCCACGCATGCTCTAGCAGACGTTCGCGGGCCCCCTTGGAGCCAGACCTTGATCCATCCTACCCGATCTTGTTCTTGCTTAGTGGGTGGAGGGGCAGACCCTGGCAGCTCTCTTCCCTACCGCTCGTAGCGTAGGATCGTCAGGGTGCTTCACGCCAGATCCGCGCGCCTACACGTACTTGTAATTTAGCACGGGCAAAGCAGCCGGGATGGGGTCTCGGCCGCACCGCACCAGGCCCGTTGGATGCCATGCATTGGGGATGATCACATCTGCTGGCCTGTGTTGATCACGACTGGCTCTGTTGGGTGAGGCTATTCGGGAAATTCGAGCTGCCGTGGTTGATGACGGGTATCCGAGCCGGACAACCGCCCCGAATCGAGAGATCTACCCCGAATCGGGGGAGAGCTTACGAGGCAAAATGCCCAAGAGCCGTGCCCCTTTTTCCGACAACTGACAGAAATCTGCTGCGATCCCAGATGCAGTACTGTAGTGCGTGCAGGGGTTGATGCTCGGGCAGCAACCAGATGCCGTTTTCTTTTTACTTCCGCAATCCGTATGGAAAACGGACCCCGAGAGTATCAAACGGAGCAGCGGATACAGGAGGTGGCCTTGTCTCGGTACTATGAGGGTAATGATGACATGACCTGTACTATGTACTGTATGTTTTGAAATCAGCTCTTCAAGGGGAGGCGGCCAACATGGCTTGCAATATGCAAGCGACGTGTCACGATTTCATCTTCCACCTACCACATTGGCTGGTTCTTGCGATAAAGCCTTGATCTCGGGGTGAGGCAGCCAACAACAAAGCAGGGAGGCTGCCGTTTTGTCCCAAGGATTCCCCATGAGGTCATTGTGCTTTTGTGTATCGTGTGCTTGTCGACATGCATGCGCTCTTTACACTTCCAGGTATGAAAGCCAAGAGTGGCGGCAAGACGTGTGGCCATTGCCAAACGCCAGCATCGTCACCAGACGACGGGGCTGAGGCTCTTGCTTGGCGGGCCACGTAGTCTCAAAGGCGCTAGGAATGCACACCTCCCTTGGGGCTCAATAAGAAGATGGCGCGGCGCCCCTCTAATTAGGCCGTGGACAGAAAAGAGGATGAGGGCACTGCTCGGTACGGTGTGCTGCCATCCCGAGATGACGGTTGATCAAACCAATCAGTGTTGTTGTCGCGGCATCAGGTCGCCGCCCACAACAATAGAGCATGGTGTCTTTATAGACACCATTGGAGGTCTATCCGACACCCTCTCATCCATGTCGTCACTCACCCCGCTCGTCTCGCTCCTGGCTCTGGCATACCAGGCCAGGGGTCCGCCGCCCGAGCGGCTGGCGACGCTGATGCACGCCATGTCGCCCGCGCCCACGGCCGAGCACAGCCGTCAAGAATACGTGAGCTCCTTTGTCCGGCTCTTGAGCCCCGTGCTCAACGGCCTGGCGGGGCTCAAGGACTTTACCGAGGCCGTCGGGGCCTATTCGGAGCCAGAAGACTTCCGCGGCTTCTGGACGCTCGAAGGGCGCAACCTCATCAAGGAAGTCGTCGGGGGCAGCGCTCACATGGGAGCCGCCATGGCCACAAATGTATCGTTCCTCGACGTTTTCGTCAAGGACACAAGCCGCAGAATCGCCCTGGGGCGGAAAACGAGGGCCCTGGCCTTGGTTCCGGCCGATGCCGAGCCGGGAGACGAGCTCTGGCTAGAGGCCGATGAGGAGTCGCCGGCAGTGCGGCGAGCTGCGGACACGGACGTTGGGAGGTTGACGGGGAAGACGATCAGTTACCGACACTGCGAGGCGATTCTTCTGTAGCGTTTCTGAGGGTTTTGGTGTTGGGGGGGGACCAAAAACAGACAGTTGCTGGCGTGTATTGGTATCGTTGTCATACCCAGAAACATGGAGTCGAATGCGCACACAATATTTGCAAGCCTCGAGGCTCGTCGTCCATTCTGCTGCAGCTCTGGTTGAGCAGGGTATTGCTGGTTGTTGGGGAGGGTAAGCGAAGCTCAGAGGCCCCTTTTCAAGGCGGTGAGGGGAGGCTTGCTAACGAATGTTGTTACGTTATGCCGTGGGGCTTGTCGCTGGACAGGATTAGTGCATATCAATTAAATTACAGTTATCTTCCTTCAGGAAGGGATTGAATGCGAAGGGCCGGCCGAGCCTCCAGATTGATGTCCTGACTAGGCAGTTTCCCACTTCTGTCTTGCAACACCCCAAGATTAAAGCACTGGCAAGTGAGTCGGCGCTGCATGCTTACACCTACAGCCCCATTTAGCCTCAAAAAGACTCGACTCATCATCATCATCGTCATCATCATCACTTGCACGACGGTCACAGAGTTTGCGCGTGCGCGTAACGTGCCGCTCATCATGAGCAACGTCGTTCCCGACATGTCGGATCCGTACTCGATGCCCGATTGTATTTGGTATCCCGGCGTTGCTACTCAAGACACATATCGTGAGCTCACGCACAATATCCCGAAATGCGTTACCATGTCGGTCGCGTGTGCGCCGTTGCCGGCTGTACCGATCTGTATCTCCAATCCAACCTGCTTCCAGATGTATCAATCGCCGAGGAAGCAAGGAAGAACACCAACAAAGGCAGCGACATCTTCAAATACATTACTAGGCTCCTACTCGGTATGCCGTTATGGATGACTATACTAGGACAACTAACCTCGTCAATCCAAGGGCTGGCGTCTTTCTTAACGGAGATACTGCCGTATTCTCCTCGCTTTCTCCAGGGTATTTAGTTGACCAAGCTGTCCAATGGCGCATCTCCGGTCAAAACTCTCCGCATACTCTTCAAATTCACCGAGGACCAAGGCATTGCCGAATTATAGGCCGGTCCAAGCTCATTACCACTACGGGAGAACGAAGTCCAGTGGCTTCACAAGCCTCTTCTGCTACACCTGCCTCTGGTCAACAAGAACACCTTGATTCTCATGGGTGCCTACTAGGGTAATATAGATCGCTATGCTCGATTACATCGCCCACGCTAAATAGGCTCCGAGTGTTGGTGCATCATTCGAGGTATTTACTACGGCACCACATTCGCCAAGTGGTGGGCTGGAGAGGTCGAGCAAAACGGCCAAGCAGCGAAGCGACTAGGGCTAGAGAGCATCGGTGTTTGGAAGGCAATCACTGCACGTCTCATCATGTTCAACGATCTATCTCTTGCAGCAACCGCAAGCTAAAAGTTTCTGTCATACCGTATCTGGAACCCTCTCAGGCCACGCCCCGAGACTCTTGCGGAACTAGCGCGTCGACGACCAAAAGTGCTGCTCCCTATCACACATGTGTGTATTGCTGCCGACTATCAGGAGCTCTACGACAAGGTAGATATATTGCCAGATCCGGTCTTGCTTGAAGAAGCAAAAATCTCTACCAACGCGCACTGTCTCTTCCGCCTTCAATCCCAAGGTGGTGGTCGTCGTCACGATATGTCCCTAGACTAGAAGGGCCGTGAAGATAGTGCCGCCCCGCATAAAGAACTAACGTGTTCCTGGCTCTTCGGCTCTGTAAGTTCTGGCCTGCAAACATCAGGGGTGTTATACGAAGGGTTCCAGGCAAAGTCCACTTTGTTGATCTATCCCCTCCCGTAGAGCGCCGGCGAAAAGCAACTGAAGAGCCAGGCGGGTGGCGCGAGCTATATCTAGATGACTGACCTGGCTTGCCCGAAGTAGATGAGACAGGTTAAAACGCATCCTCGACCCTAAGTCTATGAGAGAGGCCATGCGATAACTGTTGATCAACTTCCAGAGTCCCGCGTGTCCTAGAGGCGCGCTCTCAGTAAACTGTGCAACCTCATTTTCCAAGTTCCAACTCAACATACCCCCCCGCTAAGGGCCGGCTTGATAATCTATCTGGTATAACTAAGATAGGTAACGATTCTGCGTTGTTAAAGGCGACTTGTGCACATGACGAGGACAAACATTGCAGCAAATTGCTCCGGCCCTTGTACAATGCAGTCTGGCCTGCAGACTCTCAGCTTTCGGCTGAAGCTACTGCTCCCACCACTGCTCTAAAGTGTAAGGGGCGGCTGAATATTTTCATTGTGATGCCCATTATGCCTCCGAAGGCAGTTCATCACTGATCAGCATATGCAATTCCAATCGAACCAGGTCTTCCGACACCTTGGAGCTTGTTTGGGCAAGACATGCGCCGTGGAGGAGCTGCAGGCATTATTGCACCTCATATCCGCCAATGATGAAGTTGAATTGAAGCGTCCGTCTCATAGTGATAGTCTCGTAGATTGACCCTATTTCTTTCTGGAGCTTGTACGCGTACATAGACAACATTTTCATGCCCAAGAATCTCTGCAAACCTTTGTCCTAGACTCCTAGGCTTTATAATTACTTTCTCCGCGCAAGCAAACAACGCAATGGCTGCCTAGCCACGCATACCATGTCTCATGTTAATATACTCTCTCTTAATTAATGCATCGACCTAATAACTAGTAATAGTAAACTGCCGCATGGGGTACCTTAGGAAGTGGCCTTGATGCCCTCGTCCGCTTCCGTCACCACTCGCTAATAGGCGCACTCTATGATGCGTAGGCGCACCCTACGGCGTTAAGCCTGCACTACACATTGGTCTGTGCCATACGCTGGCCCGTGACTAACTGACAACTGTGCTGCACGCCTAAATTGTATGACGCGCTCCGGGTTCATGCTGACTCAACATGGTTGGCCTGGCAACCGCCGTAGCAGGCGACCCATGCACGTGCGGCATCCCGCCCTTGAACGATCTCTCACACACACATCACTCTTCCTAGGAGCCCGAATCGAAGTCATACCGCGCTCATCCAACGCGTGCAGCACAAGGAAATGAGTCCTCCAAGCGTCCACCATTCGTGTTATTGCTGGTTTGTCCGGCCTCGCGGGGTTAGTACACGCCTCGTTACGATGCGGTCCCGTGTGTCCTCTGACAAGCCATGACTTCCCAGCTCCTTGAAGCAGCGCCCCATATTACCTGCGGCATCCTGCCCCGCCTGCCCGTGGAGATCCTGGTCCACATCTTCAACGCCAGCAACTCCTTCCTGGACCGGCTGTGCCTTGCCTTGACATGCAAGAAGCTGCTCCAGGCGTCGTCGCTCGTGAGGATCCGCGTGCCGTCGGTGGCCAAGCATCGTTTCCTCCCGCCGTCGACCTGCGACGACATCTTTCTCCTCTTGCGGCGACTGGCTCCGCGAGATGGACGCGGCTGGCGGCCCCACCAGAAAGTCGGCCTGTGTTGCGACTGTCTGAGGTATCGGACGCGGCGGCGAGGGTTCTGGAGTAGCCACAGACCCAAGTACCTCAAGATGGGAGTGACGGCCGACATGTGGAAGAGCGTTGTCAAGTCTTGGTACGTCGCCTTCATCTTCCAGTGTCCGGACTGCTGGTGCGACGAGAGGTATGGCGGTCAGGCTTTGCAGGGATAGACGTATTTGTCTTCGCTTCACAATCTGAAATGCCATCGAGTTGGGATTAGAAGCAGCCGTGGCTATCAAGTTCCCTCTCTCCGCATGTGCGGGCGGCGCAGGCGCGGGAGCGGGCAACTGGATGGTACCGCTACTTGCCAGGCGCGGGTGGTACAAATAGGCGGGGCGGGCTGGCTTTGGTACGTATCTTCAAAAATAGGGCGTGTGTGTGTGAATACACCTACCTAGGTAGTATTACTCTAAGAGTATTGCTATTCGCACAAAACACCTAAAGCTCAAAGTGCCTTAATATCACTCCAAGGTACTGCCTACTATACTTTACCTATTACCTCACCTACTAAGAACTAGCGCACTCGAGCACGCACCCGAGCCAGTAGGGGAGGGGTCCCTACTGCGGGGGTTTATCCCCCGCGCGAGGTACAGTGCGAACGTGCAAGATCGCGGCTTTAGAGGGACTTCCAAGGTACTTGAGATTGAGCATTGACTATTAAGCAGCCATGAGGAAATTAAAAGAGAGTATTTTGAGAAGTACTGTGCGAATAGAGACTTCTTGCTATGCGAATAGCAATGCTCATCGGAAAGAGGATAGGTAGGTAATTACTGAGCTTGATTAGCCTGCCAGTACTTGATGGGTCTCTGATACTGTTATCTGTTGCTGCCACGCTTTGCGGAAACTTGGGAGTCCCAGAAAGCTACGTCGCTGTCACTTCAAATGGTACTGTACCTAGCCGGCTTTCCCCAAGAGATGCGTTGTTAATTACAGTGGGTCCCTACCCGTTCTGCCGACATGAGGCAATGAGGTCAGCAAGAACAGGAAAAACATCTCCAGCTCGGGGCTGAGGAGACACTTTTTCCCGTCGCTGCTCGGCTTCAATTGGCCCTGGCCCTCCCGCTTGCTTTCTTTCGCCTTTGCACGCTCCAGTCTTCGACACAAAGGAAATCGAGTTTTAACATCAGGTCCTGCGCCCCAAAGACATTTCTACCCCCGCTCGTAAGGAAAGACACAACCTCAGCGGCGCAGCATGGCCCCGGCCGAATCTCACGCGTCGAGGCGACGCGACGAGGAAGACAGTGCAGTCGACCTTGGCAGGCATCAGCATCGGGACTGCCGAAGAGAAAGACGCTCTGGCCGCGGCTCCTCTCGCCCAAGACGGCGCTCGCGAACCCCTGAATCTTCGCATCGGCGACACCACCATCGGCAGCGAGACCACGACAGCGAACGTGGCCGTGACCGAGGAAGAGACAAAAGCCCCGGCCGCGATCGAGGCAGGGAAAGGAGCCCTGGCCGTGACCGGAGACGACGCCGCTCCCGCGATGACGGAAGAAGCGCCCGCCGTCCTTCTGCCGATGACGACGCTGATCGCGACGACTCGAGCAGGCAGCCAAAGAGCCTGATCAAGCACCGCGGACCGCTGCCGTCGCAGAAAGACTTCTTTGCCACCAACAATGGCGAAGAGGCACCCGACAAAGAGAAAGACAAGCCAAACTGGGGCAATACAGGGGTTTTGGCCGCCGCCTCCAACTCGGTCGTCCAGGCCGATGGGACGTCCACCACACTCAAGTATCACGAGCCATCCGAGGCACGTAAGCCGTCGCCACGCGACCAGTGGAAGCTTTTTGTGTTCAAGGGCAGCCACATTGTGGACACTATCGACCTCAACCTCAAGAGCTGCTGGCTCGTGGGAAGAGACTCTGGCGTGGCCGACGTCATGGCCGAGCATCCCAGCATCAGCAAGCAGCACGCCGCCATCCAATTCCGCTACATGGAGAAGAGGAACGAGTTTGGCGACAAGATGGGAAAGGTCAAGCCCTATCTGCTCGACCTCGATAGCGCCAACGGCACTGTCCTCAACGACGGCGCCGTTCCCCCGAGCCGCTATCTCGAGCTCAGGCACAAGGACATGATACTGTTTGGGCACAGCACGAGGGAATATGTCGTCATGCTCGCCCCCCGGGATTAAAGCCGATGGGTCCGGCAAGTCGCCCACACGATGTATGAAGCATCCTCGTGGCACAAAATCAGACCAACAATGGCCGCGAGCTACGAGATCGCCAGAGGTCACTGTGGCGGAGCCTGTCCTCGCGGCCCAAGACTCATTCAACGCGATTGCTGCGACGTCGCAAGCGAGGAAGGATTTTTCATCACCATTCACAAAAGACTTGTTTGAAGCGCGTTGCAATGCCCCGCTTCGAGGTTTCACCTGACGCGAGGCTACTGGCGGCAGAGGGAACCGAACTGGGCCGCCGCCTCTGACCACGGTCGAATCAGAAGAGTTCCTCGAGCCGTCCCTCACATGGTGCCCTCGAGTGGGGTGGGACGCGTCGCAGTTTGGGTGGTGGTGGAAAGCTACGGCAATGCAACCGTGAAGCTTGGCCGCAACCCTCCGCGAGAGCAGTCACCGTCCCGGAAAAGGTGGCCTGCCAGGTGACCAATCACAGAGACGCGTGCCTCCCCAAGGTGATCGCGGATCGTCAGGTGCTCGACCGGCCGAGTCTCATACGAAGCGAGCGCGACGCAAAGCATGCACATGGAGATCCACTCAGCCCTTGCCGGCCCAATGGCTGCTGCATGAATTGCCTGAGGCGATGCTGCCTGCATCGGCCCTCCACCCGACCTTCGCCCACAGCATGCTGGGAGACAGGCCGCAGAGGGCCAGTGTCAGATGTCAAGCTTTCCCATTCTCATCTGGGCGGGCCACTTTTTACCACAGAGTCCAAGCAAGCCTGCCACAGACTTGAGCTCTGCTCGACGCCCATATGGCCACGTCCAAGAGGAGCCATGAGACGCCAGAACTTTCTCTCTTGGGCTCACGCTGGCGCCCAAGGCGATTTCCGCCACTCGCTCGACGCTCCCGCTGGCCAAGTTGCGTCTCTCCCGTACCGGACAGCACGCGACGGGCGATAGCAGGCCTTACCACCGCCTGGCCCGCCCCTCGAGGCTCTCGCCGAGCCACACCCGCGACTTTGCTGGTCTATTCTGGGCTTAAGTCGCCCGACTCCGGGCCGGAATATGGATGGGTGTCGCACACGCCTGTTCCTTATGCCAGGTTCAAACCTGCTGCGGCACTTGGCTAGCCGTCGCCCACCAAATCGTGTGTGTGGTTGCGAGTCCGACTATTCTCCTTGCTGTGCAACCATCCATCAGGCCGTCCTCTGCATTGCGCAGCATGTGGTCGTGTCCACCTTTGCAAATCCTGAGGCCCTCGGACACGTCAATATTCATGTGTATAAAGGGGCGAGCGTCTCCTTCGGTCGCTCGACTCTACCGTTGTGGTGAATAGCTGTCCTGGTCCTCGAGTTTCCATTGTTTCGACCCTAGTTTCTTCCACTCCGAGAGACTTGTTCCCAGATTGCTTCTCATTTGGGCAGCATGGTATGGCAAGGACCCTGTCCCCAGTTCTTGGCAGCATAAGAGGCTACACAATATGCTTTCCTGCCTTGAGTATCAAATGCTCACCGAGGCTTGGCCATAGGGCTCAGTGAATCGATCGATTGCTCGCTACGAGACCACTGCCGTGTACACGCACCCCGATGCCAAAGTCGACATTGTCCTCGTCCACGGCCTGAACGGCACCCCCGACATGACGTGGACCGCCAAGAACGGCATCTTTTGGCCCCTGGACCTTCTGCCCGCGTCGCTCAAGGGTGCCCAAGCCAACATCTTGGTATACGGATACAACGCCGATGTCTATTCGAGGAAGAACGACCGCAGTGCGAGCGACAACTTCACCCACCAGCATGCGCAGACCCTCGTGACGAGCCTGACACTCTTCCGCAGGAGCGAGGGCACGTTCAAGAATCCCATCATTTGGGTATGCCACAGCCTGGGCGGCATCATGGTCAAGAGGGCCCTGCTATATTCCAACGACCTGCGGACGGCGCACCACGAGGACTACCGCTCCATCTACGTCTCAACCTATGGCCTCTTCTTCCTCGGCACGCCACACACGGGCTCCGACATGGCGACGTGGGGCTTGGTGCTGCAGGGCATGTCCGACGCCATTGTGCCCAAGAGGTTTTTCGAGTCCGAGTCGGTACTCCTCAAGACTCTCAAAAAAGACAGTGAGACGCTGTCGAATATCAACAACCATTTTCTGGACATTTACCAGCGTTTCCGCATCCACATGGTGCACGAGAACCACAAAACGGACATTAAAGGCACCAAGTACGTTTCTCCTTTTCTTGATCTCATGGTGTCCTCTATCTTCTTAGGCCAGTACGAGAGAAAGGACTGGCCGTCGATATCTTTACTACTCACGAGTCGACGAGTTGGAATTGCTAACAGCTGGACCAGGATCATCGTGGTTGACGCCAATTCGGCCAGCCCCCAGCTCCCCGGCGTGACGTACTATGGGGTCGAGGCGACGCACGCGCACATGTGCAAGTTTGCCAGCGCCAGCGCCCCCGGCTTTCGCGCCCTGTCCACCGACATCAGACAATGGGTCCTCGATGCGCCGTCGCTCATCGCCGTGCGCTGGGAAGTGGAGGGCTTAGAGAGGGCTGCGCGGATACACAACGAGATTCACGAGAGAATGTCTCCGTTTGTGAGTCGGGCCCTTGATATCTCCCCCGTACGACTTATGCTGACGTTGAGCGCAAAAAGATGTCGCCGCTGCCGGGTGCTTACACCGCCAACACACGCAGGGAGAGCGGCATTTCTTCGCTGTCCTCGCCGTTGCCGCCCCTGCCCCCGTCGCCGCCGCCGCCGCCCCCAACGGCTCATACGGTCCCCAGTGCGTTGCTGGCGGCGGCGGCGAGGCAGGACGGGCTCGTGCTGCTGGACGGCATGAGTCACGGCCTGGAGCCGGCCTACAGGTTGCGAAGCTGATTGCAGATGTCTGGAGACGGGGGACAGACATGGGCAAGGGCCTTTTCTTTTCTCATCCCATCTCATGTAGTTGAATGGCGTCGGTGGGCAGTTCTCCTTGTTTGGATTCCATGGGCAGAAGGGGGGGGGAAAGACTTGTGCCTGCAAAGGCGGCTAATGCGGGGTAGTCTCGTTAATACACCATACATGCATACAATTCCATCGTTACTGCGCGACATTCAGTTTGCCCGGCCGTCTTTATTCTAGACTTTGCAAATTTGGCGGCTCTCTTCCTCCGCCATCGTCACCCGCCAGACCCAGCGCGCGCAGGCCTCGGCTCCAACCGTAGAGGCCAGGGCACAGCCCGCGCAAACAATCGTGGGGGTAAAAACAAGAGCGTTGCGCCAGCACATGGGGCCAGCAACCCACAAAGGGGGGACGAGACGACGCCGCCATCGTGGCTTTCTTCCCCCGACGCTTCCACCCGGAGGCGGGCGCGCGCGCGGGGTCTTCTCCCTGGGCTATGCTGGCCCGTCAGTGCGCCGCGTGGTGGCCGGGGGCGGGCCTCCGCGTTCACGATGCCCTGGGATCGTGGGTCTACGGACCAGTCATGGTGGCCCGTCGGCCATGTGGCCCGCTTGGTCGGACGTGGCGGCAACGTCAACCACATGGGCGGGTATCGGGCCTTTGAGATGGAGTTCGAGAGAGGGATAGAGAACGAGGGGAGCGAGGCACCCAAATGCTCTCGCGGCTTTGAGTAGTCCTCAAGACCGTTTACAGAAAAGGGGGTGGTCACTGGATGTCGAGCATCTAGTCACGCACGGGGTGTGCTGAACAGTCAATCGAAGCTTCCCGGATGGCGTGCGCATAGGGATGCTGGGACCTGCTCGGACGCCAAGGCTACAGCGGTCATCCGAAGCCCATACTCTGTCACCAAGGACTCGGGTACCATGGGGAAACCTAAAGTTGAAGCCTATGTCGAGCTAAACTAACCCGCGCACTTGGCCTTGGCAATGACACATGGTGCGAGCTGCTACCGGGCTAAGCATAAATGTGGGTGAGGAAGCAGGAGAGAAAACCATGTCCCTTGCCGAACGGTAGCCTATGGAGAGGAGGGGATCAAGGTTCTGCGGCTCCTAGATCACGCCTGCGTGTGCTCTGCGTCGTGACCTTGGCTAGCCGCACGAGCTGGTGGTGGGTGGCCGGGTTAAGCGCTCTCTTGGCGGCACACTCGTGCCTGTATGAGCTGCTCGTCTGCATCCCTGCCGACATTGTTCATGATGCTATTCGGAACAACGGGGCAAGCTAGGGATATCGACAGAAGACAGAACCACGGGCATCCATGTCGTGCAGTAGCTCGCCCGGGGACGGCTTCCTCTCCTAAAGCCTTGGTCTAGCGTCCACCGGCCATGAGCATCGGCATACGCCATGTCGTCGGTGCCCATGCACAAGATGTCCAAAAGCGCTGCGCTGCGCTTAGCCGGTAGTCTCCAGTCACGTATCGCATCTCCGCATTCATGGGACCAGATGAGAACCACGGTGGATGGAAGGGGACGTGTATAGGCCGCGCCTGGCTGTCCTCCTCGGAGCCGGCGCTAGCCGCGGCCTTTGCCGTCCCGATGCATGCCACGAGAAGTCGTCCAGCTCCAACGCAGCGCCAGCCCGCCGCCGTTAGACTTCCGGGTCTTGGCGATGACGTGTCTCCAGCGTATCCGGGCGCTCCCGTTGACAGGTGGAGGCTATCCCCAGATGCATTCGCCTTGTTTACATCCCCATCTCCCATCAGCGATGGCTCCCAGGGCAATGAATGTCTCACGAGCGCGCCGCGGCAGGCACCGCACAAGAACATGCTTTGAGGTGCTTCAACGTGTCTTGTGACGCGGATGGCGGCTCCGTGCCAAGGAGGGCGGGCATCCGGGCTGCTCACAGCGATGATGTCCGGCTTGAGGGTGCTTGTAGATGACAGGTCTCTGACAGATCTCTTGGCCTCGCACTCGGCCGGCCGCTGGACTTTGGGTTGACCCGGACAAGAGTTGAAGGGGCGAGGGAAAAGATTTGACGTTAAAAAAATGTAAATGGCAACGGCCGAACTCTCAGGTCCGGCAAGTGCCGAAGCGCTAACAGGTTTCCGGGATAATAATTCTCAGAGCCAACAGCCTGCCTGGCCTGGCTCCGAATGGACGTTGGAGCGGGGCCAACTCTTCTTGGATGTTGACTTGTTTGGATGAGATTCGCAAGTAAAATAATCCCCATGCCAAAAGAAGCATCACTAGTCTCAAACTGTTATTGTGGTGAGCTCGCCGGAAAGCGGCAAGATGATTCAAATCAGACAGGAAGCAGGAAAAGGGGGAAGGGAGGCTTGGCCAGTCCTGTTGAGTCGAGCAAGGCCATGGGAGGATGCGAGGTCGGTGACGCCTGATTTGCGCCAAGGCTCCGTGGCCAGAAGCAAGCGGGCCAGCTCGACTTTCGAGAAGCTCGGGAAGCCATGGCTGAAGCAATCGGGACGGTTCCTTGACGAGATTACGATCATAAAGTCGTGGCGTGAACGGCAAGCAGGGGCTAGCATCCATGCAGCTGCGGGTACAGCGCAGTAAAGGGCCTACCCGTAGCTGCGAAAGCTCGCGGAAACAAAGTCACGCGGAAGCAAGAAAGTGACGATGGGGCCTTGCAGCCGCTCCATGAGCCGCAATGGCCGCCAAGCGTGTGCCGGTGGGTGATCAGCCGACTTGAATGACACGACGCACTGTCCATCCAAAGGAAGTGTCGGTGCGGAATCCTAGACAAGTACGGTCAAAGAAGGCGAGAACAGAATCCTGTTGTTAGGAATGTGCATAACAGCCAGGACCGTCAGCTCCCATCGCCGATGGTCTCCGGACTGAAGAAGAATTGACAGACAGCCGCTTGCCTGTGCCATGAATCCTAGAGCATGAAAGGCCTGAATGTAATGCTCAAAACTAAGAAAAAGCATGACATGGTACCTGGGGGTACGGATATCGTCTCATGTGATGACTGCCAGGGTCCAGCTACGTGACTTTGTCGAGGCTCGTGGCCGGCCGGGTGTTTCCATGATAGAATTGCTCGATGGCGCGCCATGGTCGCTTGTCTTCCGATCGAGAAAGCACGAGGGCGAGGTGATTTGAGGAAGGATGTGGCATGACGGTAACTGCACGTATAATGTCCGTTGAAGCTCCTTTGTCGGAAGTCATAGCGGCTGCGAGAGATTGAAGGGCGGAAGAGGCCGATGAGAAGCCGGCAAGCGACATGGCCACCTGGAAGGTCATCACGCGTAGCATGGCCGATATCCAAACCATTCCCGGAGAGAAAAAAAAGGTGAACCCCAGCCATGCGGTGACACTGCCTGCAAGGACAAATGGCGGTCTGCCAAGCCACTGGAGGGCATCACAGCATGGAAATGTCCGGCGCCAAGTCGAGGCTGGAGCAAGCCCTTGGCATGGCTGGGACGGATGGCATCCGAATCGCCAACATCCATGCAAAGCCATCAGCAGCTACTTTGACGTCGCTACTGTAGGCGTGGACAGTGGTCTGCTCAAGCGGCGCGGTGCATGAGGAGTAGCAGCTCCGTAATCCCTTTTCTCAATCCCGTATTCGGGGAGCTGTGCAGTGCATGCCCGAGCACACCGGGCGGTATGTCATGTGTCTGTCGTTGGCCTCTCTCAGAACCTAATCTGTGTTGATCAGGGTCGAATCGGACAAGGATGCTGGCCAGGCAAATCGGACGCTGTGCAACACGTGGCGTTGTCTAGAACAACCTGAGGTGCTTCCATGGCAACGGGGACAAAACTGCGTTGATGGAGTCGTCGTTGCGGCCAGAGGACTGGACAAGGGCGTAAGCGGATGGCATCTTTGAAAATCAAGCTCAGCTGGGCTTGAGCAGGCCACGCGGGCGGGCGTTGGTTAGCAAGGGCGCTACGCATGCGCAGGTCGGGAGGGCAAAGCATAGCGCAAGCGCAGATGGCATTAAGGCGATGAAATTCGACGAGGCCTGACAAGGCTTCTCGGCTGGGCCCACTTGGACGCAGCCATGAGACATTCGCGTCTCTTGCACGCATGTGTGCGTGTACAGTACCGCACGCACAAGCAAACATGGATCCCTGCGTGTTTGTACAAGTGTTTGCACCTCGTTTCGGACCGCGCTGGCGGCCGCCCGGGTCGATATCCAGGGGCCAGCATCTGGGACTGCGATAAGCCGTCTTGAGACGCGCTGCATGGAGGCTTTGACGTCAGATTGACAAGGTCGCCCACCTTCACGTGTCATTGCGCCGGCGAGGGCGGGCCTAAGAGGCCTCGGAGCCGGCCAAGGCCATGGTGACGATGGGAGGGAGATGCTTTCGAGACGAAGTGGATCATCGGCCGACCTGGCTTTTTTCGGTGTCGCAGAAGCAGGAGGAGATTAGGTTGATGCGTCCCGGGCCAATCAGAGGCGGCCTACTCGCGCATGCTCTTTGTCCTTCCGACTCGCCGCGTAGGAGATACGTACCGCCCTCTGGGTTTCGTGCAGGGGGACGTACCGGCATGGGTCCCTCCCCCTTCCTTTGATCATCCCGGTCTGCATTTCTGATACTTGGCCTCTACTCAGTGCCGCAGTACACCAGAGGACCTGAAAACTCTCGGGCAAGAGATCCCGAAGAAAAAACACGGAGCACATGCAGTGCCTTTCTGCGAGCGTCCAGGTACCCGGGCCCGAACGGAAAAGGGGGCGGGTCGTGCCTTGTACTGTACTGCGCATGCAGGTTCTCGGCAGCAACAGGGGCATCTTTTCTGCACCCATGCCTCGTACCTTACCTTACCCAAGCAGGGCAGCAGACGGTATGGTCGAGGTACTGTACGAACTGCCTGCCGCGTGAGGAGTCGCACTGCCCTGACGACGCGAAGAGAGCCTCGGAGAGATGCTGCTGTTGGCGCTGCAGGATCTGGGCTGCAGCGGCAGCAAACGAGAGGCTGATAGTATACGATGCGCTGAGGAACCGTGTGAATTGGGCCTCGGGCATCTACTGTGTACGGCCCTCTGCACCCTGCATCCGCCACGCAGCAGGTACCTACTGCGCTGAGCATGTACCGGTACTGTACACGGCCTGCCCTCCACCGCCTGCCAGACGTCACGCCCTCGCCTTGGCAGGAACAGGCTGCCTCTACGTCTGTACTTGGTACCGTGTACGTAGCGTGCAGACGCAGCGCCGCTCGGAGAATTTCGCCTTCATCTCTTCCTCTGCACTCAGACGTGCAGGGTCTGAGGACACTGGTCCTGGAGCAATCACCTTGGTCCTTGGCCAATTCGTCCAAGGAGGCCCTTCTCCGCTGCTTTCCCTGCTCGTCTTTTCCTCCTCTTGGACCTCGATTCCGCGCGAGATATCAAGGTCCTGTCAAGCGACTCAATCACCCGATCCCGGCCTCGTCCCCTGTTTCGTCTTCAGAGGGTTGCGAAGAAAAGTCAATACTGAAATTACAAAGCAGTCGCGCCCCACCCGCTACCGGAATCCAGCAAAGAAGGAAAAATAGGATCATGTTTGCCAATTCTCTGACCTCTCACTCGCTGTAAGGTAATGGTCAGGGTCCCCATCTCAGCGGGTGGATCGATGCCTTCCTCGTCGACGCTCACGGGCTAGCGACCGTGGCTCCACCGACAATCGTCATCCTGCCTCACGACGGTCTCCATTGCGTTAAACCGTCCTGCGACAACGCCGCCCGCGGGAGACACGACAACAAAACGCTGGAGCCTCCGATAAAATGCCGCAGATGCGTTATCGCCAGCACTCCCCCGTCCCCCCCCCCGCCACCACCCGGGTACCCAATCTCGCGAAAGGGACGAGGCTCCAGAAATACCTTGGCTGTACGTACCGTACACGTACACACGTACCGTGCGCTCCCGTCTAGCCTGGCTCTCAACGCTCGGGCTGACTCGTTGAGAGGACGGACGGTCCGCTCAGTGCATGTTGCGGGCCCCACAACGGTGTCCCGACATGACGGAGGCGGTGTTAACTGATGATGGATGGGTAGAGGGCAACAACGCGGACCCGCCTGGGATCTCCCTTGGATCGCGGCAGGCCCGGCCTGGCGCTTGCTGCAAGAAATGTCGACTCAGGAGAGTCAAAGAGACGCTGCTCAAGGAGCTGCTCGACCGGCTTCGACAAACTATTTAAGGTCTCTGCGAAACCCGCCTTTCCTCTTGCTGAAGATTGTTGATTCATTCCATTTCACTCACACATCCTTTACTCTCTTCCCACCCGACGTCGTTGCATACATATACACCCTGGTCTTCACGTACATATAACCTCGCTGGCTCATCTTGTTTTCTCCCCGTTGCAAGTCGTTTGATATCTCCTTGGCCGTCGTCACATTCCTATACCCACCTCCAACCCAGTATCCATCATCATGGCCCCTTCCGCTATTACCCCCGAGACCTCTCCCGAGCGTCAGTACTTTGTCAAGAAGGCTGTCGTCTCCAAGCGCACTCAGAGCCGCCCTCTGAACGTTGCCACCATCAAGCTCAACGATGGCAACGTCATCCCTCAGGTTGCCCTCGGTGTCTACAAGGCGCCCAATGGCCACGAGACCGAGGTCGCTGTCACCGCCGCGCTGGACGCCGGCTACCGCCACATCGACTCGGCAGCCCGGTACGCCAACGAGGAGGCTTGCGGCCGCGCCATCCGTCGCTGGCTCGAGAAGACGGGCACTCCCCGCGAGGACGTCTACATCTGCTCCAAGCTGTGGGACGCCGATCACGGCTACGAGGCCACGTTTGATGCTCTCTGCTCTTCCCTCGAGAAGTTTGGTCTCGACTATCTGGACCTTTACCTGATCCACTCTCCCGCGGACAACGAGCAGAAGCGCCTCGAGAGCTGGCGCGCTCTGGAGACGGCACAGAAGCTTGGCAAAGTCCGGTCAATTGGTGTTTCCAACTTTGGTGCCGCCCACATTGAGAACCTGCTTGAGAATGCCCGAGTTGTTCCCGCCGTCAACCAGGTCGAGGTCCACCCCTTCTGCCAGCGTGAGGCTCTGGTCGAGCTCTGCAACAAGAACGACATTCTGATCGAGGCCTACTCTCCTCTGGCTCGTGGCAACAAGCTGGAAGACCCAACCATCAATGCCATCGCGGCCAAGTATGGCAAGACTCCTGCCCAGATCCTGCTCAACTGGAACGCCGCTCGGGGCAACGTCGTCCTCCCCAAGAGCTTGACTGCCAGCCGCATCCAGAGCAACTTGAACAGCTTCGACTTCCGGATGGACACCCACGATATCGCGACCATCAATGCGCTGGGCTGCGAAAACTACGTCACCGGCAGCATGCACAAGTCCAGGGACTGAAAGATGGCTGGCAACTTGCACGACATGAGACATGACGAATAGAAGTGCTCCCTCCGGTGGACGGATCCGCCGCAGGCACAGGCAAACCGCGCTAACCGCTGCCCATCGCGGTATATCCCGCCGGTGCGTTTGAAATGGGGATTGAAGAGCCCCAGAGCCGCGTCAGCCCAAAAGGTAGAAAACCTGTGGCTACGTCGCTGTTTGCTTTAGAATTTTTTTTTCTCGGTGTTTGGGACAGGCTTGTACCGGACGCGTGGAAGCTAGACATGGGGTTTAGGAGTTTTGTGTCAAAAAGTTCATCATGAACGAGCGGAATCGTGGTGAAAAATTGGTTAGACATTTATCAATCATGCACTCGCTGTCAAGCTTGTGCCGTTCAAGATTAAGTTACTACACTTTCACATGCTTCGCTTGGTGATTGTGCTTGAAGACCAGGATACCATGGCTTCGGGAGTCGGGAGCGGACCGGGCGCGGCTCAGGGGCCCGTTTTCAGGACCCGTTTTCAGGGCCCGCCAGCCCGAGTCAAGACATCGGCGGCAGAGCCCCGAACCGGTCGACGTCCCCCTGCTCAATCGGCCCGATCACGTGACGGCCGAGAGAGAAAATCGCGCAATTCCAGCACGGAGTGTCCGGACAGGTCGGTGCACAGGGGGACGGTGCTGTAACACTTCTGTACACAGTCGGGTCGGTCGTCAGCCCATCGTATCGAAGCCCGTCGTATCGCAGCCCAGTACGGAATAGGGGTTGTGCTGCACATCTTGATAGCCTCACCGGGGGACCCGTGCCAGCTGAAAGCCGCCGGCATTATCATGGCACGCCGGCAACGCGAATCAATGCAAACATGGCAAACTTTGCTTTGTCTGCCCGGGGGATTCAAGCAGGGCGGTGTACTCACCGCTAGGGCGAGGCGTTTTGTCGGTGAAGAGCGCCGTCGAGGCTCGTTGGGCCTCCCCAAGGGGCGTGTTTGCCAGCCGTCGTAGGATTGCTCGGGAGAAAAGAGACTCGAGATGGGCTCGTGTTACACAGCAGCGGGCGGCGGCGGCGGCACGATGTGCGCTCGTGCCACGCGTCGGCAATCTGCCTCGCGGCACGGACGGCTTGCGCCCAACTGCCGCTGCCGATTCTGCAGGCGGATGGGCTCTCGAGCGCAGTCACAGACTCACCGTACAGTAGAGTAGCCCGTGCGTGCAATTCCCGTCTCCTTCTTGGAGGATGCTTGTTCCGGTCCATCCCACCACGACTGTGCTTGAGCATCATGCTACGTACCAAAACAGGACCATGGAGAATGAAATGGAGCCGTCAGCTTGCCTGCCGCCATCTTGGCCGGGAATGCATCACTCAATTTGCAAGGACAGCTGGGCTGACCAAGATGGGCGCTCACCTTGTTTGACGGCAGGTACCGTTAGCAGGGTACCCTGCACCTGGACTCATGCGAGCCATAGCCCTGGGCAGCCAATGCGGCCGCTTGCGGTTCTGTTCTTGCATGAGGGAGATCCATGCGGAAGGACAATCCGGGCGGGCTAACGGCCTTTTGCGGATGGTGGATGGTGTTTAATTAATTTCTCTGCAAACTGGTTGAAATAGTTTTCGGATTCGGGCAGATCGGCAGAAGGCGGCGTGACGGGAATCCGTCATCTTCACACACCCAAGGGACATGTCAGATGGGACAGATGCGGTACATGGTGGGTGGCCAGCTGGGATTGAGTGCTGTGCCGGTCCATTGCTTACAAGCTAGCCAAGGTCCCTGCGTACACGAGGCTGAACATGACTTATACGAACTACACAGCCCAGAGTGAATATGAGGGCATATTCCGAGCCCCTATGATGAGACAGGTGTTGTTTATGACGGGGGCCAACTGTACAGTACTCGGGGTCTTGGAAGGGACCGGGCACCTGTAAGTTGCGGCGTGACGGATAGGTTTCTACACCCGATAGATATCAACATGAAGCACGGTGCAGGTTAGCACATGAGTCGTACTGTGTAGGGGGGAACAGAGCATGCGGGTAGAGATGCCGAGTCTTGGGATAGCCCGCCACCTGTCTCAGCTGTGCAGCCACTACTGAGTACTGAGGATAGATGATGCGTCGGTCGAGGTACTGTACAGTACTTGTTTTCTCACCAGACCTGCGAGTTACGCCATTTGGAACATGTCGCATGGGCGGGCGAGAGCCGGGTGAGGCTCTCATGGGCTCATGGGTAGGGAGCTGCCTCAGCTGAGGCAAGTGTTATGCAGATGTGCACGAGGAAAGCGTCGTTCCATCCTCTTCTGCGCCGGTTCACGTCAAATGTTTCCCTGCAGGTGAGCAATCGAGGCCGGGCGTTGGAGACGACGGCAGCCAGCCCTACGCTCCCTTGGGGCGTGCTGGTAGGAAGATACTTGAGAGTGTGTGTGAACATAGGCGAAAAGTAGAGTCGCTGCCTATTCATCTCACCAGGCTCCTCTCCACACCGTGTCTGCCCAGCGTCTCGGCATCATCATCAGCTTCGTGCGTCGAAAGAAAAAAAACCAATTGCTCACCACCGTTTAGCCTTGTGCCCCTCTCACCTCAGCTACGCGCTCTGCCTTGACAACTGCTACTGCCTAATCATGAAGGCAACGACAGAGCCCTACCGAGACGCCATGGATGGTCTGCACCATCCCCTGCAGAGCAAGAAAAACCAGTCAAAAACCAGTCCTCCCGCGCGGGTCACGAGATGGCGCTTGTCCCTGTTTGTGCGCCTTTCCGTCTCTGGGCGCGCCAGCCTTACCAGATGACACCCGCGCGACAAAACTCGCAGCTGACCTCGAGGTTGTGCTACCGAGTCGCGGGTTGACCGACGCTCCTTGGGCATTCCGGGCTTGCACGCCTCGTGCGTGTGACTCGTCGGCGCCTGGCGAGTCGAGAGCCAACCAAAGCCGTCGTCGCTCATTGGAAAAGACGTCGCCTTCTAGAACGTCGCCGCTGGCTTCAAGAATGCGCTTGCCGCCATGATTCGACCATCAAGACCGCGTCGTTCTCTCCCAGCCCTCCTCTCCCGTCCTTGCCCTGCTTCTTGCGACTTGCCCGACGCCCTTTGCTCGCCAGCATCATCATGGACGCGGTGACCGAATTCTACCGCTCGCAGATCGGCGGCACGTCCGTCATCAACTACGCATACACGGACATGCCAACCCGTCTCCTTGTCAAGGACATCTACTACTTCTTCGTCTACTCGTGGGCCCTGCCCCGGGTCCTGTCCCCGATAGGCCTGTGGGCTTCTGGCGAGCTGGCCGAGCTGTACCCCAGCTGGCCCAACTTGTTTTGCGTCCTTGTCCATGTCATCCTGGCCGTTTTCCAGCTCTTCTTCATCCTGGCCCTGCCGCTCGCCGTCCTGCTCCCCATCTGGGCCGCGGCCGGCGCCGTGGCGGTCTTTCTGCTGTTGAACTGGCTTCTCTGCAAGCTGCTCAATGGACCAGGCTTCATCTTCCACTCAGACGCCAAGTACGCCAGGGAGCGGCCCGAACACGCACACGAGCAGTGGGTGTTTCTCAACGGCGTCACTATCGGGTAAGTCTTTGGGTCCCGCGCCGAATGTCTGGGGCCAGATGTGTGGCCAGCCAAAGGAAGCACCTGAACTGAAACCCCGTCCCAGTGAGCACTGGATGAAGAGTAACCTGAACCGCCTGGCCCTCACCTTTGGGCGCCCTGTCATGGGCATACACAACCGGACCAGTGGAATGCTGTTCGATATCATCGAGTGTCTGATCCAGCGCAACTTCACCTACGCCACGGCCGACGTGCGGCTTTGCTTCAAGACCCTCCGCAACGTTCTTTACGATCCGAGCAAATCAAAAGTCGTCTTCATCTTGCACTCGCAGGGCGGCATCGAGGGCGGCCTGGTCCTCGACTGGTTGCTGCAAGAGATGCCGCAGGATTTGCTGGCCAAGCTCGAGGTGTACACGTTCGGCAATGCCGCCAATCACTTCAACAATCCGCATCGCCACGCTCTCTCTCAATCCCTGACGCAGTCCAAGCCGCTCCTTGCCATCAACACCTTTCTGACCGAGTCGGGCTTTGCCAGCCCTGCCAGCAGCCCAACCGAAGTCAAGAACGGATTCACCACGCAAGATCCGGCAACCCCGTTGAGGGAGCCGTCGCTGCCGGTCTCGCGCACTCTGTCAGCGGCCAAGGACAGGGCCATTGGCCACATCGAGCACTATGCGCACAGCACCGACTTTGTCGCTCTGTGGGGCGTCCTTCACTTTGCCACCAACAAGATGGGCTCGCCGCAGCTCCCTCGTTTTCTCGGCCGGCTTTTCCAACGCTCCACGGGCAGGGGCGGGCATTTGCTGAACCAGCACTACCTGGACGGCATGTTTCCCCTGAAGCGGGACCCTGAGACGGGCGAATTCGTGGGCGCCGACGATGAGAACGAGTTTATGGAGGAGATCATCAGGTTGGGACACGAGGACGTGGCCATGGACAAGACCCGAGAGGCGTTCGATATCGCATACGTTGGAACGCGGGACCCGGACGCGAGCGACGCATCCCTTCCCATGGCGAACACGAGAAGGGCGGAAAAAAAGGTCAAGGTCAAAGAGCTGAGCCGCCTTTGGAGCTACAGAAACGGACGCAGCCCGCCAGGGAAGCCCCCGATGCTACAAGTGGAGGACGGCGTGGTGCGGATGGCGACATTGTAAGAGGGAGTCTTGTTCTGTAGACACGTGCGGAAGTCACGCGATGGCGCGGGTATGTGCGGATGGGTTACAATCCCATGCGGAGGGAACTACGCTGACGGCGCAGATGGACGCGGCAAAGGGTCACACGAGGCCGAGCCGCACATGTGCCTGTAGACGCGACTGCCGGCTAGAACTGCCGTGCGCGGCAAAGCTAAGATAGATATGTAAGCCGCAAGGACAGCTTCCCCGCCCAGCCAGTCGGCCTTGAGCGACGTCAGCTACAGACCTATTCCATATATATATTTGAAGCCAGCCGTCGTCTTGTCCGAACCCGATCAATCATACTCGCAAGAGGGGTCACTCGTCAAGATGGGTGCGACCAGCAGCGACAAGACAGCCGTGCTGGATCTGGCGAGATGGCCCACGGCGGAGCAGTTTGTAACGCGATGCTGTGAGTTTTTCGAGGTGGTCAAAGACTTGTCAGCTTGCCCCTGTTTCCTCCCTGTCTCTCGGACCCCCGTGGTGTATGAAGAAGCGCAACGCCGTGCACACTGGACACTAAAGACAAGGCATGAAACCCAGGACACCCGGGCAAGAGCTCGAGGCGCGGCTGAACCGCGACTTTGGCCCGGGAAACGAATTTTACCAAGACTTTTGCCGGTACATCCGGCAAGGCCTGCGCGAGGGCTGGGTGGCCGAGACGGAGATTACGGGGCCCGAGTACCGCCGGGGCAAGATTGCGCTGCCATCGGAGAGGACGCGGTACTTTAGCATCACGACGGTGTACATGGAGAGCCCGGAGGACGGGGTGCTGCGCGGGGAGTACCACCAGCATCCGTACGGAGAGATCAACTGCGTGGTGCCGGTCGACACGGACGACGACGGGAAGCAGAAGAAGAAGGGAAGGCCGGAGCTGAGAGGCTTGCAGGGCTGGCAGGGCGCAGGATGGACGAGTCCCGGGCCGGGGTCGCATCATTATCCTGAGGTCAGGGGCGGTGCGCTGGTGTCGGTGGTAATATTGCCGGCTGGGCGGATTTGCTACGAGGCGGAGCCGGGGAGGCCGCAGCCGACGTCGGTGTAGCAGGGCCGGCTGTCGATCTAGAGATGGCGAAAGTCCCCGTTACTCCATGGCCAGTTGCACGCGGCCAAGTACCATCATGTCGTCGATCCTCGCCTCATCTCTTGTGAACTCGTGGACTCTTGGCCCTGCGGCCCCCGGCCCCGGCCCCGGCCCCGGCCCCGGGCCCCGGCATGCAGGGAGCGGCCGAGTTGCGGAGGACCGAGTGCGGAATGCAGAACGGCTTCCTTTTCTGGCTTTGATGCGTCTTGGAAGCGAAGCTTGGCCAAGGCGCCGAGCCATCCGCCTTCATTTCAACGAGCTGCCCCCCGAGGAGTCCTTTTCTTCCTGCATGGCATGACCGGTCCACAGTCCATCGAGGACAAAGTGGGGGAGCGGGCTGGACATGCATGGCTCCTCGTATAAATATTCGACGCAGAGTCCAAGCTGCTGCCTGCCGTGATATCATGCGGTGGGCTCGTAACAAGACTGTTACTGGTCACGGTTCGAGTATGCCAGCCAAGACGTCTAGGGGTTCCGGGCCGAAGTGGAGGTTAGGCGGAGTCGAGGATGCCGATGCAGGGAACTCGGCTCATGGCTACGTCACCGGGTCCATATTGCATATGTGCATCTAGAAAAGGTAGGCCTTTGACTAAAGGACACGCTGTGTCTTGGGGTTGGACCGGCGGCGTAGAGAGGGCGCGATGGAGGAGAGAAGCGGGACGACACGTGTTTGTGCGTCCGTCCACGGAGTCGATGCCGCATGATCAAGAGGTTTGTCGAGTCGTTGGACGTGAGACGAACACGTGTGGCTCGGTGGACCTTGCGATGGATAGACGGTGAGAGTATGCCAAGCCGGCGAGGAATGGACCTGCCATGTCGAGGCAAGCGGCGGGCAGATTCGATGATTGGAGACAGACGATGCTGCAATGCCATCGGGCACGGATGACGGGACACGGCTTTCGACCAGGTACATGCAGCATCAGGATATGCCTGTATGGAGATGCAATGCAAGCTCGTGTTAGTAGACCATGGGCATGTGGCACTCGGGCTCCGGAGTCCGGACGCAGCATGTCTGGATCCCGTGATGGGTGGCTATATCGAAGCTCTGTGCCGTATCACACAAGCTGTGCTTTTAGTCTATTTCCCCGCGGCCCATGGAAGAGACAGAGAGGAAGTAAGCAAAGAAGGGGAAAAGAAGGACGGCTCGGCTACTCAAACTCGCAAAGGACGGGATGCGGGCTGCGTGACGCTCGAGGTGCAGGCCAAGCACGGCAGAATGCGTGTCCGCTCGCTTATGCCGTCGGGGTTTGGATGCAAGGCGGCGCGGGAACCAAGGTGGGAAGGAAGACGCAGGAACAAGACTGGAGGGAAGAAAGAGAAAGCCCCGAAAGCAGAGGGTAGAGAGTAGAGAAGCCAGAGACTGGTCGATGGGGAAAGTAAAGGTGATGAGTTTCCGTCCGGGCCTGCTCGGATCATCGATGGCTTTGCCGCCCTTGTATACGAAGTAATTAATAGTACAGGAACTTGCTGCAGAGTCAAAGAGACCTATTCTTGGGAAGCAGACTTCTTGGCCGTGGGGTCGAGATTATGGTGAAACAGCAACCGGAGTTTGCATACATGGTGTTTCAAGCATTGTCGAGTTACACCACCGACGCAACATACATACGTGCAGTACACACTTCGCACAGGACACGCCCAGTCTTATTGCTGAGGACAAGAGGTAAAAAGGCCATGCAAGCCGAGGGCGCGGGCCAAGAAGGATGAGCGAGTATGCGAGGAGCAGCCCACACATGCAGCACCGCACATGCATGGACCTGCGCCGACTGGAATGTGTCTAAGCGACAGCCGTTGGCTTCTTTTTTTTCTTCCTTTTCTCGCTCCAGCTCTCTCTCTCGTTCACAAACGAGGCGTCTTCGGTTCCAAGTCTATTGGCCGCGACGCAGTCTCGGCCGGTCCAATCTGCGCCAGCGCGTGGTCAGTAGACTGCTCGCGGGCCGGGGCGTGTGTCTGAGCCCGGTCGAATGGTCAACAGGAAGTAATCGCTTGACTCTATTCGTGTACGTGGTTAGCTATAGAAGGCGAAAGGAAAAGGGGGGGAACAGGGTCGCACGCGTGGTGCACGGCACGCCCTGACTTGTCTCAAGCGTTTCAGAAGAGGAGACCGCTAGACTCGGCGAGTGAGGACTGGCAGGAGGGGGAAAAGAAAGCAGAGAAACGAGGCGAATCGGAAGAATGGATTGAAGTCGAGTGTGATGGAGGCAGCGCCTATTTTGCGCTCGCATGTCGGTGATGAGCGGGTGATGAGCGGGTGATTCGCTGCCTCGGAGCAGGTAAAGAAAGATGAAGACGCCGATTCACGTCTCGTTTTCCTTTTTGCGCCTCCAAAGTCACGTCGACTGCGCTCCGAGGCAGTGCGGCAGAGTTCAGGGCCAAACAAGAGTCTCACTCATTCAATTGGGTGTCATTTGCGCGTGCGCCTCGGCCAGGGGACCTCTGCCACTGCCCATTACCACCGCGACGCCGCCCATTACCACCACAACGCCGCCCATTACCACTATAAACGCCGCCCCATTGCCACTGTAGCCTCTCCCTAGTCCTAGCACCCCTCCCCGCACCCCAAATCTCTCCACGACGCCTCTCCTCCTCTCCTCTTCGCCCTCCTCTTCCTCCTCCCTCCCACCAACCAAAGTCGCGGATAGCGATCCAAGACAACCCACATTTAGGCCACCCCCAGCGTCGCCAGCAGCAGCAGCACGTCCCCTTGCAGGCACACAGCAGTCCTCGTCGACCGACGACGGCCCATTGTCCGCGCAGAGGCGGATCCCCACCGTCCTCCTCCGTCGTCGCCGCCTCTCGAGACTCTCTCGCCCACCCCGGCCAACAAACCCACACGCCCCCCCTGTTGTTCTCGTGCCGCGCCGCCCATCTCAATCTCAAAGGAAAAGCATCCCGTTCACTCAGTTCCAGGCCCGGGCGATGGCTGCTGCCCAGACGGACGGCGCCTGACTAGAGCCTCCCTGCATACGGGCTGCAGCTTGTCTTGTACGCCGGCCGGACGTCTGTTCATGTCTGCAGAGCCCGTCGTCCCCTGCCTCGCCTCGCTCCTGGGCGCGCCCGCCCACCGTGCGTGCACTGCCCGGCGCAATGGCCGACCACTCCTCGTCCCGTCCTGGCCCCCGGGACTCGCACGACTTGACCCCCCGAGACGTGACCCGCGATTCCCTCGTCGCCAACATGCTGCTGTCTCTTGACCAGTTCTCTCTCGCTCCCCCCCAAGGGCCCTTGTCCGCCGCCGCCAGCACCACCATGACGACGGCTGCCTACGACGACTTTCCCACCCGACTCTGGGCCAACGACGCTGCGAGCTCGCGACGCCGCTCCAGAGCCAACAAATCCTCGCACGGCTCATCCTCGTCGGATGTCTTCGACCCCGTCTCGACGCCCATCCCCCACAGCAACACCACCCCCAGCGACTTCCACACACAGCTCCTCCGCCTCGGCGTCGTACGCGACGAAGCCCACCGGAGCCGCCCCGGCACCTCGCCGCGCGCCAGCGCCCACGTCAGGCCTGCCAGGCACCGCAACGGGAGCAGCGGCAGCGCCAGCATTGACGCGGCGTACTCGGCCCCCAACCGCCACAGCCGTCCTGCGAGACGCTCTGCCAGCTTCGACCACGGCCTTTCTGCCCACGCCCTGCGCCGGCTGAACCAGTTGTCGCCCCCTCGCGCTGACCTTGCTCCTCGACATGAAGACGACGGTGACGATTATAATGATGACCAAGACTACAACGACCGAGACGACGACGACGACTACAGCGCCGCTCCAATGCCGACGATACCCAGCGGCCCTCGCCGCGAACCTTCAACTCCCCTCCGCTTCCCTCCTCCGCCTCCCGAGCCCGCCGACTCTCGCTCCTCCGACCGCAAGAGGAGCTCTAGCCGCTCGACAAAGAGCTCAACGGCCCGCAGCAAACCATCAACCGGCCATCGCACGACGCCAGCCACAGCGACGTCGCCCGTCATGGCCCGCGCCGAAGCTGAGTCGGCTCCCGCCCCCAGCGTAGGCTACCGCAAACCAAAGGACAAGGAGGCGGAAGCGTCCTTGGCTGCTCCTGCGCAGCAAAGAGAACGGCCTGGCTTCTTCAGGCGCGTCTTTGGTGGTGGCTCCTCCAGGACTAACCTCGCCGCCGCAGCCAATGCCGGCAGTCATGACCCGCAGGCCTCTTCCCTTTCTCCTCCCTCTCCCGAACAGTATCGTCCCGGCAGCAACAACAAGGCTCACCAGCAACCGCACGCGAGCCAGTCCAAGGCGTCCTCGGCCCTTTCTTCGAGGGACTTGTCCTCCGCTTCACTGACGCAGCAACCGCCGCTCCAGAAGAAGTCGTCCAACTTCTTTCGCCGCCGGAAGAAGTCGGCCGTCGACGAGACGCCAGCTCCGCCCAACCTCGGCTCTCTCCCTCCCCTCCCTTCCCTCGATACCGTCGCTTTACCGGCGGCCGCCGCGAGGGAGGTGGCGGCATCCGCACAGAAGAGCCCGACAAGCAGCCTGCGCATCGTCATGAACCCCTACCTGAACGGTGGGGCTGCCGGCTTGGGCCTTTCAAGCATGTCAGCATCATCTCCCCTGGCGGACATTACAAACACGGCTCGCGATCGGCCTACGCAAAGTGCCGGCAGGGAAGGGTACAGGAGGGGCTTTACTCCAGAATACGAGCCGAGCCCGAATGCGCGCATTAGGACTGTCCACTCGGAGGATGGCGGTGCTCGGCTCCACGAAGCCGATGGCACGCCAGACAGAGCGGCCGCGCAACGATCGAGAGAGACGTCCGAGACCGGAGACAGCTCCTTCCTTGACCTCGACGGCTGTAGCGACAACGAACTCGGTTCGCCTGAGCGGCAGGGGGACAAGGGGTCGGTCAAGGGAAAAAGGAAAATGAAGCATCAGAAGAAGCAGACGAGCAAGGATGCTGACAATAAGCTGGCTGGGCTTGCTCAGCACGAGCAGGACCCCGACGCAACCATTCGAGGCAATAAGCACGCGCCCGCGCTCTCGGGGCAAGACGACCGCGAGCCCAACCGCCCCTGCCTCGCACCTCCGTCTGCTCGGGCCACGAGTCCCCGATCTCTGGGCTCCACCTCGACGGGCTACAAGACGGCGCCCAGCGCCCCGCCCAGCGTTCTCGTCGAGAGCACTCCCGACGAGTCTGGCGCCCGAGTTCTCAGCACCCTTGAATCCATCCAGTCCGACGAGCCCCTCGACGAACCCGAATTTGTGGTGGGTGAGCCGACCGAGGACGACCGGCAAAAGGCGCGAAAGATTTACGACGGCGGCCAAGGCTTCATCCAAAAGGAAAAGGCCGCCTCGTGGATGGGCGAGGAGGGCCCCGTGCGCCAACGGACTCTGCAGGCGTACATGGAGCTGTACGACTTCAAGGATAAGAGTGTCCTGGGTGCTCTGCGTAGTGTGTGCGGGCGACTGGTTCTTCGCGCTGAGACGCAGCAGGTGGACCGGATCCTGGTCGCATTCTCCAAGCGCTGGTGTCTATGCAATCCTTACCACGGATTCAAAGCGACAGGTATGTGCCCTTGTTTGATCCGGGGGCGGGGGGGAGCTGCGTGGGCTGACACCTCCCAGATGTTATTCACACCATCTGCTACTCCATCATGCTGCTCAACACTGATTTGCACCTGGCAGACATTGAGCAAAAGATGACGCGCAGTCAGTTCGTCAAAAACACCATGACTACCATTATGCAGGCCGTGGCCGAGTCCGCACCCGGCGCGTTTGGCCGTCCCAGTATTCTTCCCGAAAAGAGCTCCATCCTCGGCGGCGATCACGGACGCGCCTCTCCCGACCCCGAGCGCGTCCTTCGTCGAAGCTCCTTTCTCCCTCGCTCGGATACCCAAGGTAGCCTCATGGAGGACTGCGGCCCCTTGGTCAAGGCCCCGTTCCACGGCTCGCTGCGGGCGTGGGAGGAGCAGGTCGAGCTGGTGCTCAAGAACATCTACGCGTCAATTCGTGACCAACGACTCCCGCTTTTTGGCGCCGAGCCGGACAAGCACCTCGGCGCCGCCCTCTCCCAGAACAGCCTGTCCGTCATGGGCATGCTCAAGAGGAGCCCGAGCGTGCTGAGCAAGTCGCCCTCGGAGACGCAGCTGTCATCGCGCGGCCGCGTCGCCGAGAGCAGCCGCACCAGCGTCTCGCGATGGACTTCCAAGAGTCGCTCGAGGCCGGGCATCGGCCGCAACGGCTTCTCGTCCAGCCGCACGAGCTTCGACGACGGGCACTCGGTGTGGAGCCCGGCCATGTCGTCGGCGACCTGGAGCCGGTATTCGCTGGGCCGGACGCAAGGCTCCGCGTCGCAGGACTCGTTTGCCCCGACCAGGCCTCGCGGTGACTATCAGCAATCGGTCGGGTTCGCCAACGCGCTCAGCCAGGCCATTGTCCGCGAGGACGAGGCTGCCGGCAACGACAATGCTCCCTCGATTCTGAGCTCCGACGTGCCCGCGGGGCAGCTCCTCGAGGACGAGACGTTGGAGCTTGCCGGTCCGCCGTGGGTAAAGGAAGGCATGGTCGTTCACAAGCACCATCTAGACGGCGTGGGCAAGAAGGCTCGGGATCGCAACTGGACCGAGGTCTTTGCCGTCGCTCAAAAGGGCCAGCTCAGCCTGTTCTCCTTTACGGCCAACAAGTCGGCGGCTCGCCAAAAGGGCCGCGCCAGGAATGCGCCCAGCGGCCCGGTAGGAGGCGGCAACTGGCAGGACAGTGCCGTCTGCCTGGGCACCTTTAACCTGCGACTGACACTGGCCTCGGCGTTGCCGCCACCCGGGTACTCTAGGACGAGGCCCCACGTGTGGGCGCTCAGCCTGCCGACGGGCGCCGTTCACCTATTCCAGGTGGGCACGCCCGAGATCATCCGGGAGTTTGTTCACACGGCCAACTACTGGAGCGCGCGCCTCAGTTCCCATCCGTTTGTCGGCGGCATAAGCAACGTCGAGTATGGATGGAGCGAGTCCATTGTCAACAATGCCCTGGTCACTGCTGTCAACGAGTCGACTGCCGCCGAGCCGACAACGGCAAGCGGCGCCAGGCCCTCGCGTCCCGGGAGCAGCGCCGCCCACGCGAGAAAATCGAGCATTGCGAGCGGCAGCTTCCGGGCTTCCAGCTTCGACCAGGTGGCCGGGTCGTTTGCGCAAGGCAGCGGGCGGGGAGGCAAGCTGCCTGGGGATCGCATCCACATCGCCGAATGGGCACCCCCGACGCAGAGCATGCGCCCCAGCAAGGCCGCCGAGGCGGAGCAGCTGGACACTCTGGTGGCCTACGTGAAGAGCATCGAGGCCGACTTGCAGACGCACAACCAACTCCGCAGCCCCATGCTCCTGGCCTTTACGCCCAGGGGCCACAATGCGGGCAAGGCAATGGCCAACTGGGAGCGCAAGAGCGCCTATCTGCTGCGGGAGATTGTCAAGTTCCGCACCTACGTCGATTGCCTGCAGCAGGCCGAGGCGAGGAAGCGCGAGGTGTACGCCGAGCGGAACCTGGCACACAAGGCGGCCAGGGGGGAGCTGAGCGACGGCGACATGGACGTCAGCGACGGGGAGGAAGCTGACGAGACGCTGAGGCCTGCGTGATGGCGCCGCCGCAAGCCAGTTGGGCCGGACTGCCCATGTCGTCTTCTGCTCACCTCTGATGAACAACCCTACACGTCTTGGCGAGAAGCTCGTGGACGCTCCATCCCTTATTTTCTTGACGGTTGCCTTTACTCTGCTAGTCGTTTCCTTTGTCGAGCTCGAGACGATACCCTTTGACCTGGCCTCGTACGCCTTTCCCGCTCGACTGGGCGTCGGCAGAATGGGAAGAAGGACGCGTGCGATGATTGCGTTGATGCCTTGCGGAACCGAGAGGACAAATCTGGCCCGGCCACCTAAGCGAGGGGTTTGAGCAGTCGGAAGTGTAACGAAATCAAGTTGTGTAACGGATTATGATCTGGCATAGGAACACACCCTACTTAGGAAAAGCATTCACGTTGTCTGGCTCGAATTGCGTGTGCAGGCTGTCGTCTAAGTAGGGTTCGACGATGCCAAGTGCTCTTCGGTAGCTGAGGCAAGCAGCTCCTGTGTCAACAAGCAGCAGCTGCAGGCTGCGTTCTTACATGTGTGCGTTTTTGAAGCAGGTAAACGTAACGTCGGTACTATTTATACCGGCATTGGAGAAGCATATTATATTCGTTTAGACAGGGACATGGGGGTATGATTGGTGTGGTAGTCGTGCAAGAAGCGGAATATTATAAGAAGAGGAAGAAACAGGCAGTGAAGGAAGAAGCACTACAGAACCAGCAGCCAGCAAAGGCACACAATGGCGGCCAGCGGCGACGAGAGGCCGAGCAAGACGGCCGCGTCGTCCTCGTCCTGCTGGCCCCCCTCGGCGCCCGCCTCAGCCGTCGGCGTCGGGCCCGGCTCCCCGGCAGCAGAAGGCGAGGCGGTGGCCAGATCGGCGCCGGGAACCCTCTCCTCGCAGCCATCGACAAGGACGTGGCGCCAGCCGACGGTCCTCTCATCGTAGCGATAGCGAACGGCCGCCCCGTCCCGGGCGCGCGTACACCCGCCCATGTAATCCTCCACCTCGACGGCGGCAAAGTGGGCAACAAAGGGCGCCCCGCTGCCCTCCCAGTCGGGCGGGCCGCCGGCCCAGCGGACCTCGCCCGGGTCGCTGGCGGCGGTGCCGTTGGCGACGGACCAGACGCCGAGCTTGAGCTGCATGGGCGTCTGGGGCCAGGCGCCGGGGGGCAGGAAGTTGTCGCCGAGGCGCCACGTCTTGCGCGGGGCGGCGTCGATGGAGAGGACGAGGCGCGTGTCGGTCCATTCGATGGTGTAGGTGTGGTAGGCGTCGTAGGAGGAGGTGGGCAGGGGGTAGGTGTCGTTGTAGGTGTTGAAGAGGGCTTTGCCGTCGTAGAAGTAGTTGGAGGCGGCTTGTTTTTCGTAGGCGCCGAGCAGCTCCTATGAAAAGATGAGAATCAACTTGTTCTCCGTCTCTGGACATTTTGTGTCCTGTTGTCCTCTGTTCTCCTGCGTCTTCGATTCCTTTTGGCCAACGGGCGAGGAGTGCTCAAGAAAAGGGGTAATGCTCGTGCTCACCCAGTCAATCTCGTCCCCCGAATCAGACTTGAGCGTAATGGCCGTCACGATGCCCTGGCCCTTGGCCGCCTTGACCGTGACGCTGACCTTGCCGAAGAGCATGTACTTGCGGCTCACGAGCGTCGGCGCGTCGGCGGCCTTCCACACGCCCACGGCGACGCCCTCGGCGGCGGTGCCAAAGCCGAGGCGCCGGCGGTCGTGGACGGTGTCGTTGTCGATTTCCCAGAAGTCTTCGAGGTCCTTTTGGTCCCAGCCGGTGGTGCTGAAGTTGAAGGAGGCTTTGCCGGCAAAGGCCGGGTCGGGGGGGCAGCCTGCGTGTGTGGCATGTTTGCCAGTCAGCAGGTGCCTCCTTTTCGACCTTGAATTGGAGAATTAGGATGGTCCTTACGCATGTCTTTGCGGAGAGGGTCGCAGTGGGCGAGGTCCTTGAGGCTGCCCAAGGCCCGGATGGCCATCGAGGCCGCGAGCAGGATGTTTCGCAGCATCTTGTCTTCAACTTTGGTACACCACTCTCGAACAATAACGGACGTGGCGTGGTGTCGATGGGCTATATCAACGAGGAGCAAGAACAAGGCCAGCGAAGAGAGGGCGAGGAAGGAGACTGATGCCTGGCAGCATGAAGGCGGGCCGGGATTTATGTCGGAGCACCTCTGGCTTCCCCTGGCGCCCGTGATTCACTCGCACCGAGAGGAAATTAAGCCGGCGCAACCAGGACGCACAGTGTATCATGGGGCCACATCGAGAGCTCCCGGTTGGGAAGAGGCGGCTGCCAGGCATCAAGGGGACGGGGGGGCCGGGAGCCCAACTTTCATCTCACGCGAGGGCGAAGCGTCGGGAAGGGACAAACACGCTGTTGTATCATGTCGGCACGACAGGCAGGGGCCAGCCCCTTTGTTATTTCCTCTATGAGCAGATAAGACGGGTGGGCGAATGGGCGCGCGAGGATCTTGGGATGCCATCGGGTCAGCAGGCTGAGTCGTACAGGCGGTCGGCCGAGTCTGTTTGGCAACTCGTGTCAAGGCACATGCTTGTTCCCCTTGACCTACGTTGCTCGCTCGCTTGGCTCGCCAACAGACTCGGCTCCACGTCATTCTCTTTCCCCTTGCCACGGGTGCTCACTGGTTGGGGAGGGAATCATGGCCAAAGGCACTCGTTCCCGGTGGCAATGTGCATAGGTGAGGGGAGCATCAGTGTCGAGAAGGCTTATGGATGTGTGTGAGCCCACGCATGTACGTGTGCCAGTTATGTACGTGTGCCAGTTATGTACATGAGCGTGAAAGACTGTCCCCGGGTCAATTCAAACAAAGAACAGGGGCTCAGCACGTGCGGAGCATGCCGGACAGCGCGCTCTTCTCGTCGTCGGTCACGGCCAGCTCGTAGTAGCTCTTGACCTGGACCCAGCTCTTGGCGTAGGTGCAGTGGAAGCTCTTGAGCGGCGGCTGCCACTCGTCGGGGCTCGAGTCGCTCTTGGCCCGGTTGACGTGGTTGGTGACGGCCCACAGCTGCGGGCGGGTGATGTCGTTGGCAAAGGACGTGCGCTGCTCGAGGGTCCACGACGAGGCACCGGACTGAGGAGGGGGGACGGGTCGGTCAGTACAGGGCGGCCTGGTGTCACGGCGGTTGCTCGAGAGGGTGGAAGGGGAGGGGAGGGCAGGACAGAGTCGTTTTTGTGTGCGTGCGTGTAAGTGAGAGAGAGGGGGGAAAGGGGGAGAGAGAGGAACAAGGAAGAGAAAGGGAGGGAGAGGAGATGGGCGAGGAGATGGGCGAGGAGAAGAAAAGGCCCTCACAATCCAGGCATTCTTCAGCGGGACCATGTGATCGATGTCAATGTCGCTGGCATCGGTCAAGACGGCGCCGTCGTAGGGACTCTTCCAAGTTCCCGACACGGCTCTGCATGCGCCGTTGGTCTTGACGTTGGCGCCGTCTCGTTTCAGCACAAACTCGCTACCGGGGGCCGAGTCAGCGCTCACAACGGGCCAGCCGAGGCGGTCGAGTCTCGTCCTACCGCGTGTTGCACGTTCCACTGATCTCCTCCCAGTGGGGGAACTGCTTCCGACTGTAGCCGTCGCCGCTGCCGGGCTCGGCAACCTCGAGGCCAGCCAGCAGGGTCCTGGCCGTGGACGCGTTGGGGATGCCGGGCTCCAAGCGTCCAAACCTCGGTCAGCTCCAGGTTCCAGCAAGGCACTCCTCCAAGTATACGGAAGGGGTTCCGGCAGGCCACGTACCGGGCTCGGGGAGGGGAGCGGGGCCGCGAGGACGACGGCGGCGGCGGCGGAGCCGAGGAGGACCGAGGCCGAGATCTTCATGGCGCCGGCACACCTCGCGTCTTCTACTAGTCTCCCGGCGGCGGGCTGCTTGTGGCGAGGTACGGAGAAGAAGACTTAGCGAGAGGACAGGAGAAGTTGGTATGCTCGACGGGTCAAGACAAAGATGAGAAGTGGTGGCGCGCACTGGCTAGCGCTTTTATAAAGACCGCGCAAAGGGGGGGGGGGCCGAGAAAGGGGGGGATGGTAAGACAGGCCGGTGTCAGCTTCTGGATCGTTTGGCCAGCGCGTGCCCATGGCGATGGATATCTGCAAAAGGGCCCCCCGTGCTCGCGTGAAGAAAGGGGCACTGTCTCTGGCGCCCACTTTTGAGTCAATAGAGCGGCGTAAGCTTCACGATGCGCACTGCAAGGTATGCAGCGAGCAACTCCGCCGCCGAGTCTGGATCCACGAGAGGCCCTCCCACGGCCAGACAGGAAAGGCAAGCATGGAACAAACGGCACGGCCGACGGGCCGACGGCAGGGGCCCTCGCCAGGTCCCGATTCGTTCCCCCGGCACGGCTCTCGTCGAGGTGGCATCTGATTGCCGATCGCCGGTGCTTACTTGCCGCAAGTGGAAAGTCGGCTGGCGCGGCCAGTCAGCGCGGTCCCAGGAATAGGCAGGTCCAAGAGCTTGGGTCCAAAGAGCGATGTAACTTGATGCGATAGGCTTAAAGTTGCCGGTGGAAGAGAGGGCGGGTGTCGGTGGGAGCAGGACGAGACGCTCCAAGGCCAGCCCCCCTGGTTTGTAAGAGTGTAGCCCTGCTGGCTCTTCTTGCCAATGCAATGTCACGGCAGTCTCAAGCTGAGGCGAGCGTCTTTGTTTGAAATACCCCCAATAAATTGGAGCACGCCAAAGCCCAGCAGGAGGCGAGTCTTTGCGGTTCCCGGCTGCTCATGCGCCTTGATGATGATGGACTGTTACACTGCAAGGTAAGCACAACCACAGGGACAATAGACTTGGGTGATGGTTCGCTGTCGACTGCGGCAGACGAGTCACCTGTTGGCGACGGGGACGTCCGCGCGTGGAATGGATAGGACGGGGAGACGACGGCCAGCGGCTGGGCGACGGTCGAGGAGACTGCAGACGGTCCAGCGCCGCGCGAACTATATGCTCGGTGAACTACTCGCCCGGCTGCTCGACTTGGCTGCTCGATTTACTATTCGACTAACCACTCGCTTGACTGCTCCAACGACTCCCGACTGTCTGCCCGCTTAACCGCCTGCCCGGCTGCTCGACTGGCTGCCCGATTGCCTGCTTCCCCGGCTGCTGCCTCTGCCCACCGTGCCGTTGCCCAGATAGACATTCGATCGGGGGCAAATACCAGCACTCAATCCCTCGAGTTCCTACCAAGAACTGACGTCCGGGCTTCCTTGTTCCTGGCAAACGTCAGCTCATTGCAACCCAGTGCCCCAGGTTTCGGTGCTCCTACATCCAAGGGGTATCCGGAAGCCTGGACCCATGGGCAGCCAGGCAGCTCGCCGAGTCGGCAAAGTTGTCTACTTCACCCGCAGGAATCAACCTGCGGCTTGCCGGCGAGTCAAAAAGATCGCAGTAGACCTTGGTCTCGCAGGGAGGACGTGGTGGGAAAAGCTCCCTCACTTGGCTGCAGAACGCGACAAGATTCTCTTCCACCCAGGACACAGGCTGTACGTCCTTGAAGTTGCTCACGGGCATTTTTAACCGCCTGGCCACGGCCAAGACTAAAAGTTTCGAGAGTCTCATCTTGTCTCTGGAAGCTGAACAAGGTGCTTGACTGAAGAAGAGAGGCAACTTGACAAGAGATGTGGTTGGAATTAAGACGAGCTTCCAACCTCTTGTATCCAAGGGCAGCTCTTCTATTTCAAGTCGCCAACAAGGCTCGGTCCGTCCTGGTTATAAGCCAGAGAGTCTGCATCAGGCGAGAATTAAGGTCTAGAGAACCATGCCGCCCTTTGATCCACTCCCGGTTTGCTAGCCCCCTTTCCCTTGAAGAAGCTATTTACCATCCACCGGTCGGACTTTCCCTTGCAGATGAGGCCGCCTTTACCATACACTGGGTGATCCAAGCCTCTGCGTCTACAGACCGACGAGCCCATCTGCTTCAACGGCAGCATGCTTTAGAATTCACATGCAACGTGGGAATGGCGACTGCTCTCGTGACTGTAACGACGACTCACCTTATCTCGCTGTTTCAAAACTCAAAACCGTCCCAGATGAACCGGCCCGCCGCGGACAACCATCTTGGAGACTGTCAGCGAGTTTGAGGCATCGACTTGCGTCTGCCCATGTCAAAGGCCCACCTCTGGCCACCCAACACCAACCGCATAGTCAATCTCCCACCAATGAAACGTGTTGTCTGGATCTCTATAGCCCGAGGTACGTCGGAGTTAGTGTATCTCTGAAAGCTTAGTATACCATGAGGGCAAGTTACATGCGCACAAAGCTCTATCGCAACGTCATGGCTCGGAATAGGCCTCGCTGTGCTGTGTAACTAGCGATTGTGGGTGTGTGGTATCTCATTTTCATGCACGTGAGAGGGAAGCAAGAGGCAGATGCTGCCGCCGCCGTGGTCTAGTGTCCGCCGTGATGGGAGCTCTGGGGCCAGACGTGCTGTTTGTGTTCCAGCCTCTGTTGGGCGTCGTTTCATTGGCTTCGCAGATGAGCTACACTACATATCTGGGCCCTTGATGGAGCTGAAGCCGCCAAGTGAAGCATCCGGGACTTGTTTGTGGGCTCACCCAGTCTGTTGAGAGTGACGCAGCACCTGGATCTAGACATCGGAGCACCACGTGTTCCTGTCACACAGAAAGTATGATGACTCTGGCGGTGGACCTTGGAAGTTGCCAAGGGTTCATCCCATGAACAGGGGCGTTTTCTCTTGCAGGGGAGCTTGCCTGGCTGAAAAAGACGCTTCCCGTAATCTGGCCGGCTAAATCCAGACTTTGATTCGATCATGTTCGTTTGACGGCGTTGAGTCGTCACCATGGAAGGATTGACGCCCTTTGTTGAGGACTGGGTCAATGAACTGGCCAAGTGAAGCCCCATATGACGTGTCTTTGAATTCGATGGAGAGAGAATAAAGGGGAGAAGACGAAATTCAAAACATGGCATACGTGTTGCACTGAACTGGAGACGTCAAGTTGGCCGTGAGCGTGCCTCTGAGAGGAAAACTTTGCACCTTGCTTCTTTCTCCCTCTGCCCTTCTCATACAGGACACGGACAGCTCTCGCAGGATGAATTAACAGTTATATACATTCGTAACTTGGCGCCCATCTGGCTCCTTCTCTGACACGGGCTGCCGGACGTGATATGCGAAGTCAAGGAGTCGTGACTGGTCTATTAACGACGCCGCCGCCTGGGGCAAAGACATCCGCAGACGGCTCTGGTTTAGCAAGAACCAGGCAAACAAACAAAGAGCTGGGGTTGGTTGCTGAACCCCTGGACAAATCAATCAAGACCTGGGCAGTTTTGAGGGAATATTGAATTCCCCCCCTGACCCGACTTTCCTCTGCTGCTGGCCACGTCTCGCAACGCGCACTGGCCCTTCCAACGTCTCGGCCCTTGACCACCTCACTTCTTGCGTGGCATGTTATCCAGCAATGCTTGCATAAAAGGCCCAACTCCCTTGTCGCCTGGCTTTCGCAGTGCATGACCGCGCTCTATTACGCCGCGGTAGAGGTCAAGCGGAGTCTTGCCCTCCGAGTCCTTGGCAGTCGGGTCGACGCCCTGCGCAATCAGGATTCTGGCGCAATCGGGCAGAGAGTCGGCCCTGCTTGAAACGGCCATGTGATGCAAGTGGTTGAACTTGGTGATGCTGTGGTGCTTGAGCTTCAGGCCGCGTTTCAAGAGCTTGTCCAAGGTGCGTCGAAAGCTGAGTGTATAGGCCTTGACGCTGAAGTCGCCAGTCTCCCGTTCTTTCTCCCGTTCTTTCGCAAGCACTCGTGCAAAGCCGCCTTCTAGCAAATGATGGACGCATGTGAGCCCGGCATAGTCTTGCGCGTTCACCTCTACCCCTCGGTCCAACAGGGAATCAAGGACGTGGGAGCAGGTTGCGTAGTCGTAATGTTTGTTACCCAGCAGGATCATGAGAAGGGTAACGTGACGACCAAGTGTGAATGCTGGATCGAAGGCGGCCCCGGCCAGACGCATAATGTCTGGATGCCTTACCGCGGAGCTTCCCAGAAACTTGGGGAGAAAACCCCATTGCTCCAGAAGTCGAGGATCTTCGGGGAGGCACTCGTTAAACAAGTAGTCCAGGCTGGCCTGCGTGGCCCCGTAGTCGCACTTCTGGCCGCTCAAGGTGTCAAGTGTGTCTCTGACATCCTCGACGGTGAGGCCGAACTTGGCTCGCAGCCAATGCACGAGGTCTCGTTCGGCGCCAAGTTTAAGGCGGAGCAGCCCGGGGAGCACTCGATTGTCAAGCTCGGCGCCTTGGTCAATCATCTTCCTTACAAGCCTCGCCGTTGTTGTGCTTGGGACCTCCGGCGAACTCCAGACACCAGATTCGTCAGACAGCAGTATGTATAACGGGCGCATGTCATTTTTGCCCCTCCGATCCTGCTCAGGGCTCGATCTCGTGCCCAAATTCACGTCTGCTTGCTGCTCCAGAAGCAACTCGAGTAGACGATATGCACCACGAACTGCCGCTTCTCCCAGAGGGCTCCGGTTCTTATTGCTCACGATGTTGACTTCGGCGCCGCCCGCGATTAGCCCCTTGAAGGTAGTCTCGACACCTGCCACGTCTTTAAGATTGGCCATGGAGAACAGAGGGGTATCTCCCTTCAAGTCTCTTGCGTTGCAGTTGGCGCCATGGCGGATGAGAACCTGGGCACTCGCATTCCTATAGTCGGCCGAGCACGCCCGATGCAGCGAGGTCCGGGTCTTGCTGTCTGTGACGTTGACGTCAATGCCTCTCTGCGTCAGTCGTTCGACCAACTTCACGTCTCCCAGATACACCGCGAGATGGATCATGCTCCCCCATGAGTGCTGTTTCCATCCGTCGATAACGTTGAACTTAGCATGAGCATCGCCGAAATCGAGACATCGGTGGATAAAATCGACAGTCTTTTCAAGGTCAAATTTTCCATCAAGATAACCCTGCGCTGCCCAACTCAACGCCGCCCCTCCCTCGTTCTTGTACAGGACTTTAAAGCAAGTTAGCTTGAATCGATCGGGTTCCCCGGGTACGGCTTTCGCAAGCTTGAACAAGTCCGTTGTCTTGTTTAGATAGACGAGCTCGCAGATTTGGTAGACAAGCTCGCGAGGGAGCTGCGTGAGCCCGACCGACTGGGGAGCGATTTTCGACATTGCTCTTGAGACTGATGCTGGCTGTAGGCTTTTGCCGGCTTGTGTTTCGGCAGTTGAGTGTCGACTTGCAGTAGAGACGAAGAGCCGGAGATGTGTTAGCCAAGACTGTGGCTACTCTGTATCAGTGAAGAAGGTCCAAAGTAGAGTTTCATTTGCCACAGAGAAAGCTTGGAGGCCCTTATATTTTCATTCTTGCTCGCGTCTTCCGAGACATGCCAAAGTGACCGGCCTTTGTGCTGTCGTGTCCCGTCAAAGTCCATCATCTCTAGACAAAGCCTCCCGGCCTGTGCTTCGAAGCACCGGAGAATGTACAGCGAGCAGCTTTTGATCAAGTCACTGTGCCGACGCAATTTCAGGCAACGTGGCCCCGAAAGTCAACCAGCAGTTCATTCATCAAGGGCTCAACCCACTGCATGGAAGGCAGCACAGGGAAGGGAGAAGGGAGGGGAGACGGAACAAAGGAAGGGGTGAAGAATCAAGTGGTTGGTCGGCGGCAACCCCCGTCTTCGACACATGTGTTCGAACAACGTATCCGACCTATTTCGAATCAGTTCAGCTGTCGAATGGAACGCCTGGTGAGATCCATCCGTATGACCGTGTGTTCACGCACATGTCGTGAGCGGGAGTCGGACTGTCGCCGTGATTGACCACATCCAAACCCGTCATATTTCGGCGTCTGCACAGGGTCAGCACAGTTACAGCACAGACAAAGGCGGCTCACGCATCGAATCTTGTGATCCTTTCGCAACGCCGTTTGATATGCGACCTGGACATTCAGTCGTTCTACTACTGGGATACACTTGCGTGAGTCCGCCAAAGTAAACACTGACCCAAGCCATTGCCAATCCACTGTTTCTGAGAGACCGTTTCACCCTTTGCTTTTTTTTCTTGTTTTCCGAATTTTCTCCCCTCGCCATGGCCTCTTGTGAATTCTCAATCCCGACCCCGTGTTGTTCCTCTGCTCCCCCGCGTCCGTGCCACAAGTCGTTCATGTCGAATGCGTCTGTTGCCATGCCACGGTTCCACATGGCGAACGTTTCCGTATCCATGGCATCAGCCTCGAATGCGAGGTCGTCGTCTCGCAGTTGAGCGAGCAGTGCTTGCAGTGCTCCCACGCCCTCGCAATCCAGCAGCCGACACACCGACGACGCAGCTAGAGCTCTCCAAGCTCCTTGGCTCTGGCCTCGTGAATGAGCAGTCGGAGCTCCGCATAGGGTTGACTCAGCCTGCGCAGTCGCTGAAGGGCCGTGAGGCCCTCCTGGTCCGTGATGCAGACCGACATTCCACGCTCGATGAAGAAGTTGGCGTCCTTAACGGCCTGGCTCTCGCGCCCGTTTGTCGTTCCCAGCTTGTGCACAATCATGTGTAGAAAACTCATCCCATCTTCTGGGGAAACGTAGTTGGCATCGAAGGTGAGGGTGTGCACATATGCCCAAAGGCCGTGGTTGGGCGTCTTCAGCGCAGTCGCCACCAAGTCGGCCGCATCGTCCGGGGGCGGGCATTCGGCTACCAAACGCAGGTAGAATACTTTGTCCCCCTTCTGGAATGCTTGCTCCCAGGCGTATCTGAAGGCTCGGGCCGTCATGTGATGTTTATGATGCCTCAAGACGTTGTAACCCCGGGATGCTGATTGGAGCTTTGGGCATCTAACCCAACTGTATAGAGCAGCATTGGCCTCTGTCGGCCGGATGGTGGCGCCGTACTTTGTGACGAGCTTTTTGAAGAAGCCCGCCGGCACGTCATTGTACCGATTCATGAAATCGAGAAGAATCGAAGGGCCGGGGGGGGAGGCAGGGAGGTTGACATTGCCGCCTCGTTGGATGAGAAGATCCAGGAGGTCCTCAAGAGACTGGTTGCCTCCCCTTTCTCTGATCTTTTCGCACAAGGCATGGATGATGCTGGGTCCCGTGCCGTTCCCGTTGATGTTGGCCCCCTTGTCAATTAGAAACATCAGCAAAGCTTTCAGATCGTGAGATGCTCTCCCCCAGGCATCCACGTCGGCGAGAATGGCACAGACCAGCGGTGATTCCCCTATGATCACATGAGATGAGGCGTTGACGTCGGCTCCGCGTTCGACGAGGGTCACGGCGGCTTCGATCAAGTCCTTGCGTCTCTCGATAGCAGTTGCCTCTGCACAAAGATTGATGGCATGAATCAACGGCGTTCTTCCAAGAGCTGACCTAACATCGATTTCGGCCCCGGCTCGGAGGAGCCGAAGGAGCATCTTGGGGTTCGGAAATTCCTGCGAAAGGTGCAGTGGAGCAAGCCCGTCCGCGCCCATGGTCATGTTGATATAGCCCTCGCGATCCGTCTCCAAGATTTTCACGTGTACCTTGCCCATGTCGCCCGCAAAAAACTCGTTTTCGGACATGGTTGCGAATAGATGAAAAGCAGTGACGGCGTGGCCGTCCGCGTGCCCGTGATGCTCCCGCGTCAGTGCCAAACGTGGCGTTGCTCCAGCTTCGTGGAGCAGTTGGACCACTTTGTGATAGCCTCTCAAAAGCGGAAGTAGGAGCGGCAGCCATCTCGTTCGTCTGAGCTCGCGATATAGAGAAAGCCCGTGTTGGGAGAGACCCCCCCCGGTAATCATAGGAAGAATCCCCTCTCTCTGAAAAATGCGGAAGCCAGAGGCCAAAGCGTCGACGTTGGCTCCCGCGTCGAGAAGCTGCCCAACAATCTTGTCTCGTCCCAAAGCAGCGGCGTAGTGAAGCGCTGTGCAGTACTCACCCTCGTGCGCTCCATGATGGGTAGCGTTCGCATCACAGCCGTAAGAAAGAGCGTGTTTCAGCACCTTGTAGTTGATTTCAAGGCCCGTCTCCTTGATTGAGTCCCTCGCAGCCCATATGACGACCGATGAGCCGCCCTCGGTGGCATTCTTTCGGTAAGCGTGGGGGAGTGTAAGCTCCCACCACAGCTTGCTTGTCTGGCCCAAGCGAGCCAGGGAGCAGTAGTCCAGCTCGGTACAGACCATTTCCTTGAGCTCATTCAAAAGCCCGCTGAGACGATCCTTATCATCACCAAAGGGGATGACTCCACCTTGTTGATCCATGTTGATGGCGAGTTCCTGACTGACGTCTGCTTCCACCAAGTTCAAGTCCGCGTGGGTGAAGTGTTCCTGATCGCCTTGGAAAGAAGACATATCAACGACTGTGGCGAATGGGCAACCGAGTGCTGATGAGCAGTGCGGCGTTGTTACGCGTCAAGGACAGGATGAGATACCAGGCAGTTGTTCTTGTTTTCTCTCCCTTTCAGCTTTCCACGGCCGAGAGAATAGTCTCCAACAGTTCAGGATGCTGGCTTCAAAGGCTCAGGCCTTGCAGCTTGGCGAGCATGCAAGTGCAGGCGGCCTTGAGCCAGAAAGGTAGGTGTTGAGTAGTGCTGCGCTCTGTAGGGGTTTTCGCAAGTGCGGGCGCGGTGATGTGAAAAGAAGGAGGAAGGATGTTTCTGTGAAGAGAGAGCAAGGTTTGAAAAGTTTTTTGTGTTCGAGCAAATAGATATTGGCAGCTGGGCGGGTTGTCAGGCCGACGAGCCAGCTGTTCAACTTGGTCAGTTGAGCACAACGCACTCGGAGGAGGCGGTTTCAAGGGGCCTTGGGGTATTAAAGCTATAGCAAGTAACCGTAAGGCCTGTAGAGTGCGCGTAGGCCAGTCTTCTCGCATCCATAGCAACAACATGTTCCAACCTCCATGGCGCAGAGTGAGCTCGCGCCTACGCACAGCCAGCAGCTGGGCCGTGGGCAGGACTTTTGATCCGTTTCGCATGGTACTTGTGTCCAAATACATTAATATCTTGTAACAGCGAAGCAAGATTAGTCTCTAGGCTATTGAAACTGGTCAGCAAGGAGGAAGGCATTTTATCCTAAAGTCCACCAGCCGCCGTTCCAGTTCACAAAATGGGCGAATGCTCAAAGCGAGAGCGAGGATTGACGCAGAAAAGTTGAGCAGTGTATTTTTCTCCTTCACGGTTATTTAACAGGGCCGGTGGTTTTTCAAAGACCACCGTTGCTGGCTGCTTTTGAGCCATCCAAGTCATTGCTTGAGGATGGCTGCAGTGCCGCTGCACGTTGAACGTCAAACGTCGAGGCCCGAGGCTCTGGTGCTTACTTAAGCAGCTGTCTACCAGCGGCACCGTCAAGTGGGTCTGCTGAGTCATCCATCCTCGCCCAGCAGGAACCTTTGGAGCTGAACCTAAACCAAGTGGAACCTTAACCTTGGCTCCGGAGGCTGCGTCAGCCAACTTCGTCACTCTCGCCACCACCTCTCTCTCCTCCGTCAGCGCGCAACCTCGACGACGTCGTGGCCGGCCAAAAGCCGTCGTCCACGTCCATCTCTGCAGCTTTGTCGCCCGTCGATACCCCATGTAAAATGATTCAACGCCCAACTCGCGACTCCCGGTCTCCAGTCTATCACCCGTTGGAAGAGGTGGCCGTCGCATAAGCCTTCGCTTCCCCGACATCTCTTCCTCGTTCGATATCCAACTCACAAACGGGAAGCCTCTCAGCCTCCTTCAACGCGTCACTAACGGCCGTTGGCTCGACTCTCTCGCCCTTTCCCCCGCCGCGGCCGAGCCTCCATGCCCAATACCTGCCGACGCATTTCCCCGTAGCACTCCGACATGGCAGGCAAACACGATTTGCGGTCCCAGGACCAGGACACGAGCTCCTACGCGGCCCTTCCCGGCACAGAGCAGACAGATTTCGTCCCGCACAACATGACGACCATGAAGTCGCATCTTGTCCCCGACAGGGAGGTGGCTGGTAGGGTTTGCTTCTGTCGCAGCCTTCGTCAACGTCGCTAATCACTTCTTCCCCAAGGATCCCACCCGAGCCGATGGGTCTACGAGCTGACCAACAACGACTTCACCGTTTGCGACATGTTCGAGCGAGCGAGAAACGCCAAGCTCGACTGTACCTACTACACCTGGGATCATCCTCATAAGCTCGTCATCAACGGCAACCAGAGCTTTCAGACGCCTTCTTCGCGCGTTCTGTCATCCATCTGCCTCGACTGCCACTTCCACTTCGTCTTCAAAATGGCCTGGGACGAGGCCCATGCCGATGCTCGCTGTCACTCAAGCCAGGCACGCTGGCCTCTGCGGGATAACCAGTTTCCTTGGCATCACCTGGTTTGGGTGGGGTCCGTCTCGGATGCAGACATTCTCGATAACCACTCCAAATACTATCCTCTCTTGGCTCGCGAACACTTTGTCTGCTCTGCGCCGCCCTGCACCTTTCAGGTCACCCTTGAAGTTTCAGAGCCTCGAATGCACACGTGGTGGGTCCAGCTTCTGCTGGACCGAGACGCCATTCGTGAGCAGCTAAAGCTTTCAAGAGAGCAAGAACCGAGCCGGTACGAAGGGGCGACGGACGACTGGGCCGACCAGGCGCCGCTCAACCTCAACACGTACCTCAAGAATCTGCTCGAGTCAGACCCGGACGACGTTAGAAGCATATCGAAACGTAACAAGCGATTCGCTGTACTCTTCGGGCCTCGTTGCTTCTCCATCTTCCACCAACTAGAATTCTCGGAGCAGGTGCTGGATCGCAACGGCGTGGATGAAGGCGTCTTTACACCAAACGTCCCCGCCCCCCCTGGCGGTCCGTCCGGAGCGACAGAGCTGGGCACGTACCGTGCTTATCTGGAAGATGTCAGGGCCGAGGTTCAGTGTCTCATCCACAAGGCCGGGCAGGGCCCAGAGGGCCCGACTCTCTGCACCTCGGCCCTGCTTTCCGACCTCGGCTGCTCCGAGGTGGTCGATGTGAGCGAGAACCCCCTGGTCAACACCGAGCGCTACAAAATGCTTGGAGTCCTACCGACGCAATCCCGCGAAGTCATTGTCAACGCCTACAAGCGCCAATGGGACCTTCTCCCCACTCGGCGTAGGACTCTGGTCGATAACTTGATGGCCATCGCCAACGATATCGGCGAGGATCAGCTCTCCGACTACGCCATGACCCAATCCTCCGTCTTTGACAGTCAGCTCCAACGTCAGGGCACTAGTGACGACGACGGGGTTGTGTCGCAAGCCCTCAACTTCCTCGGTCTCCAGCCGCCAAACAACTACAGCGCCGACTCCATCATAGAGGCTTTCCGGCTGAAGCTGGCCAGGGATCCTGCTGATGCGGTCACTGCGCGGTCTATGCTGATGCTGATTGCCCGGACCTCGACAGACGATTCATATCAGGCCGCACTTCTCATGGAATCCGATTCTAAGATGTCGCTTGATACCGCCGCGACAATTCTTGGTCTGGATGTCCTCGATGTGCCTTGGCAGACGGCAGCAGAGACTGCCAGCAAGAAAGTGAGCACCAGCCCAACGCCCTAGGAGGACGAGGGCCCAAGCCATCACTCCGACGCCGATGGACTGCAGCCATCTTGGCCGCGCTCCGCACTCGAGCTATTGCTGACATTGTCGAAGCTGGAGAGAAGCAAGGGGCCAGAAGAAACAGAGGTATATCTTGACGCTTTAGATGCGATGGCGGTTCACACCGACTCTCCGACACTGAAGCAAGCCGCTCTAGAACTCCGCCAGGCCAATGGCTTCTTGGGTAGCAGTGACTCTCGAGGAGCCGCTGCCGGACAGCCGGTCGACTTGGCGCTCCCGGTGGGGTTGCACAATATCGGAAACACGTGTTACTTGAACAGTCTACTGCAGTATCTCTTTACTGTCAAGCCCATCCGGGACATTGTGCTTAACTACGAAGATTCAAGGCTGGATCTGACGGATGAAAGCATCAAGGCGCGTCTCCTGGGCGGGAACAAGATGCAAATGGACCGTGGCGAGGCCGTGGTGGCCCAGGCATGTAAGTGCCACTGACTCTGGCCTGTTTTCACGCCATCTGGCTGGCTGTCGCTAACATGGGAACAGTTGCACAGGAACTTGCTACGCTGTTCCGAAATCTGCAATCGTCAGACCAGGCCGCAACGCGGCCCTCTCAACGGTTGGCCAACGCAGTCCTGCTTTCAACGCACACGCTTCTTCACAGCCCAAAGCAGCCTGCGGCAGAACAGCCAGCCACTGCGCTGCAGCCGCCGCCTCTCCCCGCTCGGCCGTCCCCGGCCTTGCCCACCAATCCGTCACAAGACGTCGAAATGACTAGCTCGGCTTCTGTCCCAGAGTCTATGGACGCGGGTAGCAACTCAAGTTCTAGGACCTTGGTGGACCAGGAGGATTCGCGGTCAGATCGCTCTTATGAAAAGGTTGAGACGACGGCGATAGAACGGGAAACCAACCCGACAGAATTGGCTGCCAAGGAGCCACAGCAAGATGTGGATATCCAGATGGCTGACGTTGAGCAAGCCGTGGCAGGTGCCTCCGCGGCAGGCCGAGCCTCTGAGACCACTCACGAGACGAGCACGGCGGCAGAGCAGATGAGCGGCGGTGTGGCCACTGATGATGCTGTGGACTCTGTGTCAGTCGACCAAAAGGTCCTCAATGCCCTGGAGCACCAAAAGCGATCATCGGGCACTGACCAGCAGGATGTGGAGGAGGTCATGGGGAGCATCATCAACCGTCTGCAGGCGGCCATTCGACCTAGCTCCATTGACGGAAAGACTGGGATCCAGCTGGAGAAGATCATGGAGACCTTTTTCGTCACCACGGTGAACTACACGAAAAAATTTGACGAAAACATCTACCAGCATGAAATCAGCTTTGACCGCTCCATCACGGCGTTCCCTGCTCCAGATGGACCTTGCTCGCTATACGATGCCTTGGGCCGAAACTTTGACCAGCAGATTCTTGAAGAGAGTAAGCTGTCGAGGTACACGGCGATCAAGACATTACCACCAGTCCTTCACGTTCTCATCCAGCGATCCCAATCCATGGGCAGCAAGAACGGCAACCCGGTCGTTATTCCGGAAATACTTTACCTCGATCGCTACATGGACGCGCCCCACGACTCTCCGGTTTTTCGGCGCCGCGTCGAGGACTGGGCCCTCAACGACCGAATCGCAGATCTCAAATCGCAGCTCGGAAAAGCAGACCCTGACCTATCGTACATGGACTTTCTCGATGCTTGCACCAACGGAACCCAGGGCCGGAACGAGGGTGGCTCAAGTGGAGACCAAGAGTCGCCTCCTCGCGTCGCCGCAATGGGTGATAACTGGGATTTCGACGGACCAGTCGAAGACGACTTTCTTCTCGTAACGCCTACGCAGTCCAGCGACGCCGCCACCACATCCCGTTCCAGACAGGAGGATTACAGTTCGGTCGAAGCCCGCGGGACTCACGCGGCAATACGAGGCATGATGGACAAGGAGCTCGTGCAGCGGGAAAAGGCGCTGGAACAGCACCTGGACAGCATGAAGAGCATTCCCTACCGGCTTCACGCCGTCATCTGCCACCGCGGCCACCTGATGTCGGGCCATTACTGGGTCTGGATCTGCGACTTTGAGGATAGAGTCTGGCGCTGGTACAACGATGCAGACGTCAAGGAGAATAGGGACACGGCAGAGGTGCTGCAGACATTGAGCACGAGCGGGGAGCCATACTTTCTCTGCTACGTCCGCGACGAGGACAAGCACGAGTATGTTGATGTCCCCAAACGACAGCGCCCAACAGAACTTTCTCCTGAAGAGGCAGCACCGCCATCGGGGCCGACGCCGACGGACGCCGACGGCGATGTTAAAGTCTTAGACGCCGAGCAATCGACGCGGGGCGACGTGGTCGACGGCGACGGCGAGTCGCCACCGCAATATCGCATAGAGTAAGGTGGCTGGCCGTCAACAGGAATTGTGGGGAAAAGATGGCGGGGGAAGCATGTTTCGAGTGGTTGTCGTTGACCGACAGCGGCACCAAGGTGTGCGAGTGTCCAGGGAAGGTGATGATGGGAGGTTGCATCAGGCCCTTGGGGGTTTATCAAAGTGTTAGGTATGATGCCGGGCATCAGACATGACCCTCGACGTGCGAGGCCTCTGGGACGACGATTCGCGCAGGCAGCGTTCGCACAGCGAGCATGTTGGAGTTACGGCCGAATCCGGGCGCCAGTCAATAGACATGAAAAAGGAGACACGTCGACGTGATTTGCTCGGCTTCTAGTTTTGTACAACTGCGATTCTTCACGTGACTGAGCTGGTCTGAGACAGACGCCTTTTTGGAGAGGGTTGGACTGAACCCAGACACAGGTTTGGCGAGGCACGCAGGGCTTGTTCTTTTGCCTTTTTTTGGGGGAACCACTTGGTGTGTGTTCTTCCTACGAGGGCGGCGGGGCGTTTATCGGCCCTTGAAGACGGGCTTCCTCTTGTCTTGAAAAGCCCTCAGAGCCTCGTTCCTGTCGTCGGTGTCGACGACCCTCTGGTACATTTCGTCCTCCTTTTCCGGCCTCGCCCACGCGACGGCCTGCAAGGCAGCTCTGATAGCGACGGGCCCACCCTCGCAAATCTCCTGAGCCAGGCGAACGGCCTCTGCGAGGGCAGCCCTACGAGCGGCGGGCAGTATGTCTGACGAGTCGTCACCATGCTGGCCTTGTGCGCCGGGGCGGGCATCCTCGGGGACGACCTCGACGAGGCGGTCAGCGATGCCGAGGAAGTAGGCCTCCGGAGCGGCGACGCGGCGGCCGGTGAGGATGAGGTCGCGGGCGCGCGAGAGGCCGACGAGGGCGGGAAGGCGGTGAGTACCGCCAGCGCCGGGAATGATGGCGAGGCGGGACTCGGGGAGGCCTATGGTTGCGTTGGAGGAGAGGACGCGGAAGTGGGTGGAGAGGGCGAGCTCGAGGCCGCCGCCAAGGGCGAGGGAGGAGATTGCCGAGATTGTGGGGATGGGGAGGTCGGCAAGGGAGGTGAAAGTTGCGCGCAGGTTGGAGAGGAAGTCGGCGGTTCTGGGGGTTGTCAGCAGCCGCGGGCTGTGTGATCAAAGATTTCATCTGCCACAGAGCACGCCAAGAAGCAGACAAGGCAAGGCAGCTACTCACTCAAGCTGGGTAAAGCCACGACGCTCCTTGAGATCAGCACCGGCACAAAAGCAAGCATCAACAGCACTGGCCAGCACAAGAGCCCTCGTGGGGCCCAGCTCGGCGGAGGCAGCAGCAGGCAGCTCTTCGCCGTCGCGGCCGTACTGGGCGTGGACGCGGTCGACCTCGGCACCGAGGTCGGCCAGCAGGGCCTTTGAGATTGCGTTGCGGGCCTTGGGCCGGTTGAGCTCGAGGACGCGGATGTGGCCGGACGAGGCGGCGGGGAGGTTTGTTACGCGGATGAGCGGCTCGGCGGAGGAGGAGTAGAGACGGCGGAGGAGCGGCGGGGAGGAGGGCGGGAGGAGGCGGAGGCGGAGGCGGAGACGGGGAGGCATGATGATTGGGGGATTAAGCGAATGATTGTCGGAGAAGGGGAGATTCGGGGGCGGCGGCGACTGGGAGGAGTGGTGGTGACGATGGGAGAATGCTTGCCTGGAGCTTCGGCTCAATTGCTGCTGGCGGGTGACGGAGGTCCGTCGGCTTTTGTCGGGTTTGCTGCAAGGGTACTGTGTACTCTGACGCTAATGACGCGGTACACGTCAAGCTGGTGCATGCACGAAGCTGCGAGTCCGTACTGGACGGAGTATTCCGTACACTGGCATCATGATGTGCATATCATGCGGCTGGATGTTACACAAACGGTAACCTTATTTGCGATATGCAATAACATGAATGAGGCAAGCGAACAAAACCCACTCGAGATAACCGCACTTCAACAGCTTCCCTCCCAACCACCGCCGGAGGATCCCGTGAGCATGTCGGCCTTTTATGCTGCCCCATTTCTCGGCCTGATGTTGGACAATGGTCTCTTTCCCCACCCTGGCGGCTCGACGACGGCCTCTGATTCGGTGGACAGACGCAGCCATGATCCAACGACTCCATTAAGGATAGACAATAGCCCTATGCCCCTCTCTTTGGAGATATAAGCCTAACTTATTATGCATCGTTCGTTTCTCCCACACCGACTGGCATTTCTTTTGCGTTCTTGTTGACTTGGATTGTCATCAATTGGCCCTTGCTTTCTCACTCCTCGAGGCGTTTCTCCTCTGCCGAAACATGTTCATGGCGACGACTGCTGAGGGGGATGGATTTGTATTTTTTGTTCCTTTTTTATTTACGGAATTTTCTACTACTACAAGGTTGAGCTGCTACACCTCGGTTGATGGATGAACTCCAGCTCCGGTATCCGAGGCTTGTAATAACCTCCCGGACCGGAGGGCGGAATAGAAAGAAGAGGGGGGAACTGAGAGGGGGTGAAAGGAGAGAGAGGGCGCGCAGCAGGCGACAAGCGAGGAGCACCATGGCCACTCTCGCGTCCAACTCGTCCACAGCCGACGCCGCAGCGACGCCCCGGGCGGTGACGGTCAACTTCCTCCCGGCCGAGCTGAGCGGCACGACGGGCTTCTTCCCCTTTCACGACCTCGAGATCCTCGGCAGCACCCACGAGGATGACGCCGCCAACTTCTTCCAAAAGTTCCTCATCCGGCCTTCGGGGGAGAGCGGCAACGACGACGAGCGGCACATGTGGCTCTTCCCCACGGGCTGCCGTGTCGACGGCAACCATGGCACCGATTGCCCGCGAGCATGCCGCGACGCCGCAACGCTGTTTGGCTCGCTCGAGACGTTTTACAACTGCGCCGCGCTGTCGTCGATAGCGTACTGGACCCGCGCCAACCGCAGTGTCGTCGGGGCTTCGTCGCCCGGCGCCGGCGCCAGCGCCAGCCACCACTACTATTACTACCTCCCCGACGAGGCGGCGCACAACGCCAGTGCCGTCATGGCCGGCACGCCGCTGGCGACCTTTGACGAGCGGCCCGTGCTGGACTCGTTTGTCGCGTGCGCGCAGGCGGCGTGCGGCGGCGGCGATGGCATCCGCAAGCCCTGCAGCGACGCCGTCAAGGCGTTGTCGGGGCTGTCGAGTCCGCCCGATGTGTTTGACGCCATGGGCTCCTTTTGCCCCAAGATCCCCGTCGAGATTAACCCCGACATTTTTGGGCCGGGGGTGAGAACTGCCTGCCTGCTGTCCTTGCGAGAGTGAGTGTGTGTAAGTGCTGACTGTGGACGTTGACAGGTCCTCATCTCGTACGTTCTCCAGGTCTGCTTTGCCAGCTTCCTCTTCCTCTCCCTCAAGACCTTCACCCTCTGGGTCCGCTTCTCCCAGCAGGGCAAGGCAAAGCGCCGCACCAGCAACCGCGCGTCGCTGCTCGACCTGCAGCGCCGCCTGACGCGCATCGAGTCCATCATCTGGCGCGACTCGTCGGCCCTGTCGCGCACCAGCATCGCCCTCGCCACGACGCTCGTCGAGTTCCAGGAGGCCCAGTGCTGGTTCGTCTTCGCCATCCAGATCGCCTCCATCCTCGCCATCGTCGTCAACTCCCAGGAGGGCACCTTTTGGGGCGAAATCATTGTCAACGCCGCCGTCGCCTTCCACGTCAGCCAGAACGGCATCCTGCCCATGTTCCTCGTCCAGCTGTGCCTGCACAACGAGGGCATCCGCAACTGGCACACCTTTCTCGGCTTCTTTGCAGAGTATCTCTTGGCCATTGTCGCCACCAGCCAAAAGGTCCTTTTCCGTGATGCCTTTGAGCTCTTTCGCAAGGAAAGGGAGCTTGAGGCTTGTGGCGGCAATCCCAGCCCTCGCAGCTACTGTGCCTCGATGCACGGTGTCGAAGGCCTGCACCTTGGCTTCTTCCCTCGCCCCTACCTCTACAAGGTCGTCTTTCTCGTCCTCGACACCGTCGCCATTGTCATCTTGCTCATCGACCAGCTAAGCTGGACCTTCCGCAGCCACCGCCTCACCCGCGACCTCAGCATCCGCGGCTACCGGCTCGGCCACGGCCCCAGGGGCAAGTTCAAGCCCGCCTGGATCAGGCTCAAGAGAGTCGTCTGGTGGTCCCTGGAGCTGGCCTACCTCGTCATCAACATTTTGTACATGGTCTCCCTCGTCAAGGTCTTTAGCGCCGACAGCTTCGAGGCAAGCAAGTGGTCCTACGGGCAGATCATCGCCATGACGGTGTGGGGGCCCGTCATTGTCAAGCTGTTTGACCTGGTACTCTGTAAGTCCCAATCTCCTCAAAGAAATCAGCCCAAGCTATACAAGGGCACTTCCGTTGACAACTCCCTCCGTCAGCCGGTCCGCCCAAAAACGGCACCAGACTCAACTCAGGTCCTCCGCGGTTGCGCATCGATAACGTTATAAACCACCGCCTCGGTACCTCGGCAGACGAGGTCCTCGATGACGATGACGACGACGATTACGTCCCGGGGCTGGGGAGCAAGATCCCGACGCCGCCTGAGCTGGACCTTGGCCGGGGCCGTCGCCGGGATCCCAACTCGGGCCGCATCACCGACGAGGGTGCGAGCAACGAGATGAAGAGCGTCGAGGCTGGCTTGCGACGAGTCAACGATAACCAATGACGGCGCTTATGATGAATGCCACATGTCTCATGTATAAATGAAATGGGAGAAATTTACGAAATAGGATGAAATCTTCAAGACACGTCACAATCGTTTATCGGTAATTCGTATTCATGCGGGCCTGTCAGGCTGCGAAGGAGCATTACATCTACTAGGCGCATAATCGGACGCCACGTTCTGCCTGTCCCGCAGGAAGGAGTCGACCCTCTCGTCCTTGGACCTGCCAGCCAACGCCGTACTGCTCCTGAGCATGTCCTGCCCAATGGCCGCATGCCTCTGCTTCGTCGACTCGACAAAGTGGGCGCCCGAGGCCTCGGCGCGGTTGGCCTGCGTCATGGCGCCTACCATGCACATCATGACGACCAAGGTGGCAAAGGTGCCGTTGCTCATGTATGTGGGCTCGCGGCGCCGCCCGTCGCGGGCCTCGTACCACCGCTCCCAGTCTTCCCAGGTGGCGTTGCGGGCTGGGCTATTGGGCTGATGGCGCCAGGCGCGGTCTGCGGTGCGGAGGTCGGCGGCACGATGGCCTTGGATCCAGCCAATGCCATGGGAGTCGTAGAGGCGCCGTTTCTCCGGGTCGCTGAGGAGATCGTTGGCGGCGACGACGAGGCGATATCGCTCGAGGCGCGTGGCCGAGGGGAGGCTTTGAGAGCAAAAGGATGGCGAGGAGGGCGTCGGCATAGAGTACAAGGGGCCGCGAGTGTGACTGTCGTGGGTGTCGGGATGGTAGAGCTTGACGAGCTGGTAGAAGCGGCGCTTGGTGTAGGGGGCGGCCTTGTGGATGTCGAAGATTTCGTAGGGGGTCGGGTGCGATGAGCGCGGCCAGGCGGGGGGTGCGTCGCCGTCGGAGTGTGTTGAGGTCGAGGCACGTCTTCTCAAGCTGGTGCTTCCGTGTCTGCCTTTGTATGAGGGGTGAGAAGGGAAGCATCGAGATGGCGAGGGCGATGACGTGAGTGACGAGGGGACGGAGCACGTGGAGCAGCACAGCGCCACGGCCGAGTTTTTGAGCATCATTGGCAGCGGCGAGAGCAGAGCCTTGAGGAGATGAATAGACGATGGAATATGAGGGTGTTCTGTGCTTGGCCAGCTCAAGTCATTTGTAGGGCGGAGATGCGAGGTTAGAGGGGAGGCGATTCGAGCGCAATCGTGCTCAATCGCCGGCGATAACAGGTGCCCCGCTATTTCCAGAAAGAGCTTGGGCTGTGAGTGGCAGGGAAAAGTGCTCGGTACGTACTCGTGCCTCAGATGACTGAAAAGCTACTAAGACGCTACAGACAGACACGGTATATTTCCCAGAAGCTAGATGTACTAGATAAGTAGCGCACGCATGGAGCACGTGCTCGGCTGCGGGCGGGCGGATGGAGCCCCGGGGGAATGAGGCATGCGACGAATCTGGGGAAAGAACGCCACCGACAAGGAGCGTGTGGGGTCGCTTCCCTGCGCGAGCAGGCCCGGTCTCGTGACCTCGAGCTCATCACAGCTTTGCTTCTTCATCCATGACGCCAATCCAGCCCAACAAAGACTCCCTTCTGACCAGAGTCACGGCCGTCTTCTCTCCCTACTTTTTAAGTACGGTCAGGTTCCCATCCGGCTTGGGACGCGCCCCCCACCCAGACTGCCCCGGCGCCGGCCGCCTTTTCTCACCTCCAGTCCATCGAGACATGCATGCATTGGGCCGGCTTCATGGGCCAGATGGGCTTCTGCGCATCTCACTCGCTTAGCTCGCCATCGGGCGGGGTGACTCGCAATGACGAGTCCCCTCGCCAGGGGTGTGAGCCGCCTGCTGCTGCCATTGGCTCGACGTGAGTCGATGCCGGCCGGCACTTGGGACCTCTCCTGCAATGACGTCCTGTGCGTAGCATCGAATCGCGAAGCCCTCTGCCACCGGATGGTCCGTGTCTGGCGTCAACGCCCGCGAGTCTTTGTTTGTCAGCCCCCGCATCATGAGCTGGGGCTGCATGTACGGGATCGCAAGGTGACAGGTCATCGTCCTTGCCTCGTTATGGTGCCCTACAGCAGCGCGTAGGCTTATAAGAAGCGTCTGACATACGGATGCCCCGGCCCTCTGCCTGTCCGTCTTCTCCTCTTGTTCGTCGCCGAGCAGCCCTTTTCCCCTCAACTCCTCAACATCACGTACCAAGCCAAGAAAGAAAGCAGACACCATGGCTTCGACGACGGCTGCTGAACAGGCTTATACCGATGGCCACCACCGTACTAGAGACGCGGGCAATGGCGTCAACGGCAAGCCCCATCAGTCCATGGTCTCTCAAGTCAACGACCCGCAGTTCTTCAAGATTGCCAATCCCGGTCCGCTGGGCCTCATCAGCTTTGCCCTGACCACCTTTGTCCTCGGTCTCTATCAATGCGGCGCAGGGTGAGTGCCAATCCTCGGCCTTCTCTCCTCATCACGTCGCTTACCTCGTTGCTCCTCAATGCAGACTTCCCGGCTCCAATCCGCTGGGCAACGTGGGCCCCGACCAGGCCGTCTTTGGCCTTGCCGTCTTCTTTGGCGGTGCAGCACAGTTCATTGCCGGCATCATGGAGTTTCGCGTCGGCAACACGTTTGGCACCACGGTCCACTGCTCCTATGGCGCCTTTTGGCTCGCCTTTGCCATGTTCCTCGTCCCGTCGCTCGGCATCAAGCAGGCCTACCAAGGCGATGAGCGCGCTTACAGCTTTGCCCTCGGCATCTTCCTCATCCTCTGGTGCTTCCTCACCCTCATCTTCTTCGTCGCCGCCCTCAGGACAAACATTACCATCCTTGTCGTGCTCGGTTTCCTAGCCCTCGCCTTCTTCTTCCTCAGCATCGCCCAGTTCGTCTCTTCGACGCACCTCACCGCCGCCATCCGTGTCAACCGTGCGGGCGGTGTCTTTGCCATAATTTGCGCTCTGGCTGCCTTTTACGCCGGCAGTTCGGGACTCATGACCGAGGATACGACTTGGGTCAGGTTCCCCCTCGGGGAGTTTTCCTATACCCCGAAGCAGTATCGGACCACCAATGCTGTGTGACAGGATTGACAAGCAAAGCTCCCATGTATCCCGCATTCTACTGTACATGGATTTGGCCGGAAGTTTTCAGTGCTTTTCTATCCCCGAGATCGGTGGAGATATGTACTGAAATTGCATAAAATGATCATGTATTGCTATCGAAGAGGTTGTAATTACTTGACTTCCTTCTTTTATACCCATATCTACGCTTCTACAACTGTCTCTAATACTTGACGTAAAAGTACCATTGTAGTTTCGATGATTAGTTTTCTACTTGTCCTTGATCGTGCACAATTGCGAAACAATGATAATATTGCCCAACATATATTTTTTACAATGCATAGTACGACACAAACGTTAATAATATTAAGCCTGATGAGTTTATTAAATTTACGTCTTTTACACCATGTCCTTACTCTATGACGTAAAGGACCTGAGAGTTTGTAGTAAAGGGTTTGTGTACATGTTGTACAGTCGAGGTTGCCGGCCAATTTGGTTGTGATCTTGACTTGCTCAGCCCAGCTACAGCTTGCGCTTGGCTTCCTCGGCCGCGCCCTTTGCCTTTCCAGCCGTCTCGTGCGCAGCGCCCTTGACCTGACCCTTCATCTCTTGCGCCTTGCCCTTCATCTCCTGTGCCTTCCCCTTGGCGTCACCCTTGGTCATGTTCTGCGCGACGTCCTTTGCTTTTGCTAGAACGGGACAAACAATGTCAGCGAAACGCCGTCATCATCGACCGGAGAGTGTGTGAAGGCAGGGAGCAGAAACGCACCAGCCGCGTCGAGCCCAGGGATCACGACATTGTCGCTGACAGTCCTGTCCACGGCCTTGAGCCCATCCTTGACCGTCTCGGTGGGCGATTTCCGCACGGCGGCAGACGTGGTGAAGGCGCGCGGGGCGGCGGCGGCGGTGCGGACGGCGGCCAGGCGCGAGGCGGGGACCGCGAGGCGGACGAACTTTTCCGAGAGGAACGACATGGTTGCGGGGGGCATAGCTGTCCCTTTCGCTTGGTGTGCTTTTTGGGTGGATGGGGGGGGTGTTGTGCCTTTGTGCCGAGGGAGAGAACTTGGTGTCTTGGAGCTTGGGGCTGCTGCTCGCGCGGGGCTCGGATTAGGGTCACGAGGTGCAGGCCTGCGAGATGGATGGGGGTTGAATTGGGCCTGAGGAGTTGAATGCAAGCAGATTGGCTCACGCGAGTTGAGGGCGAGTCGAAGGGCCGTGGTTTATATACTGTACGATCCGAGTGCAGTTGGCGGAGCTTCCCTTCCCGGGGCTGGCTCATCGTGATGTCATGGACGGATCGGCGCGCGGGGCGGCAACCAGCAAATGGCAGGAGAGCGGATCCCCTGATGACGTACTGGGCCTGGCCCAACCATCGAGATCGCCCGGCCGCCTCCTTGCAGCAGCAGGGGGCAGCGGCAGTGACCCGAGGCAGCGGGTCAGCGCGAGGACAGAATTCTTCAATTCTTCTTCAACACCCATGTTGCTCGCTGGTCAGGGTCAGGGTCGGTCCAGATCTGCACAAGTGTAAGCCGTGTGCTGTCTCCATTGCCAGCAGCCATTTATCCTAACTAAGAGCTGCTTGACCACGGATGTTGTACACTCCTCTCCTGTCAGGACCTGGGCGTCCAGAGTTGAAAGCAAAAACCATAGATTCAACGTAACATCGACCTCGGCAGCTGGCGGACGCGCAACAGGAGCTCAAGGGGCCACTAGAACTGTCCCATATCCGTTGCTGCACGTCCTCGTCTGCCATGGACCCCCATGTGCCTCGACCACGCCTCTTCTTCCCTCCACCTGCAGCTGCTTGCCGGCCCGGGCCATGGATAGCTGGGCAATCCGTCCCTCGGTGGCCTGGGCCATACATATTGCTGGCTTCCGGCCGTGCCAGGCACCCACGGTGAGCTCCGTGTAGAAGCCCAGGTCGGCGCCTTCGCATCACCTGCGTCCCGGCCCGGAAACCAAGTGTCCGGGTCGCCAGTTGCAAACTGTGCGTGATGGCGATGCAGACGGTGCATCGGCAACCCATCTCCCAGGGACCACCTCGACAAAGGGTCAGCCAGCGTGCCTTTTCGTCGCTCCCTTCTCTTGCTCTGGATTAGGAGCCAAATGGCATACACGCACGCCGCCAACACCAGTATGATGCCGACAACTATGGCAGCAGTCGCTCCATTCGAGAGACCCTCCGGATCCTTCTGGCTCCGCAGCGGCCCGCTTGCGACCAAGTTTTCGGTCCCTGTGGCTGACGCCATGATTCCCGTGGAAGAGTGGTTGGGAGCCGTAGAGGCCGTTGCCGACAACTTGGCCAGGTTCGATAATCGAGTCGAAGAATTCAAGGACAGCCCTGAGCCGGCCAACGGCAGGGGGGGTGTCGGCGGGGATGGTTTCGGGCCACCAGCCACAGGCATCTCTAGAGTACCGGTGACGCCTCGACTCGAAGGCGTAGAGAAAGAGACGACGTGGCGAGTCCGCAAATTCACTGTGGTGATCGAGGATCGAATCGGTTCAAGTAGTTCATGTCCCCGGGGATTGTCAACTTTGAATGTAGCCATCACATAATTGAGCATTTTGCGTAAACTGATCGGGCCGTCGACTGATGAGTGCGGACGAAGGTGCCAGCTCGAATGCATCAAGCGGTGAGGCTTAGTCGAGCCCAGCTGTCGCTGTCCCGGCGCTCTCGTTCATGTCCAGGATCGTCGAGCTGGTTTCATCCCGTCTTGCTTGCTTTGTGGCATGCGACAGTGAGACGGGACGTGGTACCATGTGCGCGTGATTCGCGTCCCCTTTGCAGATAGGGGCCGTCTCGTGTGCTAGTACAGCCAAGTGCTGTGGTCGGTGGCATGAATAAGCGTTCGTGAGACCCCCCGAAGCGACACGGGCAGTGGCGGGGACCGACTTCCATCACGGCTCCCGCATGGCCTCGACCCGTTGCCTCACGATGCCCTCGGCGGTTGCAGGGTCGATTCGCTCCGTCGGCCCGAGGCGCATCATCTTACCCACAAGGTACATGAGCTTGCCCTGAGGGAACTTTTCATACTCGACAAACACCTGAAGCACTTTTTCTTCGCCCTCCATGGCCGCGTCCGCCAGCGCAGAGTATTCTTGCTCGGAGATCTCCTTGAACCAGAGATCATTGACATTGATTGCCTGTAGCACACCGCCCTCGAGCTCGCCGAGGTATATCGACACGAGGAGCTCCTTGGCCACTTTGCCCGTGATGTGTTTGCGGTAGAGGTGGTAGAGCAGCTGCGATAGCTCAGAGGCGGGGACCTGGGGGCATTCGCCGTCGGGCGTAAACGAGAGCTCTCCCAAGGCCAGTGGCCCTGCCTTGTATGTCGTGAGCCGACCGAGCTCGTGGATGATCCAATTTCCGGCAAGAGTCGAGTAGCTCTTCAAGTCCGGGAGTGTCGATGGGGCAAACTCGGCTCGGATCTTCGCATCGAGGCTGTCCAGTACCCGATAGAAGTACTCGATGCGAGCTCCCATGTCCAACGTGATGAGCGACAGGGCGTCCTTGGACGTAAGTCCAAATTCGTCGACCAGTCTGTCCATCTCGACGTCGGGCAGCACGGCAAGCGACGTCCGCAGGTGTTCCACGAGGTCGTCACCAATCACCAGAGGCGCAATGTCAGGGTCGGGCATGTAGCGATAGTCGACCTCGCCCTCCTTGCCTCGGAGCCGCCTTGTTTCCTTGGAGCCAAGTGTCCAGCCACGCGTTTCTCCTGCAATGACCCCGCCGGCCTCCAGCTCTCGGATCTGGCGATCTCGTTCGGCTATGATGGCGTCCTCAATGGCCTTGATGGTGCTCAGGTTCTTGATTTCAGTCCTCGTCCCGAGTTCCCTGGTCGAGCCATCGGTTCTCCGCACAGATACATTCACATCGGCCCTGAGACCGCCCGTCTCCATGCCAGAAACGCAACTGTCGACCGTGTTGAGGAGAAGCTGCACCTTGCGGACAAAGATGGCGGCCGTCCGTGGATGGTGAATATGCGGCTCGGTGATGATCTCGATGAGGGGCACGCCCACGCGATTGAAATCCAGCCAGTGCACATTGCCGGTCTGCGCAAGCGTCTTGGCCGTGTCCTGTTCGAGCTGGATCTGCTTGATGCCCACGGCGACGCTCTCACCGTCCTCGGGGGCAATGCCGTCTCGCGCACGCAGCGTAATGTGCCCGTTTCTTGCCAGAGGTTCGTAATACTGGGTTATCTGATATCCGGAGGGCTGGTCCCACCAAAAGTAATGCTTTCTGTCAAACCGGCTGACACGCTGCACGTCGCAGTTGAGGGCCAGCGCAGCTCGAATGGCAGGCGGAAGAATGTCCTCTTGCAGCAGGGGATGGCTGCCCGGCATGGCGACGTCGAAGAGCGCGACATGGCTGTTGGGTTCGTCGTTGAAGGACGTGATTGCGGAGGAGAAGAGTTTGCGCGATGTGTTGAGCTGGGCGTGAATCTCGATTCCGACGGTCAGTTCCCAGCCCTCGACCACCTGGGACTCGCCCTTTGACTTCTTCTTCCCTTGCTTCTTGGCCTGCTTGGCCTCGTCCTTGAGCTGCTTCCGGAGAGGGACAGCAGGCGGTCGCGAGGGTGTAGCAGTGGCCTCGGGAGCTGCGTGGAGAGCTCGGACAAGAACAGCGCCGGGCAGCCTCCACCCGACCAAAGCAGGCCTCGTTGCGACAGGATGGGCGGCGAGGCATCCTCGACGCGAGGGAACACCGCCCAGCAGGTATCCCCTCAGCGCCGCAACCGGGCTGCGGCGCATCGCGCGAAAGGGGGAAAGGGCTGCAGATGTGGCGCCAATGGTTGCGAGCACGACAGAAGGTTCATGCAAAGCGTGCCGCCGGATGAGACGACGCGCGATTTATATCACGGCGCGCAGCAACATGGCCGGTGACGCTGTACTCTGCAGTTTGGCTCCTCTCAACAGCGGCTGACCGCGCGCATTGGAGGTATAGACGTTGCGAGGTGAAATGTCTCTGGTGCACCGGCCGAAGGGCAGGTCGACTGTGCCGCAACAAAAAGCACTCGGGTCGCAATTTTCGAGCTCCTCTGACAGCTTGCCGATCTTCATGATGCTCCGGCGCAGCAGAGGTTCGAGTTCGGCCCGCGAGAAAGCCCGGACCGAGGATCGGAAAGTGCCTACAGATGTACCCAGTTCCTACTTACCTGCACTGTACAGTACGTGCAGACACGCCAACTCCCACATCGGGAAGTGTCAACGCGTCCCTATCAACAGACGCCACAGAAGAAGCAAGTCTTCCATCCTGGCACCGTCACCGTCACCTCATCACCTCCACCAGGCGACAGGGTCATGGCTCCGTCGGGCACCAAGCTCTCCCGGCCTCGAGCCTGCTGGGCCGGCACCTTGCTGAGCCACTAGGCGTGCTGTGCAACCCAGCTTCCCAGCTGTCCTGGCGCTGATTTGGCCAACGAGATCCTATTCCCAGTCGGAAATGCCTCAGCCGGCGGGCCAATGGCTCTTGGGGTGGAACGTGGCCTTTGTCCGGTCGGCCTTGTCTGTTCTTGAGGCACCGTCGCCCTTTGCCTGGACGTTCCTTGAACGTCGAAACACGATGCATCACAACGTCTGCCTGCTGTTATATGCAGAGCAGCACCACGGCCCAACCTGCACAAGCTGACTCAGGTCTTTACCCATGGATTGTGTTCGATGATTTTTTCGTCGTCATAGCGCCGACCGACAGTGCGCCCATTTCCGTACCGCGTCGTGTCCGCTGCTGTTGGCACCTCTGGGCCCCAAGGGCCTCCTTGTGCGACTCGGGAAGCTATCAACTCTGCCACGGCATGTGTGCACCATACTGCTTTTGAACGGCAGCGCAGCCAAATCGCCTTCGCGCTTCCGGCCACATGTGAGACTGTTTGGTTCCTCCAAGTCATCCAAGCCGTACAAGGAAAGCACGTCGTCCAGAGTGAACTTACAAGAGGGAGATAGCACAAGGTCCAGGAATATTCGGCATCATGGAGGCAATGGCCGAGATTCGTCAAGGTCAGGACCCAGTATCGGTGGACTGCCATGAGAATGACGATGGACCACACCCCCCGAGCGCGGAACCGGCAGCGGTCGGCGAACACGAGGGACAGTCCGAGAGATCATGTCCGGGCAGCTCGCATCTCGCAGCTCAAGAAGCCGTGGGGGGGGAGTCCGTTGAACCGGTCGTCGAGCCGCTCATAGTAGATGACGTCTTTTCACCTCTCCTTCCGGAGAGCATCTCTCCCCTGCCAGCGCCGGGCGACGACAGGGGGCATTCCCCAGGCACGACGGTGGAAGACGTTCCCGACGAGGGCGAGCCTCAGGCCCCGACTCCCCGCACGCCACCTTCGCAGACTGTTGTCTCGCAATGGACGATTCTCAAGACGCCGACCATGCCGAGTAGCGTCCCGATGCCTGTCAAAAACGAGTCAGCCTCGGCTCAAGCGCCGCATTGGACAAATGATGGGAGCGAAACGGCAAGTCAGGCGGCACCTGTACAGGGCGTCTACCATGCCCCACGTCCGCGGCGCCGGCCAAGCGCCCTCGACTACCTGGTGTCTGTGTCTCCGGGCGCGACCCCGAGGGCAACTCTGGAGGCGGCGTATAAAAGGGCTGGAGCCGGGGCTAGCCACGTATCAGGTTTCTCCAACATCTCTGCGCCACCAGCGTTGGACAGTCACCATGGTGAAGCTGCTCATGGCAGGGCGGTCGATCCCGGGCCGCGGTTGAACTGGTCCTCTAGTTACCCTGGGCTTGGCGGCGCGCATTCAGGGCCAGGATATCAACGTCCGCAGGCCTTCTCCGACGTCTATGGATCCCCTCCCATTGCCCACAGCCATGCATCGTTCGCCAACGTGACAATGCCGCAAGCTGCTCCAAGCATCCTCCAGCCTGCCTATGGAGCAGATAAGTCGCCGATGAGCGGCTACCAACTCTTGGCAGCCAAACTGGTTGGTGGCCTAGGGGGTCCGCCCGTCACACCCATGTATCGTCGCTTCGAGGCCCTCAACCACCGGCTCCTGCTCTACATGCAAGCCGACCTGGTGGACCTGGAGAACGAACTTCGTACTCTGGACACGAAAGACACAATGGAAAGGGGCTACGGGGTTGTTCCCGCCTCGCGCCGGCACGAACGTTGGGCCAACAGCGCTTTGGCACAGCAAAGGACGGAGATTCTGGGCCAGATTGGCTACAAGCTATGCCAATACAGTATGCCGAGATTTGGCCGGAGAGTTGCTTCATTTGCTGACTGTTTTCTAGACAAGGTCATGACTTCGTTTGTGAAAACCCACGACATGCCGGCTCCATCGCTGGCCGAGATACACGAGTACAAAACTTATCTCGGCAACAGCCGGCTAATCGCGGACGAAGAAGCAAAGTTTCTCGATCTGCCCGAGGATCTGGTGTCTCTGGTGAGAGAAGAGCTGCCCATTGCAGAGGAGCTCGTGGCGGACGTCGGTGGGACAACAGCCATGGCCCCCCGCCTGGTCGAGGAGGCCGCCGTGCCGCCACCGAGCCGCAAGGAGCCAGAGTCGGAGGGAGGCCACAGTAGCGCGTCGATCAAGCGACGTCCCGCGCAAGGCTATGATTCACCGGAGACGTTGCTCTCGACGTCGCTCTCGCAGCTTGCGCTTGCCATGTTCGTGGCAGTCTTTGTGCCGGTCGTCACGTTTGCCATCATCCCGGACTTTGCAGGGCGCATCACCGTCGTGGCGCTTGTCGGGGCCAGCGTTGGGACGGCGCTGACACAGTCTGGGCTTGTACGGTTGCTGGATAGGGGGGCACTGGATTGGATTCTTTGTGCTGCAGCTTACGGGGCTACCATGGCGGTTGTTGCTTGGATTCTCGGGTAATGCAAGGGGGGGCGCTTGAGGGCGTGTTTCTTATGTTTTGCGTAGTTGGAAAGTTGGGTGCGAGGGTCTTGCGAGGGTCTTGGATGCACGAGCGACTTCCAGGGAGCGAACTGATGGCTCTTAAGCAATCCTGCTCCATCAGAGATGGGAACGTAAATCAGAAGAACAATCTCTTGGGTCAGTACGCATGGCCAGGGGGATGGACGAGATTTTGTGATCATTGTAGCCAAACCAGAACATAGGAAGCTGCTGGACTCGAGGCTATTATTATTATTATTATTATTATTGTATTTTCCGTCCAGCGACCTTTAGGTCGCTCAGGTCCCCGAGACGGGGCACAGGACGTGCTGAGCTGCTGGAAGTCTACTATCGCGGAGTAGGCCCACAATACGCGAAACGAAACGAGTACCAATCCGCGTCTTCTGCCCCTTCCACAGAACGTAAACAATCCACCATTCAGCATTTCATCGGCTCAAAGGCGCTTCTTTGCTCAGCCTGCTGCCCGTCAGCGGGACGTTCAGGCGCGACAGCCATGTCTTTCGTTTTGGCCTCACAGGGCCGGTTCCGAGAGCACCCTCCGCCCGGCCGAGTCGGGTAAGAGAAAATGGGTGTGTGTGCAAACAAAGGGAAGGAGGAAAGCGGTTGCTGCCGCCTAGTGGCGAGGGCAGATCGTTCCAAAGAACGAGCTTGCCTTCGCCACCTTGACGAACTGGTCGAAGTCTCTGCCTATTGCTCGGTTGACCGCCGCGCTCGGTGAGGGTGCCAACCTCATCCGATGTCGCGGCGCTGGACTCGAGGCACCGGGCCGTCTACTTTGGTGTAGGGTATGGCCGATGGCCTGACGACAACAGACTGAGCCAGCCAGCCGATCTTAAAATCCACCTTGAACAGATGGTGAACTAATTAACTTAGGTAAGGATTAAGGATTAAAGCAAAAAGGACTTGCTTCTACCTGAATTATTACAAGCTGATAGAAGAGAGAAAAACGAAGCCACGACATCTTCGTATCAAGGCGATATGAATCTCAAGGCAAAAAATCGGACACTCGGGGGATTTAACCCCGTACATTGGACGAACAGGGAATCGAACCCTGGACCACTCCCACATCAGAACAAGCGAACATGCTAAGGGAGTATTATACCACTAAACCATTCGCCCAGACGTGTTTGATGGAAGGATTGGAGCTAGCAAGTTATATATAGGCTTGCGATCTTGACTCCCATCCCATCATCATAATTTTTTGTCCGTCTTGCGATCTCCTCTTCCCACTCCATCTCCGTTCGCATGGGAAGATGACGCAATCGTCTCTGAGCCTCTGCACTCCAAGGCCCCCTCCTGCCCCCCGCGCAAGCTTCCACTCTAAATGGCCAAAGTGCAGGCCCGCTCTTGACCCAGAAGTCGCGTCCGCGTCAAACCGAAACCGGATCCCATTCCTCGGACAATGTGGGCTGCTCCTCCTCCGCCGGCGGCTTCCCGAGACCCCACCGAGCCCGATGCTAGCGGGGGGACCCCTATTTTTCATCCGTGAGTGATCCGCGCCGCTCCGGGCCGAATCTGCTCGAGAGTCATCAGCGCTAGGACGCCCTGATGGCAGCAGAGTCAACGACAAGGGGGCGTGGTGGTGTGGACGATGACGCAGCTTTGCTCCAGGCGCGTCGAGCCTCGCGACTTTGACGCGTAAAGCGGTTGGTTTGGGGAGGCTTGGACGGTGATGCGAGGTTCTCGAGACGGGCGCGGATATGGTGGCGTCGTGACGGCGAGGGCCAACACGCCTCCTCTTGGACGCTGTCTGGAGACGATGGGCAAGCAAGTGAGGGCCTGGAGCGAATGGTGCAGGAGGGAGCCTACTTGCGCGCAGCTGCAGGGCCGCCCGCACTCGCTGCCCTTGTCTGGATATACCACGTCTCGCCGTCTCTCAGCAAAGCTGCTGCTTGACGAAACAGGCCGTGCTGCACCACCTGCCACAAGCATCGCTACGCCTCGCCCACACGTCTCGTTCCTGGAGACACAGACAGCTTGCCGTGCTCTTGCGTCCTGGCAAGACGAGGTGAGACGCGTCTCGCCAACCAACAGGGCCTGCCCGTGTCGAGCTCGGTGTCAAGGCGATGGAGAGCTCACTCAAACCACGCCACAGATGCGGATTCACCATCTCTGATACCAGCCTGCCATCTCCATACGCCACTGCCTCGGTTGTCTGTTGGCATGCGCCTGGTCGGTCGGCTAGCTGCATCAAACCTTGCGTCACCACCCGTCTCGTCTCGTGACATTCGTCGGATCCGTCGAGAGCTCTCCTCTGGAGCAAGCCTTGTGAGAACCAGGGCCTCAGACCACCGGTGCGTGTCTCTGCCACATGTCCGTGTCGCCTTTGTCTGTCTCCCTGTCTCAAGCGGGTTTTCATTCTTTGGCTATTTTCTGACCGAGCGTTGATTAGTGACGAGCATGAGCCAAACGTGTCGATTCATTGCGTCGCGGCTCGGTGCTGCCGAGTGCGATTCCTATAACGTACCGATGATCTCTTCCGCGACCAGCAGGGCCACGCGCGCGCGGGCATGTAATAGCCATTAATTACGCACTTGGAATATCTCTAAATAGCTGCGACTAACTAATAGCTCTCAGGTCCGAAAGGGAGGCCACCTGAGTCAAGCCGTTGCAATCCCGTATACTCTCTCGTTCTCACGAGCGAGGATTACAGCAACTCGCTTTGCCAACCGCACAACTCAAGAAGGAAAAGGCACTTGCGTCAGGAACAGTTGTCGGTGCCATGGCTCTTTTCGATATTCGGGGACCTGGAAATTGTGCTCCGTCCGTCCAGCTGGCCAGCTGTCAAATCGCCCTGGCAACCCTCTGCCCGTATGATTCACTGCGCGCAAACAAGCCCGTTATCATCCGGATACCTGTTTTATCAGGCAAAAAACATGCCGCGTGTTGTGCCTCTTTTATTTATCTTCTCTGTCCCCGTGTGCAGAATCTTTTCTTCTCCTCTTCCTCTTCTCTCCGCCCTTCACCACGGATCACCTCCACCATACCACCTAAGCACGCTTGTTCGCCACCGCTCTACTAAAGCTTCCAAGGTATGTTCTTCCGCTATTGTTTCTTTGGTAGCGTGCATCCTCTTGTTTCGCCTTAGCAGGAACGAAATATCGCACATTTCTGCTCCATCGCGTTCCAACCCCATCCCTCCCCCACCAACACCCCTTGACGCCTTCTCCCTGGCGATCAAGCCGGGCCTTCTTAAGAGCTCGGGAAGAACCTCAGAATCATCGTTGAAATCATCCAGACCCTTTTCTTTCAGTGTCTTACCTCGCTCTGTTCCCGCTCTGACAAAGAAAATAAAATCTGCAGGCCGTCGTCTTACCTCAACCGACTTTCGTCAAAACCAGCAAACACCACGACAGAACATCTCGTCTAGATCAGCAAAGATGCCTGCTTGCAACATGGCCGTCTTCGCCAACGTTCTGCTCTTTGTCGGAACCTTCATCTCCGGCGCTGTGGGCGTGTCCCCGTACAGTGAGTTGCCCCCAACAAGCGATGAAAACCAGCTTCGGTTATACTGACTTGCTTCTCCCCCAGCCAACGGAGCATCCACCGAGACTGCGGCTCCTCAGGAGCTTGGATACGTCACCTCCGCTGGTAAGTCTTTACCCCTCGTTGAACTCGGCATAGGAATGAGCCGTGGCTAACGCTTCTCTTCAGGATCGCTCGTCTACTCTGTCAACATGTGCACCATTGTGCACTCCACCGTCTGCCAGACTTCCATGTCGACCGAGGGTGCCCACTCTTCGCCTCACTCCCCGGCCGGCTACCCGTCTTCTGCCCCGGGCTCTTCCAGCGGCAAGGTTGACGCTGCCATCTCTCCCGCCGAGCCGACGCCCACCAGCGTCGTCAAAGCCACCAGCACCGTGACCAGGGCCACCACCCTGACCAAGGGCAACTCATCGGTCGCCTCGACCAGCACCAGCGAGAACGCCGATATCACCCCGACTCAGACCGAGGACTACCAGCCTACCGGCAGCACCGCCTCGGCCGTGCCCGTCTCGACCGGTGCTAGCAACACCGTCAGCGTCGTGCGTGGTGTCGCCATCGGTGCTGGAGCCATGGCCGTTGCCCTCCTCTTCTAAAGGGGGCTAAAGGACTTGGGCCTGTCTGGTGCGAAGTCCCTCGACGAGGGACCCACCAGTGAGCGACGGATTGACGGCGTGACGAAAATTTCCTTCATTGATTCCCCTGCACGTTTTGCGAGTCGTTTGGCGGTTGGGAAAACGTACATGGTTTGCATCAGCCCTCTTGCATCAAACGCCGCCGAAAATGGCGCGATAATACCGCTCTTTGTACCTAGATGGCGCTCGTTGATTTGACGACGCATAGTAAAAAAGAAGAAAAAAGTCATTTCTCTACATCAACTCAGTCTCTGCCGTTGCAGACCACCGAGGCAGTGGCCCAAACATGCCCATGCGAACAAATCTCACGAGCCAGGCAGCCCGTGTGCAAACGGCCTTGCACCTCACGAGAAGAAATTATGAATGGCTCTGGGAAGCCTACAGAGGGTATACAGTGACTCCATCGCCATTTGCGCAGCACGTTGCTGGCAAGTCTGCTCGTCCATCTACGTTGCCCTCGCTGCGCAAATTGGACAACCCCCCCTCACCCTGTCCCTCAGCAACCGGGCCCTCATGACCTTCATGCCGATCGAATATCTACCGCCTTCGCCATTCTCCCCTCCAAGGTCGACATCCGCCTCCTTCCCTTTGTGAAGCATCTCCAGTAAATGGCTGAGGTGGAAGACGTGACCGCAAGCGAAACCCACGAGCGTTTCCATCTCAAACTCGGTAAAGAGCATAGAGCAGCTCGCGCAACGTCCAGGCAGCGGAGCAAGCCTCTCGTGTTCCGTCTTCTCGTCTGCCCCGTCGTCTCTGGAGGCTGCCGCCTCGACACCATTCGTGGCCTTGTTGGACTTGGCTCTTGCTTGCCCCGTGGACGGTGGCACGACCTCGAACTTGATGCCCCTGCGCTGCCCTGCGCGAAGCTCATTCTGGGCCGTGGCTAGCTCGCTACGAAGGACGCGTACCGCGCCAGAGCTGATGCTGTGCTGGAGTTCGTGCTCCTTCATCATGTGTGTGAGCCCCTCCCTGAGACCCTGGATTTTCAGCTTTTCTGGTATTCGCCGCACTAGAGTGATGGGGTTGATGGCTGTCCCGACTTGTTCAAGCAGCGCGCGAATAAAGGTTGGTTTGTCCATGCTGTAGTTGAGCAAGTCTTCCCATAGGTCTGGGTCGTCTTGTTCCTTTGCAAATTCAATCGCCTTTTCCACGTTTTTCAGGCGGTCGATGATGAGGTAGAGTGCGCGCTTCATCTGACCCGTCTTGGAGTAGAGATACACCAGCTCGTCGTGGTATTCAAAGGATTCGCACTCTTGTACAGCCTGAGGCGAGACGGTCAGTACGGCGAGAGGCTGCGAGCAAGGTTCAGGCTCCATCTTACCTTTTCGAAGGTGTACGAGGTCGACGACTTGAGGAACTCCATCAGCATCGGCCTGTCGTACATGGAGAAGAGATGCACCGCCAGGTCAGCAAAGTCGTCCACCAAGGACTGGCTGTCCATGACCAGCCGGTCCATGTTCTCGCCCATGTGTTCTTTGATGCCTTCTCCCCGCCATAAGCCCTTGAGATAAAAGTACAAATAAGGATAAAGTTGCTGTCCTTGCAGCTGCTCCACAACCACTTCCGGGCGCACAAGGCCGTGCTGCGCTTCGTCGACAAGGAGAGTAATTGCTTCAGATGTCGCCTCCCCGAGTTCCTGTTCGCTCATCTGGCGCTCAGGATCCACCCTCAATGCGATAAAACTGGGAATGTCGTCTGCCACCGCCTCCGCAAGGTGGCCATCCCGGATGAGACGGAACGCCGAGTCAGCATCGTGGAGCTTGATGCAGCATTTCAGGGCCTCTCGGTTCCTTCCGCCCGCCTCGTATAACCGAGCCAGGCTCTCCATGACGATGCGCCAGTTCCGGCCCTTTTCACCATTGTCGACGCTGTCCTCGCGAACGTCGCGGAACTTGAGTTGATTCTCCAAAGCCGTGCTGACAATGCTGACATCGAAGAGATCGGTCGACCAGAGCTCTAAAAGCTCTTTGAATCGTGGTTTGTCTGTTTGAAGGTAATGGCCAAGGACAACTTCGTATATAGTGGAGGGCAGCGGCGGGTGCATCGGCGTCGAAGGGATGTGGTTTGTGATTTCGCCAAACTTCTTTGCGCCCGCAAACGTCCAAACCCATTTCTCCCATCGATCAGGAGTTGTGAGCACTTTGCCGCACACCTGACCCGCCGTTTCCCAGCTGCCCTCCTCGACGAGCTCCTGAATCCACAACTCGCCGATCCGTCTCTTCTCCTTCTCGGCTGAAGAATAATTACTCCTCTGCGCTGGGTCTGAGACGGACTCATCGTCGTAAAAGTCGTCGGTGCCTGGGTGGTGCTTTGATGGCGTCGAGACAATGTCGGCCAGTCTTTCTGGCACCGCAGACACAATATCGGGGTTCTCGTCCAATAGTTCCCACGCTCGCGCATATTGTTGGTGCTCCAATAACCAGGATAAATGATCAGCCAGATCCCTCTTGGTGCCCAGAATGCAGTCGTATGGGCTATGAATAAAGATTTTCGCCCCCGGCTTCACCAAGCTGGGGTGCACCGTCGGCTTCGCGCCCTTGATCGAACGAACAGTCCCTGCAGTGCTTGCAGCTCTGGAGCCACCTCCCGCATCGTCGCCACTATCTCTGCTCCTGATGCTCGCCCCGGAACTGAAGAGAGACTTGGGGTTGATCGCAGCGTTCCACATATCGGTGCCCAGGCCAGCGAGTGCCTCGAGGGTTCCTTTCGACGCCACGGTGGACGCGGCTGTGTGAGCCGGCAAGACCCCCAGGTGGTAGTCGGCAGAAGTCAGCCTCTCGAATCGGCTAACGCTCAGACCGTCCTTGTCGACTTCGGCTTGCGAGTTGAGATCGATGAGTCTGAGCTCGGGCGGCTGATGGCTCGGCCGACGACGCAACACTCTAGACGGCTCGCTGTCCTCAGAGCCTTTTGACAAGCTGCGTTTGCCGCCCTTGGCAGATTTGTCCGCCTCGTCGTTTTCATCTTCGTCATGCGGTGAACAGAATGCGAGGACAAGTAACAAGTTTTGGGTATATAAGGAAATGCCGGAAATAATGCAGTCCATTCGAAGACTACGACTGGTCAGCTCAGCTCTTCTTTGATGATTTACTTGGTTGCACTCACATTTTGGCAATCTCTGCTCGCCCAATGGCCTTTTCGCCAGCGTTCTTGTGCGACCCTGGGCCCCCTTCATGGACGTGGATGATCCAAATGGTCCCCCCCCAGCCGACGAGGAGCCGTTCCACTGCTCTTTTACTCAGGACACTCTGCTCCCGCAGCCTGACGGAAGTGGCAGTAGCGGAAGAAGAATCGGCATGGACCCCTTGACCCATCTCGCCACTCTCGATGGCTTTCTCGTCGATCCACTCAGCCCGGCCCTTCCAGACACCCGCCATGGTTTCCCACTCGTCTGTCTGGGGCCTGTCGATGTGAGCAATGCGCTTCCAGGCGTGATCCGAGTCCGCACTCTCGAGATGTAGCTTTGAGCGCATGACCTTGATGCCATACTCGTTGAGCCAGACGACGTATTTACCGGAGAGAGACCACTTGATGGAGCTAATGGTGCCTTCCCCCGAATGGAGAATGGTATCTTTGCCGGTGTTGTGGCTCAAGCCCATGCTGCCCAGCCAGCCAGAAGCGGCTGCTGCCGCCGTCCCTGTTGTAGTTGACGTGCTTCGCCCAGAACTGCCGCCTACAGTCAAGATAAGCTGACCTGCCAGGCCGCCTGACAGGTAGGTCCGGTCGAGCTTGTATTCCGGTGAGAGGGAAACGGCTTGCACCGGACGGGCAAAGTTTCGCAGCTGAACATCCTTTACGTCCATGAGTGATTGGATGCAAACGTTGCCATCCATTGAGGAAGTCGATATGTATATTTCGTTGGAGGCAAGTCTTGGCAGCGGCGCGGGGTCCTTAATCCTCCTCGACGTTGCAGCCGGTGAAGCAACGCCTGATTGTCTAGATGCAGGTCGCGGCTGGGTAGTGCCAGGGCGCAAGGAAGCATCGATCTTGTCGTTGGGTAACGGCGGCGGAAACGGGGATATCGAGATGCTCGTGACGGAGGCCGCGTGGGCGTGGTAGACACGCAGCGATTGGAAGGTTGGTAGCTGGACGACATGCTGCACCGCCTTTGTTTAGCTCGGGCTTCTGAGAAGGAGTCTCGGTAGACTTACGATGTTGCCATTGTGAGTCCCAATAATCTAAAGCCTAGTCAATCCATGTTGCATGCCACGAGAAGAGGGAGTCTGGAGCGCACCATCTTGTCGCCAGCGACGATGAAGGCGCTCGTCGCATCTCCGTTGCGGTACACGGGGCTCAAGTGCTGGGTCAACCGCGCATACTTGAGCTGTGGTTCCTCTTCCTCATCATCGTCTTCGTCGTCGTCGTCCTCGCCGGAGTCCCCGTCGTCATCCTCGCCGTCATCGTTCTCTTGCTTGCCGTCGTCCTCGTCTGCACCCCTGCCGCTTTCGTGGCGACCTGCGTCCGGCCGTTTGTGTCGGAGAGGGGGGCGATCCGCAGCTGCCTGCTGTGACGGAGAGACAGACCTTGTCCCTTTGTGCTGCGGATCGGTGCTGGATCGAGGGGGTGCGCCGTTGCCGTCTGGGTTGTGCCTCGGTTGGGGCGGCTGTGGTGTCATTGCGGCAGCTTGTTGGGGTTCATAATGGGAGCGGCCGTGACGCGACTCGGGAGACGAGAAAGGCGCGATTCGAGTGGGAGAAGAGCGCGACTTGGCGGGTGCGCATGGAGTTGAGAAGGGGGGGGTTCGAGTGCTGTTGGCCCTTGGAGGACGTGTTTGGGCGACGACGAGTGGTGATGACAGGAGTGGGACTGAAGCCGAGAGCTACAGTAACAACAAAGAGGTACCTACGTCACGGTCCACGGCCATTCCAGAAGCAGCAGCGCCCCACTACGGCGATTTGAATAATTCCCATGCCGTACCTTCCAATCGAGACTCTCGCGCTCGACTTCACCTCCAACGACCGACCTTTCTTTGCACCTCCTTTCACGCCCTCTCGGCGGCAGCAGCTCGGCGACCGCGAAAGGCATGCCGTCTCGACACACGGTGCTGCAGCGTGCCCTCGTCGCGACGCGAGCCTCAATCGCATAGAGAGCCGCTCCTCAATTCACCCCCCGTGCAGCCTATGGAGCTCCTGCATCTTCAGCCATGGCGTCGGTCAAGTCCCTTGGGCTGCATCAGCCCTCCGGGCTTCGCTACGCAATCGACGAACAGCTCATCGACGCCGGCGCTCCAACTTCCTCCTACGCCTGGGACATCACAACGGACGACGGTGGCCAGGACCGCGTCGAAGACGAGCTGCTGACGACGCGCAACTGCGTCATTTGGTGCCGAGGCAGAATCTTCCGCAAGGCCTTCAAGTTCGACCTCGAAAAAGAGCCCGTTATCCACGCATTGCTCGCCTATTTCCCCAAGTCTGAAGATGCAAAGGCCGATCGCACCACCTTCAAGAACCCCGTCCCTGGCTCTCCAGCGCTGCAGAAGGCTCTCGTCGTCTTCCTCAAGACCCAGGCCCACATCTACTTCCTCTCCGGCACAAGCCATGTCGTCCACATGCCCTTCGAGGTCGAGTCCGCCTGCGCCGGTCCTGTGGGCGTCATCATCCAGCGAAGAGCAAAGACAGAAAATGTGGCCCCCGTCTCGCTCAAGTTTCCTCGCGTTCCGCCAAACTCCTTTGTCTCATCGCAGCTCACCGCTTTCAACTGCTCCCAGCAAACCGCCTTCTCGACCGAGGGCTTGGGGAATCCAAAGGCCCTCCATCTGAGCCTCAGATCTACCCTTGAAAACATGTGGGATGCGCCCATGGAGCAGGCCGAATCTCACTGGCCACGCCTCGTCTCCTTGACAGACCCTTTAGCAGACATCGGCCTCATCGTCACCGACTTGGACCCTCACAGCCACCGAGCAGCGCGGAAGGCCACGTCGAGGAAACCGCCCTTCCTCGACCCCGCCGAGGAGTTGCTCCACGTAGAGCGGATACGGCTGCCTGTCGCGGCTGCCCAGCATATGAAAGACCCCCTCATCCTGGGTGTCACTGTGAATCGCGAAAATAGCTCGTATACCGTGTGGCGACTCACGTACTTGAGCCACGAAGACCCCTTCGTAAGCCAGCACACCAAGACCAAAAACAGGGCCACGCGGCGCCGAAGCTCCATGCAGCCCGGCTTCGCCAGCGGCGCATCCACGCCCGTACAGCAAAACTTTCGCGAAAGTCTCGGGGCTCCCCTGCCAGGAAAGCGTCTACGCAGGAGCGACAAGTTTGAAAAGCCGTTGGACCTTGTTTCGTCCCTAGAGCAGCAGGACAATGACGGTTCTGCAGTCCCGCGAAGAAGTTCTCGCCGGTTAAGCTCAATGCTGGCTCGGGCGGACCTTTCGGCGTCTCACGAGCGGGCAGTCTTTACCGAGCAACCACTGGTGTCCAATAGCGGAACATCCAAACGTCATGACCATGGGCGCTCGAGCTCCAGCTTCCATCCTATCCATCCCAGCCTCGGCAGCTTGCTGGAGGCGCCTGTCGATGTTACTCTGGACGAGGGTCTTCACAACATGGGCCTCGACGATCACGACTTTGACGGGTTGCAGCATGAGATCCGGTTCACCAGAATCCATACAATCTCCTCGGACAACTCAAATGTCCGCTACTCCACGTCAGCGCAGCCCGCTCGGAGCCAGGCCAAAGTCTTCATTCTCACTGCGCCACCGTACGCCGCCGACGAGCAGCAACGTACGCAGCTTCTCGTTGGGATCCAAGATTCTCTCGAGAGGCGTCTCCATCTCATGACCATTCACGTCACATTGCAAGAGAAGTTTGGGCACGTCACAGCTTCCTTGGTGCCACGGGAGCAGTGGAAGGTGCATAATGTGGTTGACTCGTCGAAACTGGTCGATGACAATCTGTCCGTCATTCTGGTTCTCTCCGAATCCATGGACGGGCGCCACGAGCTGAGCACGCAGGCACCGTGGATCGAACTGACCAAGATTTCCTTGTCTCTCTTGTTCGTCGACGACACGAGGAGCTTACAGTTTCACGGTAGAGCGCGGGACCGAGACGTCAAGCAAAGGAAATCAGAAGTTATAGATGTCAGCAACGGCAGCGTTGTGGGCATCCGTTATCCCCGGCAGCGCGGTGTCGTCGATGTCCTGGATACAGAGGGGCGTCTTCACCAGCTGAGGATTCAACTGCAGCCCTCGTGTCCTCAGGTGCGTCGGGCTTTGGACATTTGCAAGAGCGTTCTACCGAACAATGGGGCAGGGCGCGTTCATGCCGGATGGCTGCATGTCATGCAGTGGCTGCAGGACAAAGGAGAGTCGGTTGCCAGCGTTGAGTGGTCTGCCTTTGCGACTATTCTTCTCGCCTCGTTTCTGAATCTGGGTCGACCCGAATCCAGGGCGTTCCAGACGGCACGCCTCCCGGTTCGTAAGAAAAGGCCGGCATCCGGTTCCTTTGGCTCAATTCGAGAATCTGAGAATTGGAAGGCGATGGAAATGGGAGAAACCGCAAACGCTCTGGGCTGCCCTGTCTGGATGATGAACAGGGGATGGCAATGGGCTCTTGATGAGGAAGCAGACGATGCTCCATTTTCGACGAGTGGCCAAACCTTTACTCCCAGGTTTCTATCCAGGCACATTAATCTTGCAAGAGAATTCTTGTCTTCGTCCTTGGGTGAAACGGCCATGGGGCTGTCGGGGTACATGCCCATGTCCCTTGGCAGAGACTCTGATAGCCGTCGCAAAGTGGCCGTTGATATTTTCATGGCTTTGCACCTGCTCCTCGAGGAACAGAAGCTCGACATAACAACACCTGAATACGTGGCCCTTGGGAGGGTCGATCTGAGAGTTTTGCTATGTCAGATAGCCAGGTGGCTGAAGTGGCATGACTTCTCCTCGATATATGAGCTGGGCATCCAGGAAGACGTTGATCCTCGCCATGACACGGGTAAGCAGATGCTCTCAACATTGTTTGCGGTAAATGTCTCACAGTCTGTCAGAGCTTAACCTGAAGTCACCGATTCCTCAGCCGCCAGTGAGGCCCGATGTTTTCGAATGGATCCAATCTCGGTTCATCGGCCTTCGTGGACAGCCGTGTCTCACGCCGGCGGACATCTACTACGCCAGCTCACGACAACCCGAGGCCAGCAAGTTGGAGGACCAGCGCTGGGATACAATCACTCCCCGAACTCTCATGTTCAAGCGCTTCTTCAAGCTTGTGAGACAAAGGACAACTGCGGTGCAGATGGTAGAGGCGATGAGAGATTGTGGGTTCAACAGACACGTTCTCGAGACGCTACCAGAAGCCATCTCGGCGCCCTTGCAGGATGCGATCTCTCTGTGCCAACCCCATCCGCCATCCGAGTGGACAAACGACTTGTTGGACTTGGTGAAGCGAAGCGACATCAGTCTCATTCTGGTTCCTAAGAAACGACCTCGAATTCCCGCGTCCAGCATCCTGGTAAGCAATGCCGGTCGTATGTTGCTGAAAGAGACTAAAGGTGCAAAACACAGGCTCCCACCCATACTGCAACATGGGACTTCCGACTTCTCTGCCAAAGCGTTGAAGAGACGAACAATATTGGCTATGACGAAGGGGAAGGCACAGAGCGCCAGGCTGTCATAAGAGCCTTGTTCAAAGATGATCGCCGTCTCAACGAGGCGCAAGATCTCTTGTCGACTCACAAAGCGAGACTTGTCCGTTTGGAACCCAACCCGAGCTGGCCGGAAAGCGAATATCTAGAGAAGCAAAAGGAGCTTGTCTCGCGAATTGCTACCGGCACGTTGGCCATCCCGGCTGGCCGGGCGTTGCTATACTACAGTTTACGATACCCTCTTATTACCCAAAAGTTCCACATCGGGGGCTTCAACCTGAATTGCGTGGTCAAACCGGCTAACGTTACGGTTGGCGTCGACAAAGCTTTGTTCACGGAGGAAAAGGTTTGCTGGGGGTTTTTCCATCAAGGAGTTGCGGCCGGCTTGGCCATTTCGCCTCAAGCAAAGGGCATCGACACGTCGTGGATTCTTTACAATAAGCCTGGACAGGAGCTGAGCAATCGACATGCCGGCTTCCTCCTTGCTCTTGGTCTCAACGGCCACCTGAAGGGCGTCGCAAAATGGGTTGCCTTCAAATACCTCACGCCAAAACACACCATGACTTCGGTGGGATTGCTTCTGGGACTGGCTGCCTCATACATGGGCACCATGGACTCGCTCATCACCCGCCTTCTCTCCGTTCATGCTACACGCATGCTGCCCCGTGGCGCTGCCGAGTTGAACCTGTCGCCGCTCACGCAGACCTCGGGCATCATGGGCATCGGGCTGCTATACTGCAATAGTCAGCATCGGCGCATGAGCGAAATCATGCTCTCGGAAATCGAGCAGGTGGACGAGGAGGACGAGGAAGAGCCGCTTCGTAGTGAATGCTACAGACTCGCCGCTGGATTCGCCCTGGGGTTCATCAACCTTGGCAAAGGAAATGATCTCAAGGGCCTGCACGACATGCAGCTCACAGAGAAGCTGCTTGCCCACGCTACCGCGACGAAGAACGTTGAGATAGTCCACATCCTCGATCGTGCCGCAGCAGGTGCGGTCATGGCCATTGCTCTTATATTCATGAAGTCTGAGGACCAGATCGTGGCTCGGAAAATCGACGTCCCCGACTCGGTTCTCCAGTTCGACTATGTCCGGCCTGACATTCTACTTCTCCGGACCGTCACCAAGCACCTCATACTCTGGTCCAAGGTTGAACCCTCTTTTGCCTGGATTCGTGACAACCTCCCGGCACCATATCGCGCCGGACACAGGCTGTTGGGTGTCACAAAGCTGCGGTCGACAGATCTTCCATTCTTCAGCATTGTCACGGGACTCTGTTTCGCCATTGCGTTGCGGTTCTCGGGGAGTGCGTCGACAAGGGTTAGGGACATACTCCTGCACTACCTGGATCAGTTCATGCACATTTCTAGCATCGCGCAGTCGCCAAGGGCGGATCCGGATGCCGGCCCCTTGTACGACGAAGAATTGGCGCGGTCAAACGCCAGGATGTGTCAGGACATTCTTGCCATCTCGTGCTCCATAGTCATGGCCGGTACTGGCGACATTCCCATTCTTCGCCGCCTGCGGGCCCTCCACGGCCGAGACGACCCCGATACGCCCTACGGATCTCATTTGGCTGCCCACCTGGCCGTGGGCGCCCTTTTCCTGGGCTGCGGTACTACGACGTTTGGGACCAACAACATGGCCACTGCAGCTCTACTTGTGGCATTCTACCCTGTCTTTCCCACCAGCGTCATGGACAACCGATCTCATCTGCAAGCGTTCCGCTACTTTTGGGTCTTGGCCACAGAACAGCGTTGTTTAGTCGCCAAGGACGTCCTCACCGGCCAGCCAGTCTCCGTCTCTGTGCAGATCAAGATGAAATCCGACATGTCCACGGAATCTACTCTGAACAGAACGACACCGTGTCTCCTGCCACCGCTCGACCAGATCGCCAGTCTGTCCACTGGCTGTGGGCCGCAGTATTGGGATGTTGAACTCGACCTCTCCAACGACGCCCTCAGGACGGCGTTTGCTGAGACACTTAGCCTCTACCTCCGACGACGACCGCCACGCGAGGGACCTTTTCCGTCGACTCTCCGAGCACTCGGCAGGGATAGTAAGGAGAAGAACCCGCTCGAATGGGTTTTCGGCCTCGACGGCCTTTCCGGTATCACATACGCCGAGAAGGTCGATTTGCTGGAAAGCGCCGAGCGGGAGCCCGACGCCGGCTCCGCTCTCGACGCCCGCCTGGAGCTCGAGCGAGGCATCCTCGATGGTGGCGACCGGGAACGGTTGGAGGGCGCCCGTTTGCTCTTCGAGTGGGGCGCAGTCCGCGAGCGACGTCTCCTCGAGCTTGCCCTCGCAGACGACAGCCAGGCCACGGTCAAAGCCGAGGCGCACGACGAGGGAGTACGGAGCGGGGACGTGTGGTGGATGCGCGACGGGGCCATTGAGAGTCTCCAGGGCCAGGTGTGGCTCGCAGCGCGCGACGGCCGCGAGCCAGAGCCTTAGATGGGCGGCAGGCGGCGCGGCGACGCAGGCGCGATGGGCAAGGGGCATATGGCGATGCGCTTGCTCAGTGGGAGACCTGTGGGCAAGGCGTAGTGAGGCTGGAGTGCCTGTGCCCGACGATTCACGAGGACACGACGTATGTAGACGGGGGGCGTTACATTTATCGAGACAGGCCGGCAAGGGGAAAGACGCCGACGCCGCTAGGCAGGAGCCTTGTATAATTCGTCTGCCAGGTATCATCAAGGTCCGCCATGAGAGCCGTCATGACCTGCAGTGCGCAAGCTCTTGAGCGACCGTGCGCAAGTCTCTGAGCATTGAGATTCCGAGATAGAGTCACATTGTATTTGTTCGTCTGGGGCTCTCTACCGAGCCACGCGCGGAGCAAAAAAAGCATGTCCCCGACTCCCTCCCTTTCGCTTTTTCGCCCCCTGCCCCCCCGTGCCTCTCCTCCCGCATGTCCGAACATGTAAAACGCCATGCAATGCAAACCGCATCACCAGAGCCGGGGGGGCAAGGAGGAGGAAGACGAAAATTGTAAAGCAAAACATTTCAGCTCGAACACATGATAGTGGCAGCGTGGTTGCGAACTTCGCTTTGTCCATAAAACCACGCTGTCCGCCGCCAATATCGCTTTCTGACGGACTTGCACAAGTCGCCATCCTCGTCTCTCTATCCTTGGAAAAAAAGGGGGGACTGGGATTGGGTGTCGTTGAGCTCCCCAGATAGCTCGTCCTCATCCCCCCACCCGCGTGTCCCTCTTGGCGACCAGGTCAGCTTGTTCTCATTTTTGTGGCCCCTCGTCAGATGGAGCTCCGGTCGTGGTACTGCCTCTCTCCTTTTCGCCCAGCTTCTTATTTTGACACAGCGGCGTTGAGGACCTGAGTCCTGAAGAAGCCGCCCTTTGTCTTCTCAATCACCTGCTGGTAGACGTTGTTGGGGGGGTGGTTCATGATGACGGTGCCGTCCTTGCTGTCAATCTTTGCGTCGAGCCGCGTCTCACGGATCAGGTTGACGATCCACTTCTCGCCCTCGTCGGGGTTGAGGCCCAGCTTGCCGCTCAGGTCACGGATGTTCATCCGGCTGAAGATCTTGCAGTAGCTCTCGCAGATGAGGTGGCGGGCGGCGCCGACAAACGCGTCGGCCGACGACGCGAGGAAGAAGTCGGCGCGGCAGACCTCCTCGGCCATGCGGAGGGCGTCGCGCGCGGCGTCAAAGTCGTGCGCAATGTACAGGGCGTGGATGAACTGGGTGACGGGGTCCGAGTACTCATAGGCCTCCTGGCGGACGTACCGCACAATGTCCTTGAGCTGCTTCTGCTGGATGGAGCTGTTGCGGGCGCGCGTGCGGCCGGTGATGACGGCGGCAATCAGGTGCCGCAGGATCCAGGGGCAGGACGTCTGGATGGTGTTGATGAAGGCGGCGGAGAAGAACATGTCGAGAATGGGTTCCCTGGCGCCGTCAAAGTTGAAGAGGGGGAAGAGGGACCAGTGCACCAGCATGGTGCGGTGGTCGAGCTGGGCGCGGGGGTTGCTGAAAAGCTTGGTATCGATGTTCTCCCTGACGTTCTTCAGTTCGTCAACGGCAGATTCCCAGTTGGTGGACAGGATCTCGGATGCGAGCTTCCCCCAAGTCGACGCCGAGACCTTATCGTTGTCGGTCGAGAGGACTCGGAACTGGTACAGCATGTCGGCGGCCGGGCCATACTGGCCGCAGCGGAACTGGAACTGGCCAAAGTCGTAGAGCGCGTTGACCATCTCCATCGTAACCTGTGCGAATGCCATTTGTCAGTTCACTAATGCCGAAGCGCCGGGCTGGCAGGGGGGGGGCTCGTCTAACCCCGTGCTGGTTCTTGAGAAACTCCAAGTTGGCGACCTTGTCGCTCCTGAGGCCGTTGACGACGTCGTCCTGCGTCAAGAGATCGGCAATCTTGGCCGTCGCCTGCTCGTACTTCTCCAGCTGCGACAGCACCTCTTGCCGCTTCTTGGTGTACTCGGCCGGGGGGTCCGCCACGCCGTGAAGGTCGCAGTACAGCGTCGCCACGTAGTCGGTCATGTTGGTGTCCTCCAGCAGCTTGATTTTGCCCGACAGGATCTGCTTGGCCAGTTCGTCGTCGCCCTTCTCCTCGGCCTGGTCGCCCTCGAACTGGATCAGGGGGAACAGCAAATGCCTGCTCAGATGCGGCGCCAACAGCGGCATGATGGACGAGCCGCCGGCCGAGACCGCCTTGAGAACGTCCTCCATGTTGAGCTTTCCGACTGAGAAATTGATACGGTTCGGCGAAGGGAAAGTGGAGGAGCTGGGGGACGTTTTCGCTGTTCGCAGGGGTTGTAGATGCGCAACTGCGGCCGTCGTCGTCGTCGTCGTCCGTCGTCGGGGGAGGAGTGGTGCCTTTTTTTTCAGGTGAATTTCGCGAATATCCAACGTGGTGTGGGGGCTTGGCGATACTCCGTGGTTTTGCCGCCAATGGGCCCACGTCAGTCATGTGATCCAAGCTTGCTTCGAGAAAGCTTCCGCATCCATCGTGACCAACGGCATTGGCCTCGACGAACCAAGGCGTTATCTTGGATTTTCCCCCTTCGCGGATAATTCTCGACTTCGAGTCCCTTTCTTCATTAATCCGCGCCTGCGACTGCGAACTCGACTCGCGGCGATTGCCCCAGGCGGGCTCTAACTTAGCAGGCCTTCTTTCCAGTTTCCCCGACCCCGGCCTCGCCTCGTTCTCGCCATGAGCCGATTTCTCACACGAGCCCTGTTCCACGGGCGCGTCGCAATATCTCCTGCTGCCACCGCCATCCCGCTATTTTCCCCGCGCGCTCTCCTCCCCCAGCTCCAAGCCTCCCTCTTCTCCACGCATGTACCCCAACCCGCCAGCCCCAGAGAGAAAGGCCCGAAGCTTCGAACTCCCACCCCTCCACCTTCAAAGAGCCAGGAGGAGCTCGCTCAGATGCCATACCTTGTTCGCCGTACACCTTCCGCCCAGCTGCCCGTGTACCGACGAACAAAGTCTGGCGGGACTCTAAGAGAGACTCACGTCAAGAAGGTCGAAGGTGATCGGAAGAAACTGGCCCAAGAACTTGGCGGGGCTTTGAGTCTCGATCAGAAGGACGTCAGGGTCAATCCCACAACAAATCACATAGAGATGAAGGTAAGCTTAACTGCCCAGCTCCTTATTTTTGACTCGTGCGTCCCTGATCAGCTCACCAGGGGAACTTAGGGCCACGTTCTCGAGGAAGTCAAAGCGTACTTGCTCAAGTTGGGGTTTTGAACATCGAGCCACGGGAATGCAACCCAAACGTATCATCGGAGGGCTTCTCGGCCTGTGGGTACGAGTCTACTCACAAGCCGCACTTCCCGAATGCCAACCAAATGTACATTAGGACAATTGAGTACTAGAGCCATCCATTGACCGTGGTATCAGTACTCCGTATATCTCGCCTCCCTACACCTATGTACACCGACACGTACGCCTTGGACAACAGTCCCTAAGCATGTCCAACTCTCCAAGCCGGGTCGGACTCCCCATGCAAATCTAGCTATACGCCGACATTCGATGTGCCATGACCCAGAAGAAAAGGACTAGTAAGAACAAAGAGGCGAGTGGTGGCGCCGCCTGCACGCTTCAAGTTTGGTCACCAGTGTTATATCCAGAAGAAAAGGTGGCCTAGGCCAGCAACCCAAGTGACGCCAGCTGCGGTTGTGCAGGTCTAGCAGTTGTTGAAGATGGACGTCAGCTGCAGGAGCATCCCTTCTTTTGTCCATTCGGGAGACTGCATCGTCAACGCTTGCATGAGCAGTTGTGTCTGCGGCAGCAGATCCGCAGGAACTGCGCACACTGGGCTGTTCGGGTCCCCTGCCTTCTCAATCAGTCGCTTGAGCAGCGCGACCGAGACCACGACGATGTAGAGAAGCTCGGGGTCTCTCCTGGGAGCGATCCGGCTTGGTGCCCGGTGGGCCAGCTGCGGCTTCTCGTACAAGACACTCAACTCCTGGACAAGCCGGTACAAGTTCTGGGCAAGGCTGTGGCCAGATGCGAGCCAGGACCTTGCCAACCCAGACTCGGAACCTGGTGCCAAGGATGCGAGGATCTCGGCGGCCAAGAGTCCCTGCATCAGGAATGGTTTTCGAGATTCGGTGAGTGAGGGCAGAGCCGCCGGTCGGCTCTGCTCCTTGGTCTTTTCCGGCACGGGCGAGACGACCAAAGCAAAGGTGCGAGTCAGCAAGTCGTAGCCCGCCGAGCCGTTGACGTCGGCGGCGAATAGCGACTTGTAGAAGCCCCGGTTCGGTTCGTCTCGGGCGAGGAGCTTGGCGAGCGCATCGACCGCGTGAGGGGTATATGGGTGAAGGGTCGGTTCGTAAGGTGGAAAGAAGAGGGTATCGTCGCACACGGTGGGGCCAGGCGTCGGGGCAAAGGCCAGCAAAAACTGCAGCAAGCACAGCGCCTGTTCTCGCCCGGGCAGCTCCACAGAGCCCGCGATGTTGGACAAGAGAATCACAATGTCCTTCATGAAATCCAGCGTGTTATTATGCGTGCGGAGCAGCATGGTACGCGTCCCAAGGTACCGAATGACGACAGAGATCATTTTGATGACGGACTCGTCCGAGAGGAAATTGTGGTTGTCGTTCTGCTCGCCCGGGAAGGAGAAGTTTCGCAGAATGGTCGTGATGCATATCAGCCTGTCCACGGCACGATCCAAGTCGTATTCGGTGGTGCCAAAGACGGGCATGTCCTTGATCGCCCACCTCTCCAGTCGACAAGCTCGTACGACGTCTTCGTAGGGATTGAGGAGAATCTCGTCGGACACCTCGACCGTATGCTCGGCCAGCATGTCGACCTGTTCCTCGGCGCAGTCGACGAGAGCGTCGATCAAGTCGTCGCAATACCGCAGCTGCATGAAATGCATCGGGCTTGGCGATGCCGCCACCATGGCCAAGGTGTCCAGGGCAAGGCGAACTTCTCCGTGGATGCCGCTCTGAAGGCTTCGCGTCAGGGCATGGATGTCAATGTTGCCGAGATCGTGCACTGTCGGGGCGGATGGGTTCCACTTGTCCAGTTCGGCCCCCAACAAATTTGCGGCGTGAAGGTCGATGCCGCCGTAGGTCGAAAGCTCGCGCGCGCAGGGATTATATTCATCGGACTTTTGCGGCATTCGTGTCATCGCTTGTTCGAGGCCGGTGGCGGAGGGAGGGGCGGATTGCCGGTCGTCGCCCTGGGTCATGGACAAGCTCGTAGACCGGTGATGCGCTGGGGACTGTACCGAGAACTCGCCGACCGCAGAGGGATCCATCCCGCGAGACAGGCTGTTCCTGGTATGAGCGGGAGCGGCGCCAGACTGCTGCGGTTGCTGGGGATGAGGCACAGAGAATCCATTGATAGGAGGCTGGTCGGGTTTCGCGGGCGTGTGCTGTTGCGCTTGGGGGGGCTGCCCGGGTTGCATCTGTCCCTGATTCATCTGCTGTCCCGGTTGCAGCTGCTTCTGCGGCGTGCCTTGGCCTGCCATGCTTGCATTTTGCTGCATCATCCTTTGCTTCTGCTGCGCCATCCAGACCTCCTCAAACTTTGACAGGTTTCGCTCGTATACTTGTTTCAACGTCGGTGGGACTGTCGGAGCCTGCGCGGGAAGACCCAAGGCCTGGGCTATGTGAACCCATCCGTTTGCTGCCGTGACCGCCTTGTAGCCCCCCTTGGATTGGACGGCTTGGAAGAGCATGACGAGGTGTACCGGCCGGTCGCCGACAATCGGATTAGGATCTAGCGGTAGCCCCTTGGCATTCATGAGCGCGGTCAGGTGCTTCATAAACTGTTCCGGGTTAATGTTGGTCATCGGACGTGGCTGCGGCCGCATACCGCCCGGAGGCATCTGGCCGTTTGGCATGCCGGGCATCTGCTGCTTCTGCATCGCCCCACGCCCCATGCCCTGGGCTTGCATTTGCGCCTGCATCTGCATGTTTCCCTGTAGCTGCTGCTGGAGCCTCATCTGGTAGGCGGCCATCTTCTGCTGTTCCGTCATGTTGGGCGGCCGTTGCTGGTGCTGTTGAGGTTGGCCCTGCTGCTGCGGTTGACCCGGCTGAGAATGCTGTTGCTGTTGCTGCTGCATCTGCTGCATTTGTTGGTACATATGGGGCGGCATCTGGCCCATCTGTTGTGGCATCATCTGCCCGCCGGCCATCGCATTCGGATTGGGCGAGGGACGAGGGTTCGAGGGCGACGGCGCAAACCCGGCACCGTACCCGGGGGGCATGTTTTGCATGTACGTGTTCGGTTGGGGCGTGCCATGCTCCGAGGGCACGGGTGACGTCTGCGACCCACCGCCAAATTGCTGGGCGCCGGGCGAAAAGGGATGAGGCGAGGCCGTGGCTACTCGCTGGGGCACGCTGCCCGGTCGCATCTGGTTGCTCATGATGGGCGACGGGCTGGCGTTGGCGGAGCCATTCGGCTGGAGGTGCGGGAATTGGCCGGGGTTCTGCTGTGGTGGGATGGAGCCGCCGGGCTGGAAGCCTGCGTAGTTTTGTTGTTGGGGCGTTTCGGAGCGCGACGGCGGCTGCATGCCGGGATTCTGTCGCGGAGAGCCGGTGATGCTCTCATCGCGCGGGCGTGGACGTTTTGATGGAATAACGGAATTAGTCTGGTAGACGAGGTTGGGGGTCTGGCTCTGGGACTGGTTCTGGTTCTGGTAGGCGGTCGGCGAGGCATGGCGCATGGGGCCATTTTGCATGGCGGCCATCTGCTGCTGTTGCTGTGGATTCGAAAACTGGCCAGGGTTGAACTGGGCCGAGTTGGACATGAAGGCGGACGGATCCATCATGGCACCGGCGGCGTTTGGGTCGTTCAAGTGCGGGAAGCCGTTGCCATTGTGGTTGGGGACGGCGTCGTTTGTCCAGGCGCTCATGGCGTCGAGCCCGACAGGCTGTGCGCGACGGCGTCAGCAATCAGCAGGCACGCAACCGGCGTCTCATTGAAGGGCGCAAGGATGCAAGGAAAATGGGGCCGTGGCACGGCACGCGAGGGTGGTGATGGTCGAGTCGCGTCGCGGGTTGGTGGAGGAGTGAATGTGTGAGCGAGCGTGTGTGCGTGTGTGCGTGGGTGGGCGGGCGTGGGCGGTGGGAAAACGGGAGAGCTGGGCGCGCTGTAGGGGCCCGCCCGGGACAGTACCAGGCGCCGGCAGCACCCTGTTGCGGGATGGGGGAGCAGCGCCGTGGGTAGGTGCTGGGTAGGTGCTGGGGGGGAAGGGCAGCGGGCGCTGACGGCAGCCAAAAAAAGGGAACCACAGGGCAGAGGGGAGGGTACCTGCTAATAATGGCAAAACAGCAGGCAAAACGGGCGTACCTGGGTGCTATGTACTGCGGCCAGAAACAGTACGGGGGGCCGTCCAAGGGGGCAAGGTCAGGCGAGCGGTAGCCTTCAGGTCGGCAAAGGGCGCCAGTGGCCTGCTGGACACGAAGGGCTCTAGCTCGCTCGCCCTCAAGGCCCGGAAGGGATGGAATGGGGCGCCAGCAGTGGAGAGGCAAAGCAAGACGGGAGGCAGAGCGAGAGCGCGGCGCGGAATGGGCTCCAGAGCGCCCCTCAGCACCTCGCGTCCAGTGGGAGGTACTGCAGGCAGGTACAGGAGCGTATTGCGGGAGAAAATTTCGTGCAGCGCAGGCAAAGACTCAGGCCACCTCGACGCCTGCGGCAGCCGCCCAGGAAATGCTGACGGGGGATGTAGAGCCAGAGCGGAGAGGAGGGTCGCGGGTCGCCTCGTGACGCTGCGTGGGATGAAACTCTTGGACCGCGGCCAGGGGGGTACGAGCAGGTGCAATACGTACGTGGAAGCGAGGCAACCCAAGGCGAATGGATGGGTGCGATCGCTTGGTCTTACCTAAGGGAACAAGGCCGCGCGTGTGTGTGCAAAAGCGCCAGAGCGGATCGGGGGGCCCCGTGAAAAATGGCCAGCTAACCACATCCGGCTTATGTAACGCGGCTCCGCCTCAACGCCGACGTATGCCGAGCTCGGGCTCGGGCTGCAGCCAATCAACGCGCGAGCTTAGTGTCGAGGTAGCGACTCTCCACAGGTTCGTTAGGGTGTTTGCGGCAGAGCAGGCCATGCACCTTACCACACCGGCGCATGCCGAGTATCGCGGACCTATCAGCAAGCGTCGGCGGGAGTGCGCAAGAACGATTTGCACTCCACGTCCGCCAGCGCTTCTCCATCTGCAACCCCCCATTGCCGGTCGCCTCTGGAGAACGATGAGCAACGCCCAACATGGGTTGACAAAACAAGGCGTGGAAACCAACGTTAAGAGCCTTCCGGGTCTGCGCGCGCGTGTCAAAGTCATCGAACCGAGCAAGCATCGCCGCCGATGGTGAACAGCAGCTCGTCCGGCCGACCGACGCCCGTGCCCCTGCGGCTTTCTCTCGGAGACCATCCGCGACGGGAGCGCATGGAGACTGGGCCGGCCGGATTCAACTTTCCGAAATGACACGGGGAGGCGTCGCGGGACGCGCGATAGGGACGATGGAATTCGTCGAATATCCCCCGTGTAGAAGCACGGCCGTGCGCTCGCATGTGTGATGATTGCTGCTCGATTCTGTGCTGGACAAGGCTCCATCATCTGCTCCTCGGCGGATGGCGTCGACATTTGCCTGACAGGTCATCAGGCAGGTCTCGAGTGCCGGTCAGGGTCGTGTGCGATTTCGTGTTGTCAGACATGATGCCAAAGAAGCATGGCATACCGATGGGCCGTGATAGTGTCGTGATGTCTGGTTGCAAGCAGAAGGCGCTGAATCTTGGCCGAGCCGTGTTGGCCCTCCCTCTCCGAGACTCGGAGAGGCTCGGAGAGGGAATAACAAGATGAGGCGAAGGAAGAATGGCTGTGTGCCGTCATGGACCATGGGCAATCTTTTTCGTATCAGCTGGAGTGCTTTCCATTTGGACCTTGGCGAGACAGCCATGCCCAAGACAATCTGCCGCCAGCAGCGGCAAGCTCCAGCCCCCCTCCCCACAAGGCTCGGGGGCCCCTGCTGGCAGTTGATACGTTTGATACGTCGACCACCAGCATGGTTACAGCATGGCGTCCGCCCCGGCCCCACCGCGGGCACAAGGCAAATGCCAGGCCACCACACCACCTCCGGCCAGGGCGTCTTTGCTTTCCGTGCAAGAGTGAGAGAAGGAGGGGGGGGGAGAGAGGGAGAGAGAGAGACAGACAGAGAGACAGAGAGAGCGAGGACGGTCGAGCTGCAGGCAAGACGTTTGCTTGGCCCCGAATGGCAAGACTTGGCAGAGCGGATTCGTCGGCCGAGATTCGACGCATCATGATGGGCCAGATGGGCCTGTGCGGCTAGGGAGACAGAGAATGGGCCGCTGTGTGACGCCGTTTGAGCGCCAGGGTATGCCGGATGGAGTCAGCCCCTTGTCACGCACACGCGCGTGGCCAAAACCGAGCTGTTGTTCGTCGAGCCGAGTTTGTCGTGCAGAGAAGTCTGTTTTGTCTCTCTGGCTGTGTGGATTCTGGAGGCAAAGCCCCGACCGAGCCTGGCTCGCCTCCCCCAGGGACGGTCCGTAGCTGGCGGGCGCGCAAAGACTGGCTGTCGCCGCAGAGGGCCCCCCATATTGCCGGGGGAGCTCACTGTAGCCGTAGCGGGCACCTCGCTAGCAGCGGCCCCGACAGGCGGAGGGGCTCGTTCCAGACAGCGAGGGTGTAAGTCGGCAGCACCACGGCGTCAAAACAACGCAGAAAGGGGAGGGACAATGGGATGGAGAGGCAGAGGACGGGGACGGGGGAAGCACAACAAGGTTGAAAAATGGGAAGGGAAAATGGGGGGAAGGGGGGTTAGTTATGTGAGTGAGCCCACGAGTGAGTGACTGCGCTGGCCCGGCCCGGCCTGGCCCTGCCTGCTTGCCTGTGCCCCCTTTAGAGGACGGACGGGAGGCCGGAGCCAAAAAGCCTGAGCCAGCCTGAGCCAGCCTGAATCTCTCCTGTTCTCCGTAATAATAAACAACTTTTTTAATTCCCCGTCGTCAGCAGAGAGGAGAGAGAGGCGCCCCCTTGTGCAAGGTCAGCAAAGTGCCTTTTCCTCCACGTGCGCTCTCTTTGTCCCCGATGATGGTCGCCCGCATCGTGCAGAGAGAGGAATCAGACCCAAGATGAAGAAATCTCGCGCGTTTTCCCCCTCTGACCGGTCCCCTCTGGTCCCCCCCCGCCTCCCCCCTCGCCGATGCCCCGGTCGGTCCATGACAGGCTACGGCAATCCAACGAGCTGGATTGGACTGGATTGCGTCGCCCCATGGCTGCTGATGATGATGGTCGTCGACGATAACCACCAGCCAGCTGCCTCTGCGTCTCTCTCCGTGCAATCGAACGGCAGCCAAGGCGGCCGCCACGCTTACCTGGCGCGCCCAGGTGGTTGGGAGCTCGCGGCGCACCACCTGTTGGGCCCAGGCCGTCGCTCTGGCCCCAGCCGCTGGAGACGAGGCCCTTGGGCTCAAGTCGAACAAATTGCGTCCATGCCGCCCCCGAGACATCTGTCCAACATGACAATCTCCTTCGGGAGCCCCCGTCTGCTCACCCCACAGTCGGTTTTCCATGTCTTAAAACCCCCAATCCTTGCTCAGCCGACCTCGTTCATGTACGCAGACGGATGGATGGCATTTGTGTGCTTGTTTGCCCGCGTGTGCACCGCATGGTCCTAGACGACGCCGTGCCACTGCAGGCTTGTTTCCTTTTTGCTCCTTTTCGCCCAGCTTTTCCTCATCAGCCTCTGCCGTACGGAGTGCAGAGTATAACTGTACAGTACCGACTTGGCACGGTCCGGCCATCGACGAAATTGCACCGTGTCGCTGGCCCGTCTATACCCGACACGCACTGAATCAACACAGTGCTTATCAAATATCAGCTAACCCTCTCCTCTGTTGATGCTCTTCGCACTTTTCCGATGCAAGAAATGAGCAGCCCTTTGGGCGATTCCGTCGCAACAGCCGGTCCCCCTGGCGCACACTTCCGCCACTGCGGTCAACTGTAATGACTCCAGTCCGGACAGTCCGCGACTGGACCGTCTTCCTCCTCGTCCGCTCGGGACATCTCTTTCGATAGGTGGTATTATTTCCCTTCAATGGCATGATATAACTAACTTGCGACCTCCAGTGCTCGAGCGGCCGCAGATATCGATGCGCCACAGACCAGGCGAATTTCCGAGAGCTGCCCATGACGACCATTTGCAGACAGTCGTCACCCTTTGTCAATGCTTTACCATGACCCAGAGTCCCAGACTGGTACTATAGTGGGGAGTCCAGCTGTTGACAGGCCAATGTGCCAGTCCACAAAGTTGTGCAGCAGCTGCTTCCGTTTGATTCAGACGTCACCAAGCGACAGTTTCACTAGCAAAGGAAGCATGCCAGTAATCTTCCTCGGATCGACTTGACGAACCAGTCCATTCTGGATGATTCCCGCCTCTGCACGGCCCATGATATATGTACAGATCAACACCGCACCTGAACTGCAGAGAGCAGCGAGCCAGCGGCAAGCGCCGACCCGCACACGCCTACTGACGGTGAAACACGGCAGGCCGGCCATGGCAGTCCCAGATAACTTGACAGACAGCATCCTAGACGCCAAATGATAAGCACCCGGGGAGCTGCGCCTCGAGAAGCCATATTTGTCGCCTCTCGAAGGCAGGCTACGCGGACAAAATGACGGCTGGCAAACCTTATATACCTACGTGCGAAGCCGCCTTGGATTTTACATGGTCCGCTATACATAGTAGGTACCGTCCATCTGCCACATGCAAGGTGTATCCAAGTGACTATCAACAGGGACTCCTATACTCGCTCCTTGGTGAACGGGTATTTCCGCGGGTCAAGTCCTTGCCAATCCATCGCCCCGGGCGAGAGTGCATCAGCTCCAACAGATGCATGACCAGCGCTTGCTACAAAGTCTTTTTTTCGCTTCTGGCAGTCCCATCATTCTCATCTTCGGGGAAAGGCTCACTCTACCAGTCGCATCATTGACTTGTGGACTTTGATAATGTTTCCATCCACGAGCAAAGGTAAGAAGCTAGCGTTCTTCACCGCCAGCTTCACCTGATATCAGAGAGTCGTTCGTCACCCGGATGATTATGTGGGATCATCTCGTGGCAGCGTGTCTTGGACGGCCTGCTAGTCAGTTCATGCAGAACTAAAAATGTCATCTTGGCAGTGCCTATGTATCGCCAAGCGAAACTTCAGCTCTGCTCGTTTTCCGTCGTTTCGATGCCAAGTTGTGCTTGAACCTGGGTTTGTTATCAAAGTCCACCAATCGCCGTCTTCAAGCCGTCGCGACACATTGCCTGAGAACTCGCAGACTGCCGCGAAAATACAACTCATTAAATTAACAACATTGAAGCCATAGTACCCCCAGGATGAATTATCCGACGGTAGAATCGGGCTTCCCCGTGTCGTTGGTTGAACCAAATCGCGATAGTCGCTTTTCTCCTCGTACTGGGCCTGCATTCAAGACCGGAATGCTACCAAGTTGAAAACCTTTTATCATCTTGCTTCCAATGCCCTGTTGGTGTTCCCCCTTACCATTAGCCTCCACGAGCCAAGAATCACTTTCGGGACATGTTTCTTCTGGCAGACCAGAGTCTGCAGGGAATGTCCGGCCTGAAATTGACGTCCCTGACCACCGCCGCCGGAATCTTTGATTTCCTAGGCCGGGAGAAACTTCCAGAGCGTAATGGATACAACACGTTTCTCTTCCCCGGTGCACCAGAGCTGCTTGTCCTCGACGGATTGTCCGAGTTGCTCTTCAGGGCTTCCGCAGAAGGAGGCGTCGCCTTGCCAGTGGCACATCCAAGAAACTGACATTCGCTGCCGATGGCTCCTGGTAGAAAGGCAACAGTAGTGATGGTGGCGAGGAGTCTCATGAAAATGGGAGAGAAGGAGGCTGCTCAGGGACTGGATTATGAAAAACTCAATCTTGTATGTTTACCAAGGATGTCATAAAGAGGCTTCACTTTTCGAGGGCTATGGAGACTAATATACTATATGTTTGCCAGATCAATCAACACGCTGAAGACGGAGATTGACAATGAATACCTGTTGTTTGCCTGATGCCTCTTGGCGAAGAGCATGGTTGAATGTCCGTCAAGTTGGGAGACGGAGTTAACTTCATGAGACTAGCAACGAACCACTCATTGACGGTTTAGCGGCCCCAGAATGCCGGCATAGCGCTGCTCGCATGCAAATTCATACCCACATTATATGCAAGTGATTAGGACATTGGAAGGAGACGTGAGGCTCGGGCCTAAAAACTGGATGATGCCCCGGCCGACGAATTTGCTGGCTTCCACCATGTGACCATGTGGAGTTGATGTTAACACTTGTAACAACGACTCGAAATTTACACAAATGCCCCTGAATAATGAAAGAGGGCGTGAAGACTCGAGAGTGAATGGGCCGTTCCAGATCGGGCCCCGTGGCTACGTTGGCAGGGGAATTGTCATGCATGAGCCGATGCTCACGACGGCACACAAAGGGTCTGAGCCCGAAGAACGAAGAATGAGGCGAGAGAAGGGTTCTTCTTTCCTTCCTAATACCTACGGCTGCTAACGGCTTGTGGCAATCAGGGGTATACGGGAAGCAAAGTCTATTACATGGCATAGCACGCCGGCAACATTATGCCGGTCGGGGGGCGTTCTGATCTGTAGTCTGAGACCGTGGTGCCGAACGTGCGGCGTCGGTGAAAGACATTCATGGGGAGCTTTGTTGCGCTTGCCACGATAACCTCGGGACCGTTCCCCTATCCAGGCTTACTTCCTCGTGTCCTCCATCTGCCGACTCTAAACAGAAAGCTAAAGATCCGTCGTCCTTCCGCACACAGTCATAGCCTAGAGCGAAAGCACCACGCTCTTTGGATTGTTTGAGCATTGACGCGGCAAGGCCGACCACCTGGTTCGTTGATTTCCAGCATCTTAAAGCACGGTTTGATCTCCGTCTCACGACTTTGCCTTGTTGAGCAAAGGCAAACTCAAGTGGCACGGGTCAAAGGCATTTTTCGCCGCATCCGGAAGCGCCATGCTGGCCCATCTTCCCTCCCGAGTCTAATTTACAGGAATGCCGGATTGCTTTTAAGGTTTTGCCACTGTAATTTATGTAACAAAGCTCATATGGATGTTTCAGGATTTGAGCACGACCAGTTTGTGGCTACTACCCAGACTATGTGTGGCCAAGCTCTCTGCTTGCCAAGCTATTAATACGGTCATGTTTCTATCCTGTCGACCAGAATGTTCACGCCGAGAAGATCAAGATAATATTACTTTCTATCTAACCTCTAATTTATATTCCGGTACTTCTTACAAACGAAGACACCTCAAGCTCAAATGTCTCAAACCATCTTACGGGGTCTGGCCTTGGCCAACCACTTTATGATTTTCGCCTCGGCCACTATCGTCACTGGCTTGCTTTCTCGCTTCTTGCACAAGAATGACTTTCGCAATGCACATCTCATCTACGAAGAGGTTATCGTGAGTCAAACAACGCCAACGAAAAAGGGGGTTCGCCTTCTAACCCAACTATCTAGGCTACTATTACTCTCGCCTTCTACTTGGCTGCTACAGCCTTGCCACTCATCAAGAGCTATCGTGGCTACCTTTTGCCGCTGAACCTTATCTTCTCTTACTTGTGGCTCACGTCGTTTATATTTACGGCGCAAGATTGGAGTCGTGGCAAGTGCCTTACTGCAGAACCACGAGAGCATTCACAATGCCGAAAGAGACATGCCGTTGAGGCGTTTACCTTTATTGCCTTGTATGTCACCTCGGCTCTGCCTTGTCGTGGGCTACGCCGCCAGCGCTAACCGTCGAATTATAGTTTCTTTCTCATCTGCAACGTGGTCACAGAAGGGCTGCTTTGGTGCTCACACAGCAAGGAACAGTCAGGAAACAGCCGATCTGCAGACGCAACCGCCTAAAAAAGACAAAATCTTGAACCGGGTGCTATAATGCCCGAAAGTTCAAATCCTCATGTGGTACATCTGGTCTGAACGATATGTTGGCTTATGTCCGAAGCCTCGGCAGACACGGTAGGGTTAGAAGGAGCGAGAGGTGCGACAGGCTTTGCTTTTTGAGGACGGCGAGAGATGCATTACGCAGGTCATGCATTATATAACAACCACGTCTCCTCGTCGAGTCACTTATCCTTTTCTCCTCTTACACGGAATATAGTAGTAGTTAACTAGTTACGCAAGACACCCCGTATATTAAGGCACTTCTTAGAGTTGCTGTTTTTATTACCTAAACCTATTTACTATCGTGCGATATATGCCACCAACCTAGAGATTAAGCGGCAGTCTGGCAAAGTCGGTTCCCCGCAAACTAGAAACACCAGTTTTGACGTGGACGAGGGCACACGCCCAAAGCACGGGCAGCACACGGCTAAGGGTAAGTTGAGAAGTTAACAACTTCACAGACCTCTGGATCATCTGCTCATCGAAGAAGCAGGTGACTCCGTGATTCGCTCGCTGCTCTGATGATTGCTCCGGTATTACACTTCATGATTCTGTCAAGCCCGGAGCGCCTCTATCGGCAACACTCGCCTGAGGAGAAAACAAACGTTCCAATTGATGATGAAAGAATGAGATGCCCGAAATCAGATGATCCGCGTGCCTTTGGGCCATTAAGTACATCTGTGGGTGGCCCCAGACTGCAAAGTCATGTTAGGGATGGGGTTCGTGACAGGGATGACCTTGCCCGTCAAACACCTCCCCAGCGGCTTTCCGACTCAAAGACTCCAAAGGAAAGAACGCGACAACCACGGCCAAGAACTCTTGAGACCACGAAAGAAAAGAAAAGGAACGAACACCCCCCGACGGAACTCTCCTAGTGACCATAGGAGACATAGTGACCATTGTCTTTCCCGGTCCGCAGCTCTCGGTATGCTGTGATCAGATAGGTGGGCTATCGCGTCCCGTAGCCCGCCGCTTTGGAACGCTCCAGTAGATGCAATACTGGGAACGGTTTGTAACTGATTTCCCTGGTCTGCTCTGTCTACAGTTCCCTAGGACAAGGCTCTCAGTATCGCGAGTGGTGCAGCCATCAGTGCTGAGAACTACGCCGCGTTCGACAGCCGTCCCGTCTTTGAGTTTGTCGCGCAAGAAGCCCAATCTTCCCGACAAGGGCCACGCGCATTCGGCGTCCGTCTGCGGGGACGAGATCAAGAGGCTTTCAGATCTTGCGGCCTGCGTGCCTCCTGCGCGCGAGATCCACCGCATCGCTCTTTGGCTTCCTCTTCAGCCTTCTGGGCGTCGCCTGCGATTCATCGTCCTCTGTCGCGGCTGGCGGGGAAGAGTCGTAACCCGTCTGGGCACGAGGTGTGCCGTCTGTGCCTGGCGTCCACTGGCCGGGCGTCCACCGGCGTATTGTCCACTAGCCGTGCGTCGAGTCGGCGACGGAGGACGACCGCTGCACCTGCGTATTCTGGAGGCGCGTCTCTCTTCGTCGGCGAATGCAATGTTGCGGATGGAGACACGCTCGCCCAGAGGAACCGGCGCCTGCCCGGGGTCGAGGTGTGCGGCTGTAAGGGGCGTGCCTATGCGCCAGCGGGCCGCGAGATTCTGGATATTCTCGTCGACACCCCTTACTTGGCTGGGGTCGTCGAGGAAAGAGTCGGCGAAGGTGCTGTAGAATAGCCCCTCCTCGTGGATGAGATCTGAAGACACCTGCGCCTAAACCACGCGCGCCATTGGATACCTGCTCGCGGGGTGTCCGAACGGGCTCGTCTTGCTCGATTCCATGCGCCTGCACCACGACCTGATCCGGTTGGCCCACGCGGTCTTCTCCTCGCCATCTTGGCGCCCCAGCTCAACGGCACACTCCACGGCCACCGCGCAGCGGAGGGCCGCATCCACGAGTCTCTAGAGCCTCTCGCGCGCGTCCTCAGTCGCCCTCATCTGCGGGTGGAGGAACACCTCTGTTCCCGCCCGGCTAGGCCAGCATGGCCTTGCCTGCTGCAGTGTTCACGATCTTTGAGTCTGGGTGAAAAAGCCTCCTCGCCGTGGCCGTGTTTCCAAGCTCAAGTTCGAGGCTGTTCACCTTGATCATGGGATCGTACGGAGGGTGGAACAGGAGTCGGAGGTCGCCGAGTTCGTACTGTCCCCATCACTGAAGTCGATTCCCAGCTTGGACCAAATGAGGTACGCCGGACCGTTCTTGCGACCTAAACGAGACTTTTCCAGTTAATCAGGCGATAACAATGGTTATACGCCCCGTCGAGTTTCTTGGCGGTGTGTGCCTCGTCCACCATCAGAAACCGAAACTCGAGTTTGCCGATGTCGGGGTTGCGGAGCTTGTACTCGATGAGGTTTCCGTCGGGTACGATGTCAATGTCTCTTGGGACCGGGACCAGCTTGGACCGCTTTGTCGCCCTGATGAAGAACTTCTGGACTGGTCCGTCGTCTGGGACGTCGAGCTTCTCATTGACGCGCCTGGCGATGTCCTCCTTATCCATCTCCCACGTACCAGCGGTCCCGGGCTCGTCGTCGTCCTTGTCTTCATCCGGACGGTATGCCATCCTTGGCCCGCTCCAGCGTTGGCGTCTGGGTCGTCCATGTTCGGCACGAGTCTTGCACCCTGTGGCTGGCGCAGTGGATTTGAACAGAGTGGATGATGCAGTATTCTCCATCCACCTTGATGTCGATTGCAGTTCCTCCTGATCCTCGTCCTAGGCGACCTGGCCCCAGCCATCGTCCCCGCCGCTCCTTGCCGCCTCCATCTGGGCCTCGAGCCTCTGCAGCTCTGCAGCGTCGTCGGCGGCGTCATCGGGCTCTACCGCTCCGCTCCAAGTCCGAGCCGTGCCGGGCCCGCGAGGACCGCGTCGCACACCTCGGTGGCAAATGTTGCCTTGCCGCCGTCGGGGCGTCCCATGACGAAGACGCGGCCGCCTTTCTGTGCGTGAGCCGCGCCACGGCCTCGTCAAATCGACCGTTGTACGTCCCGTACATGGGTTGCGCGCATGATTGCCAGGAAGATGAGAGGAACGCAGAGGCAGACGCCCCTGATGTAGAGCATGCTCTGTATTGACTGGTATCCATGGGCTGTGGCTGTCATCTCGGGCGTACGGTGGTAAAGGGCTCAACGGCCAATGCCAAGCCGAGGCTGGCCAGGGCCTCGTCCGCTTGGCGGGAACGAGGTGAGGTTGAGGGGCAGACAGGAATGTTGGTGATGAGAGAGAAAGGAAGGAGAGACGAGGTGGGCGTGGCTTGGGGCTTTATAGCCAAGCTGGAGCTGTCAATTTTTTTTAGCTACCAACGGGAGAGAACGTAAGAGAAGAGCGGATAAGAGGCGAAGGGGGGTGCCGGCTGGCAGCGTTTGCAAGAAACGGCTGTGGCTCACGTCGAAAAACAATAGCATCCCGGGCCATAAAACCATTCAACCTTGAAATTGAATCGCCTACACAAATGGTAGTGCACAGAAAACTGAAACAGCCCCCTTTCTGCAAGAACTTGATTGGAGGCACGCACTGAGAGCCGTTTCATATAACCGCGCCCATGAGCTGCTCAGGATATGATTTCCATATTCAGGCCAGAGGGCCGGGTCTCCTTTTCAATGTCCCGGCAAGGCTCCTATCCCGAGCACGCACTATGTCCGCCCTGACGACATCGTCACCTTCGTCTTGGTATGCTTCAGCACCCTCTGGATGCCCTCGTCCAACCCGTCCATTGCAAGGTATTCGTCTATCCACGCCACCGTCTTCTGCTCTAAGGCCGCCCGGTCGGTAGTAGACTCTAATCCTTCTCCCAAACGAGTGAGAACGTCTCGTAGGTTCCGGGGGAATTCCGCCGTAAAGGGGCTGAGGCCCAGGATTGGCTGCCGGATGTGGCAGCTGCAGGTCGACGGATGGTTTGGGTATTGCTCGTCCATGGCGTCCAGGACGTGTTGGGATATCCGTGGCTGGACCGAGACCTGGCGGAACGACGCCAGCATGGAGAAGAATGACTCTGCAGCTTGGGGCTTGAAGAAGGCTTGCTTTCGCGATATGTCGAAGACGGCAATGGGGATGGCCCCGTCCATGGCGGGATTCGACTGGAGTTGCCGGGAGGCTTGCTGGTCGATGACGTCGGCCTGTGCTGTAGAGGGCTCTGGCAGTCCACGTCCTCCCTCTTCCACGTCGCTCTCTTCGTCGCTGTCCTCGAGACGCAACTGATCCTTATCCTCCACCTTGTCGGGCCGCAGCGGATCATTTCCAGGCTTGCCCTTGCGCTTGTCCACCTTGGCCAGCCACTCCATCTCGCACCGAGCGTACTCAACCCATATCCAGCAGTCCTTTGTGCAGAACCTACAGCCCCGCATGAAAAAATTGCGCGCGGCTGCCATGTCTCCGTTGCGTGCGGATCGCCGGCCAGCCATGACCCATAGCTCCGGATCGGTGGGTGTCATGCGGAGAGCGCTGGTCATGGTCCTTCGCCATCGCTTGGCCGCCTTGACGCTGGCCGTGTAGTTGAGATACTCGCGCCACAGGTCGCCGCTCGCCGGGTGTCTGTTGACGGACCGCTCGTAGATGGCCATGACGCGGCCCTGCCCAGCGTGGGCCGAGTTGAGGTGGTGGATCTTGAGTCGTTTGCAGCGTTTGCCCCGGAGCTTCTCGAGCGATTGCTCCCACTTGGCAAACGCAGACCATTCGGAAGGCTTGTTTCCGGGAGCCAGGACACGGTGCTCGAAATCGTTGCGCTTCTGGACAATTGTACGGATCTCATCCTTTTATAGCGTGTGAGCGTCAGCAGACCAAGAGGTAAGACGGGGGGGACAAGCATACCTTGGAGAAGATTTCTTTTTCCTCCCACTCCCGGAGCTGGGGGACCGATCGCTCGAGGAAGAACCTCGCTTTTTCGGCGACGCCGGCCATTGTAGGTGGCGGGTTCCCAGTTGCCTGCTGGTGGACGTTGAGAGTGGATTGATTGGTTTGCGGATGGAGGTTTTCACGAGGCTGTCGGCATCTTTTTTATTTTTATTTTTTTAAGGGGCGGTCCGTCAACGGTGTAACACAGAGTAGTGCTCTAGCTTAGCCTCGCAGGGCATTGCTGCTGGCGGTGCTCCGTACCGCTACTCTACGTTAGCTAGCTTGCAAGTATCTTTAGGTATCTGGGTACTATTTAAATGGTCGCCCCGGTACGCACGATGGGAACGGCCAGATTGGTCAGCCACGTGTTCTGGACGCCTCTACCGAGGACATGGTGCCCTGAAGCAGCGCCCCGCTCAAAAGTACCCGAAACCTGGTTGCAGCAGAGACGGAGTCCCGCCGCGTACTTCCTACACTGTAAATCAAGGGGGCTCGGCAGCTCCAACCCTCTGCAAAATCCATCCCTTGCCGCTTGCCTCTTCCCTTGACCCTCGTCGTCGCCGTGTCCAAGCTGCTCTTCCGGATGTGCCGGATGGTGTCGTGACTACGCTCTTTTACCCGACTCTCCTTTGTCTGTCCCAATGGCGGGCAAATACAAGGACAAGGACGGCGGCGTCGTCCTCAGCTTCGGCGGCCACTGGGTCAGCTGGGCGCATACCGTCGTGGCCTATGGTGAGTCCTCTCCTTGCTTCGACCCTAATCCTGTTGGTGCTAATCAAGCTCATCAAGCTGCTTTTCTGAGCGCCTTTGTCGTCGGTGTCGGGCTACACTACCGCAAGATTGTCCAGAATGAGTTCTACGGATACCCCGACGAATGGTTCCCCTCCGTCTCAGCGACGATTGGCGATCGATACCCCGAGCGATCCTTCTTTATGATCTTCATTGCTATAACCTCCGGTGCGGCTCTCGTGTCGATGCGTGCTGCCTCGCTGGTTGGAAGCTGACGAGTGCAGGCCCTCGCTTCGCTCTCGTCGGCTTGTGGTATCTCCTGACGCGGAAGCCCGGTTCCAAGCTCCCCGGCTTCGTTGCCAGCATGGGCTTCCTGCGCACTCTCACTTGCGGTGGCTGGACCTACATCACCTCGACCGACGACCACGACTGGCATGACATCTTGATGATTTCCTACATTGTCGCCACCCTGCCCTGGACAACCGGCTGCATCGCCTTGAGCCCTGCCAACCCGCAGGCCATCAAGTACCGCAAGTATCTTGCCGGCGCCTTCTTCGGCACCCTCGTCCCTCTGGTCTACTTCTTCATTCGGCACAAGGTCCATCGTGTTGCCGGAGGTAATCTCTGCCGCCCTGCGCCGTCCTTGTTCTGATGCTGACGCGCACAGCTTACACCATCTATGCCTTCTTTGAGTGGGCCTTGATCCTCTTTGATGTGGCATTCGATGCCGTCACCGCTCTCGACTTTGACACTTTTGAAGTCGTGGTAAGAGATGTCAAGGGATCAAGCAAGGGGTACGTGCAATGGCTTCCAAGATAGTCCTGGCTACTTGTACAGTCACGTCCAATATACTTGTTTCCCGAGTCTTCGTCTCTAAACGTTTCTTCGCAGTGACAACTTTTCGTCCGTGCCGTCTGCCGTCTTGGAAAAGGAGTGAGTATGCCCTGCGTCCTGGGAGAGGCGATCTGCTGACATGGCGGCCAGGAAGCACAAAGCAACCGGCGGCGTCTTTGCCCTCCGTTTTACCTGGTCTGAGGCACTGGATACCGCAGCCTGTGTCTACCACGGCGTAAGTTGGAGGCTTCATCCTTTGATGCGGCCATCAGCGCTCGTCGCCGTGCCTGTATCTTGCAGCCCTTGCAGTTTCTAACCGCTGTCTAGTTCATCTTCTGGACTATGCTGACCAGCTTGGGTCTTCTTGTTTGGTGTAAGTCGTTTGCCCGTCCTCATCGTCAAACAACTTCTCATTGCCTCCTCCAGACTTCCCCCTCTGGCACATGGGAATTTCCGGCTATGAAGCTTTCGTCATGGTTTCCGTCTCTCCGGCTCTTCTGGCCGGCCCACTCCGACCCGTCATTCTGGGCAACCTTCGCATCATCCACTTGCTCTCACTTGCCGGCGTCGCGGCATATCTGGTTGTAAACCCGGTCTACCGCCTCTTCATCGTCGGCTTCGGCGTTGCCATGTCGACTTTGGGCTGGGTTGCGTCGCTCCATGCCGAGTCTGCCCACGAAGTCCGGTTCGAGTCCAAGTTACTCGGGCTGATGGTGGGCCTAATCCTATCCTCGACGGCCAAGTTCGCCTGGCAGACAAATAACCCCGTGTGGCCCGTCATGCATGCTGCCAATGGCGGCTGGAACGCCACTGGCCTTGTCCTTGGTCTCTTGGCTGCGCTGCGATTCACGCGCAAGGCGCCCCTGACGAGCGGCTCCCCGCCAGGAGGGAAGCAGGGCGGCTCCGCGGCCCTTGCAGCCTGCGGAGTTGGCGGCCTGTTCTTTGGTCTTCACTCCCTCCTCTCTGATACAAGCACCATGATATTATGGGTGTGGGAAGGGTTCCCCATCCGCGGCCCCTACTTTTCCACCCATGGCTGGATCACTGTCGCTGCCATGTCGGCCGGCCTCTTTGTTGGCATCTCGAGGCCTGCGCTGGCGGGTAGCTGGCGGCAATATGCCGTGGGCAAACTTGGCGCCATTGTGTTGACTTTATTCAGCCATTGGCTGGGGTACTTTGGAGGCGTAGTCCTCGCTGCCTATCTGATGGCCGTCTCGGTACCCCTGATTTCCACAGCGTCCAAGAAAAGCCCGGCCGTGACGTTTGGGCTGGGCTTTTTCATCTACGTCTTCTTGGTTCTGTTCCATGTCTGGGTCGTCGCCTACGCCTTTGTCCCCGGCGGCCCTCTTGTGCGCGAACATACCGACTGGATCATGGTGGCGATGATGGGGTTCATTGGTGCAGGCGTCTTCAACTTTAATGCCTCGCAGCCGAAGCGCCAGCAGCCTCGGCGGTCTTCCCAGTCGCAGCACAAGAAGTACTACGGCGTGTCTGCGCTCGTCGTCAACATTCTCTTTTTGTGCGCGGCTTTCATGCGGTTCCCTACCAACGACTACAAGCCGTACCACCCGCAAGACCGTGTTTTGACTGCCGGTATCTGGACCATTCACTTTTCTCTGGATAATGACATGTGGTCTTCCGAGCACCGCATGCGCGACCTGATCAAGGAGATGGAGCTGGATGTCGTCGGCCTCTTGGAGTCGGACTTGCAGCGCATCATCATGGGCAACCGAGACACGACGCAGTTCCTCGCAGAGGATCTCGGCATGTACGTCGACTACGGGCCCGGACCCAACAAGCACACCTGGGGTGCCGCCCTGCTGTCCAAATTCCCCATTGTCGAGTCCAAGCACCACCTCCTGCCCAGCCCGGTGGGCGAGCTGGCGCCGGCTATTCATGCAACGCTCGACGTTTACGGTGAACTGGTCGACGTCTTCGTCTTCCACTCGGGCCAAGAGGAGGATCCCGAGGACCGGCGCCTGCAGTCAGAGTATCTGGCCAAACTCATGGGTTCGACACCTCGCCCGGCATTCCTCCTCAGTTACTTGGTGACGAAGCCCCTCGAGGGCAACTACAACACGTACGTCAGCGACAAGTCGGGCATGCACGACATTGACGCGTCGGACTGGGACCGCTGGTGCGAGTACATCCTGTACAAGGGCCTCAGGCGCGTGGGCTACGCGCGCGTCAGCCGCAGCACCATTACCGACACGGAGCTGCAGGTTGGCAAGTTTGTCATCCCGCAGTCTTCGTCAGAGGCGGCACAGCTGGAGGCGCGGCCGTCGGAGCAGCGCGACCGCCGCGTGCAGGAGTCTGAGGTGCCCGAGGGATGGAGGTTCCCGAGCCTGTTTAGGGGCGAGGGCGTGAGGGGCCACCGATACCATGTGTTTGATGAGCCGCGGTACTACAACTGACGGATGTTGGAGGAAGCCGGGGCAGGATCTTGAAGGTGGGGATGGCTGGAGCAAAAAGTGTACAGACGGGTGATTTTGACAAGTTTGAACAAAGTTGCTTTAATGTTGCGAAGGCCGTGCATCATTCGGCAGCTGTCATGCCCCGCCAGTCTATGCATGAGGCTCTCGGCGGCATCGTTGTCGGGCGCCCACCGCGGGAGGAGGTGCGAAACGTGGACTAATAAGACAAAGAGCCGACAGTGGACGGACGTATAAGTACGGCCCATATATGTCGTTGGCCTTTGTCCTGGTGGTCCCCTCAGCGGAACGGGAGGCGGAATTTGTTCCAACGGGCGGCTTTAGATGGATGACACGGACTTTGGGGCGGTGCTCAGGTATGCATTTGTAACGGGCCTGGCTTGGGACGGGGCATTGTGGGCCTTGTTTAATTCTTTTACTTTCGTGTATGTTATGCTTGACTCCTTTGACGGAGCCTCAGAGCATGAAGAGGGAGCAGGGCGAGAACACGCCTCAACGGGCCGAGGAGGCGGGCTGTTCGGCAGAGCCAAAGCAGCCGGGAGCCAGGAATAGAAGTCGGCGAACGTCCGAGAGATGCCGGCGAGCCGGGAAGCGCTGTTACTTTCTCTGGCACTCGACGGCAGCTTCAACCAAACTTCCGGGGCCCGCCAAGCCGTCCAAGCCGTCTCCCCCCCCAAGAAAAAACCATCCGGGGGTTCCGCTAATTAATCGTTGGCCCCCGAGCCTAGCCGGCAGGCGGCCGAAACAAGCCAATCGATAAGCACTACTGCCGTGGGAAGCCGACGGGCGCCCAATCGGCTGCTCGTCATTTACCATCCAGCCTGGCTTGGTTCCTAGTCTAGCACGGTAAGCGGATGGTTCGTGGAGGAGGGGGGCTTTGCGTCAGCCCGTGTCAGATGTACGTATGTAGAGCGCGAGAGGGAACGATGGAGTGAGGGCTGGTTAGCTTAAAGAAGGGTACTAGTTAAAAGGCCACCCCGTCACGCTAAACGGCCACCCAAAAGTGGGTCAATTGTGGCTTGGTCGCGCGCAAGGTCCGATACCGCAAAGTTTGGGCTCCAGAAGATAGGGGGCGAATACCGCGCTGTGGCAAGGAATGCCGCTTCAAGCGACCAAGAAAAGCCGCCGCCCGGCCGCTGTGATCTTCTTCATCACTGCGGCTTCAAGTCAAGTCTTGGTTGGCCTTCCTTGCCGTCACGATATTTTCAAGCGGCCCAATGCCGCCGCCGCCGTTCCTTCGAAATGAATGACGTTGACGAGCTCTGGCATGGCAGAGCACAAGCCTAACGATGCTCCTCACGATCCACTCCTATGCACGGGAAAGGCCGGCCCAAGGGCTCATTGAACCTCGAGGCAGCAGGAGGTCGTAACGGCCACGCGGAGAGCCGTCAGCACACGATATCGCGGAATCCGACGAACGCAGCGAGGCCACAAGGCCGCCGCCGTCCACAGCGCCGGCGGCTCTCCAAAGTACGAAGACGAAGGCTACGGGTAAGAAGCGCAAGGCTGGGGCAAGGCTGGAGGAAAGCTGCTGCTGCTACCGTCAACACCGCCGGCAGCGCTGCTGATGTGACCAAACGGGGTTGGAATACCTTCAAGCCAATGGCGATTCGTACGAGCCTGGCACAGCGATGCCACGAGCGTATCAGCGTGCCGTACGCCGCACGCCTGACTCTGACGATGAGCTTACTGGCCCGGGCGAGACGCAGGGCACGATTCGCTGTGCCACGCAGCCAATGCCGATACCCTCAATTCGTCAAGGAGGTGAGGATATAGAGGATGAAGACGACCCTTTAGCCGATTTTAACGAGATGGACCGGCAGGTGGATGAGGAGGAGTCTGTACAGCAGGAATTGTGTGCAGAGGGTCTACTATAGCTACCGGCGTTAACGCTGCATTTGAATTGACGGAAGTGTGTTTTCTACGACCCCAAGAACATGGCCCTACGTACTTGAATTTGCATCACGGCCAGCTTCACTTTGCGGCTTCAATTGCGGCTTCAACATGCCCTCTGGCGCGCACCTCGATGCCGGCAGCGAATGCGCGCACACACCTTTGCGGCATCGGCGCTGCGCGGCGACCAAGCCACAGTTGACCCACTTTTGGGTGGCCGTTTAGCGTGACGGGGTGGCCTTTTAACTAGTACGTAAAGAAGTTTCCGTGTCCCCCTCCCCTCCTCGTCCGTCATTGTTGCTCCCTTCCTGTTGGCTGAATCGAGGCCCTGATCCCATCTTCCAGTCGCTCGCGCACAACAACAACAACAACAACAACAACAACAACAACAACAGCAACAGCGTTTACCATGAATCTTGACACGGGCCATCTCGGGGCTTACCTGGGGCTGCTCTTCGGGGGCGGCGTGTTCTACGTAAGTTGACGTCGTCGTGTTTCGTCGTGTTGTGTGTATAGCATTATATGCGCTGACCACCATGGATTGCTCTCTGGCTGGCAGGTCGTCGGGCTCGTCGTCTACCGCATCTTCTTCCATCCGCTGGCCAAATACCCGGGCCCCTTGATCGCCAAGATCACGGATGCCTACCAGCTCTACCACGCCTACAAGGGCGACCGCCACCTCGAGTTTTGGCGCATGCACCAGCGATATGGTGAGTGGCTTCTTCTCATCCAGGCCGTGCATGTCCATGTACGAGGGTGAGGCGCTTTGCTGAGTGAAGACGGTCCAGGCAAGGCTGTCCGCTTCGGCCCCAACTCGGTCTCCTTCAACTCGAGCCAGTCCCTCAAGGACATCTACGGCTTCCGCTCCAACGTGCGCAAGGCCGAGTTCTACAACGCCTTTGTCCACCCGGCCGCCAACACGCACAACACGCGCGACAAGGAGGAGCACGCCCGCAAGCGCCGCGTGCTGTCGCAGGCCTTTTCCGACAGCGCCATGAAGGAGATGCAGCGCTACATCCTCGGCAACGTGCGCACCTTTTGCGAGCAGATTGGCCTCGGGGCCCGCGCCGACGCAAAGGGCTGGACCGCGCCGCGCAACATGAGCGACTGGTGCAACTACCTGGCCATGGACATCCTCGGCGACTTGAGCTTTGGCAAGGCCTTCCACATGCTCGAGAGGCCGGATAACCGCTTTGCGCTCGAGCTGGTGGAGGCTGCCGCGACGAGGCATCTCATAGTGAGTTAAAGCCGTCACCCACCAGTCCTGACAGAGAGCCTCCCCCTGCAGGCTTGCATCTCGTCTCTCGGGCCAGGGAAAGGCTTGGATAGTGAGTGAAGAACGACTTAGCTGACGAAATCTGCAGTGCGGAACCATGCCCATCGTCGACAAGCTCAAGGTTGACAAGTTCCTCTTCCCCAAGCTGGCTGCCGGCCGCGCCCGATACATGGCCTACAGCAAGGCCCAGCTGACGGAGCGCACCAAGCTGGGCGAGGAGACGGACCGTCGCGACTTCTTCTACTACCTGCTCAAGGCGCGCGACCCGGAGACGGGTCTGGGCTTCGGCACTCCCGAGCTCTGGGGCGAGTCCAACCTGCTGTAGGTTGCCGTTGAAGCCATCCCCATACATGTACGAGTACTCACCGTGCAAATTAGCATCATCGCGGGCTCCGACACGACATCGACAGCCATGGCCGCGACGCTCTTCTACCTGGTCCGCAACGCGCACGCGCTGGAGCGGGCGACGGGCGAGGTGCGCGCCAAGTTCAGCAACGCCGACGACATTATGCACGGGCCGGCCCTCGGGTCGTGCACCTATCTGCGCGCCTGCATCGACGAGGCCATGCGGCTGTCGCCCTCGGTGGGCGGCATCCTGCCCCGCGAGGTGCTGACGGGCGGCATGACAATCGACGGGCAAAAGGTGCCGGCGGGCACCGTCGTGGGCACGCCGCACTACACGGTGCACCACAACGAGGACTACTTCCCCATGGCGTTTGGCTACGCGCCCGAGCGGTGGATGAGCGGCGAGGTCAACCCGCTGACGGGCAAGACGACGAGCGACGACGACGTGGCGGCGGCGCAGAGCGCCTTCTGCCCCTTCAGCATCGGGCCCCGTGGCTGCATCGGCAAGGGCCTGGCCTACGTGGAGATGATGATGACGCTGGCCCGGACGCTGTACCTATACGACATGCGGAGGGCGGTTGGCGTCGAGGACCCGGGCGAGGGACGGGCTGACCTGGGCTGGGGGCGGCATCGCGAGAGCGAGTTTCAGCTGATTGACACGTTTACGAGCGCCAAGAGGGGGGGGCCGGTTATCGAGTTCCGCAGGGCTGACACGGCTTGAGGGCGGGACGTTGATGATGACGACTCAATGCGGTGCAAGGGTGGGTTCTGCCGTTTTCAGTCGACCTGTCGCTTATGCGGGCATTGTTGGTCTGCAACATGTTGTATCCGTAATGCCTCGATGGTGAGATGCCCTCGGAGTTGGCACGGGGATTTGTCTTGGCTGCGTTTTCGGGATGTCTTTGGAGCAATAGGGAGAATCTTGAAAGAAATGAGAGAGAAATGCTCAATTTGGTACGTGATAAGCGAGATGAAACGAGGGAATATCTGGTCCTGGCACCCACACCCGGTCGTGGTCCGCATCGGGTTACGATGGAAGCTTGTTGATGACGACGATGGTGGGTAGATTAATTAGAGCTACGTATAGATGAGGAGCCTTATCGAAGCGACGGCAATGGACAAGCATATCGCCGCGGCTATTGCTCCAATCCGAGCAAGTTTAGTACTACAATTGCGCTCTGAAGCCGTGGCTTTGCTCTCGCCGGGATCGATGGTGCAGAGATTCAAGTAGGTACTGCACTGTACTGTACTGCACTGTACTGTACAGGCTTCCAGGCACCTCGGCCCCTCAGTAATGGCACCAGCCCCTGCAGCTCCACCACAGCGCCATTGGTGCGCGGCGCGTCCCCTAAAACGAACGCGCCAAGTTGCATCCAGAAGCCGTTTGATTGCAATGGTAATAATGCCCCCTATCTAGTCTCGCCCGGGTGATGAAAAGGCCTCGGGCCTGCTGGTGCAATGGAACTTCATATATAGGCCAAGCGGGCGTAGCGCTGTCTCCCCTCTGCAAGGGGTCCATCTGCTTCCTCCAAGCTCATGCAAGGCGCGCGAGGCTGACAAGGCTGAACGGAGGGACCATGTTCTTTTTCGCATCCCAACTTCGCTCCGTCCTCTCCCCGCAGCGCTCCATCGACCGCCCGCGCCCGCCGCCCTTTTGCCGCCGCGACCAGCAGCCGCGCCTCGCCAATCCTTTTCCCTCTAGTCCGTCTCGTCATGACGTGACCGAGTCCCGCCCGATCCAGACGCGCACCACCCCTCGCGTCGCCCGGCTGCCCGCCATGACGGTGTGCAAATTCTACCAGCAAGGCACTTGCAAATTTGGCAGTGCGTCGCCTTTCCACCTGATTGCTTTACGCCGACGCTTATCTCGTCGACTGACCTCAACGCCCCTCAGATAGCTGTCGATTCGAACACCCCGCGCGCAGCCAGCCGCAGTCAAACCGTTTCGGCCCTTTGGCAGCAGGAGCACCACCGGCCACAGGCGGCGGCGGCACTCAAAACAACCCGCTACTCAGTGAGATCCGCGCCAAGGGACGAGGCTTCGCCCGCGTCAAGACTAACGTTGGCCCAGCAAAGTACAATATCTCGGCCGATGTCATCACCAAGGACCTGACCATCGAGAAGCCGCAATGGATCCTCTCCGCCTACGCGCCCGGCAGAGATGCCCCGGACCAGCTGTTTGGAGGCTTCCCCCGCGAGCAGAGCTTCGAGGAGCTCCGGCTCCACTACATGGCGGGCAAGGCCTCGGGCAATGAGCAGCAAGCGGTACGTCTCCCAATACGAGACTGCCCTGTCTACCGAGTCCATCAAAGAGCGCATGCTAACTTTCTTCTTCTTCTCTTCTTCTCCCTCCGTACAGCTCAGCCAAGCCCAGGAGCTCTATCAAAACGCTCAGCAGCAAATGGAAAATGCCCTGCGCAACGCCCAGGAGGCGGCCCAGTTCGTGGCCGAGGGGGAGAACAGACACCCCAACAGGCACGACGTTTGCCGCGAGGGGACACAGGGCGCGCCCTTTGGGGAGTTCCTCGTAGGCAGGCGGCCCAAGCCCGCGGCCAACGCTCCGGCCCAGCCCAATCCGTTTGCCTCGGGGGGCGGTACCACGCCGTCGGCTTTTGGCGGAGGCGCGCCATCCACGAGCGCCTTTGGCCAGCCATCCGCCTTGGGCCAGCGACCGAATTCCTTTGGAAATCCGGCCTTTGGGCAGCCGGCGCAGCCGTCATCGTCGCCGTTTGGGCAAGCGGCCTCGGGGGGAGCCTCGGCCTTTGGCCAGGTCGCGCAACCTGCATCTGGTTTTGGACAGCCATCTGCTCTCGGAGCCAAGCCCAATCCATTCAGCGCCCCTGCGTTTGGACAGCCTGCGCAGCCAGCACAGTCGAGTGCGCCGGGCAGTGCATTCGGACAGCCGAGTGCTCAGGGCAATGCTTTTGGCCAGCCAAGCCAACTCGGGCAGACACCGAATTCCTTTGCGACCAATGCCAATGCAGGTGGTGCAAACTCCAGTCCCTTTGCTACGATGGGCACCAACGGCAACAGCTCGGCCCCCGCCATGAACCCCTTTGGGGCCCCGAGCTCGAACCAAGCTAACGCGGCGCCGAGTGCCTTTGCTTCCGCCGCCATAAATCAGAGCAATAATGCGGCTGGGGCTTTTAGTTCATCTATGCAGACCGCCAGCCCCTTTGGCCAGCCGCCTGCACAAGCGCCGAACCCCTTTGCGTCAGCCCAGCAACAACCGGCACAAGAGGCTAATAACCCATTTGCTCAGAACGCGCGGCCTTCGACAAACGGCACGTTTGGACAGCCCGCCAATCCATTCGCGCAGAAACCCGCCCAGAACGCGGCCGACCCGATGGCGCAACAACAAGCTGGCGTCTCGCGACCCAATGCCTTTGGTGCTCCTCAGACGGGACAGGCATCCGCGGCTGCCGCCGCCGCGAATCCTTACCCGCCAGGCAGCACAAGACAACATCCGCCGTTGGAAAGCTATGCCACCAAAGGCATGGACGGCCGGTTGGCCACGTTCAAGGGCAAGCCGGTGGCGTACAAGGACGGCAGGCCGGGAAACCGGGCCTTTGACGGCACGTGGACGCGCATCTGGTTTCCTGACGGGCCGCCCGCATATTGCAAGGACACGGAGCTGCCGCCGCAGCAGTACGATGACAAATGCAAGGCTCAGTGGGAGGCTTTTGCCCACACAGAGACTTTTGCGGGTGGGCGTATGCCGGAGCTGCCGCCACCGCGAGAGTACACGCGATGGGACTTTTGAGATTGTGAGAGGCTTTGGTGAGTAAGAGCAGGGACGGAGCGTTGTATAACACTGGATGGCATATGGAAAGGAAGCATTCCAAGGCGTTGGGAGTTGTATATAGATTGCGGTGCCTCACGTTGGCATGTACGTGTTTTTGTATCTTCTCTTCAAGGGGAAGGGTGCTGCTGGGGGTTTCATGGGCAATGAAAAGGTCAACGAAACCGACTATGTCCACATTCATGCGGCGGAGTCTAGGAATCATGCTTTTATTGGGCTCATTCGCGCGCAACAAGGATTCTTGGACTAGGAGCTGGCCTTGCGTATAGGTTCTCACTTTGCGAAGCACTTGGGTGCAAGCGTTTGGCTCACGAAGCAAATACCGCAGCGTACTCCGTGAAATTGACTATCTTGGCGGAGCAATCCCCCCCTTTGCCCTTTGGGACAAAAGTACGGCACCAGTCATGGTGTCCATGGCCCTCTTAGGCAGCAATGGTGACCTCGACCTCGACACCGGCATCGATGTTGACGATGATCTGCTTGACGACTTCGGTGGGAGCGTTGAGGCTGTTGCGCGCACACACTGGTCAGCATTTTGATCGCAGACGTTTGAGTTTGAGAGACAACGCACTCGATGAGACGCTTGTGGATGCGCATCTCGTAGCAGTCCCAGGTTTTGGATCCCTCACCGCAGGGGGTCTTGCGGGTGGTGATCTTGAGCGTCTGGGTCGGCAGGCGGACGGGGCCCTTTGCGCGCAGGTCCTTGCTCTTGGCGCGCTCGATGATCTCGCTGCAGACCTTCTCGAGGATGTTGACCTTTTTGGAGGTGAGGGTGATGCGAATCTTGTGGCTCTTCTGCAGAGGGGGATTTCTTGTTAGCTTTCCCTGAATTTTTCTCTCCCTTCCCCGTCTGGAGGGCGGCGAAGCGCAGTCCTCAGAATGGAAGGGTTTTGGGGATCACGCACGGGAGCCTCGCCGTGGTCCTTGTCAGGCTTCTGGTACGACATGTTGGCGGTTTGTCTTGGGGAGGAGTTGTCCTTCACGACTCGAACGCGGGGAAGCAAAGGCGATTCGGCAAAGTGATGAAGGGCGTTGCGGCAGTTTGTTGCTGTTGGAAGTTGAAGTTGCTGGCGATTATCGACTCTTTTTTTTCTCGTGGTGGGGGATTTGCGACGAGATAGGGCTTGGAGAGGGAACTAGTCCCGAAGCGGCAAGATGGGGATGGCTGCCTGGGCTGATGATTGGCGGATCTAAAGTGAGGTTCTGGCTACGGGGGACTCAGTATTACTCGGTACTTGGTACATCCGTGACGGGCCTCAGTATGATTCATCCGGCGACTGAAGAGACAGTGCCTTGCTGAGGATAACTCGCGCTGATGCCCTTGAAAAAGCGATATGGCTCACGATTGACGCAGACGTGTTTGCTCTGCTCCCGACTTCCTCTTTTTCTTCCGCACCGTTAGCCTCCCACCGCCAGAGAAGCCGAGGCAATGACGAGTTCACTGCCCCCGCTGACGCCGTTTCCCGAGGCCTCGTGGCAGCACCGTCTGAGCTCCGACGACTGGGACGCTCTCATTGAGGCATGGACCGTCCTCTCTCATGCCTATCTGAGCCTTTCAGACGAACAGTTCCAAAAGGCGGCGGTCAATGATGAATCCGTGGCCGCCTTTTTGTCTACATTCGTCTCCGAGACGGCAGCCTCCTCGTCAGCGTCAGCACCAGCATCGATCCCGACGCCGCTGCTGAAAGCGGCTTTCCAGCTTGCTTCACGCCTTCTCACGCTCTCACCGCCGGTCCAGCTGCTAGACTACCAGTTTCTTTCCTCCCTGGCCAGAACCTACCCCAAGAAACGAACAGCGCCCCTCATTGCACAGCTGTTCGAGACACACGGCCCCGTCGTCGAGTCCTCCCTCGCGTCCCTCAAGAAGCGCCTCATCCCGCACCTCGAAGCGGGCGTCAAGGGCGACCTCAAGCTTGTCGAGTCACAGCTCTGCATCGTCAATCCCCTCCTGCACGCATCCCCACGCGCGTGCGCCTTCTTCCTGGCCGGATCCGACTTCTTCGATGGACTCGTCGCTTGCTTCCGGGTCATGAATCCGCCTCTTCGCAAAGCCATTGTCGCAACAATATATCTGTGCTTGGTCGGCTTGACTGAGGCCGAGCCCCCCAAATGGGCCATGTTAAGCGACCAGCTCTTTGGGCTCAAGAGCGCGGCGGAAGCGCACAGGCAGGGGCCCCTAAACGCCAATGATTCGCTCGTCGCCGAGCTCGTCACGGCAACACCGCTGCTCAACACCTTGCTGCGGCGAGCCGAGACGTCGGACGCTGCGACTGAATCCTTCAGGAAGAGAGTTACAGCTCTCGAACCGTTCAAAAAGGGGCCCATGGTCCGCCCAAAGCGTCTGGTCAAGCGAAAGGTGGACAAAGGCAAAGGCCGAGAGACCCTAGGGGATATCCAGGCGGACATGCACGTCCATCGGATGAGCCAAATCACCCAAGTCCAAGACCTTTTCCCCGACTTGGGATCCGGCTTCGTGTCGAAGTGCTTGGATGAGTACGCCGAGGACGTAGAGCTAGTCGTCGCGAATATCCTCAGCGAGACCTTGCCGCCTCATCTTGCCGATGCCGATCGAAGCGAATCATTGTACGTTATAAATTCATCATCATTTCGATTTCATGACGCATCGCTAATATTCAATTCACACAGATCATCTCAGCAACAGTCGCCTCCTCACCCAGTTCTGGCACCTCGCTCAACGCCTCCTCAGGCCGCCTCCAGGCGCAACGTCTTTGACGACGATGAATTTGATCGCCTGCACACCGAACATTCCAAGATATCCTTTGGAAAGAAACCAGCAAAGTCCGCCGACGACATTTTGCGGGACAAATCCACCGCGCCAAACAAAGCAGCCATCCTTTCCGCACTTGCAGCTTTCGACTCAGACGACGATGAACGTGACGATACCTATGACGCGGCCGATGTTGGCGGCACGGTGGACTCGAACAACCAGGAAGCAGACGGCGTCAACGACGGCAATGAGGAGCTCCTTTTCCGAGCGTACCAGATGGACGAGAAGGCCTTTGCAAGAGACGCTGCGACGAGGAGAGGAAACCCAAGGGTCAAGCTGAGAGAAGAGACGGGGATGAGTGACGAAGCCATCGAGGGTTGGGCAGTCATGCTGAAGAGGAACCCGCAACAGATGAAGAGGCTGGAGGCAAAGTACGCCTTTAGCGGACAACAGCCACAGCTTGAGCGGACCACCTGGAGAGCCAGCCCGGCTGGCTCGGGAGCCGAGGAGAGTGAACCCGATGCAAGTGCCGGCAGAGGGGGGAGAGGAGGCGGACGTGGGCCCAGAGGAGGCCGCGGCCGCGGACGAGGCCGTGGCAGGGGAGGGAACGTGGCGGGGCCGACCGGCAACCAGGACACGGAAGCGGCACGGAAGAACAAGGAGGCTCATAAAGGTTCACGAGCAAACCACAACCGGAGGGATGCTCGCGCAAAGAAGATGGCTCGCGGAGGTTTCGGCGCCTGAACCGCCTCACCAGCCAGTCCTGGGCCTTTTCGACGGTTGCTCCTCTACAAGCGATGGGAACCCAAAGTCAAAGCGAGGCAGCACTCTCTTGGTCGAAGACTCGCCGAAGGTAGGCGGCGCGTCGAGAGCGCCGTCGAGCTCGAGCGACTGAGGGTAGGGGCTCGGCGCATCGAGAGCGTCATCGAGCTCGAGCGATTGAGGGTAGAGACGCTTGAGGACGCCGTTCATGGAGGACATGACGGGCGTTCTCGGGCCGAGCCTCGCGTCGATGGGCGAGGGGATGCTGTGGAACGAGGCCCCGACCTCCTCGACGCCAATGCCGCGGTGGATTGAGCGCGGAGTAGCTAGCTCCGAGGCAGCCTCAACAGATGTCAAGTCGTGATCCACGTCCTCGGCGCACATGAACATGCTCTGGAGTGACGCGCGCGAGCTCCGTCGGCTGTCCAGGTAATTGCCCAAGTCGTAGCATCGCCGGCACGTCGGGTACTCGGGATAGCGGTCCCAGTCGTCACGATGCTGCGGGAGCTGGGGCCGCGTCTGCTGCCCGCACTTTTCTTGGATGTCGTCAAAGATGTCGGCGGCGGGCGTGAAGAAGGTGAGGCGCGGCCCTGGGCCCCAGTACTTGTTGCGGCCCCAGAGCTGACCGACGAGGCTGTTGGTCTCGACATCGACGACGGCGGCGCCGCTGTCGCCCTCGACGCCGATGCCGCCCCGGATCCATGCATCCTCGTCGTCCAAGGGTGGAGGCAGCTCCTCAACAAACCACTCGCGCGTCGCCTTGCCCGTGCCGTTCTCTTCGCCGCTGACATAGGCCGGCACCTCGCACACCTGGCCGCGCTGGTAGCCCGAGGTGCGGCCGCTGGACACGACGGCGGCACCGGGCACGACGCCGCGGGAGCAGCCGCCGGCGCCGCCCGAGACGGACTTGACGAGGGGCTCCTTGAGGTGTGGCCGGGTCTCGCCCGGGAAGCGCCGGAGCATGTTGGCGTCGCGGCCCGAGGCGCCGGCTGTGACGAGGGCCCAGTCGGTGACGACGAGGGGGTGGTCCTTGGCGCAGTCGTCCCAGTAGGGATCGTGCGAGATGCGCGTCGTCTTGAGGTTGAGGCCAGACGTGACCTCGACGTGGCCGATTTCAAAGCTCCCTTCCTCGGGGAGGACCCGGTGGCCCTCGACGCGACACCGCGCGCGGTCCTGCGGCGAAGGGTGCTCGACGCTGACGGTGGCGAAGGACTGGTACGCCTCCAGGAAGGGGTGGAAGTTGACGAGCCAGTAGCTGCCGCCGCTGACATCCAGGCACGGGCCCAGCGTGGCCGCGCTGTCGCCGACGCAGCCGCTGCCCTTGATGCCGACGCTGTCCCCCATGCACATGCGCCCGAAGTGGTGCGGGTTCCGTGGGCTGCAGACGTCGTCCGGACGCTGCTTGTCCAGGCCCCTGGCCCAGCAGGCGACACGGCCGACCTCGCCGACGGAGAAGACGAAGGAGACGGTTGGGCGGAACTTTTCCGGCAGCAGGTCCCCGACGTGGCTCGCGACCATCATCTTGCGCGGGCGGGACATCCTGACGCGCGTCATGATGCAGATGCGCCGCGTCTGGGCCGCGCGGCCGCGCGTCACGCTGACGACGTGCCACGGGCCGGACCACGCCGGCAGCATCTCGGCCAGGAAGGGCAGGACGGCGTGCTCGAAGACGAGGGCAAAGGACGCCGTGTCGACCAGCTTGGAGGCGCGCGCCCGCACAATGTCGCTGGGCGAGTCGGCGGCGCGCGGCGTGCCGGCGCTCCTGCGCGCCTTCTTCTCCACCGCGCTGCGCAGCTGGTCCTGATACCTTCGCTTGGCCGCCGCCACGGAGCACGTCGCCTCTTCTTGGACGGCCCCGTCGCCGGCCTTTGGTTGTGGCGCCTTGCCGCGGCCGCCCTGCGCGGGGGGGGCGGGCGGTGCCGTCGTCTCCTCGGCCGGCGACGGGGGCGTCTGCGGCGAGAGCTGCCAGTCCTTGACCCTGTCCTTTCCCACCTCGGGATGGGCGACGGCGATGTGGGACCGCAGCATGCGGGGGCTCGGGAAGGACGTCTCGGGGCAGCCCGGCACGGGGCAGACGAGCAGGTGCTCGGCCTTGACGTGCCAGGCCAGGGCGTCGCGCGAGGCGAAGCTCGGGTGGCGGCAGCCGGACCAGTTGCAGGCGTGCGCGTCGGAGGCGGCCCCCTGGCGCCGCAGCCGGCGATGGTGGTCGGCGTCGCCGGCGTCGGCGTCGGAAGAGTCCAGGCCAACGAACGGCTCGGCCACCATGGCGCCGGCCTTGTCGTTGACGGCGGCCAGCGGGCTGGCGCAGCGCGGCGACTGGTAGCCACGCAGCGACGTCAGCACGTCGCTCCGGTCCGTCTGCACGGGCGACAGCGTCGAGCCCGCCGACGAGGGCGCCTCGAGGCTCGTCGTGCTCAGCGCCTTGCCCTTGTGCAGCCGGTGCAGCAGGCGGCCGTGGTGCCACGCCACGGGCAGGTCGTCGTTCCACCCGCCCGGCCCCGGCGACACGTCCTCGACAAACGGCGTGTCCCCCTCGAGCAGCGGCGGCGGCTCCGGGCCGAAGAAGCCCGCCGGCGGGAGGTGGCATTCCGTCCAGTCGGTGTAGCCAAACGGCGGGAACGCCTCCGACGACGGCCACTTGTACGGCGAAGGCGGCCGTCGTGGGCCCTGCTCGTGGCTCGGCGTCGGCACTCTCGTCGTCGCTCCCGAGGGCGAGTTGGGGTTCGGCGTGCGCAGCGCCACTGCCGCGCCGCCGCACCACGCCGTCGCGTCGTCAAAGGCTGGGCCCCCGGTGTAGCAGCTCGGCAGTGGCGGCGGCGCCGGCGGCGGCGCGGGCCGAGATCCAACGGGGCGTCCCGGCATATTGGACGCCATCTCCCTCCCCTCCCTATATCGACACGGCAACGCAACGCGGCCTTCCGCGCCAAGCACCAACACCCCCCTTCTCTCACCAGCAGCAGCCACCAGCAGCCAGAGCCTAGTCCCGGGCGTCCCGAGCGGAAAAGGGGCGCGCGAAACGGCGTCTATCGTCTTGGAGGCGTTGCGAGAACGTCAAGGCAAAAGCTCCCTCCTCTCGCCGCGGGATGGCTGCGAGCTACGCCCCTATTATCCCACCGGCTGACTGCTGCCTTGCCGCGAAGGCGGAGACGACTGGCCGGGGGGGCGTGTCTGCCTGGCTTGCCTTTTTGCGAGCTGCGGGCGGCCTCTTGTGCGAACCACGACTGGCTTGGCTGAGAGCGCCTCCCCCGACCCCCCTGGCTATTTTCCTCGGCCCCCAAGGTTTGTCGTCATCACCAGGGGCCGGGGAGGCTATGGCGAGCACGAACGACGCGGGGGAACAGGGCTGATGCCCGGGACCTTTGCCCTGCCACCCCTCCCTCCCTCCCTGTGTACGCGATGCTCCGATGACGGGGTAAGGGGGGGAGGTGGTTGGCTGATCGGATGGCAAGGCAGTCGCGTCGGGACGGGCTGTGGTGTGCTGGAGTCGTACAGACATGGGCCAGATGGGGGCAATGTTCCCTTGGTCTTACACCGTGCTGCTCACTCGGACTCGGCACACACGTCTCATCAATGTGTGCCGTAATACGAATATGTTTAAAGTTTCGACGCAACTCGAGACACGAGGCAAAATCACACCGCCCCGTCATCCAACAATGCAGCCCCCATGCCTTACCAAGTCCATCCCGTGTCCGCGTCCAAGCCCCTATGCCGGCTGTGTGTAAAGAAAACGGAAAATGCCCCATGTCCATTTACCCCTTGCGCCGTGAGACCCCCGAGCCCTCATTCCATGATTCATATCCAGACGGCATCCATCCCCCGAGGTGGAAAGGGGAACAGGACCCAAACCTTTACAGCACATCGACAACGTCGGCAAGCATGCGCAGGCCGTAAAACTTGGCCACGCGCCGCATCACAGCCATCCTGCCCGCCACGTCGGCGCGCGAGACGAGCTCCTTCCACTCGCCGCTGCAGGTGCAGTGCTCCATGAGGTCGTTGACGCGCAGCGCGCCGCACCGAGCGCACTTGAGGTCCTGCGTCGCCCACTCCACCGCCCACGCCTGCACCGTAGCCACGAGCCGCTCCTCGACGGCCACGCGGTCGTAGCCGCTGCCGCAGAACGTGCACCGCCAGCCCACCGCCCCGTCGCCTTGCTGGAGGTCCTCGTCGCGGCAGAGGTCCAGGTCGCGCGCCATGGTGCAGCTGTCGCACGACACCTGCGCCAGCCGCAGGCTCTCCGACGGGTTGGCAAAGGTGCCCTCCTTGGAGAATTCGCGCACGTCAAACAGGGCCAGCAGCTCCTTGCGCAGGAGCCGCGCCTCGAGCGTAATGTTCTTGTCGAGCGACAGCACCTGCATCAGCGACTTGACCAGCTCCAGCACCGGGCTGCGCGGCTGCAGGTGTGAGCCCGGCAGGCTGGGGAACGAGTAGTCCTCGGCCAGCTCCGGGTGCAGGAGCTCGCGCTTCTGCTGCTGGACGAGGCCCGAAATGGCCTTTTTGAGCGGTTTCTCAAAGCTCTTGCCCAGGATGGCCGTCGGCTGCCCGTCCGTCTGGTCGCTGTCGCGGTTTGGCAGCTGCGTGAGCCGCGGCGTCGCCCCCGGGTCCCCATTGGCCGGTCGCTTCAGGCTGTGCATGAGCTGGATAAACTCAATCACCCACTCCTGGAAGACGGGCTGCAGCCGAACTGGCAGGAACGTGGCCATCTGCCAGTGCATAATGGTCTCGAGCCTCTGTTCGTCCGCCTCAATCACCTCCTGGCACGCCTTGCCTCCGTAGTTGAACTCGTCGTACCACGCCAGGTAGTCCCAGTACTCCTTGATCTCCAGGTCGATGAAGTGGAACAGCGGCTTGCTCTTGATCGACTTGATGATGTACTGGCTGTAGGCAAAGGCGTTGCCCACCTCGGCCTTTGTGGTCTGCAGGATCAGGCGGTTCGCGTTGGCGAAGACGACCTGCGAGCCCACGCGCCGGAAGTCGCCCATGAGCTGCTGAAAGGCCTTGCGGGACATCATCTGCACGTAGTAGTGCAGCGCGCGGTCGTACATGAACGAGTCTGGGTTCTCCACCCAGCGGACCAGGTGCTGCACCAGCACGTCGGCCATGGTGCTGCCCTTGCATGCCTCTGCCCACCAGGCCTTGACCATCTCCCGCAGCACCAGCACTCCGGCGTTGGCGAAGGCGCTCTCCGACGCCAGCACCTCTGACCCGTCGGCGGCGGGGTTGAAGGAGACCGAGTCGGCGCCTTCGAGCTCGTTGATCAGCGAAGACGTCAGGATGGTGTTGATGGCCAGATTCCTGACGTCCAGGTCGATGCACACCGACGAAAAAGTGCCGGGGTTGTTGACGTTGGGCATCTTGACCGTATCCAGGGGGCCCAGCACGTCGTCTCTCTCATAGCCGGCGTGGTCGGGGCGCGGCCCGGCAGACCACCAGAGCACGACTCCGTTGGCCTGCAGTCGTCGCGCGTAGGCCACGTCGATCAGGAAACGAGGGTCTTCGCGCTCCAGGTTGCAGAGCGGGACGTCGCCATAGCGCGCCAGGGCCGTCAGATGCAAGATCCACGATCCGAGCCCGAGATAGTGTCCGACAAGACGGCGCGCCACCACTGATTGCCACCCTAGGGGGGGCAAGGAGCTGTCTGTTGCATCGTATTTGAGAGGCAGGACCGGGAACTCGCCGAGAACGGGGACCTCGTGGACAAGGAGATTTCGCTGCGACGACTGAACGACCATCATCTGCGGCCTCGCCTCGTCCTTGCGCATCTTCTTGACGATGTCACCAATTTCGAGATGGGCCTTTCGTCGCGTCGTTACCTGTGTAATCTTGAACTGAATCTTCTCCTGGTAGGTGAAGCAGTCCTGCCAGTTTGTGCCTGCCGCTTCTTCGGCCCGTCGCGCCAGCATCTCCGAGTACATCTTTGGGATATTGGGCAGATCCTGGCCCGAGTCCCGGCTCCTCTGCAAGATGACGACATGTGCCTGGTCACCAGTGGTGGAGAAGATGCCAAAGATCTGCCTCTCGCCAGCGGTGATGTGCGAAATGTAAATGTATGCAAGGGGCGACGACTCCAGGTATGTCCGGGGCTGTGCTGGGCGCTTCAAACCGACAAGCTCGAAGCCCGTCTCCAGTCCCTTGCCGAGGATACCATGCTGTTGCTCGTCAATCGTGCAGAGGTTGCCCAGCTTGAGAACGGCTCGGATGTTCAGCGGTACCTGCTTCTCATACACGCCCTCGACGCTGGGGTGGTTGAAGAGCTGCGAGAATTTCTCGGCCTCGCTAAAGTAAATGTCCTCGGGCACCGTAAGCTTGAACAGATGCGTCGAAGGATGACCGTTGGGAAGCGTGTAGTTGACCTGCTCCACCTCGCAGCCCTCAATGTCCACGTCCGGAAGATCCTTACTCTTCAGGTTGAGGAAGACTTGCCGAGGCACCTGTATCTTGATCGTGTGGACCTTGCCATCAATCAAGACGTGCGCAGTCACAATACCCGGGCTGTCTGTTGCCTTGAGATGCAGCAGCTGCCATGTATTCATAAAGGTGAGATGGGCCTGCTTCCTGAACGTCTGCTGGATATTGCTGTTGCCGGCCGCAACGTTTCTCCTCTCGCCAAAGAGTTGCCTTCTGCGGGTGCGTGCCTGCTTTTGCAGCTTCCATTTCTTCTTCTGATACGCTAAAAAGGCCGAGTAATGGTCCGACGGGCTGGGCATTTCTTTGGGCAACGCAGACATGGGGTCGGGATTCTCGGCCGGCTCAGGAGACTTGCGCTTCTGCGCGGTCGGTGCGGGTTGTACGGAAGCCACGGCCTCACTGATAGGTTTCGGCCGCAGCATCTTGGCTCCAAAATCCTCCATGTCGTCCATGCGTCCTCCGCTGAGATTCGTAATGTCGCCGAGGGGCTCCTTGCTGAACAGGTCGGTGAGCTTCTTCTGCTTCATCTTGTCGTCCTTGATGTTGATGCGCTTCTGCAGCCAGTCGGGGTGAGGCACGCGAGGGACCGGGTTGCGGACCTTTTGGAGCGCGGCCGGTATGGTGATGAGCTTCTGGATGACGGAGCCCAGTCGCTCCAGGTAATAGTTCCAATCGAGGAGCGCTCGAGGATCAGTGTCTGCGGGCTCCTCCTTAAGCCACTTCTTGAGGTACGTCCGCTTGACGGTCTCCTCGGCAGAGAAGATGGCGACGGGGACGGCTCGCTCCGTCACGGGCGCGTTGCGTGGTTTGGCGCAGATGATGAACTTGCAATTCAGCCCCTTATCCTTGACCATCTGTTCGCCCAAGAAGTCGGCCAAGCGCTTGGCAGTCGTGATGCTCGTCGACTTTTGCGCGCCATACTCTTCCAGCGTCTTGGACATGCTTCGGTTCTCCGAGATGAGATCGATCAGCTCCTCGTCGGCCAACGTAGTCCCCTTGCTGTGCAAGACGTCCAGCCACTTGTTTGCCACCTTGGCGACAGCAGCATAGCACTCGGCCAAGTCTTGGCCGTCGAGAAAGAACTTGAAGATTTGCTGCTGAAAGATCTTGATAAGCTTGAGCTCGCCACGACGCTTGATTTCGAATCCCTTCAGCTCGGCCAGGCTGCCGTCGTCGTTGAAGACGGCATATCGCTTCTTTAGGTTCTTGTCCTCCTCCTTTGACGTGGGGAGAACCATGGCCTTGTACGGGCCATCAACCTCGAAGAAGATTGAGTTGTCGCTGTGCGTCTCGTACTTGAACGTCTTCGGGTCTACCAGCGTCTGGTACTGGTGGTTGGTGAAGCGGTCGTGGACGAGATGGTTCAGCATCACGCAAGGATACGAAATGTTGAGCTTCTTTCCGTTTTTGAGCTTGAAGGCAAAGTTCTCGGGAAAGGTGGCCGGAAGCATGCACCAAATACCGTCGGTGTCTAGCTCCAGCGGTCTGCCCAGACGCTCCACGAGTTGCCGCGCCATTTGGATGATGGTGGCTCCCGTCAAGCAGGTAACACCGGCCATCTCCATGGAATACCATCGCGAGCCTTTTCTCATGACGTAGCCATAGAACGAGTTCAGAATGACCTTGTGTGCAAGTTGAAGGGAATCAAACACAATGGTCATCTTTTTTGCGGCTTCAATGTCGGCTGCCGAAGCCCCAGACGATTTCAAGGCGTCCGCCTTGCCCTTCCAGACTTTGGCCTGGCCTTTGTAGTCATATCGACGATCACGAAAGTCTCGGACCGTGTTGATGTAAAAGGGGTTTTCTCGCTGGCAGATGACGGCTTCGCGGACAATGGTGGTGGAATCGTGGATCTTGTGGTAGACCTTTTGCGAGTACATCTGCAGCCGTTTCCGCACCAGAGTGGCCTGCTCATCTTTGCTCAGGTCCTCAAACGTGCGCATCGGCGCATGTGGTGTCTTGCCGGGGAACTTTTCGTTTTCAAGCGCATTGCGAATCATGTTGTATTCATCACGCTTGGCGGGCATGTATTCTCCTCTCCATGCCCACGGCATTCGCCTGTCGCAGGTCTTGCCAGGCCGATTGAAGTCGCAGGCAGCACAGTCGGATTCGGAAATCATCGAGTCCGGCTGGAGACGGTTGGTCGTCATAATGTTGGGATACATGGAGGCGACGTCGAGATGGTAGATGAGCGGCTGCTCGTGGCGGTTCGGTGTCTCCCTGAGCTTCATCAGCCGGTTGGCAACCTGCTGCTTGACCTCGTCATAGTTGTCCACGTCGTCGAGGGACTTTTTCTCCTCGATTGTGATGACAAACTTGAGGGCCGCGTCCAGGTCCTTGAGCAGCTCGTCCACCGCCTTGGGGTCCACGGCAAAGTCGACGGGAATGTCGGCCCGGAAGACGCCTGCTTCGATACTCTCGACGTGGCCACCAACGTACGTCTCCGAGTCGAGAAGATGACCATCCCAGAACGCCTCCTTGGGGGCCTGGTGCTTGTTGGGCAGGACAATCTCCTTCTGGTATGCCTGCACCATGAGGAGCATCTCGCAAAGGGTTCCCGTTCCCTTTCTCAGCGTGTCGTCGCCTCCCAGGGGCAGAATCGTGCAGAGAGAGAAAATGAAGGGATGGACGTATTTCATGTACAGGTAGTAGGTCGCCACAGCATCGGAAACCGAGTACTCGGCCAACGTCTGAGGACGCTCGCTGGCGTACGGAGTCATCAACTCGGGGTCCAGCTCGTCGGGATCGTAGCCGAGCTTGGCGACGGTCACGGCCTTTAAGCCACGAGATCCCTGCGGGAGGTACGAGTCTCGGTTGACCCAGTGGAAGCAGTCCATGTGGACGCCGTAGCTGCACCTGTACTGGTCATCGTTGTCCTTCTTCCAACCGATCTCCTGGTACATGTCGATGCCGTTGACACTAGCTCTGGTCTCGACAAAGGGCCAATCGAAAAAGTCGCCGTTGTACGTGGCAATGACGGTTGGGCGCGCTTCCTTGACGTGGAGGAAGAAGCGTTCTATCAGGGCTTTTTCGTTTGGCTCGTTGAATATCATGAAGGGGCCGGGGTACTCGGGCTTTGGGGTGTAGTCGAAGTCGCCTATGTCTTCGGAGATGATTTCGCGGTTGGTGATAAGGAAGCCCTGGCCGTCAATCATGTACGAAATCATCATAATCTGGTCCATGGCGGCGTCGGGGAACTTGAGCGGGAGCTTGGAGGTTTCGATGTCAAAGGCGAGCACGACGGGATCCGCAGGCAGCGACTTTGACTCATTGGGCCAGACGCGCGTGACGCCGTGCTTTGCCTCAATAAAGTACCACTTTCCCACTCGTATATCTGCATCGCTGGTTAGTCGTCAGGGCAGCCAAGACGCATGGTCAGACTCACCGAGATCTATCATGACTCTCACGTGGTAGGGTACATCGTACTCGCGAATATCGACGATGAAGTCGCTCGCGTCAGCAAAGGAGTTGTTGGCAGTTCGGTCGTCATCTCGTAAGTCATCATCAAACAGGTCAAAGTTGGCGCTCGCCCTGCGTAAGTCAGTCTCCACGCGGCGCCAAACGGCCTTGGAGCAGGAGGGAAACTCACATGGCAACCTCAGCGTAGGCATCCATTGCGTCCATGTTTTTCTTATTCTTGTCGGCCACGGGCATGATGTCCCTGCGCGCAGCCATAAGATCGGCGACGTTGGCAAACTTGAGTTGGAGAAACGTGCGCCGGTGGCCGAGGAGATGGTTGGGCATCTTCAAGTCGTCCTTCTCGACCTTGCGGATCGTCTTGACGACTCCATCGCCAGGGACTCGCTTGATCCATTCCTCGACCTCTGACTCGTGACCTCTTTTGACGGCGATGAGAAAGTAGGGCTCGTACTCGATGGTGGCCTTGAAGGTCGACCCGTCGCCTTCGATGAAGTAGCAATCGAGCGCTGCGCGGCCGCCGGGTATCCTTTCGTCTTGGATGGATGTGGGCTGGACGTTGACGAGCCAGCCCTCCTTTTTCCTGCCGCTTTCGTAGCGCGCGAAGCCCATGTTCTCGTCGATGCTATGAGCCAGCCGCGTGCGTTCCCACTTCTCGTCGGCCGAGGTGCCTTCGGCCCTGGACGAGGCGGCAAAGGTCCGCGTAGACCGGGCGCCATGGTATGCAGACTTGCCGCCACGGCGGAAGCCCTTTTGAGGGCGTCGAAGGCTCGTGTTTGGCATGTTGGAGGACGTCGCCTGCCCCAAGGCTACCCCGAGCTCGCGTTACGACAGGGTGAGGGCTGGAGCGGCCGTCATGGGAGTGGCGGCTGAGGAAGCCGAGGGCGGTGTCGAATGGCGGGAGGACGAACGTGACAACAAGTAGGTTTAGGTTGAGTCTCCGATTGCCAACGTCATCAATTCAGAAAAGAGCTTCTCGATCCCTTCCGTCACTTCAAGGCGGTGCCCCTTACAGGAGAGACGCGTCTGGACGCGAAGTCGACACGCCCTTTTGGCCCCACCAAGTCACGGCACTTTAATGGCGTTAGCCGCAGCCGCCTTGCCGCCACGCACAGGCCACGGCCCCACTTGATGTGGGGCCAGCAAGGGTGCATCTCGGCGTCAACTTTTCCACCTAGGTACGTGCAGTAATTGTGTGGGTGGTGATGAAATGCACGTGACTCTTCCCGTGACCATTGCGCATTGGATCCGACAGGATTAGCCTCATGTTGTGTATAAGGTACATACCTACTCTAATAATTGTCTGCTCCTCCACCACTGCGCCGAGGTTCCATCTCCAGCATCGGCAGAGCTCAGCATCCCCTCTTCGCATGTAGGGCACCCTGCTCAACGACGCCCCGTCGACGCACTTGATGCGAATCTCTTCCCATCGAGCGGCCGAGGCAGCCAACAATGGACAATGACCCGCCCAAGAACCCGGACCAAAAGACGTTGCATGTCTGGTCGAAGCCCATAGACCCCAACGACCAAGCCCAGGGGCCGCAAGATGGATCGGGCGCGGCGTCTCCTGGCGGGCCGCGCATCAAAGACGCAGTGGCCATGATCAAGAAGGAAGACTTTCTTAACGTCGCCAGCACCCCCTGCGCGCGGCAGGGCTTCCTCACCGGCATTGCCTCGGGCGTCGGGATGGGCGCGCTCAAGTTTATCGCTCAGGGTTGGTCCATGCCTCGTCTGTGGCTAGGCAACCGGCGGCTTTGGTACTGACACGTCGGTTGCAGGAAATCCGGGCAGAGCAGCCAACTGGGCCGTCGTGACATTCGTCCTGGGCAGCACAATATCCTACGAGGTCTGCCAATACAAGCGACGCGTCGAACGGTTCCAGATGAAGCGAAGCATTGAGATTGTCACCGAGGGCAGGAGAGATCAGGCGCGAAAGGCGGCCGAGGCGGCGGCGAGCAGGAAAGCCGCCGAGGAGAGCAGACAGGCGGCCGAGGCGAGCAGGAAGGAGGCCGAGGAGAAAAACGAGCAGCTACGGGTGGAACAGGAGCGCACCATTGCAGCGCGGAATCCCTGGTATAAAGTCTGGTAGAACATGAACGTTACAAGACGGGGGTTTGGCGTCTGTGCATCGAGATGGCTAGGCCACAACCCATGTCCCAAAGACAACGAACCATGGTATTCGCAACAATGTCCATTGTTTGAAAGGCTGCAACGACCTGGGGGGTCGCCAGCCAATTGTAAATGACGAGATAGGCAAATACAAAACCCTAGATATTTCTCCCAAAGACAATCAGTCCCAAAAACGCCGGGTTCGCCCAGCGCACACACGTGCGCAATCGCAGTCGTCTCTCATGGGCCGAGAGTGACGGAATAGTTTCCCCTGCAACGCCCAAACTCCCGTAAAAAGCCTCGTTTCTTTTCAACCTGTGTCATTACTCATCTCGCGTGCTGCGCACAAACCTCAAGCCGTCGTGACGGCAACCTTGTGGCTCTCGGCGTCGACGAAGCGGACCCTCTGCGTGGGCGACTTTTTCTTGACGACGCGGCCCGACGGCACGGCGGCGTCTGCCATGCGCCTCTGGCTGCGCTTGGTGCGGGCCTCGCTCTCCTCGCGCCTGCGATAGTCGGCCATTTGCTGGCGACGCTTCATGGCGCGGGCGTGGGCGAGTGCGGGGGTGGGCTTGAAGCCGATGCCATTGATGCCGGTGCCGTCGTCGTCGTCATCGTCTGGGTCGTAGATTGTGATTTCATCCTCGTGCCAGGTGAGGGCGGCTCTGACGGGGTCGGCAATGGGCACCTGGGGATCCTTGGCGGGCGACTTTTTGAGACGCAGCGGGGGGGTGCCGGCGCGTTTCCTCCTTGGAGACTTGGGCTCCGGCGGGCGGTCGACGACGGGCAGGGCCTTGACCGAGGCGGCTTCTGTAGATGCAATGGCGACATCGGGCTGGGGTAAGGAGGTGGGGAAGGGCTCTGGCCGCGCGTCCGAGTCAGCGGCAGCAAGGTCGAGGTCGGGCCTGAGGCGCTTGCGCGTCAGCAGATCGGCCGTCTCAACTTCTTGGTCGTCGCCTCCGAGGGCGAGGCCACGGAAGCGATGGGCGACGATTGAGCGCGGGCTGTTGCTGCCCTCCTTGGGCGAGTCGGCGCCGGAAGGATTAAAGGAGAACTTGATGGGCGTGGCGGGGAGCTGCTGCTCGCCGCGCTTGCGCTTGGGCGTGGCCTTGGGCGATGACAGCTCGGCCATGGCTCTGGCAGCGGTGGTTTATGCGGATGGCGTCCACCGCCGCAAGGGGGCCCCGATGCGGATGCGGAACAAGAGGGCTGGCGTGAGGGACGTTGGCCTCTTCCTGCTGCTGGAGGAGGGGCCAAGATGCAGGAACTGGCTCGTTTTCAAATGAGGGCGGCCTAGTGCTGCTCGGCCGTCCGACGACGGTGGTTCGTGTAAGGGAGCACTAGGCAGTGGGTGAGCTGAGCCGAGCACGTGGATGAACAGCACGGCTCTTGCTCGGGAGCGTGAAGACGGTGTTTCTCGTTGTCTGTTTTTCAAGACACATCAGGGCGTGATCGAAAAAGGTTCGAGGCACGATGAGGTGATGGGCATTGGACAGCAACACCAACCTAATAAGGTTCAAAGAAGGCGCATCAAGCATTTAACGGCACGTCACAAGGCAAATCCACTGAGCCCAGCTGCACTACCAACTGTACTGCTAGTGCAGGGGCTCTGTAAGTAGTAGTTGCGGCAACGCCTGGGACACGGCGGCGGCAGGCATCCATTCCTCTCCAAACCGCCTGTCGCGGCGACTCGCCCGGCCTGGTTCACGCTTCTCCCAGGCCGGGGGACCGTGATTCGTGATTCCGATTGAGTCGTCCAGCATAAACTTGGACGTCTTCCGCTTCCCCATTCAGTCGCCTTTACCCCGCCTTCAGTCCAAGCCGCAGTCAAGTCGTGACGACGCCATTTCATCTGCTCTTGGGGCATTTTCACTTACATACATACTACTGTTACTCTACCTATACGCTTCAACAACCTCCCATCCATCACACCACCACTCACTCATACATGCTGGGCACTTGCCATTGAGCATTCCTGAATCATCCTACTCGTCAAAACCCCATCTGTCCGCGTCCCTTGAACCGCCCTCGCACCCGCTCAGCATGGCCGACGCCCCCTTCACCTTTCTCCCCCTCGGGGCCATTATCCAATCCATCCGCATCAAGGGCACCAACATTGTCCTCGGCTTCGCCACCCAGGACCAGTACGCCGAGCACAACACGCCCTACTTTGGCGAGACCATCGGCCGCGTCGCCAACCGCATCAAGGACGCCCGCATCGACAGCCTCAACGGCACCTCGTACTCCCTCGCCGCCAACAACGGCCCAAACTGTCTGCACGGCGGCAACGTCGGCTGGGGCAAGCGCATCTGGACCGGCCCCGTCCCGGTGGGCACCGCGGCGCCGACGATACCCGGCGTCGACGGCTTCACCCGAGGCAAGAGCGTTGCGTATTCGCTCGTGAGCCAGCATGGCGACGAGGGCTTTCCCGGCACCGTCGAGGCCAAGGTCATCTACACGGCGGGCACCCAGGACGTCGACGGGCGCGAGGCCATTGTCTTGGGCATCGAGTATGAGGCCGGCTTGGTGGGCGGCGCCGACGAGACCGTCATCAACATGACCAACCACTCCTACTTCAACCTCTCGGGCGATGCCACCATCGCCGGCACCTCCGTCACCCTCGCCACCAGGAACCATCTTCCCTTTGACAGCAGCTCAGTCCCGACCGGCAGCCCCGTCCACTTCCCGGCCTTCGATACCGCCAAGCCCTTTGTCCTCGGCGCCGCCGGCCCCGACGTCGACAACTGCTTCACCGTAGCCACCGATGCCTCGTCCGTCCCCATCGACACCCGCGGCCAGCCCCTTGTGCGCAACCTCTCCGCCCACCACCCCAAGACCGGCATCCATCTCGACGTCCTCAGCACCGAGCCCGCCTTTCAGTTCTACACCGGCCACTTCACCGATGTCCCGCCCGTCGGCGGCGCCCCGGCTAGGGGTCCCCGGAGCGCCTTTTGCTGTGAGCCCGGGCGCTTCGTCAACGCGTGCAACGTGCCTGAGTGGCGAGGCATGACGGTGCTGAGAAGAGGGGAGCTGTACGGCGCCAGGATTGTGTACAGAATCTGGGCCAATTAGCATTTCATATAAAACCAAGTCGACTCATCCATCATGTGTTTCTCTTTTTTTCCTTTTTGCCCGACTTTCCTACCCGATGACAGGCAGAATCCGGGTCCCTGATCCTCACAGCAGTTGCACGTATCGTACATGGCAAAGATTCATCGCTAACCCATCCGCCAATTGCCCTCAGTACTCGCGCTCTAGCATCGACAGCATCAACGCCGCAAGGCACATGCGCACGCCTGGTACGGTATATGTGTTAATCCTGACATCAACAAGGGCCTAGTCCGAGTCGCTGTCGTCGCCCAAAAACGCCAGGTCGGCCTGAGCCCTTCTTCTCCTCGCCGCAAAGGTATTGCCCGCATCATCGTCGTCGTCGTCGCCAACATCTCCTTTCTCGGGCCCTTTGTCATCAGCACCGCTGGGCTCGCTCTCCTCCGCCCTGGTCGGCTTGTTCTGACTCCGGCTCGCCCTGCCGCCACTGTTCATGCCCCAGAGCGCGTTCATCTCCTGCGCTGCCTCGGCGTCAGCCATGAGCTCGCGCGTCTCCTTGATCTCTCGGGCCTTGGCCTCGGAGAAGCGCCCCTCCATGCCAATGTCGGCGAGCATCTTTTTGAGATGCCGTATCTTGGCACGCGCATCGCCGTCGTACTTTTTGAGCTCGTTGTGCCACAGCTTGCGGATGCCGCACTTGACAAGCTGCGACTGTAGCTTCTTAATCTCTGCTTCATCGGGATCGTCCGGGGTCGAAACCGCGGCCTTCTTCGACGCCGACTTGGATGGCTTAGAAGAAGGCTCTTTCTTGTCCTTTCTTTTGGGCTTGGGTTGCGGCAGCTCGTCAATTACATCGGAGTACTCTTCCTCTTCCTCGACGGCCTGATTACCCTCTTCGGCTTTAATAGGCTCTGCGCCGTCTTTCTCTGCGCCGGCTGGCTTGTTGGCGGACGGTTTCGTTTCATCGTCGGATTCGACCTTTGTCTCGCTTTGAGCCACTTTCGCGTCCTGGCTGTCCGAGCCGTCTTGCTTGATCATGTCCTTGCTCTCATCCTCAGACTCCCTCTCCACCTCTCGCGTGCGTTTCCTGCTCGACGCAGGGCTGTTCGGGGGTTTGCTTTGTTTGCCTGGCTCGTCTGGCTTGGACTTGCGGCGCGCGGCGGTCTTGTTCGCTTTCGGCTTCTCCTCTGGTTCGCTCGTATCTGATTGCTCCTTCTTTGCCCGTTTTCGTGGCTGAGAGGCGCGCTTCCGTCGCTTCGGTTTGGGGGACTCGGCCTCGTCCGACGGGCGCTTGGTGCCATTCTTGGAGTCTTTTCCCTCGTTGTTGGACTCTGGGGTCCAGCCATCAAGCAATTTATCCTAGACATGCCTATCAGCGCCGAGAGACGGCTTGTGGGTGAGCTCGCCGGTCGCAACACATAACTTACAACATATTTCTTGATCAGAGCCTTGCTCTTGTTTTTCCACTCGTCGCCAGCGAAGAAGCCGTCGTCCAGTTCGAGTTTCTGCTCGGCATGACGACGGACCTTGTTGACCGAAGTCGCATCCGGTTCCTGGCTGTAGATTTGGCAGGTTCCGTCGATGAGAGCTGCCTCGAGCTCCTCGGTCGGGGGCGCCATGTCGCGTCGCGCGCGATTCTGCAGGATGCTGTCGGCTTGTTGGATGGACAGGGAGCGATGGCGGGGAATGGAGCCACAGGAGCTTCAGCACGTTGGTTGTAGCCATGGCCAATCAGAAGTAAATGGGTTGGGTTGATGGGTGCCTGGCAACCAAGGTTCTTCTACTTGCTGCAGGGAGCCCGTTTCGTGCCAGTCAAGCAGCTTTCAAGGCAAGGTTGCTGATCAGTGCGGAGTTGGAGCAGCCGTCAAAGCTTAAAGGTACCACAGTCTGGCACATCAGAAGGTAGAGGTACTTGGCACTCTGCCTCTCCCACACCTCTTTCTCCGACCTCTGCCATCTTATCCTGGCATCACCATCCTCCCGCCACCATGTCTGCGTCTCTGGCTCCAGAATGTAACGAAGTCAAGGAGTGAGTGTTATTCTCGACGCTTGTATCGGCGGATCCTCTGACTAGGCGAAAGACGCTACGACACGTGCTTCCTAAAGTGGTACAGCGAGAGTATGTGCAAACGGCCTGGGACCGTCTGGACGCTGACCTACACGTGCTTAGAATACCTCCGAGGGGGCGAAAAGGACAGCAAAGAGTGCGCCGGGCTGTTCACAGAGTACCAACGGTGCCTTCATGTAAGAAACGTGGACCGTCGTCGCGCTGACGATGCAAGCTCATGCAACTGTAGGTTGCGCTCAAGCAAAGGGGCATCGACAAGCTTCTGGAAGAGGCTCGCGAGGACAACAAGGAAAACGATGCGAGACTGACGGCGCCAAAGAGTGAGTCTTGTCGCATCCTTTGCGGGCAAGTCGCTAACGGCCGTGACAGAGTAAAGTCGCAGGCTCTGGTCCTTTTGCGCAAGGCAGGCTTTAGCGATGGACGCTTATGACGGGCTCACTACATTTTTGCGGCACAATGCCGTCCTCTTGCCGCGATTGTGTGCACTGTACAGTATACCTCATGGATAGATTCTGCCATTGCTTGTTCCCCCTGTAACCTCGACTGGATCCGGCAATTCGTCGTCGCCGGGACTCTGGTTTTGGATGCCACGTGATGCGCACCACAGCAGGCGGGTCCGCTCGCAGCAGACTTGGCTTTCGTCAAGCAGGGATGGCAGCTTTGCGAGCTCCATCTGACGGAGCAGGGGCCGACAAGCCTTTTATCCCAACGAGCCTCCCGCCCGCCATTCGCTTCCACTTTGGCCGCGCCCCCATCGCCCGCCTGCCTGTTTGTCTGTCGCCTGCCGCCCACTTGAGACGGCAAGCGAGGCTGTCCGCCGTCCAGTCGCCGCACAACCGGATCCCACTGCCCGCGCCATCAAAGAGGCATGCGTTGCCGGCCTTGCTAGCGCTCTATGCACCCCTTCTCCATCCTCACGCTCGGCATCTTCGTAGCTGGCTACATCACCGCTCGCTGGGATCTCGTCACCCGCCTCTATGAGCTGGCCATTTTCGCCGCCGAGTACGGAGTCGTGGTCAGTCCCGCTCTTCGCACAGCCATGTGGCGCCGCTAACCCGAGCCTCCGACTCCAGACGCGCGCTGCTAGGGGCCTCGTCGCGCTGACGGCCTTGTTCCTCACCATCTTCCTCCCCATATTCCTCCTCGCCAGAAAGGAGACGCATCTGGTACACCCACAGCCTCTGCCACGCCCTGGCGCCCCCTTGGTGCTGACTGGCTCGCGACAGCACCCGCGCACGCCCGGATTCGGTGTTTCGGCGCGAGAGCAACTGAGGCGGCGTGGCTCTTTTTGACTGCCAGCAGCCCACACCCGCGACACCCCCGGTCATGGTAGAGCATGATGGCCTGATGCGAGTCTTTTGGCCGACGGACACTTGCAGCTCGGATCGGCCCGGCGTCGTGGTGGGATGGCGGAACTCGACCCTCGACGTCTTTGTCGTCGCCGTCCTCGACCATGTCGATGCAAGTCTGCAGCCTCGCCGCCCACTCCGACCACCCGCTGACGCGAAACAGGCCCAGGATGTCGAGTTCCATCTCAAACTCGGCTCCTTCTTCCGCAGCGGCCCGCACAACCCAACCCGCATCTACGACGTCTGCGGCCACTACGCGATGCACGTGCTCGGCGTCGCCAACCCTTCCAACCCAGAAGCCGCAGACCCGTCCTGGGTCCGCGCCACCACCACCTCGTCCTCGAGGCGCCCGAGAATCACCTGCGCCAAGGCGTCGAGCGTCCAGCTCATTCTCTACGACAGGCCTCAGCCCCGGCGCATGCAGTACATCTCCCTCGGGCCCATAGCCTTGGCCCTCGGCGACAAGGGCTCCACGCTCGAGGACACCAAGATCGATGGGCCCGAAGGCGAGATTGAAAAGCAGGAGCGCAAGGCCAAGGAGGCGCGGCGCAAGCTGGTCCAGAAGCTCAAGCTGCATACCATCACCCACCGCGTGCCCTCGGCCCGGGACCGGGCGTTGCCCAAGATTGTCAACCAGGTCAATTGGTCGTGGGAGCTGGACAAGACACTGCAAAGGAACGTCGGACGCCTTGGGCCGCGACCGAGGCGCAGCCTCAGCGTCTCGGAGAGGGTGGTCGAGTCTGCCACCACAATGCGGAACTACGTCTTGCGGCAGCTGTGGGCTCTTCTCACGCTGTATCTGTTCCCGGTCCTGTGGCGGGCATTCTGCCTGTTCCTGCTCGGTCATCGGCTGGTGGCCGAGCTGTTGCTCCTCGCCCTCGAGTTTCGGCCCAAGCCAGGCGGCGCGGCGCTCAAGGACATCTCGGCGACTGCTCAGCAAATCGAGATTCGCTTGCAGCAGTTTTGCTACTGGCCCATGCAGTACTCGACGCTCCGTCAGCGCAAGATGAACTGGTCGAGCGTCAACACCAGCCATCCCGACTACATTCGCTTCTACAACAGCCTCTGGTTGGTGGCCAACGACGTCATCATCGGCATGGCCCTGGGCTCGTACATTATCGAGCACGCCGACTGGGTGGCGGCGCAGATTGGGGACATTTTGCGGACCTATGCCGTTGACGCTCTTCGGCGGAGCATCTCGTGGCTCATGGGCTGGCCCGCCGGCCTCAAGCTCAACGGCGAGCTCGCGGCGTTTCTGGGAGACTTGTTTCTCTGGGTTATCCACTACTGGTCGAGTGAGTCGGGACAGAATAACGGCGGAGAGCTAGGCACAAGGGCTAACCATGAGCAGGCTGCATCGAAGCGTTGGAGCCAGCGCTGCCGCGTCTCGTGTGGTTCATAGGCTTCTCGTCATTTGCAGGTGCTAGCATGCCGATTGCCGTCTTCTCGGACCTGCTCTCGGCCCTGACCATCCACATCTACTCGTTCTACCTGGCGTCGGCTCGCATCTACCACTGGCAGCTCACCATCCTGCAGTCGCTGTTCCACCTCTTCCGCGGCAAGAAGCACAATGTGCTCCGCAACCGTATCGACTCGTGCGACTACGACCTGGACCAGCTTCTTGTCGGCACCATCTTCTTTACCCTGTTGTTCTTTCTGCTGCCCACGGTGGTTGTGTTTTACCTCAATTTTGCGATTGCGAGGATGGTCATCATCTCCATGAAGGCTGGTTTCGACACGCTGCTTTCCTGCCTGAATCATTTCCCACTGTTTGCCCTGATGCTGCGGGTCAAAGACCCCAGGCGACTGCCCGGTAAGTCGAGGCCTCCAAGGGACGACGGGCCGGGCTGACTTGAGCAGGCGGCATTCGCTTTGAACTTCGAGATACCCAAGGCCACGAGGCCTCCGCCACTAACGACTATAATGAGCCGCCGACGTCTGTCATCTACCTCAAAGTCAGTGTCCCGTGTCGTCAATGAGAGGGAGCGCGCTGACGGCGGCTGTGCAGTCCATCCCCTTGTCCTTTAGCGCCATGTTCCACCAGTACTTTCAGATGGCGCACCGCATCCGGAAGCACTACCTGTCGCCCGGGGTGCTGCTGTGTCTGCTGACGGGCCAGTTCGTGCCACCGATCAATAGGAAAAACCTGTACAGCCTGCAATACAGCATGCTGCCGGCCAAAAGGGCGACGGCGTGGGAGATGTGGCGGGCGTTGAACCTGGAGCTGCCCAAGAAGAAGCGGTTCCAGCTGCCGACGATTCCGGCCCTGCCAAACGGGAGCAAGAGGGCCGCTGGAAACGGACGGACGAGGTCGTACCACTAGCACGGAGGTGTTGTGCAGCCGGCGTCGCTGCAGCACTTGTGGGATGATGTATCGAGCATGAGGCGATATGGGTGAGCGGCGTGGCACCGGCGCCATGATGAATCAATCGACCATTGTTGTCTACGTCATATTTGTCTTGGAGTGAGCCTCGCATGAAGGAGTTGCTTTTTCCCGTCCGAAGATGGGTCTATCGGCCTGCCAGCTTCCCGTCGGGCTCCCTTTTATAGCCGTAGCTGCCGGCGGCCCCACACGTGCTAGAGAGGATAGTGCATGCTTTTATGTACAGACAGTACAGTAGTGTCGTTACCCCTCCTCCCTGCCGCCACACAAAGTCAACCGGAGCAGGCTGCATGTGGGGGCCCCCAAGGCGAGTGATGGCTTCATCCCAGCACCTGAACCCTTTCGCTGGCTTGCTTACACAGACGCTCCCCTCCGTAGCCCTCACGCCGTCTTCTCGGTAGCTCGTCACTGGCACTTCTCCCTTGTTCTTGTTCGGTTGTTTGCGCCAGCGCGCGGCGAAAGAGGGGACGGAGCAACCCAGTTAGTTAATTACCCTGCAGCGGGAGAGGCTGGCTGGGCAACGTCTGCTCGCTTTCCTCACGGCGTTGCGCAAACCAGAGCCGCCCGCCTTGGACAGCTGTCAACCATTGCTGAGAAAAGGGGACCTCCCCACCATCCTGCAACCAACTCGTCTCGCACACGCCCGGGCCTCGCGCAATGGATCCCAAACAGCGCTTCTACAGGCACTTCCAGGACAGCATCGAGGGTGAGCCTGATTCTTCCCACACGGCGCTCTCGCGGTCGCAGTGTTGGCTGCGGCTGGCTCGGCTGACGGGCCCATAGTCCTCCAGGACCAGATCGGCCAGCTCGAGTCCGTCTTCGCCGTCGCCGGCGAGCGCCAGGAAGCCGTCGACCATGTCCTCGCCGCCATTGCCAAGCTGCAGAACGAGGTGGCGGATGCTGCCGAATACGCGCCGTCGTACGACAGGATGCAGTACTCCGAGGTCGGTGCACACACTCCACGTCCTCAGAGCAGCAGAGTTAAAGGTTGAATTCTATTCTCTCGAGCAGACCATCAAGGGCCTCCAGGATAAGCTCGGCGACACCATTGCCAGAGTCACGCCCAAGTCTCGCTTCCAGTTCCGCCGCTCCCTGGCCGACGCCCACGTCGACATGGGCGCCCCGGAGAACGACCCCCGACTCAACCCCGGAAGCCTCGCCAGGAACCCGCACACCCCCCGCCCGGAGCGCTACCGGGGGGGGGTCGAGGGCGCCGACGTGCTCGGCAACCTCCCCCAGAGCCCCAAGCTGGCTAGGGACTACAACAAGGAGCTTTCCCGGCCCGGCACCTCGGCCATCCGCAAGCCCAGCTTCTCCGCCGCCAACAACATTGGCATCTCGGACCAGGCAGCCCTGCACATTATCCTGCCCTCGTCGGCGGCTCGTGCCACGGCCTCGGGGAGCCTGACGGGCCTGCGCGACTGCATCGTCGACATGTCGATCCCGACGGCACAGGGGAAGCCCTTTGCAGGTCTGTCGCTCAAGGCCATCTCCAACAGCCTCATCGTCGCCGGCCGAGTGAGCGGACCCGTCCACATTACCGACATCTCAGACAGCATCCTGGTTGTGGCGGCGCGCCAGGTCCGCATCCACGACTGCAAGAATGTCGACGTGTACTTGCACTGCAGCAGCCATCCCATCATCGAGGACTGCACTGGCATGCGCTTTGCGCCTCTTCCCAAGTGCTACGTAGGTGCACTCCGAGTCCCGCTTGTACCCCCCCCCCCCCTGCAGATGGACGTCTTCGTTGGAACTGACTCGAGAGCAGGAGACTGAGGCGGATTCAACGACGGAGAACCAGTGGGATCATGTTGACGACTTCAAATGGCTCAAGGCGGGCCATAGCCCCAACTGGACCACCCTATCTGGCGCCCAGATGCTCGATGACGAGATATGGACCAAGGTGGTCCCAGGCCAGCCGGGCGCGAGCGTGGGCGAGACTCTGAGAAAGGTCGGCTTGCCACGACATTGAGTGGTAGATTTTGCTGCCGTTTGTATCATGTCTGGGCCCTCTCCCCATAGCGAACGAGTCGACGAGTGTTTGAGTAGCGTTGCTAGGTAATACCACTGCGCGTGAGCAACTCTTCCTTGTTGTGGAAATTGACGGTCGATGTCCCCGAGGACTACGAGAAGAGAAGAGCTGGTCCCGCAACGCCCGTGTATTGCTCGGGCTACGCAGACCAGATGTAGAAAGCCTCACATGCCCATCTTGACATCGCCGGCCGCGCCGTCGTCCTTGGCGAAGCTGACGCCGGCATCGCGCAGGCGGTCTAGCAGGGCGCGCTGTTGCTGGATACGCGCCTCAAGCTCGGAGATCTCGAGCCTTTGCTCGTCGATGGATCTGTCCATGTCCGGCAGGGCGCGGACCTGGGCCCTGGCGTGCTGCAGCTTGTGCTTCAGGCCGTCGGTGGCGCCGGGCACGTCCTTGAAGGAGAGTTGCTGGCCGTTTGTGGCGGCGGGCCCGGGGCCAGGCATGACGCCGGTGCCGGTGGCGATGCCGGTGGAGGACTGAATGCCGGCGCGGACCTTGGCGAGGACAATGGACAGCTCGGACAGGGTGTCGAGGTCGTCGGGCGAGAGCGTGGGTGGCAGGGCCAGCGGGTGCTGCTGTCGGGTAGCCATTGCGGGGGCGCGGGCCGTGGGCAAGTGGTGGCAGTGGAAATAGATGGATAGACTTGGATCCTGGCTATTGGACGGGGTTGAGGGGGTCCTCGCGATGCTTGCGGCGGCAACGATGTCTTAAAGCTTGTTGAGGCACCGTTTACGCCGAACCTGGAGGTGGTGTTGGAGGTAGGGTGCGCCTTCGTAATTTAGACTGTACAGCCCCTGGTGCTCGCAGGCGCATCAAGCACAGTGCACACCATCAACACCCCGCGCTACTCCGTACTAACAAATTTGCTAGAGAGAGCAGGGGCTATGACATCGGCCTGTGCCCCGCCATCCCATAGTTGCAGGCAGCTTGTCTGGCTCCGTCAATCCTCAAACCCTTCTCCTCCTCCACCACAACAATTGGCTTCTCCCTCAAACCTCTCCTCGCAAGACCCGACACATTGACCATGTCCAAGACGGAGCAAAAGGCCTGCCTCAGTACGTCGTCGTCCTCCTCGGACTCTTCCAGTCCCCCCCCGCCGCCCCGCCATCGTCGCCAGCATGCAAAAGCCCCTTCTGCTGCTCCGTCTCGCCCGTCCCTTCATCGCGCGTCGTCCAAGGAGCAGCCCGCCAGCCGTCCCGACTACATTCTAGTCTGCTGCTTTGTCCTAGTCTATCTCGAGCTCGGGTGGCTAATTCTTTTGCTCTTGCGCTCCTACAGTCGTCATTGATGGCTGGGGCGTCCCCTCCGACGAGAGCCCCAAGGATGGCGATGCCATTGCCGCCGCCAAGACGCCCGTCATGGACGAGCTCTCCAAGAGCTCCGACGGATACACCGAGCTCGAGGCCTCGTCGCTGGCCGTCGGACTGCCCGAGGGCCTCATGGGCAACTCGGAGGTCGGCCACCTGAACATTGGCGCTGGGCGTGTCGTCTGGCAGGACGTCGTTCGCATCGATCAGACCGTCAAGAAGGACGAGCTCAAGGACAACGACGTCATCAAGAAGACATTCAAGGGTGCTGCCCAAGGCAACGGGCGGTTGCATCTCTGCGGCCTCGTCTCCCATGGGGGCGTCGTAAGCCTTACCCCTTGTCAGTCTGAGTTGCCGACGGCGAGGCTAACGTACATGCAGCACTCCAAGCAGACTCACCTCTACTCCCTTCTCAAGGCTGCCAAGGAATACGGCGTGGCCAAGGTCTTTATCCACTTTTTCGGCGACGGCCGCGACACGGATCCCAAGTCTGGCGCTGGCTACATGCAGGAGCTTGTAGACCACATCAAGGAGCTTGGCATTGGCCAGATTGCCACGGTTGTCGGCCGTTACTACGCCATGGATCGTGACAAGCGCTGGGAGCGTGTCGAAATTGCCCTCAAAGGCATGTGTCACGGCGAGGGCGAGGCCAGCGACGACCCCGTTGCGGCCGTCAAGGCTCGATATGAGCGCGGCGGCGATAAGGACAAGGACGAGTTCCTGACACCCATCATTGTCGGCGGCGACGAAGCTAGAATCAAGGGTAAGTCGAGTTTGTCAACCCAATCCGGACAAGGCTGACGAGGCGGTCGTGCTAGATGACGACACTGTATTCTTCTTCAACTACCGTTCGGACCGTGTGCGGCAAATAACGCAGCTTCTCGGCGATGTCGACCGCTCCGTCCTGCCCGACTTCAAGTACACCAAGATCAACAAGTTGGTGACCATGACCATGTATAAGACGGACTATCCTTTCGAGGTTGCCTTTGAGCCCCAGCGCATGGACAACGTCCTGGCCGAGTGGCTCGGCAAGCAAAACGTGGAGCAGGTTCACGTGGCCGAGACGGAAAAGTACGCCCACGTCACCTTCTTCTTCAACGGAGGCGTCGAGAAGGTGTTTCCGCTCGAGACGCGCGACCAGGACCAGGATTTGGTTCCCTCTAACAAGTCGGTCGCGACCTACGACAAGGCGCCCGAGATGTCTGCGGCTGGTGTGGCCGACCAGGTCTGCAAGCGTCTCGCCGAGCAACGCTTCCCGTTTGTGATGAACAACTTTGCTCCCCCCGACATGGTTGGCCACACCGGTGTCTACGAGGCCGCCATCGTTGGCTGCGAGGCAACGGACCAGGCAATTGGTAAGATTTTGGAAGCCTGCAAGAAGCAGGGCTACGTCCTTTTCATCACGTCCGACCACGGAAACGCCGAGGAGATGAAATTTGCCGACGGTAAGCCCAAGACGAGCCACACGACGAACAAGGTCCCCTTCATCATGACCAATGCCCCAGAGGGTTGGAGCTTGAGGAAGCAAGGTGGCGTGCTGGGAGATGTCGCGCCGACTGTGCTTGCGGCCATGGGGCTGCCCCAGCCCGACGACATGACAGGGGAATCGCTGCTTGCCAAGGATCTTAAGAGGAGCGCGGAGTAGAGTGATTCCTCTGTCATGAGCTTGCGGGGTGATGGCTCGGACGTCGATGTGCCATGAAGGAGGGCCAAGATTGAGCACTGGTGGCATGAGTTACGAGGGATGTTCGGACTAGAGGTTAGCGAAAATTACGGAGTCGTTGCAGATAGACTATGAGAATTTTCCAGAATGGTGCCAAAGGTGTGAAGAGCCTCACGGTCGGCATGGACGAATGACGGCCACATGTCTCACATCACCCAGTTACCAGCTTGAAACGGTCTCACTAGCTTATCCAGATGCCGGAGCCGCATTACGATGATGGAAAAAAAGGGGCAGGGTTCAGATCTGACATTTGGAGTACCGGGGCAATGGGGGGCTGTGGCAAGGCGGCAATCCGAGGGTCAACTACCTAACGTGACCCCGAGCTGCAGACCAACGTTTGACCTTTGAAGAGCTACGAACGCTGATATGTGTCGTCGGGCATTTGCAGCACAAGTGAAGCTATATAACCCGAGGACATCTCGTACCACGGGCAGCGAGAAGAAGCGGATAGAGATATACATGTTTGTCTACTGGGACTCCATTGAGAACACGGGATGCCCTTTGTAGCAAGATCAGCTGTTCTCACGAGGCCGGGATTTCGGCGTTTCTCGTTGGGTAGGAATAGGATGTTCCAACAGACAAACATTACTACAGCAGGTTCATCATACTCCAGGAGAGCGGTTGGGATTTCAAGAGCCGTGGGGAAGATGGGGCATCTGCAGTTCCTGCTGTACGACGGGGCCGAATGACGCCTGCATGGGCGGGCCGGCGTGGTGTATGCATAAGAAGGGGGCGGCGTCGCGTCGGTAATGTAGGTGAGGTAGGGTAGGGTAGATCCGAGCAGCTGGGCGTGTGGGTGTCTCCCGTCGTCGTACCCTTGATCATCGGGGTGACCCCTCCCGCCGGCTGGCACGAGGAGCGCCACCAGAAAGCGCCATTGGGGGGGAAGAGAGGCAGCAAGCCAAGCAATTTGAGGGATGGAGCACTGCCGAGGGCGTTGGGCTGAGACGGGTGGGCGGTGATTATCTTTGCCTTTGTTTATGTGCAGGTGTCGAAACCTGGCAAGAAGAGATGGATCAGCGTGAGGAAGAATGACGAGACGAGGAGGTGGTTGAGGAGGGGGTGAGCGGAACAAGGAATAGGGGCTTTCTCCAGCGGCATGGCAGATCTAGCGTGGGGAAGATGGGAGTTGCCAAAGATGGGCCCTTGTTCAGCGCATGTCCAGATCTGGAGCCCACGAATCGGGCTCGACATGGTCGAGGAGGCAAGTCTCGAGATGGCCAGCCAGGGGCTTCGGCTCACATGGCGAAACCATTCGGGGACAATGCCAGGATTCTTTCCTTCCGGGCGTCTCGGCGCAAGGGCGATGGCAGCTGCACGATCTGGACTACCGACGCGGCTCCTCGAGATCGGGAAGAAGGTTATCGGTTGGGGCCGCTCATGGAGGGGGTAGCTGTTGGTCATTCTGGGGATGAGGCTCAGGCTCAGGGGGAGTGAGGAAGAGGCATGTAAGCCACAGTGAGGACAGTGACCCCTCCCCTGCGCCACACGCCCCCTTCTCGGCGGCTCTTTGGCTTCTCTCCGGCGGAAAGAGATGTGTTGGAAGATGTAATTTTGAAGGTGCCTCTTGCATGCGGGACAGAAAAGACGATGCATGGGCCCATCGGCTGGGCGCGGAGTCCGTTGCCGAAGTGGGAACCGTTGGATGGGCGGGCCTCCGGCAAGAGTCCGGCTCCGCTTGGCTGTCGAGCCCGGACAAGTGTGGGGCCGCATCGAGGGCCGGTCCCCGGCTCTGACAGACACTGGCGGGCAGAATGAAGAGAAATACGGGCCGATATCTCTCCAGAGAAAACCAGAGAAAAGAGAAAGTGGGAGGAGAGCGCTCATGGTCAAGTCGCCGACGGGAGGAGGATGCGAGAGACGAGGGCTGCCGTTGCGCGTCGTCGTCTCTCTCTCGCAGGAGCTCTCTACACCGCCCGCCCTTCAGTCGGAAGGCTGGCAGAATGGATGTACATACAGTACGGTACTTTGTAAGGGAGGAAAGGGAGGGGGAGATGATCCAGGGCTGCATTACACAAGGGCGTCCGTGCTGGCCTTTGGCATGGCGGACGAGGACCCTTGCCGCGTTGGCTATGTCAGTGATCGATCGTCGAGGGGGAAAATGGGACCCCATCGATAGATGCATATTAATAGAGGGGTACTTCAGCTCAGGCTCGCAAGCTGTGAGCATCGATTGGCTGAATACTCGGTCGTGCATGTACTGCTCAGGTATTTCAAAACTCAAGCCAGAGCTCTGCTGAGTGGCGGCCACGTGATGGTGGACGGATGAGCGTCGACTCAAAAGAGACGTCATGTGTGCCTTGTGCGAGCCGTCTTCCGGGCATTTATCCAACACCGAGGCGAGCCGTGGTCGGGGGTCCCGGGGGTCCGAGACGGTGGAAAAGGCGTTTATAGTCGGAGCACGGAGAGACGCGAACAATACACACGGCGCTACGCGTAAAGCATCCAAGCAAATCCGTACAGTATCCGCAAGGTTGGGCGGGCGGTCTGCTAGCGACCCATCCATATGCCGGGGCGTCGCATAGCCGGGTCTAGAACCCTCCAGACGGAGGGCGCGTGCGACGAGCTGTCAGATGTTATCTATCGTCCGCCCTGGGCCCGTTGAAACATGCCGCGCCGCCGAGACGAGAGACCGGCGGGTCGAGGCCCTCCCTCGAGCATGCAACCCCATCCGGGCACCTACCATTGTGCTTGCCAAACCCTTTGCCCGGGACGACGCATCTGCCTCTTGGTGGTTGCAAGAGAGGGAGAGACATGAGGACGACTGTGCCATTTTGACTGAGAGCGACATTTGACGAGAATTCTTTCAGGTCATTTCCACTTGTTCAATGGAAGTCGTCGCGGAGTTCTTCTCCCCGCCGCCCAGGTACCCGCATGTAGCCAGTCATGCGTAAACGGGCAATTCGGGGCATGCGGTACCTGGGAGGGCAAGCCCGAAGCTTAATTCGCCCGGTCGGGTACACGGTCGTTACTTACTCGCGGAAGTGCGCGCGCAGGCCAGGGCATCGTGATTAGCAGCAGCCATCGAGAGGTCGCCATGTCGCCAAGGCCACTGGCGAGGGCCCTGCAATAAAATATGTAAGGGTAGGTTGTAGTACTACCTTGATGCAGCCCTCTCGTCGGGTGCGGATAAACGCATGAGCAACTTACAGGCCGAGGGCATACGGAGTTGCGACGCTCGCGCAGCTCACAACTCACATGGCGTCTGGAGAAGAGGAGGAATCGTATGTTTTTTAACCCGTACTAGTATGTATGGAGGTAGGGACTCGGACGCATGTGGAGAGGAATGCGTGCGTGCTCGCGGAAATCATGCGACGAGGCCCCCGTTGCTCCGAGGGGCCTCGATGACAGGCCAAAAGCAAGATCGGCGCCCAAGTGCTCCAATTTAACCCCCCCGCCGCCGGGCACCACCTCCCTAGCACCTACCCTCCTCAGGTAGCTACAGCACCTGTACAGAGTACTGTAGGTAGGACCCTCCTCTGTACGGACGCTACCGAGCCACCTTGCAGGGCAATGGGCGCTGCGCGCTTGGGCTCGTTCAGGGCATCCCGTCCATCGCCTCAGGCCGTCTCGCACTCGGCGACCTCTTTTCCTTGTCGCAAAAACTCTCTTGTCGGCCGGGCATGTGTCTATGAACCATGATAGGGGCCGCGGGGGGTGGTTTGCCCGACCGAGGGGCGTCGGTGGAGAGAAAGCAGCTTTTTCTTCATTTCGTCAAATATCGTGATGACGCCGTCTTTCTCGATGTATGCATTTCGCCGAGCGGGCAGAAGCGGGTTTAAATGGGGGGCCCCATGCCGTTGGCAGCAAAGAAGAAAGCAACCATGAACGCCACTCGGCATCGCCAAAGACTTGCATCCATTCAATTCAGGGCGTGCATAATACCAAACATCCAAGGACATGTCAAGGCATTTATCTAACACGTTCACCGTCTGCCGGCTTCATGGGCGTCGGCTTGCCACTCGCAGTCCGGAGCAGACGGAATACCGGTACAAAGCCAAAGTTGAGAGATAAACCGGACCCTAAGAGGCGTCACTTGGCCGACGCCATGGAGTCCAGCTATCACGAGACCCTGAATCTGGGCCCCGGTGTTCTTTGATCTCGCCGGGCCCCTGGTAGTCGCGAGCATCGGGGCAATGAGCCTTCGATCTGTCGGCTCACCATGCCCTCCTACGTGCTTTTCGCGATGCCGCCGCCGGGCGCACACACACAGTCTCACTGGGTATCCATTCGCCTTTTCCCTCGTATGAAGCGGGCGCCTTTCGTCGTCATCATCACCATTTGAGGGCGACCATTAATGCCCACCTATCCGTACCTGAAGCAGGGATATACACATTCCACCGACCTATCCTTCCCAGCTTAACCATTTCTCTCCATACTCTTGTCCTCTGCTTCTCCCGCTCCAGCATACCTACCACGGTGGTCGTCATCTCATCTTACCAAATCTCGTGAGTGGCACCCGCCCGCCCCCAGCCTGCGGCCTCATGTCGCAGGCCTCGCCGCCCCCTCCACCATGCCATCACATTGACAGACTCCCCTCCCCTCCCCACACCCTGGCCTCCGCTCCGTATCCTGGAACTCTGCCTGGTTTGCTGTTCAAGACAGCCCACGCACATACATAGCTGCCCCCCATCCCGTCGCCGGCCCAAAGCCTTTTACCCAACATACACTCTCGTCGCTCGCGTCTTTCTGGCCCATTCTAACGCATGACTCGAGCAGCTCGTCGGCACACCCTGAGCGGGCGTGGACACAAAGCAACTGCACAACGAGTCGTTTGAGACGCAACTTTCGAGAGCAGCGAGCGCCGCTGTTGACCTGTTTCGCCGACTGTCGAGCCGCACCTCGTCGCCAAAGTCCTGGACGCCGCTTGAGCCCGGTCGGAAGTCCCGGACTCCTACGCCGACGACGAAGGCGCCATCACCAAAGAGAAAAAGAGAGGCAGTGTTAACGCACGCCCGACCCGGAGCCTACCTGCAGCAGAGAGTCGAAGCTTTTGGCAGACGCGACGCCGTCTCGATTTCCGGCCGCGCCCACAAAACAACAGCTGAGAGGCCGGATCGCTTACGTCCAGCCGCAGAACCCTGGACAGTCGAAACGGTTGCGCTGGAGCCGAAACAAGACGAAAAGCGTGGCCACCCATTCCTGGTGAGTAAGAGCGCTGAATGAATCCGCCCAGCCATGGAAAGCATCGATCGATCGATCCAGCTCCGCCCTCCAGCCAATCACAGGGCTGCTGCGGGCCGTTGCGGGCTGCTGGCAACACCGAGCCCCGTGCACCGATTCCCTTTAGCTGCATATTCTTGCTAAAGCCATTGCGCCACGTACTGACAATATGCTCTTACAGAACACAGTCGTCAAGCGAGGAATCCTGCAACTGCGACGTCAGTCTTATACTCCCGCCGCCGGCTCACGGCTCGACTCGTCGGTTAAACATGCAGACGTGGCTGTGAACGACACCACCGACTCAACCCAAACACAAACGCATGAGCTGATCATGTCAATGCCTGATCACTCATCCCGCGGCACGCATCCTCCACCTCCGCCATCCGCCACTGGCCACCCTCTTCCTCGCCGCGCCTCGGCCGCGAACTCGGTGACGCTCCGCCACCACCGTCTCGCCCGCGATGCTTCGCTCCGCGCCAGCCCGGGCTCGGGGCCTGCCAACTCGAGCAACGTGATGTCGTCGCCGCGGAGGAACTCGTCGGGCGAAAGCCACGAGACTGGCCATAGCGATCCCAAGAAATGGTTCGACCAGTCGAACCAGAACCCGACTGCGATCTTTGATAACACAATCATGGATGGTAAGCCGCCCATATCTGCGAGACCCTTGGCATTCTTGTTGCTGACAGGCTCAAGTCGATCCGCCATTTTTCCAAAAAGAGTCCGATTCCTCCAATGAGGAAAAGCCTTTTCCGTACCAGCACCATGCCGTTCCGCCCAGATTGGCCACGGCGCAAAGCAGCAGTGCCGATGACTACCGGAGTGTCATCGATGACCTGACGGTCGAAATCCAGAAGCTCAAGGAGGAGTTGAAGCGTTACAAGCAAAAAGGGCCCGACATGTTGCGCAAGGACAAGCTTTTCGAGATTAAGATCCATGGTCTCCCGAAACGCAAGAGGCGAGAGCTGGAAACAACTCTCCGTGACTTCACAGCCAGCCTACAGCACTCCCAGGATGCCTCGTCCTCGCAGCGCAACAAGTCACGGCATGCGATGCGCGATAACACGTACTCGGGCTCCGGCTCCGGCTCCGTGTCCAAGCACGCATCCTCTTCAACCGGCTCCAACGCGCGACCCGTCGACTCGGCATACGCGTCCATGTCTACGGGCGCCAACTCGTCCGGCACGTCCCTAGGCCGACCACCGATGAGTTCGAGGGTCCGGTCGTCCGAGCAAAAGGTGGAAAATTACCTGCGCGACATTCCCGAGGGGCTCTATCCGCGACACATGGCCATGACTGAGAGGGATAAGAAGAGGCTCGTCGTCAAACGCTTGGAACAGCTCTTCACCGGCAAGATTGGCGGTCGCGGCGCGCGGCGCAACAAATTGGCACCTCCCGCGGCCGGAACCGGTGCCTTGGGCCCAGTGGTTCCCGAAGACCAGCCTCCGTCACGTCAACAGGTTCACCTGCCCCCGACCCTGGCTACTGCCGAACCATCCCGCGAGGCGAGGATTCTTCCTCTCGAACGGCCGTCCGACCCATCCGGCAAGAAGACGCAGTCACGAGACAACGGGTCAGCATCAAATTCCAACGGGGACCAGACCGAATCTGGTGGCAACGGAAACAGCAGTGACTCCGGCGCAAACACGTCGCCACCGAACATGCTGCTGCCACCGGAACAGCGACCGACGCGCGTCAAGGATCTTGACCCGGATCGTGTCCAGGTTCCATCCGAAAACATGGAGTATATTCGGCATCTCGGCCTTGTCCCCCCCGAACTCTTGGCCGATGCCTCTCGGGCAGCGCCAGACGTTCACCCCGATGCTGAGGGCTGGGTCTACTTGAATCTTCTGTGTAGCCTTGCCCAGCTGCACATGATCAACGTCACCCCTAGCTTTGTGCGCTTTGCTGTGTCCGAGATGAGCACAAAGTTTCAGCTGTCTCCCGATGGCCGCAAGATTCGTTGGCGAGGCGGAAGCGAAGGCACCAGGTTCTCCGGCGACAGCTCCGGCGACGCCTCTCAGAGGAGCCCTGACACGGATGACACGACGTGCTCTAACAATGAGGAGTCGTGTAAGCGACGGAAGACGGGAAACTCGACGGGCGATGGGTTTCACTCTGGCGACAGCTCCAGCAAGAAGCCGTACACGTTTGGGCCGCAAGTCTCGGGGTCCTCGGAAGGTTTCCACTACAAACCACTGTTTGTTCAGCAGGGATCGCCCGACGGCCAGACGTCAATAGACGATACAGTGTCATCATTCGGCCCCGTCGAGGACAGCAATATGGGCGCCTCCCGCTGGGAGCTGAGTGGATCCGGGACGTCGAATCGCAGGAAGCGGCGCCACGATGGAGCCATCATCTACTACAGCGGCGCACCTTTTTGCACTGATCTCTCGGGAGACTGTGGCGACGTGTCACCAGCCACATATATGTTGTCGAGCGGTCAGGAGCCAAACGAATCGCCTTCACAATTTATGCGGCCACTTCCACGACGCTCCGAGTCTGGGTCGTCTCTGTGCTATCGACCGTTGAATGATCACCCGATATCGAGTGTCAGTTCCAAGATGGACGTCCATAATGTCCATGCTACCCCCGGCCTGACCAGTGGCTCGGAAGATGAGGCTGGTGATGTCGAGCTCGACTTGAGCTGGTCTGGGGAGCAACAGTACATGGAGGTTCGCCCATTGGAGCCCTGCGGGCTTGGAGGTGTCTTACCTGACGACCACTTTATGGTGGTGGTTTCTACGAAGCGCCCCATCAAAGACGTGGTGTTGTCGACGGAGAAAGGCAACGACGACATGGCAACGGATTGCATCGTCAACCGCCTGGCGACCATGTCGACGTCATATCCCGTACCACGTACGTTGTGCTCGTCGACGCAATGCCCTGCAAACCCCATCGAAGTCCAGTATGTGTCGGGTCGCATCAAGCGCCTGGCACCGGTCCCGCTTCCACCGCCCGCCATCTTTTTCCCACCTTTCAGTAACGACGACTCCAGCGACGGGGACACGGATGCGGGCTTCGATGGCGACGACGACGAGTACGAGACTTCAGAGTGCACGAGCCGCAAGGCCAACCCTCATCAGTCAGACGGTTATCCCGACGGCGTGGATCTTAGCAGCGGAGACGAAGATGGCGAGGACCCGGACGACGAACCTGAAACGTGCCGCATGTATGACGTTGAAGATCGCAAATGGGACGAGCGAGGCCTCGACGATCTTGCTCGCCGGTCGATTGGCAGCGCCGAAGCTGCCCCGGGCACGCTGCGAGGGCGAAGCAAGAGCGCTGCGAGCGAGATGGTGGCTCGGACGGGCGGAAGCTCAGTTGCCACGGCCGGAGGCGTTGAGAGCGGATACAGCAGCAGCGTCGAAGCGAGCAGCTAAACATTGAATCGGTATCGGATCAGCTACAACAGTATTTCCCATCACGGAATACAAACTTTTCATCTTTGTTTCAACAGATCTGGACGGGCAAACATGGCGACGGCGCGTGGTTGTTTTATTTTTATTTTGAAAATGAGCCATCCAGTATGGACGCGGGCTTGTCTTGGGTTGTCGAAGCAAAATTCCGTGGCACGACACGGTTGTCACTATCTTGTACGGGCTGAGTGATGGAAATGTATGATGGTAGGAGTTTGGGTTTGATACAGGCTATGATTCCCCCATTGAGCATGCAATTTGACGATATGATTGAATTTGTGCAAAAACAAACACGTGTATGCACGCGTCCCTGCTTCGCCCGTCTTTTACTAGCCATGTGCCATGGTAGCATGGGCGTGGGGGCAATGGCCGAAGCCCTGGAAGATGAATGCATCTATACCGCCTAATTAACGGAGGCCCCAAATCGATTCCTGTGGGTGGCTGCCGATGAGGTTGGTCGACAATTAATCGTCCAACCGGGCTATACAACAAAATCATTCGCTACTGCTGCTCTCGCTGTGCCGTCCCGTGTCTAGACAGACATTACGAAAACGATTCACTCCTTCTCGGCACAATATATGTATATATATCTCCCGGCAAATTCTCAATACGGGAGCCTCGAGATTACTCAACCTCTCATGCCATCGTGAACATTTTCTGAAGCGCCATATTCAAACCGAACCAAGTCCCAAGAGGAAAATAAGAACAAAAATTGCATGCTGATTATCGGTTCTTTAGGGATCACATTGGCCAAAGCGAAGGATCGTCGAACGGAATAACAATTGAGCTGGACTGCCCCGGCGCTTTGACGCCATCCCACGAAAGAAGAAAGGGAGCCGGGACCGTGTCGGTTGTGGAGCATTCACTCTTTCACCAAAAGCCACCGCTGCAGTGTCGACTGGACGAGTGAGGGCCCTTGGTCTCGCCGTTGTTGGTGCCCATTGAGTCTACATAGCACGTTCTGGATTTGAACCATCATTCAGCATGTAGTCAATGCGCCTAGCCCACGTGGCATCGGTTGAGACTAACATGATATTTTCAAGTTTGTCGCCGGCGTAGATCAGCCTCCACTGCGAAGTATTGGACTGGGCTCTGAAGGATGGAGAGTTGATGGCAAGATGTGGCGTTTTCTCATCCCTTTTATCTCAGTGTTGAATGCACATGGCGAGAGCGGCCAAGTAGAGAGACCCCCAAGGCACGTAAGCTTGTGAACAAATTCCTTTTGGGAGGGAGCATTCAATGGCGGCTAGGTTCATGAGTCTTGGGACGCAATATGCGAAAAGCATTATAGGATGCTCCGAGTCGCACAACATGAACACTTGCCCGGCAAGGTCAGTGCGTATATCGCGGCGCACTCATGCTGCGCACACTAATAGCCAACGGCAACGAGAGCTCTGCCGACCTCGTTGCATCTTGACTCCTCCGAACCGCGCGTGCTGTCTCTCTTCTCCGCACATGCATTGCGCAGCCTTTTTTGTTTCCACATGCAAGTATTGTGCGCTCCTCGTCATGACAATCATGACTTTGTCCCTCGCCTGCCGCTTCAGTTGCCTTGCGTAGCCCTTTTGTGTTGATACTGTTAGCATGACGAGCAGCCCTTTCTAGACTTGATCTACGAAGCACACTTAGTAGCCGAAGCCGGAATAATGCCAATTTTGCTAGCAAGCTGGGCACCGAGGGGCAAGAGAGATGACATCAGACAGTGTGCTCCGGTTCTGCCGGTCGAGCAGAAAGCATGGCTTCCTTGGGCCGGGCATGTGGAAACGTAGAGTGTATCGACTAGACGGCGCATAAAAAACACCATCTCGATGGATACATCCGACAGTGCCCCAGAGTGGCGAGTGGCGAGTGCCGTCATCGAGTGATATGCGCACTTGTAGTTTGTTGTTGAACGTCGGGCATGAATGATTAATCCAGGTGAGGTTGCATCACGTGAGCGTAGCTGTACTGTCTGTACATGGCCTTCTGAAATAAAGCGGGACCACAAACAAGGAAGGAACATGAAGCATCTCAAGCAGCTTCAACTGACGAGCCACAAGAGCAAATCCCGCCGGCCGCTGCACTTCCCTTTGACCTCTCCTGCCTCTTTGACTGTCGCGCATTTCAGCTCGAGTGCTGCCGAAGGTCCGCGACATGCGGCTGGATCTGGGCCTGCTGCTGGTGCTGCTAACCGGTGGGGCGGCAGTTGTTGGCCGTGGCGTGGGAGGAGCTGGAGACAATGTCAAGAACGTGGCCATTATAGGTAAAGAACCGCTTTATTGGCCACGTCTTCCCCGTGTTTTCCCTTGGCGGTCTATCCTTTGTCTTCATCCCGGCCTGTTCTCGTTGCATGAATGGCATTTGCAATGAGGCGCAAGAACGAGATGATGAACCTTGGCTAATGCCGTTTGCAGGAGCCGGGGCTGCTGGCTCATCAGCCGCGTACCACCTCCAAAAGTACGCTCAGGACGAGGGCCTGGCCGTCAACATCACCATCTTTGAAAAGACGGACCGCGTCGGGGGCCGCACCCTGACGGTCAATCTCTATGACGATGCCGCCCATCCGGTGGAGCTGGGCGCGTCCATCTTCGTCACCATCAACCACATCCTCTACAACGCAACAAAGAACTTCAACCTGCCCCTCACCGAAATGGCCATGTCGGACGACGGCGACATCACCGCCATCTGGGACGGTGATCGCATTGTCTACGAATCCGTCGCTGGCACCTCCTGGTGGATGGAGGCCGGCAAGCTGTGGTGGCGCTACGGGCTGGCCCCCTACAGGGCCCTGAAGCTCGTCAAGCGTGTCGTCGGCATCTTTCTGAATCTCTACGACGAGCCTTATTTTCCATTTCGATCCTTGACGCGGCGCGTCTTTGAGTTGGGCCTGGAAAAGGTCACCTCCGTGACGGGAGAGCAGTTGCTTGCCGAGAACAAGGTGGGCCATCCTTGTTTGCCCTTCTCCTCTTATTCGAGGAGGGATAGGAGAGAACTGGAGCTTGGGACCCGAGTGCTGACCTTGGAGACCAGATTGGCCCCAACTTTGCTCGCGAAATCATGCAGCCTGCCACGCGGGTCAACTACGCCTCCAACCTGGCCTACATCCATGGCCTGGAAGCGATGGTTTCATTTTCCACCGATGGGGCTGTTTCCGTGCGTGGCGGAAACTGGCAAATCTTTGAAAACATGGTGCAGAGCAGTGGAGCTGCGCTTTACCGCAACACGTCCGTCACCTCCATCTCATTCGAAAAGGGCGGCATGAAGCCCGGTGCGCCTCGGAAATTCCTGATATCGACGAGAGACTCGCAGGCAACGTCGGATAGATCAGAGAAGTCTCCCATCGCCTTTGACAATGTCGTCGTCGCGTCGCCGTGGCAATTTAGTGGCATCAAGGCCGACGAGGGTGTCATGAAGCAAAAGATTGACACGATACCCTACACAAAGCTCCACGTTACGCTTTTCACGTCGCCGCACAAACTTCGTCCCGGGTTTTTTAACCTGCCAGCTGGTAGCCGGGCTCCGAGCAACGTGTACACGACGCTCAGCAAGGAGGAAAAGCCCAAGCAGGGTGCCGAGGGCGTCGGCAAGACGGGCTTTTATTCCATCAGCACCTTGATGAAGGTCAGGAACCCCAAGACGCAACAGACCGAGTTTGTCTACAAGATATTCTCCGCCGCCGCCGTGACTCCGGAGTTCCTAGCCGACATCCTGGGCGCCGACGTCCCGAGCACCTTTGTCGCCGCGCCCGATGAGGCATCCGGCTCTGCGGCGCAGACCATCTCGTGGTACTATCCGCACTGGTTCCATTCGTATCCCATCGAGCTGCCGCGTGTGACGTTCCAAGACCCCATCGTGGGCAGGGGTCTCTACTACACGTCCGGCATGGAGAGCTTCATCTCGACCATGGAGACGAACGCGCTGATGGGCATGAACGTGGCGAGGCTCATGGCGGATCAGTTTGCGGGCATGTCGCGAGGGGGCTGGCTCCGGGCCGACGAAGGGCGGGGACGGGTGCTGAGGGAGGATTTCTTTGAGAGAGTTGAGAGCGAGATGGGGATGAATATGAATATCGTGGGGCAGGACGAGCTCTGACTAACTGAAAGAGCATGGCCTTTTCTTTTCGTTTCTTTCATACTGTGGGATTTTGGATCTGTGCGGCTTGTTGGGCACTCAGGGGAGCTTTTTGGCGTGCTTTGAATACTGGGGACATTGGAACAGGACGCCTTGATCATCTTGTCGAGACAGGGATATGCTGGAAGCCCGCCACTCTTGAGCAAAAGACCGAGCATCCGATGGAGTTGCTCTTTGACTCTGGTCCGGGAGAGCCTACCATGCCGCTGTGGGCCGGATTTTCAAGCCGATAAGAGCAAGCTTAAATTGACGGCCGTGAACGTTCAGCCGCACAGCTGATATGCGACGTCAATGTTGCTTGGGCTTGGCTTGTTGAAAAAGGTATGTACATAAATTATCCCCGGAGATGAGAGGCACCCGATGCTGGCGACACCTTTTCAAATCCCTCGCCTGCCATCAGAAGATAAGAGTCTCGTGTCTCGACTCTCTCGCTTTAAGCGAGGCTCCATCTTCTATCATACTCGCCGATGCCGGCCTCGAACCAGTGTCTGAAGTTCTGTCGTCCGATGCCGTCGACTGCGGTGCACCTCGTCGTTTCCTCCTCGTCGAATCCTGACGGCATGTGCTAGCTTCCCATAGCACGCCGTCTGCTCACAGTACTCCATTCATTGATCGCATGTACAGTCATTTCATATTGCCGCCGAATCGAAGGCTCGGAATCATCCCACCATGGTAACCGAGTGTCTGGGCTCTCGCTCTGCCTCCAGAGTCATGTTGTTGAACTTGGCTTCGAACATGCCCCAGAGCAAGTCGTTGTCTAGAAAGGATTCCTGCTCTCCCTCGCCAGCGCCCAGCTTCTTGTTGACTCCCTCGATAATGTCGAGAAGGAGTTTCAGGGGAGCCTTTTCACCACGTTCCTTGGTCGCCGCCCACTCTTGCAGCCGGTCGGCCAGAGACTGGCCAGCTGAGCCCAGGGCGCTGCGCTCGGCAAGCATGGGCACCGGCTGCTTAGGCAACTTGACCCTCTTGCCTGCATTCTTAACGACTTCCATCATGACGGGCACAATGGGCTCGTCGTGGACGTGGAGATTCTGGAGCTCTTCCAGCAGCTGGTCCATTTTCTTGGGGCTGAGCCCCGAGCCCGAAGCGCCCTCGGCCGACGCCGGCGCGGCCGTCTTGGGCACCTTGACCTTGTCGGCGATCTTGGCAATCCTGGCGACGGGCTGCGTGACGGGCGGCGTCGACGGTGACGTCGGGACCTTGACCTCGACCGTCTCCAGCTTGGCGTCGAGGCGGGCCGAGATGCGGCGGGCCTCCTTGACCACCCTGGTGGCCGACCTGGCCACATCCACGCCCCTTTTGATGGCCTGCGAGGCCTTGTATCCGGTCCTGGCAAACCTCAGCGCGCGGACCCCGACAGCGGCCGGCGTCGGCGTCCAGGCTAGCACCTCGAGGCCGATGTCGCCGAGGATCCCGAGCCACTCCCCGGCCGAAACGGGCTCGTCGGTTCGAATGGCTTCGACTAGGTCGCCAAAGGGCTTCGCGGGCGATATGTCGTATAGGAACTCGCCGAGGCCCATGCCCGTCGAGGACTCTTGTTCGACGGGGGCGACGTCTTCTGATGTGCTCAGTGCTGGCTGCTCTTGTTGTTGCTGCCTCTCTTGCTTCGCCTTTTGATCCGCCTTTATCTTGGCCTCGTGCTCCGGGTTCTGGAAGAGCGGAAACTTGTCGGACCAACCCTGGCCCGCGCCGATAGATTCCATAAACTCGTGGGCGTACTCCCACGTCGGCTTGTCCCTGTCGAGCTTGTCGTAGGGGGCCTTGTCCCAATCGGCAGCCCCGGCTTTGTGGCCGGCCAGCTGCGGCTGCCCCGCGCTGGCAGACATCTTGCCGAACCTCTTCTTGTCGTACTGAAGCTCGCTGTTCTCGGATTTGAGCACGCCCTGCTTGACCAAGTCTCGATACTGGTCCATGTTCTTGGACGCGTCCTTGGCCTTGACAACGTCGATGAAATCAGGCTTCATGTTGGCCGGCAGCTGGACGCACTCGGCGATCTGCTCAAACACGACGCCGCCCAGGGCCGAGTACTCCCTCTCCCAGCGGAGCGGGTAGGGGACGACCGAGGACTCGACGGGCACCATGTTGGGCGTCGTCTTGATGACGTAGACGTAGCCGCCCGGCTGGGCGAACCAGGCGGCCACCTCAAACGACGTCGTCGTCGACACGTAGGCCGAGTCCTTGCCGTGGACGTTTTTGGCGTCGTGCAGGTGGTGGACCAGCTTGTACGCGTCGGACGACAGGCTCCGTGGGTTGCCGTTGTTGGGCAGCAGGCCGCCTCTCCTTTTGATTTCGGCTGGCGGCATGCCCCTGACGCCTCGGAACACGTATTTCGGGCCGTCGCTTCCCAGACCGGGTAGCTTGGAGACAAAACCGCCTGGTGACCTCTTGTCGTGCTCGAGCAGGGCCGGTGTTGGGAAGTGGCTTGCCTCTTGGCTGGGTGATAGACGGTTTTGCCGGGCTGCCAGGATCTGGCTGACTGGTTTGGCGAAGCCGTGGTCGCTCCATAGGAGCAGACTCCATATGGACAGGACCAAAAAGGCCCAAAGCTCCCTCATCTTGACTCAAGGATGGCTTTGAAATAAGAAAAGAATAGCCCTGAACCTGGTATCACGGAGGGTGCCTGGCTAGAGAACAAAGACCGTGTAAGTGAGCGCCCTCAAGCGCATTAAATACTGCTGTGTCAAGCTGGTAAAATACCGCTACACCATGCAAAATGAGGGCACCCCCGATAGAGGTGTTACTAACGCGTATTATAGGCCCTTTCTTGTCCTGACAAGCTGCCATTATTATGAAACCCGGCGAGAAACAAGACGGCGACGACGCGATCCCGGCACGATGCCGTCACGAACGAGCGATATCTGGAAGTCTGAGCAATTACATGGCGTCGTGCCCCTGAGTCGGCATTTTGAAGTATCATGGAGGCAACATGTCCCCATCCAATTTTCAAAAAGGGGGTTTTGGAGTCGTATCAGACGGGGGTACAACCCGGGGCCACATGGGAAGCCAGTAAGAGTCTGAATAGTTGCTCGGGGAATTCCTGACAGCTGCTCGCATCCCCATGGCCACTGACGGCGAGGGACGAGGGACGGACATGTGGAGGCACGCGTCCATGCAACGTCGGCGAGCGCTCACTATTGCCCGCTAGCGGTTCTCCCCCCCCCCTGAGTCCCCACCGAGTCCTTGTGTCCTAGCACTTTTCCTATCCATCTTGGTCAAGAAAACAAGGAACACGAGACTAGTTGTAATCGCGTTGATAGATATTCGAAACTAGAATTTGGCGTGACAGATGACGGTTGCTTCCCCGGCCCGTCGAAGCGACTCGAGATGCCCTCAGTTTCGAAGGCCGCAGATCACGGCCTGTCTTGGCGCAACCCGCGACCCCCTCCCCGGCACCGGCATAGGCCCATCATGCATGAAAGGATACTGCGGTCGGCACTTTACGTGATATCGACGCCTGGTATTATCGCTCGTGCTCGGCGACTTCATTCGAGGCACTTTTGTCGACACGGCCGAATCTTGCGCATCTATGTTTCCGTCGGGGCATGGCCGTACGCAAACGGCCACGTTGCTCAACAGCCGGAAGAGTCATAGACGAGCAGCGTCGTTGTATAGTTGGCAATCCCTTGCGTACGAAGATGGCATCTTGGTTATATACGCTCCTATTTCCGGTGCGTTTGAGTCTCCTGAAACGGTCCTCGAGAGACGGCTGTCCTAGCTAGGTCGCATCGATCCCACTTAAGGGCTGCATGTGGAAATATGCAGAGCCTTCTCGAAACGCAAATACCTATATGGCGAGGCAGCTCCGAATGCCCCTAGAAACTCTAGATTAATAATAAGTATTGCTGTTTACACAATAGCATATTGCTATTTGCACACACTCTCTATTTTTGAAATACGTACTAATAACGCCAGCCCGCCTCGCCTATTTATTCCGCGCGCGCCTGGCAAGTACCCGTACCGCCTAAATGCCCGCGCCCGCGCCTGCGCCCCCGGCCGCCCGCCCGCGCACACAACGCACTTTTGGTCACATAACCCCGACTCAACGATCCCTCTAACGCCTAACGAAGCCGGCGGCTCTGATAAAGCCGGCGGCGCCCCCCTCCTGCCGCGTCCTCCTCTTAATCTACTTCCCCTTATATTTCCTCGGGCTAACGATCCTTTTTATATCGCTGCGAGAGACCGCGGGCTACGGCTAAGTTTATCGATCACGGCGTTAGTAATAGCTTTAAATTTAGTACATGTGTGTTTATATAGGCGGGCGCGGGCGCGGACATTTAGGCGGTACGGGTACTTACCAGGCGCGCGCGGTATAAATACCGTAGGAACTCAACAAATCCGTCAGGTCTTGGCGGCGTGGGACAGGGGGGAGCGCAGGGATTAGCCCCGCAGCCAATTTGTATAGGGTACAGATCCACTCGTTCCAGCCCGAGCCAGCAAAGCTTGACACACACTTTCCTGCTCCATAGAGGTCTTTTTGAGGCTATTTTCGCGATGCCGCCCTTGGCGAGCTTGACAGGAACCTCAAGCCCGGCCCGAAGCCAAAAGAGCCCGGCAAGCGGGTCTTTCGAGCCAGTCAGTCTATCAATCGCGTTGAACGAAGCTATTCAGACCGCAAGAAAGATGAGGTTAGGATGTTCCTTACGCATCACCGAATCTTCGATCCATCGTCGCCACACGCCAACGAACGAGGCTATCGTGAGCCCACAATTAGTGAGGTTGCAAGGCACTTCAAGATCCCACGGACTACAATATCCAGCTGGGCTTCCAACCCACGCTTTATTGAGGAGGCCAAAAAGAGGGTATATCACCCTCGCTGGCCAGAGCTCGAGGAGGAGCTTGTCAAGCGGTTCATCGCTGCCCGGGCTAATAAATCCATCGTCACAGTCTCTTGGTTCAAAAGACAAGCTAGAAGTATCTTCAAGAGCCTTAACCCAGCGGTAGACAATATCTTTACTTTCTCAAACGGCTGGTGGGGACTCTTTCGACGAAGGCACGGTCTCGTACGTCGAAGAGTGACGAAACAAGCGACTAAGCGCCCGAAGAATACATCGAGATCGTCAACAGCTTCCTCCGCTACATACGACGCGTCAGCCGCCGGCACAAGCCTCAAGTCGCCCTTGACGCTATTCTCAACTCGCCTACACGCCGCTTTGGGAAGCACCGTATCCTTAACCTCGATGAAACGCCTATCCCATTTGAATACCTCGACGGCTATACATATGAGCAGCGTGGGGCACGTACTATCGATGGCAAGAGCGATCGTAGTGGGTGGAATAAGAGGCAGGCTACATTAATCCTGTATATCTTTGCAGACGGCATCCAGAGGTTGAAGCCGAAGGTGATCTTCCATGGGGCCGCCGCCGTTTGGAAGGATCATGCAAGACGAAGGGCATCTCTACTCGCCAGAGGTTACTGTTGAGTTCAACGAGACTGCCTATAACAACGAGGAGCTATTCAAAGACTGGATTCGTGACGAACTTTCCTATCGTCAGCCGCAATGATGACTTCCTCCTTGTGATGGATGTGGCTTCTTTCACAAGACCGATGATGTGCTTCATCAGCTACGTCAGCACAAGGTTGTGACCGCGTTGATCCCGCCGGGCTGCACGAGCCTTCTTCAGCCTCTCGATACAGCTATCAACAGACCTCTTAAAGACTGGCTTCGCGATGCTACTGACGAGTACGTCTCCGAGCGTGAGGCTCGCGGTCTCACGATGTGGTCTATACGAGAAAAACGCATCATGACAACCTTCGTGGTCGCCAGCGCCGTCCGCACCCTCGAGAGCCGGGCCGAGCTCGTACAGAAGGCGTTTCTCAACTGCGGCATCAGCATCAGGCCCGACGGCACGCAGGATATAGAAATCCGCGTCAAAGACATCCCTGCCGCCGCGATCGATTTTACAAACTGGGAGCAGGCTCGAGACGTCATCGTCAAAGACGAAGAAGGCGTCTCGGGCCTGCTTGACGAGGAGGAAATTGTCAAACAAGGCGACGAGGCAGAAGACCGAATAGATCGTGAGACTGGGTTGCTTGTGCTTCGTTGCCTAGAGCTCAAGGCATTGCTACGGGCTCGAGGGCTCTCAACAATAGGGAAAAAGGCAGTCTTAATTGCCCGACTTCTCGATGCTGATTCTATAATTTAGTACTAAAATCCCTAGTAAAAATAGTATCTTAGTCTAGCCAGAAGAATGCTTGCCCTTCTTGCCACTCGCGATATACACCAAGCTGGGCATCAAATTTGCTCCAACGCTTGCCGCGGCACTCAACACGGCACCAAGGGCTTCCTCCTTGCTGGAGGACAGTCTCAACATCGTGACGACTTCGTTCCCTGACCCAGCCGTAATGGATGCCCTCTTTAGTAAGGGAAATGCCCAATTTGACACCAAGGCTTGAGGGCTGCTTATACTGAAGTCGGTATTCCTGTCCGACCTCAAAGCAGGCAGCGGCTGCAAAGTCGTCTGTAACATCTACAACCTCGTTAGTAGCCTTGTGGATAAGCGCGGTCATTAACGCCTACAAATAACGTCAATAAATGCGGCAATAGCCATCGCGAGAGCTTCAAATTTAGTATGTTTGTGTGTGGGCTGCCTTCTAGCTTTGCTGGCTCGGGCTGGAACGAGTGGATCTGTACCCTATACAAATTGGCTGCGGGGCTAATCCCTGCGCTCCCCCCTGTCCCACGCCGCCAAGACCTGACGGATTTGTTGAGTTCCTACGGTAGGCGGGGCGGGCTGGCGTTAGTACGTATCTTAAAAATAGAGCAAGTGTGCAAACAGCAATATGCTGTTGTGTAAATAGCAGTACGCTATAGTAATTAACGATAAGAAATAATACTACTATAAGCATCTCTAGGCTACTTAAACAAGGACGCTCGTCAGACACTATCGGTAGCGTTTTTCGGGTCATACAATTCCGCCATTTCCAGTAGCAATCGGTAGATATAAATAGACATATCGATCTCTCGTAGAACTTCTCGTGACCGGGCAGACCCAGCAAGAGCAATCTCGGCAGATAAAGCCTCCCCCTCCGGATCATTGACGAGGAAATCAATCAAGGCGGGAAGCTCTTCCATGGTCATGGTGACGGGAATATAGTGGGCCCAAGGGATAAGGCGGTCATCATGCCATTCTTGAAACCAAGTTTGCTTCAAGACTACCGCCTGCCTAGACAGCAGACGGTAGAACCTCGTGCTCATGCTGTTTCCGTCAATGTCGAAGAGATATCGATAGTTCGAAGTCGTATCTTCTGGCTCACGATCTGCAGGGCCTAGGACTCGCTCCATTTCGCTGCAAGCCTCGTCGACACACTGTATGTAAGCTCCCATATGAACGTCGAATACCTCCTGGAATAGCTTGATCTGCTCCTTGTTTAACTTGTCAGTTTTCAACCCCAAGAAGGAGCTTGCACCAAGCACCTGGGCCGCATTCTGAAGCGACTGAGTGAAGCTAACAAATCGCTCCCTATGTCCATGTCTCCAGTTCAATCGAGTTGCTTGGCCGCCCGTCGACGACCCTCGCCAGTATAGGGCAGTTTCTTTCCCCAGGAAAGGCATTGGGTCTTTCTCCAAGACAGGGTGTGACAAATAACACGGGCATGGTATCAAAATGTCCCTAAAAGCGGACATGCGCCCGAAGCTGAGGATAGGGACAAGCGAATGAGTATATGAAAATGAACTTGGTGCTGCGATGAGGGCGTGCAAGTTTGCGGGATGAGAAGATTGACAGACGTCGGTGTATTGGCCAAGGTGGTCGGTCAACTTCGGGGCGATTGCGGCACATGAGTCCATGACCAAATCTTCGATTGACTCTCCGGGACGTTCTTTAAACTGTATTGTCGTTGGCTGAGGACCAGAACAGCCGAGTACTCTCGGTTCATCGATTGTGCTCAAGTAAAAGAGGCTGTCGGGCAATGCGTGGGCAAACGGTTCGAGTAGTCTTTCCCATCCTTGATCATATATATATCCCGTAGACTTGGACATGGTTCCATTCTGAATTGTGACACTCGCGACGTGAGGAAAAACTTCGTCTTGTTCCTTGAGAATTCGGAAAGTTTGCCGAGCTTCTGGGGTACGGTAGGGTTCAAGATCTCGATTGATCTGGTTAAAATCGTCAATGATCTTAGATCCATGGTTCAGGGCAAATTTCACCCATTCTTCGAAACCTTTCGGGGGGGTTCTGCCGTAACGGCGCTTATATTCGGCAATTGCTTCGTCAGGGGTCGATGACTGGACCTTGCGAGCAGATTTTGTCTCTGCCAGTGCGGCAAGTATCCGGCAGCGAATGGCGGTCCTAGAGAAGTCGTCTTTGGCGATGTTAGGCTGACACACCCCAGAAGTGTGGAAAGTATGGGTGCTGAAGAGCCGTTGGGAAGATAAGCGAAACGAGCTAACGATGAGCAGTGAGGCAGTCACGAAAGTAGCGGTTGTGGGCCGAAGAGCTAAGGTGTCGTCGTGAGGCGCATGAAGTGTTAATTAGAGACCTGTTAATTATTAGAGTCTTCCCTTTGCATATTGACTAGTGTTATAGGACCCTAGCGGCCCGGTCCATAAATATTACGTCATCTAATTAAGCGCATTGCATGTGAAAGTCAGAACTGTATATGCTCTCGGGATAACTTATTACCCCTAAACCCCTGGATGCGTGAGAAAGATGTGTCAGGGGTAGGGATATAAAACGGCGGCGTTGATGCAGCTATTCGGGGTCCACGCCGAGAGGTATAGATACCACACAAGAAGCGGTGGCAAGGAATACTTACTTTAGGGTCGTCTTAACCAGCAAACAGCCAGCAAACAAACTAAATGGGGTAGTATGGCTAGTAAAGGCGCAGCGCCAAGACCGTATAATTAGGTGCGCATATTCTAACGCACACATTGCACACATCATAAAGTGAAGCTATTCGCACCTACAGGCACCAAGGCAGGCGTAGGCTGCTTATATAATTTCTATGCATTTGGGCTCGAGGCTTGAAGATGCGTTATTTCGTCGATTTGAGCCCTGCCCGCCCTGCCGAGCCGCTGGCGGCGGTCTAGCCGCTCTGCGAGGCGTATGTCTCTATGCGAGTTCGTCTATATATAAATCTTGCTATGCCTCTTCTTTCCTCTTAGGCGTCTGCCTCTATCTTATCCCATTACGTTGCTATGCGCTCCCACTCGGCCGGTTCGAACGATTCGTGCTTTGCATCTTGCGACGAGAGTTCTTGCGAGGGCCGTTATGACGGCATCGCGACGATATTTCCGTCTAATATAAGGTCGACCGGCTGGTGTTGTGACCCGTCAGCCTCGTCGTTAGAGTCAGAGAAAGGCGTGCGTATGGCTCGTTAGTATGCTCGTGGCATCGCTGTGCCGGGCTCGTAGAGATCGCCGTGCTGTTGAAGGCATTATTTGCTCTATTGCAGTCTGCTAGGTGGGCGCGGGGAATATACTGCGCGCTCACCACTGGCCTCGAAACATTGGTCCGCCGTCTCCCTGCGCTGCACAAACTCAACTAATCACTCGACCTTGATCTCGACCTTGATCTTCTCGCGATCATCTTCCTCAAGGACCGAGTCCATCAGTTGCACCAGTTCCTCCTGTCCTGTCTCCTTCCAGTGCTTGAGCAATTCCCCCGCAGCCGCGTACAATCTGTGCACCGCGCGTGACTGGTAGCCGGCAAAGTCTACTTTCTCATCGTTATTGACGAGCCATTTCAGCAAGAATTCGATATCCGACACGTCGAAGCGAAACTTGGTGAGGGATTTCGGGCGGGTGCTGTCGATCAGCGTTGCGCATCGTTTGATCTTCGTCAGAATCAATATTCCTGGTCGCAAAATTGGCACGAGTCCTACAAGAAAGTTAGCGTTTATATCCTAAACAGCCAAGGATAATAGTCGGAAGGACTCACCGTTGCCAGGTCGAATCACCTGGAGCTGGGTGGGGAGCCCAAGCTCGCCGATGGGAAGCATTTCCATCGGGACACGTAGCTGCGGGAGCTGGGACGGGGTGAAGAAAAGTTTGAAGTGCTCAAGTGAAAATCTGGCATCGCTTTCAATCAGGAGCTGAGAAACACGGCCTCGCAGCTCCGAAACTTTGCCGACATCAATCTCGAAATCGATATCAGAGGTCGCTCGCGTGTGTCCAAGAAGCTGGACGGCAAAGCCGCCGATGACGGCGTGATGAATGCCGTGTTTGTCAAGAATGGCCGACATGGCTTCTACGGCCATCTGCATGGATTCCGTGGGAGCCATCGTGTGCTGAATATTGAGGAACAATGGCGGCAGGGTGGCGAAAGCTGCTTGGAATGGCGCTCGGCGTTGAATTGTCTGGCTTGTCGGTGTTAAGCGTAGGAGGGAAAAGAAAGGCAAATTTGCCCGTCAAAAGAACCTTCGCTGTTGTGACTCCCACGGAAGGAGCAGGAAGGAGAGATGCCGCGGCGCACAGCCACGAGGCAGACAAGGTGGGGAAGTCACACCCACCTGCGCTTTGAACGTACGTCTCCAGGCAGCTGGCAGCTCTGGCACGCCTCTGTTGCTCGCAGTACCGATTCGGGAGGAACGCCTTGCTGTGGAAATGGCCAGGCCAAACCCACCAAACGACTTTGGTGCATCTGCACTCAGCTGTGCGGCAGATCGTCGTATCGAGCCTTGCCTGCCACGACTTGAAGCAGTGCCTCCCCCATCCACTCCTCATCGTTCCTCCAGACCCAGCTTCTAATTTCCTCCAGCGCCTTTTCCATTTCCTCCAGCTCCTTGTCCGAAAGTGGCTCGTCGTTAGACGGGAGCTCTACATAATCCCCTTCGTAGCTCATATCAAAAAGCCGATACGCAATTGCGGCTGTCAAATAGCCGAGTAAGGCCGAACGGGGCGAACTTCCGCGCTTCTCGCGAGCTATAAGACGTAACAGGGCAGCACATGCGGCCGGAAAGGATACCGTGCAGAGAGTACATGGTAGTCGCGTGTCTGATCTTGCCAGAGGCGCCAGCTCTTGACGGGCGATGCCGGCCCATGTGAGTGGCAAGAGCATAAGCCTTCGGAGTCGAGGGCTGCGATTACGTGATTCGTCGTCAGAGTCATCGATGATGTAGCGAATGCCACGGCCAGAAAACTCAGATGGGTAGACGGGGGGTAACTGCTGCTTGTCGGCGGGACAGAAGCCTAATCTAGCGCCGATATCATGGGCTGTCTGCAGCTGATTGTCTGGGATAAGGAAAAACAGGTCCTGCTCTCGATGGTTATCTTGTTAGCCGAGGGTTTAGTAGGCGATACTTTGTCCAGATTGACTGACCCCAGTCGATACGAGGGGGACGCCCAGGCTTTGCAATAAGCTGGTCTCCCACTCGATAAGGAGGAGCTCCGAGGCCTCAAATCTTGTCAAGAGCTCAGTGACTCTGCGTGGTAGAGTCGTCATAGTGAGTCGCGTCACGATCAAAGAGGGAGTAAAAGCCGTGGGGCAAAAGACGCAGAGCAGAGGATGGGTGAGTGTGTGAATGAGGAAGAAGAGCTGAAGATGGCTTCCCGACTGGCGTGCTTTAGAGGCATGCGTGGCTGACTAACAAAGTTTGGCAGATTCACCAGATAGGGCCACGAGTCACGTGAAAAAGACAGAGTCGCCGTCATCTAATTCGGTAATTACTCCGTACCATCAACTCAGTAGTATTACTCTCGCCTCCGCAATGGAAGACTTCAAGAGGCATTCCCAAATATCCGCTTCCATGCTCCCGCAAGTGCCATTTCCTGGAAAGCAATGTCGGCATGGCCTGCCTTGGGTCTCCAGGCGCTGCCGGACTTCCACACATTATCCCACCCCTCTATCTGCGCATCCTCGTCGATTGCCTGCCCCTTTCCACGGATGTCACTGTTGGCACCGCGCAGGTCCACGCCGATGTCATCTGCATACTGCCACCGGGCCATGATGGGGGGGGGGTGTGCTGTAGGCCACAAGGTCGCCGGCGAGGATCATGAGCCTCATAATCATGTCCACCGAGTCGTCAAGATTAACCGCCGATCTCAGCAGGAGCTTCGCCGCGCCAGTTTGGCTGGCAGCGTAACCCGTCAAGCATGCCAGCCCCCCCGATTTTCGCACCACTCTCTCGTGGCCCAAGCCAAGACCCCAGTAGTCCATGCCGGGGGGACGTGAGCGTCTGGAAAGGCGAGATAGACGTCATTATCCTGTGGCAGCTCGAAGCAGTGGCCGAGGGAGAGGACGTCCCAGTGCTGACTGAGCCATGGGTCTTTAGGGTCGTACTCTATGCCCTTCTTCTGCTCCTTCCCGCGAAGCCTTGTTTCTCGTTCCGCGCTACGGAGGGAATTCGAGCCTGTCTGCCGCAGGAAGGGTATAAAGTGCTGGTTGAAGCTGGCCATGATGTCGCGGACATTCACGTCCCAGGTTGCATCAGACTCGACAATAAGGGCCGCGGGCAGGTTCTTCCTCAGCCTCGCGGACCAGATCTGCAGGATAATTTACTTAATACATGGGATAGGTGGGCAGTCCACTCGCATGATGTGTAGGGTCTACTCACGTTGGCGTGGGCCCGAAAGCATCCCTTTTCCTTTTCTCTTACATACCCCGGCATGTGAGTCGGTGGCATGCCAATATCCTGAATGTCGGCCGCCTTGACGCCTAGAGACTCGGTAATGTCCAAGCCGGAGAGATGGATTTGCAGGGAGACGGCATCGAGGCGGTCGTACCGGCTCCGTATGTTGATGAACTGGATGGAACTGAAGCCGAGGGTGCTGTTGCCGGCAACCTCCATGGAGAGGGTTTGCAAATCGGCATGCGTTAATATGCTCGCCATTCTTACCTCGATGCCCCGGCAAAAGAAGTAAATTGCACAGTTTATGAGCAATGCGAGGATGGAGATGCGCAGGACACGGGGCGGAAACCGAAGGGGAGGCAGCTGGTTGCTGGTGTCCGAAGGCATCTCGGGCCGTGTAAGGGCCGGTTGGCGGCGACAGCGACGGCTAGCAGGTGCCTTCGGATCCTAGACATGGACGGCAGGGTGAGGATGAAGACGGCGCCGACGAGGAAATGGAAAGGTCCGTAATTCGACTGGGATATCAGAGCACACAGGCATATAAATGCACGGAGTTCTTTGACGCGGGGCTGAGTATGAGACTGGAGCTTCAAGGCGGCCATGGCGGCTTGTCCGAAACGCAAGGCTCTTTTTCTGTATTGTAGACGATTGAAGCTGTGAGGTACAGGTTCGACGGTACATGAGGGTCGTCGAGACACTCCTTCAGTATATCAGTGCGTCTTTCGTTGACCATCTTTGCCCGACTCTTGATAAGTCATCCAAGTGTAGCAGTCGTGGAACGAAGATTGGTGACAACTGATGGACAGGGGGAGAATGGAGATTTGAGTCATGGCGGGCGGGCGTGGGACGGGAACAGCCGAGTGGGAGCAGCGACCTGGCGGATATTCGAAAATCGGGCATGTCTAAACGTACCCTCGGGCGCTTGACGATTACAATGCGCATTGCGTGAATGGTGCAATTGTCACAGGCAAAACTCGCTGTTGACAGAGCCGGAGAGGAGACAAGTCCAGGCGTTCGGCCCATCGGAGATTGTTTACCCCGAGAAAGTGTGGCGGCGGTGGTGTGGCGCTGATGCTGGCACCGCCACGAGGGCCGTCTTGGGCGCCGCCAAGTGTTAATTACCCCTCCATCGCCATCCATCCATCAACCTCTCAACGCAAGGCAGATCTGGCCATCCTTGTTTGCTCATAGAAGACGCTAATCGTCATCGCACCCAACAGCCACAGTCACACCTCGCTCATGACGTACAGGCCGTCGACGCTCATGGCCAAGGCTGCGTGATTCCACCATCAGCGAGTGCGGGAGAAACATTCCTCTTCACCATCTTCACCGTCCGAATCCAAATCTCTTCCCCTCAAGTTTCATGTCTCCGCGCCGCCTGTCGGCACCGCTGTCCTGCATTTAACCAACCCATAGACCCAAGGGCAGGTCCGCCTGTGCCAGGCCGGGCGCCAGCATGTTTGTGCTGCGGAACGGTACGCCCACCTTTTAATTCCATCTTGCCCTGGTACTCTTTGAGAAGCTTCTTCTTCCACAACTACCATCGCTGCCCCTCCCCACCGCCCCTTCTTCCTGCCCTCGTCCTAGCGTGTTCGTTCGTCCTTGTGCCACCGTCCCCGTCAGCGCTGTTGCCCGGGAGACCGACGTCAGCTAACCAGCGAGTCGGCCCTCGCAGTTGGCAAGCTGATTTTTGGCTCGAGCACCCAAGAATCTCTCATCGACCTGCCTCAGGGCCAGCTATACCTCGTCCGGCCCCTCTCCCCCAAGGGATACTCGGAGCTCATCTTCAAGGACTCGGCCATTCGCATCCGTCGCACCAATCAAGACTTTCACTACCAGCTCGTCGCCCAGCGTGTCTTTGAAGAGGGCGAGGCTGAGCTTCTCGCCGAGGAAGAGGGCGACGACGCCGAACTCGACGCCCTTGCCGCCGAACGCGACGAGAAGACGTTTCTGCTCGACGAGGCGCTGCATTTCAGGGTCGACATCCGAGAAGGCGGCGAAAAGGTTCTGGCTTGGAGAGACCTGAGCGGAGACACCGGCGACCTCTACGAATTTGTTTGCGACAGTCAGGTTTCGTCTGCCCAGGTCGAGCAGTTTGTCGCAGCTGCCCGGGAGTGCCAGTACGAGCGCAAGTACCGCAAGCCACATACCACGGCATCCGACGAGGACCTACAGCAGTTTGAGTTTCACGAGGAGTCCCCCATTCCACCCGCGAGCCCCCTCCACAGCCCCACGCTGGCCCGATCCATCGACTCCATCGACGACATGTTTAAGCAGAAGAACGCGGCAAACTCCTCCGCCAGGCGGGAGCCCTCCTCCGCCCTTGTGCAGTCATCGAAGCCGGAGGAGGCTTCCCACCCGACAGAGCCAAGCCCCGCTCCAGAGCCCATCGACATTTACGCTACCGTCACGGCGGAGCTGCATCTCTTCGATCCTCAGCCAGGCCACTTTGTCATGATCGACGACAGCGTCATTACAACCGTCTCTGAGGTCGGGAAATGGGAATACTGGCTGCAGATTGACGGCAAGGAAAGGTCTTGGCTAGGGACGCCGGTTGTTGCAGAGTTCAACCCGGTTTTCGACTTTGAGTATCTCTCTTTTGTCTTCAACCATTTCAGCGACGACGGCACGGCGAGATCATGGCTGCTGCGCTTCAAGGATCAGTCGACGCTGGAAAGGTTTCAGCAGGCCATCATGCAGGCCATTTGGGAGAAGTTGAATGAGACAAAGTGGGCCAAGATTCAGCAAAAGGAGCGCGAGTATGTCCTCGACGCGTTCGGAGATCTCCACATGGACGATGCGCCCCTTAAGGAAGACGACGAGCAGGAGGAAGACGATCAGGATGACCATGATGAGGCCGACGAGAGCATTCGCAGCGAATCATACGACTCGGAAGACGACGACGCGGCCGACGAAGAGAAGGAAGGCGGCGAGGTCAACTCGCAACTTGCCGTCGGCTACAAGCACGATCGTTCCTTTGTCGTCCGCGGATCCAAGATTGGTGTCTTTTCTCACACGCCCGACAACCGTCTCAGGTTTTCCACCAATATCTCCAAGGTGACAACGCCAAATGGAAAGCTCATGAGCCCGAAAAAGGTCATGCTGCACAGCGAGGATCGAGATCTCATCCTGCAGAACAACACCGACCCCAACAAGCTGTATCGCATGGACCTCGAATACGGCAAGGTTGTCGACGAGTGGAACGTCCATGACGACATCCCTGTCGTCACCTTTGCCCCCGAGAACAAGTTTGCGCCGATGACTTCGGAGCAGACGTTCCTCGGAGTCTCCAACAATGCGCTGTACCGCATCGACCCACGCCTCTCGGGCAACAAGCTCGTCGACGCGGATATGAAGCAGTACGCGTCCAAGAATGACTTCTCGGCCCTCGCCACGACGGAGAATGGCTACATCGCCGTGGCGAGCAACAAGGGCGATATCCGCCTCTTTGATCGGCTCGGTATCCGTGCCAAGTCTCAGCTGCCCGCCCTGGGCGATCCCATTTCCGGCATGGACGTGTCGGCCGACGGTCGATGGATTCTGGGCACCACCAAGAATTATCTCTTGCTCGTGGATGCCCAGCAAAAGGGCGGCAAAAATGAGGGCAAGCTCGGCTTTGAAAAGCCCTTTGCTGCCGACTCCAAGCCCCAGCCACGCCGCCTCGCCCTCACGCCGGAGCACGTCGCTCAGTTTTACCACGAGACGGGCAAGCCCGTTTCCTTCACCCCCGCCAAGTTCAACACGGGCGAGGGCACGGAAGAAACGAGCATCATCACCGCCACGGGCCCCTACATCATCGAGTGGAACCTCAAGCGCGTGCTCCGCGGCATGAAGAGTGCCTACCGCATCAAGCGCTACGAGGATGTGGTCAAGGCCGACGACTTTAAGTTCGGATCGGACAAGAACGTCATCGTCGCGCTGCCCAACGAGGTCAACATGGTGGCCAAGCAGAGCCTGCGGAAACCCACGCGCGAGAGCATCATTGGCAATGTCCGGCTGAGTGGTGGGCGAAGAAGCTCGGCGCGGGTCGGAAACCTGGACAGCGGGAGGTACAAGCTCGGCAAGGACGATATCGTGAACTCTCCCTACTGAGCAGTCGGGGGTGGAGAGGCAGAGATGACCGGGGCGCAGGCTCTTTGATACCATGGAACGGGCCGATGAGCGGTTGGCGCAAGAACAAGATATCTTGACGGCCCATTCGTTTCGCCTGTGTGGACTTGTTTCAGCGTTTATCGTCTTTTATCTTCATTTACCTTTTCGTGGTTTTTGGTGCCCTTGCATTCGACACTTTGGCATGCCTCATCTACCACCGCACAGTGTGTTCTGGGTTCTCGTTGCCATTCATCCTGGTCAAACGCGTTCTGTCCATGGCCTAACCCGTTGGGTCCCTGCCCAATCCCTGGGTCCGGTCGTATCCCCACCCCCTCTCTCACTTCATGAAGGGTCCTTGATAGTCGCGCATGATGACGTTGCACACCTGCGAGAAAGCTGCTGCCTGGCCTGGATTACTAGCGGCAAGGTCATTGGGTAGTCTAGATACACGGTGAATAGAAAGAAGAAAAGAAAAGTCTACAGCGAGGACAGCCAACGTCACCCGCGCCGTGAGGCGTTCAGGGCGACGGGGCATGGTCGAGTAAATGACCGTAAATCTGATAGCTCCTCATGCTCCATCTGTAAGGGGAAACCATTTGCTCAGCCCCGAGAACACCTGCCCCGGCTTCTTCAGGTCTCAAGAATGTTGTAGGGGCGGCTCTCGCCTCAACCTTGGCGGGAGCAAAATTTGGATAACAGGGGAGGTCAATGGCAAAACGCTGTTCTCAAGAAAGCAGTGCCTCGGCATAAAACATGTCACAGTGCCTTCTCGGGCGTCATTGCTCCATCCACGCCAACCTTGTCTTTGCCGCCAACAACAGGCTTCTCCGCCGCTTCGGTGGCTTTCTCCAACGTCTGGCCCCCTCCAATCACGGCGCCAGACACGTTGCGTAGGGCCTTGGGCCGCGAGCTCTCGTTGCTGAGGCGCGTCATCTCGCCGACGAAGCTGGCGCCCCACCACGCGCTGGTGTACTTAAAGACGTAGCGCTCAAGCTTGTTGTAGTTTATGGCGCGCTGCTCAGGACTCATAGTGACGGCGTCATGGAGCGCGTTGGCCAGCTCCTCCGTGTTCCACGGGTTGACGATGATGCTGCCGTTGAGAGACTGCGCCGCGCCGGTGAATTCGCTAAGAATCATGACGCCGTGGTTGTCATGCTGCGTGGCAATGTACTCGTACGAGACGAGGTTCATGCCATCGCGTGTCGAGGACACGAAGCACACGTCGGAGACGGCGTAGAGGGCGGTGAGCTCCTCAAAGGGAACAGATTGGTGGAGGAAGTGGATGGGCATGAACTCTATCGTGCCGAATTTGCCGTTGATGCGGCCGACAAGCTCGTTGACGACGGCGCGCAGGTTTTGGTACTCCTCGACGTCTTGACGCGAGGGAACGGCGACTTGTACGAGGACGATTTTGCCAATCCACTCGGGATGCTCCGTCAAAAAGACCTCGAGGGCGTGCAGCTTCTGGGGGACGCCCTTGATGTAGTCGAGGCGGTCGACGCCGACTATGAGCTTGACGCCTTCGAACTTGCGGCTGAGAGCAGCAATGCGTTCCTGAACCTTGGGTTTCTTGAGCCCGTCGACAAACTTCTCCGGATCGATGCCGATGGGGAAGGCGCCGACGGTAACGAAGCGCCCGTTCCAATCGACGCCATTGGGCGTGGTGGAAGTGCCAAGAATGCGGGAGCAGCTGCTGAGGAAGTGGCGTGCGTAGTCGTATGTGTGGAAGCCAATCAAGTCGCAGTCCAAGAGGCCCGTGAGGAGCTGTTCTCTGACAGGCAGGATACGGTATATTTCACTGCTAGGGAAGGGGGTGTGGAGGAAGAAGCCAATTTTGATGTTCTTCTTGGAGTCGCCAATCTCCTCGCGTAACATCTGAGGCAGCAGCATAAGATGGTAATCATGGACCCAGATCAAGTCGCCGTCTTGGACATCCTTGATGACGGTCTTGGCGAAGAGGCGGTTGACTTCCTGGTACGCTGCCCAGGCAGACTCGTCAAAGGTGATTTCGCCGGGATGGTAGTGGAAGAGGGGCCACAGGATGGAGTCTGTAGTAGGGGTCAGCATGCGCAGATGTAGTCTCGAGGTAAAGCTGGCGTACTGGAAAAGCCGTTGTAGTGTCTATCGGCGAGTTCGTCGTCGATGAAGACAGGGTGGGCGCCGTACTCGTCGCTGAGGCGCTTCTTCATGCCCTCGACGTCGTTGTCGGGGACCTCGAGGCCAGGCCAGCCGTACCATTGAAAGCTGGTTGTCTTGCCGAGGCCGCTGAGGCCCGTGACAAGGCCGCCTGAAGACATGGAGAAGGAGTAGCTCGCATCTTCTGAGCGCTTGATTGTGATGGGCAGGCGGTTGGAGAGGAGCAGCAGACGACCTGGGGCAGCCTGGCCCTGGTCGTCAACGGCCCCGGGCATTGAGTCGCCCATTGGTTGATTTGGAAAGTTGCAGGGCCGGGATGACGAGAGGTGCGATGGGCCTTCGAGGACCGCGAGGCGCCTTTAGAGCGAGCAAGAGGCAATGTTGAGGTGGCAAGTCGTGAGGTGGACAACAGAGCCCGAGCGAAGAGGAGATGGGCGCGATGTGTCCAATACAGGCGTTGCAGGAGATGGATGGTCTCGAGGGGGGATCTGGGAGCTGTTGGTGAGGGGAGAAATGTTGGCGACGCGTCGTCGATGAATGCCTATCGAATATGATGGGGTAGAAGGTACCTGAACTATTATGCGATTTGGCGAGGAGGATGACGAACAGATAGAGGGGCACCGAGGGGCAGTGGCGCTCTTTTTGGGGGTCGGCCAAAGGGTCCCCAAATGCTTGTTTCTGAGAGGAGATGGTGTACCTGCCTTAGTACCTCTGTAGGTCTGACAAATGGGCGACTGCAGTGATTGCTGCGCTTCAACCCTTGCTTCTTTTTTATCTGTGCAGTAGATAATTACACTACTGTAATTACTGTACTGTACCTTCTGTAAGTACTCCGTAGACGGTGCGCTGTCTGCGTCCTTGAAAAGCCGAGATCCTGGCACCATGATGTAATTGCGAAGGCCGTGGCCAATAAGCGAACCGAGCCGGCCAACCTCGAGCTTGGTGGCACTTGGGGATGCAAGATATCCCGGACCAAGTCCTCCAGAAGTTGACAGGTCTACTGCACCAGGCCGACTGCGGATGACTGGCTGCCGCCGTGCAGCCAACCTGTACGAAAAGTATTGCGCCACCATCCAATCCGCGTCTCAGGCTTGTCAGTGCCCTGTCTGCCTACATGCCTTGGGAGGGAAGACTAGAAATAGAAACGACTTTCGGCGAGACCGTCGTTGTCAAAGACTAAACCCCACCTGGACTACAGTTAATGTACTGCACCAAACCCCAAGGTGCACAGATCCACATTTGCCATCCTAAGGACTTCTGCGTATGGGTCCCTAGGTAGTGATGATGGGAGCAACCCGTGACGTTGAGATTTCCGTGATACCAGAATGAGAAGACGACGTCATTCTCGACACGCTGCAGGCATGTACCTAGGGTACCTACCATGTAATGAGTTACCCAAAGCACATCAGGTTCCACCTACTGTACCTGGGTATAGGTTGCTAGGGCCGCATAAGGGTAGGTACTGTAGATACGGATACAGCACACTCGACGCTGCCCCCCAGCCCCAGGCGCACGTTGCATCTTATCGATAAGCCGCTCGCCCGCCCAAAACGTGCATCGACTTTTCAATTTTCGGCGTCGTCAATCAGCCGCCGCTTTCTGCCATCACCTCCACCGGCAGCTTTCGACCCCCCTCCGCCCCCGTTCTCCCTCGCGCTAGGAGACGGGCATCATGGAGCCGCCTCGCGACTTCAAGTCCCTGCAGGAGGGCGTGCAAAAGTCGCTCGTCTCCACCGTCAAGACGGTCAATCGTCTCGCCGCCGAGGACTTGTCTTTCCAGCGCACCGTCAACCCAGACACGTCCGAGCAGCTCGACGACAAGGCCGCTCGCGTTCTCCGCCTGTCGACGCGTCTGCTCTCCGCCGCTGCCAATGCGTGCAACGTCAAGGCGCCCAAGCTCGAGGATGCCGAGGACATCGACTTTCGATGGCCCTCGGTCGTAGACGTCGTCGACTCGGTTCTCGAAAAGGCCGACATGGCGCTTGACGAATTCACGGGCCTCATCAAGCAGAGGGAAACCCCAGGCGCAGAATCGGTCCGTCGCCTCCCCAAAGGAGCCCTCGTCTCTCACCTCTGTTCTAACCTCTCAGCGGCAGGCACCGAGTTCCAAGAAAGCAAAATCGACGGCCAAAGTCATCCGACATGCCAACGTCACCAAGCCCCAGGCGCGGTTCGAGCGCAAGCCCGACAACTTTCCAACTGGGCCTTGGAAACCCTACATCACCGCCAAACCCCACGCGACCCTGCCCTTGGATCAGAGCCTTGTCACCTTCACCGACGAAAATGGCGCGCCCCAGTATGTTCGACTCCTCGACTCCATCTCCGCCGAGATGGGGAACCTTGTTACTCACGATACAATCATGCAGATACAAGCACCCATACGAGACGGAAATCACCGACATGCGATATCCAAAGCAACTCTTCAAGATCGCCGAGCCCATTCCTCCACAACCGGCCGAATCCGCCCCTGCCATCTGGGTAGACACTTATCAGGGCGTTCTCGACATGCTGGCAGATCTGAAAAAGGCTAATGAGATTGCCGTGGATTTGGAGCACCACGACTTCAGGACGTACACTGGCATCGTCTGCTTGATGCAAATCAGCACTCGGGAAAAGGACTGGATCGTCGACACGCTGCAGCCCTGGCGCCACAAGCTCGAGGTTCTCAACCAAGTTTTTGCTGATCCAGCTATCATCAAGGTGCGTTTTCTAAGAGCCGCCTGACTCTTCATTTTTCGCTCGCTCATGCTCCCTCCCAGGTCTTCCACGGGGCCTACATGGACATGGTCTGGCTGCAGCGAGACCTGGGTCTCTATGTCAACGGCCTGTTCGACACCTTCTTTGCTTGCGATCTCCTCTCGTATCCTGGAAGGAGCCTCGCCTTTCTGCTGTCCAGGTTTGTCAGCTTCGATGCCGACAAGCAATACCAGTTGGCCGATTGGAGAATACGGTATGGACTCCTCCTCCACGTCCCTCGCCGTTTGCCTCAGCTACTTATCATGCGCTCAGGCCCGTCCCCCCCGAGATGATGTATTATGCCCGATCCGACACCCACTACTTGCTATATATATACGACCGACTACGAAACGAGCTCATTTCTGCGTCGGACCGCACCAATCCTGAAAAGGACTACATCAGCCGTGCACTTCAACGGTCCAAGGAACTGGCTCTCTCCCGACATGAGCACCTGGATTACAACGAAGAGACGGGGCAAGGTCCGCGGGGATGGTACAACTTCATCTTGAAGCAGGCGCACCTCGCGTTTGACGGCGAGCAGTTTGCCATGTTCAGAGCGCTTTGGAAGTGGAGAGATGCGACGGCACGGAAGGAAGATGAGAGCCCCAACTTTGTTCTAGCGCAGAGCTCCATCATCAGCGTTGCGCGCGTCAACCCGCCGGATGTCAAGGCATTGCATAGCCTCCTGCCTCTGACTGCGCCGCTGGCTCGGGCCCGATTCAACGAGATATGGGATCGGGTGCAGGAGGCCAAGGCTCGAGGTGGGCCAAGTGTTCTCCATTTCTTTGCATCCATGGCCTCCGACCCTGCTTTGAAGCCTGGTTCATCTTACACGCTCATCGATAAGTCGGGACTCCCGGACTTTGAAGGTGAGATCGTCGCAAGGAACATGTCGCGATCTCAGCTGTTCGGCAACATGCCCATCAGCACGCGCTGGGAAGAGACGCAGCAGGCGTCCGAAGGACAGGCCGACTGCATCCCTTTTCCTTGGCAGCGGTTTGTGCAGAGCACCGCGGGAGAGGACAAGCACCGAAGCGATGACGCTGGCGCCACTCTTACAGCAGCAATGGAGGCCATGAACAAGAATGCGAAAGTGGAGACCTCTAAAGTCGATGCGGAAGCCCTGCAGCAAGCTCACGACGAAGAATTTACTCTGAAAAGGGGTAGGAAACGCAAGTCGGCGGCGGTGGAGGAAGGCGGGGGCGGGGGCAACGATGATGACGAAGCCTCGGATTCAGGTGAAGAGACCGAGGCTTCCGACGAGGACGAGGATGTTCCAACCGGAGACAGCGGCGTCATTGCGATGGAGAATGATGCACCAAAAGCGACCAAAGCACAACGAAAGAAGGACCGCAAGCTGAGAGAGCAGCTCAAGCAGGTGCAAGGCAAGAGGAATGACGACCGACTGAAGCGAAAAGCCAAGAAGCAACGGAAAAAAGACCAGAAGATCAAGGAAAAGGCACAAAAGAGCGCCGAAACCCCGTTTGATTACAGCAACGCCGCTTCGGTCATGCATGCAGGACGGGACTCGGGGCTTGTGGTGCGGGGGGCGAAGAAGGCGTTTGACCCGTACGCCAAGACGGGCGATGATGGCTTGAAGGGGGCGCGACGGGCACCGCCGGTACGAGGCGAGAGAAGCGCGACGTTCAAGAAGTGACGGCCTGGACAAAGTCATTGGTTGGGGGTGAAGGGAGACCCCCTCCTAATTGTAACTCAAAGGTCGAAATTGGTGCAAGGCGCTATGCTGATTGATGCCTTGCTCGAGTGTGTTCAGCTGCATGGCCCCTCGTGTCCAAGGCCACGGCTTCGTTGGACTGATTGTAGACACGAGACAATAATGTACAGGTCTCACGGGCAAAGCGAGTCTCCCTCTTGTTCTCGTGGCGTCGTCATTCAATTCCAAGGCACGAATGGGGGAGGCAAAGGGCGACGTCGCATCTCGCTTTCAGTCCTCGAAACGGAGACACGGCCGGGTGCAAAAGCATAATAACTTTTCGACGTGCAGCTCGAGTCGTTCGATTTCTCGCTGCGTCTCGCCCAGAGCTGGGGTAGCACGCGGGGTCATGTGACTGACCCTTCGTGAGGGGAAGCCGGGAAGGTGAGGGGGACGCATCTACCTCCCGGCCTGCCTTGTTTCTCGCAATCCCTTGGTGAGAGGACAATCGGCGGCGAGAAACTGGCGGCTGTGTCCCTCGAGCGCCTTGTCGTGCGAGATGGCTTCAACCCAACGCGTGTTCGGCGGCATCCATCGCGGGCCACTCCTCGCGCTGCACGGCTGTAAGTGAGCACCACCCGACCAGCTATGGAACCACGGGGCGGTGCGGTGATGCTAACGCGCAGCTGCTGTGCCAGGTCTTTCGCAAGGGCCGAAGCGTGGATCTCGTCGTCGCCTTGACGGCAATTGGCCGTCGGTTCAGCCCAGGGCCAACTCGGTCGATCACATCGTCACTTGAGCCGCCGACAAGGTTGATTGCACGTCTCTGCCTTGTCTGGCTGAGGAGCGAGCTGAACCTATATCAACCGGTGGTCCCCGCGGAAACGCACGAGCATACCGCCCGCTTTCGCGCTTGCGTGCCCCTTCGATGATCAAGGACTGGGCTTGATGCGGTGTATCGGATTAGCCCTTCGCCGTGGCATCGATGAGCAACATCCTGCAACAACCAGTAATTGGGCAAGTGGCAAGTGGGCAAGTGCTCTGGCTCTGGCGGCCTGCATGGTGGCGCCTCGCATGTTCAGGCGAGCAGACCCGGACTCAAGCTGCCTGCGTTTCTTTCGAGGGACTGCCTCTTATGATGTTGAGTCGAGCCGAATGGATACAAAACAGGTGTGCTCCAAAAGCGCGCACCTCCCCCGTCTGCCAAGTGCCAGCATAAAATGCCTCGTTGGCTTGCCCCTGGACACCCACCTAATCATCCGCCCTCCAACCACAAGCTCGCAGCTCCAACTGATAGCTTGTACCGGTACAAGCTGTCCTGCCCCAATACAGGCCACAGGTTTCGAGTGAACCTCCACGCTCCACGAGCGAGAGATGCGCAGTTTTACACCGTGTGGAGCATCGCGACGGGGATCCAAGCATGCTTGTGTGCCTGGGAATGCAGGCATCAGAGATAGGGCTTGATCGCGTTGCCCTGACTACTGCGGCACCGCCGGCCATGTCACTCACCGCGCGACACAGCGCTGATGACCTGCCGGGGACCTCGGTTAACTATGGCGAGTGCCAGCCAGGCAGATGCGGGAGCAGTCGATCAGAGCTCCTCCAGCTTCCCCAGGTTGTGAGATCGAGCACCATGTGGTGGGCGAAACGTGCCTCCACAGCTGCTGCACGATTGGACACAAGCACCGATGACGGGTCAAGCTGTTGCGAGAGTGGAATTGAGATTTATTCACCAGCAAAGGCAGCTGGAACAACATGGACGTGTCAAGCGACAAAGGAGAATCGAGATGATTGGCTTTTAATTTTACAAGTCGGGTCCCGAGAGACACATATCCATGCGCTCACCCGAGCTCTATAACAAAGACGACGCCCCGTTTTCTCGGCGCCGCCCCCAAGTCTATGCCGTCTATAATGCAAGCCTCCGTCTAAGTTGCATGATGGCGGGTTGGAGTCAGGTGGCGAGCCCCTGGTCAACACAAAGCAACGCTCTCCATCCTCCCCAGGCATTAGAGCTCCGTCGTGCGGCAAGAGCTTTCCCAGATGAGTGGGACATGATTTAGGTCTTGGCAAGCATGTCAGTTTGGGACAACGACAAAGGTGGGAGCAAGTGGCCGCTGGCGGACGACATACGAACTTGGCCATGAGGGCAACCATGAGGTCGAAGAGACCGATGGCCTCGACGAAAGCGAAGCCCAGAATGGCGTACGAGAAGAGCTGGCCACGGAGGGCAGGGTTGCGGGCAACAGCGTTGAGGAGAGCGGCGAAAACGAGACCGATACCGATACCAGCACCAGTCAGGCCAATGGCCGCAGAGCCCATACCCAGATTCTTGGAGACCTCAACCATGGCCTGGGCGATCTCGGAAGAGTAGGCACGGCGCTGGACCTGGAAGGCATTTCGGGAGGTGGCCTGGAGCAGGGTGTTGACCTGCTGGCGCCTGAGGGACTGGAGAGGGCTAGAAGAGCCTGGATCGATGCCGTTCAGCTACTGAGCCGTCCAATTGGACCTCGGAGGCTCGGTTGCTCTCGTGCTCGAGCCCGAGTGGGCGAGGGAAAAGTTTTTTCTCGATGCTTACCGGTGATGGTGCGCTTGGCAGCGGCGGAGACAGGAGCTCGGATGGCAGGACGAGCAGCCTTGGAGACCATCTGAGAGGCCATGCGGGAGGCGAAGACACGAGTGGCGGCCATTGTGACGAAGGTGAGGCTGTTGGAGTTGGAAGCAAGAGGGCAAAGAAGGATGGGCAGTGCGGAAGAGCAGGAGTGAGCAAAGCAGTGTGGGAAGAAAAGAGAAGAGGAAGAGTCCAAGCTGGGGAAGGGAAACGAGGTCTCCACTCGGGGGGGCCAGAGGAGGTCAGGGGGTAGGGTCGAGGACGTCAGCCGGAGCAACAACAAGTATGAAGCAAGCCGGTCCGGATATGGGAGGAAGGCGAGATTTTTTCACGGCGAAAAAAAAGGGACAGGGTGCCGATTCGACTGGGGAGGCAGGCTCGCACGGGTTGATAGCCCCCTCGGGGAAACCCGGGTGGGTAAAGGGCCAGGGAGCACTAGGGATTATCGGGAGCGCAAGGACACAGGCAGCATGCTGCCTGAGGCGTTGACGGGTGCCGGTCGAGTGGGGTGGGAGCACGAATCATGGATCGCTGGCGGGCGGACATTGGCCTCGACGAACGAACCGACGAAAATCCAAACGGCACTTGGGACGACTTGAAGGAGTTGAAGCTACAGATTCTTGACGTTGGGCAAGCCCAAATATTGTGCCATCTACGACCCCGGAGGTGAGGCGGAAGGTAAGGAGGGAAGAAAAATCTGCGCCTCGCCAGAAAAAAGTTGCTGTCTGATGCATGAGATATCAAAGCATTTCAGCGCGGCTTTCCAGAACCAGTCATGAGGCGGCGAGGCTGCGACTGGGAAGCGCGGCGCAGGGTTACGAGGGCCCACTTGGCGGCTCTGGTCGACGGGCCCAAGGCCCGAATGGCGGCGCGGCCAAGAGCAGCTCAAGTGAGACGACGGCTAACATGGGTGGATCACAGAGGGACCAGGATGACTGCTGTCCGGCATGTACGGATACATACATGCGGGTGGGAGCTGGCATGGAGGGCGAAATAGGACGGTCGTTGATGAGTGAGGGCCCATGATTCGAGAGATATAAAGAGCAGCCGAAATCCCCTTTGCAGATGGTCACTGAGTTTCATGCGTCAGACGACAGACGAAGGGACAGCTGTCCCGAGACAGCGGAAGGGGCTCGCGCCATGAACCAAGCGAGTGCTTGCCTCGTCTGCCGAATCATGACAACGACGACTATGTGCGCCAACTCGGAGGTAAGACGGTGGGCGACGCGCTCCGAGACACGAGCAAGGCTAGTTTATCGAGAGGTCGCATACACTTGGCTCTATTATTTTGTTTGCTCGGAACGTTGGCGACAGGCGCGCATGAAAGCTACCTCCCTACAGCTCGCTACAATACGTCTCGGTCTCATGCGCGTGCAGTAGCACCACATCGACTGTCCGGTCTCGAGTGGCTGGCTGGCTGTCTACAGGAGAGCGAGAGTGCCGTTGGTGTTTAGTCATCTTGCTGCATCAACCGCCCGAGCCAACCATGCATGGGTGTCGGTGTCTGCGGTACAAGAGCCAAGTGGCCTCTGGGCGTCCAACACGGACCGGGGGTGAGAGATGGAATTGAGAGGTGAAAAATTTTCCCATCTTTCTTTCCACGCCTCGGCCGGGCCCCCCTTGTTTTCCCCCTCGCTCCCGAGGTTGGCACCCGGACGGCCGAGCCGCAGCGATAAAAGGAAGTAAAATATGACGCAGATGCGCGCGAAAAACGAGATGAGGCACCAGGAATTTTTCTGGCATTTTTCTTTTCTTCCGTTGGGGGGTGCTCTGGTGAAGATGGACAAGCAAAAATGCGTCTCATGTGGCGAGACGGCGCGTTGGTTCCTGGCGAAACCACGGGCACGTTGGACGAGGTGCAGGTGCAGCAGGTTCAGTGCAGCGACCCAGGCCACAATAGGTACAGCACCGCGCGCCATCTCACCCCGTGTCTTGTGCTGTCCTGTGCCGCAGTGAGTATAAGGTTTAGCCTCTCGCGCCGGCGCCCCGGGTCTTCAGCCAGCGGCTCAGGGCGCGTCACTTGTTGCCGCCGCTGAATTGCATCGTCACTGCGGACAGAGTGCATCTGGCGCTTGTTGTTTATACTACATAACTTACAATTGGTTTCTGTGCCTGCTCTCGGCAGGCTGCATTTCCGACATGATGCTCACGCATCCATGGTGACTGTGGTGAAGAGAAGAATGCTTGGGGGGGAATCAGAGAAAGAGGCATCTGCAGGAGCAGTGCAGCAGGCACACCAGGACCCGTCACGTCTCGCCGCCCTCGTCCGCCACCCGGCCGCCCTCGTCGGCGCGCGCCGCCTGCTCGAGCGCATGCCCGTCCACAAACCCCCGTGGATCGCACGTCGGCTCCAGGCTGATGCCGTGCGCCGCCACGAACCGCCGCACCGCCGCCTTGTCCAGCCGCACCCGCGCGCGGAGCTGCCCGGCCGCCCCGGCGTCGTGCGGTCTCTGCCCTCCGAGCGCGTCTTCGTCGCCGGTGATGCTGATGCTGGCGGTGGTGGTGGTGGTAGCGGTGGGTGCCCCGGCGTCCGCCGACGCCGCACCCGTCGTCTCGCTCTCCGGCCCCGCGGCCTCGGCGGCTGTCTCGGGTTTCCCCGGCCCGACCCCGGCGTCCTTGACGACGCCCATGTCGCGCAGCACGCCGAGGCAATCGTCGGCCGAGATCCACGTGCCGCGACTGACGTCGTTGACGTCGACAATCGTCTCGCCGCCCTCGCGCGTCTCGAGCCCCAGGAGCCAGCGCGCAACGGCCCCGGACCAGAACCTCTTGTAGCCCTTCTTGCCCAGGTCCGAGATGGGCTTCTCGGGCCCGCCCAGGATGCCCTCGCGCCGCGACATCTCGTACGACGCCCCCATCAGCAGGCCCCCGAGCCCCTTGCGCTGCCACGGCGGGAACACCAGGATGCACGCCAGGTTGTTGTTGTCCCACGACATCTTCTCCTTGGAGAAGAAGCCCGTGATCTGCGGCCGCGGGGGCCCCGCCTCCGACGTCTTGGGCGCCGGCGGCGTGTACACGAGCAGATAGTATTTGAAGCCCGTCACGTCGAAGAAGACGGACTTGTTGTCGAGGAAGAGCTTGGCGAACAGCGACAGGTTCTGGCAAAACAGCTGCGCGACACGGCCGTCAGTCCCGCCACGCCCGTCTCCGGCCACCATGGTGAAGGACCCGACTCACCCCGTCCTTTTCGCCGTCCACCTCCCAGATGCTCCACTCGCCCTCGTCCTCGACCACCTCCTCGACGTACCGCACCCCGCCGTCGCCCCGCCTCCGCTTGGTGCCCGGCGCCTTGCCGTCGTGGGCGACGAGCACGGTGCGCCGGCCCCGCGGGTGCACGTACATCTTGGTGCCCGGCACGTGGGCGCGCCGTTCGCAGAGGCGGACATGGCCCCGCCAGGCCACCAGCTCCTTTGCGTACTTGAAGCAGCTGGGACACACGTAGAGCCGCTCGAGCATCGGCTGGTCCTTCTTGGACGACGGCTTACCGCCGTGCTGCTCCTTGCCACCGTCCTTGCCACCGCCGCCGCCGCCGGTGGTCTTTGCATTGCCGGAGCTGTCGCCCAGCACCTCCTTGCCGTACTGACTCGGGTACCAGGTCCGGAAGCACAGGTTCCCCAACACGACCTTATCGATGTTGCGGTCGGGCCTCGGCGGGTTCCGATTATGATGGAGGTTGTGGTGGTGATGGTGATGAGACGTGGGCAGATTCAGGGGCCTCGGCGGCGGTACGGGCGTCACGACCATGGGCGGCGGCAGCGTCTGCGGTCGACTGTCGAGCCGCGGCGGAGGCGGGGGTGCCGACGGGCCATGAGGCCTCACGAGCGACGTGGGCGCGCGTCCCGGCTGGTGAGGCTGGGGGACGTGGTATGTGATTTCGGGAGCCACGAGGTCAGATGGCCGGGCATTCTCCTTGACAGCCGCGCCAGCCATGGCACCCGGGGCCGCCGTCGCCGCCGAGACCGCCGGGGCAAGTCGCCTCCTAGACGCCAGCGGCGCACTCTGCGCCAGGCTGCTTCTCGCGCCCGCCGGAGCCGGGGCCGCACGCGGGGCCACGACGACGCCCTCTCGGCTCCGCCTCAGTTGTGCCAGCGGCGCAGGGATCGGCACGGGCGTCTGGGTCGTCGGCAGAGCCGGGGTCGCAGGCAGCGGCGGCGGCGCCTTGGCCGAGGTCGGAGGGGGCTCGACGGGCGTTTGACGCGTAGCACGACGCGTGACGGCGGGCTCGGGGTTGGGCGCTGCTGCTGCTGGCCGCTTGCGTTTCGGGGGCATCGCCTCGAGGCGTTGGAAGCCGGCCGGGGGCTAAACAAAGGAAAGGGAGAGCGCAATGCCGTGCCTTTTTCTCCCGTGGCGTCAGGGCTGGTTGGGGGCCGCAAAAGGCGCAATCTCGACTCCAGTTTGGACTTGGCCGGGCCAATGATGATGGCGCGTCGACGAGGCGTAAAGTGAGAAACGCCTCCCGCGGGGAAGCTCCGATGACTCATCACATCGCTTGGTCTCGATAAGAACAGTAGACACAGGTAGTAGGGTTAGGGTAGCTGGGCTGCCTGGAAACAGCCGGTCCAACTCGAACCCCTCGGCATAAAAGAGAAGAATAACATGAAAGGTCCATCATTACCTTCGGCAGAGTGCCCAATGTGCTGGATCTCGCCCCTCGGCTTCCATTCAGCACACACTCAGCCGTCGCGCTGAGGCTCTCACATCACCGTCCCTGGGCGCCAGGCGACAAAAGGCAACTCTCAAGCATACACAAAGAAAAGCCCCGTCCATTTCCCCCTTCGCCCCGTGTCAAGTCCTAACTCAGTATCTAGTACACAGCGACGGGACCACGGCCAAGCCGCTGCCCATCCGCCTTGCCCTGGTCAACCTGCATTTCTCCCCTCCCTTGCCACTCAGCTCTCTATGTCTGCTCGCATTCTCCTTGCTTCCGCCAACCCTTCCGAGGAGAACGAGGCTCCCAGCCGTCCCCGGCTCGCCAGCAGGTACCAAGCAAGAGCCCTCTCCGCCCATGAAACGCCCTTGTACGAGCCTCACGACCACTCACGCTTCTCGCTCGCCTCCGCCGCGAGCAACTTCCCCCAACATCTCTGTAGTTGTCGTCATGACTGTTGCTGCAACAAAGGAACGAGGTGGTGACGCGAAGTTTTCAATATTACATGCCCTCAAAGTCGCCGCCGAGATCGTCTTCGTCCAGGTCGCCTTCTTGTATCTCCTTGGCCATCTCTCGCTCGCGTTCCCGGGCTTCTTGGGCGTTCTTGAGCTCGAGGCGGTGCTGGTTCATCGGGAAGCGCATGGCCTGTTGTTGGGAGCGATTCTGTTAGTCCTTCTCTAGGCCGCTGCAGGGCGGATTCAACCGTAATTGCTGGCCAGACATACCTTGACACTCTCATCGTGCAGCGCGAGACAGGCTTGAATTCGGTCGTGGAAAGCTTCGCCGGGTTCTCTCGTCGCGTAGACATCGCCCACCTCCTTACTCTTCATGAAGCCTCGCTCTCGGTCTAGCGTGGCCTCTATGACGCCGTCCCGGATCGCCTTGGCCACAATGTACTCGGCCGACTCCTCGCTGCCGAGGTGCAGACGGATGCAAATGTCGCGCAGCGAAATGCGCGAGTAAGACAGGGACATCATGCGAATGCCCGTCTTGATGACGTTCTGGCGCAGGCGCAGAATGAGCGTGTAGGTGCCGTCGCGACGAAAGGTGTCGGCATGGTCGGCAATGGCCGTCTCAAAGTCCTCAAGGTTGCCCACCCGGACAGCCTGCACCAGCAAAAAGTAGGGGTGCAGAGCATCCTCGAGCGATGGCTGGCGAAAGGTGGCCCGGTCGGGGATGTCGCCCATGAGCAGCTCCACGACCAACAGGAGCTTGGTCGCCGTCTGAGAGAAGCCCACAGCGCAGTTGCTCGACGGCGCCTTGCGAGTGGCCGCCGTCAGGTGCTCGTGCGCCTCCGTGTATCGCAGCTGGATCGCCCTGATTCTGCCGAGGTAGTAGAGGAACCGGGCCACCTGGTTGTTGACGGCGTTTTCCGGAAACTGCGTATGCGACACGAGCAGGTCGGCTTGATTGATGTGCGACGTGAGCAGGTAGTTGCGCAGGAGGAGGACAATGACCGAGGCCTGCGTGTCAATATCCTTGCGCAAGACGGCGGTCCGCAGGGCGGCGAGCAGCGCAGGGCGAATGGCCACGATGGGCGACTCAGGAGATGGCGGCGGCGGGGCAGTGTGCTCGCAGAAGAGAGAGTAGTAGAAGTAGACCTTGGCGGAGAGGGAGTCGAGGGTGCGGCGGTTGAGCGACTGGACACGCTCCGCCAGGGACTTTGAGAAGTCGATTCCCTTTTGGTACTTGTTGCTGTCGAACAGGTACACCTGGATGAGAATTCCGAGGAAAATGTCAATCTCCGGGATGATTTCCTTGACTTCCTTCTTGGCGCCGTTCTTGGCCGGCTTGCTGTCGGCGTCAATATCCATCTCGGGCCCCGGCTGTCGGCCAAGAGGCATGCTCTCGCGGCCAATGGCAACCAAGAGGCTCTTGGCGATGTTGCCGGACGTCAGGGTGGCGGGATATGTGTCGACAATAGCTTGGCCGATAATGTCTGGCGTCAAGCGCTTGCGGATGAGGGAGATGGATCGCAAGGCTCGCAGAGAGAATCTGGCGTCGAAGAGGGCGACGGCGCGGTCAAGCAGGGCAAAGTTGCTCTTGATGTCTGCAGGGACGGGAATCAAAGACATCATGGTCAGCGTGCGGAGCTCGATGCGCTTGTGCGGACAGGGCGAGATGGCTTACCCGCCACGGTCTGCACGGCAGGGTCAATCTTGGCCTCGCCGTCGTCGGCCTTGTCGTCGTCGCCCATGGATATGTCACCATCGGCGTCGTGCGGGTGACTCGACTGCTTTGATGACTTTGACGGAGGCAGCACCACAGTCATCTCGTCGTCGCCGTCCTTGGAAGCCTTCTTGCCCTTGCCCTTGGCGTCCTTCATGTCGACATCGTTGTTGTTGCCCCTAACGCTGTTCTCGACAGGCTCGTTGCCGCTGCTATTGGGCGTTTTGCCGGGCATCGCGGCCGGATCAGATGAGGTGGATGGGGGTGCGAGAGTGGCGATGGCAGCGGCCGGTGGGCGCGGTGGCAATGATGGCTCAAGGGGGCTTCCGTGGCGGCCGACGGATCGAACGCGCTTGCGGCCCGGCTGCGTGCCTCGCTCCGGGAGAGAATGCTCGGGGCTCTGGACGACACAGAGAGCAGTGCTCGTCGCCCGAGACAGATGAAGGGGAGAGGGGAGAGGGCACGGGGAGCTGATTGTGTTTGCGGTAGTGTTGCTGGCCTGGTCGGATTGGGCGTTTGGGAGTGCAAGAGCAAGAAGGTTCGAGCTCTGGAGATTGATGAGAAACGCAGCCCGGCAGAGGTGTACATGCCCAAGGTACCGCCGGCAGGGGGCGAGCTACAGTACGAGTACTTGGCGCGAGACGGCAGCGCATGCGCGACGCAAGGTACCCGGTACGCTCCGTCTCGGGCGATTCTGGGTGTGGTCAGGTGAAAAGAGTGGGGCCTTGCAGCGAGTGACGTTTTCGACCCGGTGCCTAATAAAATGGGGGTACTTTGTCCTTTGTACCTCTGGCCTGTCTCAACCGCCAATACTGCTCCCTGGCCCAGCCGGCTGAGCCGCGCAATAACAAAGGCAGCAGTTCTACCGCTCAGCTGCTCTTGGACGTGCCTAGTTCGCTGCACAGTCACCTTGGCGTGGTGGCTTCGGATCCTGGTCGACCCAAGCCGAGATAACAGCTACCTTAAGTTATCGCGACCATGTAAAGCAAGGCTCCCTCGCCAATCTTTCCTGCCCATCCGTCCGTTGCCATGTGTCCCGGCCCTTGTCCCAACGCCGGCGTGCCACATAAGTCTAAATGTCCCCCTTGCCTGGCATCACCTTGGCAGCCTGCACCGCGCTCATCTTTGCGATCCATGCCGACGAAGGAAGCACCTTGCGGACGGTGCGGAGCTCGTCCGACGAGTAGCCCGGCACGCGGATGTTGTACGTCCGCTCCAGCACCAGCTGGATGTCACGAATCTCGAGCACCTTGGACCCGCGCTCCTTGGAGTTGCGGCATGCGGTGTGGAGCACGTTGTCCACAAACGAGTCGGCCATGTTGAGAACGTTCTGCGAAACCATCAGTTGACTGCCCCACACCGTGAGCAAGTCGGGCCCTTACCTCCTCCACCTCGGGCGAGAGCATGTTGCCCTCTTGGCCCTCGGGAGACCCTCCGCACACCTGCCGTACCAGTTCGTCCAGTTTCTTCTTGCTGAGAATGTGGTCGCCCTCGGCGTCGTGGTTGTATGCCGGGATCCGGGCCATGGGCGGCTGGTTCATAACGCCACCGAGCGTGCCAGAGCCTTGCGACATGGTCGGCCGCCCTGCACTGACGCCGCCGCCAACTGCTACTCCTTGAGGAACCGCCGTGGCCTTTTCAGGCAGTTGCTTCGGGATAGGCATTTTGGCCGTCATTCCACCAGCCGGCTGCTGCTGCTGCTGCTGTGTAGGGTGGGCGTGGGGGTGGCCTTGCTGCTGTTGTTGCTGCATGATGCTAGGGTTCATTGCGGCGACCGCCGACGAGGGCGTGCCAACCCCGGGCTGCTGGCCCTGAATAGATGCGCTACCTGGCGTGCCGGTGGCCCTCTGATTAGCAAGCGAGAGGGCAGCAGAGTGGCTGAGTGCTCGCGTCGGCCCCGCGGCAGTGTTGGCCGGGGTCGACGACTGCGGTGTTTGCACCCGTGCAGCTCCCTGTGCTGGGGTTGCAGAAGCTTGAGCTTGAGCGAGGGTTTGTGCCATGGACGAAGCAAGCGCTGTGTTGACGGGTGCCGGCCGAGCTGGCTCCGATTTGTGTGGCTGGCCCTGCGCCTGAGCCTGTCCCTGTGCTTGCTGGGCGGCAGGTTGCGCCGTATTGAGCGTAGGCCGCGTTTGTGGCTGGGGTGCTGTCGTCGTCCCGGTGACGGGGGAAGCTCTGTTGGCGGCGGCCATTTGCTGCTGGTTCTTGGCTGCCTCGACGGCGGCATTGACAGGCGGCGCTGCAGTGGCCTGGTTCGCCGTGGCATGCGGTTTGTTCTGTGCGGCATTTGTGCTTGTCGCTTGTGTAGCGTCCGATGGTTGGGCAGCTGTCACAGGGCCGCCGGGCCCGTTCTGATTTGCCTGTTGAGCGTTGAGGATTTCGTGCTGCCTTCGGACGCCGTCCACCCACTTTTTCGCGTCCATGTAGATCTTGAATTGCTGATCGCGACGCAGCTGAAGCTGCCTCAGCTCTTCGTCGCTGAGCGGCCTTCCGGCCGAGGATCTGTCCTTGATGGCCTTTTCCATGCTGGCCACCTTTCCCTTGTTGGTCTCCATGGTGAAAAGGGCCCGGGCGTACCTATCTCTCATTTCCTCTGTCCATTTGGCAATGTCTGCGGGAGACTTTTCCGCCATGTGCACTGGCGGGCGAAACATGATCTTGCTGGCATGCTGCAGGATCGAGTCGGGGAGCTTGGGCCGTTGGGCTGCTGCTGCCGGCGCCGGTGGGTTCGGTGCCTGGCCCGTCGTGATGCCTGATGCGTTGTTTTCGCCTTGGGCAGCGTTTGTGCTGCCTGGCGGCGCTTGCTGCTGTTGCTGCTGCTGTTGCTGTTGCTGCCGTTGCATCTGAGCCTGCGCAGTCGCCGGGCCCGAGGTGTTCTGCTGCGCGGATGGGGGTCGGGGGGGGATCTGTGCGCCTTGCTGGTGTGGTTGTTGTTGTTGCGGTTGTTGTTGCGGTTGTTGTTGCGGTTGCTGCTGTGGTTGCTGCTGTGGTTGCTGCTGCTGTTGCTGCTGCGCCTGAGCTTGACTCCGCCGTTGGTGAATCTTGGTGATGAGCATCTTGGAAAACTCCATAATCTTCTGCCTGGCAGCGAGCTGGTCGGGGCTATTGGCTGGCGAGTTGTTTGCCTTATTCCACAACCCTCTCAGGCCTTGCTCGTACTTGGTCTTTTCCTCCTCGCTCAGCATCGGCAAGGCTCGGATCTGCTGCGGGTGGTACATGGGCGGAGGTCGCGCTGGCTGACCAGCAGGGCCGGGCTGAGCTTGCCCTTGGCCCTGCTGGGGAGCCTGGCCCGAAGCCGGGTTCATGGTGGCTGGTCAATCGACTGTTGTGCTGTCGGCCGCCGCCGAGGTCGGGCAGCGCCCGAGAGGGGCAGAGGCTGGTATACGCGGGACGCTCGGGGCGGGGATTTTGTCGCCGGAGGTGCAGCAGCCGGCGTTTCTGCAAGTGCTACGATGAATCGAGGCACCAAGGAGGTCGAGGTGGTGATGATGGCAATTGAAGTATGAAGGTCGCTGGCGGGTCCCCACAAGCAAGGGCGTGGTCGGAAAATCCGACGGCCCATGTTGATGAGTAAGGCAGCCCACGACCACCTACCCGGTATCGGACAGATCTGTCCAAAACTTTCTACACGGCCTTTTCAAGTATCCGTGCTTCGCGCCAGGCGGCCTGCGATCGGCCGCATGAGAAGTCCAGATGCTGCAATGGCAGCTGTCGAGATTGGCGGAAACACATGCACCCGTTGGCTTGGAACAGCAGAAGACGCCAGCGCTATGCTGTAGGCCATCGACACCCGCAACACCTTTCGCTATACGCTCTCGAATCGGGGGGATTCATGTGTCTCGGTCTCCAGCCGCGTGGGTTTGGACAAAAGAGACTCGCGAGTACTGTCCGCAAGTGGTGACGCCTTGCGGCTTACTCTGAGAAATGTTGCCCTGGTGCCGGCGGCAGCAAACCGCCTCCGCCCCTGACCGGTTTGCAGGACCCTCGAAGCCGGTTGGGCTGCGGGCCATGGACAGCACATCAGCGACATGGTCTCACCATGCACCACCCAGTCTTGAAATCTCGACAGCTGGTGGGCACTTGGTGCGACTCCTTCTCTCTCATATTTCTGCCTCGTGAGCGGGAACCAAACCTCCCTTTGCATCTAATAAGGAGAAAAAGAAAAGCTGCCAGTGACAGCTCATGCTCGCAGTCTGAGCGCTGCGGCCCAATCCAGCAAATCGAGGGCACAGGCCATTGCGTATGTCGAAAGGAAAAACAGACCCGGGCTCATCTCTCCCTTGAAAGAATTTTCGTCTGATGGCCCTTTTACTGGGCATCGGGGGAGGGGGGGGGCTCGCGGGACAGGCAAGGTGCTTAGAGGAGCATTGATGCCCAAGATGGTCCACAACGCCCCTGCAGGGAAGACGGCTGTAATAATAAAAGCGACAAGTTGCACTGACGGATATGAGCCTCGAGATGGCTCCTTGCGTCTTCAGACGCTGAAACTGTATATACGCGTGCTGATATAACGAGTACCATACTCTACAGCAAAGCAGTGGCCCGTATGATTGTATCCCCGGCGAGTGACGGAGCGGACAAGATGGAATCGTGCCATGGCCCCCGAGTCTCAGCCTCACCCACGCAAGCTCGTATCGTCTCGGCTGCCACCAACAGACCTTGGGCTGCAGTTGTCTGAAACAGCCTGCCATCCTGATGCGAGACGCCGCGCGGGAGCTCTTGTTGAAGTCGAATATTCGGACCCCATCATGGGCCATGCCCCTTTTTTGACTCACTCCCTCTGGGCTGGCATCCAAGGTCCAAGCGTCCGTCCTGCTTCTCTCTCCTTTGCAGGCCGCAGATCTCTGACAAGGCGTGCTATAATTAGTAGGTGTGAGAGTCGGTAAGCTGGCTCATTCATCCATACATAATAGCCACCCCCCCCCTCATACTCCTCCGTCCTTTGTGTGCCTCGTCTCTTCCACCACTTTTCTCGCGCACTTTGTTCTTGCCCCTTTCACCATCCAACGACGCGCGTGACGGAGAATCTCGGGCCAGCACCAGACCAGGATCTCCAGCATTACCTCGCCTTCCATCTATCATGCCCCCCAACACTAGCCGGATCTCCTCTTCTCCGTGCTGGAGATTTCTTCTCTGGGTTCTGACTCCCTGACGTTGCGCCTCGTCCCATCGAAATCACATGCCACAGCAGCCCGTCTCGTCGAATGGTCAGGCAAAGGAAAAAAAAAGGAATAAAAAGAGAATAAAGCACCAAAATTCGCCGGCAAGCAACGCTGGTTCCCCCGCGCAGCAGCGTCTTGCCGCCCGCATCCTTTACCCCACACGCTGCAGCCGGCTCAATCCAATCACCCTCCCTCCCGCCCGGGTTCGAGACTTTTTGGGAAGAAGCGAATAATAATCACGTTTCTTGGCCTCCCCCAGGCAGGCGGCAGACTTTTGGGGGGGCGAGAACAAGAGGTCGACCGCCAAAAAGAAAGACGAGTGAGCGCGAGAGAGCGAGGTGGAAGCTTGGATATATCGCCCCCAACGCTGGATACGTTTTAAAAGTTGGACCTGTAACTATATCATGGCCAAGATTAAGCCAGGGCCGAGCCTCAAGCTGTCCGGCCCGCTCCGCAGCGCCACCAACCCGACGTCACCGCCCGAAACCCCCACGGGCCGCAAGCCGCAGCGCCATCATCACCATTACCGCTTCTCGCGCCCGCTGTCGCAGGACCCCAACATCAAGCCCGTCGGCAACGGCCACCACTTCAGCTACCAGCCCGTGCTCGGGCCCGAGCAATTGAGCCCGCGCTCGTCGTCGTCGTCGGACCCTGCCGACGAATCCGACTCGTTCTCGGACATCGAGGCCCGCAGCCTGCCTGCCTCGTACGCCGCCGACGTCTCTGGCGAGTCCGACTCGGACGACAACGACTCGGAGGCGCAAGCCTCAGATTCGTCTGGCTCCGGCTCCGGCTCCGGCTCCGGCTCCCGCTCTGTCCAGGCCAACACGCTGCGCGCCCTCGACTGCGACTTCGTCATCGAGGACGTCGACCCCATGGACAGCGCCTGCGAGGGCCTCGACGTGCTCTTCCCCACGGAAATCGAGTCCATCCGAAGCCGGTCGCGGTCCTCGCGCCACAAAGGCCTCGACAGGCGCATGATGCAGGACCTCCGGAACCTCAACTGCAGCAACGAGGCCTCGGAAAGCGACCCGCCCAACCCCTGCGACGACGACCAAGAGGCCTTCCTGCAGCGCCGCCAGGAGCTGCGACGGCACCGACGCGTGAGCATGTCGAGCAGCTTCGGCAAGCGCACCCACAGCGAGCTCAGTGACTCGGACAACGACGAGGCCGGCTCGCTCGACGTCAACGACGTCAACGACGTCGGCTCCAGCGCCCGCCGCCTGCGCAAGAGGCTGCACCGCGGCAGCCTCTTGTTCCAGGACCCGCCCGAGCCGCGCATCGACGAGCTCGACGAGCCCGACTCGGGCGAGGACAACTACGCGTATGGAAAATCGCTGGCGCGCGAGCTGCCCTACTATACCATGGAAATCATGGAGATGGAGTCGAGCTGAGCTCGCCTTTCTGCAACCAACGACCAATCGAGACACGACGACGACACGACGACGACACGACGACGACACGACGACGACACGAATGACGACTGAAACGAGTCATGTACCAGAGTCAAAATGAGCTCAGCAAGTACCCTGTGGACATATGTACTTGCCACATGCTCCGATGAGGGATTATATGGCCCCGTGGGGAGGATCATGTCTGGTATAGAAGGGGCGACTTGGCTGGGGAGGGCTCATAGTGCTTGATAGACTCTTTGTTTCTGCGTCTTTTTCCTCCTTTTCTGATCATCGTGCTCAGCTTGGCGGAGGATCGGGAAAATTGCGCAAGCGGCGGCGGGTGGAGGGCAGTATTGATCGCTGATAGGGGACGGTGTGCCTGCGACTCCCTCGTTGGCATCCGCATGCCATGCTTGCTAGACAAGGATAGATTCCTGCCTTTACTCTACCGTCCACCCTCTTCCGATTGCGTGTCTGCACGGCACATGTATATCCGAGCGTCTGGTGAGAGATCGCCGCGCGGGCGCGATTTGTCGTCCAGGGGCGAACATGACGTTCGTCGAGAGAGATTTCTTCGTGGCACGAGCATCTTGGCCAAGGCGCGTGTAGGTGATGACATCGCTTGGGAATGCCAGACTCGACTCGGAGGACAAGTGGCCGGCGATGCCATTGTTCAGTCTTGTCCGGTATGTTATCTATCCTCAAGTTGTAAGGATCTGGGTTGCCATGTCGGCAGTGGTACAGACAGCGTGGGCGTGTCGAGCGAGGTTCGGCCGAGGAGTTCTCGGAGCCTCGGCGCTCCATGGCCCTGTTGACCGGAGACCGAGGCCAGGGGCCGGGACGGGACGGGACGGGGCGCCGGAAGCAAGAGGGGGGTCGGATATGCACTTGCAGTCTACATTACTGTACACGAAACCAGGTGTGTGCAGCCCAGGTTAGGTAGTACGTAATAGCTACGAAGCAGATACGGGTCACGAACAGTAAGCGATAGGCAGCTTAATTACGACACAGCTGTGAAGAGTAATATAGCGATCTGTATAATATGGTTGCTAGAACTTTCGCTTAGCAGTGGTGCTTGTTACCTACCGGCACACGTAGTCAGTACCGCGAATAAAGCGGCGTCCTTATTGGTCTATTCTAGAGGTACTTACCCCTACAGTGACCTGGATCAGCAAACCAAGACGACGTAACACAGCGCCTTCTGATGCTTGAAGCTCAAGGCTCTGCTGCCTTAAGTTTATATGCTGCACACACTCACTCCCCTTCCACAACCTCGGGGGCGGTGGAATTCGGCGGAGGATGAACACCCTTTTCCGTCAAGGCACAAGCCAAAATGACGGTGTCGGCTTTGATTCACCAGCTGCGGGGACGAACCAGGCCCTAGGCGGCGGCCATGATCGGGGACACCTCTTTTCCTCTCGTTCCGCAAGGCATAAGGTCCTTGGCTTCTTCCTCTCGAGGCACGACTTCTGCGGCATGCGCCACCCAATTTGCCAGACTCGGGAAAACGAACGTGTGTAATGACAGGTGTGGTGGCGCAAGTCGTGGCAACCCGCACCGAGGCTCACGCCCCTCGGGAGCGAGTCTGACACAACTTGATCATATCAGAGGATGGGATTATGCAACATGAATCCAGTATGCTATCACGCATGGCCTTTTCCGGCCTTGGAACTATGAGCAGCGGGGCGCAGTTTAATCGCCACTGAGAGCTTGCTAAGAGCCACTATTCGCCGCAAACCGTCTGGGAATTTAGCAACTGGAGTCTGGTATTCGCGAATGCTACAAATGGCTGTAAATCTTAACTGGCAGGGAACGAAAGCCCGGTCGGACTGGGAACAGGATACAAGAATTGAGCACACGTTTAACTTTAGTAAGCTCACGAGAAAGACTGACATTATATTATCAGGTCTTATGCCGGCCACCACGCTTAGCACGCACTAATTAATCATCGCTTCGCGGCATTTCAACCTTTTAGCCTTACACATTTTGTGTCCCCGACCCCAGTAGCGCTCGTGAACGGCAAAGACGACTCGATCTCTCCAGTGGAGCCGCAGAAGACACAAATCTACGACGTGCTCGCGGAGCCGAAGCAGCTGCTCACAATGCCGAACATTGGACATATGGATATTTCGACGGGAAAGCACAGTCGCGAGGCTTTGGAAGCCCAAGTTTCCTTTCTTTGTCGTAATTTGCAATAGGAGGTCACCAGGGTTTGTCACGGTTCAAGAGCAGGAGCAAGATCGGACTCGACTGGGCAAAGGTGATTGACCACTAGAGACACCTTAGGAGAACTCTGACTTAAGCTATTTGCACAGTATTCATAAAGTGACACTATTCGCAAGTATGAAATTCACATGGTCGTTCCCCCACAGGTAGTGGATCAGTCCACGACTAGAGAAAGCATCTGCCACGGTCGATCCCGGGTATCCATACCTGCCCGATCTCACTGGAGTAGATAGCTCTGTCGTACCTGTGATTCATGTATCTGGCCTTGCAGACCATCGAGTCGGGCTTTAAAGCTGATATCATACTGCGTTGGCAGCCACACTTGGCTTCCTATACTATCTCAGCGTAGGTCTGAAACACTGCATCCTCCCTGACCGCACCGAGACAGTCTTCTTCGATAGAGAAGATCTATGCTACCGTCAGGTTACTTGGGTAGAACAACCTGCAACCCTGGAAACATCCGTCTGCTGGTGTTCTAACGAACGCAGGTTTGTCCCCCAACATGCCACTAAATTTCTCGTCCAGGGATATTAGTGCTTTCCGGACCGCGGTGGAGATTTCTCTCAAACTGTTCCGTGCGAGCATCCGACTGATTGGCAGGGTAACCTGCGTCTGTGCCACAATGAAGCCTAAAGTATCCGACGAGATTCGAGGCTGTAAGCGCGATCTTCCGTCCATGGAAGTGTAAAGCGCAAACGCCGGATTCGGGTAATTTTAGAGAAACGGTGTGTCGACGTGCAAAACGGCTGCGATCCCAAGTAACCGGCGTCCTGTTTTCGCGCAATACCGGGACGAGTGCATTTGGGAATTCAGTTACGGTTTGGTCAGACCGGTTCAGCGGCGTCGAGTGTCTAGACGTGAGACGTTGTCATACTGTATCCATTGGGCTCGAGCTAAGCGCCCTGTGGAATAACAGCATCCCATATATAATGTGACAGCAGAGGAGTGGGGTTTCGAATAGCCAGGCTCACCACAGTCAAGTGCCAGATGCCATCGTCGGGATTGTCTGCCGCCTGCCAGGTCGCAGCAACTCGCCCACGGCACTAGGGCATCTTCTCCAACGAGGTGGTGTCGCCATGAATGAACCACCATCGTCCCGGTTCAACCTTGCCGGCAGGACAAAGCAGATTCTATTACTCTTGGTATTGCTTCGTCTAGTCTAAGCAATCGAATAAGCCACTTTCTTAATCTGAGTGGCCCGAGGTGCGTTGTTCGCAGCGGCAGTGTTATTGGTGTGCACCTTGATGCCCGAAGTCATCGGTCCAAGCTAATTCAAACCCCCTTCCGTAGCATCACTGTAGATACCGCCTGCTCTGGTGGTCTGGTGTCGGTGGATGTAGCCTGCAAGTACTTGGATAGTTTTCAAGTCGATGGCATGCTCGTGGGAGGGGTGAACCCGTGGCTCTCCCCCGAGCATAACGAGGAAGTAGGCATAATGCACATGACACAGTCCGCCTCGGGCAAGAGTCACAGCTTCGACGTCAAGGCTGAGGGAATAAATGCTGTTTTTCTCAAGCGACTTGACGACGCTATCTGTGATGGGGATCCGATCCGAGCCGTTATCCGCGGGACAGCTACGAATTCATCGGGTCGCACTCTCGGAATTGCCAATCCCAGTGCCGAGGCTCAGGCAGCTGTGATAAGGGGAACTCGTAGACATAGCGGCGCGTAAAGAGAAGAGTTATGTTGCATGAACTTGCGCGATAACTAATTACCTACTACATCTCGCTACTGAGCCACGTCATGGAACCTTCTAGATAACAACGTCACCTAAGCAGCGGCGGCCAATACACCAAAGAGATACACTACAGTACCGGTACATGGGGCACCGGGGCAGGCTAGTGCCGGCTTGCACCGGGGGCCGCCAAGCTCGACGCCGGGCGAGAGCCGGAGCCACCCGACCTGGCGGCGCAGGTTCCTCTAAAGTTGACTCCGCCATGCGTCCGGGTGCATCGGTGCCCGCGGTACCGCTACAAGGCCAGGATGCACGCGCAGCATGGCGTCCCCGGTACATGGACTTGGCCCAAGTATCGGGTTGGATGCGGCTATTAGGTAAAAAGGACGCTTCGGACTGGCATGGCGGCGTGACCTTGCAGCGCGTGGCCTGGCCTGCGGCACCAACCGCTCCGGCAGTCTCCGGGGCAGTCGGACATGACACTCTAGCGCTCTACACTTCTCTCTCCCACTCCCACTCCCACTCCCACTCCCACTCCCACTCCATATGCATCTATGTCCGGATGCGCAGCCAGAGAGGCATGGTGCCGTGGTAGCAGAAAAAGGGACGCTACTCTACCACGTGAGCATAACGGACTGTCGTTCCCTTCGAGTTGGCTGTCCAGACTCGGGCCTTCCGGCTCATGATACATATAAACCCCCCCCTTCCCGCCCCCACGGGTGTGGAATTGCCCAGCCATGTCGTTGAGGTTTTTCTTTGTCACAAAAAGGCGCACGTGAGCCGATGCGCGGTGTTAGTGCTTGACCGTCAGTCGCCCATCGACGGCCCCCGACGAGACGCCCCGGCTGTTCGGACGGAGAGGAGGGTGGAGGAATATCCACCAACAGACCCGAGGCCCCTGGTTTCTACTACTCTCTGGTCACGCGGGTCCGGGAAGACGCGAAAGAAAATAAAAAGGGAGATAAATGAGGATAAGCCCCCTGGCCACTGCGTATTTGATGACGACGGTAGAACAATGACCAGAGCCTGGGGGTCACGACAGGCTCCCTCGGTGAGGACCCGAGGCCGTTGTAGCTGCAGAGAGGTTTCGAGTGTACCGAGTTTAGAGGTGGCCTGCGTCAGTTTCAACGAGCCAGAAGAGCTGGCTTCCAAAACCACCCTTGCTCTCGCGTGAGCGTATATAGTTCACCGCTCTCGCTTCACCATCTCTCCACCCCAGCCCGTTTCTCGACGTCGTACAGACCCTCCCTTCGTTCGGCCGGCGGCTCCGGCGGACAATCGGCGGTCCGTCGGGCGTAGAGAAGGGGGGGGGGGAGATCCTACAATCGAGGGATGTAGGGGAGGGGGCAGTCCGAGGTGGCGGAGTTCCGTGTCTCTCCTCAAGCCTTGCCGTTAAGTGACACTCCGAGCTTGTCGGATGGGCCTTTGCCAGCTCTCAGACCGGCGGGCCTTGCTTGGCACTAGCATCATCTCCTGCTGGACCTGCACTTAGGAGTATAGCTTGAATGGATGCTTGTTGGTCTTTTATCCCGCCCACTTTCCCCTTGGGCTGGCTGGCTGTGCTTGTATTTTTTCCCTTATTAGTTGACGAGTCCCCGCCGCCGCCGCCGCCGGCTGGAGCCAGTTTTCTCCCTCACTCGCACTCTCTTCCCTCTCTGTCTATCTCGAGCCGTCCCGCCATCTCCCAACGCCCGCCCTCCTTTCCCTCTCTCGTGCTCTTCCACTCCTTGCCTTTGCTCTCTGTCCCTCTCTCCTTTATCTCCTCCGCCACGATATCGGGGCTGCCTGACCTCTCCCTGCAGCCACGCCCCCCTTTGGTGCAGTAAGCAGATAGCTTATCTAGCTCGGAAAAGCTACTCTTTGCAGGCCATCCGCGGCATCGTCGCAAAAGAAAGGAGACCAGGGTCGGGATCAGGAACAAGAAAGGGAAAACAAGAGCCGAGCCCGTCGCCATGAACACCAGCACCGTCGAGAGCCGCTTCCTCTCCAAGCCGGGCGATCTCGGGTTCGTCGCCGTCGGCTTTTCAGGGGGCCAGGTATGTTTCTGCCGTGTTTGGACAAGAAAAGGGCCAAAAAGGCGCCGTCTTTTCGTTATCATGCCCCTGCACACCCCTCCCCCTTGCTTGCTCACCCTCCCCCCGGGCCCCCCTGCAAGCCCCCTATCGTGTCATTGCGACGTGCCCCTCCATCCAATGATGCAACCTCTTCCTGTCCCCGAATCGCAGCCTCGAGTTTCACCTGGAAGCAGTTTGAGTAACCGCGCCTGCGCCTGCAGCCCAAGGACGGCGTCGACGCCGGGCCCGCCGCCCTCATCGACTCGGGCCTCCTCCACGAGATCCGCCATGAGCTCGGCTACCGGATCCACGGCGACACCGACGTCCACCTGTACCGGGACCTGGTGCCGGCGTCGGACCCGGACTACCGCGGCATGAAGAACCCGCTGACCGTGTCGGCCGTCAACCGGGAGCTCGCGTCGCAGGTCTACCAGCACGCGTCGCAGGGCCGCCTGGTGCTGACGCTCGGCGGCGACCACAGCATCGCCATCGGCACCCTCGCCGGCTCTGCCCGGGCGGCCCGCGAGCGCCTCGGCCGCGACATTGCCGTCATCTGGGTCGATGCCCACGCCGACATCAACACCCCCGAGATCAGCGACAGCGGCAACATCCACGGCATGCCCGTCGCCTTTGCCTCGGGGCTGGCGCGGGACGACAAGGACGAGTACTTTGGCTGGATCCAGGACGACATGCGCGTCAGCGTCAAGAAGCTCGTCTACATTGGCCTGCGCGACGTGGATCAGGGCGAGAAGAAGATTCTGCGCGAGCACGGCATCAAGGCCTTTTCCATGTTTGACGTTGATCGGTAAGACACGCTCCTCTCCTCTCACTCTTTCTCTTTCTCTCTCTCTCTCCCCCTCCCTCCCTCCCTCTCTATCCCTCTCTGTCACCCTCTCCCTCTCCACCCCCGAACTGACGCCTCTTGCTTCTCCCGCACAGACATGGCATCGGCCGGGTCATGGAAATGGCCCTCGCCCACATCGGCACCGACACGCCCATCCACCTCTCCTTCGACGTCGACGCCCTCGACCCCATGTGGGCCCCGAGCACCGGAACCCCCGTCCGCGGCGGCCTGACGCTGCGCGAGGGCGACTACATCTGCGAGTTTGTCCACCAGACGGGCCAGCTCGTGGCCATCGACCTCGTCGAGGTCAACCCCAGCCTCGCCACCACCGAGGCCGGCGCCCTGGAGACGATCCGCGCCGGCTGCTCGCTGGTGCGGTGCGCCCTGGGCGAGACGCTGCTCTAGACGACGACGGCGCCGCTTTCTCCTTGTCTGTCTCGTATCGGTTGAGCCTCTGTTTTGGCTCCCGGACATAGATTGCGTCTTGCTATGCCTGGTCTTGGTTCCTGGCATCATCATTCTCTTGTCTCGACACGACGATGTCATGACGGCTGGTGGGAGGTTGCTTCACGGGGTTGGCGCGAATGGCTGGCGAGGCGGCGTGTTCCTAGAAATTGATGTAACGCCTCCTCCTCGGGAATCTTATAGAGAGCATCTCAAGATTCAGTCACCGACTGGCTTCGTGTTTGACTGGTTATACCCGGCCGTGCGCGCAGTACAAACAGAAACGGCCGCGGGAGAGACGAGGGCAGCGAATAGGCGAAGCCGCATACAAGATCCCGGGTAGAGCGGTAAGGGGATGCACGCACCCCATTGCAGTGCTGAGCGAGACGGATTGTTGCACACGGTGATGCAGTCGAGAAGACAGATGATGCCGTGACGGGTCCGGGGCCGTCGGTTGTGCGCCGTGCCACGGCATCACGGCTCGCTACTGAAGATATATGCTTGGAAGAACGGCCATGATTACTCCCGAGCCGCATCTACGGAAAGGCGTGCTTTTGAAGGTCAATTCGATCCAGGGCCTCGACGCGGCCTTGCACCGGGCCCCCCAGCCACCCACATTTTCCCGCCGATGAGGGCCGGCCGCCGATCTCGGGGGCTCCGGCAGCAGAGACGGCTCCACTCACGGGACGCCCAGCCTCTTTCTTCCCGTCGTGTCTCTGGTTCGGGTCATGTACGAGCACGGAGACGCGTGCGATTAATCGACCATGTGTACTCGTGTGCGTTTGGGACCAGCGTAGGCGCTTGTGCCGCGGCTTGTTTAATACGCGTCGGCCTTTTTCATGCTGATGGGCTCGCAGGGCTAGCAGGGATGGCAGAGCGCGACGGCGCCTCGATCCGGCCCCGGGCAGCAAGGAGAGAGCGAGGAAAAGTCACCGCCTTGATGGATCCATGTCATGCGTCGGCCGGTCGAGGAGGCTGAACTGTCGAGGCGCCCCTACTGGCCTGTGGTTTGTTTTGTATGCGCATAAGCACACACGTAGCACGTAGCAAATGCATATATAGCAGAAATGAGCGCCCCAAAGCCCCCCTTGGGCCACGGCAAGCATCGCATGAGGCGAGGCGGCGACACGGTGTGGCATTGGGAGGCCCTCATGTAGGTGATGGGAGGTGATGACAGCCCAAAGACGACGACCCTGGCCAGCCATGCAAACCGCCCCTCACGTCGAGGTACCTTGCCCAACAGCACTATCATCCCTTACCACTCCTCCTTCGCACCCTCGGCATTCCGCCAGCATCCGCCTCGCCGTGGCCGCCAAGTCAGGTCCCGCCAGCACACAGCATCAGCATCGTCACCAAAGAATGAGGGCCCATCCGACACGCCGGATCTAAGGTGGGGCATTTGGGCTTGCAGCCATCTCTCTCATTACTGACTGGGTATTGGGCGCCCACTCCCCTGCCCGGGCCCTTCGACGTGGCAGCTTGCGCGGATTGGGCCGCCGGGAGCCGAGTATATCATCGCGAGATCTGCCCCCCCCCCCCTCTGCTGCTCGTCATTTCTGAAAGAATTGAGTTCGTTTTCGGACGGACGAACAGAGAGACAGGAAGAAAGAAGGCGAAGGAGTGTTGTGATTTTGGGGGTCGGGGCGAGCAACTCCCGAGCGACAGACCTTTCCCCCTTCAATTGGACAAGAGAGAGTGACGAAAAGAGGAGAGAAAGGCGAGGCCCGGGTGCAGCAGGCCGGCCGGCCGTTCGTTCAACAGGCCGAGCACGATATCCGGAAGCCGGGACGTTGCCCAAGACGCTTCAGTTCACTCCGCGCGGCACGCAGACAGACGACTGCTTCTTGCACCCCTTGAACGCCTACTGCTCTTCCTATCTTCTTCTTTACTCTTGGTTCCTCTGCATCGCAGACACAATGGTGGCATCGTCCATCTTCAGCGGCACCTCGGTGGGCTACGACCGGCGGCCAGTCGTCAGCCACATGCGCACCTACAACTGGCCGCCGTGGCAGCTCAACTTTTGGATCCTCATCATGCTGCTGGCCTCGTGCACCATCATTGGCGTCTTTGCCGTCTTTACCCAGATGCAGGCCCAGCTGGGGCTGCCGGTTCCGTGGTACGCCTCGACCCTGATTCCAGTCTCACCCTCGTCGGCCCGAGCAAGAGATGGATGGCTTCATCGAGAAACGACGGGCATCGACGACGGGTTGCGCTGACCGACTTCGCAGGTACTTTCCCTACTACATCACCGTCGGCTGCCTGGCCATCCTCTACATCGGGGGCATCTTCTGGCTCATTGCGACGCGGCGCCTGCTGCCGGCCATTGTCATGATTGGCGCCTTCATGCTCTTCGTCATGTGGCTCGTCGGGCTCGTCGTCGTGTCGATACAGCTGTGGGGGCCCAGCGGCTCGGTGCAGAGCAACTGCAACGCCTACGTCTTTAGCCAGAACCCGACGGGCAAGACGCTCGGGACGCTGGCCTGGATGCAGCAGAGGAATATCTGTAAGTGCGGCTGTGCCCGGTTCCGCTGCCCGCCGCCCGCTAACCTGCTTGGACGTCGGACAGGCCAGTCATGGCAGCTCGTCTTTGCCATGGGGCTCATCGGGGCCATCTTCCTCATCTGGGTCATGATCATGGCCTACCAAGTCTTTGTCAACTCATGACGGCCGAGTCCTGGACAGCCTCGGGCGGTGCGAGGTCCGTTTTGCCCGCCTCGAGCTTGTCGTGGGAGGAAACCGTGTACGATTCATCAGTCTAATATTATTGTTGCTGTATGTTTTTCCCCATCATTGTCTTGTTTGGACCAAGCCGCCATAGGGAAGCGTTTCACATTGGGCAATGACGTGGACGGCGTTTCTTGTTGGAGGCGTTTGTTGATGCCGGGGTCGAGTAGCACTGCCAGTTGTAGCGTGCAAAGTACAGTACACGTCAGTATCGAGGGTTTCAAACGAGGAATGCCATTGCATTTGAGATGTCAACCATGATTTGCCGACGGCTCACGGGCTCTGAGACGGGGCATGGCAGCTGAGAGGCAGGACATGGCTTCTTGGACAGAACTCGCTCCATCAAAGAAGTGCGTGTCAATTGCCTACCGCAGCACAGTCTCACTTTCCGGTACGGGCAACATGTAACTTATAGGAGCCTGCACATATTAATACATGAACTACGCAGAGAGCGGAAGGGGGCAGTGTGCAGATGTGGACCCCGGAGGAGACGTGCGTCTGTTTTTCAGCTGCTGTCTGTCGGCTCGACTCGTGTGCGCTTTGTCCTCGAGCACCCATTGGAGAGGCTCTCGATGGACGTACGTACTGCATGTTAGCCCGGTATATGAGTTACATGACCGTGGCTCCGCCGTCTCAGGGGGGGCCCGTCTCTCCGGAAGCGGAAGCGGAGGAGGCATGTTGGCGAGCGCGAGTTTGTTTGCTCCACGGTTGGTCGACCAGTGACGACGCCCAGCTTTGCTCCACGGCCGTCTCCAAGGTTTGCCTCTCGCGGGAGCACCGGCCTTTGGCTCGATAAGCTTCCTGCGCCTCGTCTGCCGTGCCCACAAGTTCACAGCGATCGGGGCACTGCAAGTAAAGGCCAATCAATGGACGAGGCACGATGACGTAGCTCGTCAGCGTGTCTGTCTGTGCCTCTGGAGACGCAAGCAAGAGGTGCGTGTGCCTACAGCAGGGCAACATGGATGGGATGGTTTGACAAAGCTCTCTGTTGGTTCTAGCGCCTGTGTGAAGCTCTAGTGCATGACGGCGTGTCCCTCTCGAAAGATGGGGAAAAGGAGGGGGTGCTTGGATGCCGTCAGGGTCATCTGCAGTCTGTCTTTCTATATATAAGTACGGCTCGGGGCCTCCCCTGTCTGCTTCGTCTTGGATACATCATCATCTTCATCATCATCGTCCTCCTCCCCCCCCCATTCATCATACATCTTCCGCACACACAAACACCAGAGAGCCACCATGGATTTCGTCAAAAAGGCCATGAACAAGGGTTCCGGCGAGAACAAGGACCAGAACGCCCAGGGCGGCGCCGAGCAAAAGGACGACTATGTCGACAAGGGTAAGGCGGCCTCAGCTTCGACCCCCAGACCGAGGCTAACACCGCTCCAGCGTTCGGCATGGCGGCCAAGAAGTCAGGCCATAGCATCGACCGCAATACCCAGGAGAAGATTACCGACGGCGGCCGCACAGCCTATGAAAAGGCTACTGGGTGAGTCTCATCCTGTCTACTGGCCTCGATGGGTGACTGACGGGACGGCTGGCGATGCAGAAGCAAAGTCGACCCCAAGATCTCCAACTAGACGACGAGGCAGCGCTGGAACGTTATACTACTAGATACCACACGGCAGTTGCGCATGTCACAATTCAAACACTTGGACAGTATCGCGTGAGAGCAGCCATGGAGTATTCTTGCTGGCGTGTTCAGTCCACGGCAGCAGCCCACGTCAAGAAAGTTAAGGCTTGCTTCCGTGTCTCATCTTGCCGCCCGCTGTAAATCCAAGTAGGATGTTTTCGCTGCTGAGCCCCCGGCCGTATCCATGTCCCGTGTAAGCTTCCACAGCGTCATGGAGTCCGTCCGAACAGGGGGCGGTTGATTGCTTCGTACAAGCGTTGAAGCGGGACGGATTCCGCGCAGTCTGTGTGTTGCCGTGTCAGGTGCATCATGGGCCTTTTCTTAAAATGAAATGGCCTTTACCGAAATATAAATCTAATAGAATACCACACCGTGTCATTGCGGTGCTGCCTTCTAATGCCTCGAGTTGCGTCTCTCTACTACGGAGTAGTTCCTCCCTCTGCTCAAGTGTCTGCCTGTTGCTCTAGGCGTCTGAGCGCCCTGTCGACCCGCCCGGGTGCCCCGGTAACCGCCAGAAAAGGCCCCCCCCCCAGGCCCGTTCCCTTCTGCAAGGGGGAAAAAGTTAGCGTTCGCCCGCCGTTATTTTTGGCCAGCCGTCGTCGTTGGAACCGGCCGCCGCCAGTTCATCACCACCAAAAAGCATCACCACCAAAAAGCATCACCTCCCACCTGCATCCCCTGCATCCCCTGCATCCCCTGCACCTCAAACGTCGACGTCGACAAGCCGCTGACCCGCCGCCGACACGCCGCCGACACCTGGCCTCTGCTCCGCGTCTGACTGGGCTCCGGACCCTTCAAGATGCGCCATGGCCGGCGACCATGAGACCCCCAACGGCCGGACGAGCCCCGTCTCTCCATCGCGGCCATCGACGGCGAGGCGCACCTCAGGCGCCACCACCACAGACGAGCGCGACGACGCCCATGCCGCCCATGGCGAGGCGCCCGCCGAGAACCCCGACGAATCGCTGCTCCAACTGCGCTCTCCCGCCTCGCGAACCAGCCATCATGCCGGCCAGCCAATGGAGACGACGGCCATGGACGACACCAGAGAGGCAGAAGACACGCTGTCCGAGGAGGCTGTGCGCAGACACCTCAACGACGTCGAGTCCAGCTTTCTGCCTGCGCTGTCGCCCATCCCCGCCACCTCTGCCGCTGCTGCTCGGCGCCTTGATTCGCCCGACAACCCTGCGCCGCGGCCCAAGCAGCCCGCCCATGATGCCGACGCCAGCCTCACCACATCCAGCCTCGACTCGTCGCCCGCCGCCGCCGCTGCTGCCCGAACCATTTCCCGCGCCGCCAGCAGCACGAGCAACCCCAAGGTTCCCCCCCTGGCCCGAGACGACGACGACGCTGAAAACCCCCTCTTGTCCGGCACAGACGACGCCCCCGCCTCGTCGTCCCGATCTCAGTCCCTGTCCGAGGACAAGATGGATGCCGGCAGCACCCCGGGAAATTCCTTGCGCGTCGCCAAGCGGCCCAAGTACCTGCGCAGCCGCCACGGCAGCGAGCGCTCCTCTTCCTCGTCCTTTGTCACAAACGCCGAGTCTCACCAGGACAGCGACGCCACCGTCGGCATCGGCCTCGACTACGCCTTGCACTCGGGCGGCGCCGTGCCCTCCCTGACCATGTCTCGCGCCCCCAGCAACATCCTCCCCCGGGCCACCAGCATCGGGAGCATGGCCTCCGGCTTCGCCCCCGACGACTACGATGCAGCCACCCGCCAGCTCGAGCCGCTTGCCGAGATCGACAGCCGGCCCCAGACGCGCAATGGCGACGTGATGCAGACCCCGAGGCCCGCCCGGGACAACCTCGACACCGCGCCCACCGACACCGTCATCGCCCAGCACGTCAGAAACGTGCAGGTCCCCGAGTCGCTGGCAAAAGAATACAAGTTCAAAAACGGCCTCCAGACGCCGCGGCGTCCTGCCCACCCGCCCGCGGGCACCGGCACGGCCGGGCGCAGTGGCAGGAACCTGACGCTCAAGGAGCAGAGCAGCACCATTGAGCGCCTGTCCAAGGAGAACTTTGATCTGAAGCTCAAGGTCATGTTTCTGAGCGATCGCCTGGACAAACTCTCCGAGGAAGGCATCAAGGAGATGATATCGGAAAACGTCGATCTCAAGACGAGCTTCGCGGTGCTGCAGCGGGACAACAAGGTCCTGAGGAAGAGGGTCAAGGAGCTAGAGAGACAGGCCAGGGAGGACGAGAAGCGCCCGAGCACGGCCCGGAGCGCCGCGTCGTCGGCGGACCAGACCGTCGACGGCGAGGCCCAAGAACGAGAGGAAGAGCTCATTTACCTGCGCGAGCGCGTCGAGGAGTACGCCATCGAAATCGAGAGGCTCCGCAACGAGGGCGTGCACCGGGAATCGGAGAAGCGGAAAATGGCCGACATTGTCAAGACGTTTAGCGAACGGACTGGCGATAACCTCGGCCGGCAGGAGGAAGCCGACGTCTGGAAAGACTTGCTCGAGCAGGAGACGGCTCGCCGTGAGCAAGCAGACGAGGACAACCGGAAACTGCGCGACGAGCTGTTCCGGCTCAAGAGGGAGGCGTCGAGCGGCCCGGGGGCCCTGCACCACACGACCAACATCTACAACATCACCAAGAAGCCGCGCGATCGCAACGCCTCGCCCTCGCGCCCCATGTCGGGCATGTCGGGTGACGTCGAGGGATCCAACGCAAACTTCAGCGCCGCCACCACTCTCGTCGAGGAGCTACGGCGCGAGAGCGAGCAGTTGCGCCATGAAAACGCAGAGCTGCGGCGCGAGGTTGGCGCCCAGACGTCGATGCTGACGTCGAGAAACCGCGAAAAGGAGCGTCTGTACCAGGAGATTGAAGACCTCAAGATGGCGCAACGTCGCGGCGGCGGCGTCGCGGCGCTCTCCGCCGTCGATAGCCTCCTGGAGCGGTCGGCGTCTCGAGCCGGGCACGACAGGTCGCCGTCTCGGGGCAGCGCCAAGACGAGACAGACACAGGCCGACGAAGACGCACAACGGGAGGAGCTCGAGAATAAGCTGGCCGAGCTGCGGGACAAGCTGAGCGAGGTCAAGCTGCAGAACCAGGAGCTGCAGCGCGAGCTCGAGGCGTGCATGGAGGACTTTGAGACGGCCGTCGAGGGCAAGCGCCAGGCCGAGGAGACGGCCATGTCGCTGCAGCAAGACCTCGACGGTGCCATGAACGACCTGGTGGCGCTGCAGGCGGAGCGCGACGAGGCGCTGCGGGAGCAGGGAGACATGGAGGTCGAGTTTGAGGCCCTCCGCCACGAGGCGCAGGATGAGATTGACACGCTGGAAGCCGAGGCCGACCAGCGCAACGAGGAGATTCAGCGTCTGCAGGCCGACTTGAGGGATCGCTCGGAGAATTTCGACGCCTTGCAGGAAGAGATGCGAAAGCTGAGCGAAGCCCTCGTGCGCCTCGAGGACGAGCAGGACAGCAAGCTGCGGCGCATCCAGCAGCTGCAAGAGGAGCTGGACGCGACCAACAAGGAGTTTGAGGAGCTCGAACAGAAGCTCATGGAGGCGACCGACAAGAACCAGCGCCTCTCTGTCCAGCAAGAGTCGGCGCAGGGCGAGATTGCCTTTTTGCGTGAGGAGCAAGAGACTGACAAGATCCGCATCGGCGACCTCGAGGCGGCGCTCGCCAACGCCGAGCAGGGCCTGCGCGAGGAAAAGGACATGGCGCGGGAGCTGGACGGCCGCCTGCAGCAGGAGCGCGTGCAGAGGGAAATGGTGGCCAACAGGGAAAAGGAAGAGGTGCAGCAGTTTGTCAACGAGCTCAACCGCGAGGCGTCGAATGCCAAGGACGAGGTGAGGCGGCTGCGTAAGAGCCTGTCGTCGCGCGAAGTCGAGGCAACCGAGTGGAAGGAGAGGTTGATTGAGCTCGAAAACAACCTCCGAGAAGCCCTGGGCGACCTCAACGGCACCCGATCCTCGCTTCTCAAGGTACGATTCCGCACGCTTCTCAATAGACTTATCCCCACTGACCCCTCCAAGTCGATTGCCAAGCTGCAGCGCGAGCTGGAGAACACGATCCGCGAGCTCGACACGACGAGGGCCGCGCTGGTCGAAAAGGACCGCATCATCAAGCAACGCGACGCGCTCCTCGAGTCGCACGCGCTCGAGAGCCGCAAGGTGGCGGAGCTGCTGGACAAGGAGCGCGTGGCGCACCGCAACACCAAGTCGCAGTTCGACACGTTCCAGAAGACGCATCACCACCTGTCGCAGACGGCAAGCACGCAGGACGTCCGCATCGCCGAGCTGGAGAGCACCAGGGGTCAGGACCGCAAGAAGATTGCCACGCTCGAGCAGTCGGCCCGGGACCAGCTCACGGAGCGAAACGAGCTGCTGTTGACGCTCTGGCAGAGGCTGAGCGCGCTGTGCGGCCGCGAGTGGATCAACGGCAATGCGCTCGTCGATCGGCAGGTGGTGCCGTCGGTCGAGGTGATTGCGAGCCGGCTGCCGGGCTTCTCCAAGAACCTCTTGGCCGCCATCAAGACGATTGAGACCATGATTGGCTCGCTGCAGTCCAAGATCAAGTCGGTGGAGCGCGACCTGCACCGCGAGTACCAGGCCTTGGAGAACAACCTCGAGGTGCGGACCAAGAAGCTCGATCGGCTCGAGGCAATGGTGCGCAACTCGGCCTCGTCGGGGTCGGCGGCGTCTCAGGACATGCAGGGCCGGATGCAGAGGCTGGAGGACGCATACCGGCAGCTCAAGGTGGAGAACACGACGCTCAGGACGGCCCAAGACGTGCGCAGCCGCGTGGCCAAGTCCAACGCCGAGGGCGCGCGGGCGTACGACCGCGCATCAGGGTCGCCATCGCCGGCGATCCCGCGCGGGCCCGGCGACCGTGACCGCAGCCGATCGGCGCGGCCGGGCCAGGAGAGGAACTACCGGTCGGCGGGGACGAACGCGGCGACGGGGATCCCGGGCCCGTCGGCGGCGGGCGGGCCGGGCAGCATGGACGTGGCGTTGGCGGGCGAGGCGGGCGGGCCGAGCAACAACGACAATCGATGGCTGCTTAGGCTGCGGGACATGGAGTACAAGCTGAAGATGGAGCGCGAGGGCCGTAACCAGGACCGGCAGGCTGCTCGACAGCGTCTGGGCGGGCTGGAGATGGAGAACCGCGACCTGCGGGACCGGGCGAGGCGTGTCAACTCGGAGGTTGACTGATGATGAGCGAGGGCATGGTTCGGTTCTTTTTTGAAGGGGGGCATCACTCGTAACGACTCGACGTCTATTTTCTTTATCATGACGAAGCCAAGGCGCTGCGGAGTTTTTCCTGGCCGGGAGCGTGGTCTGTTGTCCTGCTCCCGGCTTGTTACCTGAGGACGGTTTTCTACGGAGCTGCGCCGTGTATACTACGGGGGCCAGTATGCTTGTTGCGTTTTGCGAGCTGGTGCTGAGAGCAAGAAAGGGAGCTTTGCTGGAACTCTTGTTGATGGCGGTGCTCTTTGCTCAATCTTTTTTTTTGGGTAGAAGAGGTAAAGTATGAATGATATCGGTTGTCAAGGACTACATATCTGACGTGTGGCATCAGGATGAAAGGTCTGATTGGGTGGCAGAGCGCCTCAGCATTTCATAGCCACTCGTACTCGATGCCGTGGTCCTTCAACGTCGCCTTGCCAAATTCATTTCGTAGCTCAACACGGCCGCTGTTCCGTGGCCCTCTTTTGCAGTCCCCATCCGCGCATGACGATGGATCCGATGGATGAGATGTCGGGTTCAGAAACTCCATGCCGGCGACGGCGACGGAGCAGACATCATTCTTGACCTAAGCGGGCGGCGGACTGCCGTTTCCATCTTCCCCAGTTCCTCTGCCTGCGATTCAAAGCATCGGTCTGTCGCAGATCACCTCGTCCAGCTTCTTGGCCGCGCCACCTCTGCCGATGTAGACGATGACGAGTACGAAGAGATCGTGGATGAGGTCCTCGGCGTGATTCTCGACACGGGCAGGCCTATTGCCTTTGCTAAAGCGGCACCGCCTATTACGTCTAGCCTCTCCATGCTTCAGCCCGGACTTACACTCTCTGCTCCTCCCCGCAACCCCTCGACTTCGAGCTTCTTGAGACGGCCGGCGGAAATGTTACTATTATCCCTATCGACCTCGGCAAAGCGTACTCCTATTCTGCCTGCGAGAGCGGCCCAGATAGTGCTAGCAAGGATGACTTGGGTATCGACGATATCCTTCCTTTCGGGAAACAGGAGAGGATTAATTAATTCCATCGTAGGCCGAGAGCTGGCATGTCTCTAGGACACCCGCAGAGTTTGCCGATCGCATCTAACCACATCGATGCGTGTTCCGCAACTGCTGGGTTTTGTGCGGCATGCCGACACAGGCTGCGTCGTTGGATTCCTCCGGCAGTCTGCCGTCCCAAGTGGGCCTCGCAGATGCGTGAGACGGTCGGCCGCCTGCACGCAATAGGGCTGATCTGCGGCGATGGGAAGACGAGCAACATTATCATCGATGGGAGGGACGATGCGTGGCTTATTGATCTCGGGGGTGGGTTTACGGAGGGCTGGGTAGACGAGGACATGGCCGGGACTGTGCAGGGAGACGAACAGGCGATGAGGAAGATGATGGCCTCTCTGGGAGCCGATCACCTTCTCTGCAGCACGGCCGAGATCAAGGCCACGGCCGACGTCCGGGACCTTTTGTGCGCCTAAGCCAGCGACTCCTGCATATCGTCTCCGACGACGGATTCCTTCGCGGCCTGGTGCCTTGTCCACGTGGCACTTGGCGCTGCCTCGGGTACAGGTCCGGATATAGACTACTGACTACCTAGTCGGTCGTCAGTCATGGCCTGATGGGCGGCGTACGGATTTCGACGGATGCCTCCTCAGTCGCGCCACGTGGCAGATGCTAGACACTTTGGACGGAGAGCCACGTGTTGGAGCGGGTCGCGGCCGCTTCAATGCCAGTTCCGGCAGCGAGAGAGGCTACGCTATCCAGTCCGAAGCTGCCAGAACGGACGTTGAGGCTGGCCATGCCCTGAAAGCACGCGGAGACGAACAGCTGATACGTCGGATAAAGGGCACAAACGGAGCCTCAGCTCAGGAACCTAGCCCGTCGTGGGAGGGCCGCTACGCAGCACCGCTTGTCCGGCGTGCTGCAAAAGCTGGGTTTCGTTTCTTTTCCGTGGTAGCGCGCCCTCGACTTCGGAGTGTTTTGACCGGCTGCCATGCCACGAGGCAGCGGAAGCCGGGCACTGGGCAGGCATGCGGGTTTGAATATCGAGTCTAGAGTATGAACGGGGTGGATGGATGGGGGGACGGCTGAGGGGTATATAACGAGCCGTGGCTCGTGATCCAAAGGGCGTCCGGGCGCAAGCGGCAAGCGGAGCAAGGAAGGGGGGGACAGATCTTGCTCTTGTCCATGGACTCGGCTTACCGCCCTGGGTACAACATGACACGCTCGAATCAGTCGTCGAAAGCGAGCACGGGCCGGGCCAGTGGGCGTGAACCGGCGTACGGCGGGCGTGCCGGTGGTCAGCGGCCGCTCGCGCCGGCGGCTCCGTCTTCGGCCGCGACGGAAGCCGACGCGGCGCGGCGCAGCGTCTCGCACCCGGCCAAGCGCAAGGCCGTCGAAGCGGCGTGCAAGTCGTGCCGAAAGCGCCATGTCAAGGTATGTCAAATGTCAAACAGGCGGAGAACAAGGGCCCTCGATTGCTGTTGCGGCCACGCCGAGACAAGACCTGCCGGGCAGACTATCCAGGCACACGGGCTCACACGATGCTTCCTGGCCCCCCCCACACAAAGTGCAACGGCGCTAGGCCGCAGTGCTCGGAATGCGACAAGCGGCACGTCGAGTGCGACTACCTGGGCGCCGACACGGCCAAGGCGGCCAAGAGACGATGCGCCGAGGCGCAGGACGAGCTGGGGGCGCACCGGGAACTGTACCGGCTGCTGCAGTCGAGGAGCGAGGGGCAGGCCATGGAGCTGGTGGCGCGGATTCGCTGCGGACGAGATGTGCGCTCTGTGCTGGGGCACCGGTGAGCTTTTGCTGTGCGGTCGGCAGGAGGCTCGCCGCATGTTGGACGGCTGGGCCTCTGGGTGGGCGGATGATGGTGACTCGGTGAGAGGGCATTGGCGGGCCTTGGGACGTGGCGGACGATTGGTAGGCGATGGCTGCTTTGAAGAGGGGGGTGAAGTGTAGGTAGCGTCTCTGTATTGCCGTTTGCAGGCGAGGCTCAGTCGTGTCTTGACGGCCTCCTTTTACATCGTGAGGGCCATTTTGATATGTTGAGACGCACGCTTCGCATGATAATGATGATGATGCAGACACGCAACACGTGAAACACGTGAGAGCCCGATGGTTAGGTAATCAGCGAGGTGCCCTAGAAACCAAGTTATGAGTTAATTATGTAGCGGCCTCCCAGCACTGTAAGATTGAGGCCGGTAGTTAGCGTTGGGTGCTGCTCGCCCTGTAAAAGATGGCCGACAGACCTGTGCGTCGTCGGAGATTCGGGCATTTTCCTGGAGGATTCTGTCTTCTCCGACTGTCACTCGAGCGGACAAGGCGAGTCCAGAGTATAACGACCCATATATAACGACCCATAAAAGAACTCGCCCTGGCCCTTTGCCGACACGGGGTTCGTGGGCTGAGACGGCCGATTGGCTCGAGACTCGACGACAAGCCATCAACCCGCACCGCCGTCCGAACCATCGCCAGGAGCAACAGCTCCCGCCCGATCCCTCTGGTGCGCTGAGTCCTCGCCCTCTCCTTCGACCGACTTCGCACCCCGTCGGCGCCATGCCCTTCCCCCGCCGCGGACGCAATGCCATCATGGCCCTCTCCATCGTCTTCGCCCTGTGGCAGCTCTGGTCTGCGGCGTCGCCGAAGCAGCCCTCGCCACCCGCATCTTCGCCGTCGGCGAGCGATGACTGGGCCCGGCTCGAGCACTGGATGAACCATGCGTCGCCCCCGCCGCGCGTGCGCAGCGTCGCCAGCAGCTTCGACTGGAGCAGCGTCAAGCTCCGCTACCTGCCGGGCTCGTCGTCGCCCGCGCCCATGCCCCGGCGCCGCCCCGGCCGCGCCCCGAGCATACAGCACCGCTTCGAGGCCGAGTCGCCGCGCGACGTCAAGATCCGCGTCGCCAGGCTGGCCCAGGTCCGGAAGCTCTTCCAGGACAACTGGGAGAGCTACCGCCGCTTTGCGTGGATGAAGGATGCCCTGCTGCCCATCTCGGCCGGCTCGCGCGACCAGTTCTCGGGCTGGGCTGCCACCCTCGTCGATTGTTTGGACACGCTGTGGATCATGGGCTTGCGGGACGAGTTCAACGAGGCTGTCGCCGCCGTCGCCACCATCGATTTCGGCAAGTCGTCCACGTCCCGCGTCAACGTCTTCGAGACCAACATCCGATACCTCGGTGGCTTGCTGGCCGCCTACGACCTGAGCGGCAACGACATCCTCCTAGCCAAGGCCAAGGAGCTCGGCAACATGCTCTACGGCGCCTTCAACACACAAAACGGCATGCCCGTTGACTTTCTCGACTTTGCCGCTGCCAAAAGTGGCGATGGGCTCACCCCCGAGTCCACCGTTGTGTCGGCCTCGCCGGGGACCCTCTCGCTTGAAATGACGCGCCTCTCGCAAGTCACGGGCGATCCCAAGTACCACAGCGTCGTGTCCAACCTCATGGATGTCTTCTACCAAGGCCAGAACAAGACGGCCTTGCCCGGCGTCTGGCCCTTTTGGGTCTCGATGAGCCGCCAGGACGTGAGCAGTGGAAGCACCTTTACCCTTGGCGGCTCCGAGGACTCCCTCTACGAGTATTTGCCCAAGATGCACCAGCTGCTGGGGGGCGGCGACCCCAAGTACGAGGTCATGTTCAAGACGTTTGCCGACACGGCCGACAAGCACTTTCTATTCCGGCCCATGCTCCCCAACGGAGAGGACATTCTGCTGCCGGGTAACATCAACATTGTCGGCGGCGAGCCGGTGCTGGATCCCGAGACGGAGCATCTCGCTTGCTTCGTCGGCGGCATGTGGGGCCTGGCCGGCCGCCTGTTTGAACAGCCGGCCGACGTGGACCGGGGCGCCAAGCTGACCAACGGCTGCGTCTTTGCCTACCGCTCGTTCCCCACGGGCATGATGCCCGAGCGGCTCGACCTGGCGCCCTGCAAGTCCCGCTCGCACTGCCCCTGGGACGAGGAGCTGTGGCTCGAGGAGCGCCACAAGCGGCCCGAGTGGAAAAGCCACCTGCCCAAGGGCTTCACGACGGCCAAGGACCCGCGGTACCTGCTGCGGCCCGAGGCCATCGAGAGCGTCTTTTACATGCACCGCATCACCGGCCGGGCCGAGTTTCGCGAGGCCGCGTGGGACATGTTTGAGGCTGTCAGCAAGGGCACGCGGACCGAGTACGCCAACGCCGCTGTCCTGGACGTTACCAAGGACGACTATCCGCTGCCCATGGAGGACTACATGGAGGTGAGTCGAAAGCTGGACTTGTCGCGACCTTTGTATGCTAACGTGGCTGCACCAGAGCTTCTGGCTTGCGGAGACGCTCAAGTACTTTTACCTCATCTTTTCATTGCCCGACATTATCAGCCTGGACGATTTCGTGCTAAACACCGAGGCGCATCCCTTTAAGATACCGAAATAGACTCGCTTGATCACTGACTTGGATGGGCATGCTGGAGGTGTCTTTACGCATCGAATTCGAACGGCTCCTGGTGAGCTGCGCAGGGGGGATGATGGCCGTGGCATCAAAGATGTCGGCCACTGGAGGAATAAAGAGATCTCTCATGTCAATGTTTGCATGAAACGTCAACTACTTGCCGTTAGATGAATCGCCAAGTCGCTGCCAGGCGAAAGGCTTGCAATGCGGATCACGGCGTACCTGAGTTTTCCCTTCCATCTGCACAACAGGCATCCGGGTTTACTCTTTTGTCCGCGCCCCTCTGCACGAGCCATGCCTGATAATGTTCTGTGATTGAGGAGAGATGGGAGTGATGAATTTGGGTGTTTGAAGGGTTGAAGTGGTAGCGCAGCGTCGTAGTTTGCCTCGGCCTTGGTCGGTCTGTTAGAACGCAGTCTTGGCATGTAGCAATTGAGAAGCACGCTCGCGGCCTTGGTTCAGACTTCAGTTGGAAGTTCAAGATGCGGTTGAAGAACACGAGCTTTTGCACCGGCATTTGGAAACAGCTCCCCGGCAGCCCGGTCATCGGCCGTTGAGCCCCGGCCCGCGACCACGTGGGAGGAGAAACAGCCGGCCCGAGAAATTCAACCCCTCCTCTACTCTGTATCGATAAGCCCCAAGAGGGGTGATAAGTCAATTGCTGGAGCGTCCTCCACCAAAACACCAAAGCCTTCGCTCTGATCGGCGAGTCACGACACCGGGGCGCGCGTCCATCACAGGTTGCGGCCAATTTCTCCGACGAGCATCTTCCATTTCGCTCACGATGCCGCACGAGACTCTGGTCGGTGGCTCGTGCTACACCGCCTCGACGGCGCAGGAGCTCAGGGCCCGCGCCAACAAGACCAGCCAGCCCCAGGTCAAGAGCATCCGCGGCCAGTGGGTCTACTATGTCGACCTGAAGCGCGCAGACGCCGCCGTCCTCGACCAGGTCAAGGAGCTGCTGCACGACGTCGACTCGCAGCCGCTGCTGGCCTCGGAGAGCGGCGCGGACTCGGTCACTGTCTTTGTCACGCCGCGCTACCTCTCGCCATGGAGCTCGCAGGCCACCAGCATCGCCCACGTGTGCGGGCTCAAGGACCACGTGCGACGCGTCGAGAGGGGCCGTCTCGTGGTCGTTGAGTTTGAGGCGCCTCTCCGGCCAGGCCAGGACGCCTCGTTCCGCGACGTCCTGCACGATCGCATGACCGAGACCTTTGCGCTTGAGAGGCCGTCCCTGGATGCCATGTTCCAGGCCGACGCGCCGTCTCCCCTCGTCGTTGTCGATATCTTCGCCGGTGGAAGCGATTCGCTCAGCATCTTGCGAGAGTATAACCAGCAAAAGGGTCTCAGTCTCGACGAGTCCGAGATGCAGTACCTCGTCGACGTCTTTACCAGGCTGGGCCGGCCGCCCCACGATGTCGAGCTCTTCATGTTTGCCCAAGTGAACTCCGAGTAGGTCACAAATCTAGTATACACGTTGTTCCCTTTGCTAACCATGGGCATTGATCAGGCATTGCCGCCACAAAGTCTTCAACGCCAGCTGGACCATCGACGGCGTGCCTCGGGACAAGAGCCTGTTCGAGATGATCCGAAACACCCACAAAAAGACGCCCGACTATACCGTGTCTGCCTACAGCGACAACGCGGCTGTGCTTCAGGGCGAGCTGGCCAATTTCTGGTCACCCGACTATTCCACCGGCACTTGGAGGCTGACCCCCGAAGTTGCCCACATCTTGGCCAAAGTAGAGGCAAGGACCGCCACTGTGGTGCACGTCTTTCTTTCATCTGACTTTTGCTGACTCCCTTGCCGGAATAGACGCACAACCACCCTACTGCCATCTCGTGAGTCCAGCGCACATACTTCTATCCAGTTGATGCATGCTTCACCCACGGGCGAGCCAACTAACAGAATACGGGCCAGACCGTTTCCCGGCGCCGCCACCGGTTCCGGTGGAGAGATTCGAGACGAAGCAGCCGTCGGCAGGGGCTCTGTCACCAAAGGCGGGCTCTGCGGGTTTTGGGTATCCGACCTCCTCATCCCCGACCACCGCGCTCCTTGGGAACTCGACATCGGTCGCCCGGCCCACTACGCGAGCAGTCTCGACATCATGTTGGAGGCCCCCATCGGGAGCGCGCGCTTCAACAACGAATTCGGACGCCCATGCCTGACTGGCTGCTTCCGTACCCTCCTGACCCCCGCCGCTGGTCAGGACTCTCCCGCAAGCGAGGCAAAGGAGTGGCGTGGCTACCACAAGCCCATCATGCTGGCCGGCGGAGTGGGGACGGTCCGTCCCCAAAACGCCCTCAAGGAAGAAGAATTTGTCCGTGAAGGTGCGCACGTCATAGTCCTCGGCGGCCCGGCCATGCTCATCGGCCTCGGCGGTGGCGCCGCCTCGAGCAACGCGTCGGGACATGGAAACGCCGACCTGGACTTTGACAGCGTACAGCGTGGCAACCCAGAGGTGAGGCTGTCCCGCTCGTCGCAACAGCGGGGTGACTCGTTATCTGACTCGAAACTTGTAGATGGAGCGACGGGCCCAGATGGTCATCAATACATGCACGGCACTCGGAGACCAGAACCCCATTGCCATGATTCACGACGTCGGAGCCGGGGGTCTTTCGAATGCTCTTCCCGAACGTAAGTGCTCTCGTGCGAACCGTCTAGATGGCGGGACCTTCTAACGTGCGCCTGTAGTTGTCAAGGACGCCGGCTACGGTGGCAACTTTGAGCTTCGCCAGGTCGAGAGCGCAGACAGCAGCATGAGCCCCCTCCAGATATGGTGCAACGAGGCGCAGGAGCGATACGTTCTGTTGATCAACTCGGAGAACATGAATCGCTTTACCAGCATCTGCCGTCGCGAGCGCTGTGGCTTCTCCGACGTCGGGTCTGTTGCCTCGACCGACGCCGGCGGAGTGGCTAAGCTGGTCCTTACCGACAGGGAGTCCAAGGAATATCCGCGGCCGATCGACCTGCCCATGGACGCCCTCTTCCCTCCCAAGCGACAGCAGGACCGCATAGTCACGTCTCGCAAGCCGCAACTGGCGCCTTTTGATGCGCTGGCCTCCCTGCGACGGGCATTTGGAGACGGCATCTCGACGGCTGACCTGTTTAAGAAAGCCGTCGAGCGTGTATTCTTGGTGCCGGCAGTTGGATCAAAGTCATTCCTCATCACCATCGGCGACAGGACGGTCGGCGGACTCACCGCGCGCGACCAAATGGTTGGGCCGTGGCAGACGCCCGTGGCAGACGTGGCGGTCACGGCGACGGGCTTCAGCCTGAGCGGCAAACAGCGGACCGGCGAAGCCATGGCGGTGGGAGAGAAGCCAACCTTGGCACTGATTGATCCCGCTGCCTCGGCGAGAATGGCGGTCGCGGAGAGTCTTCTGAATATTGGCGCCGCCGACTTCATGGGCGACTTGCGTCGCGTCAAGCTGTCTGCAAACTGGATGGCGGCCGTCAGTCACCCCGGCGAAGGCGCGGCTCTGTACGAGGCCGTTCGTGCCATTGGCATGGAAATGTGCCCCGAGCTCAATATCAGCATCCCGGTCGGCAAGGATTCCACTTCCATGAAGGCCGTTTGGAAGGACAAGGATGAGCTGAAGAGCGTGACGGCACCCATCTCGGTTGCCATCTCGGCCTTCACCGTTGTTGAAGACGTGAGGAAGACGTGGACGCCGCAGCTCCGGAGAGTCGAGGATGTGGGAGACACGATCCTCCTGTTTGTCGACCTTGCCGAGGGACGGCAGGCGCTGGGAGGCTCGGCGCTGGCGCAGTCGCTGGGCTCCATTGGCAACGAGGCCCCGGACGCCAAGAACTTTGGCCTCATCACGGACTACTTTGACGCACTGTGGCAGCTGCACAAGAGCGGTGTCGTGCTGGCATACCATGACCGGTCCGACGGCGGCTTGATTACGACCATTGCAGAAATGATGTTTGCTGGTCGGTGCGGCGTTGATATGATGATGGACGGCATCTCCAAGTCGGGCCAAGCGTCTGACATGCTCGAGGCACTCTTCAACGAGGAACTCGGCGCCGTCTTCCAGGTGCGCGCCGAGGACGAGATCAACTTCAAGAGATGCTTTGCGACGTGTGGCCCGCCGGCTGGACTGATCCGCAAGTTTGCCGTGGTCAAGCCCAAGAGCAAGCAGCCGCTGACGATTCGCCACGGCGCCACCACCTTTGCCACGCTTGACCGCGCCGAGATGCAGCAGTGGTGGTCCAAGACTTCGCATGAGATGCAGCGGCTCCGGGACGACCCGGCCTGCGCGAGCTCCGAGTTCTCTGCCATTGCGGACTCGGAGGATCCGGGCATCTCGTACAGGCTCACTTTTTCGCCGTCGGAAAACATCCTGCCCCTGACGTCGTCCATTTCGGGCTTCTTCGGCAAGACGCCCCGTGTGGCCATCCTCAGGGAGCAGGGCGTCAACGGCCACGCCGAGTTTGCCTTTGCATTCAAGGCGGCAGGCTTCGAGCCGGTCGACATCCACATGACGGACATACTGGATGGCCGCTCTCTGGCCGACTTTACAGGTCTGGCTGCCCCCGGCGGCTTCTCCTATGGCGACGTGCTCGGTGCTGGGCAGGGCTGGGCCAAGTCGATCCTGATGCACGACAATGCTCGGCGGGAGTTTGCAGACTTTTTCAAACGAACAGACACGTTTGCGCTGGGAGTTTGCAATGGGTGCCAGCTGCTCACGAGGATCAAGGAGCTGATTCCCGGCGCGGAGCACTGGCCGATGTTTGTCGACAACGCCTCGCAGCAGTTTGAGGCGCGGTACAGCATGGTCAAGATTGACGAGGACGAGCGCAAGCCGTCCGTCTTTTTCCACGGGATGAACGGCTCGGCCCTCCCGGTCGTGGTCTCGCACGGAGAAGGCCGCGCCGAGTTCCCGTCGCCCAACTCGCTGCAGGAGCTGTCCGGCTCCGGCATGGTTCCCCTGCGCTACGTCGACAACCGCCTCAACGTGACGGAGCGGTACCCGCTAAACCCGAACGGCAGCCCGGGCGGCGTTGCCGGCGTGTCGGCCAAGGACGGGCGGTTCGTGGCCATGATGCCCCACCCCGAGCGTACGATTCTGGCCGACGTGGGCAGCTACGTGCCTCGAGAGGCGGTCGAGGAATGGGGCGAGTTTGGGCCGTGGCTGCGCATCTTCCGCAGTGCGCGGAGGTGGGTTGGGTAGACAGTTGGACTTGGGAAAAGGGGGACGCGCAGGGAATCGGCGTCATGAGGGCTCAAACTGGATGTATTAACAGAGGGTAGTATGCGCATATATAATATATGATTAGATTTGATTTCAAAGATGTCCTGGTAACGGTCTGTTGCTTTGCTTGAGCGATGACGGGCTGCACCGCGTGGCGAGTCCCATGCATCGGATTGCATCTTGTCCAGGGCTATTAACATTTGGCCGATTTCTCTCGTCGGGCCCGTCATCACAGAGCCGGGCCTTGCCAGCACTCGCGCCGCAGCCGGACATACCACGCCTGCTTGTGGGGCAACGCGACTTGCTTCTCCTTGTCGAAGCCCAGGGCGTCTAGATGGCGAAGGATCCTGTCCCCGTTGTCAGCCGGGCATTGGTTTCGGGCTGTGCGTGATCTGACGACGAGAACAAGGGAGGAAGGCAGGGGAAAGCGTTACCTGTGGTTGTCGATGCGGGGCTCGAGGCAGACATTCATTGTGCGAAGGTCGGCCGTGAGACACCAATGGACCAGGCTGGTGAGCCAGAGCGCGACCTTTCCGCGAGCCCACTCCTCGCCCACCATGATGTGCACGCCGCGGTCCCAGTCGCCCATCTCGCCGGCGACGTGGCGGCCCAGGAGATCCTCCTTGGCCCAGTACAGCTCAAAGTAGCCAAACGGGACGCCGTCCCACAGCCCGATGACGGGGAACGAGTGCGGCGCATGCAGAGCGCGGTCGAGGCTGCCGGGCACAAAGGGGCCCCAGAACTCGGCGACGCGCGGGTTGGCGTGCCAGGCCTCGAGGAGGGCGACGTCGCTCATGGCCACGAGGGCGGCGTGGCCACGGGCGGCGGAGGCGGCGACGGGGCCGACGGGGCCGAGGTAGGGCACGGGCTCGGGCGAGGACGAGGCGACGCGGAAGGCGAGATAGCGCCCGGCGCTGGGGACGAAGCGCGAGTACAGCACGTCGCCCATGCGCGGCGGGCGCGGCCGCAGCGGGTGCCGCACGCCGTGGGTGGCGACGTACTGCAGCGGCGCCGGGGGGTAGTAGGTCGGCAGATGCGAGGTCGAGGTGAAGGGGCCGCCGGGCGCGGGCGACGGGCCGGCGACGGGCGAGGCGTCGGGCGCCAGAGGGCGGATGGGCTCGGGCGCGTAGAGGAAGAGGCGGCCGGGGATCTGCCAGAACATGGGCTGCGAGACGAAGACGTCGGTGGCGGCGGCGTCGGGCGCGGCGACGGCGGCGTCGGCGCAGGCCACCAGCCCCATGCGCTCCAGCTTGGCGAGGAGCCCCCGGCCGTGCAGGGCGCCGTCGGGCCGCACGCGGACCCGCCAGTCGGCGGCGGCGGTGGACGGCGGCGGCGGCGGCGGCGGCGGCGGGTGGTGAAAGTACCAGTACAGGGTGACCCAGAGCAGCATGGCCATCTGGCGCGTCGGGCTGGCGGCGGGCTTGAACTCGGACGCGGGCGGGTTGGCGATGGAGGAGATGAAGAGGGAGTCACCCCGGCGTGTCGGGAGGGTGAAGGGCCGCGACCGCCGCCGCCTCTCCTCCTCCTCCTCCGTCTCGGTCCCCGGCGGCATCGCCTCCACCCCGCTGCCCCCCGCGGCCCGGCCCGCCGCGTCCGCCGCCAGCTCGTCCTCGTCGGTGTGCAGGACAACGGTCCAGCCGACGGGGTAGGGGTGGTGATGGGCGCCGTGGCCGTGGCTCCGGAAGCCCACGCCGGCAAAGACGGGCGAGACGGTGAACATCTGCCCGTCGGGGAGGTGTATGAGCTGCGGCGGCGTCATCTTTGCCCGTCCCGGCCCGGCCCGGCAGCCGCCAGGAGATGATGCCCTTGTCTCTGTCTTGTCAGGGCCCTGGGCGCGCCGTCCTTTGCTTGCTGAGGATTCGGCGAGGAGAGGAGACGGAGGTCTGTTCCTTTCCGATGTGTGCGTGTGGCGAGAAGCAGAGGAAGAGGGCCGTCGGACGAGCTACGATGTCATGGGGGTGGGGGCAGCCGGATGACGCGGGGAGGACGAGCCGAATGCAACCTGGGGCGGCCGGGAAATCGACTTGCATCTACGGGGGGGCCTGGAGCTGCTTGCGTAGCCCTTGTGCCCGTGTAAGTTTTATCATTCGTCTACCAACTACGTACCGGGCGGGTACAGGCAGCGTATAATTACAAGGCTCGGGGGTCCGGCTTTCTTGGCACAAACCCGCTCTGCCTATATGTAGATGGATGTACATGGATGCCTTGGATGGATGCTGTGGACTTCTCCTCGTCGAGAATAAGAGGTACCTCACCTACACCACGATGGACACTGCGAGTACCAGATTGGTTCAGAAATTGCGTTTGCCTCTCTTCTAAAACCTCTCGACGAGCACCACCAAAGCCGTCGTGGGCTCTACCTTGAGACCCGGCTTTCTATATATATGAGCCCATGTGCTTGTCCGCAAACATCAAGGAACAAGGGACAAAGAAAGCGCCAGCTTCCCGCTGTCACCAGAAATGAAGTCGGCCCCGTCCCAGTCACTTCTTGTCAGCCTTGCCCGAGCAGCTCCAAGACCAGAACCCAGCCTCACTGCTCTTTGGAAGCGTCCTTGCCTGTATCCCCGCCCTTGTCCCCCTCATTTGCCTTGCCCTTGTCGCCCTTGTCGCCCTCATCCTCGTCCTCGTCGCCATCGTCATCATCCTGCCTCCGCCTCTTCCTCTCGCTGCGCTCCTCCTCGAGGACCTGTCGGACCTCCTCGCCGCCGAGGTCGCCCATCTCGTCCCACTCGACGTCGTACTCGGTGGCCGCCAGCTTAATCTCCCTCCTCAGCAGGTTTGCCTCGTGGACCAGCTGGTCCCACTTCTGCTGGTCAAAGCCGCGTTCCTGGTAGAGGGCGTTTTGCCGGCGCGACACCGTCACGTTCATGGCCGCCTTGTAGCTGAGGTCCCGGCTGATGAATAGGAACCACAGGTAGCCGCCCATGATGGTGGCCAGGCCGGCCAGGTAGGTGACGGGCTCGACGAGGTCCCATCCCATGTCGGTGTGGAAGGTGACGTAGTAGACGATGCCCCACCAGCCGGCGAGCGCCGCGAAGCCGCCCTTGGCCAGGCGGTATGCGCCCTTGTGTGCCAGCAGGTCGCAGTCCTTTTTGACGTGCGACATTTTGTCGATCTGGCGAGACATCTTCCTCAGCCGCATGCGCATGTAGTAGGTGCGGTCCTTGAAGCTCGGCACGGCCACGCGAAGCTCCTGGGAGAGGCCCTCGATGTCGATGGCAAACTCTCGCCCGTGCGCCGCGTCCCTGATAAAGTCGCCGACCTCGGTGCTGCTGCTCCACCGCACCCAGCTGGTCTCGCTCTTGCTGGGGCCCTCGCGTCCGAGGCCCGAGTATGGGGCGACGTTTGCGCCGCGCTTCTCGGCCGAGTCCCCCTTGGGCTTCTTGTGACCCGACTCTGCACGGAAGATGACGTCGGGAAGCTTTTCTCGGTTGCCCTTGCGCATCGGGGGGATCTCGGCTTGTATCAGGCGTTCCAGGTACGAGAGCGGCTGCTGGGGGTGGACGAGCAGGGCCAGGGGCTCGACCGTCTCCTTGCTCCAGTGTCGCTTCTCTTCCTCGCTAGCGTTGATGTGTTCCTGCTCGGGGTTGAAGGGCATGGGAAGGATGAGCTTGAGCAGCCGAGTGGGTGTCGTCAACAGGCGGCCTTTGGTTCGGGGTTAGCATAAGCTCCTTCACCGTTCAGCTGGTGCTGTACCTTTGGTGCCGTCCCCGGCGGCAGGGTCGTTGGAGGTGGCCTCGGGCAAGGCATTGCTGCTCTCGCGCAGCCACGGACGGTCGTAGGCCTTTCTCTGCTGACTCTTGGTCGTTGTCACCGGCTCCCTGCCGTCCCCGACCGTCTTCTGGGGCGGCTGGCCGGCCGACGAGGGCCGGTCATGGCCGCGGACGGCCAACGAGGCCGAGAATGAGCGCGAGAAGCAGACCGTCTGTCGCGTCCGGGTCTGTCGCAGAGCCTCGAAGAGGTGCTTGGCGTTTGATGGCCCGACGCGCGCCAACGCAGGCGCGCACAGTGTTGCTCGCCCCAAGACACCACTCATGGCGCACCGCAAGCGCCAATTCTGAAGCCTGAAGGGCCCTGTTGAATGCCCAAGATATGATCGGGTCTTTTCGATGGTGCGGAGTTTGAAATTCGCCAAAGGGCAGGGTTGAGGGAGGCGGTAAGACAGGGAGAGAGAGGCGAGAGTGGTCTAAGTTGCATGACGTCAGCGAGACTCCCGAGCTCCTACACGCTACTGAGCCTCTTGGGATAGCTGCCAACTACTTGGCAGGTACTTCGTAGACAGTGTATACCTGATAATATCGGGATGTATAGCAGCAGTTGAAGACGCAATTATTCAACAGTTGGAAAATATACCCGCTTGGCCGTAGCCTCACGGAGAGGCGACATAAGCAGCGGCAAAGGCAATGGTACTGATGAGTGCGGCAATAATTACACCTACCCCAAACTGGGCTGACTCGAGGTCCTGCCCACAGGATTGCAGGTTGGTTGGCCGAATAGAGTTGGCCGAACAGCAAGACTCTAAATCCCAAAATCTCTTATGGTACCCGCTGGTTTGCAGGCTGTTCGTTGCCGTCCGGCAAGTTAAAAGGGGCCGATGTCGGCCGGGTTTCTGATGACAAGACAGCCACATGGGGTCCCATCATCCCTTTGACTTGCGGAAACAAGCAAACAAGGTCCACGCGGGATTTAAAGCGGTGCAAGCTTAAATCGAGCTGATCCAGTAGTTGCCGGGTTGCGTTCGGCGGCATTGAAATCACCTTACCGTGAAAGAGCTGAGCCAAGAGGAGCCCGTGGAGTATGGGGATCAAAACTCGACTGATCAAGAACTCTTGGCTGTAACCCGTCTGACTCGGTACAGAACCTGGACGCTGGATGGCCAAGACTGCCCGCAACACGTTTCTCTGCCAAGTCTTTCAATAAGTCGGTGAGGATGTTACGCTGTAGAAATTCAGTCCGCGTTCAAAGTGTCTGCGTTATGCAGGACGTCGCAAGCAAGTTCTATGATATACCAGTAACCGTGGAGCGTGTAATCAGATACCATGTCCAAAATCATTGGCTTTGAATATAAGAAGCTCTCGCAGCCTCTGTTCACTTCCTTTGGTGCCTGATCTCGTCCCCTTCTCTCCACGACTAGCCCAGCTCTTGTCTCAGGCACCATCACTCAGACGCTGCCATGAGGTTTCAACTGGCGATACCGCTTGGGCTGACACTCCATTACGCAGTCCAGGCCCATGCCGAGCCTTCTCAAACGATACGAAGCTTGCCTATTGGTCGAGGTAATCGTTTCAAGAATGGCACGGCTGCCCTTACCGGCCTAGGACTCGGCGAGAGAGATTTGGGGTCTCTTCTCAACATCGACGAGATTCAGACTGGTCTTGAGCAACTGGCCGACGAGTTTCCACAAGTCCAGATGGTTGAGGCGCCGTACAAGACGTTTGAAGGCAGAAAGGTCTACGGAGCTGCCATCGGCGAGCCGCGAGTCGTCATCGCCAGCGGAATCAGCGCGGCCGAGCGCGGCGGTCCCGACTTTGTCTTGTACTTTCTCTCCGACCTGCTGTATGCAAACAAGACGGGCGTTGGTCTCGTCTATGGCAACCAGACCTACACCAAGGAGCAGGTGACGACGGCCCTCTCGGCGGGCGTCGCGGCCTTGCCCCTGTCCAACCCCGATGGAGCCGTACACGACAGCTCGACGGGCGATTGCTGGACCAAGAACCGCAACACAACGACGATCGAGGGGGACAAGCAGCGGGGCGGAGTCCATCTTGACCAAAACTTTCCCTTTGAGTGGAAGGGCGAGGACCCGGCACTCAGGCACCATGTCAGCCGCGGCGAAAGGTTCCTGTTCTTCCCTGGCTATGCGCCCCAGTCGGAGGCCGAGACGCAAAACATGATGTGGTTCATCAACAAGTTCGACGACGTCTCGTGGTATCTCAGCCTTCGCCCGGCGGGCTTCATGGCCGTCCAATGGGGCTGGGGCCACGCCGACGTGCAGACGTCTGACGCCGCGCAGAACTTTAGGAACAGCACGTACAAGGGGTGCTTCGGAGCCGAGCTGAGCGAGGCCAGCACTGCTCCGCCGTACAAGGAATACACGGAGCCCGATGCGCGGGCCAGCCAGGAAGCCGCGGCAACACGCATTGCGCGTCCGTTCCGGGGAACAGTTGTGCAGCACTGGGGGAGAGGCCCGCCGAGCACTGGAGCGAGCACCGACTGGGCCAGCTCTGGATACTACGGCCACGAGTGCGGCGCCAACCGCATCAACAGCCTGACGCTGGATCCCATGAGCGCGGCCATGGTGTTTGGGCGCGGCAACTGCTTCCTCAGCTACCCCTCCAGCCGCTCCTACCACGAGGGCATGCGCGGAGCGGGTGCGGGACTGATGGAGCTGCTGCTGCACGCCGCTGGGCCGGATGGCGAGCCCAGGAGGTGGCAGTGCTGAGGATTGGAATCGGCGACTTTAGGATGTCGTCGAGGTGTTGGTCGGGGGATGTGTAGAGATTTGATTGAAAGAGCCCTCCCTTGGAGAGAAAAGTCAAAGACTCAATGTCCATTCGCATCCATTTCGGCTCTCTGACGCAGGAGGATGTCGTATCAGTTGGCGAGATGTCGAAGGTGAAATTGCTGCGTAATATTGGGTATTTTGGCATGCGAGACTCGGGGGCATCAATCAATTGCGGGGCACCGCTACACCCACATCACCATCTCTGCCCACCCGCGCCAGCAACCCCGTCGTCCACGGCCCTCTCCCTCGCCTCACCGTCGATCTCCCTTCCAAGCCGAGGCGTCGAGCTCTCTCCAAACCCCGGGTGACGAGGCTGCCAGCAATGGCCGACACAAAGGTCTACCGGGCCAGCACCACGGCGCCCGTCAACATTGCCGTCGTCAAGTAAGTATGCGACTCGATTCATCCAAGGCCTTTTGGCCCTCACTGACTGCCTGCAGGTACTGGGGCAAACGCGACACCAAGCTCAACCTCCCGACCAACAGCTCCCTCTCCGTCACCCTCTCCCAGGCCGACCTGCGCACCCTGACGACCGCCTCGTGCTCCGCCGCCTTTGCCCACGGCGACACCCTGACCCTCAACGGCGAGCCCTCGGACGTCGCCGGCCCCAGGACCCAGGCATGCTTCCGTGAGCTGCGTGCCCGCCGAGCCGCCCTCGAGGCCGCCGACCCGTCGCTTCCCAAGCTGTCCAGCATGGCGCTGAGCATCGTCTCCGAGAACAACTTCCCCACGGCCGCCGGGCTTGCGTCGTCGGCCGCGGGCTTCGCCGCCTTCGTCCAGGCCATTGCGAACCTGTACGAGCTGCCCGACTCCCCGTCCCAGCTTAGCATTATCGCGCGCCAGGGCTCCGGCTCGGCCTGTCGGAGCTTGTTTGGCGGCTACGTCGCCTGGAGGGCCGGCGACAAGCAAGACGGCAGCGACTCCATGGCCGACCTGGTGGCCCCCGCCTCGCACTGGCCCAACATGCGAGCCCTCATCCTCGTCGCCAGCGCCGCGAAAAAGGGCGTCTCGTCCACCGCGGGTATGCAGCAGACGGTTGCCACGTCGGGCCTGTTCCAACACAGAGTAGCGAGCGTCCCCGCCAGCATGGTTGCCATGGAGCAAGCAATCAAGCAGCGCGACTTTGCCGTCTTTGCCGAGGTGACGATGCGTGAGTCCAACTCATTCCACGCCTGTTGTGCCGACACGTACCCGCCCATCTTCTACATGAACGACGTCTCCAGGGCCGCCATCCGCGCCGTCGAGGCCATCAATGCCGCGGCCGGCAAGACGGTGGCGGCCTACACCTTTGACGCCGGGCCAAACTGCGTCGTCTACTACCTCGACGAGGACGCGGCGGCGATTCTGGGGGCCTTTTCAGCCGTCCTTGGCGGCGTCACAGGCTGGAAATACGGCTCTGCTGGCACGGTGTCGAGCGTGAAGCTGGACGGCGGCATCGCGAGCATGCTGAGGGACGGCGTGAGCAGGGTGATTATGACGGGCGTTGGCGAGGGCCCGGTGAAGACGGAGGAACATTTGGTTGCGGAGGATGGCCAGCCGGTGAAGAGGTAGTGGATGCTCGAGCCATTGCAACGGCAAAGTAGAAGGCCGTTTGGCGACCTGAATGTACAGCATTCAAGACCTTGAAGTGAATTTTGGTGACGCGCTTGCTGGGCAGTCGCCCGTGTTCTTGCCTCAAGCCTGGAATATTAGGCTGCCTGCCCTCAGCTGGCTTTGCCCACCACTCCTGCCTCTGACGAAGCCGCACTCTCAACTTTCAGCCACCTGCATGACCACTTGGAAACAACCTCTGCTTCACTGCATACCTGTCCGCCATCACCAAAAGGCAAAAAAAGGTCGCAAATGCAAACCCTCGACTCTTTTTCAGACAGTTTGGGTTGCGGCACCACGCAGCCCCGCGCCTAGACTGACAGGCGATCGCTTCCTCTCCCACCCAGCAACGCAGAGCAACCATGGATCAGCATCGTCGGTTCGAGCTCTCCGACCTCTATCCCCGAGAGCCTGATCTCTTCAAGACAGACCGCGACGGCGAGGACCTCAGCTTCGCGCCCTTGCTCAACTCGGGACGCGAGATCAGTGTCGTGGAGCTGTCCAAGTCGGGCTACGATCCCAAGCTCTGGCTGCATTCGCCCACACGAGGCATCCTCCCAGTACGTGGCGTGAGGCAGTCAACGCTGTTCTTGGCTATGCAGAGACTCACAGGCGTGGCTAGGTCCAGAAAGAGAGAGGCCTTCTCCGCTCTCTGCGTGGCTGGCGTAAGTTTCTCCTCTCCGCCTTTCTTCCCGTCGATTTCCCAAACTCTGTCTCGGACGACTATCTCGCCTACCAGACCTACGACTCCCTCCAGGCCTTCTTCTCAACCATCACCTCCCTCCTCGCCAGCCGTGCCCTCCTCCAGGGCCTTGGCGTCGGCGATGCCAACTCATCCGCCACCTATGCCATGCTGCTCACCATTCTCCGGGACGCCATCTCCAACATAGCAACCATTGTCTTTGCTCACCGCTTCGGCTTGAGGATCGAGCCAGAGGCCAAAAAGTACCGCTTTCTCGCCGACCTCTTCAACGACACGGCCTTTTTCCTCGAGCTGGGCAGCCCCTACCTCGGCTTCTGGGGCAAGGCCGTCGCAATGTGTACGGGCGAGGCTTTGAGGGCCATCTGCGGCGTCGCGGCTGGCGCCAGCAAGGCGGCGCTGAGCTTGCACTTTGCCAAGAACGACAATCTTTCCGAGCTCAGCGCCAAAGAGGCAAGCCAGGAGACAGCCGTCAGTCTCGTCGGCCTCCTCGTGGGGACAATTGTGGTCAGGCTGGTGCAGGACCCCAGGGCCGTCGTGTGTCTGGTGATTGCCCTGGTTCTTGCTCACCTGTGGACCAACTACCGTGGCGTCCGCTGTGTCTGCATGAACTCGCTCAACAAGCAGCGCGCCACTCTTCTCTTCCAAATCTACATGGAGTCGCGCGACGTCTGCCCTCCCAAGGAGATTGCCGAAGAAGAGCGCATCCTGTTCTGGGACGATGTCATCAGCAATTCGCGCGACGAGCCCGTCTTTCACATCGACTTTGCCAAAAGCTACGCCCATGCCGCGAGCAGCGACGGCATCGACCAGGAGATTGTCGCCGTCGACGGACCTATGCATACCAGGTTCACCCGCCCCTACTCGCCCGGTCGCTTGGGCCAGATCAAGATCCTCCTGTGGGACGGTGCAGAGCCTAAGCACGCCATTCTCGCATGGTTCATGGCCATGGAAACGGCTTGGGTGACGGAAAAAGACGTGCCCTACGGAGATGCCAAGCTTCCGAGCCCGCGCAGAGCGGCAGACGGCAATGGCCGACGCAGGATCATTGACGGATGGAAGCCGTGCGCCCGCGACGAACGCCTCTGGACCATTATGAGGTCGCAGAGATGGGATATCGAGATGGGAGTCATGGAGACGGGGCCGGGCGTCCGGCTTGGCGTTGAGATGACCCAGCGAAAGAACGAGTGAGACCCTTGGGAGGTGGTGCGGTGGCTGCCCAGCCGCTGCAGAGGAGGGCATGACGACGAGCGCCTGTGAGGCTAGGGGAATCAAGAGAGAAAAAAAAGAATAATGATCAAACGGAACGACCATATTCAGCAGTGGTATGATTGGTCGTACACCATTTTTTGGGAGAGATTTGTCCCAGGAAATCAGCCTAACCCGCTGCTCGTCTAATATGCGTGCTCCTTTTTCTCCTCTTTGGAGTCCCGTAAACGCCGATGCTATGATATCATACACGCTCTCATCTCTTGTACACAGGGGCCGCCTCATCGAGTTGCTTGCCCACCCCAGTCCCTTTCATCAACTGCCTCCCGAGGTCGGCCAAACAGCCCAGTCAAGCCATGCCGGTCCACCTCCGAGCACGCATCTTGACGCCCTCCCAAGTATTGAGCTTTGGCCGGACGTCGAGATAGAAGCTGGGGCCGGGCTGACGGCCGCCGGGCCGGCCTGCGTAAAAGTCGATGACGTACTCGACGCGGGTGCCGCAGCGGTCGATGACCCAGTCGTGGCGGTCAAAGGGCGCCGTGTAGCCGAGGATGGTGTTGATGCGGGCCGTCGGGGTCATGCGGGTGTTTTTGTTGGCAAAGGATTCGAGTTTGGGGCCACCGCATCTAGTTCCATACCCGTTCCGATTAGCACCTCAATTATCTCTCGTCTCATGTTCTCTTGCTATGTTGCGAAGGGAGCGCATCAGAGGGTCGAGGACAGGGAGGGGCGTACTTGGAGTCGTCGAGGTAGGGAGCCTCCCACGCTTGAATTTCCCTCCACGCGCGCTCGTTGACGGCGTTGTGGATGGGGACGACGGTCTTCATGTCTGCAACGCGGGCGTCGTATCCCTTGCGCTTCATGGCGTCGAAGAACATCTTCTCCGACGGGTAGACCCAGTTGCCCGAAACGGCATCGGCGCCAGACTCGATCTCGTGATTTGCCGCGGGGGGGGTTGCCGAGGCGCCGTGCTCGACGGGACACGCCGCGGCTGCTTCTGCTCCGCGTGTATCGGCCGGGCCGGGGGAGAAGCGCGGGATGCTCGAGACGGCGCGGCCGGTGTCGAGCCCTCCGTTGTTGCTGTGGTCGTGGCGCGAGGACGTGGAGGAGGGGCGTGTCGGAGCGGCGCTGCCGGACCAGGGGAGGTACGGGGTCAGCGTCTGCGTCCAGGACCGGCGTCCGGTCGAGATGGAGGAGGGCGCAGCTGCTTCATCGACGGGGCACTGGGCGGTGGTTGTGCCGTGCGGGCTGGGGGCTTGGGCTGCTGCGCGGGCCTGGGCGAGCCATGCGTCGCGGGCGCGGTGGTCGACGGGACAGGCCGACTCGGGGTCGTCCGCCATGGTTGGAGGGATTGTGCGGACGGATGGTGGGTAGAGTGAAGATGGCCTCGTCAATCTGCAGAAGCGATTTTACCGTAAGCGTGGGTACTGCTTTGGACTACCTACCCTAGACTTTAAGATGGCCTGGGCCTGAACTTAGTTAGCGGGCTTGCGCGGTTATAGACTGCGTCTGTTGAGGAGAGTGGGCACAAGAGGCCACAGTCATGCCTAGTGGACCCAATAGTCATACACAAGGGGTCTGACTGACCAACATAACTCCCCTAGCCTAAAGACGAGATATAGACCTAACTTGGGTATAGGGATAAGTCATCTTATTGCCCTCTTATGGCTAGTTATCCGTATTTATGGTCACTATACCTATATAAGCTCCTCTCTTATCCCAATAGATAGATCAAGACATGCATCACTACATTTATCTTTCTGAGCCCCTATTTCTTCCACCGTGCTCTCAAGCCTCTGCCTGAGCGCGTCCTTCTTTGGCGCTGTTGCAATCTCAATCGTGACCCATCGACACCACCGTTTTCCAAGTGTTTTGCAGGAGGTTGAACGACAACAAGTCCCAATATACACGACAATGCGTAAGACAGAGACGACATATCCACTCGTCCCATTGTATAGCCAAATTATCGCCTGCTTATACGTCACGCGAAAGGTGGTATTGACTCCAACAACGTTCTTACCGCTTCATGAAGAGCGCCAAGAAACGGATAGCTTTACGTAAGTAGCCAATATTTAAAGGGGCGGCACGAAGGTAGGTAAGTTATAACTAACTATACACTACGTACTGTACATACATTATATTAGAGGGCTAAATTCTCGCCGTCTCAATTACCCCACCCGGCCTTTCCACCATGGACAACGCTTCGTCGGGATGAAAACCCCCAGCAGCTCATCGCCACAATGGGGCGACTAACGGAAGCACTCCTCTACCTATGGAACTTTCGCTACCTCCCTCTCAAGTACCGCTGGCCGCTCATCAAGTGGAGGCGCCGGCTGCTGCCGACTCGGACGGGCCTTGGACTGCGCAACTCGCTACGCCATGCCCGCTCGCTGCGACACCCGCCGGAGCCCAACGCCCATCTCTTTGTGCTGCGCCTCCTATGGCCGTTTCCCACCTGGTACTTCGCGGCAGTCGTCCCGCCGCCGCCGCGCGTCATCAAGGCCGACCCCGATGTCGTGAGCCGCCGGGTTCGCGACCTCATGTACCTCCGCTCGATGCCGCTATGGCGGGCGCGCGACACGCCGCAGCGCGCCTTTTATCGCCTATACGAGGCCGTGTGCGCCGCAGACGGGCCCATGATTACCTACGAGACCGAGTACTTCTGGCGCCGCTCGTCTCCGGGCTGGGCCACGGTCGGCATCCCGGACCCGGAGTGCGATGACGCGGAGCAGTATGCGGTCATGGCGGCCTTGGCTGAGGAACTCGTCGAGTCGTTTATGTGGCGGCTGCAGCTCGGTCTGCGCCGCAACGACACGCCTATTATGAACCGCTACAAAGATCCGCCGCCTATGGTGCCTGAAGTCTGCCCGGCGTGGGCGACCAAGGTGCCGGCGTTGGAAAACAAGCTGCTCTTGCACCCGGATGAAAACGTCTACTTTGATAGCCCGTTTCATCGGCGCAATGTTTACACGGCAACCGGCAGTTTCTATACCGTCTGATGGCCTGCCAAAGCCAAAGCGATGTCATGTAGTATGAGCAGGAGTCGTGTATCTACCAGGTGCTGTGGACAGACCTCCCATCAACACCAAACCCATTTTTTGTCGAATCCTTGATACTTCCATCGGCCAGTCTCTGCATCCCGAACCATGTCGGCAATGCCCACTTCTCCGTACGCTCGTGCATAATACTCAGCAACCTCCACAATGGCCGCATCGGTAGGCGGTGCGTCAAACCCGTTGAGATTGAGCTCCCGGACATACTGGAAGCTGAGGGGGGGTCCTCCGGGGGTTCGCATCATCCGGACCAGTGCAGCAGCGTCGGGAACGTCGACGTCCTTGACCCCTCGGCGGGAGCGGGCATGCGCGACACGCCGAATCTTTCGCTCCAGCGCCCAGTCGAGGCGGCCGGCGTAGATGACGAGCTGGGCTCCCTTGTACACGATGACGCCTTGTTGCACAGACTCGAGGAATAGGCCGAAGCGCCGCTCTCGCGCGACGAACAATTCCACCTGTTGGTTGAGCCAGTCCAAGGCGTAGCCGCCATTGTCGGCAACCGTCGAGATGGCGGCGCTGAATTCCTCGGAGTAATCCGCGGCGGCGGCTACGTTGGGGTCAAGCAGACAGTCGATATCGTACGAAGCATCGCGGTTGAAGCACACCCGAACCGCCAGGGAGCCGCCCACCGTGATAAGCCGGAGAGGCGCAACGCTCATGAGCAGCTCACTCTTGGCAATCTCGGCGTCCAGGAGCGTCAGGGCTATCGGATGCCATGTTAGCTTGCATTGGTGGAGGCTCGCGAGGTCCATTGGGGAGAGAAAATACCCCTCTCCATGTCGGCATACGTCAACAGCTGTCGGCCACTTGGAGCAGGCAGCATGACGGGTAGATGGCGAGGAGCGGCTACACGAATGCGATGTCCAGAGCGGCCTTTTGGCTGTTGTAGGCAACCAGATGAGCCTGGGGCCCTCTTCAGAGCTCACTCTTTAGAGTCGCTTATTCGGAAGGCTGACGAATCGCCGTTGCTGCTACGCGCCCATCGCAAACTGCTCGTGCCGGCAGCATCAGAATGATTACCGCACCAGCATTGCATCTGCTGAAGAGATGTATTCTTGGCTGGCCGAAAATACCAAGCCGTTGGTGCTTTCCATGGTCGCTTCATCAACCGCCTGGGCGACAACGGAAATGCGATGCCCAACTTCCCAACTGAGGGCCCTGAGACGCAACCTGCACGTGGCCTGAGAATGCGGACGCCGCCGTCTCGTCGTGCCTGCCGAAGGTTCCGCATTTGCCATCTCGATGAGTCTCCAGCCTTCTGGCAGATTGACGGAGAGCCGGAGCCTTCAATGTCGCTTCTCCCCACATGGCCCGGCCGGGACCCGCTGCCATCGATCATGAGTTCTTGACCCACTGCGGATGACCACAGGCAAAGTCGAGGTCAAAGGCCTACCAACCGAAGACATGGGGATGAGGGTAGGCGCCGAGATGACCAAATTTATCGCCATTTTTTTGATTCACAACCAGAAGCCGATAGTTGATGTGTGCTGGCGGTTGCCATCCCCTTGTTGAAACTCCATGTCCGCCTGCAGCAGCGCCTGCAACCCTGCTGTTGACTCGTCGCCGGTCATATCGGCCCGTTCCGTGTGTTGGCTAACAGGCACCCAGTCAGGCACCAGGTCAGCCGCTACTCTGCAGTCTCGTACTTGTCCAGCCCCAGCCCTCCGTTTGGCGAGGGGGGTTAAATAAGGGCAGCTTTCCGGACCAAGGAAGAGGCAGCATGACAAAAGAGAAGAACCAATATAAAGGCAGAGCCAGTGTAGGAACTATAGACAGCCAGCGCAGGCGGTAATATATGTCTCATCTTATACTTGTTCTCTCGAGAGCACCCTGTTAGCCCAGGCTGAGAGTCTGCCTAGTATGTATATGTCCTGCCCCTTCCACTATCCTATAGGACTTAAGCCTCGTCCGGCAATTATAGGTTGCTTAGTTGGCTTTCTTGGCCGCCCAAAGAAACGTGGCGTCCCAAACTCCGGCGGCGCGTCTGACGTCCACCGCGGCCCGTCGTGACTTACCGTCCCGAAGGTATGTGAATCGTCGTCTTCGGACACGTGCCCCTGGTCAGCCCCTGGATGAATATTCTTGTCCTTTCGTCCAGGCGACCCTTCAGCCACCGGTACAGTCGGGCCAGACTCTCCTTCAGATCCTTCTTCAGTCGGACCAGACTCTTCTTTAGACCCTTCTTCCGTCTCTGTGTCGGTCACCAAGTCGGCCCCTTTGCCGGCGAGTGCTGCTGCTCCGCCCAGCGCTGCTCCACCAAGCGCTGCTCCGCCCAGCCCTTTGCCGGCCAGTGCCGCTGCTCCGCCCAGCGCTGCTCCGCCCGCTGCTCCAGGCGCCTTTCCAGCCCCATCTGCACCCCCCTCTTCACCTCCTTCTTCACCTCCTTCCTCACCCCCTTCTTCCCCCTCTTCCCCCTCGTCGTCACCTTCATCTTCGCCCTCTTCTAGGCAAGCTTGATTCTCCTCTTGGGTATACTGCTCAGTTATATCACCCAAAATTTCTCCCTCCGCCTCGAGGAGTCCTAGCCCCCTTGATTCTGCTGCTTTCGCCCCAGCCGCATCTGTAATATGTAGTCTAGATAACGCTGTCTCATCGCTTCCAGGAGAGAGGAAATAATCTAGTCCTTGCTCATCTGCAAGAGATCCATTTAGTATTCAGTCCTAATTGATTCGTGGTTCCACTAGATGAACAATCAGCTCCTACGTGGGCGGGAGATATACCTTTTGCTTTTGCTGCATCGCCTTCCTTTGTTGTTGTTGTCTTAGGCGGCCACTCCGAGTTTGGAGAACCAGTCTGATGCGCAGCAAAGCATTCTTTTGTGGTGCGACCAGGGAATCGATCTTCGTTCCTCCAATACAACACAAACCGGTTGCAGTATTGATTAGTACCACAGCGCTGCTCCATCCTTTGCGCGTCGTCTAACCCCTCAAGATTAGAGTCAACGCATGAGGTTTCTTTCTCAGGAGGTGGTATATACTCGAGCCGTTGGTCGTAACTCGTGGAACCCGCCGGAACCGGGCTTGCACAAGCAAGCCCGACCAGGGCAGCAAAGACGGTAAAACCCTTCATAGTTATTAACGATGGATTGTACGTTATCAGAGTTGGGAAGGCCGGTCGAAGATGAGTGCAGAATATATGTAGTCGCGTTGGAGGGTCGAGTTTGCATAAGACATGAGGAAGCCGAGATGGAACATGATTTTATAGGAAAGAAGAACCTTGGTCACGAGACGCAATGTCGATTCGTGCTAGAACACGGTACGGAGCACTCCGCCCATAACGCAGTTATAGACCCTTGCGTAGCTGAAGACTTGAAATCTTATTTTTACTTGTAATGCCATCAGATGCGACTCGAGCCAGGCGTGGCTTGTCCATTTTCTAGAGAAGGAACTTTTGGCCCACAGGCTGCGGAGCTTGTTAGATGCACTAAAATCACTGAGTCTCTCTCTTTTAAGCACGCATCGCTATGGAGTACTGAGTCTCTACTTGCATGATCAAATCTCTAATCACAGGATCAACTCCATTTCAGGCTATTGGCTACTCTCTGCCGCGACTAGATCCGCCAGCTGAAGAGATCTCCATAGCGTTATATCAATGGAGCCCTAATGAATCGCCCGACCACTAGCCCCATTATACGGGCCGGCTTTGTATGTAGATTAATGTCATGGGAGCCTCCCTGTGACCTGACAATAGGGCTCCGGTGAAGGAAAAACCTCCATATGTAGCAGGCTCGTACATATCCCTATAAGTACGGTCTTCTGCCTCTAGGGATTATGGCTAGGAAGAAATATACGCGACTGAGTTATACTGCATGACCCTCCTCACCGCCTTCGTTGCCCTCTACTCCTTAGAACACTGTGGTCCGCTACATTCATCGCCAATATGAAGATTACAACAGCCCTCCTCGCCGTTCTCACTGGACTAGCTACCGCTGTACCTGTAGAACGTCCAACGATCTTTGCTCGAGGTGGTAGTAACGGGAAGCCTATATACAGGGAGACGACTGGTGCAGAAGCGTTCCGGGCGGCGACGACAAATACTAAGGCGAATATGGGGTTGGGTGGGCAAGGACTTCGTACCAACACATTTGCGAATCCTAGCATCGCGTGTTCTCGGAGGCACTGGAAGAAGAGTCAACTTAAGTCGAGGAGCAGCAAAAATGAGCCAGGTGTTCCTCAAGGGCCGAAAAAGAAGCCCAACATTCGTCATTCTAGAACATAAAGTGGCGGTAGGGGATAGGGGATTGGGGATTTTAGAGGATTTATTAGGGTTTAGAGGACAAGAATGACACTTGACGCACCCTTGGCAATAGTTCTCCTGTGAACAGACTGTATCAACACCAAACCCGTAAACAGCAGCAAACGAGGCGCGACGAAGTCTCACGCTGGCGCATGGGGGGACAATGTTGTCAAGGGAAAGTGGTCGTTACCTACTTACTTCGGGTATACGTCGTTTTGGGAACTGTGGCATAGATCGGCGCAAGGCACCGAGGAGAATGAATAAGCCGGTCAATTAAAGATTTGTCGTTTCGCGGACTTGGGCTTAGCATTTGTACCAAAGGTGGTGGTCTGAAGTCATTGGGAATTATAGCTTGCCATCAACCGTCAAAATCCACAACATCTTGCATCTTGGCAGCTTGGAGCCCTACTGGAGTCGAGACAAGTGGCCGGTTGGGCCTGACGATCACCCGTTCATGGCGGAGACTACGCATTGCGAAACGTAAACCTGACGAGCATTATCTGCACCGGGATGGGTAGTGTGCTCCTGCTTGGCGAAAGTGCATGCCTACCCCTACTCCCAATATCTCGAGCTGGCAGGCGTCGTGTAGATGCCTTCATTAGGAAACATTGCCGAGAAGGGGGGCCTCGTTCTGCTGCTTTTCAGCTTATTTTTCGCAATGCGTGACGGCGCATTGCGAAATGGATTCGTTGGCTGGGCCCTCGGTGGGAAAGTCGGCTGAGCGTGCGTTCCCACTAATAAAACGCGCCGACGCTTAATGCTCGAGGCGTGATGTAAGCCATGTTGAAGGGCTGCAAGGCTAGTCATGGAGTAGGCTCAGCAAAGCTGACAGTGGTTCTAGCTTAAAGGATGCACGAATCTTTGATGGGGCAGAGTGGAGGAAGATGCATAAGTCGGCAATTCGTCAAGCTGAATGATACATATACTCTTACTACAGTAACTCCTCTACTCCTCTTGAGGTCGCTCCCCTAGCTTATTGATTACTTGTACGATTTATTATATATAGCTTCCTGCTCCAACCGCGTGGTTCTGCGAACATATGTGCTCCATCTCTCTATCGACCTTACCATCACGATGTTCTTAAATCCACGCTATATTTGTCTTACTTTACTCCTTCACTGGACACCTACTTTGCTAGGGCAGCGGGATGCGTTTGGGGGGCGTAATGGCGAACAATTTATCAACAGCATTTCCAACTGGATCAATGTAAGTGGCTTGCCGTCCCTCGCCTACGCCGCGGTTTATAAGAGCTCTACGCTAAATGCCCAGTAGCCCGCGCCACGGCCTGTTGAGGATCCTGCCAAGGTAAAGGACTGGGGGCGGGCTTCAGATCTACTCAGTCAGGTCGGGGCGGCGAAGACCGAAATCGACGAGCTACAGAAATCTTTGGCCGGGTTGGCAGATGCTCATGGCCAAGGGCTCTCGAATTCGAAAATATCTGACATATTGTCACGGTCAAATGCAGCAATCACAGGGGCAAGAAGCGCGGCATCCAAAGCAGACAATGCGACTAGTGAAATAGCTGGTCTCGATGAAGTCACATACGATCTCCGCTCAACATTTTCAAGCGCCAAGAATACGAGAACTGAAATCATGAATACGTCGACCAGTGTCATTCTTGACGGATACTTGATTCCTATCCGCGTTTTGGCGGACTTGATTAAAGAAGCCAGGGCTAAAGTGGAGAAAAAGCCCGGCGACAAAAACACCCAAGAGCTGCTCAGAACCGCGGAAGAAAGATTGAAAATGGTTGACTCGCTCGTAAGCGAGCTCATCGAGGAATGTGATCTTGCAGATGAGACGGCCAAAACAAGGAACAAAGACAACGTTCCCAGTTTCCCGAAGAGCGACGCGGAACAGGCGCTAAAGGAGGAGAAGGAAATGTTAGCCTCACGGTTGGGGAGACTTCGAGATGGTGCTGACAAGGCCTCTCAGCTGGCTCAGAGTGCCAAAGCAGACTTTGAGGAGGCTCAAATGGCAGCCCCGAAAAAGATGGGAGGCTATCGACACGGCCAAGACGGGTTCGGCAAAGGGGGAGAGGAAGAAAAGATTCTTCTAATCTTTATGCGCTTCTCTCGCTTTGTTCTCCACCCCTCCTTGCGGCCTGCTTCGCCGTCCCTTGGGTTGCAAGTCGTGGAACGGACGAGAAACCTATGGAATACAGCCAAGTTCGCCGAGCAGGCCATTCAATGGCTCAAGCAATCCTCAGACGAACTCGACGGGCAAAAGAAGGCCAAGGCCATTAAAAGGTTTAATCGAATTGCCGAAAACGCATATTTCTATCTCGTCCAATTCAAAATGCCAGGATACATGTCGTTGATAACTGGTTCTTATATTAATGGGCAGTTGCTAGTCAACATCCTCTCTGCCCTGGATCGATATCAAATCGAAAATACCAGGTGCACCAATGGCATTACCTCACAGAAGGATGGAAAACATCCCCGGCGCGACTTAGGCTCTAGAGAGGCCTTAGGTCCTAAACCGGTGGCTGTAGAGGTATTAGCAGGCAAGTTAAAGGAGCTTAAAACGAATTTCGAGGCAGGTAATCTACGGGCTGCCCAGAAGCAAATAGGCAACTTATTAAGTCATTTTGAGGAGTTAACGTTTGGATGTGCTGAAAGGACGCTTTTAGGAGATTTGTTCGGATTGTTAGAAAACGGATACCAATGGGTGCATATATAATGTCTGCGGAGGTGTTTTAAGGGGCAAAAGGGTATAGACTACAGCATAAAGCTTAGAGAGGATAGCTCGGTTACTGCGATCGGAGGCCAGCCCCTCCCAATATGAATTGTTTCTTGAATTATATGTAGTTACATATTTATGGATTATCAACGGCCCAGACCGGGCATCGACGGCACGGTACCACGGGCAGACGTGTGGCGTTTGCCCCTCGTTAATTCGGGGCCGATGAGCCTCTGGAAAGCACAGAGAGCACTCGGCATAACGAGGCTGTTGAGAAACTTGGGGAGGTTCACTGTGTTTCTAGTCATGTCGCCCCTCAGGGGCTACGACGGCGCCTGTACGACGGAGAATTTCGCCTCACGGACGCCTCGGAGCCCGTGGACGCCCCGGTTCTAACGACATTGGCTCCCGTAGCTGCAAACTGGACCTCTCCACAGGTCATGCGGACCAAGGGCTTTAAGCCGTGGCGGGGTCGGCAGCCAGTTGTTTTCACCTTGTTCGGAAACTCGTTCCGTATTAGTGGTTTCATCTCGCTCAGCCTTGCTCAAATCACAACCCCGTACTTCGTAGTAACTCATTGGGTTTTGGTGGGTTTTAGCACGATCTGTCTTCCTATAACAAATCACACCGGTTGCCACCGCATTATTCCAACGCTAAGACTTGGCGAGTTTGCCGAGTCCCTACCGTCTTGAGCCCGCTTCACTTTCAATTTCGTCACCTCCTCCACCTCGAGATATGCTCACTTTAATTAGGCTACCGCGTTGATTCCAGGCTAACGGGTAGCATGGCGAGATTGATTAACGAAGGCTCCCGTCAACGACCATGTGACGGCCCTTGGATATTTCTCGAATGCCAAAGGGCATACGAATACTTAAGTCACCGGTGGTATTAATGAGTGCGGCAAGTGACTTGTGATTCTATAGGGGACAAAGCAGCGCGGCAGGTAGGCAGGTGACTTCATGTTGCGATTCTTTAAGCATAAACTGGCTCGGCAGGCATAGCGCGTGACTTTAATGCTGCATGAAATACTGACTCGTCCTCGAATCCTCTATGGATAGCATCGTTCCGCTATCTGCTCCGTGCCTAGTTCAGCGCGCGATTACCCAACATCTCTGATGACGCAAGATCGACTAGGAACGGCTGCGATGTCCGCAAGTGGACGGCGCGACATAATATATATATATATATATATGTATGTATACCAGGCTTTCCCAATCTAACGAGGTTTTGATTCTGTCCGACTTGACAAGGTCATTCGTTATTCCTACAGGATTCAAACATTCGCACCTTCCCAGGTGCAACACATTCTTTATCCCGTCACCAAAATGAAGGTCACAGGAGCAATCATCGCCGTCCTCGCCGGAGCAGCTGTAGCTGCACCGACCGAAGATCCAAGAGTTGTTAGGCGGGTAAGTGTGGGCAGGTCGGCGAATGATATATGAGTCCCATCCACGATAGCTGGCCGACTCCCTACCATCTTACAGGCAGAAATCTGGCCAACCTGTCGTCTGGGCGACGGAGGCTGATGTAAGTTTAACAGGACATTGTTTTCCCGGGCGGCCCTTCCGCACAGCCCAAACAAAAGCAAATCTATGAGAAACTTGAGGACGGAGTAAGTGGCTTGTCCTAATTGCTAAATCTCATGACGCGACATGCTAATGCGGCTACTCACCATAGCGACTTTGTTATGGCAAACTGCCCTTGAACCGTCGTCTTCAAGCATATGGAGTTCCCGAGAAAGAACGCCAGAAACTTGGACTCCCTACCCGCAACACTGACAAAATCCCGGTGAGCGGCTTCCCGTGGATAATCAAACGCCAGTGGCTGCCAGCGCGGTGCTGATGGTCGGTGACTATAGGACGAAGATCGTGAATGTTATCAGCCTCAACAACTTTCCGACCTTGCACTCCGTTATGCATTCTCCGAGGAAGTCCGCCGCACACTTGGAATCTCCGAAACGACGCCTACCTCGGTTGGGCCAACAGAAACTTCCTCGACGACGGTCCCGAACCCCAGGTCGCCGGAGAAGCCCCTCACTGTCTACAGAGGCGACTCCCGCTCGCCGGAAGAGATCCAAGCACTTGGTGGAATCCCCCCCCGATTCGCAGGAGAAACTACGAATCAATCTTACAGCCTGAAGGCGCACCACGAAGCGGCGGACAAGAACATTGCCACCAGATACACCTCGACCACGAGGTCGTTTGGCGTGGCAACGGTCTACGCTACTGGGCTCTATCACGGTGGGACGAATAAAGATGGATGGGTATACCGTATCCATCCTACGCCAAACATGATCGATTTAAATGCATCTAACTTTACAGCAGTAAGCTGTGTTCCCTACCGAGTGATCGCAGAGGTGATAAACGCTTTGCGTCGAGTGTAGCATTCCTATTGATAAACCCGGAGCCTAGATAATTGCATTTTAGCTTTCTCAAAGAAATTAATAAGGAAAGTAGCCTTCCCTATAACCGGCATCTATTGCTTCGACTCTACGATATCCTTAATAAGCAGTTAAAGCCCGTGGGAGTCGTAGAGGATATAGAGGTAGTGGCTAAACTCTAGCAGTGCCTTTATCTCTCGATAGAGCTTTCTTATTATGCTATATATATCTATATATATAGTATTTACCCGCGAGAATTCGCCCCCGAATATATCGATAAGGATTAGCTTAATAAGGCTTAAGGTCGTTAGTGCTATATAGTTATAATCGTTAGTATTAATAGTCGACTAATAGAATGCGATTAAGTTAGGAATCTTAATAGATATATTTATAATTCGATTGCTTAAGAAATCCTCCGAGGCATCGAATATAACGTTAAGGTACGGAGCCTCGTCTAAAAGATCCTTAACTCGTTGCCGATATTCTAGGTAGACCGAGTTAAGAAATAAGGCTATGCGATTACTATTCGGCGGCTTATATACCGGATTAAGTATTTATAATAATTTCCTAGTCTTAGGATCCTTATAGAGGGAATATAGTTTACTAGAAGTAAAAGTAGTAATAGTAGCTTAGCGATCTAAGGCGTCCTTAGACGATTTACTAATACTTTTTAGCTAAGTATTAATAAGCGGCTATCGAACGTAGATAGCTTTATAGAGTTCTTAGTATAGTCTATATTACGTTTAAAGGTATCGAAGCTATTTAGAAGTATACTTTACTATGCTCTTTAAGTAAAGATTATAGGTTATATAGTCTAGCGTAAAGCTATTTCCTAGAGTAAGCTAGAAATACTCGTCTACGCTATAAGGTTTAGGATAGCCTCCTTTATTCGTTATCCTAATTAAATAAATAGTATACTTCGTAATATTTACTAGAGAACTAGTTTACTAAAAAAAACCTATTAAATAGCTTACGACTAAATAGAGTACTAAGTTTAATATAATAATTTTATATATAGGCCCTTAATATAATTACTATTTTAGGAAGATACTAATCTTAATTAAGAAGGAGGTTTATAACGGTAAATTACTAGTCTTTTAAAGGTTTTTACGTTAGTTAGTAAGTTAAGGTTTATAATATTAAAAAGGTATCCTTAGGAACTACTAGTATAATAGCTATATAGCTACTAGTCGAAAGGGTAAGAGACGTGCTAAAGGAGGTATAAAAGGGTATTATTTAAGTAGGCCTAGAATACTATCTTTATCTATTTAAGCCCTATTAAAAGTAGGTAGATACTATATAGTATTTAGTACTTAAAAGGGAAGACCTTTTATTAGTAGCTAAGATATCTTTTAGTAAGAGTATTATATTCTAAGTAGTACTATTATTTTATCGCGGTAGGATAGGCTTTATTATTATCCCTTTAAATCGAATTAAATAGGAGTAATATATTAAAATCTAAGGGCTCCTAAGTATAAGATATATATTTATTAATAGTAAGACTAATAAGACCGATACGCTAGCTTAAGAGATTAAGATAGGTATATATACTTATCTTATTATAGGCCTAGAGATTATAGCTAGGTAGTTTTAATTAATAGTAAGTAGCTTAATATACTTTAAATATATTTAAAGAAGTAATCTACTTAAGTATTAATACTAAGGAGATAGTAAGTAGGTTTAATTATATACTTTAATAACGCTAAATTTAAGCTGCTATCCCTTATACTTTAATAAATTATAGAATAGTAGTAGAGGACCCTTATAGTATAGTAGTGATATACTTAGGAGGACTACTAGCTATAAGGCTAAAGTCGGTTTAAATCTAGTTAAGGGTATAATTAATTTTTAGTCGGACTAGTAAACTATACTAACTTACTTATTAATTAGCTAATTAGCGCTTTTAAAAGCGCTTATAAATATACTAGTAGTCTAGCCCCGCTATAAGTAGGCCGGCCTAGACCTTACTTACCTAGACTTAGCGATAAAGCTATTAGGACCTCCCCTTAACCCTAGTATCGCACGGAGGATGAGCAAGTGGGCATAAAGATCAGGGACTGGAAGACTCTTGATTCTGCTATCTAAGGTGGGAAAGAGGCGAGATCTTTATAGACTGCCTGAATATGAGAATGGAAGGGAATGGTAGTGAATGGAAGCATCTGATCGGATCATCTGGAAGCCACTGATGCGTTGATGATGCCTCCTAGAAGTTTCTGTGGGAAATGTGGAAACGGACTGTGCGAATAGGGGTCAGACTGTTGGAGGCTGATATCCTATGTGTGACATACCCCCCCAGGTTGTGCTGGCTAGTGGGCAGTGCAAACTGAAGAAAGAAACTAGATCCCTAGCAACGTAGAGATATCGACGAGACCGAGTTGTTTGACGAAAGTAGCAAATTTCTGGCCTGGCAGAGCTTTGGTGAGCGGGCTGAGCGCCGTGGCTGAGTCACTCGGACCGGGGTCCGTGTCGGATATGGGTGCTGAATGTCATGAAACTCATCCTGATCATCCGAGTCCTCATGATCAGATGGTTCGGGTTGTACCACAATCGTGGTGGCGTCTCCTTGGTCTGAGGTTGAGGAGATTGCTCAACGGGGTCAGGTTCAGGTTCATCGATTTGAGTGGGGATTTCCTCGTAATCCGACTCGTCCTCGATGTGGGCTGGAAGCTGTACTTCCACGCGCTGTGGGATAGGTTCTGGTGGCTGATCATTTCCGTCATAGAAGATGCTTTCATTGAAGGTCACATCTCGGACCCTTCGGACTTCTGATGTGGACGGAATCCAGATCCTGAAAATGTTCGTGGAATCATATCCAACGAGATAACCGATTTCTGTGTGAGGGTCGGTCTTTAGGTCCTTCTTCTGTCTGTTCTGAAGGGCCTGGGGTGTCAAGGATAGGCTCTGCAGCCGTATGCCTTGAGAAACGTGATGTCAGGCTGGTCTTGCTGGTAGCCTATGTCTCTGTTGTTGTCTCGCAGCCACTGATGAAGCAGCTGGAAAGGCGTTCGAAGCTGTGGTTCTGCATGGGCGATCTGTTGTGCAAAAACACTGCTGCTTTCCAAGTCTCTGGCCAAAGATCAGATGGTAAATTGGCATCAATTCCCATTGTTCTGGCCTGGGCAGATATTACCCCCCCAGATCGCTCTGCAGAACCGTTTTGAGCGGGAGTGTAAGGGGCAGAAGGTTCATCTTGAATCCCCTTTTCCTCGATCCAGCTCTCATACGCACTCTGAAGAGAACGATCGTTATCACGGTGGATAATGCAAATGTTGAGATTCCATTGGCGTTGAACCATTGCCTCGTGGTTTCTCAAAGCAGTCATAACGGACCCTTGTGTCGCGTCATTCAGAAGGTAGATGAAGATCATGCTTGTAAATTCATCTTTGATAAGAAGAACAGCTTCCTTGCCGTTGAATGAGGTGTTCATACTGAAGATATCAACGTAGATTCTCCAGAATGGTCTGGGGCTCGGTTTTGAGGGGTTCGGCGAGAGACGACCTTCTTTCCCTTCCCAAGGGAACACGCGGTGCAATCGATGGTAACTGGGCCTTTGATCTTCGAACCCGTCGTGTTCTCAACAAGATGCTCTAGGGCTTGAGCGTTCAAGTGACCTAGGCGCTTATGCCAAAGCGTAGCATCTGCTGTTTTCACTGTGCGAGGTGCAGATGAAGATGTGAAATTGGAGGCGTGAGAGTCCTCCTTAATCGGGTTGAACTCGATGACCGGTTGACGAAAGCGGCGTTTCGTATGAAATATAATCTGATCGTCTTTAGAGACGCGTCCAGATAGTGGATTCCAGTTGTATCCCTTCGCAAGAAAGCGGTCGAGGATGCGATGTTGGTGTGGAATTTTGGCACGAAGGCAACTTCGTTGAGCTGAAAAGTCCTCCTTCTTCAAGCTTCATACGGACTGTGCCGTAGCCAAGGATCTGAAGTTGACTATCGCCTGCAAAGAGCTCTTCTGGCTCTGCAGGGCGGTGTAGTCAAGAAAACGGGATCGGTTGTTGCAAATGTGTGTGTCTGATCCGGAATCAAGGATAAAGGAGTCATACAGCGGGTAGACTGCCTTTCCCGTCGAGAAACTGGTTGATGGAGGTGTTGAGGGAGGCGGTGTGTTGTCAGGAGCTGGTAGAAGACCGGCAAACGCTGTGCCTTTAACGGAGGAGTCGGACGATTTCTCCATTTCCTTCTTCTTGAAGTCTTGTGCTTTCTCCGTCATCTTCTTTGCCCATGGATTGGAGTCGAGGATTTCTTGATCTTCTTCTCAACCTTCTGATCAGGAGTCCAGCCATCAGGCCGAGCTGATTTGATGAGATAGAAGCAATCTACGAAGCGGTGATATTCTCCGCAGACACACATAGGAACACCATCAGCGTTCTTGCTTGAAGACCACTTAGGCTTGTCCTCTTTCCTCTCCGATTTCTCTCCCTTGCCTTGGAAGGCAGCTCCGAATGATCCTTTGCTGTTGTTGGCGGCCTTGATTCGGTGAGCTCGTTCAAAGATCTCACTGATCTTAATGCCGTCCGGAAGTCCGTCTTCCAATCAGGCTTGCCGAATACGGCCTCGTCTTCCATTTGTTGACCCAATAGTCTGTGAATGGGGCGTTGATGGACGAAACAGCCTGTAGGAAATCTTGGGTAGGGCGAAGGTCCTGGACATCAGGAAGCCCTAATTGCTTTGCCTCAGTGAGGACTTTCTGCCATTGGGTGACCCAAGCTTCGATCTTGGTCCTGTTTGGCGACTGAAGGGTGGAACGATAACGCTGAACAACTTCCTCTCGAGTGCCCAGTCGGTTGGGGCCACACGAGCCTGAAGCAAGGCAAGTTGCTTTGCAACGTCGTGTTCCTCGGCAATGGTGCTGTAGTAGTTGCCGATGGTCTTGACGATGTGTTGTTGAAGGCTGGCGAGTGCCTTCACTTGATCCCTATACCCTTGAAGCTTCGAGCGGTATTGGGTGTGGAGGAATTCGAGACGGCGAAATTCCTCCGAGGTCAGATCCACGAGATCAGATGCTTCGTGGTTGATTTGTCGGAATGTTGGTTCAACTGGCTGCTGAAGAACCGGCTTACCCTCCTTGACGGCAGGGTCCAGAAAGTCCCAAAGACTGTGGGACGTGGCGAATTTCTTGATGATAGAAATCCATTGTTTCCAGTCGCAAGGGCCGTTGAGCACGGTGCCCTTGGAAGAGCCATCAAGATCTAGAGCTGAGCTCATTGTGGAAGCTATTCTGCGCAGCGGAGTGAACAAGAATAAGATACCCAGTCAGTGGCAGACCGGGCTCATAACTATCGCACGGAGGATGAGCAAGTGGGCATAAAGATCAGGGACTGGAAGACTCTTGATTCTGCTATCTAAGGTGGAGCCGCTAAGCTTTATAGCGGAAAAATAAGGTAGAGCCTAAGAAGATATTATTATAGGATAAGGTTAAGGATAATTATATAATTTACTATTAACTAAAAACGCTTATACTACTAATTAACGCTATATACCTTATATATATAAAGGAGTTACTTTTTAAGGTTACTTTATAATAGAGCTAATATAATTCTAATTAACTAAAACGATACCTAAGATAGCTAGTATAAGTTTTATTATAAAGCGTAGCTTAATTTCGTAGTTCTCGGAGATATCCTATAGTACAAGGGACCTAGGAAGCTAAAAAACAGGTTTTAAAGAAGGAGCTAAAAAGAGGTATAGAAAGGAGGGTAGGGGTATAAGGGGAAGTAAAAGTAGCGATAGCTTCTTATAGAGGTAGCGAGAGATAAGATAGATATACTAGCAACGGCTAGAAAGGAGGGGAAAAACTAGTAAAAAGCTCGGTAGTTAAAAGGATATTAATAGCTCCTTTAAGTAGGATCTTCTTTATTAATTAAGATGCTAGACGGGTATAAAGAGGGGCGTTAAATAAAGGAAAGAAGGAGAATTAAGGTAATATAATAATTACTCCTATACCGTAATTACTGCCCTTATAAGAATTAAATATCTCTGCCCTACCTATCCGACCCCTTACTTTTAATTTTACCTTTATATATTTTATATATACTTCTTATATCTCTCTTTACGAGAGTTATAAGCCTAGGAGGAATAGTCTTCCTATACCTTCTAGCTACTATAAAAGGCACCTTTCTTATATCCTTTATAGCTTCCTTTTACCCCTCTTACTAAAAAAGCTGATTTTTAACTAACTTTTCTACCCTTCCCTTATAATAATATCGAAAAATAACTCCTTTACCGCCCTTATAGTCTATAAGATAATTCTTATAAAGCCCTAAGATTAAGATAAGTAGGTAAAGGAGCTACGGGCTCGTATAAATAGAACTATCTATAATTTAGTCTTCTTTAATAAGTAGGACCCTCTCGAGCCCCCTCTTCGTCCTAGGGCAACGGAATTTATAGAAGGAGCTTCCCTCTTCTCTAAGCTAACCTCTATATAATAAAGAGCTGTTTCTACTACCTTAGGTAACTATAAGAGTTACTATAAGAAATACCTTTATAAGATAAAGCTACTAACTACTACTTATATAGTAATAACGGAATCCGTTAGTGCCGTAAAGCTAATCTCTCTTTAAGAGGAAGAGACTCTTAAGTAGTAGCTTTTAAAGTTCGAGACCTTAATAGCTCCCTTAAGGGGATATATAACTAACTATATTAAGAAGACCTATATAGTATACCTAGGAGCCTTTTCTACTAGGAACCTACTAGCTTCTTTATAGCTAGCTAAGTAAGAAGAGATCTTTAAGGAAGCTAATTAATACTTCTTAATAAAAGCTCTTTTAGGCTAGTAGCTATAAGATATATCTCTACTAATAAAGACTATTAGTAACGGTTACTTAACTATCTTTTAAGAAGCTAGCTAAGAACTAAATAAAGAGGCTATTAAAGTATAATAGTAAGTAGTCTTATTCCTTCGTAGCTAGCACTCGACCTAGATAGCTCGACCTACTACCCCTATAGCTGCTATAGCCCTTATTACTATGGTCCCCGCTACTACTATAGCTATTGCCCTACTAGCTCCTCCTCCCTCGAGAGCCTTAACGCCGTCTTTAACTATAGCTACTATACCGGTCCCGGCTCCGCCTCTTACTCTAGGCCCGGCACCGGTCACGTTAGTTAGACCGGCCCGACTAGTCCCTTAATAGACCTTTTAGTCCGTTAGTCGAAAAATTAAGGAACTAGTCGAAATCGAACCTCTTTATTAAAATTAGTAATAAGGGGTAAAAAGGAGGGGTTTTTAAGTAGACCTTCTAGATCGGGATAAGGATTCCTCGAAGAAATAAAAAACTAAACGAAATAGCTGCCTAGCCTATAAATCCCTAGGCAATCGGTTATTATAATACTAGTAGGTATTCTAGGAAAACCGATCTAAAGGATTTAACCCTTTAAAGAGGCTATAAGAAATAATATAATAGTCTCTTAAGGAGGACCCCTCGTTATAGAAGAAGATAGATAAGATTTAGGTTACTAAGAAATAGTAACTAACGCCGCTGCCCTTATTTAAGCTATAAATTTAAGGAAAAATCGTTAGTATAGTAAATCTAGCCTTTATCTTCCCTATAGATTAGTAAGACTACCTATTAGGACCCTCTAACTATCCCCTACGAAAATTAGTTATCTATAACTCCGGTACTTCCCTTAATATCTATAATATACTCTTACGATTCCGTTCCTTTAAGAAAGTATAAAGGGAATACCTTATTACCGGAGAATTAACTATATAGATAGAGGGGTATAGAAGGGTGAATTTTATAATAAAATTACTTAATAGGTCTATATAAATTCTTTAATAAAAAAGGGTAGCTTTTTACCCTTAATTTTTAACGAGCTTAATTTCCTTCCGCCTTTTTTAAAAGGAAGGAATCTTTTAAGATATAACGTTTAAGCCTATAAGGCTAGTATAGAGGAATTAGACTGTTAAGCTTATCGAGGAGAAATTCGGTTAATTTATTCTTAAATTCTAACCTATCCTTAGGAAGGAATCTCTTAAAAAGTTAGCTTTCCCTACTTAAAGGAAGGTAGGTTTAAAAGACCCTCTTTTAGCAGCCTAAGGAGGCGGTCTTCTTTAGCACGTACGACTAAGTTACCTAGGCCCCCTAGCTTTATATAAGCTAGGCAAATAATAAGGCGTACGAATAAGGGGCTTAAAGACCGTCTAATATAAATACTATAGCTAAGGAAAGACTAAGAGACGAATTTCTAGACGAACCCTTTTACGGCCGGACTAGCTATATAAGGAAATTTAGGTCGACTAGACCGATATCTCTAGGGATTAAGAAAGCTTTATTAGGGTAATATTTTTTATAGACGCTTTTTTAGGGATGGTTTTCCCTTATTTCTTACGGACCTACCTAAGTAAGTATAACTAGTTTGCCCTTTAAGACTTTATTAACTAGATAAAATCCTACTTTAGCTATAAGGTAAAGAAGATACG